ATACAATGATTTATTTTTTATAATTTTTTAAATTAAAATAAAAAATATTGAATTTTTATATCTTTAGATATTATATATATTTTTTTAATATATTATATTATATTATAATGATACTGATTGTTCCTCATTGAGGAACAGTCACTACTCTCAAAATGTATCATACATATTAACGACCTCACAACATCATGATACCTTATCTATAAATAAATAGCAACATTTTGTTTATGTTACCCACATCAGCATCCTTTTTAACCATTTTAATTATTTAATGATACATTTAATTATTTAATGATATTATACGATACATATAGCAAAAGCTGCGATATGAATAAAAACGTAAAAAAACAGCATAAGTTTGGACAATTTTTTCAGCCACTGTATAATATCTTATTTAAATTATTATATTTATTTTAAAAAATAGTAAATTTTTGTATTTTCAGATATAATATTCAATTCTTCTAATATTTTATAATATTATAATGATAGTGATAGTTCCTCATTATATTTATATTTGTCATTTATAAGGAACAGCTAATATCCTTAAAACATATTATACTATATATGTTTGTAGAAATTATAAATATAGAAAAGCTATATCACCTTTAATAAGAACAATTTTTAATAAAATGAAACTACCTTTAAATATACAACTTCATCTTTTATATTATTTTCTTGAAAAATGTTTAGAAATTTTTATTTATCAGCTTTAGATATTGATAAAAATACAGTTATAAAATATAAAAAACTTTTTAAATTTTATATTAAAAATAAACAATTAATGACTTCAAATAAAAAAATTGGAGGTAAAAATATAATTATTGAAATAAATAAAACAAAATTGCTAAAAGAAAATATAATAAAGATAGAAAAATTAATGGAGTATAATTTATAAATGGAATAAAAAGAAATAAAAATAAAAACGATAAAAAAATATTTATGTTACCTATAAAACAAAGAAATATATCAAATATAGATCAAATAATAAAAAAATATATAAAATTAAGAACTACAATATATACTGATTGTTGGAAAGGTTATAATAATATAAAAAATATTGGTTATAAACATAAAACAGTTAATTATTCTAAATATTTTAAAGATCCTATAACTAAAGTCCATATACAATCAATGCATTTACATTTGAGTTGTGAGGAATAGATATTATTAATCATGTCTGATAAAAATCCATTTTTAAATACAAAATTTATAAAAGATATTAAAAGTTCTTTTATTCCACAACAAATATTTAAAAATAATAAATATAATTTCAATATAATTAATAAGTTTTAAATATAAAAAAAATAATATAATTTTTATAAATCTTAAATTAAATAATAGTAATAAATTTGAATATACTTATATTTTAAAACTTAATAATAAGATATATAATTATATAGAAATAGATGAATAATTTTAAAATATATTAAATGAGAAAATATTATTTTATAAAATAATAAAAAAGAGTTTAAAAAAATTATATAATAAAAAATAGTTACTATATTTAGAATATAAGAGTTATTTTCATATTAAACTAGTTAGTTTATTAACATAACTAGGTCTTATTATTTAAGATAATGAATATTAAAAATACATTTTATATTTATAGCTTTATTTAATATATATTGTATCATCTTTTTAATAATATCAAAATTTAATTTTTATCTTTTATATAAATTAATCTTTCAATTTTTAATTTTTTTTAATTTTTTCAATAATTGAATTTAAAATTATATCAGAGTTTAAATCATAAAATCTGTGTGTTATCTTAATAATTGTTTTTAAAGTCTATAGTAATAATGGAATCAATAGATGATATATAGATCAATAAAAGAAATTATTGATATCTATAGTATACTTTAAATGACCTAAAAGTATGCAAACTATATTATTAAATATAATTTTTTTTATTTTTTTAACAAATATAAGATTTAAATTTAAAAATAAAGCATTATATTATTAAAGATATATTTATATTGCTAAATAATTAAAAAAATTAGAGGGAGTGCTAACATAAATAATATAAACAAAGTGTTACTACTTGTTTATAGATAAAGTATCATAATGTTGTGAGGTTGTCAACATTCATAATACGTTTTGGAGATAAAAGTCATTTTTTAATAGGATCAGAAGTAGAGCTTGAGATGCTTGCAAATACTTTTTAGCACAGTATCTTTATAGTCAATTTTTTTGTCATGAGCTGCAGAAGTCTTATTCACACTTCAGTGTTTAAAGTTGGTGTGGATTTACAGATGTATCCAATTGTAACATAATCACTTTTAGTGGCATGGACCATTTCTTGATACCTTCAGATACTCGAGACATTGTTTAATTAAAAATCTATCATCGTAGCATAAAATCATTAGTGTGAAGATATAGTAAGAATAGCATTTTTATATGTTTACCATGGAATTTCTCTTTGACAAAGTATAATAACCTGCTGAAAATACGAACTCTATTGATTCGCTTTCTTATGATTTCACTCCAAAATTCATCCATTGACATCCAATACTGTAGTTGATCATGTCAGTAGAAAGATATTCACATTGGTGTACATATGTTTTAATTAAATCAAACACTTGATTTTTAGTTATGAAAACTGATTCAGTCAGGCCTTCCACTTTCTTATTTAATAGAATGAGTTTAAGGGCATTTAAGATGGCTCATCAACTAAAAGCAACTAGAGTCATAAATATTGTAAAGGATATTGAGTTAAAAATATCCCTTTTTCTTCAATAAGTATTAAAGTATCTGTATAGTCTTTCTCGTCAGTCGAACTTGAATTACTATCTAGGAATCAATATCAGCCAAAAAATGTTAATATATAATTTCTTTAAATCAATATAATTATTTAATGATTGCCTTCTTGAATGACTTACTTTAATGCTCGTTTGCTGCTGAGTGAAGGGAAAAGAAGATATTTTTTGTACTTTCACAGAAAAAGTTCAATAGTTTCAGTTCTGATGGCAACTACTACAGTAGTTTAAGGTCGTTTCCAATAATAGTAACTAAAATGAGACCAGCGTCAAACAAACGTTTCATAGTAATAGTTTTGTTTTCTTCCATGGGCTTCAATGAGTATACAGTATAGCACATGCAGCAATATCTTCAGTAAGCATTTTGACAGAAAAAAAGATGATCAAATAAAATTTTTAAATAAATCCACTTTTCTTTTATTCAACCTGTTGTGTAACAACAGTTTTCATTGATTATTCTTATCTCACTGAATGTGGGCATATTCTACTAGATAAGAAACAAAAAGTGCATCCAAGAACAATATTGATAATTACATTTTGTCACTCAAAGAAAAGGAAGCTGTTCTTTTTTCTTACATTTATCATCCTTCTTTTGATTTGGAAGTTTTAACTTCAGTTGTTATTATAGAGGAACAGCCACTACCCTCAGAACATATCATGTACAGTATATTGACGACCTCACAATATTATGATACCATACTCATAGACAAGTAGCAACACTACGTTTATGCTACCCATACCAGATACAGTGGCTGAAAAAATTGTCCAAACCTATGCCGTTTTTTTACGTTTTTATTCATACCGCAGCTTTTGCTATATGTATCGTCCGAATTTTTTTTATATGAAAAGTACATTCTCTTCTCTACATTGTCGCGAAATCTCGAAGATCGCATTGCAATTCATCGCATTGCATTCACCATTTCAACATGATCGGTCGGTTTGGACAATTTTTTCAATAAATCCAAAAATAAGAAAAGTGTTTTTTCAGCTGTTTTTCTTCCTTGCCGGTATGAAAAACGCTGGCGAAATAAAAGTATCGTTATGGCAACCTCCTCTAAAAAATATACACAAAGCATTCCGGGCAGAATCGTGCAATTCATGAACGCCATTAGCTCCAGGTTGAATTTGGTGCATAATGGGCGGATCTGGGGGACCGCCATCACACTGCATCTTTTTTTTGAGCACGTTTTTCATAGTACCGCGACTTTTTTTTTATTCATAGAAAAAGAGAATTCTTTTCTCTACGCTGTGCCGAAATCCCGAGCATTTTACTCCAATTCATCCTAATGCCATTGCCAATCCCGCATGTGATCTACATTAAGAATAATGCTCGGGATTTCGGCACAGCGTAGAGAAAAGAATTCTCTTTTTCTATGAATAAAAAAAAAGTCGCGGTACTATGAAAAACGTGCTCAAAAAAAAGATGCAGTGTGATGGCGGTCCCCAGATCCACCCAGTATGCACCGAATTCAATATGGAGCTAATGGCGTTTATGAATTGCACGATTCTGCCCGGAATGCTTTGTGTATATTTTTTAGAGGAGGTTGCCATAACGATACTTTTATTTCGCCAGCGTTTTTCATACCGGCAAGGAAGAAAAACAGCTGAAAAAACACTTTTCTTATTTTTGGATTTATTGAAAAAATTGTCCAAACCGACCGATCATGTTGAAATGGTGAATGCAATGCGATGAATTGCAATGCGATCTTCGAGATTTCGCGACAATGTAGAGAAGAGAATGTACTTTTCATATAAAAAAAATTCGGACGATACATATAGCAAAAGCTGCGGTATGAATAAAAACGTAAAAAAACGGCATAGGTTTGGACAATTTTTTCAGCCACTGTAACTCTAAAATTGGCGACCTTGATGCATGACCATTTTTCCGTCTTTTATGCTGGCGGAAAGCAGCTCATGGCAGCCTCTCAAATGCCCATTTAAGTTCATCAATATTCCACAAGATATTGTTTTTTGGGACTACCATACTTCATGACTGTGATTTCTCTTTGAGCGCTTATGGAGGAGATATAAAAGTGGCTGATTATTTCATTATCGCAGATTGATAAACAGAGCGATAACTCCTTAAATTGAATAACAATTGATCGATTGATTAGCTTAGAAAGTAATATCATCTCCATGAAATGCCACCACCTGAAAACTGGTAATTGAGAAATCCCTTTATCACGGCCATGGATTCAACCAATGGAAAAGAGATATTATTATTAGAGACAGTACTGTATGGGGACAGAACGATCCAGAGTCAGACCGTTGGGAGTAGGTAAGAAAAAAATAACCATATATTGCAATTTTGCAGTCTGTGCTGCATCGGTGTATACTTACAGAGAGAGCCAAGTGCCAGTGGGGTTGATTTTACGTGCTTTGGTGATGCAAAAAAGGTTTTCTGTGGTGTTCTAAAAAAGCTTAAAAAAGAAAAAAGGATCTTTGTGTTGCACCAGATCAGCGTCGGAAGAAAGAGGAATGAATTCATTTATTTTAAATATCGATGCATTTTGTCGGCCAATGATCGCAAAAAAAGTCCTGTGAGTCTATGTTGAACATTAAATGTGGGTCATTGATAAAGATGGATCGATGGAAATCAACCATTGACAAGCTAAAACGGTTATGTATAGTTCATTTATTTTTGTCCCACATCACTTGCCCCAACACAATCAAGGATCAACATTCACAAACGCAAACATGCTTGCACAGTGAATCGCAGGGGAAAAAAAACGAAAAAAAGACCCTCCAGCCCGCAGAGCTATTGATAGTTCCTTGGACGATCCTTGGTGAGGAGACAGAAAAAGATCACAGCTTCAACCGCATAAAGCTTTCTGGGACGAGAAAGGAAGCAATAAATCCCATTCAAAATGAATAAAATTGGCCCATTGATCCAAAGGTAATCGGTCATGGCATGCTATTAGGGCATGAACAGACTGTTTAGGATACCATCTCGGCCAATAGGAAAAAAAAAAAGTTTTTTTATGAAGGTTGTCCAGGTTTTGGAATTGAAGAAGCTAAACATGATTTCCATAACGATAAATGAAACGAAATAGGATGGAATGACCCAAATAGGTATGGGCTAGAAGGAAAAAGCGAATCGGAGATGGTCAAGTGGCATAGTTAGCCCAGTGATTGGGCTGCCATAAATGTATTATTGTATTTAGTTGAGGTTACACTACTTTGCCAGGATGCTCGTGATGGATACGGAACGAGCCTTCTTCCCCAAACCTTGTGTTACATCATTATCTTCATTTAACCCTATTCTTTTTGCAATATTCACTTTTTCTTCTCCACCATCGACCTCAACATCCTTGCAAAAAGAGGCAAAAAGTCGCATTTATTGATCCTTTTAGTTTGATGAGAAATATTGCTGTCTAACCGCCCATCTCATTTTGTCCAATTCTTTCTTGTTTTCACTCTCTTTTTTTTTTATGTGCATAGTCGATTCTTCTATATTGGATCTGTCTTCGTAAATCCTCACTTTTTTTTGCCTTTCTTTTTCTTTTCACCCTTGACATTGTTTATTCTACCACATTGTATTGTATCATTCAATGACGACTGTATCTGCGAACGAAGCTTCCGAGCCTCTGTGCATTGGTTGTCATTTAGTCATTGAAGAAGGATCGGTCATTGCTTTCGGTGATGCCTTGTTTCATTTGGAATGGTACTTTTTTTTTTCTTTTCTTTCTAGGCTGTTGATATAATATGAGCTTTATTTCTTAACTACAGACATACGCATATGCATGCAATGCCTATTTTTCTTTTGCCTTCATGAATTAGTTTTACTTGCGCCAAGTGTGCTCGCGAAGTTGATTGCAGTTCCAATTTATTGTTACTCAACGATGGACGACCCTTGTGTGAACAATGCTCTTACATTTGTGCCGCATGCAAACAACCTACGCAACATGAAGCCATCATGATTGGTAAGTCATTTTTTCATATGGAGAGAGCTGCATGATAAAAGAAGGTCCAATAAAGACCATCGGTGGCGGAATATTAAAAAATGAAGGAAAATAATCCAAACCCTTTGGCGATGCACAGAGTTCTATGTTGCTGACGGACTGACCCCCGTTTTATATTTATAGGTGACGAGGTGTACCATGCTGAATGTTTTCGCTGTGTTTCATGCAAACAAGTGATGTCCGATCTTATATTTGCGCAAACAAGTAGAGTAGGTTTATTTTGAGTTTTTTTTTTTTCTATTGTTCCTGATTTTACGTTGGGAGTGACTTTCAGGTCCTGTTCTTTTGCATTTCGCTAAATTTACATGACAATTGTTTTTAAAGGGAATCTATTTTCGTCCATGTTATCATCAGCGTAAAGCCGAAAAGCTGCGTCGAAAAGAAGAAAAGGAGAAACGATGGCTTGGTGCAAGCAAAGGCTCGAGGTACCTGTCGTGGATACTTCGATAGGTGAATTTATTTCAGTAGGCGATTGGAACCGTGAATCAAAAACATTTTCGTATCAACCAAGACGATTACCCAATCTGGCAATTTTGGCCGCCATGGTCACGCAAGCCGGATCCTCGACGCGCAAATGGTCACCGACTATTTGCAAATGGAAAGAGCTGTGGCCAATATGACGAACGATTCTACTCTTAGCGTTGTTCACGAACTAGGTCCTCCCACTCCAGTACGTTCATGGAGTAGTTCCGTTGAAGCCACTATGCGATCGTCCTCCATCAATCCCCAACATGCACCACCCACCCCTTCACGACGTCCTTCACCTTCCCGTTCAGAAAATAGTTTGTCGCCTCTTTCCACCTCGTCTTCAGCCACTTTATCCGTCAACACCGCGTCCGATCGTACTTTTGAAAGTATCTATCAGTTAAAAGACGGCAGTGTCTCCAAAGGCGACATTAACTCTTCGCTGGATCTTTCAACCGCTACCATCCCTTCTCTTAATCTTACCTTCTTTGACGATGATTCCACCAATCTTTCCAACTTGACGCTTTCCCTCGGTGCTAATCTGTCGTTACCGCGTACCACGTCGCAGCCATCCAACCAACGTACCGTGAAAAAGAAACCTTCTTCCATTTTGACGAGCAAAATCAACAAAGCGTCCGAACTATTATCCTCGACTTTACAACAATCATTGTCGTCGCATGCCACCAAAGAGTCCCCCTTGGACGGATTCCCGCAACCACCGAGCCATGCATTCAAAAAGTTTTTGTTTCAAGGAAAGCGAGAGAGAGGTGTGACTTGGTTTCTACCATATGATCAGGCGTACTTAAACTCAGTGCTTTTCGTATTCGCCGCGTCAGAATTACGGTATGCTCTACTTTTAACCTTAATCGACATGTTATCGCACCACGGTCAAAACAAAATGTTGTTTCAACTTCCGGAATCTCCTTTACACGCCTATAATTCGTTAAAGACTGCACTAAACAACTACGGATGGAGATTGACAACCAGACAGAAGCTGGCTGATATCTGTCGACAAGCATGACATTCACCAACCACAAAGTCGACATAAGGTAATACATTGTGAGGATGTATGATCTATTATGTGCCTTTTTAACTGAATAAGGTTTTGCCAGACCTGATCTCCACGGTCACCTTGAGCCACATGAAAGTGCGCCTGGTTATTATGATTACGCGGGTTTATCTACCAATCCAGACGACATCCAGTCCTTTCTGAGGTAGACTCAAAGGACAATGACTCGTTTGTTCAGTACATTGATTTCAGGCTTTTTTATGTTAGAGTTGCCAAGAGAGTGAAGGAAATAATGGTCGACCATGGGCATACTAGAAGTGCTTTCGCGTCATGATCTAATGAAATCTCACGATGTTATAAACAAGTTCCGATGCCGAGCCGCGCCGGTTCGCCGATCATCCTAATGTTTGTTTTATTCCACATTCTCGCTATTTCCTTTTCCCCCGCCCCTGTTACTCAATCCATCTTTCCATCCTTTATTGTCATCATAGTTATTATATGAATTGCTTAGTTGCTCATTGTATCAATTAAACCAAAACTGCGTTCCAAGTTAACATACTTTGCTGTTGGCTCTGAGACGATCAGAGAAACAGAGGACAAATAGTATGGTCTTCTTTATCTGGTTTATGGGAAACTTCTTAAAGCTCTGATAAAGTATAAATTATATATGAAGCATTATAATGACAGGTGGGTATTTATCTCTTCTTCGTTATCGTGGAAAATCTCGTTAAATCCTTGGGAGAACTTATTTCGATCCGGCAAATGGAGAAAATCGTCCAAGTGGCCTAAAAAAAGGATAATTGGACAAGATTTACGGGGAAGATCGTGGACAAGCGGTTGGCTTGTAAGCTGGTCGTGCATTTGGGCTCAGGCAATGAAGCAACGGACAGTACCTTGATGAGCGGAGTTAATCAGGGTGCATGATAAAATCTTCCATGGCATCATCGGCGCCAGAAAATGGTAAATGACGCAGTTTATGTTCCATTCCGAGAGACATCAATAACGGCTCTTGTCGAGGAGGGTGACATACTGTTTACGAACTGGTTTGGGGGAGAGATAGCTTGAGAACGTACTATTGTCAGGATGGCGAGACTGGTTGTGATGTTGAAGGGTGGCTTGATCGCTCTGTACCTTTGCCTGCATGGATGGTAAAGGTTCCACAGAGAGTGAAAGGTCCTTGGCAGAGATCAAGGGATTGAGAGCGCATATGTCGCCATCAGCATAGCATTCCATTAATAGGCAAATCGGTAGAACTAAGTTACAATTTTTAGCCAGCGAACAAGGTATGCGCCAAAGCAAGTGATGAGAAAAAACGCGCGACGAGAGGTCAGCAGCGGAAATTATGGTGTATTTTTGCATGGCAACAGGCGTGTTCGCGAAAAAAATATAATAAATTCTTTTTTATCGTATGCAAGAGAAAGGACAGTTGGCCCCAATAAGCTTTTTTTTGAATCAACGCGTGAAATTTGAAAGCCATTCAATGACCGCTTCACTTTGTAATTAATCTGGTTTTGAAAAGCGCTTCTTTTTTTTCATTTAAAAAAGCTAGAAAACGAAATGCCGACCCGAGTGGAAAAAAAAACACACCCTACTGTTCCCTTGATAAGCCACTTGACAACGATGGCGTCGACATACCAAAGACGAAGACTTTCTCTCTGCATGCATCCTCCCAGAGTCAGCAGAAAAGAAAGTAGATTCACAATACTAAAATATAAAGAACGGCAATTTATTGATCCGAATTATGGGGTCAATGGTTTGTGCGCCACTACATTGAATACATGCATCCAAAAGGAGACAGAACAGACACTGCCATGGGATTGGCAAGAAAAAAAAACGACAGAAAAATTTACACTTCGCCAGAAGTTGCAAGATCATATGATATCTTGCCGTTAAGGTTCTGAGAATACCTCCAGTTCTTCTTTGTCGTTGGTTTGTTTTAGGCAATTCCTTGCCACTTTTTTTTTTCGCACCAGCGCCGTTCACCTCGAGATTTAACAAGTCACATCGGCCTCTGTTGGAACAAAAAGTAGTATGGATGGGTCCCTTGACACCCAAGGTTTTTCTTTTTTTTTTCTTTTTCTCTATCCATAATCCTGGCGACAGCATTGATTGAGGTGAGTTACTCATTTCGCCACTTTCACTTTCATTTTTTCTCCCCCAATGCCGATACAACATTTCATCGTGCCTGGTCTGCGATGGTGAGTCATATGAAGCGGCGCGATGAGGCCGGAGATTGTCTGTTGACACCCTTTTTTCTGTCGGTGCCACTTCATTCAATGCACCCTACATGCGATAAAAACCAGCCCAGATGATCCCATCCATCCATGATTCAGATTTCATCACTGGCATGAAAAAAAAAAAAAAAAAGATGGCTAAGCAGAAAAAAAACGGCTTGCATTGGGGATAAAAAAATTATGTTTCAGGCACATTCCAAGATTTTCCCTGGTTCGGGTTACACGTTCTGACGCCGCCTTTTTTTTTTGTCTCGTTTCTATATGCAGGAACCATGTCGATGGCGGTTGCAGAAAATTTATCTAGCGGTGAAATGATGAATTCAAAGGGTTCCCTTGCGGATACAAATGTATCCGAAGAAAAATATAAACGTATGAAAAAGCGTTTAAAAGAAATGATCGAGGTAAGAGAAAAAAAATTGTATTGGCATGGTTCGCCCCGACAGACAAGTTGGTTTTCTTCTTTTTTTGGGATTCTTAACCATTCTTTTTTTTTCTCATTCAATGTAGCGCAACGAGCTTCTTGCCAATGACTTATACAGCGCAAAGAAACGGTTACGGCGCTTGGCTAAGGAGAAAACGTAAAGCTATCCGTGAGGGAATCCGAGCAATTCGCTGACAATTACATGCAGCATTCTGCTGGATAGAATTTGCAAATACAGTGATCCTCCTAGTCAGCCATCGGACATCGATCATCCTCATCAACACCAACACCAACACCAACACCAACAAAACTACAAGGAAATCACAACCTCTATCCAAGAGACGCCACCGGTCATTGACCCTGATGATTCTGCCAGCACGGTGTCGGATTCATTCGGTGAGAAAGGTAAAACGATACTGTGCCCTACTTTTTTTTCCCATCGGTTCCTTTGCGGCTTTTTGTTAACAAGAAATCAGAGAAAGGAGTCGTCAAGCCAATGAATCCTCCGCGTACTCCTTTGCCATCACAAACTTTGTCCGATACATCCTCGCCCTCCACGGTGGAAGAGTATGACTCGATCATGGATGTATCGCCTTCCCAACCCATAAATCCTGCCGCATCGTCTTCGCGTATCGAAGTTTCCGTGATTCGAGACGGTACCATGGTTCCTTCCTCTCGACCGAAGCGTATGCGTCGTGGACCCGTGGAACAGAAAATGCGTCGTGTCCAACCATTGGAACGAGATACGGTCACTGGAGAATACAAATTACCCGCTCGCGTGGGCATTTTGACCGTTCATTCTCTCGGCCACGTCGTGCCTTTGCCAGCCTACCATAATGATCGCTACATTTGGCCCGTCGGTTTCAAAGTAAGCAGGTAAAGTTCATATAAAACAAATTTGACCATCTTGAAAGCTTGGCATGAAAAACCTCGTACTCGAATCTTGCGGTTCAAAGGTCAATATTATCACTCAAATATTGGCTCACTCTTCTTTGTAGAACTTATTTGAGTATGGTGAATGCGAACGCCAATACACTCTATACGTGTTCTGTGGAGGAGAATGGAAGCCATGGACCCAAAGTAAGTTCTCGCTCATGGAAGTGATGTGACAGCCATCATTTTTATGCGTTTAAAACTCTTAGTTCCGCGTCTACGCCGACGATTGTCCTGACCAACCTATCGTCGCCAATTCAGCTACGGGAGTCTGGACAGCAATTGTGAAGCGAGCCAACGAGATTCGAAACAGAGAACATTCAAATTCAGGTACGACCGGTTAAAAAGGATCATGTTTATTATCAGAATGGGAAAAAGTAATGTCTGTGATCACGTTAGCCTCGGGTCCCGACTATTACGGATTTACGCATGCCACGATTGCAAAGATGATTCAAGATCTTCCTGGTGCTGACCAGTGTCAAAACTACGTTTGGCAAAAATTTGGAGTCATGCATCAACGCACAGCCGCCGGAGTGGCTGCAGCCGCTCAGAAAAAGTTGACAAACTTGGAGATCATGGGCAGCGCCAACAAGAAACCACCAGCTTCGTACACGGGTCATCCTCAAACTAAAGAAGAGTTTCACTCAATGTCCCCCATGAGCTTTGAAGATGTCAGTCCTACCGGGACTGCTCACTCTCACATGCCAGATGCAACCATTCAGAAATATGGTACCAGAGATACAGCGACCAACGACCCCGCGGCACTATCACAATCCGTTATTAGGTTGCCTCCGATGGTAGAAGCCGCTCCACCGTGGCCAAGCGAAGAAGCCCACTAAATACACGATTTAAACAAAAGCTAAAAATGTTCTCGACTTCCCTTTAATCACCAGAAAAAAGGCACATGCATACTCTATCGCGTACTTGTTCTCTTCTTCTTTCCTTTCCTCCTATGTATAATCTGTGATTTTTCAATCAATGCCTCCTTGTATACAAAAAACACCAAAAAAAAGGACAAAGCAACCATCGCTTTCTGAAGCGAAAATAAAAAATAGTGAACAGTTGTGCAATTGTCAACGGAATTCTTGAGCGCACCTTTTCCCTTGCATTTCGTTTACCATGACAACTGATAAATAGTGCCGCTTATTACCGTCCCTTTTTAGTTGGTCAAAGTCAATTAGTCTTTGTCCTGCATTTACGCAAGCTTAATCCATCAGTGAGCATCACATGCCTTGACAAATTCGGCACATGGAAGTTATCCATTTTCTTATTCTCTAACTGACTTGCAATTCTTTCCCACCGTCATCACCTTACTACTCGGTTTAACACACAGTAATTAGCGGCCAAAAAAACTATTCTCTTCGCCTTTCCAAGCCCCTAGTCAATAAATTAAAGTTTTCCAGATACATTTGGCTACATATATTACAGCAAATAGCATCTGTTACTATCAAAAATCTCAAAAAAAAAAAAATATTGCTTTGCTGATGTGAATATATTTAGAAAAATATTCTCAGTTGAGGCTCGCATGGCGTAGTGGTTATCGCGTTTCGTTTACACCGAAAAGGTCTCCGGTTCGATCCCGGATGTGAGCTTCTTTTTTTCGGCGGGCCGAAAGTGCGCGATTTTTTTTTTTGTTTTTGGTACTCCTTGCGAAAAGAGGATAGCTGCCTGTCGTACTTCACTCGGATGTGATATACCGGCAAAATCACCAGAGTGGGAAACAAGAGAATTAAGGATAGGAAAGGTAACGCTTTATTTTGTCAATTAAAAGGAGATATTTATATGTGCTTAATCGGTTTATGTTCTTAAAGAGGATAGAGGGCTGAACGGCTAAAACTTCGATAAAAGGATGGTTGTACTTAGCAAGATGCTAAGCTGGTTACCATTTTGCGGACGTTATCCACTTCAGCCACGAAATGCCTCCAAACGCAAATATATTTTGCATCATTTTTAGTACGTAATGGTTGGTTTTTACATCTATCGAAAGTAGCTTTTACTTTTATTAAAGATGAATGACCCGCCCGTTTTTTGTGGACTTTTTGCTCGCTCTGGATCGAGAAGAAAATAGAAGCGATAGGCGCACTTAATATACAAACAAGACCATCGGAGTGGATAATAAGAGGATTACGGATAGGAAAGGATGACTATTGATTTTAGCAATATGGAAAAGGTCACTTATCCACGTGTATTTAGTCTATATTCTAAAAGAGAATATGGTGAGCTGAACGGCTAAAAACATCGCAAAAGGATGGCTGCGCTTAGCTACCAGTTGTAATGACAGGATTCTCATTTGCCACAAGATATCAGTAGTGCCGAAAAAAAAAACCCAATATGCACCGGCTTGTACAGTAATAAACGGTGTATGTCCAGGACTATCACTAACGTTGAGTGCCCTGGCTTCAAAATTATGTGACAATAATGGATTGAAGCGACCTATGGAAAAATAGCACTTTTAATCAAATCCGTTATATAGTGGAAGAATAGACGAGTTGTAATGAGTAATTGCGTGAATAAAACTCGAAAAATCAAAAGACTGAAGGATGGCGTCTAACACTGCATGTCCAAGGCAGTAGGCTGTTTTTATCGATCCAAATGTAATTGACAGTTCGGCATTAAAAAATATACAAGGGTGGACACTTCGAAGTATAGGTTATTCCTTTAGTCTACAGTTTTATAGTGGTCAACTTTTTTTTTCTAGACACGCAGTATACGCAAGACACAAGGGAATCACAAAGTTAACCTTGCATTATCTGTAGGGATCATGACCATAATTGTATTAAAATTCTTGAACATGGGCGACGCGCAAATAACCGACACTTGCTTATGCACGGACATCATAGGTGCTTCGCTATTATCCTGTCTCGACATAAAGTTAGTAAGAGTAAAAACCTATCTTTTGCCATTCTTCCTCGTTGCTCATGCCCTTGCCCTCAGAAACATTTTTTTGTGACGATAGGTGGGGTGCGACGGTCTATCTGCACTGCTACTGAAAGTAGAGGTAATAAGAACATTTCTTTTTTTGACCGACCGACTTTCCACAAACGTGTCAATAAATGTACCGAGCACGCACGGAAGGACAGGTGGATTATTTTGGATAAACTTTTGCAAAAAGTATAGTGCATCATGCATCGGATGTTGCTTCCTCCTGTTGAAATTTAGCTTCCCCCATCCCCCTTTTGGTTGCCCCTTTTCGGGATCCTTGTCTTTTCTTTTCTTTTTCACCTTATCTTTCTTGACATCCTTTCCAGTGTCTCTTGCTTTTTTTCCCTTCTCATTTGATTGCTCCCTAAGCTATGGTGGACACTCGTGCTCCAACCGTCAGAGAAAAACCAACCACCAAAGACACTTCGAACCAAAGAAAGAGTATCTACAGCGTGATTGAATCGTTTTCCGAGCGAAAACGATTTTCTGCACCCAAGGAAGAGGAGGTGGTCGTAGAGGAGGAGGAGACGGAGGACGATGCCATGTCGCTTCATTCGTTTTTGGCATTGGACACAACGGATGAGACGGACTCGGACAAAGATCTCGTGATTCATTCGTTGAATGAGTCCTTGCATATCCACAAGGAGATATTGGAACGAATTCAGTTGGAAAAAGACACGTATACGGCACAAGTGGAGAAGGAACGACAGAACGAGCGGGAGGAACGAGAAAGTACAATGCATGTACTTGAGCACCAGAAAGAAGAGTACGCACGATTGGAAACGGCATATGAATCCCTGAAAAAGGATTTGGAATCCATCAAGGAAGAGTATAAACGTATGGAAAATAACTTTTATGCTCACGTACGACAAATTCGAGCGACGGATGATGATTTGTCGACCATTCAATCAGAAATCAGCCATTTATCCAGCCAATGCAACAATTTTTGTATGGGACTTAAGCCCATTTTAGATCGGTCTCTCGGAACTCAGTTCGTTTGGGACCAGTGGCCTGAGAAGGAAGCAGCGATACAACGCTTGTTCAAGGGAGACGACGCGACGACGCTAGAACCCGGATACATCACCATGTTCACGGAAAAGTTTATTGCGGAAACCATCCTCGAACACGTGCTCGAACCGCCAATCCATATGGGCGTGTCGGTCAACGAAGCGTACAGGGCACTAAGTGCTTGGATCGAGTCACGCAACACGGAATGGTCGAACAGGTTACGACAGCAAGTGTGTGCGCTGATTGCAAAGCATGCAGAGACGGAGCAGGAAAACATCGATCAAGCCATGGAAGAGTTGACCGAGTATATCATGAAACAACTAGCGCGTGTGTACCCGAGGATTCATCAGAAGGAACAGCACAAGAACAAGATCATGCAACTCGTAAAGCGAGCGGCCAAATTAAACTTGGCTATGAAAGGACAGGAGATCAAGATTGAACGTATTGCGATAGACGAAGGGTGTGCATATGACAGTGCACTGATGAAAGCTGCCAGTAAAGGTAAACCGGAAGGAACGGTACTGTTTGTGATCACGCCCGGTTTTGCCGCCAACGATCCAAAAGACGAACATCACGGTTTCGTTGTACCAGCCAAAGTCTATTGTGTGTGATTTTGAACAACGATAAAATAATAATAACAAAAATTTTATTACTTTTTCTTTTTTTTTGTTTTGGTTTGTAAGACGTGCCATCTTTGCTGTCTTTGAAATTTTTTTAATGTTGGTGGGCTTTTTTTTTCTTGTGTGTTTTTTTATTTTTTTATTTTTCCTTACCCTTTTTTGCAGGCACTTACAGGACTTCATGGCACAAACACCTGTTTCTGCTGATGTGCTTCAGCAACTTACTCCTGTACTTACCAACCTATTATCACCTGATAATAACCAAAGGTACAACCTAGCGCATTCATTTTCTTACTCATTCGGTCTATACTCAACCCCAGTTTCGACATTGTAATGCTCCTGTAGATCGATTGCTGAAACACAATTGAACGACCAATGGGTAGCACAACAGCCGGATCTTTTGCTTCTTGGATTAGCCCAATTCGTCGCTCAGAATCCTGAAGTCCAGGTAAATTCAACCCACAATTGTTAACCTAAGCCTTTGTTTGGTTTTTTATTTCTTGTCCGTGACGGTTACTCATTTCGTGAACTGCTTTATTGAAACGTATAAAAACATTCCTCCGATAGCTTCGTTCCCACTGCAGTGTTTTGTTGCGTCGCTTGGCTTTCAAGCAATTCACTTCTACGACGAATCCCGATGATCGACTTTGGGATATGGTTCAGGAAAATACTCGTCTTGGTGTGAAAGGATGCTTATTGATGGCTTTGGCCAACGAAAACGATCAGAGTACCCGCCACAAGGTCGCTGACACGATCGCCGAAGTTGCCAAGTCCGATTTAGCCGATGGAGGAAAATGGGCCGAACTTTTGAAAGCACTCTTCGAGTGCAGCCAGGCCCCTAATCCTGCTCACCGGGAATCAGCTTTCCGCATTTTCGCTTCTGTACCCGAATTGATCTCGGATCAACATACCGATGCCCTCAAATCGGTCTTTCTCACCAGTCTTACAGACGCCGAGAGCCAAATGGTAAGTTTGACCCTGATTTTTGTTTGTGGAACAGCTGCATTGCACGGCGAAAAGAGGACAAGATAGAAAGAATGAAAAAAGGAAGCATGGGTCTTCATCTTTTAACCGACTCATTTTTGTTCTTGGTTACAGGTTCGTCTTGAAGCTATGAAGGCCGCGGCTGCTTACATCATTCAAGCCGATGCTGCTGGACAAAAGACTTTGGGTGCTTTAATGCCTCAAATGTTGGAGGTAAACCAACTATCTCTCGAAAATTCAATAGATGAATGGGAATCGTTAATTTTATTGCTGTTTGCCTTTTTTTCTTCCTTTGGATAGCCTTTGTCTCCCGTTATCGCTTCGCGTGATGATCAGACTTTGGTGGATGGTCTTGTGGTGTTGATTGACTTGGCTGATAATGTTCCTCGTCTTTTCCGTCCTGTTTTACCCAACGTATTGACAGTCATGGTCTCCGTTTCCAAGGACAAATCCTTTGAAGATCGTACACGCCAGACCGCCTTGGAATTATTGCTCACCTTGTCCGAAGCCGCTCCTGCCATGATCCGCAAATTGCCCAATTTCGCTTCAGAAGTCATCCCGGTGGCCATGGAAATGATGACCGACATGGAAGATGATGAAGTTTGGTATACCACTGACGACGTAAGTGATTTTCCACTCCCACGTAAGGTTGCATTCAATCATACTAATGTTGATGGTCCTTTTCCTTTTTTTTTGGGGGAAATTTTTTCACAGTTGGATGAGGACGATAATGAGGAAAATTATGTGATGGGCGAAAGCACTATGGATCGTTTAGCTAGAACGCTCGGTGGCAAGGCAGTGGTTCCCGTGGCATTCCAATATATTCCGCAGATGCTCCAGTCCAGCGAATGGCAGCAACGTCGTGCTTCGCTCATGGCCATCTCTTCCATCGGTGAAGGTTCGGTCAAGGTGATGAAACCCGAACTTGGCAATATCATTCAAATGATCATGCCCTCTTTCAAGGACCCTCATCCTCGTGTGCGTTATGCTGCCTGTAACACCATCGGCCAAATGTCGACCGATTTTGCTCCTTACCTTCAAAAACATTTCCACGAGGCGGTCGTGAGTGCGCTTCTGCCTGTCATGGAAGACAACTCCCAGCCCCGCGTGCAAGCCCATGCTGCGGCGGCCATGGTCAACTTTTGCGAAGAAGCTGACAAAGCAACGCTTGAACCTTACTTGGATGCCATCTTTGAACGTCTGTTGGTTTTGCTCAAGACCCCGAGAGTTTACGTTCAGGAACAAGCCATTACCACCATTGCGACGGTGGCGGATTGTGCCGAAGACCGATTTATCAAGTATCACAATGTGATCATGCCTTTGTTGTTGGATATTCTTCGTCAAGCTACCGACAAGCAGTACCGTCTTTTACGTTGCCGTGCTATTGAATGTGCTTCGCTTATCGGTCTGGCCATTGGCAAGGAAGTGTATGCTCCTTACACTCAAGAATTCATCAATATTCTCGCTCAAATTCAACAATCGGTCACGGAAGCGGATGATGTGCAAACCACCTATCTTCTGGCGGCGTGGGCCCGTATGTGCAAGATGATGGGTCAAGATTTCTTGCCTTATCTTCCGAGCATCATGCCTCCTTTGTTGCAGTCAGCTCAGTTGACTCCCGAATTCACGTTTGTCGATGTTGAAGATGAAGACGTCGAATCCAAATATCCCACCGAAGATGGCTGGGAATTCGTCGGTATCAATGGCCAGCAGATCGGTATCAAGACCTCCGTTTTGGAAGAGAAGCATACCGCGATTGAAATGTTGGTCAGCTATGCTCGTGACTTGGGAGCTGGATTCCTTCCCTATGTGGCGTCGGTGCTCGAGATTGCCTTGCCTCTGTTGAAATTCTACTTCCACGACGGTGTGCGTCACGCGGCGGCGGCGTTGATTCCCTTGCTTTTGAAGGATGCCAAGGAAGCCAATATTGCTCCGGGAGAATTGGCCAACATGTGGCATACCATCTTTGAAAAGCTGAACAAGATCATGGCCATTGAAGATGATCTCGCTTTCTTGTCGCAGGTGTATGCCAGTTTCTATGAATGTCTGGAAGTGTTGGGTGAGAACTGTTTGCAACCGGCCGAACTCGAAGCATTCACCAAGTCGACGGAGGAACAGCTCAAGAAGTTCCATGAACGACTGACTGCCAGAGAGACTCAGAAGCAGCAAGGTGACTATGATGCTGAAGCCGAGGAACAGTTGATGGAAGAAGAAGAAACCGAGGAAGATGCCTTGGGAGAATTGGCTCGTGCTATTCAAGCCGTGTTCAAAGCACATCACAGTGGCTTCTTGCCTTACTTTGACAAGATTTTGCCTGTGGTGGTGCAGTTCTTGGGTCATCCTAATACCGCGGCTCGTCAATGGGCCATCTGTGTGTTTGACGATGTGGTCGAGTTCACCGGTCCGGCTTCGTACCAATACACCAATTATTTCTTGTCGCACATGATCGCTGGTCTTTCGGATCCTACCAATGAAGTGCGTCAAGCTTCGGCTTACGGTATTGGCATCTGCGGTCAGTTTGGTGGTCCTCAATACGCGGATGCATGTGCCGCCGCTTTGGAACCTCTGTTCGCCACCATCAATTCTCCCAACGCTCGCGAAGAAGGTACCGTTTTTGTCACTGAAAATGCCATTTCCGCGGTGGCCAAGATTTGCAAATTCAACAATTCCAAGATCAACACGGACGCCGTACTTTCTGCCTGGTTCTCGACACTTCCCATTGTCAATGATGACCAAGAAGCACCGATTGTGTACAGCTATCTGTTGGATCTTTTAGAAGCGCATCATCCCAGCATTCTCGGCCATAACAGCTGCAATATTCCTAGCCTGGTCAAAATCTTTACCGAAGTACTTGCGGCGAACATCCTCCAGCAAGACTTGGCAGCTCGTATGGTCAATGGATTAAAGGTGATTCTCGGCGGTGTGGACGAAGCATCACGTAATCAATTATGGAACGCGATTGCCCCCGAAACAAGATCCATTTTACAAAAGAAAGGATACATCTAATTTGAAGACGATTTCAACCTCTCTTTCTCTCTTTAAAAAGTAGACCTTTTTTTTTTATCTTTTGCTTCATACAGTAATTCTTTTCATGTTATTTTTACCACTCTTTTTCTTTTATCTTTCCGTCTTCATTTCACTCTTTTCCTTTTTTTTTTTTTCTTTTTTAAATGGTAAATGTTTTTCTTTTCATATTTTTACATGTCATCATTGTCTTGTTTTAATGGAGATCTTTTCTTTACTCTATACTAAAACACATGTTTTTCTTTTTGCTGTATTTGGATCCAATCCGTCTATGACTTGGCCAAAAAAATTGCGCTCTGGTTGAATCCAGGGAATTTCCATTCCATCAGCCACCTTGATTTTTCAAGACTGCTTTTACTTTAATGCCTGATCTTGAAAAAAGGCGATCATGCTTTTTGTCGGATTGAAAAGTGTTGAGCTTCCCCCGTGATGAACAAAGTACCGAATCCGTTGAAATTCAACCAAGCTGTGTTTGACTTTGCACTGCATCCGACCGATGATCTGGTAGCCACAGGATTGATTAACGGCGAGATTCATTGGTAAGTACCTCCGTTGCAAAACAGAGCCATGGCGCCAAGTGAGCCAAAAGCTGATCAGGCATATGATGCGGTGCCTTTTTTGTTTTCCCTTCTGACGTCAAAGCTATCGTTATGGAGTGGAAGAACATCAAAGTATTTGGACAGCCAAACCGTTTAGAAAGTCCTGTCGAGGATTGGAATTTTCTCCGGATGGAAATGGTGTGTATATTTGATTTGACGCATGGATAAAATGGCTTGATATTGACTCGTCCTATTTTGCCACGACACTAGGTTTATATGGTATTTCCAAAGACAGATCAATTCAGTTCATGGATACCGCCACAGGTCAATTGATCCGAAGCAAAACCGAAAGTCATGAGTAAGTGGATAGGACTTGTCATGATCACATCCGTAGGTGGTGCCTGACGCCAATGTTTTTCTGCAGAAATCCATTAAACGTACTGTTATGTCTCAATGAACGTTTGTTGGCCACCGGTGATGATCAAGGAATTATCAAGCTCTGGGATAATCGTAAGCCCGAGGCGGTCATGACCTGGTCGGAACATGAAGATTTCATTGCTGATATGGCCTACAATGCTGAACAAAAGACATTGGTGGCTGCAGGGTAGGTTTGGCGAGAAAAATCATTGAATGACGCACTCTGATACTAATTACCAAATGCATGGAAATAGAGGTGATGGCTATTTATCAACATGGGATATTCGTAAACCTGATGTCGCGGCCATGTCAGACAATATGGAAGATGAGCTTCTGTCCGTAGCTCTGGTCAAGGTAAATGGCTACACTTTTTTCTACAAACAAATTTAGTTGGATGGCTTATCAGCTTCCACTTCCTTTAGAATGGTCGCAAGGCAGTGGTAGGATCTCAAGAAGGAGTTTTGAGTTTATGGTCATGGGGTGATTGGGGCGATTACAAGGATCGTATCATTGGCCACCCGAACTCCATCGATGCTATTTGTAAACTGGACGAGGACACCATCTGCACCGGAAGTAGTGACGGCCTCATTAGGTATGAAAAAAAGAGCTAAAGAAAAAATCCATCCAGCCGACTTACCGTTTGTGCATAGAATCGTGACCATTTTACCTAACCAGTTTCATGGCATCATTGGTGATCACGGTGAAGGCATGCCTATTGAGCGGATTAAATTATCTCATGATAAGAAATATCTCCTGAGCTGCGGTCATGACGAGTCCTTACGCTTCTGGGACGTGGCCCATTTGTTCGAAGAAGAAGACGACCAAGAGGAGGACGAAACCAAAGAAGATACAGAAGATAAAGAGAGCTCTTTGTCTAGCACGGCGTTGCCTGTTGAAGCGGAAAGTAATGAAAAACAGCCGTCTGACGAGAAGGAAGACAAGAGTGACAAGGAGGACAAGGACGATGACGGTGACCAAGACAGTTGGGATGACAGCGACGATTCGGAACCCAAGAAATTATCAAAGAAGAAGCGTAGAAAACAGCAAAAGAAAGCGATGCAAGAGCAGAAAAAGCCAAAGAAAGCATCGACCTTTTTTGCCGACCTGTAAAACTTGCCAGCTCATCCCTTTTCTCCATCCTCATTTCTCATAATCTTTTTGCTGCGAAAAAAATAGAACAAGACCATCGCATGATTTTTACCCGTAGTTTTAATTTTTGATTTTGCATTAAAAAAAAATAGCGCATTTGTACACAATAATCCATGAACATTAGGTCAGGACTGTGTGAACATTTCATCAGGTAACCCTTTCCTTTTGTTGTTCTCCCCACATGCCTCGTATGAAAAAACGCAAGAGTGAATCGATTCAGTAGCAGATATTTTGATTTATTACAAAATGAATACGAGCAAATACTCGAGACACCAACCAGGGGGCGATACGTTTATTTCAACTAGATAAATAAGAGGTTAAGCACAATGGAGACGTGGTCAATTTTAATGAATGCAAAGATCTTACCTTCTTCTTGGGACGGAGTTGGTTGGTATGACCGCACTTTCTCTTACGGCAGTTGGTGGCACGAGGAGGAAGACGAGCATAGCACTTGCGGCAAATCATCTTGTCACAGTTGTACTTGGAAGCCAAAGCCTTCAAGGAGGGTTCAATGATACCACCACGAAGACGAAGGACCAAGTGAAGGGTGGATTCCTTTTGGATGTTGTAGTCGGACAAGGTGCGGCCATCTTCGAGCTGCTTACCGGCGAAAATTAAACGCTGCTGATCCGGAGGAATACCTAATATATGGAAATCGTCTCATCAGCATCGTCGTCATTTTTCTAGATACTATAACCCAAGCGGGTGAGACCCACTGACCTTCCTTATCCTGAATCTTCTGCTTGACATTGTCAATAGAGTCAGAGCTATTTTTAAATAGTGTAAGTAATGAGGATCTGAGTTATCATTTCTACAGTTTTTTGTTCGTTGCATTTTTACCTCTCGACCTCAAGAGTGATGGTCTTGCCAGTGAGGGTCTTCACAAAGATCTGCATGGTGCTTTAAGAATGATAATGTTAATTTTTTATGTCAATGTAAGGAACAACAACCCCTCATCCATCTTCATCCTTATCCATCCATCCATCCATCTTTGCATCGAAGACACTATAGGTCATCCGTGCCGTAATATCTGTGGCTCCCCCTATCTATCTATGCCAGTATAATACATACAATCTTCGCTTTGAAGTGTGGAAGGAATCCTCATCCGTGGCAGATTCCAGCACATCTATCAACGTTTCGCACCGAAAATTCGCGACATCTGATTGGCCCAATTCGTGCCCGAACAACCCACCCAAAGAAAAATGGGCTATCCCTGGCTTCCTAAAACCCCCACTCCGCAGGATTCGTTCCGTCCACCTCTATAGGATAGTAAAGAATGAAAATAATGCTATTCAATGTTGACAAAACAATTTCTCTTGTACATTCAATATGAAGTCATCTCGTTAATGGTCAACAATAGCCAATTTTGCACAAAGTTCTATTAACGATGGTGGGTGCCATCTGCTTGCTCATAACTACTGAACAGAGTGCAGTGACAAGCGGACAATCGAGGAGATGAAGAAATATAGACAAGTAACAAGGATTACAATAGTACAAAAAGAATGAATAATAAAGAAAATAGAGTTACAGATTTGGAAAGAGGGGGGGGAGAGAGAGAGAGAAAGAGGTTATTCTGACTGACAGGTGTATATGCGAGAGAGCCAATCATTTTTCAGCGCTTCTTCTGATGTTATCCGTTTGGTCGGGTTGGGATCGAGCATGCGATAGATAAGCTTTTTGGCGCCAAACTCGATACCCTCCAGTACATCAAAGCCTCCTTCTTTGGCGCGCTTTCGGATCGTTTCTCTTGCTTTAAGAACGCCCTGTTCGCGCTCTTTTTCAAATTGCTCTTTATCCTGTTCTGAGAGACACGAGATGGTAGATGTGCCCATTCTTTGAGACCGTTGTCGACGAGCATTTTTACGTTCTTCTTCTACCAGCTGACGGAATTTCAGGTATCGATCGAAAGCTTCGTCTTCGCCCTTTTTAGCATAGTGCCATAAATGACTTCCTGTGCGCATCGCCATATAGATGATGGCACAACTCCATATATCGACCTTTCGCGGATCATATTCCGGTTCCACAAATTCCTCAGGTGCCATATACGGTTCGGACCCCACCAATCCTTTGCTGTAGTGAATTACTTCGCGTCCTTCTTCATCTGCTTCCCAAGCAACCCGGAAACAATCGGCCGATCCGAAATCGGAAATCTTGACACATCCATCGGCAGTGAGGATCAGGTTCTCTGGTTTCAAGTCACGATGAGCGACGCCCATTTTGTGAAGGTAAGCGACGCCACGCAGCAACTGTTTGAAGAAACAATTGGCTTCTGGTACCGCTAAACCTTCGGAAGAATCATAAATCAGGTTGAATAGATCTCCGCCGTTGCAGAATTCCATGACTTGGCAGTAAACGGGGGAATTTTCGCTTTGTGGTAACAAGTCGAGGGTTTGAATGACATTGCGCTGGCGTAAAGTGGAAGCGATGCAGAATTCAGATGTCAAACGCTTGACATAATCTTTAGCTGATTCTGAGTTTCGTTTACGAAATTCCTACAAATGGTGGAATGAATTCAGCAGAGAGATCAAGAAATTTTTTTTTCTCTACACAAGGAAAAGTGGACTAATACGATGCCAGTTTTCCCATTTCTATTCAACTTACTTTGACAGCATAAAGACGTTCGGTCGAACCTTCTGTCTTATGAGCCACACGGACCACCCCAAAGGCCCCTTTTCCAATCACTTCTTGGCAAGTGCCCCATTTCTGTGCAAGGCAAGAATAGGATGGTGTTCGCTTCAAACTGGCATCCATGGCAGCTCGTTCCTCATGAACGGCATCCGGGGGCATTTTCTTATCTGGCCAGTGCGGCAGACGAAAAGTACCTCCTCTCTGGGAATCGCGATGGAAAAGACCGTCCATCAGGGTAGTGAAGCGGCTAGGCGGTGGAAGGGTCAAATGATGTGAATGAGTGCCATCCTCATTGAGTTGGAATCGGGGTATATTGGATTGAGGCACCGTCAGAGGTGGGCGTTGAGATTTCACCGATGGGGCTTCTTGTGTGGAAGATGGTGTATTTGGCTTGATGGGTGTGGGGGGTCGATCGGCTGACCCTGGAGAATGGAGAGTGCCAATTTGCTTCGGAGAGGATAACGACCGATCGATGGGCGGTTCGGCTCGATGGCCACCTTTACCGGGATAATGAAATATGGTCTGAAAGAATCCCATATTGATAAGTTAACAATATACAAAAAACAATGGAAAAGCAGTAAAGGAAAAAAAAGCCAAGTAAAAACAAATTCACTGGGGGAAATTTAATAAAACTTTCACCACCGAAAAGTCCACTCTAAAAAAAAAATTCATGAAGTAATCCATTACGAATATTATCGGAGATTTAAATGTGATACAGTGAAGTTGGGTTTTTCTGTTGTGTTATTTTGTCCTTGTGTTCATGAAAAAAAAATGTATCTTCGCAGTAAGAAGAAAAATCCTTCTTTCACCTGTTTTTTGTCTATGACAGGAATGACACATGTGTCATGTCAGATGTCAAATTGTGCAATATTGATTTATTTACCTGTGCTGGTCTTGCACGTTCAAGTTCTTCATGGAACATCAAACCATGGCCAGGCAACTTCCATCATGACAACTAGGCGGAATGATGACACCTTTTGCGTTATCAATCAAAAAATCCTTTCTCTTTTTATGTTTTCTGCTTTAGTGTATCCGGCGTCAGATGTATCGTGGATATGGTGCTGTATGATGTCAGGTTTTCGCAATCATACATAGATAACCATTTTCTGAATAAGCTACTATCACTCAATCTCTCTTCTTTTTGTTTTTTCCTTTTTCTACTTGCTTATAAATTCGGTCTGTCCGAATTTTCGGAAAGGTCACATCATTTGTGCTGCAATATTGTATATTCATGGAGGATGAATTTTGGCATTGCAGCGCGTAAGATGACGTATACAAAAAACGCTATCGAGCATGCTTCTGCCTGAGCTATCGCCATGAGCGTGGAAGACGGTGGGTAGAAACAGTGAGCGATTTGAGAAAAGTTATTTTTTCTTGGCAACGAGCTTGAAAATTTCATGGACAAATTAGGCAGTCGTCAATAGAAAATACTAACTGCGTAATTTAATTGGACCTCATTTTTCTCCTCTACTCTTGCTTTTTTTCTTGACCTAACGTTAAGAATACGATAAGCCTCGCCTGCTTTGAGAAAAGTCAATATTGATGGAATGCGCAGAGGAGCAATAACCACGACACGAGTCGCATGGTCAACCGGCGTTCTGGTACGACAGCGTTTAATGTTAGCGAGAACAATGGAAGCACTGCACTGTAAAACTTTGAGAACTGGTTGTAAGTCCACGAAAAATTTATAGAACTAATATCAGAATAGCTGACGAGATGTTTAAAGAAGAACAAACGAAAAGGACATCATGAACGAGTACCGGTCAAAGATGTCGGATCAACAACTCGACATACGTTACACAATGTTGGAGACAATACACCAGAACGGCAGCCATTTTCCCCAGTAAGTACTCATTCCTCTAAATGCATCCATCTTTTTCCACGCCTCTTTTTCCTTTGGATCCTCTCTCCGCCTAGGAACATCATTTAGGGCACTCATTCCGAACTCCTTGACTCATTTTACTTGATTTTGAAATTATCATTACTTATACTCAAACTATACGAGGCGAGTGTTCCTGAACGTACATTCATCACATGCATGTATATTGAACCGATCAAGTTTCTTCAGTGGTTGCATCCTCCAAGCGTTTCAGTCGAGCTTCGCGTAATTCCTTCTCTTCCTCTTCCTCTCGCGCTTCTTCTTCTTTTTCTTCCTCTGTCACTTCTGGCAGTCCAAGTTGGGATCGGAGCGATTGCATCTCTTTTCGCATCTTTTGTATCTTGCCGTCTTTCCGTCGATTATCGTTCTTCAGACGCAAGATGTATTCGAATGAGTGTTGCAGTAATACCACTTTGCTCATTTGCTTGACAGCCTTTTCTTTCTGACTTGCGCTTTCGCCATCGTCTTTGGCCGCTGCATCCTCCAACATGGCTTCCAGAACCTCTTTACGTAATGAGTCGAAACTTTGTTTCAACGTATCTCTGCGTTTCTGTTCCGCCGCTTTATGCGCAGACCGACGATTCTCAATTCCTGATTGGATGTTCGTGTTGAAATCGATACCAAGACTCTTGGCTTTGCCTTCACGTAGATTCTGATAATTGCTTTTCGACGCTAAAAGTGCCGCCGCTTCCTCCTCTTCAATGGATGATAGTCGTTTTCCATTTGGTTGCAGTGATGGGGAAATCAATGGCTTCAACGCACGAGGCGAGGCCACCGCTGGTTGTGGACCCAAGGCGGCTGGAGATACAAGTGCTGCAATGGTGTGATCGTTCAGCATATGCGGTCGCGGTGACGGTCGCAGGCCTGGGGACGTGAAGTTGGCCGATTTTGGAGCGGATATCCGTCGTCGTTTGATGGGAGAGGAAGATGTTTTGGATTTGGTGGAAGAAGGTTGATCTTGGATCATGGCCGCCGGTAATGATGGCATATTGTCGACGGCTGAAGAACTGCCGCCCTTATCCGGCGTGGAAGCAGAAGCTGACCCCAAGTTGCCAGTGACACCACCACTGCCCAGTTTCATCAACAGCGAAGGCGTCGCTGGCGCTAGTAAATCAGATTTCGGTAACGCGCGACCCGTGGTGGTGGTGGTCGTCGTCGCCGTAGCAGTTGGGTAGAAATCCGAGGTATTGTTCATCTGCGGGGATTGGAATCCGGCATTTTGAATGCTGGCGTGCGTTTGGGATGCCGAGTAGGCGACCTTTTGACGTAATGAGGGTTTTCTTGACGTGTTGGCGGCGGGGTGTAAATGGGGCGAGCTCTGGGTGAAAGATAACAGCGGACTCACATAGCCTCCTCCTCCTGTTGCTCCTACAGCACCGTGATTCGCCATGCTTGGTGGTTGCGTGCCTTGTAACTGGGTGCGGAGCTGTTGTTGTTGCCGTTCAATCAACGCCAGTTTCTGCTGCAGCATGGTTGCGGACGGCTGTTCATTGGCGGACGGACGATCAAGACGATGATCTCCGAAAGAAAGTGATCGGTGTGAAGGATGCAATGCAGGTGAAGTGAGTGGAGAGAACCCGCTTTCTGAAGTGGTAATGGTGGTGTGCGATTGAAACGAACTGGGTGGTATTGCAGGAGATACAAGTGGTGTAAAAAATTCCTGTAGAAATAAAACAACATTATACACGGTGAGCCTCAACCCGTTGCTTTTTTGAGAGAAGAAAAAATAATAATTTAAATCGCAAAAAAAAGGTGTAATATATATAAAAAAAAAAAAAAACAATCCAGTGATAAAAATAAAAAGAGATGGTCCTACCTCTTCATCAGGATATTCTGATATACTCTCTGATACATTATTGTTGCCCATTGGATGTTGGTGGGGAGTATGATAAATGTCCAAGTGAGTGGTGTTGCCATTATTGACAGCCGATATTTGTAAAGGAGACATCGCATATCCAGGATTTTGTCCAGCTAATAAACCGCTTCCTGTATACGCACTGCTCTCATGACCGTCGGGAGTCAGCTGTGGTATATTGTAAGAGAGTTCCTGTTGCGAATGTGATAGTTGTGTTGGATGTGCACTATGGAAATCGCCCGTCGTATCCATGAAGGAGAACATGTCAGCATGGGCTTGATCATCGGCATGGTCATTGTTCAATTGTTGATGAAAATGCGTTTTAAAGAGATCACCGGTATCGGAAAAGTCAAATGAACTAAAATCCATGGTGATGAGGATTTTGTTTAAACCGGAAAGAGTGGCTCCAATATGAATATAAAAAGTGGTGCTAAAAAAAAAAAATAAGAGGAAACCCGGCTCTGTCCAACTAAAGCCAGAAAAAAAAAGGGAATCACTAAGAAAAAAAAAAGGAAAGAAATTCCGGAAATCAAAGCCGATCAAGGTTTCATTGAGATTCAAAAAAATAAGAAAACTATCAAAAAATAAACCACAGGCATTGGCTTTTTCTTGATTCACCCTTGTTATGCAAAATATCAAAAACTATTATTTATTTCTCTTGCCCACTCACTCCCGGTTTCATCATCATATAAAAACCGAGCATTTTATATATATATATATATATATATATATATACTATTTATTGTTGATCGGGGAACCTCCTTATCCCAAGCCCCATCTGACCATCGTTTAGGGTTTTTTTTTCATCAAAAAACCTAAAATAACAGGATCCTCGCGCGATCGTTTATGGTATAGCAAGCAATATATATCACCACCGTTAGCCGGTTCTTCTTTAACCAAAGTACAGAGTGCGTTGTTCCTCTGGCGTATAGTATTTAAAAGCAACCTACTGACATTCGGATGGGCCCATGGATACCAAAGTCATACTATAACATGGACGCATAATGTTGTGTTTACAATGCTGGTTCTCATGAGGATGCAACTGTCTTTGCCAATTTTCTGTGTGACCGTGGGAACACATCCGCACCAACTATTAAAACTCCTTGCATATGATCTGAAAAAAGCAAAACAGATCCAAAGCCACATCATCGTATTCAATGCAGTATATTTCGGTGGAACCGGATTCTCTTTATCTTTTTTTTTTCTTCTTTTTGGGCTCTTTGATATTTTGATATTACATCAAATTTAGTCAGATGTTACTTGCACGCTATCGTGTGCAAATACCACACGTGTGTATCTACGGCCAGTGATCTTTTAGGTACCTCATAAGCTTGTATTACCGATAAGGTACACGAGAAACTTTGAGACTCTCCATCTATCATCGACAACTGAAATCCCAATTTTTCATGTCAACCAAGACCTTTGTTGTTATATTCTCAATACTTGTGCCAAATCAATTCAAGTCTTGAGTTAATCACTCTAGGAATCCTCCGTATTATGTTAGGTGTACATCTCTTCTGAGTATGTTGAGGATTCATACTCTACTTGTCATTAAGCGGTTGTATCGCTAAAAGGCACAGTGGCCGGAAATATGTTGATCACAGTGCATATCAAGTGATTAGGAACCTGTCACTCACACAACGGTGCAAACGAATGGACAGCGCCCACCTCGGATGCATCGGATTCATAGCTAAGCATCATCATACGTACTGTGGGCACTTGAAGATCAACTGAACAGTTCATGTCGGTGGACTTTCAAAAGCCGCGTAATTCATGCACTGGCTGCCGCAAACAGTTAGTTCAAATTCAAACAGAAACTCTAATTTGAATGATACAACATTGCAGAAAATTAAAAGCTTATCTTTTTGTGGCAACTCCTGAAAGAAGATGACACTATGCCACATTGTACGTGGTTGATGACGGTGTTCCTATCATTTTGGATATCCTGTATCCGATACTTGCAAAGTTCTGGTTTGGAAAAGTCGACAGCGACATGATCGGCGAATGTGGTTGTGAAAAAAGGGGAAGGGGAAACTCTTGCAACAAAAGATAACGAGAAAGAGCCTCCAACCAGAAACAACTTTTGTAAACTCTGCGCTGAGAGCCTTGAGCGACGAACTAGTCGATTCTTCTTGTCTTCAGTCGCAAGATGCTGTTCAAGTCATGTTTGACTGCCATGCTATCCCAGCTCTCCTTCAATCCTCTTTTTGTCAGGAATTACCAAGAGCGCCACTTGTTACGCAGATGACGCATTCGAAGCCAACAAATCAACCTAGAAGTACTGAAACAGAACTCATTGTTCGTGATAGACAATGTTCGCCAGCTTTGCGAAAATGGTCGATGATCGGCGTTCGTTGCGATAAGAACTGGACACAATTCCGGTACAGTTGATCCAAAGGGCTCCCTTGCAAGCGATGGACATAGCCTATCAATGCATCAACTGCTGAATTTTATATAATGTCAAGGATTCAAGAACAGCTGCTAAGCCGAAGATCAATTAACCGATGAATGCCAGTGGGCATTAAGGACTTTTGCCATTAAAAAGGGGCACGACTAGAAATAATTTTATTCTTTACCAAAGCTTGAATCTGTTATAGCTTGTTGAGTTACCCCGGCAAGAACGAACTTGTCAAAAATAATGTAGATATTATGGAGCCCGCAAGCCAGGACAAAAGAAAAACAGACATAAATGTGAAAGCAACACCTCGGCCAGTCACTCCTGAGAAATCCATTGCAACCTACTACATAAACTTCAGAAAACGAGGACTAACAACAGGAAGGTTTATTGCAGTGGACGGGAAGTGTCACCATAAACCTAGCCAAATATACGATTTCCGCTGGTTTATTGCCATAGGAAATGCGGTCAACAAGGGGCAAAGTAACTGGCGTTGCCAACCAATACCGATTTCGATCACGGAAGGGTTGCTGTGATGACAGCAGGAATTTATGCTGATCGCAGCCCTTGCCCCTCTGGTCAATAGCCAAGGACAACCAAATGCTTGTGCTTTGTGCCCTCTAAGACTAGTAATCCATTGGCCAAGCGTTTTGAAAATCGCTCAATTGTTTGTGGCGCGCCCTTGTTTGGGGCAGACGCACTGACAGTTTCGGGTCGTCGGACATTTAATTAACGAGTCGAAGTTTCCGGTCCGGATATTTGCGGCACAAATGCACAATTGTTCCGGTGATCATTGTAGGTGGACCCTGAGTGGGCAGCATCATTTAATTACACCAAGGCAGCCCACCATGATGAACCTTCTCTTTTCTGCACATTTGGTATGTCGACAGTAACGAGATCATGATGGAACAGCATAGATGGATGCTGTTAGGCGATGGATGGATGGATTGAATCTAACATATAATCGATTTTTTTGCCCCTGATGATAGACTCATTACGATGTCTCGTCTTCCTGCCAGTAAGTAGACACTATGGCTGTCTAATCGTTCACCATGCGTGCAAAATTGTACTCATTACTGTTTTCCCTTTTTCTTCTCAGTTCTCAGCCCCTCCGAGGAGGACATTCAGCTCTTGTTGAGTGCTCAGTGCCACATTGGTGCCAAGAACGTCACTGCCCGCATGACTCCTTATGTCTACAAGCGCCGTGCTGATGGCATCAACTTGATCAACCTTGGTAAGACCTGGGAGAAGCTTATCTTTGCTGCTCGTGTCATTGCCGCCATCGAGAACCCCCAGGACATTGTTGTCATCTCGGCTCGTCCCTATGGTCACCGTGCTGCCTTGAAGTTCGCCAAGTACATTGGTGCTGAAGCTATTGTTGGTCGTTTCACCCCTGGTACCTTCACTAACTACAACACCCGTTCTTTCCGTGAACCCCGTCTCATCATCTGTACCGATCCTCGTTCGGACTTCCAGGCCATCAAGGAAGCTTCCTACGTCAACATCCCCGTCATCTCTCTTGCTGACACTGATGCTCTTCTTCAGTTCGTTGACGTTGCCATCCCTACCAACAACAAGGGTAAGCACGCTCTTGGTTTGATCTACTGGTTGTTGGCCCGTGCCGTCCTCCGTCTTCGTGGTACCCTCGACTACGCCACCGCCTGGGACGTGATGGTCGATATGTTCTTCTACCGCGATCCCGAGGAGATCGAAAAGGAGCAGGAGGCTGCTGCTTTGGAAGAAGCTGGTGAATTCTCCGCCACCGAACCCGCCACTGGTGACTGGGCCGTTGAAGGTGAAGCTGCCGATGTCGCTGGCGTCGCTGCCGACTGGAGCGCTACCCAGGCCACTGCTGACTGGGCTGAGGATGCCGCTCCCGCCGCCAACTCTTCCTGGGAAGCTTAAATTCTTGTGGAAAAATCTCCATAGACATCCTAGATTGTAATCTATAAAACATCAAAACGCGCTCATCCATTGTTACTTTTACATAATATACGATTTGCGCGAAAAAAGATAATGGCGAAAAAAAAAGAGACAGTCCAATCGATATGTGTTTATGAGCATCGCATTTTGGAGCGAACACTTTATCTTAGACCTCGGGCTAAGAAAGGAAGGGTGCGATTCAAGAATTGGCTGGCGGAAGCCATGTCGACAAACAGATCTTTTTTGTCAGTGATTCTTGCGAAATAACAATGGTGTGATATCAATGGATGGAAATTATCATCCCATTCACAAGGACAAAAATGCCTATTATAAATTGCAGATGCTCTAGTTGGAAATTTTTGCTTTTTGATAAAATATTATGGCTTCATTTTTTTTATTCAGCATGCTATTTGAATTAGCAAGAATATTCATGGATGGTTTTTTAGACATCGATGATTCTTTAGACATCGACATCAAAGAAGGACATGGTTGGTATAGGCAACAACGCATGCGTTTTTCATTGTAACTATTCTCATTTTTGCGCCATTTGAAACTCCATAAAAGGATACGCGAGAGAGAGTTTTTTGTTTTTGTTTTTTATGACTTTGAGCCGGCGAATACAGTGATGGTTGCACAACTTTGATTCGACGGAAATTCCCCCCTTGTTTTTTTGGGTTTATTTGAATTATCTCCTCGTCCTACACGCCCGCTCCATTTCACCGCTCTTCATCATGGCCATGAATGATATCGGTAATCCCTTGAAGAAATTCAAGCTTGTGTTTCTCGGTGAACAAAGCGGTGAGTCAATAAACACGGACATCAGCTCCCCCATTCTCATCCACTCACTTGGTGATGGCAGTTGGCAAAACCTCGCTTATTACCCGGTTTATGTACGATACTTTTGACAATACTTACCAAGTATGTAAACGAGCCATGCTGTTTGATAGCGGTTGAATTATGGCACCAATCTAAAAAAAAAAAAATCCATGGTATCTTGGCTAGGCAACGATCGGCATTGATTTTCTATCAAAAACCATGTATTTGGATGACCGAACGATCCGTTTGCAACTGTGTAAGTACAAACATAGCAAATCAAGCGCCCAATGGTCCACATCTTTTTAATTCTTTGTCACTGTATACAGGGGACACTGCTGGTCAGGTACAAAAAAAATAGTCTATTTTCACACCTTTCAATCCTACTGAGCAAACCAACCTATAGGAACGGTTCCGCTCACTGATCCCAAGCTATATTCGAGATTCATCCGTGTGTGTAGTTGTATATGATATCACAAGTAAGTCACGGCATCATTTCAAGGAAGTTCCCAAGGCAATATTTTACCAATTCGGTATGCAGATCGAAACTCATTTGTCAATACGTCACGGTGGATCGATGATGTGAGAGCGGAAAGAGGCACCGATGTTATTATTGTTCTGGTGGGCAACAAGACGGATCTGAACGATAAACGGTACGTGTAAAACTTCATTGTGGCAGGAGTCAGTACACACACACGACTCACGAAGGATCCATACTTTTTTGTTCAGACAAGTGACCGTTGAAGATGGCGAGAAAAAGGCCAAAGATTACAATATCATGTTTGTGGAAACAAGTGCCAAGGCAGGATACAATGTAAGTTAGGGTGACAGGAACTGCCAGTAAGGGATCCACTTGGTTGTTGACCAATATCTTTTGTATTCAGGTCAAAGCCTTGTTTCGCAAGATCGGACATGCATTACCAGGAATGGAGAATAGCACAGACGACGGTCAAAGAGAACAATGTACGTAGCATTTTGATGTTTGAAGCTTTGCTCCATCTAACGCATCATTCTCAATGCCATGTTAGTAACCAAGGTGGATCTCAGTGAGACATCAGCGATAAAACAAGAAAGCAGTTACTGTGCATGCTAAGGAAAAAGAGAGGGAGAAAAAAAAGAAAGCAAAGAGTTTATGATTCTATTTATTTGTTTACACATGTAATGACACCCATTTGTTTATTTCAGCGAGACGAGTTTAACCTACATCAAATACACATATATATCAGTGGTGTGATTTCCTCATCAATGCAATTTTTAAACTTACCTCGAAAATAAGGGTGGCGTTTTTGGGAATACGAGCCGAGCCACGCTTACCGTAGCCAAGCGCGGGAGGAATGGTCAATTTACGTTTGCCACCGAGTTTCATGCCCATAATTCCTTCGTCTAATCCGCGGATCACTTCGCTGCGACCCAAAACAAACTCAAACGGTTTTCCTTCCACGTTTTTATCAAAGATTTTGCCATTCTGCAATTTGCCAATAAATCGGATCCCAATGCGGTTACCCTTCTTGGCCGAACGACCCTCTCCCGCCTCGACATCTTGCAATACCAAACCATTTTGTAACTTGGTTGTGACAACCTAAAATGCATACTGGTATAAGCAAAGAAAAAAGGAGAGTCTTCAAGCCGAAAACCGTCCGCGACTCTTACTTACCTTTGCCTTTTTCTCGTTTTGCTTCTTCGCGCCCTCCGTTTTCTGCTTCTTTGGTGCTTCTGTTGCCTCCTCTTCAGTTTCGGCGGTTCGCTTTTTCTGATTCGCTACCTCTTTCTTCTCTTTCTTTTCCTCTTCAGCCGCAACCAGTTCGGGCGCTTCAGCGTCCTCTTCATCCGAGACCATATCATCAGAATCAATATCGCCATTCAGATAAGCAGCTAAAAGGAGCATGAACACGCATTAATTTGATTTCATTTAGAAAGAGGGCTGTTTTTTCTGGCTTACCAATTTTTTGAGGATCGATGCCTTCAGGCACACTAGAACATGTGGTTAGTGATTATCCTATTGAGGTGTAATTCGTGGTGGAACGTACTTCATCAATGTTTTGTCATCTTCATCTTCGGAGACACTTTCGGCGTCAAAGTCCAGCTCGTAGTTGCCGGTCAAATGGACGGTACTGAGGCACAAAGTGTGAGTTTGCATCGATCGGGGGTTCCGATGGTATTGACCATTGACTTACTTTTGTCCAGTGACTGTAAAGATAATTTCTTCGCCTTCTACAAATCCGATGTTCAAGAGTTGCTGCTCAATCTATGGAAGAAATGCATGAGATCAAGCCACCGATCAACCATGGGCGATCGACCGTACCTTGCCAGGGATCAAAGTACACAACACAAAGTCTTTTTCGTCGACCTTGACTCGTACACTGCACCGACCCTTTCCCTTGACCGTGCTGTCGAAAGCCGCCTAAAAAAGCCATCCAAGAATAAGACAAAGAAATCAGAGTGCTCTTGACAAGTAATCGGCTTACCATGCGAATTCTGAAACCAGAGGAAACATTGCGCTTATAAGTCTTATTGGGGTGGATCGCGAGACCTGACAGAAACCGTGAAGGATTAATAACAGGCGCGTTTTAAAGGGTCAAAACACCCTTGTGGGTAGGAGATTATTTACCGAAAAAGCCTTGAACACTCATAATAATATATATAGGAGACGAGACCTTGAGCAACAATAGAGCGGGGCCTTTTCGAGAAGAGCCCGAACGAAAAAAAAAATTCAACTGTTGTGACTGTTCCACAACTTACTTTTTTGCATGAAAAATGGACCTTTTTACTATCCGACGCACAACAAGATACTGTCGATGGACTGGCTGCTTTTTCGATCACTCTCAGCTAACACTCGTTCTTTTTTGCATGATTCGGTAATGTAAGCAAAAACGCAAAGCAAAAAACAAAAGCAAATTCGGTTTTTTAATTTTTTCAAGTGGTATTTCTAATGATATTTGCATAGATACATGAATGACTGAAATTTCAAAAGCAAAAAAAAAAAGGGGGGTGGGAGGCTGCAATGGGTTTAATCGATCAAATTCCATGATTTCAGCCATCGTCGACCGGCGTACTGGCTCACCGGGCCCGGCATGCCATAAGCTACGGGTGAAAAGTAAATAAAGACGACAATGACCGCGACATACATGACGCCAAAGATTATCCACCGTTTGCGTTTCGATAAGGTGGAGGTAACATGGTCCAATAAGAAGGGAACCATAAGAATACTGAAATACAGCGCCGGGAAGTAATGATGCAAGTACGTGACGCGACCCATGATAAAGAAAGGAATGTAATGCAAGAACCATCCAAGGAACAACGTTTTTCCCACGAAAAAGAAACGATCCCATTGTGCTACATGTATCAAGGGTTTTAGTGATGCAACAAACCGTCAAAGAAAGGAAAGAAAAACTGAAATCAAAACTTACCGTTGGACAAATCATAAATCTTTCGTTGCATACGAATAATGTAATATCCCGCTACCGCAATGAAGAGAAGGATGGACGCAAACGCGGGCCACCATACGGCCGGGCTTCCCAAGAGATAAAATTTCACTTGATCATCGCCCCAACCGCACATACGCAGTCCCACACTCGCCATGGGCCATTCAGCGGGCTCGGATGACAGAATATCTTCTTTATCCGGATCTGGAATCAAGGCATTGTTGGAGGTCCACATGGCCACGTTCAAGTGCCAGAAATCTTGCAAGAATTTCGATTTGTATGCATTTTTGGGAGCAGCAGGCACTGGCGATTGAATTATTTTAGTGTTTTCCGCTCGTCATCTCGCGAAGATCACTACTTACATGCGTCATTCCAATGCTCTTCCACGTTCCACCAGCTGTGCGGGTCATCGGTTCGGTTGCGCTTGTCACAGTAGACTTCCACTTGTTTAAATCCCCACTGCGGCAAGATGACATTGTTGGCAGTGAGAAGGCAGCCGAGGTTTACGTGACGAAGACGGAATCGCGTGGTTAGAGAACGTACGCGTTCTTTATCCGAGTGTACCATGTCATCCACAATCTCCACCTGCCAGTTGTCTTGAGTATCACCAATGGTATCGTTGCCGTAAGCACTGACTTCCCATTGTCCCGTCGTAATCGGCGCGTTGATCGGATGACTGTGTAAATTCCGTCCCGTGGGTACGTGTTGCAATCGCACAATATCGCCATCTTGGACAAATCGAATCGAAGGGGCTTCTTCATATTCCTCTTCTCTTGATCCTCTGGGAGTGCGGATATACCAGTGATTATTATCATCTTTGTAATGGTAGCAGGTGACTTGTTGCTGTTTTGATCCTTCGGGATACGTTTGTACGTGCGAATGCAGTAGACCACCACCGTAACCGTAGTTCTTGAATGTTAATTTTGAGCCGTAAGCAATTTCTACTCCCATCATGAGTGGCCTGGTTTGTGGATCTTCCATTGGTACCACCTACCCAACGGACTGTCGCCTAATGTATTGCCTGCCAAGTTGGCCTGGAATAAAGAACTCATTTGCGCATCGCCGGTGCCTGACCGATACAGAATGGCGAAATGCAAAGCAAAGCTGATAAGATAGACAATGACGGGAATGACAATGAGACAACCGATACGTGCAAGCCAATGGTTCAGGTACGTCTTTTTGGGCATTTGAAGATCGCCGAGCATATCCCATAAATCTTCAATCGTATAAAGCCCCACGAGAGCCACGGCGAATAAGCCAACCCATTTCACACTAATTCACGTTGTTAATTGCTCCGTCTCTCCACTTGTCGGCGCCAACCCCCAAAGTCATCCACCCCTGGATCAAAGAACAGCATATCCCCCCAAGACATTTGCTATCCAACCGGTTTACCTGGAAACACAGCCCAAGGAAAATCCGGTTAAAGCGAGCCAAAGCCACCATTCATCGGTAAACGGTCTACAAGCATGCCAATGATTAAAGCCACATCCTTCAGCGTGACAAGTCATGTTTGAAGTACTTACCTGTTTCGCAGATTGTGGAAACTCGCAAGACAGTAGAGTGAGGTGCATGTGAAAAACAGGAGCATAGAATCCAGTAAAATAAATCGGCTGATACACAGATAAGCCGTATCTAATAGGCATGCATCAGTTATCCAATCTCCCTTTTCAGCAATCGGTTCGGTCTATTTACCCAGTAATACCATTGTCGCTGCCAGGATACTAGCTTTCAACGACATGTGCAATTGCATTGCGGTGGCATAGGCGATGGGAACCATAAGTGCTCCCCAAAACGCGTTGAATATACGCATCACGGTGTAATTGAGTCCTTCAGGGTACGTCTGACCGGAGTCAAACCCAAAATTTCCATCATAACCTGCTAACCATCCAGAAAGCCCAACTAGCATTTTTCCGAGTGGAGGATGTACATCGAAATAGAACTCGTGTTTGATATAATATGAACCGAACTAATCCATGCATCGATGACGATCAGATATTTTTTGTTTCTGTTTCCCTCTCCCCTGGACAACCCTGTTGCCTCCTCCTGCTTTTTTTTTACCTTTCCAAAGTGGGCCTAAAGAAAGACAATGTTAAGATTTCATCGGTACCGACCTTGTTAATGTGGAAATGGCGTGCTTACCTCGTCCCACACTACTTGATTTGACAGCCCAATAATCCGGAATCGGGTCCAGAAAGCCAGCAGAGTCAGTACAGCCGGAATGAGTAAATCTTGATATTGTTGGCAAAAGGCAATGTACTGCAATAGATCCGAGTGAGTACGATGCAAAACGGATGTTGTCTATTGTTCCGCCGGCTTCAGCCTACCTTATTGGACGAGTACACTATTCTTTGCGGTGGTGGTGGGGCCCTATAGGTCTTTTCTTTATAAGCCGCATCGTGATCTTGCTGTATAGACAGTGTATGAGCCGATCCTGGAGAGTACGTCTGTTCCTGTTGTCCAGACGAAAAGACCGGCTGTGAAATATGCCGTCTTTTGAGATTATCCATGAAGAAGGGATTAAGGAGCAAAATGAGTCTGTGGAACGTAGAATCGCATTTATAAAAAACCGGGCGGAATGACGACAATAGCCAAAATGAAAGCCCGCGGCTGGATGCGGTGGTCATCAACGTGACTCTCTACCTCCACGGCGAGTGCCATTTTCACTGTGCACCGAATTCCCTCGTCTCGCACTTACGCTCTTTCGTCTAGTCATGGTCATTAGAACCGACAATATGGGATACGTTAGTTAGAAGACAATGAGTAACCTTAATGAATGGCCTTTCTTTTTTTACTTTTTCCCTGTAGAAAATCAACGATGTTACGGGAACCCCCGATTCAATCAATGCGCTCCGAATAGCATTTCCGGACTCGATTATTATTTATTTATTACATGCCATTTTTTTTCATCTGCAATCTCTGTAGCACGTGGCCTATGTATACAACGGTACCCATTTTTCAAAAGGCTCTGTTATCACAAACTGTCAACGTGTGCAAGCTTTGTTGACCCGATCCCGCATACGCTCAACTATTTCATCTAGTGTCTCTTTTGCTTGTTTCCAACGTTCGCACTAAAACGTGCATTCTAAAAGTTGGAAATTCGGATAATGACTTTGCAACGTTATTTCTCCCGGATGACTCAATTGGCTATTAGCTCCCGAGCCATTGTGTTCAAAGCATAGGGCAGGTCAATTGTGTAAGCGTCAAATCAAATCGCAACCTTAACTTGGCAATGGGGTTTCACGATAAAATGTAAATAGAATTCTGAGAATAGAATTCTACAATAACAGAAACGATTCAAATTGTGTGTTGTCTTTATCTGTTCCTCACTATCTGAAAGTACTACGTATTGAAAATAAAAGGTAGCATGATTATAATATTTCAGATGAACCATTGTCCGAGAAGTCAAGGCAAAACAAGACAAGATTATAGCCATCAAATGTGATAAAAAGGACGGCAGGAGCGTGTTGATGCTTCACTTTTACCACCATGTGCGTACCGGAAAAGCATATTCGGTTACTTTTGATTATTTGGGATGCAACTGATTAAATGTAATCTTATTAATGACGTTGCAATTGCAAGCTACTCATCACAGAATCGCTTCAGTCAGTCCTTGCGTAATATAGGAAATGTGCTTTCAAAATTTCGAAATGAAGTCTGGCTAAAAACACTGATATCTCCAAACGAAAACAAAAAAAAAAAGTTTAATATGATTTCTGATATTTTCTTGAGTTGAACAATGCTGTGATTTTTCAAATGAAATGCAAATATTGGGTCGGTCTATACTGAGGAACCCCATTGACGGGACGTGTTATATAACGTGAATAACATGACGCCTGTTCCAAAAGTGATCAACACGACGTCACCCCATTTTGATAGTGTGGATGCTTTGCCCAATTTCAAGTGGAATAATGGCGGGAATATCAAGCTCAACGGACCTATCAAAACAGTCAATGAAAACAAATCATCATCCATTGTCGTTGCAGCCATTGAAAAAGGGAACCTCTGCACAGGGTACTTACAGCAACATATTGAGCCGATCAAACTGATGAATTTATCCAAGTCACTAGCGCCAGCCCAGGCGATCACGGCACATACAACAACAATAAAGCAACGCAAAGCGTTCTTCTCCCATTTGATTCGCATGTTGTGTTTGCCTGTACGATCCCCAAAACAAGCTTGCTCAACGATACGCACCGTCGGGAATAAGGCAAGGGCATTGGATAAATGGACGGCAATAGCATACCCCAGTTGCACGGTGCTCGGCAACGGACCAGGGGGTAAGTTTAGCAACGCAACCGTTTCTACATTGCTACCAAAAGCGATGTAACCAAGAGAACCTACAAGACAAAGCGACAGGGCGACCATGGCCATCACAAGCGTCAGCACCTTTGGGAATTTTTCAGGTTTCGCCATGCTATCCCGAATAGGAATGATAAGACCTTTTTTGAAAGACCAAAGAAAAAAAGTATTAGTGATCAGATTTTTATGCACATGCTTGCAAAAAGAGATACGTACCAATGCCTTCAAAAGAATAAACAGCCGTGCCGATGAATACAGGGAAACTGCTTGGGTTGAATACCCAATGAATATTGGGACCCACGGTGGGTGGGACCTCTCCTTCAGGGGCTTCCCAGAATATCTTCATCAAATCATAACCCAGCAAAATAATAAGGCCCGCAATAATCAAAACATCGGATAACGCCGCGGTTGGGGACAATTTGGCAATTTTTCGAATGAGAACAAGTGGCATCATAAGCAAGGCTATCAGCATGAATAAGCTAGTCGGTGACAGCTGGACGGTATCATGTGTCATGGATTTGACAGCTTCAATGACGTTCTCTACAATGAATATTGTACCACCACACATGAATCCCATCTTATAAACACCAGTAAGAAAAAAGATTGTTCCAAGCGTTAGTCCCAAGGAAAAAATGATGACTCGGTTGGAACCCTTTTTTTTTATCCCGCCAGCTTACCTGTGATATAGCGATAGAAAATAATACCAGCTGACGCATCCAGTTGCCGTAGAGAACACCGCCAATATCACCGTAACTGCCCGAAATATACTTTTTACAGTCAAGCAACAAAAGGAAACAGTACAAAGAAACCATGCCCATGACCCAGATGGACGCTATGGAAAACGCCAATCCACCGTTGGAGAACGCCTTTGGTAAAAACAGAATTCCACTGCCGATGAAAGCTTTGAATAACAGAAAAATGATTTTGGTCGTGCTTGCTTTATGTTCCAACTTGTTCCCATGCTCATCCACTGCATCCTTTCTACCGTGACCATGTCTTTTGCGCTTGCTTGTCAGCAGGGGAGCGTGTTCTGATACTTCCCCGCCGACCTCTTCGTCATTCGGACTTTCCTCGGAATCGGAATCTGAAAGATTTTCACCCGCAAATCGATCCAGCACCGAGGTGATGGCAAGGTATTCCAAGAAATGACGGGTCTTTTGAGTAGGTCCACGCCACGAGTGAACGGTAGTTGTATTGGCCAAGGACTCGGACCGGAATAGACCAGAGTAATCGGTAAATGTCTTTGAATCCGAAGAGCATACCGAATCGGGGCGAAACAATTCATTAAATGCAGAAAGTGATCCGTTGGAGTCACTGGTTCCTATTCCAGCACTGCGTTGTTCCTGTTGCTGCTGGACATGGAAACGGCGAAACCCGCCTGGTTTGTCGAGATGGTCAAACTCGGATTCAGCTTCGGTATCGTCTTCATGGACCAACTTGCCCGCTCTCATACGGACATCATTGGTCGACTTGGATCGCTGGACGGTTCTAGCGGATATCAGACTGTTGGCATGAGTGTAAATGTCATGGGTAACAGCCGCCCCTGGCAAATGGTACGGCACGGGTATTTCTTCAGCGACGGCTGGAGACGCATCGTCGGCCACGGTATTGGACGACTCAACTTGAGGCGAGTCATTCGGGGAAGAACAAGTATCGACGACTAGATGCTGAGACACAATATCTGCAATAGCCTCGTCTGGTATAGAATTCACATTCTCTGCTGAAGTGAACTGCATGACAATGAGGGAGAAACAAAGTGGGGTTCGGGTTTGACTTCAGGGTTCTGTTTCTCCCGATAACGTTTTTTTTTGTTATTTTTTATACTCCTGTCACATCAACACTAAGCCCAATTGGGCAATTTCCATCAACCAATTCGGATATTTTGTTCCTACGTCATTTCGCTAATGTCCCTGACTCTCTTTTTCTCCTCACGCCCCACCTTAATTTTTTTCTGGTCGGTTTGGAAGAATGACTGGTCAGTGAGTGTTCGCTTTTTTACTATTCAGTGACACGTTGGTGGTTACACGAATGACCGTTAAAAGACGTGATGAGAATAAGAAGGGGGCTGTGCCACGGGAAAAGGCGTGACGGACTATAAAAAACAGAGAGATAATTTTATTTTCTGTTTTTGTTTTCTTTTACGTGAAATTACAGACTCTCACGGATCCTTGTGGAGTGACGGGAGTGATGTTTTGCAGAAAAAAAAAAAGAATAACTGATCAGAAATTTCAACAAGCGACAAATTGGGAAACTAATCACGGGACTATGGTAATCAAAACCACATCCACCGAAAACGACCAAGCAAGTTTTTAAACTTGATGACCCCAGCACTATCCTCATGGAAAAAATCAATCTCTTTGTTGTAGTAGTATGCATGTGATTCCATGCCGTGATACGCCATAATATGCATTACAGCATTTCATTATTTGCTTGTTCGAATTATGCGTCGGATAGACCGGTAAGGGTATAATACAATTGGAAAAAAAAGTGTTTCAAAAACGAAGGAAGCTCAGACCGAGCAAGAATCAAAGTTGTAGCAGGATACCCAACGTTAAGAATTCTTTCCACATGGAAAGAGAAAAAAAAAAAAAAAAAAAAAAGGTAAAAAAAGGAAGGTTGGAATCCAGAAAAAAAAAGGCGCCATTCACCCCTGTCATGGTTATTCGTGATAACCACGACTCTGGGTAGGGTCATAAGATCCAAACCCGACATCATCGACTTGGGAAATCCTGCTTGGAGACTGGCTCTCATTTGCTCATTATCATCCCAACGACATTGTTATTTTGTTTACCAAAAGATCAGAATGGTGATAGAAGATAAATAATCAGTACCAATCACAAAAGATGAAGGTTGTCCCTGTACCGACCGAATAAGAAAAGAAAAAAATAAGTTTATCTGTCCGATAGATGGTGGTGTTACAATAAGATCGTTGTGATACGATGTCCTATTTCAAAAACATCACAGATAACGCGATCAAGTACTGATTGTACGCTGGATGATGTCTGACATGTTCCTTTCGGATGATTGCCGTCCACGTAATAACCGGATGCACCATTCCTTTTTTTTTTTGACTCGCTAATATACAAACGTGTAACGATGTCATCCCTGCAGTCATAGGAATGATCTCGCCGTCATTTAAATATGCAGGAGACGACCAGATATCATGGCAGGCCATGTAACATTTCCAACAACTGTGTTACAAGTAACCTTATAGCACCAAGACATCTAGATCTTTTAGTTACATGATATGTAGAGGTTTCAAAATCACTAAAATTTAAGCTATTTCGATTTTCCGTTCAATTTGCTACGATTTTGCCTGGTCACACAGCATGGTTTGTTTTTAAGATTTACCATGTTTTGTTTAGCGTTGATTATGGCTTACCCAGCATTTATGCAGGTGGCTAATGTTAAAATTACCAATTAGGCTTAAGCCCAAGATACCAATGTACCCTGCAAAATAGCCGTCTAACATCTCCCGCGATGAACGACGTAATCGATTTCACATTATTTTGAAACGGATATGAGAAAATCGTTTGCATAATAGCCTATACTTAATAAAAATAATAGATGCAACCGTTCTTGGACAAGAAATAAGGATGACAAAAAGTTCGCAGTATTTCACCATTACATCGACTCTGATGTTCCAAATGGTTATTCACAAGCCGTCTTGTATTTGTCTCTTTCCGGTTTCAAAAGATGCTGTGCCTTTTTTAAATACGCAAAGCGCTCCATCCATGGATCGCAATGTTGATGAGTATTTTATTTCTCTATTAATTGTAATATAGGAAGTAAAAAGATATCAAGCCATCACCGATTTTCTACGTTGGCTTATACCATTGAACGACTCTGGCTAGCCCAGCACCTTTTTCTTCTTCCTTTTTCCTTTTATTCTTTCTGTTATTTATTTTAGCTTGACTGCCACTCTACGCTTCCTGACGCCCTATTTCTCTCTTGTGTTTCCCAAGTCGTTTTTTTTCTTTTTTCAACGGAATCTTGTCCCATAGATCCCAGCGCGAGCAATAGTCCACAACGGACGTGTTGCTCATTCACCCTTTTAATAAAAGAGAATCTTTTTCTTTACTTTTAAAAGTCACAAGCATCAAAAGGCCTGAATAAAAAAAATTGAATTATCCACTATAAAAATAAAATAAATATTGGCGTGACCATTGACTGAAAACGCTAACGCTCCCATAACGAATCCAATATCTAAATAAATAAATAAAATAAAAAAATCATCTTTCAGATGAAAGAAAAAAGGAAGCCCGACGGGGGGCTCGAACCCCCAACCTTGAGATTAAGAGTCTCACGCTCTACCGATTGAGCTAGCCGGGCTTCTTGTTTTGTGAAAACCAAAGTTGTACAAGCCTCGGCCGACTGCCTTTTTCGGATTTCCCTTGTTCTGGTTAATTTCTGTGGTTGCCTGAATTCGTTGGTCTTTTCCCTTTCTTTTGGTGTTTCTCCCGTGGTGCTATGATGTTTGGGCGATGAAATATCGATCGATTTGTCGGTTCCTTCTTTTTCAGAAGCGGAGTGTGAATTGGAAGTCCCGTTCGATTTTTCGTGAAGTTCGTTTAACGATCTGAAATTATCTTATGATCATTACGCGTTCTGACGATGACTCAAACCATGATTATTTCTATTGTTCTTACATATTATGTAATCCCTTAGTAAGAAACTATAGTACGGTGAAAGTATTTAAATGTCTTTTAGAAATTTCTGTATCTATATCCTAAAGCTTTTGTCTTTTGATCTCTTATTCTGGGAATACATCTTTTCGAAGATACACTTTGGACTAGCGCCTACATTTTTGGAAGTCTCTTTGGAATAGTCTGATAGTTTTTACAGTCGGCTATCACCCTATTCGGATTTACAGTAACAAGAAGTTAGTATTCGGAGGAAGAACCATGGAAGTTCTGAAGCTAATCTTCTCTGTTCTGAATATTCTTTCTTTGGGTTACTCTTGCATCAATTTGGTTACCACTCTCCCACCACACTTCACAGTTTTTTGCAACTGCTCTTACAATTATCATAAAAAAACGTGACTGTATTATATGCCCGTCACAGATGAATATATTTTTTTCTTATCGAGAGATGCCCCTGGTTTTGCTGTGAAGGGAATGGCGTGGTTTTCTCCCTTTGGCCCTGTTTTCTGGGAGAACGGCAAGAGCAAGACTTAAAGCGGTGGTAGGTATTCTGTTGTGATTTGTAGTAGGAGGCATGGGTGTCATGGGTGGTGTATTTTATATGGTCGTTGTTGTCTGGGTATTTTGGATGGATCGGAGGCAGTAGCCTATTTTCCCGTTCAGTTCCGCACCTTCTTTCTGTTGCTTGAAATAAAGAAATAAAGAAATAAAGAAAAAAAGTAGAAGAAACCAAACCAGAAAGTCTGATGCAACTGCGACATGTACGCATGAGCCAAGTTGAGTTGCTTTCTTTCTTTTTCCTTGATTTTGTTGAATTCGGTGAGGAAAGAAATTCTCGGATTGGTAGGAAAAAAAGCGGTTTTCGAGTCAAAAACGCAACTTTGAAAGTGAAGAGTATAAAGAAAATATAACATCGACGATACTAGTTTGCTGAAAGCTTGACGTAAATAAGAAAAAAGTATTTCTCATATGCTCCACATAAATAGTATCGAAAGGTCTGCGATCTATGTACAGTATGATTTGTATCAACGAATGTACGTGGGCCGTCCCTGCTGATAATTCTGTATCAATCGAAGTTTCCCGTGCTGCGAATTGACGAGACGTGTCGTCAGATCATGTAAAGGTATTTGACAGGTTCGTTTATGATGCATAATACAAATAGAATGATCATCCCTAACGTAACATGATGTTTCCATGAACATACTCCAAGTCTGAAGCATTATTTATATAAGTATTACGGCGGGTGCATGAAAAGAGAATAAGGAGAACCCAGTCAAGTTTTACTTGATCCTTCAAGGGTTGTTGGTGTGAGAGATTACAAAGATTCTTGAAGATGGCATTCAAGGAGAAACCTGGCAGTGTCATGCAATTTTATCGATATATACACAGATGGTGGTTTTTCTATTGACTTTCGATGACGTTTCTCTCCAACCATCGCCACTCGCGGATATATCGCTGGGACACTGCGCACAGAAAGCGATGCAGAATGCTGTCAACTGTCTTGAGAACCCGGGGTTAAGGAGGCATAAACAACTTTTTTTTTCCTTGAAATCACTTACTACAGCTCATTTCGAAGAATTTTTGTCGTGTAACGGCTTATCGTTATTCTTTTTGGGATCTTTCGGGCTTTGATCCGAGGCGGGAAACGGGTCAAGGCGAGTTTGCAAGAGAGGTTGCTTCGGTACCAAATCGAGGATAAAATCTGGAACGATTAATGAACCGGGTGTCAAGGAAACTTGAGAGATCACATGATCTAAAAGAATGAGTGGAGAGATGGTTGTGTGGCCCAGGAAATTTTTCTTTTGGGATGGTCCAGCAACGCCCAGCATAAAATTTTATCGCTGTTCCGTGCTTTGTTCGACTCCTTTATCTTTTCTTCTTGCCCTTTGAATTAAACGACTATGGAAATCGAACCGCATCCTTCGGAGAAGACCGGCTCATTTCAGCCAGCAGAAGAAAATTCGACATCATCTACTGCATCGTCTCAGATGACAGGAGGTGACACTCTGCATTCGTTGGCACCTCACTCCTCGACGGCGGAAGTCGTGTTCTCTGCCAACCCCGGGCCTACCGGTCTTTCTGAAGACGGCTCCATGAGAACCAGCGATGAACAAGAGCTTTACCCGATTGCTGTGCTCGTGGACGAACTTAAAAATGAAGACACCCAACTTCGTCTGAATGCCATTCGTAATCTGGGCACCATCGCCATGGCCCTGGGTCCGCAAAGAACTCGAGATGAACTTATACCCTTCCTTAACGGTATGTTTAATGCTTTCAACCGAGTCACTTCATTTTGATTGTCATCCCCCCATGGCACTAAACCTTGCTTTCCTTGTTGACAACCATCAAAAAAGATTCTATTTCTGATGACGAAATCCTGTTGGCGGTGGCGGATGAGTTGGCCGACTTTACCGAGTATGTAGGTGGACCCGAATATGCCCACTATATCCTAGGCCCACTCGAACATTTGGCATCGATTGAAGAAGTGCTCGTCAGAGATAAGGTCCGTTTTCTGATAAGACTTGATTATTGAAACGCATACACTCACCATCCTTTTGGGACGTACTCTTTTCAAAATTTCAGGCGGTAGAGTCTTTGTGTAAGATCGGCTGTGTACTCAGCACATCGCAGACGGAACATTACTTTGTTCCATTGATAAAACGGTTAACGAGCGGTGAATGGTTTACGTGCCGTATCTCTGCTGCTGGACTGTATGCTACAGCCTATCCCAAATGCACATCCGAGCAACAAGAAGAATTAAGAAGGTAACGCAAAAGCGATTCATTGTTCTTTATTTCTTTCGCACTACAGTGATTAATTAAATGGATTTCCAACTATCTAGTTTGTTCACTCAACTGATGCAAGACGAGACTCCCATGGTGCGACGATCCGTGGCCAAAACCGTTGCAGTAAGTCACTGGCTGATCTTCATGCAAATGTGTCATTTTTTCTTATTGTAAACAATTTTTTTTATACAGGATTTTGTCAAACAAGTGTCGAAAGACCAATTATTGAACCAGATCTTGCCCATGTTCATCAAATTGACCAATGACGATCAAGACACCGTACGATTACTGACAGTAGAAGGCTTAGTCAAAATCGCGCACATGCTCAGCCAAGAAGAACGCAAGCAATATTTGCTTCCCATTCTGAAATCACTAGGCCAAGATCGATCTTGGAAAGTACGTTACATGGTAGCATCTCACTTTTCAGAGGTAAGTAGAGCTTAGTGTCTAAACATCGTGATGCTGGGACTTTTTTTTTTTTTAGTAACGTGTGCTGGTTTCATGGTAGATCTGCGAAGCCTTTGGTGATACCGTGTCTCGTGAAGACATGGCTGCTCTGTTTTTGGCCTTGATTAAGGATACGGAAGGCGAAGTAAAAGTCATGACGATTGGTCAAACACCAGGTAAATATCAAGTCGGTCGGGTCCCGGCATGGACTAATATATCCTTCTTTTTTTTTGATTCACGAATGACAGCCTTTGCAAAAATGATTGACGAAGTGATTATTGTGGATAAATTGCTTCCTTGTATCAAGGACTTGGTGCTCGATACAAACCAACATGTACGTGCGGCTGTAGCAACCCACATCAGTGGATTAGCTCCTATCCTTGGAAAAGATTTGTAAGTGCGAAAAAGTCGAAAGCGGTTCATGTACTGCTGAGTGATTGATGGCGTTTGTTAGAACCATTGAATATTTGCTACCCCTCTTTCTTCAACTGCTGAAAGACGATTTCCCGGATGTGAGATTAAATATCATTTCCAAATTACAAAACGTCAATCAAGGTACCAAAAACAAAGGGATCCACGTTAGTTGAGCGAGCCAAACATGTGTTGACCGATTGTTTGTTGAATCCAGTGATTGGTGTGGATCGTCTATCCATGTCTTTGCTACCTGCTATTGTCGATCTTGCTGAAGATAAGCAATGGCGAGTACGATTAGCCATTATTGAATACATCCCGTTATTGGCATCGGAACTCGGAGTGGCGTTTTTCGATGAAAAGCTTCTTTCTCTCTGCCTGTCTTGGTTGGGTGATGCGGTATTCTCGATTCGCGACGCGGCCACCACCAATCTCAAACAACTCGTGGATATCTTTGGTTGTGAATGGGCCAAAAATACAATTATTCCCCAGGTGATGAAGATGTCGACCAACGAGAACTATCTATACCGTATGACCACGCTGTTTGCTTTCACAGTAAGTTTCTATGGCATTATGCACAAAAAAAGGCCAACAGGAGGTACCGGAGAAAGGATGACTAAATGGTTTTTTGTCAATAGACCATGGGTCCATCATTGACCACGGATATCATCAAAGAGTCTGTATTACCGACGGTTCTTGCCCTTGTGGATGATCCTATTCCTAATGTTCGTTTCAATGTGGCGAAATCGCTCGAAGTATTGACCCCTATGTTGCGTCAAAACGAAGCCACGAATGAACTTGTCCAGTCAAAGGTGGCACCTGTTTTGCAAAAACTGAACAGCGATGCGGATGGAGATGTAAGGTGGTTTGCAGAAAGAGCATTATTGACAGGTAAAATGACAGAAAAATGGGGGCCTTTTCTTTTTTTTTAATTTGGATCTTTTTTTTAGTTCAATAAAAAAAATGCCAACGTTCAGTTTCTCTGTCCTTCTCTCTCTATTTTCCTCATATTCTTAGATGTTTCTTCCCTCCCCAATTAAAGCAATTTCTACTCATCCATATTCTTGTTTGGCTCCCTAAAGGGTGTTCCCTATTGTTGGCGCTGTTCAAGATTTCGGTCTTTGGCCAGTCGCCCTTGATGTCGCTAATGTGGCTATCATTATACTATTTTGTTTAGAGTATCATATGGCACGAACGAATTACATTGAACGCTTTCTTTCTCCATGACCTACAGAGAAGAAGGATTGCTCTGAGTAAACAATTCAATGATGAGGCTTGCTAACCCATAATTAAAAACCGAAGCGCAAAAGTGTCGCGATGGAATGGATGCCTCTTTCCAGTTAGAGAGGAGTCATCGTGTTGAGTATAGAAAGATAAGACAAGTTTTTTTTTTGGACATGACAGTCCGCGGAGACAAAATAAGAATACATAATGTAGACCATGTGACATGGCCTCAAGAATGGATAGAAAATGTATTACATTGGCTGCTCGGCTGACAGGAAAAAAAAAAGTTGTGTGAACTGGAGGATCACGCCGATCCTATTTTGAGAAGCCGCTGATGTCTTCATTTCCCTACGTTTTTCATTCGCATTATTGGCCCTTTTTTTTCTTTTATTCAACCGACCGACCACTTCGACTGTTGCTCAAGCTTGTTACTGTAAAACGTCACCTTAAACTTGTTCAGTAACACATTCGCCAAACACAATGAATCCGAATGCAGAATTTCAACCGTTTTCTCATGAGTATGGGGTTTTGTACCCGATAGCTGAGTTCTTTCACAAGTTAAATCGTTCTTCATTTGTGCCATCGAAACCATAGATACTCTGCCGATGACTTTTACACTGTATCGACGGACGCTCACCTTGGTAAAAGAGGGTCCTACAACGGATGGGCCTGGCTTCAGTGAAGCGGAGATTGATCGTTTGTTCAACCGTAGATGCTACTCCTGTTGATTACCATTATGCAATCGAACCCGATGATCTGGAAGACGAGCAACAAGTAAGGCTCTATTCAGCTTTCTCGCACGGTTAATTTATTTCTTACTTTTAATGCTTGCTTCTTGCAAAAGGAACGGGACGCCGTCACCCAGACAATGTACGCCAACGGCATTGATATGGTACGGAGTCTGAATTGGTACACTGCATGAAAAAAGCCCATCGGGCCATCGGGCCATCTGACAATGCTCCTTCAAATAGCAAGGCATTCGTTGGAACAAGCAAGGGATAGCAAGGGAAGCCTACCGCGAACAAAGGTAAAACTGTATGTATTTTGGGATAACAGTGAATCTATCGACTAAAAAAAAGCATATTGGTACAGGTCAAAGCAATACATCAACTATCTCAGCCTTAAAAAGGACGATGAGGATGATACCATCGAACACAAGATCAGAGTATGGAAATTTGTGCACCACTCTTCTATTTATCGTTCACAATAGACTAAAACCAAGTGACAGACTCAAAAATTGAACACTGTGCGTCAACATGATGTATATTATAATTTCAAGTTTAGCAAGTTGAGCGAGCGTTGCAGTATTGGTCATTTTCAACTACGGAACCTTTTGTGGGCCACCAGCAAGAATTACGTTTATTATACCAGTAAGTGTCGCGTTATAAAAGAAAACTCAAGGTAAAAATCAGCGGTTCCTAATATGGTTCAGGTAATGATTGTATTCGACAATGGTGCCCATCTCTGCGGCAAAGCCGGAACGTTCTCGATTTAACAGTCGCGAATATTCCCGGAAGTCTGGCGGTCAAGATCAGCAGCATGGCGTGTGCACACGACATCTTACTGGTGGGCGGATTTATGGGGGAAGTGGTTTGCAAGCGTCTCGATGACATCAATAGCAATATGCATTATGGGCGTATTACGGATCACACCAATGGGATTGCCAATCACATCGCCATCATTCCCGGGAAAGCACGAGGTAAATGGCGACGTTGTATACTCCATGACTTGGTTCCTAAACGTTCAACACTCTTCTGTATGACGCAAAAAAAAGGAACAAAGGCTATCATATCGAGTAATGATCAGCATGTACGGTTCATGAACCTCGATACCATGGCGATAGAAACCAATTTAGAATTCCCATTTCCTGTCAATGTAACGCAAGAACAAAACTGTCATATCATTTTCCTCAATGATACGATTTTATGGATTACCATAGTGTGCATCGCTGGCGCCGGATCAGCAGCTACTCTGTATCGTGGGGGATTCAACCGAAACAAGAATCGTAGACACCTGCAGCAGGACAAGTAAGTTAGCCTTGAATTTATACCACGGATCTTTGTCTCTTTTTTATACCTTGTATCCATTGACTGTCTTATCCTTCCCCAACCAAGCCGTCATTACACTAGATGAACATCATGATTTCTCATTTTCATGTTGTTGGAGCCCAAATGGATATACATTGGCGACGGGGAATCAGGATAAGACGACACGGTAAGTCGATGAGGATGAATGAGGATAAATGATCCTTGTATTGACACTATGGACGACCCCATCAAAGGATATATGATATTCGAAATCCTTCCAAAGCACTGCATGTGCTTGGAGCCAAAATTGGTGCGGTCCGATCGCTCCATTTTTCAAATAATGGAAAATATCTGGCGGCAGCGGGTAGGACATATTCAGAGTTTATATAGCCTTTTGTGGTGGTTTAATTGTCTTCTTCTTCAGAACCGATTGACTTTGTGCATATATATGAAACTTCAACATTCACATCGAGTCAGGTGATTGATATGTTTGGTGACATTGCTGGAATCGGTAAGAATGGGGATGATCAACCCACTGAACGTGGGCTGACGGTATTAATGTCCACACTTTTAGCTTTCACGCCGGACGACGAGAGTTTTTATATTGCGAATACGGACGACCGCGTGGGGTAAGCCACCAAGATATGAAATAGCAAGTCCATACACTGACACTGTCATTCTTTAGCGGTCTCTTTGAATTCCAGAGGCGATCTTCGCAGTTTGACGCTTCTCTTTTCTACTGAATCATCCATCTGCTCTGTTTCTTCTACCATAGCCATATTGTGTGCGACATACTTTCCAGGTTCATAAAACTGTACATTTTATTACCTTCCATCCTACTTTATTTCATTCTTCCTTTATTTAGATACAATGCTTCTTATGGCCATACCATTGATCCTATTCTTTTTTGTGGGAATAAAAAACAGACATAGTGCAGCTCATGGTTAGCCGTAAAAAATGGAATATTTGCAAGTGAAGTAGGGCTTCAGTCCATGGCGGAGAAAAAGGGCCTACAATTATTTTGTTAACTGAGCTGTGGTGGACTTTATGCGAACCGGCAGTGGCACATGATCTGGCCCAAAATGGAATTTCACTAGAGGTTCTATTCTCCGACGGGTTAGTGCATTCACTCAGATCTCAGATATTCAGCATCACAGGACCATCCAAAAAATAGAAAAAATAAAACCATCTGGTATTTGTGATTCTATCCGTCTTTTTCTTTTCTCTCCCTTGTTACGCCATAGATGCTATTAAAGACGTTATTGTTGTTCACCTTTGGTGCGACGGCTCCCCAGGTGGCTTTGCAAGACAGTGGGTTGCAGAATCCGATAAGAGCCCATCGAACCGACCACCGTCTACGTCAGCACGAACGGCTACCCGAATCACATCAGTTATCAAATGCAGAAAAGCAGCAGCATGTCAAAGACGCTTTTTCATGGGCTTGGAACGGTTACAAGACGTTTAGCTGGGGATTTGATGAAAATCGACCCGTGAGTAACCAGCCAGCCAATTCCAGGTAAAGTAACGAGAACTGGATCTCGTGCCAATTCAATAAAAGCACGATGGACTCACTTTTTCTTTGATTCGAATAGAAACGGTTGGGGCGGTAGGTTGACCGAATAGAAGCGCTGCTATAGAGAGTAGGCCGTTTCTTTTTGTTTCTTTTCCATGCCACTCACAGGACCAACACCATAGCAACCATCGTGGATGGATTGGACACGTTGTATCTGATGGGATTTTATGATGAGTTTGAAGAGGCCAAAAAGTACGTGGCCAAGCTTGACTGGAACGTGCGTGGCGACAATGATCAAGTGCAGGTGTTTGAAACCGTCATACGCTACGTGGGCGGTTTGATCTCCGCCTACGATCTGTCAGAAGACAAAGTGTTTATCAACAAAGCCGTGGAACTCGTGGATCGACTATTGCCCGCTTTCAACACACCGACAGGCATCCCTTACCAATTCGTCAACTTTACTTCGTAAGCCAATCCGCCATCAACGGCTCACAAGAGCCACTAAACTGAGAGTTTGCGTATTCCTTAGTGGCCAAGCGGTCAAATCCGGTTTTCCGGAAGGCGCCTCTTGTTTGGCCGAAGTAGGCACGGTGCAGTTGGAATTCACACGGCTCTCTGAAATCACAGGCGATTGGAAATACCATCATGCTGTACGGGTCATGTCTGCAAAAGAATAGTGAAACAATTTACAAGGTTCGCTCATTTTTAGTTTGATTCTTAGGGTCAAAAAGTGTATGATGCCTTTATGCGAGCCGAAGTATCTCACGCTGGATTGTTTCCTCATCTGATCAATGCCGATACGGGTCAGCCATTGGGAGGTGGGTCTCAACAAAATCGTGTCTTATTCGGCGATGACTCAGTGACACGATGATGTAGACTATATTACGTGGGGTGGCATGGCCGATAGCTTTTATGAGGTATGCCATGGATACATTCAAAAGAAAAAAATGGCGCTAAAATTTCCAGTAGTATCTAGTAAAGCAATATGTTTTATCGGATCTCCGAGACCAGCAAAAGAAACAAATGAGTATCGATGCCATACGAAGTCTCGAAAAATATCTGCTGTCGAGACCCATGAATCACACCACCAGTCTCTACCTTGCTAACCTTATTCAAGGAAAACAGTCGCCCGGCATGGATGAATTGGTAAAAATCGATTGGATCGACAACAGGGCATAGCAGATCCTGATGGGCGTGATTGTAGGCATGTTTTGCACCTGGTACTCTGTTACTGGCAGCACGGACGATCCCAGAACTTGAAGATGTAGAAGGGATTGCCGAAGAACTGATGCATGGTTGCTACAACGCGTGGGTTTCGACACGCACAGGATTGGCTCCCGAGATATTCGGATGGGTCGACACGCGCGGTAAAAGCGTTCCAGAAAAGTTGTCGCAACGTCAGCGCGATCTGGCAGAGACAGCAGGCGTGTTCCCCATCATATCAAATTACATATTAAGACCAGGTAGGGATGATAAGGATGAAGTAGTAGCAGATACCCATTAACGAAAACGATAACAGAGACGCTGGAATCGTTGTACTATTTTTATCAATACACGCACGACAGTCGATATCAGGACATGGCATGGAATATTTTCAATGCCATCCACACTTACTGTCGCGCAAATTCGGGATTCTCGGGCGTGTCCAATGTCGATTCTTCCTATCCATCATGGGATGACCGGCAAGAAAGGTAAAAGATGCGACCTCTTCCCCTTTTCAACTCGCATATTCAACCTTATTTTTTGATGCAGCTTTCTCTTTGCTGAAACGTTCAAATATCTGTACTTGATATTTGATGATCCTCATCACCCGCGAATCTCATTGGATGAATGGGTGTTCAATACGGAAGCCCATCCGTTCCAAATTACAGGCCAATCATGGCCTGAGCGACCTCCCGTAGTGGAAGATGAAACATGGTGGCAATGGTTCTTCCACATGATTACTCGTTGGATCCAATTCATACTGCTTCCATTTCTTTAATTTGAGTCCTTGAAATGTTTTATGATCCCACTTTTTTTTCTTTTCACCATTGTTTTTATTCACTATCAGAACTTTGATCTCCCAAGAATGAAACGTCTAATGTGGTCGTGGGTTCCTTTCATTCTTTTGTGTTAGCACCAAACATAGATTGATAAACCCGATGATAAGAGTGCATCTTTACCTCGTTGTCATCTTGGTACTGATGATGTGAACCGTCATTATCGCTTGAAGAGTCTTCATCATCCGAGATGATCTTTCGCTTGCGTCTGTTTCGTGATCGTAGGCTAATGCCATCGTCTTTCTTATCCAGTATATTGCCCGTATCCAAACTTTCGATTTCCGCCTTGAGCTCTCTGTCCGCTTTGACTTTCATACACTTTTCAAGCGTAGGACGTCCTGCAATTGAAAATCGATAAACACAATCTCTTCTCTTTTCATGGTTTGAGTCTACTGGCTGTTACCTTCAACGCCTAGGTCGGCAAGGATCGCTTTCAATTTGCGGATTTGGGCTGCGGCAGTGGGACAATCGGCCAATTCTTTTTGCCTTATGGTTTTTTTGGAGATCAGAGATACTGGTACTAGGATCCAATCAGTTCCGCTTACTTACCAAATTTTGCGAACACCACATTTGCCGATGTACATCTTGAGACGTTTAATGGTTTCTTCAGTCTCATTGCTTGCCTTTTTTTCGGATCCACTTTTTCGGGTTCGGGATTTGGGGGCGGATTTCTTTTTATCTGGTGATTTCTCCTTTGTGTCGTTGTCACTGTCACTCTCCATCTTTGGCCGTTTTCGTTTCCTTGATGCTTCATTTTGCTTCTTTTTGGGCGAACGCGATTCATCATCAGATAATTCTCTTTCGAAATCATCTTGGCTCTCTTCATTTTCGTTTTCGTCCATCGACGCGTCCTTGGTCTCTTCGTTATCCTTTCCCGCTTCATCTTCTTCCATGTCGTCCTTCTCTTCATGAGAATCTGCCGTTTCATCCGCCGCAGGCTGTTCTTTGGTCGATTGTGCCGCGGGGTTTGCCCGCTCAGCCAAAATGTTGGCCTATACAACAAGCCTGGTAAGAGAATAGGGACATATGACTAGACCCGACATAATAGAAATTCAAGCTTACAAAGGTCGAGTCAATCATACTATTGACATGCTTCTTCCATGGTTTGACGTCGAGTTCTTTTTCTTCCAAATCCTAAAATTGATCATTCGTACCAGAGTCGATCAAGGAGTAACCTAGACTCAAGAAGAACATACCAATGCTTTCTCTAGCTGCCGTCGAATGTATCCCGCTGTAAGCACGCTGCACTGCAGGATTAGTCGTCTATTGTTCAGGCTGTAGTGTGCGGTAGATCACTTACTTTGGATCGCCGTGCCGGATAATGCTGCAATTCCACGGTCAATAGCTGTGGTGAATCATGGGTACAAGTGAAGACTCTTACCGATCTAGTTCACTACTGAATTCCTTTCTATTAAAGAATGCTTCGTCTACTGAGCTGGGCATGTGGCAATATAAAGATTGGTATCAAAGACGCGAAAACAATAGAGTCACGCGATTCGTGAGTTTTTTTTGGTTGATCCGCGCGACTGAATTTTTTCGCGTTATATCAAGAGCCTCATTTTTTCACTTGATAAAAGTCATCGACACATAGAGTCCTCTCATGGAAGACGAACCTTTGTAGGAACACCTTGCAGTTGCACCATCCAATAGCTTTAATCCAACCACTTTGTCGTTATTAGCTTGCCCACACCCAAGGATCGTCTCAAGGCGGACATTACAGATCTACGTCTTCGATGTAAGCTACTCTTCTTCTTGGCTTGTCCGTGCTTTCAACCATACCCATTCACGGCTGTCCTCTTTTTAGTGAACAGAGCTCTGGAGGAGCAACGGCAGTTGAAATGCTCACTCATGGAAGAGAAAATCGCTCACGTCATTACCGCCAAGTTTTCCGAAGAAATCAAAGGTACAACCAAGGCAAAGAGTCCTTGATGAAAACCGCACGGACGGACGGCTCATTTTAACGGCAATTTTCAGATGCAACACGTCATAAAGCTTCGCAAATGAAAACGGTGCAACAAGAGGTACGAGGGGCTTTTTATGCTGCTGAACCCTCATGAAAAATTGGCCCATTGATTTTCCCGGTTCTATTAGATCCTGCAGCAATTGATGACAGCGACCGAGGCCCGTTGCGTGCAAGAAATGATTGGTTATTACCGCCTCAGCGGTCGAACCACCTTTACCTTTCAAGAAAACTATACGGGGGTTCGGCTCGAAACCTTTTATGGACGAACTTACCGCGAGCGTTATTACCTACTTTTACGTTCAAAGTCGGACAGCGAGCCGATGGTCATTGAAAAACATACTATTCCGCATTTTATCCCACTCGATCGTATGGCCAAGCTTTTCCTGCCCCATGATCTTGATGTAAATTACTATCTTGTTCTGCAACGATACCAATCGACTAAACCTTGCATACGATTTCCCTTCATAGACATTACTACGTATTTTACACGATTTCTTGCTGGCGTATGTATCAAGGCGAGAGCAGATCGAAGAACTCAAACGCTTTACCTACAATCGCCCGGAAATCCAGCACATTGCCTCACATCACATTGCCAAAAATAATGTCGAAATCCTTCACCGGTAAGCCAAAAAAAAAAAAAAAAGAAAAAAAAACAAATTGCACAATTTTTGGGCCACCTCACTGATTCCGAGTTATTGACTTGTTGAAAGAGATCTGCGCATTCAGCTGCGGTACACTAATCTCGCTTCCAATTATCCTACCCAAGTCCTCATCACACCTCTAACGCCAACCTCTTCCTCCCACGACATTGACCACATCCGATCCTTGTTCTCGTTCCAGAAATTGTTAACCGCCTATCAAGAAGCCTTTGTCTCCTAGTATCCTTTTTCTTTTTACAACAACAATAATAATAATATACAGCAACGACGAATAGATAAATCTATAAAAATTACTGGAACAGGCCTACTTTTTCAAGAATGGATTGACAGGGTAAATGTGAACTACAGGTGGCGATCGGTCCATGTCGACTTGAATCAATACATCAAGACGGGTGAACGCTTTCAGATATTGCATTCGCGTCTTGTCGTCCAAGCGATTCTCTTCCAACATGTTGTCTGGAATTTTCAGAGCCGTTTTTCCACTCAACGGTCCTTCAGCGTCATCTTCGGCTTCCTCCACGTAATCATCCGCACCGTTGGCTTCCCTGTCACTGTCATCACTTTCGCTTTTTTTGCCATCATTTTCTCGTCGAATCTGGTCTGCGGTCTCTCGGTTGAGAACGGCCCCTTCTTTCCAGTAAATGGAGAGGGACATATCCGTCGCGTTAAAGGCTTCTCTTTCCAGAGGCAAAGAATCTGTGTAAATCCGTTTTTCCAAAGCATATTCAGGTACAAATATTTCAAAAGCATCCTTGGCCACGAGCAGGACAATAGCCGACCGTACAATCGGGCCCTGTGTCTCTTGAAGACGATACAAGAAGCGGCTCAGATAGAGCTGAATGTGTTGATCCTGAGCATTCTTTGCCCCATCCTTCTTTCGATTACATTGCAACGCCACGGACTGGACGGTTTTCATGGTATAACCACAATGTTCTGCCATCCAAAAAAAAATAGTGGGATAAGAATGTCACCGACCATCCATTCACATTGTTCCAATCTACGCCAAACGTACCTTTATTCAATAGCGCGGCCTGCAATTGACGGTGAACCATGACATCGGCGTAGCGACGAATGGGCGACGTAAAATGAGTATACAGAGGAACGTTCAATGCAAAATGCAGGTACTTGGCGATATCGATTGATCCGGTGCAGAAATACTTGGCACGCTGCATGGGCTTGATGGCCAAAATTCGTAAAACGGCCTTGACATCCTCCGATTCCACCGAATCAAACGAAGCCTGCAGTGCACCTGCACTGTGGCCCTCAAAAGGATACCCAAGTTCTTCCGTCTGACGCAAAAATTCCTCCTACATATTAAGAAATTGTGAGTAAATTCTGTTTCGTTGGGCCATCGACGGGAAAGATCCTACCAGACGTCTTTCGATCGGTGGTGCGTGGCGACGCAGCAATGCTTCCGAAGGATACTGTTGGCATATTTTTTCCGCCACGCTCATATTGGCGCGTAACATGAACTCTTCAATCAGGTGGTTGGCTTCCTTTGTTTCATAGATATTTACACTGTCGGGTTCATTGTCGTCGTCGAGAGTAAAAGAAAGACGGACCGAACCAATCGACAAGGCACCATTGTCAAATCGTCGTTTACGCATGTGCTTGGACAGCTGATACAGATGGAGGATATCCTTTTTCACTGCATTCACCTCATGGTTCTGGACCGTGGCAGTGATAGGTAGTTCTCCGCCTTCAATAACACTTTGCGCATCCGAGTAAGCCAATTTGGCACACGACTTGATAATCGATTTGCCAAACCATGTCTCCAGCACGTTGCCCTCACCGTCCATTTTCCAGATGACGGAAAAGGCCAATCTACAACAAATTGTTACTATTGGATGATCACCATTTTCTCCTTTCCATTGGGCATTCACCTTTCGACACCAGGGTTCAGACTGCAAAGCTCTTCACACAAGAGTGACGGCAGCATGGGAATCACCCTATCCACTAGATAAGTGCTCGTACCACGAGATCGCGCTTCGGTATCCAAAGGTGTATGGTCTCTAACGAAATGCGACACATCGGCAATATGCACTCCCACTTCAAATTGACCATTCTCTAGTGGCTTGATATGTAAAGCGTCATCCAAATCTATCGTAGAATGAGTATCTCTATTACACGTATTCACACATTTGGTTCCAATTTTTTTTATATACCTCGGGCCGTCGCTGGATCAATCGTAAAGATTCTGTATTCGCGAAGGTCACGACGTTTTTGGTATTCGCCCTGTGGAATTTTCCAGGGCGTTTCCGGTAAACCCTTGAGCGCCTTGTCGGTAAAAGGGACTTCCTTGATGTTGTTATCGGCAAGAATAGCCTCGGTTTCCACTTTCACATTGCCCACGGGGCCAAGTTCGCGCTCGATTTTGCCAAAGGGATGCTGTGAGTCAATAGGCCAGCGAGTGATCTTGGCCTACCATCAAATCGAGGTATGAGATTTTAATGCTCAGTCGACCCTGTCAAAAAGTGACTTACCAGAAGGATCAGCGAGTTGTATTTTTCTTGGTTTTCTAAAAAGTCGGCGGGAACATGGCGGATAGGAATGGCTACCAGAGGCGTGCGTTTGTCCGTGGGTTTGAACCAAGCCAAGCGAATATTCTCGTGCGATCTTTCGTTGCCATTGTTCACTTGTTTACCATCCACTTCGTCATCGACGGGTTCTTCATCGTCTTGTTCTTCCACATCCTCTTCAGGCTTCTCCTCTTTTCCGTTGGATCCTCCATTTCTGGTGTGATTCACAAACAGCGTTCTACATAATACCGCACAAATAAGCACCAACCCACACACACAGAATACCAAGCAATTTTTGTATAATTTCTTTTTTACCCTGCGACAGTTTGGCTTTCAGCGCGACTGATGATGCCGACGACCTGACCACAGTATTTGGACTTGGTTTTATCTTCTTCTTCCAGTTGGATAGCCGAGATGCCGTCTTTTTCCTCCTTTTTCTTTCGATCCCTCTCCACTTTGGATTTCCACACCTTGTCTACGTCCAAAAGTCGCACCGCTACCAAGTCACCTTCCAAGGCACGGTTACGATCCCGTTCTCTGTGAATGTAGATATCACCTTCGAGATTCTCGCAGGTCACATACGCATCCGATCGATTGCGCTTATTGATTCGTAAAATGCCACGATACAGCGCGTCTTTCTTGATTTGCTTTTCAATCTCGTCCGGACTCAGGAAAGGGGCAAATCGAGGTCGACGACGCATCCCTTTTACGATTTTGTCATCTGGATGAACATACTTCTCCGGAGGCGGTCGTTCGGCTGGTTGAGGGTGCGAGCGATCTAACGCGCAGCACTTGTTACACGTATTGCTTACAGTTATGGATTATCCTCTGGACTCACCAGTTTTCTGACTTGGTTTGGGTTTCTTTGCAACGAGCTTCTCACGGGTTTCACCATGTTGCTTTTTTCCTGACGACGGGGCATAATGTTCTGGAGGCGGTGGAACGGCTTGGTAGTTGGGGCGTTCTAATATCCAGTATATCAGTTATTTCCATAATTCCGTATTTGCACTTTTTTCCTAGATTTCCCTTCACTTACCGGCTGATGTTTTTGAAGCAAATTTATCGACATGAGCGGTTTGTCGACACGGTGAGCGCTTTCTGGCGCGGCGAGCGCGTTTGTCACGCAGTGGGGCAAAATTAAAAGGCATGTTTTCGTTGGTTTCAAAGATACCGACATTTTCCTTTTCCGATGGATGGCGGATGTCTTTCTTTTGTGCTTGGACTGATCTTGACGTTGGCACGTAATCATGCGTCTCCACAGGCAAGTCTTTGCTTCGTCGACGATTGCTTCGACCAAACGCTCGCTTTTCTTCAGGCTTACTGGCTCTGGGTGACTTGGCCTTTTTGTCATTTTTTGTATCGACCTTTTCCGTTGCAGTGGATGGTTTTACCCGTTCCTCTTGCTGTTCAACCTTGGCTGCTGAACCGGAGATCGCAGTATCACGATGCGTACCAGGTGCTGTGCTTAATGGTTCGGTATCAGCCGCCTTATGAGACGTGTCGCCCTTTTTGACTTTCGGTGCCTTGGGTTTCCTGTTCTTTTTGCGAAGTTTCTTTGCGGATTCCATCTTCTTTGGCTGAGTTTCCTCGGGATCTTTCATTGCGTCACTGTCCATGGCGACCGATGGATTAGCGTCAGTAAGGTCATTGGCGGGTTTCTCGTTCACCGTTGCGCTGTTCTTTGGCTTATTCGTCTTCTTTCGCCGGTTGCGTTTCTTTGTCTGTTTTTCTTTGGCGTCATTGGGCAAAGCATGGTCGTCGGGTTCCCCGGTTTCCTGTACTTTGCTCCTTGTCACTCCCGCAGCAGCATTGGTCGCATGGCCAACATCAGGAGAATCGGTTTCCTTTGTTTCCGGCTGGTCTTTTGGTTTCTTTTGGCCGCGAGAGCGACGGGGACGAGATTCCTTCTTGCCGCTGTCATTGACCGATTCGGTTTTTGACGGTGCGGTCGGCGGCTAGCAGTGAACATGGGGCAAGTTAGTTTGAGCAGAACACAACGAATCTTAATGAATCAACAAATTTTACCTGTGAGGTAGCGTTTTTGTCGTCGATAGTTGTCGTGTCTTTAGGATCTTCCATAATCGTGGAAAAAGAAGGCGGTCAATGACGCTGGCGTGAACAGCACCGCTTTTATTTTCTCGTCTTGCGCAACAAATTGCAGCTCCGAATTTTTACTGCGGTCAATTTTCATGCTACGACAAAAAAAAAAAAAAAAAAAAAAGAACTTCTTTCCAATCATCCCCCAGACTCCACCGTAACAGATCTTACTCGAGCAAATCCGGTGGTCCCAAGCGATGAGTGTGGGCTGGGTAGTATGGTTCATGTGGAAGAGCTCGGAGCCGCAAAGTGCACAGGATCAGACAATGAAAGCGAGCACCGCAAATGAAAATCTTCATCAGCGTATGCTTTATGTTACATCAATGTTGGAAAGTCGGGTGTTGTAGGCTTTTTCTTTCTTTACACGTACTATTTCAAAATACAGCTCCCTTTATCACGGTCAAACAGGCGAGTTCTCGGGTTGTTTTCTTTTTAGTACTGGGTATATCTAAACAATTGAATCTTTGGAGAAATTAGGGATGTTGTAAATCACATGATCTACACCAAGTTATCAGGGACCTGTTAATTCTTTTTTTCATCTTTCAACCATGCCTCGCTGCCCACTTTCACGATAATAGGCGAAACAATCAGCAGCAAGATGCCGTTTGCGCCAGTTGTGGTTAAACAGAGTATCGTCGTCTTTCTAATAAAAATGTGAGTAGAGCTCTTTTTGAAGAAAAGTGGTTGATGATACGACCGGCGTTCTTCTGTAGCATCATTCAATTTGTTTTTATTTGTCAGTTATACTGTATATGTCCTTTCATTCTCTTTCAATTTTCAATGAATCGAATAATACATAAGCAGGCGTGCTTCGATCTATGAATTCATGCATCAGTGGGATGACTATTGTTTCATCCATGGAAATCCACATGTATTTTGTCTTCTTTCTTTTCTTTTTTCTTTGGTTTTCTCCTCTATCTTCTGTTTACTGGGATAAACTCTCACTATCATTGCATCCCCTCGCATTCATCATCCATCATTCAGACTATGGTTTACCCCCGTGTATCTGTAACCGGTCAAGTCGATTAAATATCAAAAAGGTACGTTTTGTGTGATGTGACTATCCGTTTTCGACAAGAAAAAACTCACGTTCTTTTTTCTCTATCCTTTCTTTAGCTTTTGGTTTTCTCTCCAGTTTTCTTTTCGCCCTGACAAGCCATCGATCCCTCCAACTCTTTCTACTTTGTTCGCGCACCAAATGTGGCCAAACCGGTTTTTGTCGTCAAAGGCATCGTCGGTGGTGTGACTCTCTTTTTCATCGGAAAATGCTTAGGCGTCCTCCTCAGGTTCCTCTTCTTTGGATTACTTCCCGTGGTATTGTCTTCGATATTTCTTCGCGACCATTTTACTTTGTAGTTTGTAGTATATACTTTGTATTTTATTCGATAGACCTCTTGCAGTCTTTTCCTCCTGTTTTTTCCCACAGGGTTTTTACGGGGTTTTTACAGACGCACCTATTGTTTTATTTATTTTTTTATGTTTGTATCGTTTCTTTTTTTTTCGGTCGGGAAGCTCTGGATACCTGCTACCTCACATAACAAAGGTAAAATATTTTGACGACTTTGAATCAATCAAAGAGCTTACTAACTCATTTTTTTTTTTTAAAAGTACCCAATAACCTTGGGCGCGACGGGGCTGAGCGGGTCAATAAGTGCTGCTGCACACATGTTTGGGAATCATGACTGTACGGTATGCCAGAGTATTGACATTAATATACCAAAGTACCATCAAGAGTCTCGCGCAGGTTATGCCGTATTGCGTTAGGCTTTTGTCTGACGAATGTCGCTCAATGTAAGGGGGCGACGTCCAATAGCAGGTGGCATCCATTGCACAGCGGGTGTACGGCTTGTTAAGTAATAGATGCATAAAATAAATACAAGGTGTGATACGGATACAGTGCATCGACTTGCGGTAGCTATTGAAATTATATACAGTTATGTCTTAGGGGTTAAAAAGCAAAATGCTGACTAATGGTAGGTAAGAGTGTCCAGGAGTATACTGGTATACACAATCGATTTGAGATCCATCAAGTTGGATGGGACACTTCCCATATCCGTCGTAACTGGGCAATCATTTCCTTTCTGCGTCCAGGCTTGAATCCATATTTTTGTAAAGCATTCTACATCACATTATTAGTGTATAAGGTCCAGGGTACCCATTTCTATTCAACATACCTTTAATTCAGGCAACATGAAGTTGTCATAATCAGGCATCGTGGCCGCTGTGGTTGTACGGGGGGCCGGGTTGTTGATTGGCGAAGAACAAGGATTATATGCCCCACCTTGTTGAGAATCCGGGCCTTCGCGAAGATCGTCGTTGGATACAAGGTCAGCTCTGTAAGAATCATCGATATCGTCGCTTAAAAGAAAAATGTCGGGTTCCCCTTGAGGGTCGCCATCAGAAACCGAAGACAAGACGGTCCTTGGATTCTCGCCCACGGAGATGCCTTGCAGGACATCATTGGCGCTATCGGTAAGATCGACAAGCGACAGGGAACTGGATGCGTGTTCGGCATTTTCAGCATCCTCGGAAGGAAAATCTTGCCCTGGTTCCGATATCTGTAAACGCAGGAGATTATTAACACGATGCTGTCTTAAACCTTGTGTTATACCGTGCAAAAGTACCTGTGTCGACGTCTCGAAGACCGGTTGCCTGTCTTGATAAAAGCTTACACATGCCAACGCACGAGCAAATCGCAAATCCGTTTGCAGTAGACTGAACATGACCTTTTCACCGTCTTGTTCGTCTGACAATAACAAATTACCAATATTCGTTTCGTTCTTATCTTGCTAATGATGGTCACCCAAGGCATGTCAGTAAAAGGCTCAATAGTTATTTCGTGACATGTCTCACCTTAATATCATTCATGAGTGTCTCAAGAAACTGTTTATCATTGTCCAGCCAATGCGACGCAATGATGCCATCCTTCTGGCGCCAAATACAAGCCAGTTTGTCAAGAACCTTTTTTCGGTGCGCTGGATCTGTGCGAATTCTTGTGATATGAGCGGTGAGTTGGTCATGGTGGGAGGCGGTGAGGGACACGGGATATAGCCGGCTCGCCAGTTGAAGATCTTCCTGACAGTACAAAACATGCCTTGACTTTAAAAACCGTTGATCTGCATAAAGAGTACGTACGCCAGTGTCGTAAGAAGCTTCATAACCATCAATGACAGAACACGGCGAGTATCCCTGAGAGAAGAAGCGATGACCGGAAGCCGTTTCTGGCTGAGAAAAAGAGTGTCGCTGAATGCTATCCGTGTATGAGGAAATCGATCGCCCACACAGGCCAGGACTTGGAATGGACTCGGGAAACGAATGCATACTGAACGTTCCAACATTGTCATTATGACCATCGTCGACATGGTTCACGTCAGGGAAAGAATCGGCGGTGGTGGCTTCACCAGGCATATTGTGAGTTGTTTCTTCGCACATGATCAGTGTAGCCTGGGTTATCTCCAGGCACGCGTCAATGTGAGCTTGTCGATCTGCTTCGCGTGTCGAGCACGTCAAATCCTCGTGACAAATGGGGCAGATGAGCTTGCCCAAGTAGTGTTCAGGTCCAAGGTCGCTCGAGGGTGGCGAGCCATTGGCAGTCAGTGACAATGTTGATTCGCCTTGTGATCGTCTGACTTTGAGCCTCTTCGAAGTGTGAGAAACAATATTGGAAGATCGTGGATGGCTTGGTTGGGCCTCTGGATGAACCAATATCAAAAAACAGGTAAATTTAAAATTCTTTATAAAAATATATATTTTTGGGATTTTTCTAAATTCAGGTGAGCTAGAAATTGATGAAAATGTTTTTTCGGCAATTTTTTATATATATTATTTTTTCAATTTTTAATTTATAGAGTTTAAATATATTTTGATATTTTTCAAATCCCGATTAATCCCTTACTGAAAGGAAAAAAAGGTTTTGTGCTGCGCGAACCACTCTTGCCATGCAGGAAAGCTGCCAAAAAATCCTGCATTCTGATTGGTTGATCGGCCGACGGGAGGTGGGCTCTCTTCATTCAGCCTGCAAATGAATGGCAAGGCTGCCCTACTCATCCCAAAAAGTCCTCCCTTTCCATTCGAAGCTACAACCGCTATGGTCAAGTTCATCAAGGCTGGTAAAGTACGTATATTTATGATGGGTGGATGGATGGACGATTTTACGTTGGGATTTGGATGGATGGTTCGGGTTTATAATGATGGTCTGTTTGGTCGTTCGTCATACTCAATAATGGGCATAATTAGGTTGTCGTCATTTTGCAAGGCCGCTATGCTGGCAAGAAGGCCGTTGTCGTCCGCAGTATGTATTTGTTTTCTATATCTTATTGAATAGGCTGTGATATTCGACTTGGCATACGCAGAGGCCCGGGAATCTTTGAGCGTAAAACAAATGATGGTATACAACGACACCGACCCACGACGAGTTTTTATCACGGGAACGATTGGCACAGACGCACGTCAAAAAAAGAAGAAAAAAGAGTCGATCGATAAGCGACAACGACAATATGCCCATTGTACTCAAAGATTCTCGGGTAGCAGAATGCTACGTTTGACAGCAAGACGATGGGTGAATGGAAAGGGCTGATAGTTCTTTTTTAATGATAGACCACGATGAGGGTACCAAGGACAGACCCTACGGTTACGCCGTTGTGGCCGGTATTGAGCGTTATCCCTTGAAGGTGACTAAGGCCATGGGCAAGAAGAAGGTCGCCAAGCGCTCCAAGGTCAAGCCTTTCATCAAGATTGTCAACTACAACCACATGATGCCCACTCGCTACGGTTTGGAATTGGAACAGATCAAGGGCACCATCTCTTCCGAAACTTTCAAGGAACCTACTCAGCGTGAAGATTCCAAGAAGGTAAGAACTCTTTAATTCTTATTATTGTAGGTTGGATCACGTCGCTCAACCCGTTTTTGTTTGAACTATTCTACAGGTTATCAAGAAGCTCTTTGAGGAACGTTACCAGACTGGCAAGAACAAGTGGTTCTTCAGCAAGCTTAGATTCTAAGTGTTTTTCCCCCCCACGGATCCTCTTTCTTGTCCCCTGCTATCGTAAATAAATAGATTGTAATATCACTACGTTTTCCAGGTGGTCAATGCGTGCTTCATCGGTAGACAGTGGTGGAAAGCATGCATTTTATTCAACTACACGCGCCGGCCGCCGATCTCTAAAAAAGCTTCCACTCATATAGCCAACCTCGGAAATAGAAGACTAGGGGTTAATCACACATTTAGATCACAGGAAATTGATCAATGGGAAAGATATTGATAAACTTTTTCGTTGAATTCGATACCGCAGTCATAGTGATATCAACCACGACGAAATCGATTACGGATTATACCGTGCTGCCTCGATAGGAGAACACGAATCCATCTGTAAAAATATCAGATTCCTTGTTTTTGATAATGTACGTATTATCGTATTTATTGTAATAAGGGAACAGACCGTCCAAGGTGGCATTTCCACCATCCAATGCTTTTTGTAAAAAAGGTCTAAGCAATGCGGTAACTCACTGTGACGCCACTTGTGGGCGTGACGGTTAAAATAGCGAGGGCCCGCTGGGTTGGTTTGGGCAGACTTTCAGGGAACGGGGCAGCGACTGGGAAATAGTTCATTTATCTATTCTTTTTTCATTGAAACGATTATGGTGACATATGGTGGAGGTACCTATCGACAATTTTAAAGAAAAAACGTTTGAATGATCAGCGGCCCTCTTACTCGTTTTTTCTTGCCATTGAAGACGAAGTCAATGCGTTGGTAATGGATGTGGGATCCACCACCACACGCGCTGGCTATGCAGGCGAAGATACACCCAAAGCAGTCTTCCCTACGTGCTACGGATATCTGGAAGAACCTGATGTAGATCCTTCTTCCCAAACCAAACCCACCGACGGCGATATCACCATGACCGAAGCAGCAGCAAGCGAGAGCTCCGATCCGAGAGTCAAAAAATCATACTTTATCGGTGACACGAAAATCAACACATGGCGAGCGAACATGGAAGTGAAGAATCCCATGGAAGACGGTCTAGGTAAGCAATGCAAGGAAAAGCTTTATCAAGGGGTTGGCCTCCCATTTGTGTTTTCGCTAACTCGAAACAAAACCGCTAGTCACCGATTGGGATGCCATGGAGCAGATTTGGAATGCGACTTTCCACAGTATGATGCGCGTCAACCCAACCGAACACCCTTTACTGTGTACAGAACCCGCTTGGAACACCACTGACAAGCGTGAAAAACTGGTAGAATTAGCATTTGAAAAGTTTGATTTCCCTGCATTCTACTTGGCTAAAGATGCTGTCATGACTGCGTATGTTGTTGAACCGAATCAGAGCCACACCAGACGTGTTTCGAAATTTCCACTCATCATTCTAACGCCTAAAATGTAGATTTTCGGTGGGAAGAGCAACGGCACTGGTACTTGATGCTGGAGGCAGTTTAACGAGCGCCGTACCTGTGTATGACGGTTATGTCCTGAAGAAGGGTAGGCAATTTTTTTTTTTTTTTTTTTTTTTTTTTTTTTTTGAAGCGCTGGCAGTGCAAGGACTCACGCCTTTTCCCTTGACAGGTATTCTGCGACAACCTATTGGTGGTGATCTACTGACGAGAGAGATCCTGCAACAGCTCAAGACCGAATATCAATATGATGTGACTCCTCACTACAAAATTGCGAGCAAGAAACATGTGGACAGCGGCCAAGCGCCCGAGGTACAGCTGCGCGATCGTCCCGGCACCACGCAAAGCTACCACGATTATCAAGTTTCTGTACGTAACCGTATAGGCTTTTATGGAAGTGGAAAAACAATGGAGGGATATTGACAATCACTGTTTAGCGCGTCATTCACGAATACAAGGAATCCGTTTGTCAAGTATCGGAAGTATCTTTCGATGAAGGGTAAGTGGAAAGGCAAAGGGTGCTTTTTTCTTGGAGATCAAGGTCTGATCCTTATTTGGCCGTAGCATTGTCGCTTCGCGTCCACAGAAACCTTTCGAGTTCCCTGATGGCTACAACAACTCGTTCGGTGTGGAACGTTACCGACTTCCGGAAATCCTTTACCAGCCAAAGAATTTCGTGCAAATCGTAAGTCGGAAACATCCCTTTTTCATCACCTCTCTTCATTTTTTCTCAACCTTTTTTATTATTTGCCAAAAAAGCCACAACAGACGGAGGACTTGGGAGACAACGTCAAGATCCCTTCCGTGGGATTAACGCAACAGCAAATCGACAACAGCCTCGGTATGCACCAATTGGTGTATAACAGTATATGCAACTGCGATATCGATCTTCGACCTCTTCTCTTCAACAACGTGGTGGTCACTGGCGGCAGTACCTTGTTCCCTGGTTTCAACGAACGTCTCAATTATGAATTGCCTATGATGGCACCAGGTGTATGTATATTCGTAAATGATAGTATGAGAGATGCACCAAAAAACTAGAATCTAACGACATACGGAAAAATAGAGCAAAATCAAGATTCATGCTGCGGGTAATCAAATGGAGCGTAAATGCAGCAGTTGGCTGGGAGGTTCGATTTTGGCATCGTTGGGCACCTTCCATCAATTATGGATCTCCAAGAAAGAATACGAAGAAGTTGGCGCCTCCATTGTAGAAACCAAATGCCAGTAAAAATTCCATCGTCGTTTACTTATTTTTTCTATTTACATCCTTCCTTTTTTTTTTCTACTACTTCTTCTTTCTTTGTTCCATTTTTTTTATAACATGCTCTTTTCTTCATTCTGATCATACTGTCTTCCAAATATTGTCATTTGCGTTCTTTAATCTGCCCGTTTGAACTTGTCGCTCACGATTTCTCTAAATTCTGAAATAATTTCGTTTTCACGTTTCATGCGTTGTTCTTGAGCATGCTGCAGTAACACGCGTTTTTCTTCCGCAGAAATGACCTGATTTTCTTTACGAAGACGCACAGCATTCATACGACGATGTCTACAACGAAAAAAAAAGACATTATTTTCAAGTTCGGCTACGGCCTATGATGAGTTGGCTATTTTCTCTTACCTGCTACCGCTCATGACATAACCGGCTTTTTCGAAATCAGCAATTTCTTCACCACTTAAACCAATTTCACCACGACGAGGAATACGTTTGCCTTGCTGTACATAAGCCGCCATGGCAGAACCTTCACCAGGAAGCAACGCTCCACCATACCTAAGCATCCAATTCGCGTCAGTCCTTCTTTGCATCATGACCGTTTCATTTCCTTTCCACTTACGCTCTCTCATCGGGCATATCGTCATCTGCAGAGATGGGTACAGGGCCCACAGGGGCTAAATCGTCAGCGATATTGACTAAATGGAAGGTAGCATCATTTGACAAAGGATGAGTAAAAAACTTTGAAAAGGTGAATTAATGATAGTTACCTTCTTTTTCCACCCACAGGTCGTCGACGGCATCGAGTTGTGATTGATCCACTTCAAGAACAGTTTCTTCTTTTTCCGGTGTATGCTTATTTAGACGCATATCTCTGTCTTCAGTTTCTGATTCTGAACTTGAGGAGGAGGACGATGAGGAAGACGAGGAGGAAGGGGTAGCATGGCGTCTTCTCTTTTTATGTTTGCTGGATCTCTTTCGACGACTGGATGATTTCTTATGTTTGTGTTTTCGCCGACGACGACGTTCCTCTTCACTGCTGCTTTCTGAATCCTCACTGTCGGACAAAGCTCGACGTTTACGTGACGATTTCCCATGTTCTGGTGTCAGTGAACGACGACGAGGTTCAGGAGAAGGCGCCCACACCATCACTGTGGTTTGTTGTCGGACTCGTTCACGACTAGAAAAAAGAACGAGATAAAGTTAAGAAAACCCTGCAACAGTTGAAATTCAGTGGGATACTTTACTATGCAAGAGCCGATTCCCCGGGGAGTCTGGGAACCCCATTAATGATTTCGAATTCATCCTTCTGATCTCGTCTTCGACGGTTGTTGGCGGGCGATCGTGGGCTGTCGCGTGAATAATTTCGGCGGCGTGAATAAGATGACGATCGATCTTGTCGGCGAGGAGAAGGTGAGCGTCGACGTGGAGAGGGTGAACGTCGACGTGGAGAGGATGAAGGTCGACGTGGAGAAGGTGAACGTCGGTATCGACGAGGCGACCGTGATCGGCTACGACGGCGACGATAAGGTGAAGGAGATCGTTGGTAACGACGAGGTGATCGAGAAGAAGGCATCATTCTTATATTCCAAAGATGAAAAAGGGGAAATGCTCAAAAAGATGCAGTGAAGAAAAAAAAAAAAGAGCCAGCACTTTTGTCTGCAAGAAGCGAAACCGAGCGATTGAGTGTGACGTCGGTTTTCTTGTGCTTGGATACCGTATTATTACTCCGCCCACGATTGTTCTGCTACGCTCAGTGTCTGAACGGATGCCTACAAGTCGTGCAGAATGGAATCGCTTAGATCTGTCGTTACTCGCTTATTTGCAGACATACAGGATGTGAATACCGCGGTAAGACGACCTGTCATTGTCCGTTGCTCGTACTCCATTGTAACATTTCCTTCTAGGATCTGCTTCCGTCGGGATTGGCTGATGGCGAAGCTTATTACGGGCAAGTAGTTTGCGACTGCGCTGGGAATGAGGTCCTCACTGCGACACATCAGGAATTAATACTGTTCCATAGCTTTTTTCGCCGAAAATCAGCCAAACGAAGACGTGTTCACTTGCTACATCCAAACGTTGATGTGGAAGAAGAACGTTACGATAACTCGATTCTTCCCTTTCCTTTGCACACGACTCGTTTCGACTTTGATAACTTTGTGCATGAGTATGTGCGAGCTTGTCAAATTGGTGGCATGGTAAGCGAGTAGATCTCCGTGGAGAAGTCAAGATGAGGACCTCGGAAGCATAAATGCGTTTTTGATTAGATCGAGCCCCTGAAGACGGTCATGTTGAAATACGTTGAAACACCGTTAACTTTAACCAAATCGATCCGGCTCATGACGTTTCTTCATCACCTACTGCAAGTGATTCCCGTCACGCCCGCCCAACCGAGCACGGCCACAGTTTCCTTTGCGCCGTTTCCGCTCGGTCAGCTTTTCGAAGAACTGACAGTGAGCATCTCTTTTCGAACTACGCCAGCGCCGACGCCGACCATGCTGTCAACGTGGATCATCACCATGCAGTTTATGCTTTCTTGTCTCCGAAGCAACAGTCGTCAGGCCCTTTTCAACGCCGGACTCACCAATCCCGTGATTCTCGGCATGAGCAAACATATCTTGTTGGAACTCACCCGTTTACCGTGGAAACAGATGGATGATCTGCAAGAGACATGCTTCTCTTTGGGTCAAGAAATGCTGAATTTCTTTTTCCTCAAAGACCAAAAGTCCGGCCAAGGGATCGACAATGCAGCTAACCTCGTTCACGTGTCTTATTACGACGTGATTTACTCGGTAAGCACGAGATACGACATCGAAGAGGATCGGAAATGATTAACCGTTGAATGTTCACTTGATCCCTCTTTTAAAAAAAACAGTTCCCCGAGTTTTACGGTCATTTTTTGAATACAGCTCCACCCGTGGTGGTGCCTCAACCGTCGATTGCCAATCACAAAATATGGATGATGACATTAAATTACATGATAACATCGATCCATCAAGAGCCCAAATTACTCGACAATATACCTACTCTGGTGGCCATCAACATTATCAAGCATATGCTTCGTGAAATCAACACCTTGCCATCCAATTTATCTACCGGTGAAGTAAACTGTGTCAACAAAGGGAAAGAGCTGATCAACTTGCTATTGCTCGGTCCTTCGGATGACGGCGCCGGAGCGGTATCGCATTACGATATTATTGTGGCGGTAAGCAATCGTCTTTTTCCGTGCGGCCTCAAAAGGCTCATATTCAAGAGCGTATAGTTACCCGATGTGTACGGCCATTTTCTTCGCGGCACATTTGCACAAAGTGTTCATTGGACGATGGAAAAGTTTATCAATGAACTGGGGAAAAGGCGACGGCATCTTGCGTTTTTAATGATGCCTCCAGGTAAGCCATTGCTACGTCTCTTCATCGCTAGAAATGTACCTGCAAAAGCATAACAATCAAATATCACAGACGCGTCTTGGCCCTTGATCTACCAAATGAGCCGTCGACATGAATACAATGATCTAACCACGCGAACAAGTTTTCACATGTTTGAAGGAGATCTGGTGAGTGAGCTAAAGAAAGAAAAAATGAACCCTATGTCTGATCTATTTTATTTTCTTGCAAAAAAGATTGATTTTGTCAAGGAAGGCAACTCGACCAACATTGAAACCCATTTTCGCGACTTGTTGTTCCAACGAGCGTCCATGGATGAATTTCGCCAATTAGCCATGTCTCTCAGTCAATCTGGACTGGATAATACGCAAATACGAAAAGCCATGGTGGCCAAGGCTAGAGATGTGATTCGTTGTATTCAACAGCACAGCCGGCCAGGCAAACGGGACGGTAAAGCTTTTGTGGGGACTGTATGAAAAAAGAACAAAGATGAGACTGACGATGGTGCGGTGTTGCATTCAACAGTAAGCGAACGAGAGAAAGAATCATTCAACGCAGCCCACGGCGGTATTCGTGGCGAAGATATCAAGATGTCAATTCCTTCCAATATGGATTTGTGGGAACTGATGAATGAAACCGCAGATCAGTTATACAGTTTCGTCGCTGCAGAGTGAGTAGATGGACAGAATCCAAGAATTTCTTTCTTTCTTTGTTTTACAGTGACACTGACCAATTGAATGGCAGGTTCTTCTCTTATGAAGACATTTTGCAGGATTTTTATGATTTAGTTTATGCTTCCGATGGCGAAGCTTATCCTCCCGGTACCAAAGATCGTCTTCGCAAAGATAATGGTCTCGTGTGGTTACTGCTGCAGTTATTTTGTAAGGTCACAAAACCCCTACTGGATGATCAATCAGGACTTATCGAATTTATGCTTGACTTCTAGATATCGAAAAAGTGTCGTCGACAGTCATACAAAAGGATTTTGAAAATGAGGAGACATTGTTTGATAAGCTAGTGTGCTTATACAACGAAGACCAAATCCTATCCATGGACGCCTTTTCGTTACGTGATCTGTCATTACAGTGTGCGGTTAGTATTATCTCGTTATCCAAAAAGAAGAAAGATCCAATTGGTGTGCTAACACGCTTTTTATAGATTAACCATCAAAAAGATTCTATCAAGGATGTCATCAATATCAAGCAGCGCCATCCAAAACTTGCCGCCTCACTTCGATATGCGGGTCTTTGTTACCAAATTCAAGTATATTTTAACCATCATTATCATAGTAAGTTTATGCATGGAAGAACTACGGACCCAGACCTGAGCCATCTTATATATAACCCTTTGCTACGTTACTAGAAAACGTGCCTACCAATTTTACATTATTCCATAATCTCGATGCTCAAGAAATGACAAAAGTGGCTATCGAAAGTCAACTGATACAGGATGTGGTGCCTTATACGTTGTATGTGTATCTGGTCCCGACCAAGGCCGACATCGGCACCCTTGGTCACCCTTCCACCACCTACATCAAGGGCGGCACTTTATGCTACAAATTACTGGATTTGCTCAGCGTGAACGCAAAACATCGGTACATATACAAACAACATCAAAAACAATGCGGCTGCTGACTCTCATGTCAAATTTCTTCTTTTATATGATTAGATTACTGCAAGTGATTTACAAAATGATGCTGGATAGCGAATTGGGGCCACGGTATCAGGCCAATACCTCGCCACCCATTGCGTGTGTGCCACCCCAAGTGTTGGATGTAGTTTATAAGCTACTGTATAGTGCGCCTTGTTCGTAAGTGGATCGTGAAAAAATGGATCTGTTATTCGAGCAACAGATAAAAAAAAACCGTGGATGGGGTAACGAATGTGAATGTAGAGCCGAATTGATGATCAAGGAAATCTTTGACAAACTGCTGCGATGCGACAAACTGATCAAAATGCGGACGGATGCTGAACGCAATAATGGGGAAGTCGTGCCATTCCCTGATCAAACCATGCGCTGGTTGCATACCATGCTTCAGCTGATGACCTATCGCTTTGTTCGATTCTTAAAATATCCTTTTTTCTGATAACTTCATGATGAGGCATACCATAGGGCTAACGGTTGTCTTGACGACCTATTCATTTTTTCTCACCTTGGGATCCTTAACCTTTGGCTTACATATTCTCCATTGTCACCAGGACTGCTGCATTACATTCGATATTCTATTTCTCACCTTGATCACCGGCAGGGCTACCGAGTGGTGGAATCATTTGCATCGAATATCATTGTAAGTACATCGTATCACAAAATATGCAGGGGTCCGATTTTTTAATAAGAAATGCTACTCATTTTTTAGCGAATGCAAATCGATGTCAAGGTACTACGGTCTCTGGATGATCCCAACCGTGATAAGCCAATCTGGTTTGCCGAGTCCGAGATGTTGGCTCGAGCCATGGTAGCCACCATCAGCCGTCTGATTAAAACAAGAGGCCAGGCCGATATCAAGACCGAGCAAGTGTACCGCGTATTATCCAGCTTATACACGTACAAGCTCGAATGGTCGCCAGAGTCCATCCAGTATTTCCCCAAAGCGATACGACAATTTTATACGGACCCCGATTCGCCGAATCAATCCATCGCCTCTCGTCCTGCCGTCGACCCTGCACGGATCCAACAATTGCTCACCAATAACAAGTCGTATTCTGCCTATCTTTTGCAAGGTTCGCCCGAGGCCGAGCGCGAGGTTTTACAGCACTTTGGCACACTTGAACATCAACCAGATTTACTGTGTATGCTTTGGATGATGGCGGTGATGCGACAATCCGTGGACGGATTCCATATGCCATGTAAGTGAATAGATTGACAAAAAAAAATCAAGCCGCGGTTGATCATGATTTACTCATGCTTCGGTTACAGCCGTCCGAAAATTATTATTGCTGATTGCTCCATCAAGAATGGCGACCAACGTCATTGACCTGATTGATTTTGTGCTACTGATGGATCCACGCACGAACAATCGTGATATGGTAAAAGGGAACTTTGGGGAGATGTGACGGAATGGATAAGATGCTCATGACGGAAAAAAATTGTAGTGTGGCATGTTCCTGAATACGATCATTTGGAAGTATCAGTGGGTTGATTTCAACCATGTGATTGCTGCGTTGATGAAGGGGAGCGGATCGCCGGAACGTACGACGCGAGCGTTCAGTTACGTGCGTTATTTACTGTGTGAATCACATGAATTCCAGAATCGAGTGAACAAGTGGGATTCGCTTGAATTCAGTCCTCGCCATTGGACCGAAGAAGATTTCCACGAGAAATTAATGCGGTACCTGAACGAATTTCCCGAATACCACGAGTTTGAAGCGTTTGCACGGAGCGATCATGCGTCCACGACGTTTGATCCGCCACTCCAATCTCCGATGCCGATTTATTTGACAAACGTCATTAGCGAATTCATGGCAAGCTTGGAATTACTGATTACACGATTAATCGAACACTCGCAAACCGACTTGTTGGGCGAAATTCTGGATCGATATGGTCATCTATTCTATTCCCATCCATATCCACTGTCCTTTGTCTGCAACCTCCTCCTCTACTATTATCCTTCAACCACGCTACGAGATACCCGTATCTGTAAAAAGATACTACGACTTTTAGGTAATGAATCCTCCTTCAATGACTCCAGCTTGGACCACTCTACTAAACTACTTTTTTTGACTGAACACTTTCGTGCTGCTTTTTTATTCATAGATTTTAATCAGTACGACATTGCGCCGGAAGCGATGATGTATTCTCGAGACGAGCAAATGGATGGCAGTGCATTCGATACGGCTTACTACGAACGTGCCATTTATAAACTTGTTGAAAGTATGTATCAAAGATGTCGTTCTTGTCACTGTCATCCGATGATTTAAACTTTGTATTTCAGATTTGAATCCACAGAAATGCGCTCCAAGAAAACGACCCGATCTTCCCGAAAGACATTTCAGGGAGATAGGAAGTCCGGCCATTGAAGCGATTTCCATCGCCACGCTTGAAATTATGTTGACGCCGGTGATGCCGGAAAAGATTGTCAAGCATATTCTTGACATGGCTTTACTGCGTGGGTCGCACCATGTGGGAGTGTCTGCGCTGACGATTCACGCGATCGGCTTGCTAATGTCATCGCTGCCATCGGATGCTTTTATGCGTCTGATCTGGGAAGAACTTAATCAAGTGATTTTGACCAATCGGTATCTTTTGGAAGTTTCTGAACCTTGTCGACTGGTAAGTGAGAAAGAACGCATCCGGCGAGGGAAGAAGATAATTGAGCTTGTTTCTATTTTTTGTATCAAAAAAGATCCGTTGTGGTGTCCCGAAACGAACGAATGGACGTTATGTCATGACACCTTCGCTTCCTGATTTCTCTACGACAGCGATTCTCAAAGATTCGATGAGTGTGCGACTGCGGAAGGCCATGATGTTTCCGTATATTTTCAACGACTACAAATTTAATCTTCATAATTACAGCACCAATGCGCCCAACAGCTTCTTGTGTCTCTTTCACAGTATTCTCCACTACTCGAGTTTGGATGCTTTTAGTATCTTTCTGGAATATCTTCGATCACTACGATTATCCGGCCGTTTACGCACCGATGTCCAGCTCTTGTACATCTGCTTCCTCATCGGTCCCGCGCTGCACAGACTCGACAAGTTGGACAGCACGGATGCAGAGGTAAGCAAGTTTATTTCTTTATGAAGCGTGGGCAATGACTGACAAGGTGAAAAAATTTTGATAGCTGGTGGTTGAATTGATGTACATGGTGAAACAAGTGACGAGCCATATGGATATGAAGGATGGCTGGTCAACTCAGGCGTTAGAACAAGTGTTTGATTTCTTGTAAGTTTTTAAAATTTGTCGACGAGATGGGATGATTTTTTGGTTGTCATCAAGCTCAACGGTTGAAATGTTTAGATACCATATTCGAGTACGATTTGTGAAATCGACCGAGCTCGCTGTACAATTGAAGGACATAATCCGATCCATGAAATCACCGACTTCGCAACGTCTTTTGCGTCTCGTGGTATGAAAAGAAAGAGAGAGAGAGTAGATCTTTGTTTTATGATATTCAATGTAATATACGTGGATAAAAAAAACACTCAACCCATCATTTCATACATACGTCAAAAAGAGACAGGCCAAAGACAGTCGTCCCCTGTGCAAGTTTTTTATAATTTACGCATTGTGCGGCGCATAAACTGTCGCATGGTGTTATCTTGTCTATTTCCAAAAAGAGCTAATGAGCCTGGGAAAACCATGTTGAAAATGGTTTAATGGAAACTAGGCTAATAGTTGCCTTCCTTATTCAAAATCGATCAATTGGCGGTGGTGTGCGTTTGCGCAGGTTCTGTTGCTTGGGTTGCGGTGACTACGAATGGGGAATTGATGAGGGTCAGAAACGCGGTTTGAGTCGGAGGTTGGGAAATCATTTAAACAATCTGACACCTAAATTTTTTTTTTTCATTGCACACGGTGCTTTTAACTTGGCCGGAGTGAAACATTGTTGTCATGCAGCGCTTTGGAGAATTTATTTTCGTTTAGGGTCAACGAGAATGAGACTAAAAGACGATTTGCTTTTCTTGGGTTTTTTCATGCTATTTGTTCTTTTAAAAGCACGGATCCAAACAATCACATTCCAAAAATGACCGTTATCGAATCCGCTTGTGTATCAAGGTAAGATTAAATAAACAATCTTTTACGATTTCCCTCGATCTCTTTTGACCCACCAACCTGTGGTTTCATTGATACTCATTTTTCACGGTCAATTGACAGAGATCCAGTTCAGTATGTAAGAGTAAAGCCCCGAATCCATGACCAAAAAGTCAGTATTCATCACTGGTAAGTGCAAAGCCTGGAACTTGGTCATTCCGCCATTGGGGTCATGGTCATCATTGCGCAGCGCCGTAACCATCGCAATGTGGGTAGGCAACTTCGAGATCTGGTGTTGACTCGACAAGAACCTTATGCGACGGGACTCATTGTGCCTACCGGTCAAGACGTCTTTGAGGTAAATTGGAGATGAAATGTTTATCCAAGTCGTATGAAAACATAAACAAACAATACGGTAGTATAACTACAAAACCGGTCATCGAGAGTTTCTCATGAGTGAAATCGGGTATCCGCCCACATGCATGACAACAGGGTAGGGCTCTATGACGCCAAACTTACGTCCAAAGTTGTACAGCAGCAGATGATTAAAAACCATCATGAATTTTTTTTACCAGATTTGGATACGTTGCGGCCGGTGGACAGCGAGGTGATTTGACACTACGGAATCTGGAGAATGAAAATCAAATGTAGGGTGCTGATGAAATTCTTTTCAACTTTGGGACCCTGGCTTTAACTGTCTATGTAGGACCATTACCACATCTCCCAACTGTACTATCAATAATGGTCTTTGTCTGTCGCAAGTCCATGGTAATACACGCCTATTGGTAGCCAACAATGACGCTACCATTCGTGTGTTCACCGTTCCTTATCTGGAGCATATTGACACACTCAATTTCCGCACCGCCGTCAATCACAGTATGTAGATGACAAAAAAAAAAAAAAAAAAAAAAATCGAAAACTAAGCAAGAAAGCGAGAAAAACGACTCACCGACTCTCTCTCTTACTTTTTATTTCTCTTAAAATCGCAGCTGCTGTCAGTCCGGATGGAGGCAAAATGGTGGCTGTCGGTGATGACAATAATGTTCATTTGTTTGCCATCACGTTATCGGGTCGATATGATCTTGTGGCCACCATGGCAGGTAAATAATAACCTCTCACGCGCAAAAAGTAAGCGAACCGATTCAATATACTTACCAACCATCACATTGTCGTCATGATGCCACAGCTTCTCGTGATGCGAATTTCTCGGTTTCGTGGAACCATACCTCGGACAAGTTTGCGGTGGCGAGTCAGGACGGTACCGTTCACGTTTGGGATATCCGTAATCGACAACCGTTATGCAAATTTGGAGGCAATCAGGTATAACCAATTTTTCTTCTTATTGATTCCAACTTGTATGCAACTCGCTGATCCCATGCACGGTTCTTAGAATACGTCGATCACCAAGGGGGCGGCTCGGTGTGTGAAATTCACCCAGTCCGGTGCGGTGGACTTGCTCGCTTTCACTGAACATGTGTCCCACGTCAACATTATTGACGCACGGACGTTTGACGCCATGCAAACGATCCGTGTCGGTCCCGCAGCTTACGATACACCGATTACCGGTCTTTCGTTCTCACCCGACAGTCAAAGCATGTTTGTTGGTAAGTGTGAAGTGTGCGACCATCCAAAAGAAAAAATCAACTGAACCACCACTAAATCTCAAAATCGATTTGATTGAATTTTTAGGATTGGAAGGGGCTATTTTGGAATATAAAGTAGATACTGGTATGCGCCGACGCTTCCCGCGTGGTGCGCTATTATAATATTATTTTATTTTTTATTGGTTTTTTGAATGACACATGTAAATATTACCAACACTGTACAGTTTATATGAAACCTCTTTTTAGTCACTTTTTTTGTCTGTCGACGACCCAACTTGATCAAGAATGTAATAGTATGTATAAAGAAAAGAAGAAACACGCGAAATAATAATAAACAAGTGTAATGTGATCCGCTGTTGTTGTTGTTGTTGTTGTTCAAGCTGTAATACTGGTGACTTTTTTCATCATTTCTCGTTCCCATTCTGTTAAAAGATAGGCGGTATTGCTATTCCACATCATGGTGCCTCCCTTGGTACGTTGATCTACCACTTCTCCAAGCACCAGTAACTGATATTGTCTATTCTTGGCAATGGCTTTCGCGTCCACGCGGTATGGCCGAAGAAGATTGGGGGGTAAATTGTGACGAGGGGAGGGAGGATATCTTAGTAATCGATTCACTTTGTTCGTGTTGGATGAATTCAATGGTTTGCGTGATGGGGACGACGAGTCGTCATGAAGGGTCGAAGGGAGGTGGGTGAAATCGTCATCGCCGCTGTCCAGTTTTGTCGGTGTACTTGTACCACTACTGCAACTGTCAATTTCATCGCCGGTCGCGGAGGACAGCGCCGATTCTTCCACATCATCTTCCGGCTCCGTGTATGCGGGCCGCGGTCGTGGAGCGCCGCGTGGGTAATCGGAATGGTACGAACGCAGCATTCTTCGGCCAGGATCAAACATGATCAAATTTCGATTCCCGTCTTCCAATATTTCTATCCCAATCACCGTTCGACTGTGGCCTGAATGCTGTAAATAGAGCGGCGGTCGATCGGTGACGTGCACATTTTGGGGTTGTTGCTTTGATTGCATCAGTAACTGAAAGGCGTCCGTCTGCTTCTCGTCTTTGTCTCGCTGATCTGCTTTTTCTTCTTTGGTGGGTATGGCGCCTTCAAAATAGGCCTGAATCCAGTCGAATAAAATATCGTGCGTATGATTGGGTCCCGTTGGCCGATCAAAGTCCAGTACCGTACATCGAATCCCGAGGTAAACGAGCATCACATACACCTCTGTCGCGCCAATCCATTTACGCGTGTCGAAAACCTGGTGATTTAATTGTTCAGCCCCTTGCGGATCGAAACCTGTAGTGATTAAACATTGGCATGTAAGCATGATGATGATGATGGTGGTGGTGGATCCATCGTATTAAAAGCAATCGAACAGTAACTTGCCTTCGCGCCAGGCCTTCTCGAGAAGCAGTTGCAATCCGGGAATATCGGGTACTTGTTTTAATAGAGGTTGGGCTTGTTCTTCTTGCCGTTCGAGAAAAGTCATCAACATTTGACAGTTTCGATATCCGCAACCCCATCCCAGATCTGTGTATCCCGTGGAAATATGATCGGTATAAGGACTGCACAAGTACGCCGCCACGGTATTAGACTTTTTACTATTGGCCCGCGAAAATTGAGGTTGCAGTCGTGGAATAACGCCTAGTCAAAAAAAAAAAAAGACCATCCGTTTTTTCAGCAACCAATAAACGATCCAATTCGTTTCGATTGTCCTCTCTACCTGCTGTCCGGGATTCTTCTTTTAGAGGTTCCAGCATGGTCCACAGATCGTCGTCTTCATTGATCCTTAGCCGTGCCGGTTGAGTTTCGCTGGTACATATTCGTTTTCTATGCGCATCTACTGTGTAACCTTGAGATTGATCGATGGAATGCTTTCTCTAAAATACCAATGGATTTGGGGTCGTATTTAATCTTAGCCTGTCTTTTGTGACGTTGTTTTCCAAGCCCACATTTTTTCGTTTTCATTCTTTTTCCTTTACCTTGTTGGAAGACGTTGAGGACTGTTCGAGTAGTTGTTCATTTTCAAGTTGTTCTGCGAGATGCCGGTCTTGATGAAGTTGCATGTCGTCCTGTCCCACTAACCCTCGGCATTAGTCCCCTGCCCTTCACGAAGTTCTTCCTCCGTAGCCCTTCCTCCACCCCCCCGGTCTGTATCCTACCAAGCTGTTGACAGTGTTCAACACTGCAGCGTATCATGGGCTGATGGTCCGTGTCCGACATGGCTGAAAGGTTGAAAGGGTTTATGAAAGCGCAGCGTCACACATAAAAAAAAAATCCAAGTCGAAAAAAAAAATAGCTTCTTTTTTTTCAATCGCCTTTTTTGTATTACTTTGAAATGCCGCGCATCATGCCTGTCAAGCAAGGGAAAAAAAGTACATGTTTGGAGCTTCATACCCCCACGCGTATCTGCATTAAGAAAAAAAATGACATATAACTTTTTTATTTGAATAGTTTATATAAGAAATAACGCGATATTTGATAAAGAGCATAGTAGGATGCGTGAGCTGATTACTATCAAGTCATTTTTGGAAAGTCTTCATTATGGATGAACAACCATGGTTGAAAACATAGTTTTTAACACATCATTAGCATTTCACAACATTCTTCGGCGGCGCAGCAACACATTAAACCGGCACAACTAACGATTACTTCCAGTTAGTTAAGGCTTTCAATGAGAGTGAGCTCGAGGAACTTACCAAGCAAGGCAACTGTTTGCTGCCCCCGTGTCTCGTTGCGCTGGTTGCTGCACATACATTGGTTGTTGTGGCGGGTAGTAACCTACAATTTCGTCAATTGTAAGATCGTCCGTCTTGATTCGGAATCAAACCATGGTGGTTGTCCACATTGAACCCCATTCTTTTACCTTGTTGCGGGTATTGTTGCTGTTGTCCATAGTAACCGCCTTGGTACGGAGAACCTTGACCATAGTCTTGTGGTGGCGGTGGGGGATAATACTGTTGATTTTGATTGTACGTTCCTTGTTCGTAAGCCTTATTCGACATTTACAGATTTTGATGCGAAAGAATAATAAAAAACTCTAATGAGATAAAAAAACCGCGCAAATGATTAAGGAAAAAATGACCCCAAACGGGACATGCCAGCAATTCTCCGTTCAGTAAAGCCGCAGAAGCAGAATATGACATCATTGGTTTCAAATTTTTAGTGCGTTGACTTTGAAGCTATCCAATCTTCAAAGCTCATGAAAACAATCGATCGCAAAATTTAAATAATGTCAACCTTTGGACAGAGCATACATGCTGTGTAACCATTGATCTCGTCCCATTCAAAAACGAAAGTGGTAATTTTTTTTATTCGCCACTAATGTCCATTTTTCAACCAATCAAAGGTCGAGATCGTTAATACAATAGCACACAGGAAGACATGGAAGCCTATGGAAGATTAGTTTGAACAGAGAGGCACCAATACGATTCAATGCACAGGGGCGAGCCATAGAAAATAAGCTGCATTGAATCAGTCTATTTATCTGTTCCAATTGCAGAGACCACTGGTTTTTTTTTGGCGATTTTTCTATAGAGGGAATGTGTTGGGTTCAGCATGGTTCTCAGCAACGTAAAAGGGAAGAATGGCATCATCATGAGCAACCTTTGTGTGAAAAGCTTGATAATAGTTCTATGATGCAGAGATTTCCTTCAAATACATACTTTTTTCCATTGATAGTCTTGGCTAGAAATCTTTCATTGGAAAATTTCATTCCCCGCCCGACTCGCCCGACTTGCGGGCCATTCGGTTCGGACCAACCCAAGAAGCTCATCAAGGAGAGCCATCCAAACGACCTTCCTTCTTCCCCCCACTTATTATTGGTGAGTATTACCAATCTATTTTCTTAGTATTACTTGCATGGTGGAGGGTAAAAAAGAGGATGAATGGATGATGGATTGAGTGGATGGATGGTGACGATGGCTGTCAACCCTTGTCGTATCCGTGCTTCGGTAACTCGACCTTCAGCATGAGTAAGCAGCTCCAATGAAACGCATGCCGCAGTCGAAAAAGGAGACACGCCCACAGAACTTGTCTGCCATGTCGAGCAAAGGCCCTTGCACCAAAAAAGCAGAAAACTAGTCGATGGAAAATGACGCATTTTACGATTATTATTTTTTTTGCCGGCATTGGTCATGGTTCGAAAATCGAAACGAACAGCGACCGGTGGTCTGATGACTAATACAGGGTGGCATGATATAAAAAAAAGCGAGCGATGGATGTTGGGGGAATTGAGCAAAACCTTTTTTTTCCTTTCTTTCTTTTTCTTTGCTTACTCAACCTTTTCTTTTTATTCATTTTCAAAAAGGAATCAACCATGGGTCGTCGTCCCGCTCGTTGCTACCGTTACTGTAAGAACAAGCCTTACCCCAAGTCTAGATACTGCCGTGGTGTCCCCGATGCCAAGATCAGAATCTACGATTTGGGTCGCAAGAAGGCGCACGTCGACGATTTCCCTCTTTGCGTCCACTTGGTGTCCAACGAATACGAACAATTGTCGGCTGAAGCTCTTGAAGCTGGCCGTATCTGTTGTAACAAGTACATCACCAAGACTTCCGGCAAGGACTCTTTCCACATGCGTATCCGTGTCCATCCCTTCCACGTCACCCGTATCAACAAGATGTTGTCGTGCGCTGGTGCCGATAGATTGCAAACCGGTATGCGTGGTGCTTTCGGCAAGCCCAACGGTCTCGTTGCCCGTGTCAACATTGGCCAGATCATCTTCTCCGTCCGTACCAAGGACTCCAACAAGGCCGTTGTCATTGAAGCCTTGAGACGCTGCAAGTACAAGTTCCCTGGTCAGCAAAAGATCATCGTCTCCAAGAAGTGGGGTTTCACTCCTCTCTCTCGCGAAGACTACATCGTTGCTCGCTCCGAAGGCAAGCTCCGTCCCGATGGTTGCTACGTCAAGTTCGTCCCCAACAAGGGCAAGCTCAACGACTACTTCCGTGAAGCTAGCAGAGTCTAAATGGTTTTTTTTTTCGTTATTCTCTCTCTCTTCTCTGTCATCTCTCACATCCAATAAAAAAGGGGAAAACTATTCTTCTTTAAAAAATACAGCGAGTTGCTTATAAATCATGACAACCTTTTTTTTTTTATATGGAGATGTTTTTTATTTCTTCACAGGATATACATATGATTATGAATACAAAAAAAATGGTCGATTTGGGGAGTGCAGTTTTCATGGAAATGGTATCTTTTGAATAATGATTTACGCACTGCATTGGTCACAAAGCAGTGCAGGCGGATTGGGGGGAGGGATTGATGGGAGTTCTCAAGGTCGGTTGCTACAGAGATCGGGATGACAGTGGCTGGTAAAGTAAGCATGGTCCGATTCGATTTGCAGTGTGGAATGAAGCACACCAAACTGGTCGGAAACAATGCGCTGACCGGAAGTCAGAACCTCGTCATAATTGATGAGCGGATTCTGCGCCACGACGATATGTGCCGTCAATGAACTCTTGCCGGGCGACAAAGTCCAGATATGCAAATCATGGACGGCCACGACGCCGGGGATTTCCGCCAGTGATTTTTCAACGGCATCGGCTTGGATGTGTTGTGGTGCGCCTTCCATCAGTACGGCAAGGGAGTCCTTGACAAGATGGTACGTTGTATACAACACCAGAATTGAAAAGATAAATGTGCAACAAGGATCCATAAACGTCATTTCAGGCTTGAAGACAAGAATGATGGACGAAATCAGCACACCTATGATTCAAAAAATCAAAGTCAGTCTGCAAGAAAATATTTTCAAAGAGAAATTCAATGCCTTACCGACTGAAGCTAGCAAATCACCCAATACGTGAAGCGCCGCAGCTTGCAAATTGATATTCCTTTCCTGTTCACATGGATTCGCCGTGAATAGATCCGGTCTGCGTTTTTTGGCGAGAAGGAGCCAAGACAAAAAAAAAAAAAAAAAAAAAAAAAAAAAAATAAAGAGCCGTACCTTTTGAGATGCAGTCGTGGTCGCTTCGCCATTCTCCATGGCACGGTGATCATGTTTCCCCGAACCGTCGTGATCGTGATGACCCCCTAATACATAGGCCAGCCTGTAACCATAGGAATCCTGAATCAATACACGGTTGTCTGACAATGGGTTTCTGTGATCACTTTTTTTTCGCCTTTTGATCGCCTTATACGTACACTACATTCACAGCTACGCCGATAGACGCTGTCATACACATCTGAGAAAATCCTGGAGTGAGTCAATGCTTATACAAGAGAGTCTCCGTTTAGACGTACCAGTTTGGCATTGATTTCTTGTGGGTTTCGTAGTCGTGCAATAGCCTCTTTGACCAAGATTGCCGTCAGTACCCAGATGGTTAGCACCGATACCAGGGCAGCAATCACTTCGGCACGGTGGAACCCAAATGTGTGTCCTACAAAGGATGATGTGATCAGAAACTGCAAACCACCTTTCTCCTTTTCTTTCAGGGGTTTCCTTACGTTTAGTGGGCGGTTTCTCGGCCAAGTAAATGGCTACCAGGGCGACAATAAAACTGGCTACGTCTGACAACAGATGAAATGCGTCGGACATGAGGGCTAGCAAGTGATGTGAGTATCGGGCAATAGCAATCGTCCCCCTTTTTCTTTGTTCCTTCAGTTACCTAGTGAATTTGCAAAGTATCCGGCCGTCAATTCCGTAGCAAAGAAGAGCAAGGCTAGACAAGCGGCAAACATGATTTTCCGTTTGGCGGATCGGCTGGTTTCATTGGTTTTTGATACGAGACTGGTGCATGATGAAGAATACGGCAAAGGAGCATATTTAATCGCGGTGGTGCCATTGAACGGTGGTGGTGGGATGGAGTCCGATACCAAAGGCGTATGTTCGTCAATTTTATGCGTCATGGAAGAGAGAAAGACCAGAAGTGGACAAGGTGAGTAAAAGAAGATGCCTGTTTCATCCACGGTCTACTTTTATACCAAAGCGACAAAACCGAAGGTCCGCGGACCTTTTTGTGTTTTTTTTTTTTATTGTTTTTTTGTTTTGATGGCCCACAACATCAACCCGCGAATGTTGAGCGGGAAAGATGGCACTCCGTTTTTTTTTTGTTGTGTTTATCAGTGGACAATGCTTGGATTGAACAATGAATAAACAGCACGAGGGAACGCAGATTGGAATGATACATTATAGTTCAGGGGATTGCGAAGAGAGAAAAAAGAGACCACGTTACGCTATACAGAATAAAGTTTATCTCGGATGAGATACTTGTTGGAATGGAATAGGTCAAACTTGAATTTTTTCTCAACCTGTCAGATGGACGGAGGAAAAGCGGATGGTATGAAAAAGGCATTGACAGAGATGAAACCTTGCAATACCATGCGATCCATGGTACACAGTGGAAATTGAAAGGTTTGAAATAATTTTTCAGTTCCAACCACAACATTTCATCAATAACATGACATTTTATCCACACAGTTGACAATTAACCAGTTCAAAAAATTTCCCAAATCGCCAAATGAAGCAAGTTGTACTGTTTCAGAGAGGGACACTGTGTGTTTTTGTTTGGGCTTTTCAATCAAGAGCGAAAAATGAAGCCGGGCCACTTTCAAGGGCCTTGGACGCTGAGTGTGAATCTAGTTTTGGATTTTTTTGGCCCTTGGATGCGTTGAACTTTAATGCATATTTGAACTAACTGTTTATAGAAGGTAACAATGGAAATGTAAACAAAATGCAAAAAAAAACAGATTCTCTGCCGTCGGGGCCTGGCAAACAATCCATCCATGTTCATCGACCTTGCTATGTCCCGGACTTGCCGACCACAATATCTCTCTTTTCCAACAGTAGATTGTTGGGTTCTGCATGCACAGGAAACTGTCATTGACTTGTATGATAGATCATAATTTTGACCCTTTCTTCCGGTATCAAAAGAGTCGCACGCTGGTCAACGTCAACCAGTTATACGCAAGATAGCAAATGAAAAAAGTTGTTTTTCTGTGAAAACGACGGCTTGCAACGTTTGGCTACTTTTTCATCCAACTCCCTTTTCTCAGTAATTGTGACACTGTTTCTATTAGTGTGAGCAGCGAATTTTTCTATGAATATGAATAAAAATCGTGTTGTTGATGAACAACACTGCCTCATTTTTGGGTTACGTCGTTGGTGAAATATCAACACTTTCCAAGCCCGTGGTTCCTCGGCGCATTGGCTGTCAATGGATGTGTCACGCCATTGTGAACATGTTTCCAGGCATTTTTGACGGGCCAAGAGAACGCATAATAAATCTTATTTGGTCATGGTCAATGTATGTTGCGAATGCTCTGTGAATTGTGCTTAAAAACCGCTTTTTTCCATGCCTATATCTATGGTCTTTTTGTTTGTTATATGCATATAGAGACGGAATCATAAAAGCAAGCAAGACCTTTTCGACAGTTAATATTGAGAAACAAAGAATGCAAGACACTATGTCCCTTTATTAATCACATGGAGCATAGGCTAGTGAGCAGCTTCGTTCAGCAGCAACATGACTCGAGCAAAAAGATTTGCTGCTCATAACAAATATTAACAGCGTAAGATACGGCGACCGGGGGAAATCAATATATATTAGAGTGCGATACGTCCATATACCTGCACTAACTCGCCAAACATTACAGGTCATCTTATTTTGTGAAAATAACTTGACGTTTTATCATTCATTCACAAGTGACCTTTTTGATAGTTGGCAAGCATGCGACATTTTTTTACCTTTTTAGATTTTCGAACGCTTTGACGTTTTGGTGTGTGTGATCATTTTCAGGGTTTTTCAGGAGAGGTACACAAGTTTTATCACTGCCAATGTGCCAGAATCTTTCTCACACGTATTGTTGATTATTTCACACGCTTGTTGTAGGATAAGGGACTCAAACGATGACTCAAATAAGTATAATTCAAATTCTTTACCCAAATACACACTTTCAATGGGTATCACCAACGGATGCTTTTTCAATCGTTTTACGAACAAACATTAGACCTGGTGAGTGGATGGAAGCTCCTATAAACAATTCTTTATCAAACACTTCAGTACAAGGAACAGAATGTATCACTGATACTCTAAACTGTGATTCCGGTACCGCCTTCGAGATGCCAAAAAAAAAAAAAAAACCATCCCACCCTTCTTGTCTGCACTTACTGCTGTTTTAAATTTTGTTCTTTTTTTTTTGTGGGCATAGTTTGGCTGATATCGCGTAATGATATATCAGTGTCCAAACAACCATTTCAACGCTGTTTCATCAGGGGACTTTGGCCCGATCGATATAACGTGGATCCATTATTATCATTATTATTATCATTTCATTTGTAATTTACCAGGGATTCTTGAGTAAAGCATTGGTATCTGGATCGTAACACAACAATGAAACAAGAGAACGCTTACATAGTAACATACCGTCGTGAAATAAAGGCAAGACTGCCTAGTCACTGTTCACTTTTTGTTTTTAAGAAAAACGAGGCCACTGAGTCTAAAATCCTTGCGTTTGCTCTCATCAGACAGACGTGTGCATGATTGTGTTTGGCTCAAGAGATTGCAAGTTGGTGATTGATATTCGAGAGGTCTTGACGGCAAAAGCATGACCAAGTTTGCCTTTTGTTATTGCAGAACAACTGTTAAAAATGATCATAAGTCATGCAGCTATTCTTGCAAGAGCAAATGTTATCGGATAGTATCCGCGTGATGGATGCGATTACCTACGATAAAAAACTAGAAACACCTTACGGGAATAAAGCAGACCTCACTGCTATGAACTTGCATTGGATCACAACGTCTATACACAACAATAAATGTTGCTTACACCAAAATATAAATGTTACGATGATCAGAAGCTCCACAATGAAAACGTTTCCGACTCTGAGGCCCAGCAAGTGCATGGTAAAGGTAAAAAGGTGTCAGTAGCTTAGGAACAGGGTAATGTAATAGAAGCCTTCAATTCGATGCTTTTCGAATTTGTAATTCTCAAAATGTCTGTTTGGACTGCGTTATTATGTACTGTTCTTGAAGACACTTATAAAACTTTTCACAGTGAGAAATCACCTTTCCGTCATCACCAGGATACCAGTAACTCAATTTTATTGCCAAGCAGTTTTTTTTACGGGATTTGAGCCGCCTCACCTGTCCAGATACTCACTTGTGCCGTCGTTTTCATTACGGTGGACGATACATCTCTTTGCAAAATAGAGATTTGAGCTGTCTGAGAATTGTGGTTGCCGAGAGAACATGAAAGGTGCTACTTTGGTTTGATCCCTCTCGTTTGGTAAACAAAGCGCTTTTCAAGGTTTTTCATTACGGTGATGAAACAATTGCTCTAATTTTAGATTGATCAAATTGAATCATATGTTTTTTTTTCTTTTTTGGCCTTGCCTAAACCAGCTTTTTTTTGTATCGTTATTCGTTATTGGCTTTATACAGTGTTTTTGCAACCACACGGTCCAAAGCGCTCGAGTGTAAGGATAATACAGCACCAACAACTTTCCGGCCAAAGAGATATCCAAATGATCAAGTCATGTCGATAGATTGCAAGGCTTTTTTTTACTGATAAAGAGGGTTGATAGTGGCTGGAATGACCCGTCTCCTAAAGACAACATCCGCATTTGGCTTGTGCTCGCGATGCCGTTCCCTAAAATTGGATCGTACAAATTCATCTAGTATTTATTTGGGCGCGGGCCAAACGTGGAAGAATTCTTTTGCCGATCGCTGCAGGTGAAAAAGAAATGGGATCATAGCATGAAAGCCGCATTTCGTTTTTCTTTAGCTCTTTTCACAAGTATCGTTCGTGCGTTTGAGCGTAACTGTGGTCTCTTTGAATCACGTCAAGGGAAAAAAGGACAGTCGGAACCAGATATTCTCGGCTCAAGGAACGGTTGAATCGGAGATGAGAGTGTCAATGCAGGGCTTCGCCTTTTGAGGATCTATGACGTTACAGTTCTCTTTTTTTTTGTAACTGCATGATGAGGAAAAAAACAAGGGAGCCAGTGCCAATTTTTATGCTTGAAACGTTGTGCTTTCATCCATCTTGCCAACCTTCCCCCCACCCACCCCCACAAACTATGCGTTTTTCTGCTTTTTACATTTTTTAACGCAACATGAACACAGCTTGGGACTTGATCACTGGACGACATGGCGGCCCGTGCGTACATGATATAACTTTTAAATGATAAAATGAATACGTTGATTTTGTAAGAGGGTCGGTCATGGTTCTGGAACATGTACAACCGCAGTCCCTTTTTCATTTGCCGTATCTGTTGCAACGATGATCACGAGCAAAAAAGCAATCATCCAAAAGTAAAAATAAATTCTAGTAAATTGTTAGATAACACAAAGTGAAAAAAAAAAGAGTGCCAGAAAAAAAAACCGGTTGAAGCTCCTTATGTTGTATCTAGTTTGCAGTGTCTTTTTGTTATAATCAACGTGACTCTTTGTCTCTATTTTGTTCCCTTATTTTTTCCTTTCCTATCTTTCTTTCTTTTTTTTTCTGGTTCTTCCGTTCTTCTGTTCTTTTCGTTCAATTTACATTTTTCTCCGTTCCTTTTTTTGTTCTTCTTCTTCATTTTTTCTGTTTTTCTGCTTTTTTTTCTTCTTCTTTGGCCCAGTTTCTTCAATTTCGCTTACAGGCGTAACATATCAAGCACACACAATATTATATGCTTGTCCTACTTCAATGAGCATTCCCACTTCATTCGTTGTTGCCTATGTTGCTGGAGGCATCACCATGGTGCCATTGTTACTGTGCATTGTCGTCATTGGCAGCTACTTTTCCAAACCCATCGTTGCCGTATACCATGCACTTCGTGCCAAACGATCACAAGATCCTTGTACTTCGCCATTACCGGCTAACGACGTCATGCCCGATCTTGACTGGACGAGCGGCCAGTTTTATAAAGTGGGTTGGTTACGGGTATCTCGAGACCCTCAGGATTCGCTGCCGGACGCTTCTATCGGAGAAATGGTCAAATCGTACATTTCTCGCAAAAGTACCGCACGCAATGGCCAGTTTTACTTTGCCGTTCTGAAATACAGCACACTTTTCCTCTACGACTCGGAAAAACAGCTGGACTGCAAAGGCGTGATCATTGTGAACAATCACACCGTGAAAATGCATCCACCAGGATTGCAGGATTTCGAACTGTTTTCCCGTCCGCATCTCATCAAGCTAGAAAAGAAACTATCGTCGGTTCTGCTTCCTCACTTTGACGACGCTCAACCTCTGATGGACGAATCGGCGTATTACATCAACTGTAACCGTTGCATCGACAAGGAAGATTGGTATTTTGCATTTCGTCGTGCGAGTCAGCTTCAGTTGGCCGCCCACGGGGAACCTCCTTTATCCACACTCAAGCATATGCAAGATACCCTCCCGTTTGATCAAGTGGCAATGAACCAGCTGATCAACACTGTCTACAGCGACGAGCATCACCTTCAAACCCAATGGTTCAATACCATTCTCGGTCGCATGTTTTTTGCCGTTTACAAGACCGATCAAGTGAAATCCACTTTTTACAAAAAAGTGATTGCCAAAATTGATAAAATCAATGCCAAGCGGCCCCCTTTTTTAGGAGAAATTACCGTACGATCCGTCGATCCGGGCCATTCAGTTCCGTACTTGACGCAACCGCGATTGCTCGGGTTGAGTCCGACTGGGGAATTAACGGTGGAAGCCAACATGCAGTATGACGGCGGGTTCCGTCTCGAGATTGAAACGGTGCTCAAGTGGAAATATTCGGACCGATTGCGCCCTCTGACGATTGATCTGGTTTTGGGGATTGCGCTGAAATCGATTCAAGGCAAATTTCTCATGAAAATCAAAGAACCGCCCACCAATCGGTTATGGTACGGATTCTACGAACTCCCCAAGATGGAATGGATCGTCGATCCGGTGGTATGGGAGAAACGGGTCGGATATTCGGTGGTGGTGAAAGCGATCGAGACCAAAATCCAAGAACTGATCATGGAAACCATGGTGCTTCCCAACATGGATGATATCACTTTTTTCCCCACCGATGGGGTCGGTGGCATCTTTAGCAAGTCAGCCGACGAAGACCCATTACCGAAAAGAGAACCTGAGTCTCAAAGCCAAGAAGAAGACGACTCTTCTGTCACCGGAGGTCACAAAAAGGAGGCCCGATCCTCCTCCATGCCCACCGCCCGATCTGCTCCCTCACTTTTCGCTGCTACTACCAGTACTACTACTACTACCACTCCCGCAGCACCCGCGACGAAATCGCATCCGACCAAAGTACGCAAACGAAGCTGGTTTACCAAAGGCAGCACTACCACGAATCCGTCCTCGTCTCATCGGACATCGGAAGAGCTCCCGTCCACATCACAAGATCAACGACGAAAACAACAACAACAAAAGCAACAATCCTCGCCATCGACCGCTCACCCGAAACTGTCCGTCTCGGATACCACCGTATCCAGTCATCATCACTCGAGTGGCATGGAAGAATATCCCAATCAACGTGCGTTGATGAATCTGCTTAATCGAAAGAATCACGGCAACCATACCACCACGGCGGCAGCTCTTTATCAACCGAGTTCCCATCTTGCGATACCCAAAGTGGATCATGACATGTCCCATTATCATCCTCATTCGTCTTCCATGGCCTGTATATTATCCACGTCACCTGATTCGCTCAGTTCTTCGCCTTCCTCCAATGCCACCGATGATTCTTCCATTAGTCATCATCACAGCGTTGGCGATGAGGGTTCCATCCTTATTACACCTTCCCTCTCCGTGACGTCCGAATCCATTCAAACCGCGTATTCTCAGGGAACCCCCAATTCTTCTTCACTGACACTGGTCAACGAAGAGCTGCATGACGCTTTGCTTGCCATGGACAGTCATCAGCCGCACGATGCGCGTTTACGCAAATCATCTTCACTTGCTCGACTCCGATCGAAATCCCTTGCGTCCACGGCTGTGTCTCAAGTCAATGTGTGTCCTGCCATGGTCCACACCTTGGGAACACCATCGCACCACCAACCCATCACCGAGAAGAAAGACACGGAAACCCTAAACGAGACCGCCTCCGCATTCATCCACCTGTAAATTAGCCATCCCTCCGAAAGAAAAATACCTTTGACATGTATATGCACCATAACCCAACCGAAAAAAAACAAAGAAGGAAACAAAGTGTAGGAGAACCACGATACACATTTGTCCTTGTTTCCCAACGTTTTTTCTTCAATGTTCGTCTTTTAAAATAAATAGATACAATGAACCCATTGCGCACCTGTAACTAATACTCCTTTTTTTTGGTGCTTGCATCCATGCAGCGCGGTCTCCATCAGGTTGATTAGTAAAAAGAAACATTTGTCGTCTACGTGAGACAAATAACATGCATGCATGCATGATGGTCATGCAGTGCGCAAATGGTTTGGATAAGAATCTTGAATATACCAAATGCAGCAATCTAATTCTATGAAAAAAAAAGAAAGTTCTTGTGCTTGCTACAACAGCTATGTTTCGTCCAAAGGAAAGCGGAGCGAAAATAAAGAGATCAAATGGCAAAGTTTTTATTATTATTATTGTTGTTATTATTTGCACAAGATGATTACAAGGAAAACAGAGACGCAATGGAAAAAAGATACAAAAAAAAGAACGATTTATTGAACTGTGGTGGTTTTGTTGGCGGATGGGTAAGTGCTTTTGAGATCGGCCATCATGGGAGGTGTGGCAGGATCGACAATGGTATTGACAGGTTTGCCTTTTGTTTGGACGACCTGGGTTGCGATGGTTTTGAAATCCTCTATTGCCTGTGGCGTGATCTGATAGTGAAGCACGACGCGTGTGGTGGTACCGGGTGTGGAACTGATGATTATATTCTTCTGAGCCAATGGTTGTGCAAGGTCTTCAATGGTGATCCCCGTGGGTGCTGTGTCAAAAAACACCATATTAGTGTGGCAGGGTACGAGAAGGCGCATGCCCAGCGACTGCAGATGCGCAGCCAGATCAGCGGCCAGACGATGAGTTTCAGGCATCGTAGGAACCACAGTATCAATGCAGTGCTTGGCTGCAGCTGCCAAGCAACCAGCCTGACGCCATCCTCCTCCCATCAGTTTGCGAATGTGACGTGCCCGGGTGATGGTTGCTTGGGATCCGGCCAAAATGGACCCGATCGGAGCACCAACGCCCTTGGACAAACATACCGACACCGTATCAAACAAACGACCGTATTCGTGCATGGCAACACCGGTTGCTTGACTAGCGTTCCACAATCGCGCGCCATCTAGATGCATCTTGTATCCTTGCTCGCGTGCAAAGGCGCTGATTTGTTGCATGGCCTCCAATGGCATGACAGTGCCATTCAATGTATTTTCCAGTGAAATCACTGGAAGGATCATTAAAAAGTCGTCAAGTTAACCATCATGTTCATCTTACTCGCTTACTAATCACACAGTTCTTTTTTATTTTCTTACCTCGGGTCAGTGCTCCACACAAGTCGTCGGTAACCACGCCGGCTTTGACATCGTCGACGGTTAAATGGATGCCATTGGCCGGCTGCACGGGGGCCACATTGGCTTGGGAATGGTAAGCGATACCACCACATTCGTATAAAAAGACGTGGGATCGTGCGTCGCAAAGCACCGAGTGAGGTGGTTGAGTCAACAAACATCGTAAACCGAGCTGATTGGTCATGCAGCCGCTGACACAGAATAACGCGGCTTCCTGACCGAGCAACTTGGCCATATAAGCTTCCAATTGATGAATATCATGATCCATCTACAGGCCCGTCATCAAAATGGTTAGGTGATGCTGCTGATCTTGGTCCTTCAATTTGGAGGAGAGTGGGACTTACGTTGAATACATCATCTCCACGCGAAGCGGCTTTCATGATATCAAACATGGTATCGGTGGGAGCGGTGGCGGTATCACTGGTCAAATCATAGGCGGTCAATCGTGCACCATAGGGATCGGCAACAGTAGAAAAGGCCATGATGCGTGGAAGACGGACAATGGGACGTTGGAAGAGACAGCGTCTGAACAGAGGTGTCAAAATCATGGTTTCTCGTAGGCTCTTTTTATAAAACAATAGCGGAAAAAACCCGGCGGCAGTCCAAATCGAGTCAAATGGCCCTTGGCGGTTCCACCGTGAGAAAAAAAAAAGTGTATCTGGAAGTCAAAAATAAAAAAAAGTGACTGTGTGGCCATGCAACGATGGACACAAGGTTGATATTTTGGGGTCAACGGCGACTTGCCTTTGATTGAATCAAAGTTCATGGATTCCGAACCCACTAATGCGGGGAGAAAGAAAACCCATCAAGTCAACTCCGGTCCATTTGTTTGTTGCCTCGTTTTCTCACGGCCGTCAAAATGGCCGTCATTTTTTCTTATTTTTCCCGAGGAGGATCTCCCGCGCATTCCGTTCATTGTTGAAACCATCGCCATCTTTATCCATTTATCAGTCCCTAATTGATAGAACTTGAATCATCCAGTCATTCCATTTATCAAGCCCACCAATTCAGGCACCGTTTCATCCACTTGACAGCGTTCATGCAGTCAAACTTTTTTTTTTGTTTTTTGTTTAGAACGTTTATCGACTTCTTTCTTTTTATTGTTTGTCTAGATGATGATAAACAAAGGGGGTTGGGGCGCGGGAAAGGAGGAGGGTTCAATGAACGGAACGAATATGCAGATGAAAAAAAAGGGTCATGACGAGAAAATGATTTTAAATACAAACGGATAAAGCGTGGTAAGTAGGAGAATGTACAAAGAAACCGAATCATGAGAGTCAGTTAGAAAGGGTCAAGAGCCAAGAGGGAAAAAAAGTCGTCCGGTCATAAACCTTTTCTTTAGGCTAGTTCGGCTTGAATCTTGATTTCATGCGTTGGCTGCGGTCGCTGATTGTACATGTGGTATTGGATGAAAATGGAAGCGTCAAACATCAATGTACCGGCGCTGCCGAGAATATATGGGACGGCTTCAATCAATGAGGCGCGCGTGGCATGGGGATTCGTGAAAATGCTGAGGGTATAGGTAAGGTTGCCCATGGCGGCAAAGAAAAACAAGGCCATGGAAAGACCGTTAACGGATCGACGACGAAAATTTTGAACGATTTGAGGCAATCGCGAAGTCAAGTACAAAAATGTACACAACCAAGCACTGAAACGACCGATCCAGATTTTATCAACCATCCAAGTGGTGGCGGTAGTTGTTACCGTTGTTGAAGCCATGGCGGCCGTTGTCAAGCTTGGACTGGATGTGGTCACACCAAATGATAATAATCCAAACATCAACAAAGCTGTCGTTTTGTAATTCTTTTGTGTCGAAGTCATCAACGGTGTATCTTCGTTTGCTTTGGTAGTAGTAGTGAATTCGCGGTGAGGATTGAGCAAGCGACGCAGTGCATTGTTAGGGTATCGCACATAGTAGAGCCATTGGATGCAGAGCAAGGTATCGATGGTGATAAAATAGATGGATAAAAATGTCTGAAAAGGCAATTGTCCTGTAATAAGACAACCAATAAAATTCGCCACATCCCCTAATCACCCACGCTCCATATTAGAAAAAAGAAATATTTTTCACTTCAACCTTCAAATTGACTTACCCGTGAGCCATACTGTAAGGAAACTAAAGCTGAGTGATTGAGCATCCTGTAATCGGTAATTCTTGATAACTTGACTGTGATGATTCAAAAAAAAAAAAGATAAGTATATCGCATCTTCATTTTCTGATGGTTCACTCGAAAAGAGGATACTTACGGCATCTGAGCATTCAACCAGCATACAATGGAGAGATAGCCTAAAAGAAGACTAAGGCATTCCTGCCAGCCATACACACAATCTCCGAAGATTTGCTATTTGAAAGAAAAGGGCCAATGAGTTTTAATGAAATGACAACAAGTAGGTTAACCATGTCAAAAACGTACGTAGATCCATTGAATATGGGGAATTCCATTGCTAGTAACTGCACAAGTACTGGTATCCATAATGTATTGATATATGTATTGCTTGATGAAAAATAAAGAGAATCTGTAAAGTAAAGAAAATGGTGAAGTTGATCATGCTTGATTTTATACGGGATCAAAACCCGATGAAAAGATGAGCGGAGCTGAAATCTCATTCATCTTTGTGTTTTTTCCTCATTTGGATAATCATTGTTGATGAACCTGGAGAAGATAAGGGGTTCATCTCGATGGCCACTTCCAAATCCGTCCACCATCCATCTTAAGAACGGGGAAAAGTCACGGTCAGACCAAAAAGTGCCTAATTTGTGCCAGTTCTTCCTTTACAGGTCATCACCACTGCATCTTCCATTCCTCTGTCAAAAAATAAGAAAAAGGTCATGCTCACTTGGATGTGGCCCATGGATCTAAAGATTGTGTGCATTCAGTTTTGAAAGATACTTAAACAGAGCTCAATAATCACAGCATTGCAAGATGAAAGGACCCTGAGCCTTTGAATGCTGCGAAATATACCACACGTACATAAACAGCCCTGGTTTCCCTTGACAAAGTACACTGTAGCTATTCTTCTGAAGACGAATGGGTTGAAAAAAAAGAGGACGCCGGTCATCTATCGCATAAAAATTCAATGTTGGATTCTTTTTGCAAGAGATGATAATTTGGTAGACGAAATTGCAAAGATGTTCAAATGAAATGCACAGCTCAGAGAATTGGTCAACATGGAGTGATTCCAACGCACATTATTGCATTTCTGCTTGATTTTAAGCATAATCAATCGTATTTTGCACGCAAGCACAGTGATAATAGACCACATTTTTTCTTGGTTTGTTGAATCCATTATTACCAGTTGAATCATGGCGACATGGTGATGGAAGCCAGACTGTATCATGACGTATGAGGTCTCATTTATGCGATTGTTCCTTCTTTGACCGAAGCAGTCCGATAAGATGAATACGTCGTTATCATTTTTTCTTTAGTTTATTTTGGAGGTACAGTGAGATTTTAACAAGAACAACGTATGAACAGCAAAAATCAAGACGGTCAACATGGACAACAGGTTCCATGAGACCAGCTCGTCATTGGTTTAAATTAAGCCAAGCTAAATACACAATGAGTGGAGGCGACAAAATGTAGGAATATACAAGAAAATAAGAGGGTGAATATACATGGAAAAAGACATGATTTGGTATGATGGTTAGAAAGGAGAGGGGAGAGAGAGTGAAAGAGGAACTAGAGCATGGTATACAGCATGACATGGTGTGATGATGACGACCCGAGTTGGCTGAGCAAGGCCGACGGCATGCTTGGATACTTTTTGCTAGGCGACTTGGGAAAAGGGAATGGAAGAGGTCTTTTTTGTCTTAATTCCAAGAATAAGAAATAATGTCCTTTTGCATGTAATCATCGGCGAAATCGGTTGATAATCCAAACAATGTGGCGGGGTGATGCGATTGTGCTTTGGCAATAGCGATGGCATGGGTTGTTGCTTTCATAAATTCGTCCGAGTCCTCGATAGGAAGTTTGGAATTGTCCAAAGTGGATTTTCCCGATCCATTACGTTGCGCATTTCGAGTTAACTGGTCACGAATACTGGTAAAGATGCGAGACAGCATGATTGTTAAAAATTTGGTTTGTTTGTTTGTTTGATTGAAAAAGAAAAAATGTAAAAAAAAGACCCATCTAAAAGCGGCCCGAGATGAGCTTTATAAACGGGGTTTTGGGTGGACACGAAAACCACGCCACGGGAAAATTTGGGTTCGTCGAACGGATGGGCAAAAGTTCTGCCTGTCGGGGACGGTCGGAATCCCAAGCTGGGCTATGAATGCCCATGACACTTGACCCAATTGCCCAGTGAAACAACCTTAATCATCCTTTCACGGTCGATCATGCAAGGCATTGGTAATAAGCACAGCGTCACAGACACGATCAAAAAAACAAGTATGATTTACAGGGACTTTAACGTGTTAACAAAAGATCATGTCATTTTATCGGTCGTCACAAGGTGAAGGATGACTTGATACACGAATCCATGCGCTTGGTTAGATATCAGGCCACGTTTTGAATCAATGACAGCGTCCAAGAAGGTGCATGAATAAGAGAGCATGCCGTCATGCTGCCTTCATGGCAAAAAAAATAGACAAGTTCCTTCCTGTCGCGGGGACAGCAAAAGGATGACTCTGGCTAAAAATTCTACAAGTGGACCGATTTTACCGTGTGCACCAAGAATAGGCATTGACATGATGTAGCAATTAATCGCGCTATCAAGCAAGCAGTGCATATGGATTTAAAAACCAAAGAACTTATTAAAATGTTGTTAGAGTGCGTTTTAAGCAGTGAAGTTTATTTTTTGTACAAAACGTGAAATTAAAATAGTCAAAATTTAGTGCACTTAGAACTTGTAGACATTCTTTTCGCTGTAGCCGAGTCTAAAGAAAAAGAAAAATGAGTTTTAGTAAGAATAGGTATCCATTGGTTTTTGTTTTCGGGTTTCCACTTACTCCTTCAAGATACCACTGACTTCGCCCTGAGACTTGTCCTTGTTCTTGGGACCAGCGAAGGCAGCCAACATGGGGTCAGGACCTGTCCAAGAAAGTAAAGATTGTTTCATTAGAACAAAGGCCTAATGAATAATCTTTTCCCAACATGTTACTTACCGCAAACAAAGATCATGGCCTTGTCGGTATCGGGCGAGGGCAAGTGCTGCTTGATAACATCGCTTGTCACGTAGCCCTTGACGCCATCGAATTTCTCGGAAGGCTTCTCAACAGCATACACCACCTTGAATTGTTCAGGATGCTCCTTGGCAATGGTATCCAATTCGTTCTTCAACAGAATATCCTCTTCGGTCTGATTGGCAAACAACAAGGTAATCTTGGTCTTGCTGTCGGCGGACTTTTCAAACACCTTGCGGATAATTTGGAGCTAAAATTTTCCACCGCCATTAGTATTATTCATCACTGACAAATCTCTCTCTCTCTCTCTCTCTCTCTCTCTCTCTCATGCCACTTACCATAGGGGTGATACCAGTACCGCCTAACCGACAAACAAACACAAGCAAGCAAACGCAAAAAGAAAATTGAAAATGAATGATGATACTTTTTGACCCATGCACCCTTTTGTTTGTTACTTACCGGCAATCATGCCGACGTTTTCAACATTGCTGCTTTCCCAGTTGAACTTGGGGATAGGGCCCTTGATTTCCAATTCATCGCCAATCTTCATGTCGTGAATGTGCTTGCTCATCTTACCGTCGGGGTAGACCTTGACAATGAAATCGACATAACCCTCAGCCTGTTCAAGAGAAACAAGATGAATACATCAGCACGCCAACAAATCCAACACCTCACGGTTTTTTTTTTTTTTTTTTGGATGATCTACTTACATCACCAGCCGAAGTGGGAGTGTAAGGACGAATGACGAAACCAGGAGTGCCGTCCTTCTTGGTAATAGGATAACGGGTGATCACGCAAGAAGCCACGGGAAGATCGGCCACGGTGTTCTCAGGAAGAGCAAAACGGAACAATTTGGTGTTGTGGTTGATGGGTTCGACGGTTTGGAGCTGTAGCAACAAGAGGTCGTGAATAAAATGCCGTCAAACGGATAACGCCCAACCCACGCAATCCAATTGATTAAAACTATTCATTTTTTACCTTGTAGGCTCTGAATTCCTTGGGGTCGAAAGCACGCTGGGCTTCCTTCTTGTCAGCGGCGGCGGCGGTAGCGGCACCAGCAGCAGCCGAGACGGGAGCGACGGTGTGCTTGTTCTGGTTGTAGTAAAGACCACCGGCGGCACCCAAACCAAGAAGAGTGAGCATCAAAAGACCATTACCGCCCTTCTTCTTTTCAGGTTCGGTAGCGTAAGTTCTAATGCTGCCGAGACCTTGACGCTGTCAAAAAAGTTAAAAGGATGAGCAAAAAGTGACCATTGCCCGTCAGTGGCCTTTTAACGCCCAAAGTTACCTGAGCAGTAAAACGAGTGGAAGAGGCAGCGCCACGAAGAGCAGTTGTCAAAGCAGGAGTAGTCAAACGCATATTACTTGAGTGAAAGACGAATAAACAAAAAAAAGCACGCGAGAATGGCGGGAGGGTTTTTTTGTATTTTAAGCGCAACGAAGCTATCCCCGCAACCACGAGAAAAAAAAGGTTCGCTGGATCCGCTTGAAATATGATGTCACATTCGGATGTTCGGCCAATAATTTTTCCCCTTTGCCCTATTGCACCAAAAAATCCATCAATCACCTCACATTTTTGTAAGCATCTACTCACTCGCAATAAACTTCATTGTGGGATTCTTTGAGCTTGCTTACCTGAAATACGTACAAAGCTATATAGATATAATCTATTCATTGACTCCCTTATGACTGAACTAAATAAACACTACGTTACCATGTATCATCCAAAGATGGCCCAGAGGCACCATAAACAATGTTTTTTCCATGTGCAGAATTTTCACTCGGTACATCAACGCTAGTTATGGGTCAACTGATTCTTTACTGGGTATTTCCTTTGGTTTTTATCAAATGCAAAGCATGAACACGTTTTCATCGCTTTCATAAGGCTGCACAAGTAAAATATAGACGCAGCAATTTATGCAGAAAAGAGGAAGAATTTTATTCAAAAATTGGAGATTGGTAAAATAACCATTCATGACACGCGACTTGCATTTTCTGCTACTGATTTGTTTGCTAAAACGAGGCTTGTTGACATCAAGTTCGCCAAAGACTTCAATTTTTCGTTATAATTTTCCAGGATATCGATGGCGTTTTCATCGTGGTATCCTTCGACGATTTGTTGCAGTATTGATTTCACTTATCCATCTTGGCACTTGGTCAATAAGGAATTCACGAAAGGTTTTGGATGAGTGTTACTTTGGACAGTTTCTGCAATGGTGAGAAAAAGTTTCGAGGCTATCTTGGCTGCTGAGTCGCGTCTGGTGTCGGGCCCTTCGTATAATGTGAAAATGGGTATATGGTTGTGACCGCACGTCATCTGCAAAGATGCTTGAGGTGCGTTGAAGGGTAATGGAATTTTGATCCATAAAGTGGCTTCATTTACTACTAGCTCTTTTTTTTTAACTCTATAGGCCTTGTTGTTTTCTGTAGTAATTAGCCATTTCACCTCAGAATCCAAAAAGTTGATCATCCAATTTCTTAGAGAATCAACTTTATCCAAAATAGCCAGCTTCAGTCATAGTTGGCGAAGTTGATACCGCAGATCAAACCGATCAACCTTGTTCCTTCCACCATTGTTACCAGTCCCAAGAAAACCATGAAGCAATTGCTGATGGTTACTTGTCTTAAGCTTCTCCCAAGAATGCATTGCGATCGCTTGCCAAGCTGCTGAATGCGCGACAAAGGAGATACGTCGAAGTGTACTGAAATTTTGATCGGAGTTGGAGAAGTTGGTACGCAGATCAAAACGAGCAACCTTGTTTGCATTTCGAGTGCTTGCAAAGCTGCTGGCTTTCTTGACCGAATCCGTGTCCAAGAAAATTGACGCCGTCAAGGCCGCATTTTCGTCCAATTCGAAATGGGAGAGGATCCCCCCAATACTTGCTTCATGGACCGAATTGATCCGGAGATTTGATGTTATCAGTGCATTCAACGTCTTGATTCCCACAACCAACTTATCGCCTTCATCGTCAGTCATGATAGTTGCCCAAGTGTAATGGTACTTAGTTGTGACAGGTGGTAACGATGAGGATGCCGATTTTCCTTTCTTGCCCGCAAAGCTTTCTCGATGGACGTCAAGGGAACGCTGGCGTCCATAAATCTCCACGGTGTTGACAAGTACTGCCTTGTTGTTCTTGTCCATGATAATCACCGGCGAGCAGTTGGGCGCAAGCATATCGTATATGAGATAAAACGTCTGCAACGGTCTGCGGATTTTCGTCTCTTCGGAACTGTACAACCTACTCGGATAGCCAGGCATACGTGCTAGGATACTCGCGATGCATCGTGAACGAAAGCAACCGCTGAACGGCCTCGGCAGCTGACACGTAGCGGGCATCGATAAAACGTGTGATTTCATCCACTTGCTCTCGGACGCTTCTGTCGTTATCGGCACAATGCATTGCTGCTGCAACTCGATCGTGACCTTATAGACGTACTTGAACAGGTATTGACCTTTCCAAGGAAGTCCAAATTTCAACATTGATGTGGGCCGCACATAGATATCTATTATGCGGCACGGACCCATCTGTTGTCCAGCTGGACATCGTTTTCGAGAACGAAATCACCATTATTCCGGCGATAGTATAGAGGGCGGTATAGAGGATAACTTCTGCGATCCTGGATAGAGGCTTCGTTGAAGGAAAGCGGGTAGCGCTTACAGGGGCCGCTTTCCATGCACGGAGACCTCGAATGCATTGTTCCTCACGGGCCATCTCTCTGTCTGGAAGTCCAGCTGACACGATGCAATCATCATCGTTCAGTGTTCTCGGCTAGTCGTCCGGATGCAGCACCAAAAGCAAATGAAGATGCGATAAGCCTCGTTTCTGAAACTCCATCGTGTGTACATGGGTAACGACTCTGCCCAAAACGTGCTTCTTTCTTAAACTTATCATGAGAGGTTTACGTTTCATGTTGAAAACTCGAGCGCAAAGGGTGGGCCGATCAACAGCTGTTTGAGGTGAAGTCAGCTCGTCCTGAACTACCTTTCACTGAGGATTACATGTGAAAGTGATAAAAAGGTCGGGCTGTCAGCATCGACGTACGATGTTCATCGCATCATGGTAAAGTTGGCGCATGTGCCTCGAGCTGCCAATGAAAATCGAAGGCAATATCACTCTTTGGCCGACGTTTTGGAGGTCATTGTCGCCGAGTTCCACCACATCTACGATACCTCGGTACAATTCCTTGCGCAGATTTGTCCGGTTTATCTGCAAATACGTGAGTCGGTTCTGCTCCATTTTTGCGTACATATCGGCAGGTACAAGTGCAGATGTTATTGCACCATTAGACGGTAGCTATACCATTGCATGACGGTAATGCTTCGACCGCTTGCCGAGCGTGCGACAGGAGGTGGCTAATGAGGTGAAAACGCTTTTCTCCACACGGCTCATTTTGTTGGGACAGCTGCGATTGGTTGATCGTGCATGGCGCGGCAGGCCACACGAAGCACAGAAGATGGTTGAAGACGACATTGAGGGAAAAAACAGTTGAACTTGAGGAAATGGAACAAAAAAAGGAATTGGACCTAAATAATACATACAGCGTGGTTAACTACTGTGTCTTGGTCCGTATAAACTATGTAATCTCGGTTTTGTAACTATTTCTTTCAGGTGGACATCCTTAATTTGTACTTGCTCCGCAGGCACAGCAACAGGTTCATGGCTGTGCACACCATGAAGAGTGTGTAGATAACCAGTGGATTGTTTGAAGGGTGTACATTTCTTCCTCAACAACATGACCGCGGCCTTATCGCGTCCATTATAAAAAAAATTGACTGTCCATAATTTGGTAGTATGGTGAAAGAGAAGGAGGTTTGACCTCAAGGAGGCGTTGTGCTTCTTTTTTAGCACTGGCTTTCCATGCTTTTTTGCGCGACAACTTTTATATCCATGAAATGACCTTTAATTTTGTCATTAACCGAATTGATTTCTGATCAAACCGTCTTATTTATTTTTGTCAACCTCTGACTTTTCTTTCCGGGGGCACACGACTTTGATTTCTATCGCTCCGTGCAGTCTTCCCGGACCGAAAATACTTCGCCTCGGTCTCGCTCTATATTTTTTTAGTACCTTGTAATTTCCGAAAGACTTGCCGCTTTTAAAAATAATAATCTCGTGTGAAGTAACTTTATCAAAGACAGACAGTCGGTTCACAGACCAAACTTGAAAATACAGAGAGTATATTTACAAGATTTGTAGTTGGGAATCTGCTTTTTCATGGTAAAAAAAAGTAGGAAGGGTGGGTTTCTATCGTTATCAAGACCACGTTCAGATCTATGATGGTTGCTATTTTAAGATATTGCTCCAGTTACACGACGTTGGTCTATCTATTGGGATCATAGTGATTGAACGCCAGAAATCCGGATATTTTCGATTTCTGTGTATAGAGTACCGCTCTCTTTTTAAACACAATACGATGGTGTTCTGTTTTGTGGTACTTTTTACATCTACAGGCCATAGATGAGAAAAGTGATGGCCCTGATGCAGGGTGAGTTGGGGGAAAAATTTTTCTGTAACGGTTATCATGTGTGACACGGTCCAGCCAATCAAAGCAAAGAAGGAAATTGGAGGATAACGCGAACCATGTAGGAATATCACAAATGAGACGGCTACACCTTCACCTACCCAAACGCAAATCCCCAAAGTTACATGATGACACGTTTTTTTTTCATTCATTGTTGCAATGCTAAGGGTTCCTCTTTTTTTCTCCAGACTGAAAACCGCCCCTCATATTTTTTTCTTTTTGGTTGGAGTTCAGCTTAAAGCGGAGAAGAAATCTCAATCAGCAGTATTTGACGTCACGGATCACTCTTATTGGTTGAGCTGCGGATGAAAGCAGCACACCACCCATAAGCCTCTGCGTTTTTCTTCTTCCGCGCTTGGCTTTCATCTTTTTTTTTCTTCCACCTTGCCTTGTTAAGACCAAAACACGCTACATTTGGCAACTCCTTTTTCATAATTGGAAATCCCTCTGTACCTTATCCTCAAAAAAGAGATGAATCCAGCTCAACTCAATTCAGACCTGGCTGCTGGTCCGTCCAGACTGGACCCTCCCAATCCTCAAGAACCCTCCCCTAAAAAGTCCAAAACCAAAATTGTGGACGATGACAACGACTCGGGCGCGGATTCTGACAGTGAAAAGCCAGCCAGACGTTCAGGCAGACGCAAAATCAAGATTGAGTATATTGAGGATAAAAACCGCAGACACATTACCTTTTCCAAGCGTAAAGCAGGCATCATGAAGAAGGTGAGTTTTCAATCGCCCTTTTTTTTCGCGAGAAAAAAAGAAAAAGAAAAAATATCGTTCAAAACGTTACCAAAATTGACATGAATTGGTTCCCTTTTTGACATGAATTTTTTTTTTTTTTTTTTTTTTTTTGGTTTCCTTTTTCTACGTATTAGGCATATGAATTAAGCACATTAACGGGTACACAAGTGTTATTGTTGGTGGTGTCAGAAACCGGTCTGGTGTATACTTTTACCACTGTCAAACTTCAACCAATTGTTACCAAACCCGAAGGTAAAAATCTGATCCAAGCGTGTCTGAATGCTCCCGATCCCATACAAGGAGAATCCTCTTCGGTAAGTTCCCTTATGAGTTATATACGGGTTTTGTTTTGGTTCGTGTAATTAATTTATTCCTCATACACAGGCTGGCGATACGCCTTATAATACCAATGCCTCACCTCGAGTAGATACCGACAAGAAGCCTATGTATGATGATAAAAAGGTAATTTTTTTTGTCGAGTCCAAGTTTTCGGACGCGCGCTCGGGCGAGAGTGAAACCCACAAAAAAAAAGAGCACAAAAAATTGATTGGCCGCTACGCGTATATAGGTCGATCCTCAAACGGCCCCCTCCGCAGCTGGACCTAGCGGTTTTGGTGTTCCGCCTTCGAGTGCTCCAGGCTACCCACCACAGCCTTACACGCAAGCCGGTCCTCCAGGCACGCTTCCTGTCGGCAACAATGGATACCATCCCGGTTACATGAATACGGCTGCCGCGGCCGCCGCTGCGGCTCAATACCAACAGCCACCGCAACCCTCTGCCCAAGGTCCATCTCAGGCCCCTCAATCTTACGGTCAGATGCCTCAACCACCTTTCTATGGTAACCAACAAGCTCCACCTCATCATTACATGCAACATCAGCAACCCCCTTCAGGTTACTGGCCCAATTCTTCCGGTCCCGGTCCCGCCCCTGGCGCCACCTCGTTATCCAGACCCGATCAATCACCTATTGATGACAAGGCACGGAGGGGAATGATCAAGAAATAAGTCCGTTCCGTATCAAGTTGAGAGGAAGAAAAGAAAGATAAAAACCATCTAAATTCTTATTGTTACGATATTCCCAAATCAATGGTCGTACTTTACCTTTGTATCCCGACTTCTTTTTTTTTACATTCCCAGTGTTTGAAAGGGTGATCTTCTTTGGTTTGCTGCTTTTCAAGGTCTCCCCGGTATTCATATTAAATACATCTTTGTACCTTTCTGATATGCTTTGTTTTTCGTTTTTTTCTTTCTTTGCACATTCAAAAATAAATTGACGGAAAAAAAAAAAAAGAAGAAATAGCACATCTTCATTGCTCTGAAATTTTTCATTCAAATTCACCAGTTTTTTCCTTGTCAATGATAAATCACGACGTCAAAAATAATCAAAACGATGGTTGAAAGGCGCGCTGAAGTGTGGAATGGCACGAGATCAGACAATTATGTAATACCTTGTTATGACTAGTTGTTGGACTATGTGTTACAATATACACACATGCATGCCCTACCGTCACTGGTTAAACCCGTGACGCGTGGCGCTCTTCCACATCAGATGTTCATTTGAAAATTCCTGCCAATTCACCAGTGAAAAATTATGACGACTGTTATTTAACAAATATAGCAAGTAACAGAAGAAAAAAGGGGGTAGGGTAAGGGAATATAGGTTACATATATCTTGTATGAATGGGTAATAGAAAAGAGCAGGGTAAAAAGGGAATTCTGTGGCAGGTTAGGAAAGAAAGACGAATCGAACGAAAAGTATCCAACTGAGAACGGCTAGTGCGACGTAAATACCAGCGTATAAATAGTTGATTTTTAATTTCTCGCGCATGGTTCCCATCGGGTGATTGATTTTCTGTTCATCGGCTAGTCTGGCTTGACGTGCGTTGCGATCCAAAATACGATCGTACACGGTGTAATCGAGGACGCACAGAATAATACCGCAAATCACCGACAGCGCACCAATGACAATGAAAAAGACGATGATGCCACTGTAGCCTTTATGCCGATCCGCGTCCTGGATGAATCCCGTGGCCATATCAAACAAAGATGCGCCAATATTCGTCCCGGATTTAATCAATCCCATGCTAGTGCCAACGAGGGACAGCGGAAGAATGACGGGAACCGAAGACACCAACCCGACCGGACCCAACGACAAACTTGCACTGAAACATAACATGCCAATAATGGGTGATAGTGACGTATAACCTAATAAAATCATGGACAACAGGAAACTGACACCACTGATAATCACTGCACAAAGGAAAACCCCCCCGTCAGCACACACAGAGTCTTGCAAACATAATCGAGACAGAGAAAAACTTACTCATCCATGTTCGTTTGCCGTAACGGTCAAGACACACACCCAATACGGGCATCAGGAAGACTGGCAAGAGCTGTGCAACACTGGCCGTAGCTGCTGCATGAGCATCGTCGTACCCGAATCGAACCTTTACAAATTCACTGGTAAAACCAGGGTTAGTATGGTGTTTGTCCAACGTTAGGCGGCAGATTTAAGTTTTTTGTTTTTCATTTGTTATTGTTGGGGCCCAGAGGCGTTTTTTACCTATTGATGTGCAAGAAGCAACCCCAACCACCGCCAAGGAGGAATTCCATGGCAACAATAAGCCAAAAGGAGTGAGGCAGGTACATAAGTTTGGACCATTGGAATGATTTCTTTCTCTTGATGACGTTGATTTGTGCCTGACAGGCATATGAATTTGTCGATACTTTGCGCAACAAGGCAATGTAAACAAGATTGACCACCAATGAAAAGACGCACAGCAATGCCGAGAACTAACATCATCCGTCAGCCGATGACCCCCTTATTTCCTTTTTTCATTTTTTTTCACCAATGTTCGTGCGACAATACATTACCCAAAAGGCATAGCCATACCAGCCTGTCCATTTGGCAATGAACACCACCGTCGCTTGGGCAAGAAACGAAGACTGTGATCATGCATGAAAGAAAGAAGATGACGATGTTAAGAAGCAACGCTTTAAATTTCCAATAGAAAATGAAAAGCATTATCCGGTGAACTTACCAAACGGCTGACGGTAAGCATGAGAGCGACGACGGAAGCGAGGTGACGACCTTTGAACCATTGACTCAGAATGGTTTCTTGGACAATGACGACTGCCCCACTGCCGATACCGTAGAGAACCCGACCGAGGATCATCATGGATAAACTGCTGGAGTGGGTGGACAAGGCTACCAGGACATTTCCGGAAGTGATCAATAGGGTGGTAAAAATGGACCCTGGAATGGTGCCAAATGCGTCGATCAAGATCCCGTTGGCAAAAGGCAGCACCGTATTGACAATGGATACAGTGGATTGTAGTACGCCATATTGTGAATTGCTGATACCGAAATGCTAATAGAAATAAATATAGGATGAGCATTTACCTTTTGGTAATAAAAAAAAAAAACTCCTAAAAGCAGGCAGAAAGTGGTGGTCTCGGTTATCGTTCATCATGTGTAGATCATCACCTGTTTAATGATTGGCTTCATGGCCCCCAATGTATGTGCCGCAAAATGACTACCGACTGACGGATGACGGTAAGTAGGGTGATGATGGTCAGCTTTTCACTCTTGTAAGACCCATTACGAGGTCAGCTACGATCAATTCCGTACCTGCTAGTAACAGAGCGCATGTTAGCGCCACGGCTTTATATTTCCATGGCTGATCAGCAAGATGGCAGTAATCGTCGTCATTGCCAGGTTGACCTAATGACGGGGATGCCGTTGAGCAGCAAGTGGGAAGTTTCGATTCGGAGGAGGAGGTGGCGATAACGGCACAGCACCGTCCTCCTTGAGAGCAGACAGGAACGGATGTGGTGGCATTGGGTAGAAGGGGAGACGTCTCACTGACGGAAGAACCATCGAAAGTCATGCTGAAAAAAGGAAGGGGATCAAATTACTCCAGAGTAATTAAGCAAGAGAAATGAGGAAAAAAGAAAATGCGACGTTCAATTAAAGAAACTGGAAAAAAAAAGAAGATGGATCCCGATGAAAGGACCTGAAATTTTCCGTTCTTATATAAGGCAAATTTTCTGCTATCTGATCTTTTCTATTTCGGGTTATTGAATGCGTCTTTTTCGATGTTTATCTGCGTCGTCTTCACCATCAAGCCAAATAAGCTATGTGTTAGTCACACGCCTCATCAAGTTTGTTGAATGCAATTGTCGCTTCTCGGTTCTGTCATGAACTTGGCAAACCGAAATCTGTCTGTCTGTCTGTCTGTCTGTCAAGACGTTTCCATCTGATAAGAAAAGAACAAGGAGTCAGTTTTCCCACCTGTCATGGTTACACATATCTCCACACAACTCCATACGGCGCACAGAGGAAGCCCTTTATCCCTGCTTGTGGGGGAAGAGAACCTTCGCACCACCCTTGATGAAATCATTCCCAAAAAAATTCAAAGTGAACCGAGCCCTATCAGGACCCGATTCATGAATGCATGGCTCGATTTCCATCTTTTTTACTTTCTTCAGCGTTGCCTAATCGAGTAACTACAGACAGGAGCCGCCCATCTCCAGTTGGTGTCCCAACATCTGAGTTCAATTGGGGAGGGGGGGGGGGGACGAAGGCCTGTGATTTCCGGTGGAAAAACAGTCCCTGATGGGGAACACTGGCAGATTTTTTTCGGAGTAATGTCTGGCTGCATTCATTTTTCCCTTGCATTTTCCGGTTTTTATCGTTAATCGATTTGTCATGGGTAAAGGTAGACTATTTCGTCGCGGTGTATCTGCATGGATACAATGATTAATCAATGACAAGCCTCTTCCGCGCCTTCGGGCTCTGCCGCCGATATTCCTTCTCCTGCAGGCCCCAAGACCTTGGTGCAATGGTACCTTCTTTCTTACAACCAGGTCTCCTTTCTCGGTTGGTTCTGGATCCTCTTCTTGACCGTCTCGCAACTCGTCATTTCCGGCGGCAACTTTGCTTCCGTCTTTGATGTTGTATGGCCTTGGCTTTCCGTTGTCCAAACCGCCGCCATCTTTGAGGTAAGCACCCCGGGAATATTTACCCAAAACGCATCACACTCACTCATTGCGCACGTCTCCTTTAAAATTGTCCATATAGGTCATTCACGCTGCTCTCGGTAAGCGCGCTCGGCGATATCCCCGTAGACGATTGCGGTCGAAAAAACTGAGTGGTTGATTTTGTTGTTTTCTAGGTTGGGTCAGAGCTCCATTGTTGACGACAACATTGCAAGTGATTTCCCGTTTGTTCTTAGTGTGGGGCGTCAATTACATGTTCCCTGCCATTCACACCCATTGGTCATTTACCACCATGGTCACGGCATGGTCCATTGCTGAGTGTGTCCGATACGCTTACTACACTTTCCATTTGGCTTCTTCGGTTCCGGCCATCATCTCGTGGGCTCGTTACACCTTTTTCCTCGTCCTCTATCCCGCGGGTGTCTCTTCCGAGATCATGATGGTCTACAAAGCCTTGCCTTACGCGCGTCAGTTCCATGAAGCTTATTTCCTTGCTTTGGTCATTGCCACCTTTGTTTACATTCCAGGTAAAAAAGAGAAAAAAAAAGCGTTTGTTTTTGTCATCGAGTTTTTCAACTGATCCATTCCAATGCATATAGGTTTCCCGCTCTTATTCTCGCACATGCTTGTTCAGCGCAAAAAATATCTTCGTGGAAACTTTAAAAAGGCCGAAAAGAAAGCTCAGTAAAATAGGACGTTTTTTATTTGAGAATAAAGCAAATCATTATCACTGCATCGATCCTGCCGGTCATTTAGAAGACAACATCGGTAATTCCTCCTCCAGCAATCGCGTAAGACGCTTCATTTTCCGGCATATCTGGTGAATCGTAAATCTTGGCCACCCGTTCCTCGCCGCGTCCCTTGCGCAGATAAATACGCGTAGCCGATCTACCCATCCATCGTTAATTGGACTGAATATTTGATACTACCATAGACTTCTTGAGATACAAACGCATGTGCCTAAATATATGTGTCAGTGCCTGATGAGTATTGATGTTCTACAAGCAGGGGGCCGGGGACGGGTAATGGATTGTCATGAAGTCTTACCAAGATGTGACCTCCCACCGGTTTCTTTGGGTCAGATACAAACACCATACCACCTTGTTTTTGCAATTATAATTTAGCGAAACGGAATGGCCATTTTCCTTGTTTCAGGATCACCACTTACCGCCTGGATCGGAAGATACTTGGTTTGTCAACAAGATTGCAACATTGTACTCTTCCGACACTTTGCTCAGCCGGTTCAGCATTTGATTCAGTTTTTGCTGCCGTTCAGCGAGCTCGCCTCGACCCGCGTAATCGCAACGAAACAGGGAAATGATGGAGTCCACAATCTAATCGTTGTGCGGCCGGTCAGCATCATAATCAAATAATAGAGACAATCACAACGTACCAAAAGACGATAGATGCCTTTCTCTTCAGCAAATCGAGCCGCGGTTTCCGTAATAAGATCCATTTGATGGTCGCTATTCCAAGCTCGGGCCACGATGACATTGTCCAACGCTTCATCGGGATCCACCCCAAATCGTTCGGCAATAGCTCGTATCCGATCTGGACGAAACGTTCCTTCGGTGTCAATGAAAGCTACCCAGGGCAAGTCAGCCGCTTGCGTTTCTGCTACTCTTGGCCAGGTTCTAGTATTACCTGCTTTACTGTTGGCTCCGCCTTTTTGGAAAGGCAATTGCACCTGCACACACAGGGTGTGAGCGAGCTGCGTCTTTCCCGTGCGATACTCGCCAAAGACTAAATTAGCTTGACGGTTAGTTTCGATACCAGCCAAAGTAACGGCAATTCTACTGACCTTCGGTCATGGACATGGTTTGTATACCTCCTAGAAATACAAAAAAAATTGATCGTAGCTGAGGCGACACGGCATGTGAACTAGGAATGACATTCTTTTTTTTTTCTTTTTTTACCTCCAAGGAGGGCATCGAATTGCTTGCTACCAGTCGATATTTTCACCACTTTTTCTCTTTGCTTTGCAACTTCCGTGCCTGTCATGAAGCCACATTTCTATCAAAATAATAAGAAAAAGAAGAGGATGAATCATGCGACGGGCAATGTTTAAGAGCGTACGAGAAAAAAGTAAACCTTACCTGTGTCTTGCTGGCAGCATCTTTAATTTTGTCGACTTTGGTCTCGGAAAGCCCCTTGATGCGCAAAAGATTTTTCTTTGTCGTCATTTGAATACCCTATAAAATGAGGGGCCCCACATGAGCCATGACTCGGTATTGTCCTTTTTTGGTAGCATGAACGTAAACTTTACCCTGATGGTACAAATGCCTGCCGATTTCAGTTTATTAATATCTGCCATGCCTATGCCTTGTGACTGTAAAGTACGTGAGTGCCAATACAGCATCCACTTTGTGGAATAGTCGCGTACCTGTAGTTCGTCCACTTCGGTATAAAACAGCTGATCGGATTGGGGGGGGGGAGGCGAGTTTATTTTGGTGATGGTGATGCGGATCAGATAATGCACGGACGGTATCGATATTCATACGTCATATGGCTATCAAAAGGACGTACCTGTTCGTCGTCATCTGAAGAATCGGTGTCATCTTGCAGCTTAAGATTCTGTGGATCGTTGTTTATTTCCACACCGACAGATGGATCGCGTTTTGGAGGCATGAGTTAGATTCAATGAGAATAAAATGAAGAAAGGGGTGATGGAAGGATCCGGAATAACGGTCCGCGATTTTTATATGACTGCTGATTTGACCATCTATCATTTTGCATGAATCACACACGTTACGAGTGACACGTTTTCTGACAGCAATTTTTTGCCGTCGCAATTTATTTCAAGTTAATCACCAGAAAACAGAGCGTTGAAAAATCCACAAAAATAAGAGGATAAACAAAAGAACAACACGTTTACACAAGCAAAAAAGTACGAACAATGAAAATAAAAGGAAATAGAAAACAATGCGTATGATCTCCTTTATGGGACAGATTATAGAAAAGGATAAGGAAAAAAAAAAGAGCAATATGTAAACAACAGAAGAAAGGTGCATGAAACAACAATGCAGTGATAACGATAAGAAAAAGGAAAAGCAATCAAACAAACATGAAAAAAAAATCGTGCAGTGCAATCAACAATGGAACAAAGAAGACGGGTATCAAAACGATGACAAGGCTACCTTACTTTACAATTTTTCTTTTTTCATTTTTTTCAAAAGACAAAGAAAAAATACATTATGATCGGTGGTTTTTAAAGTCGAGCATGCCACATTTTTTCATCTTCATTGCAAACTTGGGCGGAAGGCCAAACGTCGGTCGTTTTTTGAGTAACGGTGGAGGTGGACTGGCGGCGGAGGGGGTGAGGGAAGCAGGAGGACTGGACACCGAGGTCTCATTTTGATACCCAATATCCAACGTAATAGTGATCAAACTTTCACTCAGATAACTATAATCAGACTTGATCAACGACGCCACTTGTTCCAAGCTCATAAAGTACAGATCGCTGGCAACAAATCGCTGTTTCTCGGCTTCTTTGATCCGCGCCATGGATGTCGCCGCCTTCTTCTTGTCGTGGAATGCGATGTGCGATGATTGCAACGTTTGAGCACAGATCATGTTGGACAGAGGAGACCACAGTCGATTTTTTTCGCGGTCGCTAATCAATCTTCGAAACAGATGCGGGTATTGTCGCCTTAAAGCCTCGGTCGTCATTCCTAGCAGTAGCCCGATTTGCAGATCTACCACGAACAAGGTACTGTCTTTGGGTGCCTTCTCATCGTGTAACTGCACGGTATACAATGGCAAATATCGCATCGCTTCCGTGAGTGATGGCAACGGTGGTGGTAGTACTTGGTTTTTCTGCTCTGCATCGTCATCCTGTGATAAACCAAGTCCCACCGTACTTTCATCCCGTTCTTCTTTGATCTTATTCGCATGATGCCATCGTTCCGGTGGCGGGGTAGGAATCGGAGTGTGAGGTCCATCCGGGGGTAAATCCGTGCAATGTAGATTGTACAAGTTCTTCTTTGGTAAATGACGGCCCGAGATTTTGCGTGCATGAGCTTTTTCATGTAAAGTGACGACGGGATCCGACGGTTTAGTGGCTTCAAGTGAAGGTTCTGTCTTAATCCGCACAGCAGGTGTTGACAGGGATGGGGTGGTGGGATGATCTTCAGACACGGATCGTGAACGCGTCGGTGCATCGTCTTTGGGTTCCAAATCCGCGGCAAGCACCAAACGTCGTTTCTTCACATTCGGCATCGACTCGGTCACGGGAGCAGATGACTTTTTCCTGGCTACAGACATCCAACAATATACATGTCAATAAAAAGCGCATCCACTTTGCTCGCACACACACACTTACACTTTGTATTGGTTGATTTGTTGGTTTCGGTTTGTTTTCGTTGTAATGCATCAATGGCCTGTCGGAGCGCTTCAATGATGCCTTGATCCTCGTTTTCCATTGCGATTTCCAACGGTCGTGTTCCCTTGGCATTGCACGCGTGCGGATCAGCCCCGTGTTCGAGTAACAGTTTGACGACGGCCAAGTGACTATTTTCAGTGGCATCATGCAAAGGTGTATCCAGATCGGCGCCTTTGGAATTAGCATTGGCACCGTGCTCGAGTAAAAGGCGCACGACCGCATCCCGGCCTCTCAGCGCGGCTTCGTGCAGCGGGGTCCATCCGGCGTTATCGGTTTCGTTGGGATTGGCACCAGCGTTGAGTAATGTCGTTACGACCTCGATATCGCCTCGCACCGCCCATTTGTGAAGATGCGTACGTCCACTGGTATCTTTTTTGCGAGGATCCAGTTTGGTGGCATCCATCTTTTTCGTCGCGACAGGACGAGCTTCCACTTCAGCGGAACATTCTCTGGATTCGGCTTCGGTTGAACACGACTTTTGTCGTCGATGACTGGCGGTCGTTCGTTTTTTTCGTCGTGCGCAAGTCTCGCCTTCCAAGGGTACGGAATCTTCTTCTTCTTCCTCTTCCTCCTCTTCTTCCTCCTCTTCTTCATCCATTTTGTTCCGAGTTCGAGACCGTCTTGTCCGCTTGGTTCGTTTCTGCTCCATCACCTGAAACGCGCGCATATACGACTGAATCTTGCGTTCTTCTCGGGAGAGGGCGGTCAAATCTTTGGATTTGAATTTTTTTTGTTTTGCCGCCGAAAGGAACGTGACTTCATCGATGGCATCACTGACAGCACGTTGTTTCCGCTCTTCGTCGATTTTTTCAGTAATCACACGACGAATGGTAACTGAAGTGGTCAACTGGTATGGCGTTTTGCCGTCTTGGTTGCATTGATGGACATCCGCGCCCGCTTGAACAAGATATTCAACGACGGTTTCCTGATTATGTTCACAAGCCGTATGCAAAGGCGTATTGCCGAGGTGTCCGTGATCATTCAAATCGGCGCCGTGTTGAATCAACAACTTGACAATCTTTGTGTGTCCATGCTTGGCGGCTTCGTGCAGTGGGGTCCATGAGTAATTATCTTTTTCATTGGTATTGGCACCTTGTTTCATCAACGAGGCGACGCGATCGTATTGACCTTCGGCGCATGCGTGATGCAGCGACGTTCGACCAGACTGATCGCGACCAACAAGACGTTCGAGTTCTTTGATGCGATTTTGAAGAATCGTTTTGCACTCGTCGTCTTGGCACACATCCAAGGGGGTTTCCTTGTCAGTATTCAAGGCAAACACGTCGGCGCCGGCATCCACCAGGAGTTGAACACAATCCGCGTATCCATTGGAACATGCATCGTGTAAAGGGGTATCGTCTTCGAATCCGCGCACATTGACGTCGGCGCCGCACTTGATCAAGAACTTGGCAATGGCATATTGACCTTTGAGAGCTGCTTCGTGAAGTGGGACCCAGCCTGCATGATCTTTGAAATTAACATCCGCGCCTCGGGCCACGAGTTCTTCGATCTTTTCTAGATTGCCTGAACTGGTGCACGTAAACAGCTTGGTTCGACCGGCTTTATCTGTCTTGTTCGGATCTTGGCATGCGGTTCGGCCTTTTTGTTTTCGAGGTTCGGGGGTGGATTCCTTTTCCGAGGTATGTTCGGAAGGCGCAGCGCTCGAGGTCAACGAGTCTGTATCGGGCAAACGAGGTCGTTTGGCCATCGCTTTATCGGACACGCTGTCTTTTCTAGGCCGACCCCGTTTTCGCTTCTCATGGAGGTTGCCAGGGACGTCTTCAAGTGCCGTCGTCTGTCGCAAGCGGAGGGCTTTCATGGCCATTTGCCGCTGAAGCCGTTGACTCTTTTCAGGTATATCTTTGGACGTATCCTCGCCGTCGTCATCACTGGATTCTTTACCGCTACTGTCGGGATGATCTTGAGATGGACGTTCGTGTTTCCGATGCTGGTTCAGGAATCGTTTCTTTTTTCGGTCCGACTTGTGAAATTCACTCCAGTAGCGATCCTCATCATCTTCCTCATCTGGATCGTTATCCGCCATTCTGGAAGATAGAGATGCCGAGGTGCTATTGTTGGTGGTTGATATGGGACCGTAGGGCTTACTGTCTTGCGCAGCATCGGACCGAGGATTGGACGATTCCATGGGCATGTATTGATTGGGTATGATGATGGGACTCGATGGGGTCATGATCTTTGTACGATTCATTTACACGAAAATGAGCGACAAGAGTGAGAATATTGAGGCGATGAAAGGTATGGCTTGTTGTTATGTGAATTGACAAAACGTGTGAAATTGGAGAGAACGAGTTGGCTGGTATCTACGATAACGTGTCAAAGGTAAAAACTTGATCCATAAAAGGGATGAAGAATTGGTGAATGAATGGTTGAACTATAAAAAAAAAACGAAAAGGAATGTCAGGTAAGTTTAGCACGGCCGCACTGAGTGAGCAGAGGGAAATAATGGTGAGGTATTACCTCGACACAAAAAAAAAAATAAAAAAAATCGCAGATTCGGCTAATGCGGACGAGTGACAGGTATGTAAAAAAGTGCTGAAAGGTATATGTATGAAGAGAGTATATATGTATTGTGTATAGCGATACGAAGAGAAACCGAAGAAAAGGATGAGCCTACTTTTTTTTGGGGGAAAAACGTTTAATGATAAGAAAAAGAAAAAGACCTCACGGCGACTGTATAACTTACTGTACAAATTCTGTGGAGACCACGGCCAAACTAACAATGTTGTCAAGGTGAGTAATGAAGCCATGTAAAACTTTGGTGACACTGGGAGTTACTCTCAAAATAAGTCATGCAGTCGTCAAGAATGAAAGAGAGAACGAACCCCACGGTTTGTTTCCTTTTTACTCATCATGAAAAACAAAAAAAGAGACGACATTGTACCTTTATGTAGATGAACTGGCAATCAGCACTCCAGACGATTACACACAAAGAAAAAGAAAGAAAAGAAGATATAAAAAAGAGCAAAGACAAGAAACAGTGAGAAAGAGAGAGAGAAAAAGCTTAAAAATAAAAATTAAAAAAAAGACAGAGTTCGAAGAACACCAGCACCAAAAAAAAAATACTGAGTGGAACGGCTCTTATCCCATACGTCACAATTTCCAAATTTGCGGTTGCTTATATTTCTGCTTGAAAAATTATGTGACTCGCGGTTTCCAAAAAGAGGTTCAAAATGCAATTGGATAGTCTGGGGAAAACCCCCTTATTGGTCCATTCATCCAAGGAAGGACAAAGATTTAGCGTCATCCAAAGGGAAAAAAGAGAAAAGAGGTAACAAGAGAAATAAAAACCCAACCAGCTCGTTTTAGGTTATTGCCATAAAATGAAAAGGCGCACTATTCAATAACCGAGCATTCCTTAAAATAGCGATCCTCCTTGGTTTCTCCATATTTAGCATCCCGTTCACAGTTTATCAACTTGAAGTCTCAAAAAATTGAAAGAAAAATGGAGCAGCAACGGCCGAGATAAAAACATCAGGACGGACGAAAATAGCGAGTCAGTATGTCAGTACAGCAAAAACGTGGATGTAGTTTCAATGTACCGGTAATGGCGCGTCTTTGTTGCTCCCCGAAAACCAAGCTGTGCTATGATATGTAGCGGGCGACAATGTAAGAAGCCAGCTAGAATTGCCTTTTTTTTTTTGTGCAATTGTCTGTTTTCGCCACACTTACCAAATCGTTTCCGAGCCCTTGTTACCCCACATTCATATTTTATGTTTGTCTGAAAACAATGACGTCCAAGCACCCCTCCCAGCATCGATTTTGATTTATTTGCCTTTCCAACACCTTGAGGTATTCAATCAGTGACGTGATTTTTTGAATATTTATAAAAGGCGCACTTCCTCGAAAGTGATGCTTCACAACCTGATTCATCATTCAAAGTTCAGTAATGGCAAGTTCATCTCATTGTCGCCGTATCCTCACACACCAAAGGAAAGAGTCAGGCAAGTTTTTCTTGTGAATCTTTCTTTTTTCCAAATAAGCGACCAGAATATCAGGCTTTTTTATACATGAGGCTGGAGAGACAGACAGAGAGAGAGTCTGTGTGTGTGTGTGTAGGTGCGTCTCGGAGGGCATAAATGATACAGTTAAATAAAACGAGAAATGGTGGAGAGAACTTGAATGATAGGAATGAAAAAAAGAAAAAAATGCGACACAGAAGACACCAGTTAGTTAACCAGTGGTTCTTTTCCGTTTTTGCCTTTTCCTGCGAAGGGATTGTTCAAGTGAGGAGACGTCGATCATGACACTGTCACTCACACACTGGCAGGATTCGGCTTGCTTGCCTATTTCCAACCATGAGTCGAGGGCAAAATTAACACTTTCGGCGCAATTGAACCCGAGATTATATCCCGAATGATAACCAAAGGGAAATGTCAACATGAATTCGCCTTCATGCTGTACACACCGTTGAACCTGGACACCATGGTTGGCCAGAATTTTCGGTGACACAATAAAGGTTTTATGCCGTAGAAATTGATGGCATGCTTTATGTTGCTGGAAAAATATGTCTGAGAAAAGAAGAAAAGAGATCATGAGACAATTCCATCAACTTTTTCCATTTTGCTGACAGTATTGATATTTACTTTGCATTACGCCTTCAAACTTTTTTCGTTGCGCCGGCGGAATAACGTACCATTGCTTTGGTGCGCCAAAATGCAAATAATTGATTGAATAAAGATCCATATCCTAATTAAAGAGGGTCAAACACTTTCGTTATCACCTTTACTTCATCCAACAATCTCTTATCACTTACCTCGACATGCCAGGCAAAAGTCGCTTTCCACATGCCAAAGTAAAGATACGGAGTATTCACGCCTGGCAGGGCAACGTCGAGATTGTTTAGTATATTATCAAGGTGAGCCACATTCCATGATCGCACCGAACTATCGAATAAACCTAAGTAATTGGAATCAATCACGGAAAAAGGGTCCAAAGTCTCGGTATTGGGATGCTGTAAGCTGCTTACTGCCTGTCATATCAGCGCCGTACATGGGTTGATTGAATGTCAGATTTCTCCAGTACGCTCTTTCGAGATCTTTGCAATAGTCGGGTGTGTAGCGGTTAGGGTTGGTACATCGGGGAGTGCCAGGGAAAGGGGTGGGTGTGTCCGATCGGGCCAACGCCAGTTCATCGGCAGCCTGTTGTCGCTTCCGTTTCCGAATCTCCTGAATTTCTTGTCTCCATTGTGTCGATGATTTCTGCTTCCGATGCCCACTGACTGGTTTTTTTAGAGTTCGATCAATTCCCAGATCAGGAGCACCGTGTTCATCTCCGTTGCACAAAGTGCACCATTGTTCCAGTGTAAAAGGCCGACGTTTCTCGACATTGGTCTGTGTATAGATCCCTTGGGTCCCAATAATATGCTGAATCTACAGAGCGATAGTATTAATCACTGACGATGTATCCATCGAATGGGGAACCGGCTCGATAGTATTGTCACTCACAATGGGATTCCGAACACGAATGTGTGACAGTAAAGGTTGAACGTCCGGCAAACTTTGTTTCCTGTGAACAAATAATCGATCAGCCATTGAACGAGGAGAACCAGTTTAATCGACCTTTTCTTCATTTTTTTTACTCGTTTACCATTCTTTCGGAGGAATGACTTTGACGATGCCTGCTTCTTTTCCGTAATCGTCAATGGCTTCTACAAATGCCCGAAAGTCTTTGAACTGATCCATGCTCGGTCGGAAAATGGGGATGGTACCACCATGGTCCTAACGGCGCAATGAGACAAACCGTAGTCAGCGTAAACCATGTGAATGGGACAAGCTCCATTCAACCAACCTGATCATAATATTCGGCAGGTTCAATGACTCTAGTTGGCATATGGCAAAACAAGCTGACACACAGAATAGTCGGTGACGCTTACTCTCCCTGTTTGATGAAAAAAAAAAAAATATCAAAAAGTCCCGAGACAAGGGGATATAAAAATGACGTTTTCTTTCTTAAAGCCCTCACTTTCTGATCAGCAAGCTGGTATGACAGTGTTAAGCACTTCTTTCTTATCAGTGCACCCACCAGAAACGTCCAAAAAGGGACTCAAAGCTCAAAACAAGGGAACTAAGCATGATTGAGTTGTTTGCATAAAAACGATTACAACACCCTAGAGCGAAAAATGGTCATTGGAATGAACTCGTATTACTGTTGTAGGCGAAAGCCCAGAACATTCGGTTACTTTTGATTACAGTAATGCCTTTGGATACGGCGACAACAACGGTCGGTCTGATTTGTGTGCTTTTTTTTTTCATTGAAGAATATTTTGACAGTGTGCTAAACTGCACAGTGGAGTACTGCAGACCCTTCTCCTGTCAAAAAAATTGGGTTGAATGTTACATTGATGTCCTCAGAATTTGGCTTATTCATACATTGCTGCCAAGGACAAAAGCGACATTTGAAACGACGTCGTACTGCATTAGTTGACGGGTCGATGGTATTTTCGTCAGATTAATCTGCACCACCAGAACTTAGCGGACTCCTTTGATGAGAAAAGCCTTGTGGCTGATGGTGATTCCCGGTTAATTCAATAATGCAATATTCTTCAGACCAAACTTGTTATTCAGTGCTGCATTTTGTGATGGTCAAAAAATTTGATAAACGTTTGTTGGTTTCTGATCTTTATTTTTACGTGCCTTTCAGAATATGAATTGTCAAACCATGGTCCGCTCTAGTGCAAGATCGATTGGGTGCTTACTGGATTGTCCATCCTGTGTTACCTTGCAGCACATGTGCACTTGCCATTGATTTCGCTCTGGCTGGAAAAAATTCGATGGAAGTACGATCATCCAACGTTATTGCCTTTTTAACATCTTTGCTTTCCTTATTATAAATTAAATTCTGTTTCGTTCTCTGGAGTTTTGTAAAAGGAGCTATGAGTAGCTCATCTTGCAACCCAGAAAGTTTACTTGGTCATTCCAAATTACGACAACAGTTTTTATCATTGCGATCGTCGACGAGTTCACAGACGGACAGTAGTACGTCTGTTAACCGTGAACCGCCCAAGCCGAGTTATGAAAACGATAAATTAAAACGGGGGTTGACCCACATGTTCTCACGTCAGAGGACTTCCAGCACCACTTTGCTTCGTAGTCAAAGTTCCCTCCAACGTCCACCCCGACCTTCCTTGAGTAGCTTTGCGCTACCTCCGCTGTCACCCAAACTCCACGAACGTCTTTCGTTGCCTTTTCAAAGTCCAAAAGATCAGCAGGTAAGCACGGTCTCTTTCTCCGATTCCTTTATAATTTTCTTTTGGCGCTCTTTTTTCCCTTTCTGCACTTGCTTTGAGACCATTTATCGCCTATCCAATGAGATGACCGTAGTGCCTATTATTGCTGTCCAAAATTCAGCGATGGCCTGGGTGATCGACACGGTTGATTTATCTCCTCAGTTGCTTGTTGCTTTACTTCATTATTTGGATCATCATTATTTTTATCTTTATCGATATGCGCATGTGTGCATAGATGTTGCAAGAGAGAGAGAGTGTGTGTGTGTGTGCGTGTGGGAGGATGTGCGTGAATAGGTTTAGATCATGGTGTGATGTTTTATCATTCTGTGAATAATCCATCCCCATGTTCGTGTGCAAATGCTTAGGTCTATCCATTTATTTTATTTTATTTTCTCTCTCTATACTCCTTGATTAAAAGAAAGAAAAACATTGCAGGAAATCCAATATGGCAAGAATGGCTGCTGTCTACCGCCATCTTTCCCGTCGAGTCCTCCTTATTCCCCTGACTTTTCCTCCGAATACAAACGTCCGTTCTCGCCACTCTGCCACCACCACTCCTCATCGTCTTCCATTCCACTCTCTAACTTTTCAACCGCCTCCACTGTCCCTGCCATGTCCTTTCCATTAACCGTCGCCGAATGCCATGCATGGATTGCCGAGCAGTGTGGTCATTTACTTTATCTTATTAATGACGATCCTAATCCCACCCTTGCTACCACCGTCTTGGACAGTACCGCCATTCTCATCACTGCACTCAACTGTCCTCCCATTGTAAAGGCCCAATACCATCAAACGCGACAGCAACTCTGCGAATACTGGGAACGTCGTCAACAACCTCTCAGAGAACGTATTCAACATGTGGTATAGTATCCTCAACGAAAAGCAACATGAACCACAAAAAAGAGAAAACAGATTTCAGGTTCTGTTTCTGTCCACCGAGTCATGATCTATTTCTCACCTCCTTAAATTTCTTTTTAATCATGCTATTCCACCGAAAAAAAAAAATTAACAGGTACGAGGTGTTCAGGTGCTTTGCGATCAATGCAAGACATGGATTCGTTCGCCGGTCGATACGTTTATTCGCTGTGATTCACTGGATTTTGAGGTGGAGGAATCAAAAATTCTTCCGCAACAGTTCACGGCCATGAAATATGCGTCCATGTGGCCATCGCATATGGATACGAAAGCTCATTGGTTTCGGCACCATTTCATTGGCAAACCTTACTTTACTTATATCGGCCCGTTATCTTCTAAACAGGATGGCTCCAGTTCCCGGGGAACTAGACCGTCAAGCGGCACCAAATCAGGAGTAAGCTCCACCGGTGCGATTCCCACTGCTGGTCAGGGAGACGAAAATGAAACCATTATTACCATTGTTCAAGAGCGTGCCAAAGACTTTGGTGGCCCGGGCAATGCCGCGGCTTCTGTGCTGGGATCACAGTACCGTATTATTATTCGCAGTAAAAATGTAAGTCTCCTTCTATGGGTTTTTCATCCAAGATGTCATGCTTACTCATTGGCATGGGGAACGTCTACAGCAACCTACAGGACGCTGCATTATCCATGAATCCATGGCGCGGGATACCGTTACGCACTTGCACACAATTAAACAACACCAACGACTGAATTGCAGTCGCTCTGATCAGCGACGCAGTCGATCTTTGCGCAACAGTATGTCGGGAGGTTCGCCCAGTTCATTTTTGAATCGACTGATGCGTGCGGCGATCTTGTATCAGTGCCCTGGTTTGGATATGCGTCAATTCAAGGAACTTTCTGCAGAAACCGTGATCATGTCGGGTCTTGAAAAGGAGCTTTTGCGTTTCGATGAGATCGGTGTAAGTGCATCCACCTTATACGTACGTGTGTGTCTCGATCTATAAAAATAACTAACCTGTCATCATCCGATATGACCAATACTTGTAGGTTCCAAAGAATTACAAGTTTGGTGTATTGACGGTGAATGAGGGTCAAACAACAGAAGAGGCGTGGTTCTCTAACCGGGGATTGTCCGAAAATCTTGACAACTTCCTTTCCATCATTGCTCACCAAGTGACACTGAAAGGGTATTCTGGGTATGCAGCCGGTTTGGATACCAAAAGTAAGTTTTATCAGTCTGTGGGGATCCCTTGGCTTCTAGGAGTGTGAAAAAAAAAGTAAAATAAGGGAGCAAAACCCACTTCCTGCATAGTGCAAAGGTAGACTGACTGACTGAACAAATATACGGTAGCTGGAGAATCTGGTGACATTTCTTATGCCACCCGTTGGCGAGATAACGAAGTCATGTTTCATGTCGCACCATTGATGCCTTCTCGAGAACACGATAAACAGCAAATTCACCGCAAAAGACATTTAGGCAACGGTATACACGTTTATTCAGTATAAATTATGCTTTGAATTCAAAAAGGCTCACACATTAGGATATACACAGATATTGTTTGCATTGTATTCATAGAAGGCAATCAATCATTCGATCCAAAAGCCATCCGGTCACAGTTTCTACATGTTTACATTGTAATCCACCCAGAGAATATTCAAGGAAAGCGAGCATGGCGGTAAAAAAAGAAAAGGGTCAAAATTACCTGATATTGACATGCCAGGCTAAAATATTTAAAATTTTAGAGTTGAAGTGGTGCGAAATAAGAATGTTCCTGAATTTGGACCTGCTATTCCCAGTCCGGGCTTAATTTACGACGAAGAAGAATTGCGTGAATTTCTCATTCTAAAACGTAAGTCACAGTCAACCAGCATTTTTTTTGCAACGGATCCTCGCTTATTTATATGCTGCTGTCACAGTGATTAACGGAGAAAATGCTGCTTTGAAATCTGAAAAGTTCGCGGTGCCAAACAGCAAAGCGCGTGCGAGTCTTTTGCAGAATCTTGTAAGCAAGGGTTTAGAAGTTTCGCCGGTCAATGTGACGAGTACCTTCAGTACAAGCCGGCTTTCGACCACCGATTCCAATTTGGTGGGTAAGATGGCTTTGAGGAACCATTATCATGGTGAACGTCCCAAATCCGCAGGGGCAACACGTGGTTCAATCCGTGATTACCGTGCTGGAGCGGACAAGGATCACTTGGACCAAGGCGGTGAAAGCCCGCTCGATTCGGCCATTCCACCTATCCCTACCGCCTCTCGATCCACTATTTTGCAGGACCTAAAACGCTTTGCTCGTCGACGAAGCGTCGGCAGTTTGCTGCCTTCTCAGAAACCACCCGTCGCTTCAAATTTGGACAAGGAAGATGGTAACGTAAAAAAAAAAATGGCCGTCTTGAACGACAGTGCCGTGCAACTGCTGTCATTCTTCTGGATGACTCACCTTATTCGTATTTCTCCTTCTCTTACAGCATCCAATTTGCCTGCCAATGAAAAGAATGGATCTCCGCAAACCAAGACGTCATGCCCCCGAATTTCCACCAGAAGCTCGATGAGTGCCAGTCGCACGTACCATTCTTTGCCGTCATCGACAAATCTCGACGGCAGTATCCGTTCGCGAGCACAACATCTGATGACGAGTGTGATGGGTCGAAGAAGCTCGTCCCAGAATGGTACAAGCTCCCTAACAATGGTGACACCAAGTCAGTCAAGGTTAGCCAAGAAAGCGGTGGAAGGAAAGACAAACGAACGATTGCAAATGATCGCCAATGCAGACGCTATTTAATGCAAAGTCCTACTCTACCTTTAACCCTTTATGCCATCGATTGTAGAGAAATGCCATTTACAGTATATTACAAGTCGAACTTAGAAACAGCGATCATTAACACGAGTATTTATTTGATTTACTTTTGTACAAAAGAAAAGGGGGAGGGGAGAATAAAAATAATGAAAAACGCAAAATAAAAAGGACAGAAACAAGGGCCAAGAAAAAAAAAAGATAAAATAACAATAATATCAAAAAAAGGCAAAACGGAAATTAAGAAAAACAAAGTGGAAATAGAGGATACAATGATGATCCAAATTACAGTAGACCTTCCTTTCGCAGATTGGAAGTGACGATAATGTCACTGACTGCGGCCATGACAAATCGAATCTGCTTGGTATCGGTTGCGCAGGTGAAATGAGTGTAAATTTGCTTGGTGTCCGCTCGATTATTCAGAGATACGAATCTCTGTAGCAGGTATTGGCATGCATGATCGTAGCTGTCGGCGCCGAGGTAATCGGCGAAATACCGGGATAGCGGGTTTCGTGCCAATTTTTGAGCGAATAGATCGATTTTGTTGAGGAATAGAATAATGGAAGTCTTGGTGAACCAGCGGGAATTGCAAATGGAATCGAACAAAGTCAGTGACTCTTGCAAACGATTGACAGTGATATCTTCGGCAAGGCACTGATCGTACTCGGAGATGGCCACCAGGAATACCACCGCCGTAACGTTTTCAAAGCAATGGATCCATTTCTTTCGTTCAGATCGTTGACCGCCCACATCAAACATACGGTAAGTATTGTTGTTCACAACAAAGGAAGTCTCGGTGATGCCGGTGGTTTTGACTCGGGATCGAAGCACATCTTGGTCGCTCGGCATATAGTTGGGATCGCCAATGCGACTGATTGAATCAAAGTAATATTGGGCCGAGTCGTTTAATTGGAACTCGTTGGCTCGAGCCACACAGGCACGGATCGCACCGTCTTGCCAGAGAGCCTCAATGGCCGCGACGACGTCGGAGGTCATGGAATACAGTTGAATGGGAGTGTCAATAATCAAGTCGGCCGCCACTGCATTTTGAGGTTCCTGGAAATTCATGCCAAACATGGTCATGGCTTCCAAAATGACGCGCATCGACTGGATTGTATTACTGTAAATCACTTCCTTGAAAATTTCTCGTTCCTCCGGTGTATAACCACCATCGTGAATCAACTTCATTTGTTTCAATATCGTGGATTTTCCCGATTCTCCAGCGCCTAGAAACTACCTGTTAATATCACACGGTGAAGAAAAGAGATAAAGTCCAGATTTTTGTTTACCTAGCAAGAGCATTTTGATTTCGGATCGCATACTCGCACGGTCCCGCTTGATCTGGGAGTTGATTTCGTGATTTCGTTGCTTTTCTTCGATTTTTTGACGAGACTGACAGCAACCCATGGTGAATTTTATAGATGGAATAGAAAAAAAAATGATGCGGCGATAAAAGATAAAATGAATCAAAATAGAGGATGATGCAAGAAAAAAAAAAAGGAAAATGAATCGGAAGCGGGTTCAATTTAAAGGTTGCATCCTCTTTTTCATTCTATTGTGTTTGAAGGAGGTTCAAGGTTTGCTCCGGAAAAGATGCACCAACACCGATCTGTATGCATAAGAGCATGACATTCTGGAGACTACCTCTCTATCTGTAGGTCTCTCGAGGGGATGAGTGCAAGGGAAATAGGAGGGTGGATAAAGAGATGGATTAACGAAAAAGGCAGGCATAGGAAGGGGACCGGAGGTGGGGAACGGGGGGTTTTGGGTTTCATCCATATTACTATCGCGTTATTGTTTTGACCTAGGGAACCTTCTTTTTTTCCTTCATGCTTTGACACGCTAAACCACTTCATTTAAGAATTTGGTCGTTCAGATAATAAATTCATCTCCTGGTTACTGGGCACCTACAGCATTGCCAAGAAACAATAGAAACATGGTCTCCTAGGCGAGAGTAGGTGATCATGTTCCGTGCAAAGAGTTATAATTGGCGTTTGCCGTTTCAGGTGAAAGTTTGAAACCGTAATCAATTTTTATGACGATCTTTTGAATAAAAATGGCCAGAGGATTGCCCTACTGAAAGATTGTCTCTTGGACGAAACAATAGAAAACCTCAAATTAACAAATAAGCTTTGGATTTGCACTGAGGGCCTCTCCTATTCGGTAACGTCAATCTTTTTCCTATCGTCTTCCTATCGTCATTTTCATTGTGAATTGCAAATCACTAAAGGAATTGTCGCAAGGAAAAATGTGATATCATTTTTTCATCACATACATGGCTCCTCGTGTCTAATGTAGGACATGGATTTTTGCTTCTTGATACAGCGGACAGCCTCTGAAATTATGTACGATATTTCTTGAATGAGGTTTCATTGATTTCATCCCTTTTGTCTGAGGACCCTGAGCGGTTTCGTACCTTCGATCGGGTTTCGCTTTGCATCCTTTGTCGATCATTCGCATCATACATTGCGACTGGTTGAAGCTATGACGCACCGTCTCCTTAACGTAAGCAAAAAATAATCAATGTATTTGGTTTGATCAGAAAAAGGCAAAAAAAAGGGAAGCCTCATCAGAAAACGTGTGTCCTTGACTGTTCGGGCTTTCCTCGGATGACCCATTTGGCGCCAATGAACTAGCCAATGTCTTGGGGCGGCAGTTGAAATCCCAGAAAAAAAATATGCAATATCCGATGTCGCACAACCCAATATATTGGTGAACCCAAGGAGCCAACTCAATGATTGAGCCCATTACTGTAAAACCGCCGTAGTGCCACATTAGCCAATCTGGCTGGTTTGGGCAACATCAACCCATTCAGCCTCCATTACAGAGGATACCTTTCAGTATACATATACACAGCCCTCTCTTTTATTAATTTTTTCTTTCCACCTCCTTCCAGTCAGTACTCCAGTTTTGTTTCTATACACCACTCGTTATAAACGTCGCGTGAAAATAAAATATTAACGAATACATGGAGATCGATGGTGGAAAAAAAAAGTGAGGCTAAGGGTGGCAGCTAAAAAAAAATTTGCTTCTAGAAAATCAGGACCAGTGGAAACCAACCATGCTGTTCGATGCTTGCATGTGTTCCCATTTCGATATTTCGCGCTCAATTCGTTTGATGAGATTTCCCCGACTTTGACGCTGAATTCCAATTTTTTCCTTTTACCAATCCAGCTTGTGGTCCAGTGATGTGGATGAAAAAAACAGAAGTGAGCGAAAAAACTTGCGCTCTTTGGATTTTTTTTTTTTTTTTCATTTTCTGGTTGTACTTTTTTTCCCAGTCGGCTCAAGCCTTCATGTCAATCTGTGGGTGTGTATATTGGACTATTTTTGCCTGTTGTTAACGATTCCCACCATTGGCGACATTTTACATCATGGGAGCTGTTTGTTGTACTGAACATTCTCTCGATCTCGATGGTGAAGGTGAGTTTTCTGAAACATAGTAAAAGGGAGATTCATTACGAAAATTTAAGGGGCTATAAAAAAAAAGAGTGATCCGCCAGGGTACTGTGCAGGCAGGGTTCACGGGCTAAGAAAGAGAAAAAAGAGCGCTGAACAAAGAAAGGAGAGTGGAAGTAGTCATTGAGTGGTCTGCTTGTATGTGCGCTTTTGAGGATGCGTTGCTGATCAGTTTTTGTTTTGCCTTTTTTGACCTGTCGGGTCTCCTCCTTTTCTTCTTTTTCAGTGGATCTTTCCCATTTCACTCTATTACGTTCCGTCGGCAAGGGCGCTTTTGGCAAAGTCCGTGTGGTTCAACATAAACGGACGAAACAGCTGTATGCATTGAAATACATCAACAAGGCTAAATGTATACAAATGCGGGCTGTGGAAAATATCATCTCAGAAAGAAGTCTATTGGAACAGATCAATCACGAACTTATTGTCAACCTTCGCTACGCTTTTCAGGATGACGATAACCTGTTCATGGTTCTGGATTTAATGCTAGGCGGTGATTTACGTTTCCATCTCGATCGCCTAGGCACCATGCCCGAAAATTACGTCCAATTCTATGCCGCCGAAATCTCCCAAACCCTCCATTATCTTCACTGTAAAAATATCGTTCACAGGTAAAAAATCGTCATCCACACAGAGCATTCACGGTTTTGACGGCCCTTCTTATTTATCGCTTTGGTTTGCTTTTGATAGAGATTTAAAACCTGATAATATTCTTCTGGATGAATCCGGTCATGTGCATCTAACAGATTTCAATATCGCCGTCCAATTCAACGAGAACAAACCATTAACGTCGATCGCCGGTTCCATGGCGTACATAGCACCCGAAATATTAATGAAACGTGGCTACTTTGCTTCGGTGGATTGGTGGTCACTCGGCATCGTGCTGTATGAACTATTGTTTGGCAAGGTAAAAACCGGTTGGCCTTTTTTTTTTTTTTATCATCCCCTTTTGTGGTATTCTCGATTTCCCTTTCCGATGTCATTCCCTGCACCCTAACAACTACTGGATTCTATCTTATGATGCAAATGCACAGATCTCCATTTCATATATGAAAAGCTCAATTTGCCCCTTCTTTTTTTTCCCTTCAATTAGCGTCCACTACGCGCGAAAACCAACGAAGCATTACAACACGCTATTCTGCATGATGCCATTCACTTTCCCGAAACACAGCGCGTATCACCGTTAGCCATCGATTTCATCAAAGGTTTATTGACCCGCGATATCACGCGCCGGTTGGGGCCTGGTGACAAAGGATTCCAAAGATTGACATCGCATCCCTGGTTAAAACATATTCAATGGAATCTCATTGAAGATAAATTGTTGGAAGTCCCGTTCGTACCTGACGTAAGCCTCCCCCCGGGTCTATTCCCCCTCCCCCCCTTTTTTTTTCTCCATCCTTTGTGCTAATACCAAGATTTCTTTACAGAGTAAACGGGCCAATTTTGATCCTACGCACGAGTTGGAGGAAATTTTATTTGAGGATAATCCGCTCAAAGTACGAAAACGCAACTTGAAGCGAAGTGCCGATTCCCACGCCAATACGTCGCTCAAAAGTTCAGGCACCGAGTATCATATCCCCGAGACGAGCCCTGAACGGCAAATGATGGAAGATAAATTTTTGACCTTTGATTATACCAAACCAGAAGAAAACGAACGACGGAAACAGGAAGTAGAACAACGGCGATGGGCTCAAAAGATGGCCAAGACCGATTCGGAAAAACAAATCACAAATGGTTATGCGACTACGCGAAAAGCAGCCGGCACCTACAATACGAGCGTTCTCGATGTCATTAACCAAAAACCGCCTACCCCCTTGTCGGCAGCGGATATCTTGAAACTCGAAGAGCTAGCGCGTGCAGCACGGGCCAATGGTGGTCATATGAAAAAGACAGGATGGCGACCACCTTCCGGTATCTTATCGCAGGATCAGGATCTCTATCAACCGAGAACCGCCGTACAGGCCCGTGATGAATACATTCTCAAAGCCGGCGGAGTCCCTCCTCCTACCCGTCCTCCTCCTCCTATTGCCAAACGTCCAGAATACATCCATCCTCCACCCCATCATCATCATCATCGCCGCAATTCTTCCGATGACAGTGTGCTAGAAGTGATTCCCGCTTCCCCCGAAAACATGTATCGACCAATCCTTTCCTCCACCACCACAGAATCTTTGGTATCTAGCGAGAATTTGTCGCCACGACAGATGGAATGGGCACATGAACCTGAACCATCGTCGACTTTTCCTGCCGCACCGGCCAATGCGCATCGAAAACCTCCTTCGATGCGAACTATGTCGCAATCTTCGATGGCACCTGCCCCACCACCACCGACCTCTGCTTTACCACCTATTCCTTCCGAATTTACATCCTTACCCAGTCTTTCTTCACCTCGTCGCCAAAGACCCATGTACCAGTAGTATCACAATAGAACTCTCAATAATATATCTCTATTCTATACCAATGTCAAAAACCCTCTAGATTTTTGGCTTTTGATGTATTTTCCAAATCAATAATAACTTGTGCTTTTTAAATAAACTTCTTTCTTTTTGTATGTGTATGTGTGTGTGTGCAATTTGTCTTTCTGGAAAGAGCAAAAAAAAAAAAAAAAAAAAAAAAAAACCAGAAAATCGTGCTATTCGTAGTGTCCGTCCATACTAAAATACAAGTGATGGATGATCCACATTCCTGGTGAGGTTTGACCAAGAATGTGATTTTACACCGTCCGATGATGTTGTCATCTAGCACGTTTCCCAAAAACTCTCGTTATTCCGTTCAATCATTGCCCTTCCCACTCTGTTATTTTTATTCTAGGCTAATTTTATCAAGTTAGTGTACTCGTTGATTTTCTTTTTTCTGATCGTTTCGCCATGATTACAGCAACTCCTTCTCCGCCGATGCATCATTCAGGCTCCTTTATTCACAGCCACGGTACCAAGGTCTTTGTACGACCACGGCTGGACGGCGTTCAGGATGCGGTGGCTCAAGCTCGATTCAACGAAAAAAAGTGGGTTTGGATCCAAGATCCACAGTCGGGTTATCGGCCCGCCCAAGTCATTCACGAAAATCAGGAACAAATTGAAGTGGAGCTGGACAATGGCCAGGTACAACAATGTGGCAAGCTTGACAGACCCGTTGCTCTAACCATGGCATTTGGACAGAGAAAATTGGTGGATACAAACCAAGTGTTTGCGATGAATCCACCCAAATTCGATATGGTGCAGGATATGGCCGAATTAACCCATTTAAACGAACCTTCTGTGCTCCACAATCTCACCGTTCGTTATCGAGCCAACGCTATCTATGTAAGATGAAGCGTTCAACAATCACACTTTGAAGCCGACTCAACTGACATGGAATTTTTTTTTGGGAAGACCTATTCTGGTTTATTTCTTGTAGCGGTGAACCCATACCGTCAGTTATCCATCTATTCTGATGATTACATTCACTCTTACCGTGGCCGACGACGAGGCGAATTGCCGCCCCACATTTACGCTGTCGCTGATGAAGCTTACCACGATATGCTTCAGGACAAGGAAAACCAATCTATCCTCATTACGTACGTCCCTTTATTCTCATTCTTTTCTCATGACGTACTGAAAAAACATGGTATTCATCAAATCTAGAGGAGAGTCAGGTGCAGGAAAAACCGAGAATACCAAAATAGCAATACAGTATCTGGCCTCAGTAGCTAGCGAAAACAGTGGTCGGTCCAAGGATGTGAACCAGTTGGAACGACAGATATTGCAGGCCAATCCGATTTTGGAATCGTTTGGCAATGCGCAAACCATTCGCAATAACAACTCCTCGCGGTTTGGCAAATTTATTCGGATAGAATTTAACATGCGAGCTCAGATCTGCGGCGCCAATATCGAGTGGTACCTCTTGGAAAAATCGCGTGTCCACCAACAAGCCTCCCACGAACGCAACTACCACATTTTCTATCAGTTATTAAATGCACCCGAACAATTCAAAGGTAATAACAGGAAACGCCATGGATTTGTACCCTGTAATAATTAACTTTCTGGGACGCCATATTTACCAGAGCCCTTACTGTTGGCCAAGGGACAACCTTCCGATTACGAGTTTACACGTCATGCCAATGCCGTGATTGAAGGTGTCGATGATGCCGAGGAATTCAACAAACTTATGGTAAGCGGTCGAGGACAATACTATCCATCGAAAACTGGGGGGCCTAAATACTGGCCTGGACGTATGATAGGATGCTATGCATGTTATGCGAATTTCGGAAAAGGAAATGGTAGATTATTTTCGTATTGTGGCGGCGGTATTGCACCTCGGTAACATTACCCTCACCTCGGATCGCGGCGAACGTGCGGATGTACGCGACTTTTCGGCTATTGAACGAGTGTGTCACTTGCTTGGTATTCCAGCTCAGGAATTTACAAAGAGCCTGTTGAGTCCACGTATCAAAGCGGGTCGCGACTGGGTCAGTCAAGCCAAATCGCCTCAGCAAGTGAGAGCCAACTTGGACGCCTTGGCCAAAACGCTGTATGAACGCAATTTTGGAAGTCTCGTGGATCGCGTCAATCGCGCCATTGATGGACAGAAAACTACAGATAAGATGGGCTTCATTGGTGTCCTGGATATTGCTGGATTCGAAATTTTCGAGGTACATGGATCAACTCTGATGCCCATCCTCATGATTACCTTTATATTGACATGAAGTTTCTTTACCGTTATGGGGATAGATCAACAGTTTTGAGCAACTGTGTATTAACTACACCAATGAGAAACTGCAACAGTTTTTCAATCACAATATGTTTGTGCTGGAACAAGAAGAATACAAGCGCGAAAATATCGAATGGTCCTTTATCAATTTCGGTCTCGACCTCCAGCCCACCATCGATCTCATTGAAAAAACCAATGTAAGCGGTAAATCGAGCTTTACGTAAGCTGCCTATTGACGAGTTGAGTAGCCTATGGGTATCCTGTCTTGCCTGGAGGAAGAATGTGTAGCTCCCCGCGGTACCGACCAACGGTTCTTGGAAAAACTGAATCGAGTGTGGGACCACGACAATGCCAACAAATACAAAAGCATGAGGTTCAGGGACGGATTCGTCATTAATCATTACGCTGGGCAAGTCGAGTATTCCACCGTAGGCTGGATTGAAAAGAACAAGGATCCTCTCAATGAAGATATTACGCGGCTGCTGGCCCGTTCCAATCAACGTCATGTTGCTTTGCTTTTTGAGGATTATTTGTCTGACGAAGATGATGAACACGCCGATGCTCGTCGTTCCGAAAAACGTGACGTACGCACTTTGCTCAAACTACGTAAAGGCGGTGGTTCTTTCCGTACGGTTGGCCAGAGACATAAGCAGCAACTTCTCTCATTGATGAAGACATTATACTCGACACATCCTCACTTTGTTCGCTGTATTTTGCCCAATAATCGTAAACGTCCCGGGGAAATGCAAAATGCGCTGGTGCTGGATCAGCTTCGATGCAACGGTGTGCTTGAAGGTATTCGTATCTGTCGCAAAGGCTATCCCAATCGACTTCCTTTTGCCGATTTTCGCAAACGCTACGAAATCTTGTGTCCCAACGAATTGGATCCTACCAGCTTTATCGATGGACGCACCGCGTGTCAGATTTTACTCAACGCGATGCAACTTGACCCTGCCAAGTATCGTATTGGTACCACCAAGCTGTTCTTCAAAGCGTCAGTGGTAAGTAATGGGGTCATGGAAACCCCAATTAATCATCACGCCTGTGGGTTAGTGACCCTATTTCCGCTACTAACGGGCATGCATGGTTGCGATCCTTAGCTCGCTGATCTCGAAGAAATTCGCGACCGTAAATTAGCGAAATATATTACGGGATTTCAAGCCGCGTGTCGCCGTTATTTGGCTCGCCATCATATGTCAAGGTATGCGCGACAGACGGAAGCGATCAAGAAGATTCAGCGAAACGCGCGTATCTATGTGACACTCTGCGAATGGCCGTGGTGGAAAGTGTATGCTAAATTGAAACCTTTGAACGTGGCCTATCGCGTGGAAACCCAAATCAAAGAACGGGATCAAAAGATTCAAACGTTGCAAGGCTCGCTTCACGCACTGCAAGACCAGTTGACGGGGATCAAAGCGTTGAATGAAGAACTGGAATCTCAGCATAGCGAATATAAAGAGTTTTTGCGCAACGAGCAAGCCATGGTGCGCGAACTCCAAGAGTCCAAAGAATGCCTACTGGAGAAACTCAATACGTCTGAAGAGCGGATGGAAGAACTGGTGGCCGAACTGGATCAAGCTCGCACAGAATCGCGAGCATTAGAAATGAAACTAAAGGTTCAGGAACACAAGTATAACGAACAGATTGAGGTTGTTCATGATTTACGCAAACAACTTCGTGAACACGATGATGAAAATGTGGTTCTGGGCGCTCAATGCGAATCACTTCAAAAAGACAACAAACTTCTTATGCAGCAACGCGATGTGCTAACGAAGGATAAGAAGCAATTTGAGGATCAACTGAAACAGGCCAAGAAAGAAAACGAGCGTACGATAAAGGCCCACGACGCAGCCAAAAAACAAGAAGCAGAAGTTCTTGAACAGTTGGAACTTGTTGTGGCCGATAACCTTCATCTAAAGTCCACCTGTTCCTCCTTGCAAGCTACGGTAGAACAGACCAAGAGTCGAGTGTCACAACTCGTCACCAACGTTGAAAAACTCGAAACACAGCAACAAGAATTGCAGCAAACACTTCAGCAAAAAATTCAAGAAATGCAACAGATGGAAGTGTCCTTACAGGTAAACATCGCCACACTACCATGGATACCTTTCTGGTTGACCAGCTGTGACTCATACCATTTTATACAGAGCGACTGTGACAATCAACGGCAACAGCTTGAAGAGACGATGAAACAATTGGCCTCGAAAACTGATAAACTTGCGGACGCCCAAGAACAGATCGATCAACAATCTCAAGTCATGCAAGAGTGGGAAACCAAATACAACGATCTTCAATCACAGTACGAGAAGCTTCAGCAATCATTGGCGGATGAACGTGCGCAAAACCAAGAAAAAGACAGGCAAATGGAAAAATATGTATCTGAATTTCAGGAAATCATTCAAAAGGCATCAGAAGACTATCAAGCGCGAACCAGCAAAATGGGCCACATACTGTCCCAGATGCTGTGCAAGCAGCCTGCTTTGTAATTGCCTGTTTTTCCCTCTTACCCTCTTGTGCGCTTCTTTTTATCTATTTTAAATAACTTTTGAAAGAACAGTAAATCAAACCACATCATTTTATTTCATACAAATACGCGTTTGAGTTAGGTTCAGAAGGTGCGCATGGATTCTCAGATGGTTTCATCGGTTAGAGAAGCGACAAAATTTCACCTAACCCATGCCCGTTAGCCTTTTCATCCTTTACTTCGGTTTCGGGAAAAAAATACTTACCAATGACCTTTTGCATACGCTCTTGGCCCCCTTTTTGATCTCTAATACGATGTAATTCAGTCTTGACTTCCATAATTCTACCAACTTCTTTGCAGGCGTCCGACCGATACAACTGGTGATTGAAAGTTAATAAATGAGTTTTTACTCTACAAATAAAGATGCTCCTGCGACTTACCAAGGTTCCGAGACTCGTGAGCATGCGATACAGATTTTCGTCATCTTGTTCACTCTTGATCAATTCTGCAAGGGTACCAACCAGTCCGATTTCAGTGTCATCATCGCGGTCAGCTTTACTCGTCAATAGAACGGCAAAACTGCGATAGAAACGGTGAGTAATTCAACTTGCCCTTTCTCAACTCTTGCACAGTTTGACTTACTTGATGGCCAATGTACTGATGGCCAGTCGAGCCATTTTTCCCTTGAAATTCATCACAATATCGATCTGCAGTACTTCGGCGATCGTATTTTTGCTGTTCCATGCCATATGTCGACCCTCGGCCTGATTGAACAAGTTGGCAAGGGCACGGTACGCCAGCATGGCATTGGTTTCTGCAATTTTATCGCCCACAACACCATTGGCAAGTCCACCAGCGGAACAAATGAAACCAGGCACATCACCCGTAGGAACAGCACTCGCTACAGATTCGGGAGCATACAATGTGCACAAGCGTAGTAAATCCAATCCAGGGAATCGCTGATTCACCGACCATTGATCGCATAGTTTGACAATCACTTGCATTCCATCACTGTCCATCATTCCGACGGAGCCAGCTTTCAGAAATTGAATCGCTTTACCGAGAGCTGTTAATTCTGCATCCGATAATGCCACCGATTGATTGTTCTGATTAAGTGTTTGCAGTTTGGTATGGATAGCGTCTAGGTTCGTCTGCTTCAACGCCAGATAGCTGTTCTATTGTTGGGAAACAAGAATCAGATGCCAATGCTGGAGTTTCTTAATGTCGTCTATTGCTTACCAAGGGTAGTATGGCCGATCGAGGAACGGGACCTTTGGTAGCCGGCACAGACTGAGCAGAAGGATTGCGATACGATGAACCGCCTACATTGTAGACTCTTTAATCAAGGTGTGCGTTCTCTAGCAGCTTTGATTTTTCAGACGATTACCTGTAAAAGGATCGGAGAACCCAGCCCCGGATGTAGATGACGGTGGGCGCTGTGTAGGTGTGTATCGATTACCCCCTGGTTTTTATCCAGAGTATAAAAAAATGTCAAATCGTGTCCAAGAAAAAAGGCATGCCATCTGCATAAACTTACCGGTAAATGGATCTGCATAATTTGTGGAAGATGTACCGAGTTCTACGCCTTCTGCATTCTTTATGATAAAGTTGGCCACTTCGTCCAAATACATTTGGGGCAGTTCATGTTTCCACAAGAACTTTTGTGCCGCATCATAGGGATTTTCTAAAAAGAAAAAAGTGACAGGACGATTCAGTACCTCAATGCCCAATAGTACATGATACGAGACTTACGCGTGACATTGTAAGGTAATTTCAGCATGCCAGAAGGACCGTTCCCGATATCAATATCAAATACATAGTCATATTCTTGTCCGTCATAAATTTGTTTTTTTCCTGATCCAACCCCGCCTACTACTTCACCAATTTTTTGCCACGTTTGCGTTTGACCACTCCATTGATGCGCTTCCACGGCTCCACCAGGCACATTGACCATGATCACCTGGCCTTCTTTCTGGCCGGGCGTGTTCAAAGCTTCCATGCCAGGTAACTTTTCCTTGTTGATATCGCCGATTTGATTTCTGCAAATTGACCCACATCCAATTAGTGTCACTTATTTCTTGGTTAAGGATAAATACTGAACTTACGATGGAATCGCTTGATTGGCCAGCAATGTATCGAATTCCTACAACAAGGTTGAATGATTCATGAACACGGAAATGGCCATGACCGATCTTTCTTACGTTTTGTGCTTCTTGCGACGCCATGCGTTCAGAAGAGCGGGTAAAGATTCGTACCACGTTATCGCTTCCACCAACAATAATGTCATCATTTGGAAGCGTGGCGACCGTCCACACCGAGATGCAAGGTTGTTGCAAGGTCTGAACACATTGGCCGTCTATGCAAATGTTATTGAATAAGTTATGATCCCAACAAATCTTCTCCCTTCCCTTTTGGTTACCTTTCCAGATTCTGACCGTTCGATCTTCGCCCGAAGAAACAAATTCGCCCGAGCCGAGTACAGCCACCGAATACACAAATGAAGTATGGCCATTCAGCTCCTGCATACATTCACCACTCTCCGTCCAGACACGTAGCGTTCTATAAGATCAGCGTGCCTCCATGTCTCAGTTTGACCGTCATGTTGGCATTGCTATCTCCAAAGGCAGAAGCTTACCCGTCGTTGGCGCATGATACAAATCCAAAATTGGGAACGCGTGCCAGACCTCGAACAGCATCCGTGTGTCCCTGTAATACTTTGATTTGCTTGTCCTGATTCCACAGCCGGATCGTCTTGTCAGCCGCCGCTACCCACCAGCATTTCAGTTTCATCCGTATGCATCAACCACTGTGTTTTGTTTTTAAAGGTACCTGTTAGGATCGTGTCATCGTTGAGGGGCAGCACAGCCCACACGGCTGCTTCGTGTCCTTTCAATGTATACGCCAATTGGAAATCTTTCCACACAATGACCGTTCTGGAATCCTTTGCTCAGTATATCAAGCCATCCAATAAAATGACAGACAATAACGTACTTATCCCATGATCCAGATACTATGTGTCCTGTCGGTGTGACGGCAAGAGCGCAAACATTGGCGGTATGACCAATCAATGTATACAAAGGTTCGTGCGGTTGCATAGGATCGTAAACGAGAATAAGCTTATCGGAACCGCCAGAGACAATTAAACCTGCAGTACCGTTATTGACCAAAATGTTGAGAAAAGACGCGCGGCAAATGGAGGTTTTTTCAATTACCATTGGGAAATTGCTGTGAAGGAGGTAGAGTTGCTAAAGTGTTCACAAAGTGAGAGTGACCACCGAAAATGTTGTGAGCTGTAAACTCATTGGCACCTGTGCGTTGCCAAGTACGCACAGTTTGATCGCGTGCAGCCGAAACGATAATGTCATTGGAAAGCGATGTCACCGCCCGGACCTGGATCTCTTCGTTAATACGGAAAAACATCACATTGACCGGTATATGGTACACTGTATTCTTTCAACCCCACTAGATACGTACGTCTTGTTCGTGGCCGTAAAGTGATGCAGCTAGTTTATAAGATTCTGACATGGTGTATGTTTTAGAAAGCTCGCTTGATTAAGCAATAGCTGGCACTGCCAAATGAATTTCCTGCCGCGTCATTCTTCGCAGAACGAACACATTTGGACACCGCCCGTGACGCCCAAAGTTCATTTCGCTCGTTTGCAACGCGCAAGATCTCAAAATTCTCTTAGAAATGACAGCAATGTTCTGGAGCTAATGTGCTTACGACCATTTGTTCTTATCAAAACCTCACTTTAAATATCATTCGAGATTTCAGCTTTATTACCATGACTGACAGAATCTTTACTCAAACGACGAGAGCGTAATCATTTCTTTACCCCAATTGCCATATTTCAACATTTTCCCACAGCCAAGGAAGGAAAGTATCTCATTTGAGCCACGTCAAGTTGATTTAATGCCCATTCAACAATTCTCAGCAACCGTCACGAAAGATTGATATTCGTGCTTGTCCTTCGTCATCCTGTGCCTGTTATTCTTTCAAAAAAAAAAAAAAAAAAAATTAGGCACGCACGTGTGCGGATTTGACAAGCCTCAGGAGAACGGATGAAGAGAGAAAATAGTAGTTCTTCGTTTCATTTGAACAGGTGTTTTCAATAAAGTTCGCCTACATCCTTTTTTTATCGAACCATGCATTGAAATGTTGTAGGCCACAAGCGATGACGCGCTTCCCTGCGGTGAAACGTTCCGTATGAACAATGGTGCTTTCCAAAACACACCTTTCCTAGAAAAACACCCATTACTAAGGAAATAATATGAACCTTGTGTTTATTCAGTTGCGAGCATTTAAATTTCTTGGGCGTGCTTTGTTTTTCGGGTCCCATGAGTATTCTACCGGTGCAACAGGACACTTGGCGTTTCTTCGTCTCTGATCGCTAGCTATATAATGCTACCATGTGTCTATTGCAGGTTATCATTCCTAGTTCGCATTACTGATCAGTGACAGTGGTATATTTAGACCCATTTTTTAATTGCATCCAGTAACAAAAGCGAATGCTTTCATTGCTACAGCTCAGAGCAACATATCATCAAAGATTTCTTCATATTAAGAAAAGACAAGCTGTCCCAGCTAAAGGCAAGCTACAATCGTATGGTTCAGAAACGTATTTACTTGTGGGCGCTATGGAACGTACAAAAAGGCACATAAAAGCTGTTTTGCATCTAGCTACTTGACATCGGCGAGCGGTAGAAGCACACTTGAATCGAGCGTCGGTGTGAAAACCAGGGAACCAAAGCAGCAAGCAGGTGGCGGTGGCGTTGATGACAGGCGATGACAGAACGAGAATGGGAAAAAAAAGAAGCAAAAGAAAAAAAACTACTTACCAATAAAAACCGGGATGTCGCCGTCAACCTAACCTGAAGACCCCAAAAAAACTTGAGCCAACCACTTACCTAGAGTGGTTCACACCAGGGCTCCTACGTGACATCACAGAGAAACTTCCCTGTGGTTCGGTTGGTCGCGCTCCGCAGCATGCACCCCATGGCCTCAAGGGGAGATTCCATCTCCTAGTGAGCCCACCGAATGATGCCCCAGAGCCTCCCCGTCAAATCACAGGGACCTTCTCTGTCATACCACAGCGTCTTCCCTGGTGTGGTACCTTGGTCACTCCGTTCGCTCGCTCGCTCGCTCGCTCGTTCGTTCGTCGTTCACCGCAGTTAGGGGACTGTGATAGAGATAAGAGAAGACACATCAATACTGCTCTGGAAAAGTACGGCAATAACATGGATTCAAGTCTATCATCAATCATCAACGACACGCCACAACTGTGCCACTTTGGTAAAGAAAAGAGAAGGAACAAGAAAAAAAAAATTGGGGCGTGTTTTTTACTCTCAATTGAAAATTCCGTTTGTTCCATTGGCTCAAAGAACCATCGTTGGCGTCATAGAGTCATTTAGCTCATTGAAAAATCGCGCCTTTTTGATCACATTTGGTTATGTCGTGTCCAGCATACAGTTATCGCAAACAACGGAAACAAAATAGACCTCAACCGATAGTCCAAGACAGTTTCAAAGTGCGGTAACTTTTACCTAACATTTCGAAACTGAAACAACTATGCTTGTTTTGGATCTATGAACTTGTGTGCTTCCATTACAGGCACATCCTGATTTCGCTGTCCACTTGAGAGTGGCTAAATCGAGTGCTGGTCAGCATGTGGACTGCTGAATGAAATGCAAACAAAATTGAAAAAGATTTTTTTCGCACGTCACATATTAGGTGGCTTTGCCTTCAACTGGATAGATTACATAGTCTTATTGCTTACGCTGTCCAAAAAGGAGTACATGATGATGAACTTTTGTTTCTGAGGACGACGATGGCCGTTCCTGATCCATCCACACAATGCGCGTGATGGTTTTTTAATATCAGATTGTTGTCTCCGAGCTCATTTTGGTGATACGATTGATTATGTTTCGCTTCACGTGTGTTGCATTGTATTTAGAGCGAAATTTTTACCTGAACAACATCAAGTCCCTGTATTATTGTCTATACTGTTTGACGGCTGTCATATAGTAACTAAAAGCTTGTCAGATAAGAGTAGGTGGGTATCGCAGTTTGGAGTTGTGATAGCGACTTGTAACCGATCGTATCACCACCTGGAAATAAAGTGTCACCCCGATTATTAGCAGCGCAGAAAAAAAAAGAGCGCTCAGATCAGCCCTGAATTCCTGCGGAAAAATTTAGGCACACTTCAAAAGTTTTGTTTCTTTCTGAAAACCGCTACACACCGGTATTCACCACGTCCTTAGTTTAGCTACATTTTAAGTCGATTGAGAAAATAATCCACTGTATTTACTAAAAGCCCAATTATTGATTCTGCGACTCAATTGAGAGCGATGGTTCATTGGCATCTGAGCATCTTTGGGGATCTGGGATTACGACATTAGCTGCCATCAGAATCCGCTCATTGTCACGCGCAATGGAGTGTCATAACTTTTAATAGTTGATACACACTGTACATCACCCGTTTCCTTTCTCTATTGATTCCTCTGCGATTAGGGGAATGCCCTGGATTTGTGATTTCCAGTATCCAAGTGAGAAGTTAAAGTATGGACTACACTATAAATGGATATCTCTATATTTTACGCAGTGATCGCTTCCTTTTTTCGGGGAGGGCTCACCAAAATTGTAATCTGATCAACTTTATTCTGGCATCAACCTGTCAAACTTTATTTGTGCACAATGACATTTCCGGAGATTCACGAAACTTAATACTTTCCCCTCTTTGCACCAGCGGTTTTGTTCACCCCGTTTGCATTGACAACCAAAAATTTACGCTTCAAAAATTTACGCGTCGAAAAAGAAAAGACACGCTCATTTGGAATAGCCAAAGAATGAATGCGTGAACGATGGCTCCGAGACAAGGAATAACGCGGAATTAAAAAAAAATGTATTTATTTAAAAGAGATGAAAACGAGACCCATTTCTTTTTAACTCTTTCTCTTTCTTTACCAAAGAAGCGTAGTGATCGCGTGTTGTTGATGATTGATGACAGACTTGAAATCCCTTTTATCTCCATGGTTTCAATGCAGTTATTGATGTATCTCTTCTCTCGTCTCTATCCTAGGTCCACTGACTGCAGCGAACGACGAACGTTGATCAAGAAATTACACCCTGGAAAAGCTCCGATGAAGGCACATAAATCCTCTAGTGGTTGCCACAGAATTGTCTTTTTGATACCACAGAAGTCCTAGTCAGCTGCACAGCATTCTTTCACAGAAACCTGCATTAGACTTCGTGAAGCCACAGATTTATCGTGCCAGGAGCTTATCGTGGTGTGAAGGTTCAGCAAGTAAAGCATCAAGACCTTGCCGGATTAAGGTTAGGTATAATTTTTTTTCTTATTTTCTCGTTCTGTCATCAACCTAAGTTTTTCGTCGCTCCCGGCTTGCTGCTTTGGTTACATTGGTTTCCATACCGTCGTTCGATTCAAGTCTGTTTCACCCGCTGACCGCTTCAGTGTTATTAGCCATAGACCACTTTTTGTATCATCTCTTTCATTTCTACATTCCCATCCAATAAAAAATCTTTTTTTTGCCCACTATTCAAGTCATCTTCAAATAAGTAGCCCTTCAAGCCCTTAATAAAGGAAAATTGTTCTTTGCAGACGCTTACTGCGACTCTTGTAAATCATATGCACAGTAGCCAAAATTTGTGTATGCCGCTCTGTCAGACATTGGCCTTAGGACGTTGAACTCGATTTTGAAGTGGATTCTCTGTAGATCCGTCATAATAGAGAACCGGAGGTTGTATTTGACACACATTCATCGTTACGCAATACTATCTCAGCTGTTCCTGATTACAGTGGGGGAGAAGAGGCTCAACTGGCGTTCTAATGGAGAACCTCACTCAGAACGACAACATATCAAAATCCCCAATCTTTTTGATTTGGGACACCAGTCTAGGGCCAATACTTATATATAGCTCTGTGGGAGGCATCGGCGCGACAAGCTATCAGGATTTGTTACCTTGACAATTTCAGAGACTGACACTCACATCATGTCAAAACGGCTCAATTCAACACAAATCAACTTCCTCAATACTGAATTACCTTTCCCAGCTTCAGGCCATCTAGAGATATCAACCTTTATTCATGTAATCAAAAGGTACACACATATGCATCTATGCAACGTTAATTATGAGTGATCTGGAGTCAACTCAGGAATTAACCTAAGGCATTCGTGCGAAAACTCGCAAGTCGGGATCGGTTGACTTCGTCAAGACGAAAGGAGAACGTGCCATATATAAAAGCTCTAAATTTAATTTCAATCTGTGAGTACTTTCATTCAGTATTATCTTGCGACTTTTTTTTGGTCATATACTGGAAACTGGATAAAGGCATAGAAAAGAGAACCACTTTCGCATGAAAAGGAACAGACGAAAACCGTCAATTCAATATCCGTTTTTGAGAAACCGACGAGTGACTGTGAAATCATCAAAGGAGTTCGATTGCACTTGTTTTCGGATTCCCTTTGTTGATTGTTGCAGTGTCATGGGAATCAAACTTTCACCAGCAGGACGACGGTAAATTATAACTGGACTTCTTTATGTCAATGATAAGTTAAACTCAAGTAAACAACACTAGGTTAGCGACCATTATTGTCGCTACGCCATTCATGGTCACCACCAGCTGGATTCTATACAAACGAGGTAAGTTAGTGATGAATCCAAGTGTGTCGAAACGGCTAGTTTCTCATTGCTTTCTGATTTTGTTCCACTAGTGGTGCTAGGTGAGGAGCGAATAACAGCCGATGGCAAACCATTACGACCAATGGGTGTCAAAGCACGAGAAGACCCCGTTGTTGTATCCAACAACCGATAATTTGTTATGTGATGGACCGATCCAAATCTGCGCAAATACGGCACAACTACATGAAGTTATAGATAAATCCTTTTTAATATGAATTGCGGAAGAAAAATAGAGAGAGAACAGAAAAAAAAGCTTTAGATACAGAGAGCATGATATCATATACATTATAACACAAGAAGAAGAAGAAGAAGAAGAAGAAGAAGAATGGTATCAAATGGATTAGAAACTGCAAGAAACCGCAAAGCAGAAATGAAAGGAAAAACGGTTTTAATGTGAAGGGGCAGCGGCTTGTTGGGCGGAAGTCGATTGATGGTTATTGTTGGTTACGGGTCTAGCGGCAAGAGAAATGACGGCGGCTTTAACGGCTTCATCTGCGCCCCAATGGAAAAATGGATATCGGTCCTTGGGAAGCGGAATAGATTTTGCCGTGGTGGTACTGGTGGTTGTGATGCTCATGCTATAGCGACCGTTCGTTTCACTTTGTCCGGCGTATTCTGCGTGCTCGATTTTTTCGTCCACGCCGTCATCGCGACCAGAGTTGTCTTGGTCAGGCACCTCCTCAATATCGCTGTTACGATAACGATGATGCAAGTTCTCTTGTGACCGTTGACCTTGGGGTCCGTCTTTCGAAGCAGGCACCACCGGCAGAATTTCTTGACGTGTGCGATTTTCGTCATCAAGTCCTTCACGTGGTTGGGTGCCGAAATTCGCCACAATTAATGACCGACGGATGGCTGGATGCAAGATATTCACAAAGTGGAACTCCACGTGTTGTCCGCTGTAACGGTTCAGGGCATTTTGCGCATCCACAATGGCCTGCAAGCCACTGGAATCCAGTCGATTCACACTTGCGAAATCGAAAATCACAGCGTGAAGACGAGGTAGTTTCTCTCGAGCGGCTTCTTTGATAGGATTGGCGTCATCGTTCCATGCGCGATCGCCCTTGCTGATCCGCTGTGCAAAACGACGTGTATTCTCCTTGCAGTAGCTAATAATTTTGTCAGAGATATAGCTGGAATTCGGATACGTAAACGACTCGTCAACACGACACATGAGGATCCCGGCAGGTAACGGTTCCACCAATCGACCGAGAGAAGGATGATTGGTTGGTACATATAGGTAGCGTTGTTCTAACCCATGTTTGGTGCTAAATTCTTGTCCTGCGAGCGGGACACGGCCTAACGCCCAGAAACGTGGACGAGCAATGCGGAAGAGTAAAATGACGACAGAGAGTCCCACGGAAGCGTAAATACCGTATTCAACAGTGGTAAAAAAGGTGATGATGACGGTGGTGGCAAAGACGAAGAATTCCCACAAGCTGACGGCGGCCAATCGTTTCATGTACGAAGGGCCCGAGACCAAATCGGCGACGGCATGAATGACGACAGCGGCCAGAATAGCATCAGGAATGTAATAAAACGCGGGAGTCAGAGCATAGAGCGCCAATAACACGACGAGACCAGAGAAGATACCGGCAATGGGAGTCTTGACCCCCGAACGGGCTTTGATCGCTGTGCGTGAAAAGGAGCCTGTCGACGGATATGCACCGAAAAAGGCAGCCCAAATATTGGTGAAACCTATGGCGATGATTTCCTGATTTGGATTGATGGAATAGTCGTTGATGCGGCCAAACGATTTGGCAATAGCGACGTGTTCAAGAATCAAGATAATGACGCCTGAAGGCAGGGAGCTGGCAATACTGGAAAGGAGGGTTCCGTTGACGGTAGGTACGGCCATGGCTTGGAAACCGGCGGGCACTTGCTTTACAATACTAATGGGACTGGTCGTTTTGCCAAGATTAATTAAAAAGGAGATCAGCGTGCCAAAGACGACAAGGAGACCGTTGCGCATGATACTAAAGAAGAATAGCGCGGTGCTGTATTTCGGATACCGTTGGCTGTAATACTGGCATGCATACCGGACCCCGTAAAGCCACAAGAGTCCAACCAGACCAAAGGCGACATCCACTTTGGTGTTTGGCAAATATTTGAAAAAATTGCCAAAGATAAGATAAGGCGAATCTTGCGTGTTGATATTTTTGATGCCAAACAGTTTAGGCCACTGACCCACGGTGATGGTGATGGCCGAACCCGTCATGAAACCGGCAATTGCGGGTGCTGTCGGAAAGAAGCCATACAAAAATAATAATAGAGGATGTCTGATTAGAATTTTAAGTTTGCCCAAACAGTAAACGGATGATGATTGAATGAAACTGAGACTAAAAAAATAAAAATGCTCCTCTTTCACTCACCAGGAATGAAGTCGACAAGAATGCCTAGGCGAACCAATCCGATAAACATGGCAATGATACCGGTAAAGAGTGATAAAGCCACTGCGATATCCGGCCCAGTGATGTTGGGATTCTCGGCCGTAACGCGCGTGACAGTCTGACCGACCAGTAAAGACATGACCGCTGCCACATTAAAATCATAAAATTGAAAAATAAGGTTTGGTTGGTTAAGATAACATTTTGTGGAAAGGGAAAAAAACCTTAAATCGGTACTATGCAAAATTTGGCTTACCTGTGGGACCGATACTGATATCTTTGGAGGTAGCAAACAGACAATATACACACAATCCAACAAAGGCCGTACTACACAATGCATGCAATGTGTAAGTGGTTCCGTTGCATATACAAGTTTCTGCCGATGGGATGCTTAAAATAGACTTACTATAATCCGTACTCGGGTGGCAATTCTGCAATCTTTGCATAACCCATACTTTGCGGCACAATCACAATCCCCACGGTGACACCGGCAATCAGATCACGGACGAGCCACTAAACATGGTAAAAAAAAAAAAAACGAAGAACCGGTTCAGTATACGAATTGTCAACATGGGGAATTCGAGCATTTACCATGAGATTGTATCGATGGATCCAGGATGCAATGGGGAATAGACTGACAAGGTATTCTTGAATGTCGTGAGGCAGTTCTCGGAGTGCATCCTGGGTACGTTGCTTGTAGGTTATATGTTCATAATCAACGATGAGCTCGTCTTTTGGCATTGTATTTGGAGAAATACGCAGGTTAGGAACCCTTTTTTTTTTAGTGTGGCAGCTTCTCAATCAAGCTTGGTTATTTTCACCAAACAAGAATGAAAAAAGAAGTGAAAAGAATAATAAAAAGAACATAAAGAGATTTTTAATTAAATACCTTTTTTTTCCCACTTGGATTGTTTAATTTCCCTTTTTTACCAAAAGAATGACAAGCTAAAACGAACGGTTTCTGTGGCACTCACAATGATTGCGCCATCGATTCGTCGTATTGCACCTTTGTGCCAATGCCATAAAATGGTAATTGAAACGCCGCATCAAAACCTTCGGTTGTCATTGGGCACATGGAGGTTTCCAACGTTTCCACTATCATCTCATTGACACTTGCATCAGCTCCTTGATTGTGCGGAGTCCATCACTTTAGGAAAAAAACAAGATGCGATAAAGTTTTCCATCTATGATGTTGCATTATTATTTTTTAACAAACTTGCACGTAATTCCCATTTTCTATCATCTTCTCGAACCGTCACGCGAACGATCTCGTCGCCTTCCAGAAGACGACTTGCTGCTCGACCGAGAACTAGGTGACCTTGATCTTGATCTTGATCTTCGACGACTACTTCTACTGGAGCTATAGGATCGCGACCGTTCACCACTGCGTTCACGATGACGACTTTCCCGACTTGGACTACGGCTGCGGCTACGGCTGTGTCGACGTCGTCGTTCGCGTGATTCATCCCTCTCCCGTCGATCGCGCCCGTGCCTATCACGGCTGTCCTTTTGCTGTTGCTGTTGTTGTTGTTCAACACGATGCTTACTAATCTTTTTGAATAAACTGGTTTCCTTGATTTCATAAGCAGCTCGTCGATGTTTGTTCTTCTTATCCTTGGCGACATCTTCGGGTTTCGCTCCCAAACCGAGCAATGCATCACGTTGTTTGACAGGAGCGATCACAGGTGCACTAATATGACGCATAGAACGCCATTCAAATCAGTTTACCGAGATTTTACAATAACCTTGTTGTTTAAGGTTTTTTTTTCTGTACTTACGGTGAGTTTTTACGATTTCGGCCGATCCCTTCCCCTTCCTTCCAGCCAAGACCTCGTAACAACGCCGCCCCAAATTCCTCTACTGGTATATTTTCGTAATCTTCCATGGTCGCTTCATCAGGTCGATTTCGCACATCTTCTCGAAACGCTTCGGTTTCATCAGCAGCTATCACCAATGTTGATCCTTTTTGTTCCTCCTGACCACCCATCGTTGCCTCTAAATAATGAAATTAGCATGTGACGCCCACGTACTCACGCTCGCTTTGTTCATTTTGGATAAAGCTTTTCTCTCTTTCTACCTTTCATAATGGCTTCCATTGCTTGTGCATCCAATGACTTGGATTCTTCGGGTATCGTTGGCGTTGATGTTTGATCCTGTTGCTGTGTTTCGGATTCACTGATGGTGGCAGCGACGTGGGTTTCCTGCGTGACCTTTCTAGATTGTACTTGAAGGCCGTATGCCGAAGCTTGTTGGCCCATCACTTCCACATTGCTCTCCACTTGACCATCCGTACTTTGCGGATGGGCTGGTACATATATTTGCTTTTTCTTAGTCTGCGATCGCCAATCAATGTTGGGTAACGGTGCAATGGACAATGGTTTGGGTTCCGGTTTCGGCGTCAATCTATGCATGAAAATGGTTAATTTCATAGATAACAAAATGAGGTGAATCCACTTCTAATGATTTAATAAAAAATACATACTCTGTTGCTTTATTGTCTTCGAAACCTGTCAAAAGTTCAACTTCTTCTTCATCGCTGCGATCTTCGTCATCACCGAAACCGAGTGATTGAGATCGCCCGGAAAACTTGGTTTGGATGCCTTTTTTGTTCTGCAAGGGGAGCTTCGCCTTAGACGAAGGAGACCCTAATGAGAATCCAAACTTGCCAGGACCATTCGATGCCATAATTGATCGACACTTGTATTATCAAAGGAAACAGGAAAACCCCAAAAAAAGCTCCCAAATGTGGAAGTCTGATGAGGTCACATCCCCGATTTTTCAAAAAAATTTGGCTGCGGTGGACGCAAGTAAAAAACTCCGCCAAAGTAAAAAAAGCTTTGACTGTCGCTTGTAAAAAAAAAAAAAAACCACCAGTAACCAAAAATCATCTTTTATTCCATCCTCTTATTGATAGCATTCAAAAGAGAAGAAAAAAGCATGATAACGTTCCATTTATTGATTGTTCAAGATGTGTGTTAGCAAAATGATTCTTTTCGCAAGACGTGTTATCTCAAAGTTGCATGTGCGATACTGTATACATACAGCACTTTTGCCTTTCAAAGATTGAGGTATTATCCCGTAGAGAAGAATAAAATTTTGAATGTATATATTAAGCAAGAGCTTTGTTTGATGCGCTCCTTTTCAGCCTATCTATAAGAAAGATATAATAGAATACAATAAAAAAACCTGGTTACACTGCCACATAACCTCCACTTCCACGACGACGCGACATGATCGAGTCTACGACATGAGCAATCAGGTCCTAATTATTTTTGACAACTTATTAGTGATTACCGTGGTCATATCCATCAATATTCACGCCACTTACCCGGATCAAATAGGGTAAATCTAACCAGAAATCTAATTGTATTCAATGTTTTGATTTAGTGCGTTTCAGCATTGTTCTCGGTTTTGTTTCAGACATACCTCGATGGGGAATAAGATCAGCGCCACGTGCATTGTATACTTTAAAGTTGTACAATACGCCAGCAACAAAGTAAAACGCAATCAAGCTACCCACACTGTAAAATCAAATAAAAAAAATACCGTTGGCGGTCAGTCTTCCATAATATGGCCAAACGAACCATGGAGATACTTACACAGTGAAAAAGATCCCGGCACCGGACATTCCACCTTGGTTAGGTTGGTCATTATTGCCGCCGTTATCGGGAAGGTCTTTACCAGGGGGAGTACTAAATGAGATAATCCATGCATTAATGTCACCATCGCTTGGATCATCTCCTTCATGCATCCTCTTACGCGCAAGCGAATACGGTTTTCCAATGAAGCGAAAGCAGGTTGTTTCCGTAATAAGTCACCGATGGGCTGGGGGGATCGTCCTAAACCCGCATGTGTCATTTTTCTCCTTCCAGTCGTCGCTCCATTCGGGTACCATATGGTTCTGGAATAACATTGTCCTTACCTTTGGGTTCTGCGAGCTTGCACATTCCAAGGTGATAATGGCCGATTGAGGTTGATCTCTGACTTTACCGCCTTTCAAAACAAGCGCATATGAAACGCCATCTATACAGGTCGAACATTGTATCCTTAAGTAACTATCTCCTGAAGCAGCCATCAATAGACGTACCTTTCGACAAGTCCGTTTCCGTCTTTCCATCTTTGTCGGCCATCAGGGTGAGTTCTGGATCCAATTTCCCACTTGAATCAAAGAGCTTGTTAGTTAGAGTATGAAACCACTTGACAGTCCGCACGCAGTAACTGGGAGGGGTCCACTCACCTGCCGATATTACCGGCGATATGCTGAACTTCAATGACGCGTACATCATCGTTCTTCTTATTTAAAATTCGTCGACAGGCATACTAATGCACCCATCCGATGAGCACCCCATCCTTCCGTGATTTCATATCGACTCTCCTCCATCACTTACCGCGCCTTTTTCGCAATAGTCGTTGCCAGCATTGTCGGGACGAGTCAGTTCATCACAAATATTGAGTTCCACCACAGTGGTTGTAACAGTGGGAGGTGTGGACAACTCCTGTGATACTCGAAATTCTCTTTGCTATGTGAGCGTTTCAATGGCCGTATGGCAACGTGTATGGAATATGCTTACTTGTTCAACTTTGACATATCCAGCGTGTAGTCGCTTCCTGGAACAGGTTTAAAGCCACGTTCACAGTAGTTCTGGACCGCCAAGGCGCCCGAGGCACCCCATATGGCAACAATTAACCCAAGAAAAGCTCTCATACTTGCTGAATGGCACAAGAAACCCGTTAAATAATGAAAAGCGGGGTGTGTGAGGAGTTGGAACCAACAAAAGACTAGAAACGGGATTTCCGAGAATGTGACGGCTCTCATTTGGATCGCCTTTTGGCAATCCCGACCCCAGCCCGTCGATCAATTCACCACCCTTTCTCATTCAGATTGCTCTCAAAATTTGGGGCCTCGAATATCCGCTCATGTAATTCCACCTACAAGCTTCATTCTTCTTTGTCGTGCTTGAATTAGAAAAAAAAGGTGCCTGCCCACCGATTGTGAAACAACAAAATATACAAAGATGACTGACTATTCAGATGTGTATTTGGGGATAAATAAGGATACTGATGTTCATATAAACTGGAGAGGTGAATGGCAATATAACAAAGAGATCTATATTCTACACCGGTTTTTGTTCTCGGATTATTCTTTGTGCAAATGATGGGCACGCTTTGTACTAGGAAGACCACCACCGGGTTGATTCCATGAAAGGTACGATGGATCACCCAGTTTTCTAATTGAAAAAAAAAAAAAAAAAAAAAAATTGGAGTCTTAATTATGCACGCCCAATCTTTTTTTCGCTTTGTATCACATGGTCTTACCTCGGCTTAATTAAGTGTCGCGCAGCAAAGATCGCGCCAAGCAATAAGCACAGAGCCCCAATGGCCATGTACGCGATACCCAAGTAAGGATTGCGTCCACCCAAAGGTGTCGTCGTCGAAAGCACAAGCCATTTCGTACCATCGTACTGCAATGTATCAAAGTCTAACACGGGCATGTTATTATTTTCACCTGTCGCAATATCACATCAAGCTCCCATCCTCTTTGCACTTACTCATATCAATGGACACTCGCCAACGTCCGGCTACCAGGTCATCCTGGTCGTTTCTTCCCCAGATCTTGCGGAAATCAGGTAACGCAGCCACATGCATCCATACCATAAAAGCTTCATCTGTGGATAAATCTGGCGGAGGATGCGCGTCGTCGTACGTGCCGTTAGGATAACGCAAAGACCAGTTGGGTGGAGGTGCTATTTGGTCGGTGGCATATTGCGTCGGTCTGTACTTTTGTTTATCCGTTGGCCAAGCAATGCCCGTTTTTTGAAAGGTATAACTCGCCGCTTGATCACCATCGATACGTGTAAAGTTTGAAATTGTATCTAAGCAGCAGCAGCAAAGAAACAAAAAATGAGTCAGGATGCCTTTCGTGTCACAGACGGGCAAAAATGATTTTACCGTTGAACATGGAATTGGCGATTAATCCGCAAGGATAGATTAAACGACCGTCCGGGGCGGTTGCCAGAGGATCGCAGTTGCCACTGAGAGTCGATCGAGAGACCACGTTGCCAAGGAGCTGATTGGGATCATAGTTTTTGATATATTGACGATGGTTTTGGTAGAAATTGGTGAGACGATAATAGAGGAAAATCGGTCCTTTCATGGTTTTGGGGACAGTGAAATCGATGGTGCAGCGTCGAACAGTGATATTGTTGGGATTCTTCCATTCAGGATTCAAAAAGCTTGTTTCATTGTGAACGTGATATGCTGGGTACTCCATGGACGTATAGTTGTTCATATCCGAGAACCGGTAACTCTGAAGACTCGAAGCCATGTACACTGGATTCTCGTATCTGCCGCAGTAGGAATAGTTGAGCATGATTTCATCCACCTATGAAACCATGACATGAGCATCTCATACTCGATCGGATAGCAATGAGCAGGAGAATGCTTACCCGATTCGTGGACCAATATAGTAATCCGCCTATAGGTGTAAACAGAATACCAACAATAATAAGAGTGGGTAGCACGGTTTTCGGGGTAAGCACAGGCTGCCAAGCAGGCAGACGTTGCTGACGAAACCGACCATCTACAACACAGAAATTAGAACAGTCAAGTCGAATGTCGACCCAGATGCATCAACCAAAAGCGCATACCAGCCGGCTTCCGAGTTTTCTTCTCCTCTTCTAATGCTGCCATAGCAGAGGAACCAGGAGCGTTTCTGGAACCACCCTGCAGTCACGGCAAATTTGGGAAATTGCCAAGTTTGGCACCGATTGGCCAGTCGCCACCGGCTGAGTGCTGTGAAAAAAAACGGGCATTTGTCTTATTATCCCTCGTTGCATGGATTAAGCGTGCTATCATTATCGCAAACAAAGAGCGGCGGTACACCCTGCATGCTTGACACCAGCTATAGAGTTGATAATGACAAGTTAAAGTGGCCCCCTTCAAGAGGAATGGTAAATTCAGAACCAATAAAACTGGGCGTGGACACCACAAAAGGCCAATCACATGCACGCTTGATACTTTCTCCGATCACACTCTCCACGCTTATCGTTGAAAAAGCATGACATCGACAAGTATTGGCTTACAATCGATTATACAGCCTGAAAACTTCTATAAAACTGTATAACTAGGCTTAGCACAGGTATCACTTGACATGCGCTCCTATTTGTTCATCTCTCGGTTCACCAACCGATATCATATGAATCGAGACACTTTGGAGCATGCAAATACCGCGTAGAGCAGAAGGGATGGGGTGTTCGTGCAAACAGCACGTTAAAAATAGAATACATACAGTAGTCTGTGGGAATATTTTTTTATTCGCATATGTTTCATATAAAAAGCCGCTATGGCTCTGACTTGGGAAGAGGAAAGCGATTACCAAGATCTGCTTTCAACCAATTTCCTCCCCCTTTTTCTTCTATTTACATAAAAAAAAAAAGGATGCGAGATTTGACTAACCTTCAAGAAGCTGCCCAAGTAACCGAGGCTTGGGAAGATTATGTTCGAGTCAAATATACGGAAAAGGTCAAGAAAGACAATAGCCAATTTCGAGATTACGAGCATGCACCGACTGTGGTTATTTCGTTTTATAAAGAGAACCACGCCAAGCAATCATTGAGTCACGTACTAAGTCAAAAGGAGAAATACGGTCGATTGGATAAAGCAAGGATGGGGATATGGGAGGCTTTGGAAGTGCTGGATACGTTGGTGGATGAATCGGATCCAGATACTCAGATGACTCAAATTATGCACGCCCTTCAGTCAGCCGAGGCCGCACGACGAGATGGTCAGCCTCGCTGGATGATACTGTGTGCTTTGATTCATGATCTGGGCAAATACCTCTATTTCCTGGGAGAACCTCAATGGACGGTAACTATCTCGATTTCCATTTTGATCTCTCTTAAACAGCCGGCACTAACGTCTCATCACTCTGTCTTTTTCCGCAGGTGGTGGGCGACACTTATCCCGTAGGTTGTCGATTTTCATCCAAGATCGTGTACCCCAGGTTCTTCACAGCGAATCCGGACTATGGTCACAAGGTCTATTCTACACAGTTTGGCATCTATACGCCTCACTGTGGCCTCCAAAATGTTCATCTCAGCTATGGTCACGACGAATATTTATACCAAGTGTGCAAGGACTATCTTCCACAGGAAGCGTTATACATTATCCGATATCATTCTTTCTATTCGTGTCATCAAGAGGGTGAATATACATGGCTCATGGATGACCAAGATTTGCAAATGATGAAATGGGTTAAAATATTCAACCAGTACGACTTGTACTCAAAAGACGAAATCGAACCTGACGTTAACGCGCTGAAACCATTTTATCAGAAGCTCATTTCCGAATACTTTCCTGCCGAAATTTGTTGGTAGATATACCTTCCCAGATATCTCATATAGAAACTCTGCAATGTCGCCTTTTTTCTCTTCTTTGTTATCCTTATTACCTGGATCAATCCCAGTATTGTTGTGCTGCCATCCATTTGAACTAGTCTAATTATGAGATTGTAGTCACTATTCAATGCAGAGGGTTCGTTTAGAAAAAGCGTAGAAACTGGTGGCTCGACATGTTCTGCTCAAATCGACGATTCTATTCACATATTTACTAAGCATTGCAGACCACATTCACTTTGCGCACCTTTCAAAGTCAATCATTATTTGGCTTCTGCGTTACGGAAAAAAAAAGGCACGAGTATCATTATGTATGGAGAAAATTGACCACGTAGTTCCAGGATGCTGGATTTCCCTTATTATAATGCTTGACAGAACTAGTAGAGCACATGGTGGATCATAATATCTAAATCGAAAAAGTACTTTGTGTCTTTAACTTATGCCAGAGTCTAACTTTTGTAAAATAGAAGTGGTCGGCTACATGCGAGCTAACGATACACACTGAAACTACCTATTGCCATAGTAGTGCTGAGGTTGTCAAGCGTGTGTCGCTAATAACGATTTGCTATCATCCAGATGGTAAGACCTTTTTCCCAGGATACAATTTTTCTTTCCATGAGCGAATGGCAGGACAAAGCAAGATGCTGCGGCCAGTAATGATGTTTCTTCTTTTTCCATATTTTGCGCGGCGGAGAGCTAAATAATGGCGCCCATCTCTTCGGAAAAGAAGTGTCATGTCCAAAAGATCAAGAAAGGAATCCAGCCATGAGCCGACACAGCAAACACGATCCAAGAAACAAGTCGTCCATGAACCGTTAACACCTTATCTTGAACGATTGGAACGCCTTTTTCGCTCCGTCAACACATTTTGTGCTTTCTGCGATGCTCGATTAACTACTGCCATGACCTTTTCGGCCATAAAGTCATCAGTGCCCGAAGTAGAGTTACGAGATCTTGCTGCCATCAATGTCATTATACCTGATTTTGTCCAATTCAGTTCCCCCTCCGAAGACGCCACACATAATGCAGCGGTAGATCCGCAGTCCATGATTGTAATTCAGTTTGGCAAGGCGATCAGCAAACGGGCAGCTCGAGACAAACATGCTTTAAGCGTCGGCAACCGGGGCGACGATTGGCATTTCAGAGGTCAGGAAGTCAAACCTGTGAAGCCTGAAGCGATTCGGAAAGCCATTGATAAACGCAACAAACAGTTTACCGAAGCGCTGCAGCGGCTGATACGATCCTGCCACAAAAAGGTACAGTGATCTGATCCCACTAACAGAAAAATTTCGAGTGAACGGTCGGAAACATTGATGAACTGTGCCATAGAATATCAATGTAGATACCCACATCAACACCTCTTTGGGGCAGCATATGCCTGGATCTGTATCTATCCCAACCGAACCGCCCCACGCCGTGACTGAGTTACCCTCAAGTGATGAACCCGTTGATATGGCACAGATTATTGAGCGTTTACAACTTCAATCCTTTTATCGAGGTCAGATTGATCAAGACCACCGACGTACCTTTCCATCAAAGATAGGTCGTTACGGTAAGTCACTTGAGCGTCTGAGTAGCACCCTTCTTTTTATGTGTTAACGTGGCGTGGACAGGAAATTTGGATCCCCCTGTGGCACCAGAGATAGCACACGCTCTCCAAGAAAAAGGCATCAACCAACTCTACATCCACCAAGCCGAAGCTTTGGCAGGTTTGCGAAACGGTCAGCATGTCATTGTCGCTACTTCAACAGCTAGGTACAGAATACGGTGCCACGAAATGACCACCAGCAAACGCAATACTTATTAGAGACTTTGTCATTTTAGTGGAAAATCACTCATCTATCAGATTCCGGTATTGGAAGCCCTGCTGCAATGTAAAACAGCCAGAGCAATGTACCTATTTCCAACCAAAGCACTCGCTCAAGATCAAGTGAGAGTGCTCCAACAATTTATCCAAGGCATTCCTGATCTTCACGATATCATGGTGAGGAAGAAACGACCGTAGCTGGGAAAGAAGACGCTAATGAAAACCATGGCAGATCCGAACTTTTGATGGAGACACACCCACAGAACAACGCGCTGATATAAGGGATAATGCGCATGTAATTTTCAGCAATCCCGACATGCTTCATCACTCTATTTTACCCAATGCATCAAGGTGGCGATGGTTCCTGCAATCGCTGAAATATGTTGTTGTCGACGGTAATATGAAACTTTGATCCATTCTTAAGCGTTACTAACAGTAATGTTTTCGGGTCAGAAATCCATGTGTATAACGGTCTTTTTGGGACGAATGTGGCACTAATTATGCGACGATTACGCCGCCTGTGCCATCATTATGGCAACGATCAGGTTCAGTTTGTCTCTTGTAGCGCCACCATTGGTTCACCCGATGTAGTATGTATCTGTGATCGGCTTATATGTCTTTGTATACATGATGTAATAACTTGGTTTCCGCTATCAGCATATGCAACGTCTATTTGGTATTGATAACGTCAAGCTCGTCACGGAAGACGGCTCTCCTTGTGGACAAAAGGTAAACCATGACATGCTTTATTCCGTACTTCCAATGCAACTCATTAAACCTATATCCAAAGGAATTCATTTTATGGAATCCTCCTCTTATCAATCCAATGGATCCTCAATTTGGAAGGAAGAACGCTATTGCCGAAGGCGCTCAACTGCTGGAATACCTTCTCAAGAACAATGTCCGCACTATCGCGTTTTGCAAGGTAAAGCAATTGACGCAGTACCACAGTACTAAACGCATGCCCAGAATTACTTACACGACCGATTGATAGATCCGTAAAGTTTGTGAAATGTTTATGAAACAATTGCGCGATAATTTGGAGGGACAGCAACGACAGGATCTACTGAACCGTGTGATGGCGTATCGAGGCGGCTACACTCCGCAAGATCGACGACGCATTGAACGGCGACTCTTTAACGGCGAGCTGTTGGGTGTGGTTGCTACGAACGCTTTGGAGTTGGGGATCGATATTGGCTCTTTAGGTAAGCACTTGGACAGCCTTTATGCATATTTATCCAGACACTGATAAAACGAAAAGATGCGGTATTGATGATTGGCGTGCCTTGGTCGATTGCTGCTCTAGTAAGTGGAATTCATAAGCGAGACAAAACATATAGCCAAAAAAAAAAAAAAGCAAAAAGCTCAAAGGTTGACTGTAGTGGCAACAATCGGGACGCGCTGGTCGACGTAATGCGGATTCACTTTCCATGGTGGTCGCTGACCAGAATCCGTTGGATCAATACTATTCGGTAACCAGATCAGAATTGCTCACTCGTTTGTGATGATGAACCTTGTGGCTTGACATATTTTAACATATACACACATCATGCCTAGCGTCATCCGGAAGCGTTATTTGAGCAAACGCCCGAGCAGCGTCAATTTGAAGTGGACAATTCGCTCGCGTTGGAGAGCCATTTGCAGTGTGCAGCGGAAGAATTGCCTATTGATATCCACAAAGACGCCGAGTTTTTTGGCCCTAATATCGAGACGATCTGTGCCGAGCACCTCACACCGATTAATCAGGAAAAGAGCCTTTATCGACCTCATCCGCAATTCCGACCTTACCCGTCGCAATTTGTCAATATCCGAAACATTGTGGACGAGACCTATGCGATTGTAGATGTAACAGGAGGAAGAAATGTGATTATTGAAGAAATCGAGTCTTCTCGCGCTCCATTTGAAATATATGAAGGCAGGTTCACCCTTAACGATGACCCGATACATGTCTAACCCGTTTTACTTTAGGTGCCATTTTTATTCATCAAGGACGACCTTATCTCGTAGAGGAATGCAATGTAGACCATCGCTACGCTAGAGTGCATTTAACGCGCGTGGATTGGACAACGCAGCAGCGCGATTTTACCAACGTCAACGCACTGAGTACAACCATGTGCAAACCTATAAAAACCCACTCTCCGAATACAGTGAGTTATGGCAAAGTGCAAGGTAAGTCATTATTCAAAGCATCAAGCAAAAGACCGTATCTTGGAACTCAAAACTCACCTGTAGTGGAAACTGTGGTTTTCGGGTACTATAAACTGGACAAACGCAAGCGAATCATTGACAGTTTGGATGTTTACATGGATCCGTTAATTCGCGAATCAACGGGAATCTGGACAGACGTGCCAAGGTCTGCTCTGATGCAATTAGAACAGCTCGATATTGATCCCATGGCTGCGATCCACGGATCAGGTAAAAACCGAAAGGCTACAATGTACCTGCAGCTATGCTCATCTATTCACTTTTGGGTTGAAATGCATCGATAGCCCATGCGTTGATATCGTTGCTACCAAAATTCACCTTTTCCAGTGTTGGCGATATCCGTACCGAGTGTAAGAGCCCGCATGCGACACGGCATCGTCCCAACAGGTTGTACACGCGTTTAACAAAATATTACATCCGGAGCTTTTCACTTACACTGATTTACTGTTACGCATGGGTAGAATTGCACTGTACGAAACGCAGCCTAGCGGTGTAGTCCGACAAGCGTATCAACACTTTGACAATCTTGTTGTGAGGTGTGTCCAACAAATCGAAAACTGTGCCTGTGAAGACGGCTGTCCTTCGTGTAAGTTTATTGAGAAAGATGCACCCTTTTTACCTTTGATGTTGATACAAACGACATACAGGTGTACATCTACCGACATGTTCTGAGCATAACGTGCTATGTTCAAAGGCTGGCGCGCTAATCATTTTCCAGGCACTTCAAAATAACAATGCTTGAGGGTCTCAGTCTACCGTTGTCTGTTACTGTCGCATCATGTATAAAGGGCGAAAGTTCATCCAAGGTGTAGAGTGATCGTGTATTCGAATATATTTGTGTAGATGCATGGAATGAGGTGTGTCTTTTTTTGATGATAATTTCCCTCTTTTTTTATTATATTATTTATTTCGGTCGTCAAAACTCTCGCTTTTGGCTTCCAAATCACTAAAGATTCTGGCGCGAGCTTCTTCGTAGGCGGCCTTGCGTTCTTCGTACGATTTCATTTTACGATCGGCGGCTGCCGATTGAGCGCGCCGCGGTTCATCGCCTGAAGACTGATTCAAGGGAGTTCGACGCATAATCTTGAATTTGGGTGTTTCGGCTTCCTTCTCCTGAGTGGGTTGTTCCACGTAATCAATCAATCTTAACAAAGGCCTACGATGGTGAGAGGTTGCGGGGGGGGGGGGTTGATTAGCAGTCATCGATGATTTTGGGCTGGGGGCAACGGAACTTACAATTCTGTGAAGGGCGTTTTACAAAGATACACTGCTTTTCTTAAAGGGTCATGAAAATGGCTCAGCTTGAAGTAAGGGGCCACTTTGTGCACCATGCGACGCTGATAAGAATTCATTTGAGGAAGATCCAAACGGTACATTCTGATAGAGGGAAATGAGTGAGATGGCGTGGCAAAACCGACATGAAGTCGACTTGTTGACTTACTGATAATTGTTAACAAATGCTTCTAATTCTTGTTCGAGTTTAAGCAAAAACCAGCGTTCCTGTGGCTTTTTAAGCACGTCGACGATGAATGGATCGAGCATGTTAGCTGTGGCTGGATCCTGGTCGGACGCAACCGGACTCGACCCAGATCGGGATGGTGGGTCACTCGCTGTTTGAAGGACTGGTGGCGAGGTCCACTGTACCGGTGGCCTTTGCAACAACAGTGGTGACCTGGTATTCAACGCTTGAGGGGAAGGAGATGTGGTTGGCATGGAAAGCATGGCGTTGGGATGATGGGCATTTAATTCATCGTGTTGATCAGACATGTCGTAACTGCTGCAGGCGACAAGAGACTAATATAACCAAAGAAAGTGAATAGCATGATTCGCGTAATGGTTTTTTCGTGGAGTGACAGAACTAGGCAAGAATCCACGGTGAATGGAAAAACAAAGAAATGGGCTTACCATAATTATATGTGTTAGTTTGACTCATGTGCTTGTCGTTCTAAAAGCGATACAAGCAATGTTATACTAAAACACAAGTCTATAAATATGTATATTGAAAGAACACTCTTTCTTGGCAGACTCTTTCCAGAATGAAGAGGTGCAGTTCACTATTTTTTTTTCTGTTATCAGAAAAGGAACTCCCTCTTCTCCACTTTTCCACTCCTCCCCTTTTACATCTATGTGCGGAGATTAAAATGCGACAAAAAAACATCGCTTTTCCTCATCGCCACATGAAAAAAAAAAAAACATTCTTTACATCATTCAAACCATCCGCATGCTGCGAAAAAATCTATCCTCTTACTTTCTAACATCCATATGGATACAAAAATTTTTTTAGTAGAAGGCGTTATCAATCTTATCTGGCAATCAACATTGTAACGCAAGGCAAGCTGCTCGTGCTTGTTGATGGCCAGTGATATGAACAACTGTGCGTCAACGCGGGTAATTGGCGAATGTTACATTTTGAAAGGAAGAAAAAACCCCTTGCAAGTGGTACCATCGTCTGCAATTATGATTTATAGTGCTTGCGAAAAGGCAATAGATAGGCAGCCATGGTAACGTGTGGTTTCTATGACCAAACTACAAGACCGTTCTGTTTCACATAACCAGACGTGTAATTTATCAAGACCTGAATTGGATGCTTGAGTTAGTGTAGAGAAAAAAAAATTTCACTGAACTGGATGTCTGACAACATTCATTGTTTGCATCTATCAAAAATCATTTTTTGATGCGATGGTTGAGATGTTGATTGGTCATGATTTCGTTAACTTTGGGGAACCCAAATGCGAATTTCCATGATATATCTACGGATGATAATGTACATATGCGAAAAGGAAAGGAAACATGCGAAAGATGAGATAGAAGGGAAAGGTTGCGAATGAGAGGAAATTTAGCGATAATTTAAGCAATAAGCTTGATCAGGATCTTCCGAAACGCGTCCCGTGTTTGGCTCGACATTTGCCACATCACAGATGGCGACCGTCTGCGGATACAAGCCAACCACGGGCAAGGATCGGTACCGTAGCACGCCTCGTGCAAGTAGTCCATACGGATATCTTATGATGCGTGACCTAAGAAAGAAAAATCAGATAAATGTGAACATGGTGCCCTTTTTTTGTCTCATTGCATCGAGCCATACCATCGTTCATTGCCACTTTTATCGGCCCCAGGTGATTTGATACGAATTTGGGTGGTAGCTGACACGATGCGAGAGTGAAATACCGAGGAAGCAAAGGACAATGGTTCGTCAAAATGAACGCATCCGCCCAAATACTCGGCCGGATCAACCCCTGTGAATGGGTCAACAGATGTATATTAGAAAAAAAAACGACGTTGAATGACTGTGATGCACATGTACTTACCACGTGTGGAGGAACGCGTGGTGTTGAAGGTATCTTCAAGCGGAACGACTTGACTGAAAGCAAACACGCTGATATCGGCATCCGCCACACGAAGAGTCCACCAATTCCAATTACTTGCTTTCACGCGCAAATCAAAGATTAATTCTTTATCAGACGCCAATACGCGACCCACTTCGACCGACACATCCATCAACGGTTTCGCACGATAAGCTACGATGACGAAAAGCAACATGCAAATGGCCAATGCGCTCAATGAGAGGTTCCTAAACACACGTGAACTGATCATTCTGTGAGACCCCAGAACCATTCAAATTCATCCATTGCAAATCCTTTTTTTCGGTTTACCATGTACTTCGATACCGTGAACCTGTTCGACTGGCTCTCAACAGTGGGGCCCCTTCATCATCGCTGGTGTATCCATCGGTATAGCCCATATAGGGGTTCCGCCTTGGTTTTCCATCGTAACATCGTTCCATTTCCTTGGATCCATGACGAAAAGATGCGTGACTAGGATCGCTATTTTTACTGCGTTGTGGATGATCCATGACATAGGTTCGTAGTTTTGGACGATAATTTTCGTTGCACTCATTTTCATCGTGTTCGTCATCATGGCCTTTGGAGGTCGAACTCATCATCAGAGCCGGACGGAAAAAGTCGGTGAGAAACCCGGTGATATGCGGTCGTGATGAACCCTCGTGAGATGGTGTCAATGGATGCGATCGCAAGGATTGCGGGCGATACAGGGAGGAAGAAGGAGTCCGATGGATCTGATCATAGTAAAACGATGGAGCTTCTGTATTGGTACTACTGCTGTAAGGATAGACATAGCATTCGTTATCATCGGAATCTGTATTAGAGGAAACATAATCAGCGTCAAGAGTTGGACATGGGGTGCGACAGCCTGGAAGGCTTTTCTTTTTACCTTCGACGTTGGAAACTGCATCAACGAGATTTCGGTGAAACACCTCGGAGGGTGTTGCCACGCCGTACGAAGGAGCAGCACGTCGGCGTTTCTTGTTGATTCGATTCGTATTCTTGTCTGATTTTTCCTACACATTGAATGAATGAATAAATATGAATGATTCGAGTGGTTTGTTTGTGGCATTGCGTAATGGAAAGAGTCGAATTACTTCATTTTTGGGTTTGACGGAGTTTCGTGTTTTTGGCACCGCACCTGAAGACGGTGTGTGAGAAGGAGGAGGTGGAGGAGGAGGAGTGATACCCACAATAGAGGGTGGAGCGGTGTAAGCGTGACGAGGAGGAGAAGAGGATGGATGGTATTCGTGAGATGGAGGCGATCCGGCACCACGATGACCGGTGGTTGATAGGGTATGAGACAGATCGGAATCGTGGAATTGGGATGGTTGGGTCGGTTGCTGGGATGCGGAGAAAGGATAAGGTTGAGAGGGTAAGGCTTGAACTGGAGCCACCATGGGCTCTTTGGTAGGATTGGTCAATGGTTGTGGTTCGAAATGAGCCTTTTCCACGGTGAGATTCCCCTCAAACTGATTGAGTGGAAAATCTCGCCGAAGGTTTTGAGGATATCGGTCCGTGTGGATCGTGGCAAACTTTGTCATGAATGGCCGTTTCTTGATCGGATCATCCAAGGCTTTGCTAGCATCGACCATAGATGAAGTCGACTTGGACAAGGCGCTGGGTCTTGTGGAACGCTGAGACTCCGCTGTAGGAAGAATTGGGTGGACGTCTTGGTGATGGTTCATTGTGGACAGAAGAAAAAAAAGAAGGATAGCGATTTGGCGGAAAGGAAATGGAGAATAGGAATAAACAAGGTTTTTAAATGAAGGACAAGAAAAGAAAAAGCAGTGCTTGGATAGTCCTCTCCTTCCACCTCGAACCTAATCAGCAAAGGGAAAGAAGAAGAAAAAAGAGTCAGAAAAAGGGAAAAAGAAAAAAGATACACAGAATGGGGATTGACAAAATTGGACAGCATGATTCAAACCCTTGGAGCCCCGATCGGGCCTGCTGTGGGGGGTGGATGTTTTTTTCTATTTATTTCATGCAGATGTGAGAGATCCGGAAGCATTCTTTTCACCACTCAAAACCTACACTCGGGAATATTTACAAACAAACGATTCCCTCATAAAACACAAAAAGGATATAAAAAAAAACAATTTGGCGCTAGTCGTTTGTTATGAGAGAGAACAAGCAACAACAATAAAGCCCGTTTTTCTACACATCACCGTTCTTTTTAATACACGTTTTTGGTCCTCGGTGGTACTATTTTGCAGGTTTCCTGCCATGGCGCATCAGCAACCACAGCCTTCCTGTCAGCAGCAGCAGCAACAACAACAATTCGTGTTTCCCATTTTCTATCAAGACTCTTCTTCCACCAAGAGAACAAGAGCCAAATCCTCAGACAGCAGCATGGATGAAGAGACCAAACGACAACAGTGTCTAGAACGCAATCGTCAAGCGGGTAATTATCTCATATTGTAATCATCCCAAATTTGTATTCTACTGCTAAAAATACTTATTTCAACTCGATAAAAAAAAATAAAAAAAAGCGTCCCGCTGCAGAGAACGGAAGAAAGCACAACAACAAGCGTTGGTAGCCAAAGCGGATAAATTAATATCACTCAATGACTCACTTAAAGCCGATCTCAATGCTATGCGTGAAGAGGCAATCACACTGCGGAACATGCTGTTGCAGCATGATTCGTGCGGATGTGATGTGATACGTCAGTATATGCTGCCGTCCGTACATGCAGCTCAAAACACTCAATAAAAGATTTATTATGACGGCGATCCTTGCTTGGCGTTCTTTAGGTGAATTTTTCCCTTGCATAATATGAATCGGAAGTTTTTTTCTGCTATTCCATAATTTATAAACAATCAATGGGAAAAAAATCATGAATTGCCAAAGATGGGCTTGGAACCAATGCAATGAGGGTAAATGGATGATAAAGTACAAACCTAGAAACATCACCACGAGGCTCCAAAATAAACGATCCATCCCCTGAGGAGGGGTGTTTTTTTTTTCTTTTTACAGCAGCTTAATTTAGACTTTTCGACCATTGATGATGGCACCATATCACAACGCTTTTTCATATCATCATTTATCACTTCTGATCATTTGCCCAAACACCTTATTTTTGAATTATCATAGTCTAAGCACACGATTTGAAGTGATTCCGTGATCTTCATTCATATCCAGCAAATGTGTAAGCATCATCGACTGTTAATTTTTCACAGATCGCTCAGCGGTGTACCCTTGGCCCGAGTTTCCGGCAATGTCGTTGTTGTTGTTGTTGGACGGCTGTGTGATGGCAACACAAGTACAAACAGCATATTGCTCAAAACCGCCAGCCGAAAGGTTTGACATGCACGGAACATTATCAGTCGCCGACCGATTTAGGAATAATTGTCGGTTTAAGGATCCTTGCGGGCGACTGTCCGAGAGGATGCTTCTTCAAGATCGATCGGACAATTTTTTTAAGATAACAGCCCATGGGCTTATCCAGAAAGCTTTTTCATCTGGGTTCTGGGCTCATGACTTCTCATCAACATCCAATATTATACAAAAGCTTGCACATGCACGGCGCTTGAAGAAACCATTCTATTCCATAAATAAATTGGTGAACTTGCGTGAGATCGTTTCTACAGTAGTGATACAAAGAAAGTACCCCAACCTCTGATGTATAGGTATGCCTTCGCGCAACAGACATCTTGCAGTCTCTACGGGCTATCATATTCTGTGATATATTGCTTCTAACTGGAAATGCCTGGCCGGAACATTCATCTCCTTTGGTATTCTTTGTCATCCTAGTGAGTGACAGATCGCAAGCACGCACGATATTGACATGGCTGGTGCCCAGGTTCGGGCTCATAGGTCTGTACATTCGGCACGTGCTTAGTGATAACCGGTGGTCGTCACACAATGTTCGTGCATTTGTCAAGAATTGGAGGACCGGATCTGAGCCCGAGGTCGCACGACAGAAGCAAAGAGTATCCAACGCTGATGGCGTAAGCGAGAGGCAGCCGTGCGTTCGTTTATTTGACGGACATATCTGTTGCTAACAAAAAAGCCTTATGGATCACTCCTCGCCTCTTATTTTAGTGATTACCGATCGCCACTATCATTTGCAAGCAGTATTTACAATGGTATAAACTGGCGGGGTACCTGAAAAAGAAAAGACTTATAGTTGCTCACGGCGACCGCTCCATGGCACGTGTACGATCTGAGCTGCGTAGGTTCTTGAAGGCTACTGCTAACCTATGGAGAAAACCTTTGCAGGTAATGCGTAAACATTCGTGTGTGGGAAGCACTGACGGGAGGAACCGAGTTCAACAACCAGCAGGTCCGACCTTCTTTTTCAGATGGTCAAAAAAGACAAGAGCTTGTTTATTTTGAATAGTTCATCTTTACCGCCATCATGGAACACATCCAATGTGTTCCTCTGTATACGATTTCCATGACTTTGACGCAAGGAAAGCCCGTAACTAACTCATTATCTACTAATGGCACAAGTCGAATCGTGGTAGCACAGCGAACAGACAGACTTATCAGTGCAACCGAAATTCGTTAAAAAGTCTGCGTAACATTCGAGAATATCTGGAGCTGCGAATTTCCCAAATGACCAGAATTCCGTGAAATGGGCGGCTAGGGTGGAATAAAAAAAAAGGTGTTCAAATTTTATACAAGAATTACGAAATAACAAAAACTTCTAATAAAATTAAAACTATAACCATTGTAAATAAAAACGAAATATATCAACAGAACAAAGGAAATGGATGCCTCAGTGCTTTTTCTTTTGGAGCGGCGAAATTTGGTGATGGAAAACAAAAAAAGTTACTCAAATGCAGATGGAATGACGGTGGGGAAGAAGGGAACTGTACAAAGGGTAAAAATGTCGGAATAGGAAAAAAAAAAGTTCAGTAACTTGTCAAACTGACTATCGATCGGGATCCCGGAAGTGAGCTGGCGGAAGCAGGTCGCCGTATGGACCTTCGACTGACATTGGAAGAGGCGGGAGAAGGTGACGAGGTCGGTGTTGCCGGTGTTTGTGTTTCCAGGAAATTATCGAGATCATCTTTTACAATGCCGATAAATCGTCGACACCGCTGTCTTCCGCCGCGTTTATACCCTGTGTTACTGTGATGCCGCATAACCACCACTTCGTAACGTTCCTGCTGTTTACTGGAGAACGAGACCGAGTTGGAGATACAGCTTCCGTCGACCAGCGACACGGTGGATTGATTACGGTACCAATAGAGTTGAGGCGAGATGGGGTCTTGATGAGGTGCGATTTCCAATGTTTCGTCTTGGACGGCGTTGAAGCGATCGAGTAAAGGGTGATAGTTGGATGGGACGGGAGGTGGCGTTGGACAGGATAGTGGTTGAGCGGGAGAAAGACAGGGCATGGTGTTTCGTTGTTGCAGTCGGTGATACAGCGGTTCTTTCCATATGCCAGTCTCACGATGTTGGTCGAGGGTCTGTAAGAGGATGTGATGGTGTTCAATCATGACAGTCCACAGGTGGGTCCATTTCGCGTTCCGTTCGATAAGATGACTCATTTCGCCCAAACGTTGCCGTGGATTTTTCTTGAGTGAGTAAGGAATGTCTTTGAGCGTTTGTTCCAGCCCAGTGCATACAGGTGCCAAAACAACCGCCAGTGCTTCGGGACTCATCATGTTGATATGCGCATACTGTTGAATAGACGAAGCGAGTGATAAAATGTAATACAATAAATGAAAATGGGTCACTGGTAAGTCTTTGATGATCCCACTAATGAGTTGAACAGTTTCCTCGTCGGACATTGCATCATCTAAAAAGAGAAAACATTTAAAAAAAAACATAGGTTGCTTATTAGTTTAATTGGTACTAAACCCAAATGCGAAGAAGCTTTTTTTTTCTTGTCTTCTTGATCTTAGCAGTTTTTTTTTTCTTGTGTTTCTGTTTTTTCACTAACCTGACGCTTGAAGGAATCGATCATGGTAAGCACTTGGAATGACGGATTCGGGAAGATTCCGCAAAAACTTTTTAACGACACCGGTGATGGCGTGGATATCATGATGAGTCAAATCGAGGTATTTGCCATAAGTTGGTGGACGGTCAAAGTCTCGCTGTAACTGATTCACCTCGGAGGCTGCTCCCGACAGTCTAAAGATTCCTTCTGTACGCAAACCTAATATACGAGAAACTCAGCATTGTTCAGTCACTGGCCTTTTTTTTTTCTTTTTTTGTTTACAGGATCACACATGATCTGAAGGGGTCGTTATTTCTGTACCTCTTTGCAATATTTCGGTAAAACACCGATTCACAGGATCAGGTACACATAAACCATTGGACGTTATCGACCCACATTGAGCAGCATATTCCAGTGGAGCACCAAAAATGCCTTTGGTCACTATTACACCTGCTTGAAATAAATAAATACAAAAACAAATTACGGGTCAGCAAAATATATTGAATCCATATAGGAAATTCCTTCTTCCCCCTCCAATATCCTTTTTCCTCTTTTGCCTCCGTCTTCATTATTCTGTTTTCTTGTCACCGTTGGCTTTCCTTTTTCTTTTTACCTTTTTTTGCGGGAATGGAAGTATATCCACCAAAAAAGTGATGCTTTTTGAGCAAAAAGCTGAGTGGGTTCTTTTGACGCTTCTTCTCCGGTTGAACGGAGTTGAGCGCAGGATCATTAGCGATCATCAAGACGAAATGTCAAAAAGTGGAGTAATAAAAAAAAAAATTGGGCAAAGGAAAAAGGGGCGATGAGTAAAAATGGAAGAAAGAAGAGAGCGAGCCAAACTGGTCAAAAAAAAAAAACCTAAAAATAAGAGGCTCGTACAATCTCGATTTTTTTTTTTTGACTCGTGTCACTGTATACTTCATCCAGTTCATTCTCCATCATTTTGCATAAACCATCTTGAAAAGAGTATTTTCACTGCGCTTACCCTCCCTCACCTTTTTTTCTGGGTTGTCTGTGTTATCATCGATCATCCATTGACAGCCTGGGAAATATCCTACCATTGCAGAAAAAAAAAAGATCATGAACCACATAAAAAAGGAATCCAGATAGGGACATTGAACTTGGCCAGGTCATGGCGTCTTTTGTTTGTGTTTTCAAAATGTTACAGCCACTTCAATACCAACCAGACTGGATTTATGACGTATACTTGTAGCCATGTCCCGAACGGCTTTTTGCGCAACCTTACGGCAGCGCGCCCATTTGCCGTAGCGCCACTGGGAGACTCTATTACGACATCACACACAAGTTCACCCTATATGGTTTACATAATTTCTGCAGACCATTTCTGAATACTTGTTGCGTATAGTAAAACCATCAGTTGATAAAGTGTGATTGAATGTTATTTCTCTCTTAACGCACAGCAATGTCATACTGTTCCTGTGATTTTTCAATTGTTTTTGCAGCTCGGATTTTCTGTAATGTTGTCGCAGTATTCAAATTAGACTTTTAGCAAATGTATGTATCAGTTCGTTGTGCATGCAGCAAAAAATCCTGCATAGTGTTCATTGCAATCACGGGCCAAGCATGGATGAGTCGTTCTTCAGCGGAGTTTTGGCCGCTCATACTGTCGCTGCTGCTGTCGCTGCTATCATACAACTGACCACTTTTTCCACAGATTGTTTACAGAAAGATTCAGTTATACCAACGTCCAGAGAGTAACTATCTTGGCAAAATAAAGGCCAAACGCTTAGTGCAATAGGTGGGCTGCCATCGCCGAAATTGGATGTGTAAAAAATGATTGGTCAACAAAAAAAATATATAATTTGCAATGACATGCACCAGCCAGTGACGAGCTTTTGCCACGTCGGACTAACTATTATCTTTCTATCCAACGATCCGCCTTTCCTTCACAGCCAAACCCTTTTCCGTTATGCAGCCCGTTCTGACCCTCCTCATTTGTATATACGCTCTTTTCTTTACACTGGTGAATGCGGGCCCTGGAACTCACCGTTACGACGGCGCTCATTCCAATTATGGCATAGACAAGACCAACAAAGAGTAAGCCAGATCACTTTACCCAATATTGCATTCGTTCAGTCCATCTTATGCCACTGACACGGGTTGCACTCTTCCCTTAGACATATTAAAGAGCATTTGAAAGCCTTGTCAGGCGATAACCTGGACGAATTACCACCGTTGAGTGACAAGGACATGATTTACTATCTGTTTGTGATCCACGACACAAACGGTGATAATCACTTGGATGGACACGAATTGCGAGCTGCTTTTACCGACTTTGACGACGTTTCGGAAATCGATCCTACTGAGTTTATTTCATTGGAAGAGGTCACGGAAATGGTCGATCACGTGTTGGAAGAGGATGATCTGGATGGCGAGTAAGTCTATCTGTTTGCAAGTGCATTGTGCGGAGAGCCATTGAAGACTCATTATAACGAAACTTTTTTTTTGATGTCACAAAGTGGCCGGATTTCCTGGGAAGAATACATACAAAGCCAGCTGTACCATGGTCAACCAACTGAGATTGTCTAGACATACCCCCAAACTATAATAAAAAGGCGGCTGCTTTTTACCTGTCATCTTTCTTCTTCTTTTTGCTTGTCGGATCTACTTTACTGTTTGTCCGGAAAAAGAAAATGTCGTTCTCTTACAATGCTTCACCTGGCAGACCATGCTTTCGATTTATTATGAACATGTATGAAGCTGTCACTGGTCATCCATTGCATTTCCGATACGTATACGGCCAAACCACACTTTCGACCCTAAACGAAGGTAGGATGAGGTTGATTTCATCACAAGAACGTAGAATAACTCACTCGCTGGTCTTGGCACCAACGTAGTCGTGATTACTGGTGTCATTTATTTTGTTGTCATCTTTGGTGGTCAACGACTGATGGTCAATCATTCCGCTTTTGAACTGCAAAAGCTGTCGCGTATCCATAACCTGCTATTGACGCTGGCCTCGGGACTTTTGCTGGTGCTCCTCACCGAACAAATCGGACCTCTCCTGTACCATCAAGGATTTTTCCATGCCGTGTGTGGAGACGATTCGTGGCATTCTCCTTTGGACCTGTTGTATTATCTCAATTATTTGCTAAAGTATTGGGAACTTTTGGATACCGTGTTCCTGGTGCTGAGAAAGAAACGACTAGGTAATCTCGTTTGCTTGAATCAATCATCAGCGCTTAGCTTGTTCACTTACATAAGTATGCACAGAATTCCTTCACTATTTCCATCACAGCATGACATTGCTTCTTTGTTTCATTATTCAGAACGAGCAACCCGGTGCGGTAAGTGATCCTTTCTTCTATATCTTGTTGATATGGATGGAATGAGATCGAAACTTCATTTAACACTTTGTGTATTTAGACTTGGGTGCCGATTGTGTTGAATCTTTGGGTTCATGTTCTTATGTACTATTATTATTACCGTACAGCGGCGGGGGTTCACATTTGGTGGAAAAAGTACCTGACCACCATGCAAATCACCCAATTTGTCTTGGACTTGACGGTCATTGTATTTTGCTCCTACACGTATTTTGCCAGTCATTATTTTCCCAGGATGCCACATCTAGGCCACTGTACCGCCACGGACTTTTCTGCTATATTTGCACCCGCCTTGCTCGGCTCTTACTTGGTCTTGTTCATCAATTTCTACCGTCTCACCTACCAAAGCAAACAGAGTCACCGAAGAAAAAGGCTGGCGGCAGACACCAAGTCGTTATAAGGGCACTGTTCAATTTTTGGGTCGAAAAAAAGACAAGGATTAGCGGCCCATATTAGAACACTTTAAAACGACCATTCTTCGAACCGGGTATCCCGATCTTTTTTCTTTTACTTCTATTTTTCTTTATGCTCCAATAAAAAAATGATATTACGACATGCTGATAGTATGATGTGCCCAATTCCGTGAATCGTAATATAGCTAAACTCTTTTTACAAACTGACAAATACATTGTATAATATGTGAACCCAACTATCCAACGGTCCCGGCATACAGTAGCGGAGACAATCCTGGCCTCCTACATGACCGTCTGGGCGTAAATCGGTGACAGCCGCTAGATCCACAAAGAGCCCGCCCGAAGCCTCTACAATGCTTCGTGCGATCGCATTACGTCGTTGGACCTCGCTCCATCCAAATGGTAATTGTCGGCGTTCTTCATCCGTCAATGGCTTTTTCAGCGGTCTGTCCGCCTCGTCACAGTAAGGGTGGCCAATCGATGTCGATCGATAGATGACAAGGGCGTGGGGTTTCACTCGACGAATGGTGCGCATGGTGTTAATTAGCTGACGCGTAAAGGTACCATCGTCTTCGGCAACAGGCCCGCGATTGAGAATTAAAATATCGTACTTCGAAATAATATAGCCCGGAAGGAATGGCCATTCTACGATATCCATGTGCGGTCGTCCATGCGCTTTATCCACTCGATGAACTGTCGACAGTACATCGTTGCGCAAATAGCGAAGATTCACATCGGGTTTGGAACACAGACTGTGATCCTTACAGTTGAGTTCTCCAAAACAGACCACGGGACCGTCTCTCAGAGTATCCAGAAACAGATCGTGCAGTTGAAAATGAACCAAATCGCCTACCATCAAAATATTGCGACCTTTGAACGCATCGCACCACTGACTACGGTCCAGTTGATGCGGCAACGCACATTCTGGTTGCCAGGTATACCGTAAGGCGGGACGTTTTTCGTTGGATGAATGGCGTTTATAAAAAGCACGATCGCAACTTCCATAAACGGGATCTTGAAAATGGGGTAACATGGATGATGCATCGTGTTGGATCCATTGACCTCGTGTCCAGCAATCTACTTGCGCTCGGAACGCATCGGCGGCATCCTGTGTCGTGAATTTCGTTCCAGGCAAACCCTTAATGGTTTCGCCCCACGGTTCTTGTATAAGATCGTGGGCTTTTTGTACTGCTTTCTCCTGAAGCGCTCGACGGTCACTGGACGTCAGATTCAGCTGTGCATAGGGATTAACGTGAGATGCGTGCGGATGAGGCTGTCGATACCACGGGAAACCCAGTGTTTCATGAGTCGATGACGGGACCAATGGCGCCGATGGAGTTGACGGTTGTGTGAATCGTGTGAATAGATGATAACTGACGATGAATAACAAAGCATAAGCCAGTATTCGGACCCACTTTGTTAGGCGCCATGACAGAAAAGAGGACATTTTCTTGTCAAGTAGGACCTTTACATCGCCTCCAAAAAAATGCCTCAATAAAAAAAAAAATCAGCCCCGAGATCACCGTCTCCGATCCCACCGATCCCCTAATTAGGTAAATTGCCAGCAAAATACACGGTTCACACAGCACCAACATATCACATTTTCTTGCACAGCAAGCGTATCATATTACAGAGGCATATTTCATGTAAAAAGGTCGTTATATGGAGGTGACTTGGTATTACTTTGTATCAAAAAATGGTTTATTGTTTATTTATGATCTTTTTTCTTTGTTTTGGTTGTTTTTTGCTGATTTTGTTGGGTGTTTAGGATGGTCTAGAAATCGGGAAAGTGGACTCTGTAGGGATCTGGGCCAGGGAGACCATACGGTTCGCGGTTTTCTTCGTATCGGTCGTATTGACTAGCATCGCCTTCTCGTTCAATGGGCGGGACGTACGGTGGTCGGGTCATACGAAGGGCAATACTATCCCAATCAATCTCTTCAAACCAAGGGTGACGCTTAATGTCCTCGGCTCCGTTTCTCAGGTTACCAAATCGTCGCGACAAATCAGGTGTCAACAGACGTTTCAGTAAATCCTTGGCTCGCGGATCAAAGTACGAAGGCCAGTGAATGCGACCGGCCAAAATCTTTTCGTACAATTTGATGTGATCTTCATCGTAAAACGGAGGATATCTGATATAAATCATCAAACAACTCGGTGAGTGATCCACTCTTTTCCTTGTCCCCGTCAGTTTCTACCCTACCCTGCAAGCATTTCAAATATCAGAATGCCCAAACTCCACCAATCGACCGCCTTGCTGTATCCTTTGGATTGAATGACTTCAGGAGCTATATGTTCCAAGTAATTATATGTGAGTGCCCGACACAGACGAAGGAAATCCAATTTTTCTCGGTCCACTTACCAAGATAATCGGGTGTACCGCACAGTGTCCATGTAATATCTGGGACAAATTTCGTAAAGCCAAAATCGGTAATTTTAATATGGCCTTGTTTGTCCAACAGTAGATTTTCGGGTTTAAGGTCCCGATAAACGATATCCTTTGCATGAAGATATTCGATGGCGAGCGTCACTTCGGCCGCATAGAATTTAGCAGCACGATCCGGAAATCGCTACAATATAAACAACACCCATCAGCCTCCCTGGCACTGAGATTCACCAAGAGTATATCATCAACCCATGCGTACCTTCCATTTTCGCAATACCGTGAACAGTTCACCACCAGGCACGTAATCCATCACCATGTACAAACATGCGTCATCTTGAAAAGTGCCCCAAATGTTGACCAGGAAAGGATTAGCTACGGATTCAAGAATGTGTTTTTCGTTGTTGGTGTGTTCTACTTGCTTCAATCGTACGACTTCCGATTTTCGGAGAACTTTAATCGCATAGTAACGACCATTGTGTCGCGATTGAGCCAAATGCACACGCCCAAACGATCCCGTGCCCAGCGTACGCAGTAAATGGAAATCGTCCAGCTTCAACTTGGGCTTATTTTTACGCTGCGACAAGATTTGATGATCATATTGAAGGTATTGCTGTCGTAATGCCGCTCGCTCTCGAGCTAACAGACCGAAACAAAGAAAAAATTTTAAAACCCCCAAACATTAAATTGCTTCGCATGAATCTGTCCTTTTTTTTTTTCTTACCTTTGGGATCATGATTGTCTCGATAGCCAAGCTTTGTTTGTAAAAATTGAGCTAACAGAAATCAAGGAAGAACTACGTTAGGTCCTGTTTTTCTTTTGCACTGCATCATCTGATGGTTTCGTCCAATCCATAATCATACTCTTTTCCTCGTTGCCTTGGTAAACCGTTTGAGGCCGCACGAGAAAAAAAACCGGAGTTTCAACATGGCACCCGCTTTTTTAGTATCCCGCTCCCTCTCTCCATCCAAAAAAGAAAATAAGAATAACGAGAAATAAGCACGATATACTTACAAGGTGGGTCGATATCCATATATTGCGGACGCTTGTTTTCCACCGATTGTCGGGGGGTTGCATATCCGGCTGTATAGTTGGCCGACGGATTCGTTACCGTTGGCTCGTTCATTTTTGGCAGCGCAGAAGGTTGTTGCTGTGGTTGTGGTGTCTGTGGCTGTGGTTGCGTTTGCGTTTGCGTTTGCTGTGGTTGCGGTGGCGTCAGTTGAGATGGTGGCTGTTGCTGTTGAGGATACGAGTTGTATGTGGTTGGATTTTTATCGGCTGATCCTGGGGTGTGAGGCGTCGTTTGAAGTCCAGTGTTCATGCCTGTGATAGTCGCGTCGTTTTTCGATGCAGGCATAGGTTGGCTGATGGTCAAGGAAGGTTCCTCGGCTTTCGCCGACGCCGTTCCATGATGCCCAACATGTTTAGCTTTGCCAATAATTTTATCAAAAAGTGGCATGGTCTGTTTCTCTGCTGGGCCTGTGATGAAAATGTGGTGAGAAAAAGAAGAAAATCAATTAGAAATGCGGCTGGAGTTTAAAGCAATAAAAAAAATGACGGTGTTGGAAAAAAAAAAAAAGAAAAAAAGAACACATTTTTTGGACTGCTATTTTTGGCTTCATTCTGGAGACGTTCAGACGGTCATCAAAGGGAGTAGCCTATTCAAACTTTTATTAGTTCTTTTTCTTGCAACATTCATCAGAGAAAAAGGTTCCTGCCTTTTGGGAGTTGGCAGTAATTTATACATGCCCGTTGCTTTTGTCGTTGATGGTGTGCCGGCAATACAATAGAAAAAAGCTTACATTTGTAAAACCGCTGCTCCATCGCCGCTTGAATGAAAACGTTCTGTACTTTAGCTTCTTTCGCAACTCGTCAGTCTTCCAGGTGGCAAAATGAAAGAATGGATAGAGGGTGCATGTATTAATTCCAAACCATTCATTGTCATATTTATTCTACTTGAAATATCAATGCTAAAGCGACTCGATTCATGTTGGAAAAGGTATGTTAAATGTTCGAACGATTTCAAAAGTTTTCTTTGTTCGCTTTTATGACGGCATGACTTGGCAATGGTTGGAAAATGATCATTTGAAACCAATCGTTATGTTTCTATTTTTTTTATTATGCGGGGTAAGTGTCCGGTTTGCCATTGTCAATTCTTCTGTTGCCGGCACCAACCACAATCCACGACAACCACTGCATGGCAACCTTCATTGTATCTATTGGTTATTCCATCGTGTTCGTTCTCTTGCATTCTATTTTAAACATTCCGACCCCGTTACGCTCGCTCGATGAGCGCTTCAGAGATAATAAGAGATCCATTGTGCGAGTATCATACTACTTCTATACGATGGCATCCTTCCAGTTTTATGATACACACGTGTTATGTCCTTTTTATTGAATCAACAACTGATGAGAACGTAAAACGTTACACAGAGAGCTTTTTCTTTTTTTCTTTTTTTTTATACAGAGGATCAATCCGATATATATAACTTGAACCAGTCAAAGCCCGTCTAAGCTTCAAGCTTTCTCTTCTTGGATTCCTGATCAGCGCCGGCGGCCATCAAGGCTTCGATTTCGGCAATTTCCTTGGGCGCGGTGGTCAAGTTGATGTGACCGTCCTCGGTGATGAGGATGTTATCTTCGATACGCACACCACCTACGGACTTGTACTTGTTCAACATGTCCTGGTTGATGTACTTGCCGGTCTCGGCCGCCTTCAATACAGGATCAATGAGGAAATCGCAAAAGTAGACACCAGGTTCCACCGTTACAACATGGCCCTTGGCCAATGTACGGCGCATACGCAAGTTGCGGATACCAGGAGCATCAATACGTTCAACACCTTCGGGATAACCACCCACATCATGCACATCCAAACCCAACATGTGACCCACTAGAAGAAGAAAAAACAACGGGCATAAATTTTTAGAAGAACTTCCTTTTTTTGTCTCAATTCAAAGCCCATACTTACCACCGTGAGGGAAGAAAGCCGCCACGACGTGATTAGCGAGAATGTCTTGCTTAGATCCAACCAGGATACCCGCCTTTAACAGACCATCGCAAGCCACTTCGGTCGCAGTGTTGTGAATATCTTCCCAAGCAACACCAGCCTTGCACTTAGCCAAGCAAGCCTAAATATGAAGAATGTGTGAATTTAGAATCTCATTTTTTCATGTGCGACACAAAAAAAAAAAAAAAAAAAACCAGCCGATGTCTCATTGTGTCACCCCTTTCTTACCTTTTGCATATCAAGGACAATGCTGTAAATGACCTTGGCTTCCTCTGAGAATTTACCACCGACGGGGAACGCGCGAGTGATGTCGGAAGCATAGCATCGGTATTCAGCACCAGCATCAACCAACACCATATCAGTGGCTTCCTTCATCACGGCATTGTTCTTGTTATAATGCAAAGTAGCCGCGTTCATACCAACACCCACAATAGGATAGTACGATTGGAACAAAGCACCGTGGCGAACCGACTCGTACAAAAACAAAGCATACAATTCCTGCTCGTTCATGCCCTGCTTCACGGTTTGCATCAACTGTTACGTACCCAAAAAACAAGACAAGATTAGTTTCTTTGTGTTCTACGAGGTAGATGCACTCGTTAGTTTTTTGTTACCTTGACGTGGGCGTCCGAGGAGATCTTGTTGGCTTGACGAATCACTTCCACTTCCCAATCGGCCTTGACGCAACGAGCTTCCACAAAGGCGGTGTACAAAGCCTTGTTCTTGTCGGCATCGGCCACCGAGGCCTTGGATTCCTCAAGCAATTTGCGGTCGGCAATAGGCAAAGTGTACACGGTGGAAGCCTTGCTTAAACGTTCGTTCAACTTGTCGACGTAGAAGGCTTCATCGATGTCGTATTTTGCACGAAGCGTTTCCAAGGAGTCGGGCATACCCATCCACATGACGTGGTCAGGATTAATGTTGGGCGCATAAAGTTCCACTTGTTGCGTAGCAAGGTCAATCACGACGTGAAAGTCAGGTTCGGGAACACCTAAAGGATGATTTTGCATGAATGAACAGGTTAGGGTCTATGTTTGTACTTCCTCGAGCCCAAATATGAAAATATTTGAAAATGGGGGAATTGAGTTATTTTACCGGTGACATAAAAGAAATTGCTTTCTTGACGGAAGGGATATTCCACGTCGGTGTCGTCTCTTTCGTGCAAGACTTGACCGTTGAGGTAAATGACGCCTTCCGAGACGCCAAAGTTTTGAAGAATCTTCTTGACGTTTTCACGAGTGGGGAATTTTTGAGCCATGCCGGACTGAAATGGATTGAAGAAAAAAAAAGGGGGGGGCGAAAGAGAAAAAAAGCGTGCGAAAAAAGACAAGTGGAGTTATAAAAGCCTAATTTTTTTTTTCTTGACCGTTGGGAAAATAAACAAAGAATGAGTAAGAAAACCTTGGACTATTTCCCTCCAAAAAGCTCCGCTTTGCGATAAGCTTATTGTTTACTAGGGGTTACAGTTTATGAGCAAATGACCAACATTGGCTGCGTTTCTGAGTCTCAAAAATTTAACATTGATCGTATCATTCGCCCAACTAAACACCTCTACCTTCAAACACCGATCAAAATGACATGTTATGGAATTTCTACTCAAGTCGTCTTGCGCTCTTTCGTTGCCGATCCAAGGGATAAAGAATAGCCGACCGAAAAATAAAAACTCAGGATCGGATCCTTTGACAGGTAGAACGCGTTAATTCATGAAACACTATTTCTCGTCTGAATGGGCTGCAACGTCCCAATGGCCAGTGTCTGTTGCTTTGTATTTACCAGTTTAACAAACCAATGTCATATGGGTCGATCCAGTTGCTAAGATGATGCATTGATACATATTGATTTTAATTGCCTTTATTCACGCGAAAGCAAGCTCTTATGCCGCCCACATGCATTTTTCGCAGGACCAAAGGAAAATAACGGGACGGACGTTCCTCCAGTTGAAAGAGATATGAAGATGAAACACCGCGCGACCTAAAGTGGACCTATCCTTCTGCAAATACCGACAGACGTTTCCTCTCATCTTCATAGTTGAACACCGAGGACCTCAAACATATAGGCCAAAAAAAAAAAAAAAAAAAAAAAACTATTCTCTATAATGAGCAGTCAGCATCATCAAGCAACGCCAAAAAAAAAAGCTTCGAGTTGGCAACCTGGCCCAACCACACTTGTTGATTGGTGCGGATTTTTAATTAATTTCCAAAAATAAAAATATACCACGTAAGGACTTGCGCAAACGGGGAATCGAACCCCGACCTTCAGCTTGGAAGGCTGAAATTCTACCATTGAACTATTTGCGCCATATTCGGTAAGATTCCGAATTTGAATAACCAGGCCTTTTTGTGTAACGCGAAACTAGCCAATCAGATTGCTAGAATTATGCATTTTGTGTAACTAAAGAGCGGAGTTGTTTGTTCAAATGTCAAAGCAGCCTCTCTTTTTTGCGCGTTATATGAAGCCAACAGGACCATTGGCAACAGTTTATGCCGTAACGTAACCTTGATATTGATCAGTTTTGCAAAGTTTACAAACGGATTATGGAGCTACATGTGTCGGCTGCATGTGTGGTCTTCACCATAACCCTAAAAACAGTAGGAAATACTTATCAGAGACATTACAAGTTAAAGAACAAGCTAACCGACGTCAACATATATTCTGTATTTAAGTTGGATCAGGCAGCAAGTACACGGGAGCAAAAGCGTTGTAAGATCGTGCAGAAAAAATGATAAATAAATTTGCAGCAAAAAACCGACAGTCAGCACACTGCCATCGGCCAGGTCAGACAACAATCTTTTATCAAACCACAACGTTTAAATTACACCAAAGTTCTCGAAAATACTTGCAAATTGAGTATGGTTATTGAGTATAACTATAGGCCGAAATACCAATACGCAAAAAAGTACAACATTTTATCCCGATTGACTTGTAGAACGCTTTCTCCCAGTGGGCTTAGTCTTTCTGATTCTTGCACCGTGAATTTAGGAATACAATCAAGTAATTTGTAGTTATAAAGAAGTTGTCAATGATTTTGGCAATGCGTTTTGTACTTGGTTGGTGAAAGTAGAGAGTAACATACTTAGGCAATAACGCTCACCCAAATGAACTCTTCGGAAGTCTTTAATTTCACGATCTGAGTTATTTCAAAGGTTGCACAACAGGTATGAAATTTTCGGGTTTGAGATTTTTCATTCAGTTTTTTCGTTGTGATTCACCGGTGCTTTGTGCCACCAGTAATTCAATTACCATATGTCGAAGGTTTTATTTTAGGAGTTCTCCATGGTGCTTAAAGTAGGGACGAACTAAAATCACATTGAAAACAAAAACAGATTGGAATTTCTGCAATTGCGGCTTTTATTGAATCAAATTCATATCGATTGACGTATCTGAAATACGCCCCTAAGCATTTTCTATATCGGCCGTTTATACGTACCTTGATAGCCGTTAGAGACTTACCTGTGCGAAATACTACGAAGGTGTGCACTCAATACTAAAGTAAGATAACTGAATTGACAGAGTTTTGGATGTTGCACTTCACTTTGTAGACTACTGCTAAGGCGATAGAACGCTCACCGCAACAGCATAGCGAAACAGATGGCTGGGTGAGAGACAATCTACGAAACAACTACAGTCAGTGACTTTACTTTTCTGTGGGACTCACATTGATGCCAGCAGACGACGCAAAAGAGATATACCTCTATGATGTAGGAATTAGTTTCGAAGATTTATCGCTTCAAGTTGGTTGTTATTTGTGAGAAGCTTACGTAGTATAGCTGCTCTAAAATTTAATGGAGTATTGAATAGCCATAAGTCTTTAGGTATCAGGTAGCGCCTCGCTTTGGGCAGAAACGTGTGAGAAAACTCTCCAAAGAACAAGTTAATGTGAGCCGCCACAATGCTTTCAACTTTTTTTTTCTCTTACCAAAGAACTATACATTTCTTCACTAAATGCGGAGATCATTTCACTCAACGTTATGCATCCTTCTTAGAAGTGGGGTAAAAACATCATTAGCAACAGTCAATAGTAAAAAGGTCTATCGTCTTACACTATAGATTTTTACGAGTTGGATGGAGAAAAAGAAAAAAAGTATGATCTTTTACGATGATGTTTTTTTTTTTGGCCTTGGGACTGCTCATTTATTACTGATGAGAATCTAGGTGAAAAAGTGATAATCAGGCACAAGTTTCTTTTTTCTTCCAATAGCAATTATATTTACTCACTCACAGTGACAAATGAACAATCAAGACTTCAATAATCAGAGAATTACAAGCGAAGTAACGTTGCCGTTCCTCGAGCCAAACAGTCTGTCCAAATCAACTCTACGTTTGAAGACTACGTACAGGCCGAAATGCATTTTGTGCAGTAAGTTTTTGGAAAGAGAGCAAAACTTCAAAAACTACATTTACTATTCACCGTCTCGTAGAATAAGTTGATGTAGAGTTTGCTGCTGAAGCCAGTCATTCGATGGGTAATGTTATCGACGACGAGCTTGAATCACCATTTGTTAAAAATGATTTTTGACGTTTGTGGGGGGCCTAGCGAGCTTGACTCCGTTCTTGCAAATATATTAGTGGCGGCCATATTTGGAGCACGTTCTCTGAGTTGGCAACTAGAGACGGCTTTGAGGTTACAGTATATTGCGTTTCAGTTTTCCGATCGCTCGTTCCATTGAATAGGCCGCATAATGCGACAATAGTTCCACACAGCGGACCGCATGAACATCATCCAGTCCCCGGCGCGATTCATTTTCTGGAACTCCGCCATGATCTGCCCCAATTCGTGTCTGTACGTATTGTTGGAAAACAGATGTAGTGGCTCCTTCTTTGCCATACACATCTTGCAAGAATTCCAGATTGGCCTTGAAGTGGGTAACGAGATGGTCCTGCGTTTTGGCAACTATTTCGTCGTCGAGGATATGCAAGCTCGTCCACCCACTGCAGGAAATTAGAAATCTCTTTTGTTGCGACCGGACAGGCGCAACCGGAGTCTGAAGCATGTATCTGCTTTCACTGCGGATGGCGGAAGGAAGATTGGAGAACGACGAAGTGCATTATGGCTATTCGTCATTCGCTGCTGTTAAAGAGAATTAAACCTATTGGTACATCCAGTATGTCTAGACGCATAATGCAATATTAGGTTGCGTGAACTGATTCTGATAAATTGTCCAACTCTGAATGAGTTGAGGTATCATTTATCACTGACCTTTCCTGTCTCTGTATCAGTTAACGGAACGGATGCATGTCAAAAAATAGCAAGCCATTTGATTGGTTAAGTTTTTGATCTATAACTCGATACTTCTCAGACGCATGACGCGTCTACGTGTTGTGCCTCTTTTCCGCATTCTATTTCTGTTTTTACCATGGCCTTCTCATCGAGAAATCCATTGCCAATGATTAATGAAGAGTGACAGTATGCCGTTCAGTGAAAGTGAAGAAGAGTCTGTAGCTCTCGACGAGGAAGAAGATTACGAACAGAAGCTGTTGTCTTTATATTAAAATCGATCACACCAAGAGTTGATCTTACTGAAAGAGATGGAAGATGTTAAAGCAGAAACAAGAAGACCGGCGTAAGTTACTTAGACCGTATGTATACTGATTTACGGTTCTGACCAATTTTATTTACACCAGCAAATGGCGCAAAGCCGCAATTCACAATGGCCAGGCTCTTCCGGTTTTGGCGCTCGGGGCTGCGGCATTTTCGATGACAAAGGGGTAAAATCAGCGGAATCTCCAGAAAATTTGCAAGATTGCTTAAAGAATATGAAAGAAACGGCAAGCTGATATTTCTTAACATCGATGAATATAATACATCCAAAGTAAGTAAAAGGAAAAGGTGTCAACCATAAGCTGAAAAAGTAGCTAACGATGCCTCCCTTTAGATTTGCTCACGTTGCGGCACAAAATCGCTCAAAAACATCAAAAGCCGCCAAACCAATGCTTCGATTTTCAAAGTTCTTCGTTGCACCAATTGTAAGAAATCTGGAATCGCGACGTCAATGCGAGTCGCAACATACGCTCCATAGCTTTTGCCGGTTTTTGGGCCATGACCGGCCAATCATGTTCACCCGGCCCAACAATGCAGAAGAAGAAGACGATGATGAAGAGTTGCATTCACACACCCTGGCCAAAGAATGCCATCGGTGGCAGATAACAGGTGAGCCACAAATAACCCCGAATTCAAAACGCGATATCATTTCACTAAATTTGGGTTCTAAAATCTTTAGTTGTGTTAGCTTTTTCGTTTTAAGCTATTAGTGCTTGTTTAGCGCGGATACCAAGAAAGAACTTATTGTTTGCTACGAGTGCAATGGAGAAAGAAGAGTGCCAACTATCGCAATGCGTGTTCCCAATGATAAAAAATGATGTACGCTTCACGTCTTTTTCTTTTTTCATAGCGTAGACTAGGGAACCTTAATCAAAGCGCGACAACATTAGTGCAACTAAAAAAGTTCCCGTTGGTGCCCTTTTTTATCATGTGATGGGAAAAGCCAGTGGGAAAAGGGTATATTACATAACGCACGATCCCGCCCTAGCTGTTTTTTTTCTCTTTTAGAAAAAAGATGATGTACTGTATTGATTAATTACCATAGGCTTAGTATTGTATCTTTTTTGGAATCGGAAAAACACTCGCACAAAAAGAAAATACGAACGTGATAACATCCAAAATCACGCTAATAAAAAACAAACGCCACTCTCCCAAAAAAATGAAACGGATCTAAAAAAAAAATAGTTGACTATGTTACACACCAGATCTCCATCTTTTCCATGCCATTCCTCAGTCGATTGATTTGTCGTGCCATATTAAGGTCCTCGTCGTCAATCATAAGCACCATTTCATCGTCTTCGTCTTTGTATTGGAGCCGCATGGTGGGTGGTGCTTTAAATTTTTCGCGAATGCGCAATAAAAGATCGTCAAATGTGATGGTACTTGGTACCAGTAAAATGCGCGTATCGGTATGATGGACCTTGATTTTCAATCGACCGGCCATGACGCCTTCCTTTCCTGAAGCCGTAGTGGATGCCGACGTCGAAGGTTGCGGGGTGAAGGGTCTGAATGAATTGGCACTGTTGCCACTTTGTTCACTTCCGCGACGATCCGTCACGGGTTGTTGGAGATTGTTACTATTCAAACGTCCTCGAATCCGTTCACGTTCTCGATCCTGCACGGTCATGCTTTCCAATGATCCATACACTTCATCCAACGCTTGATCGAAATGACCGTAACTCAATGTATCAAAATCATCATACGCACTCTGACTGCGGGGAATGGGAGGCACGGGCGGAGGCGAGTAGCCGCGAGTTTTATGACTTCGGGTGGAATTGCGACCGGTGGATGAAGACGATGAGTACCTTTCTTCATGCGCGGATTCAAACCCGCTGTCTACACGTCGTCCATCGGATTTATATCGGAAACTGGAACTGAAGGAGGCCGTGGATGCCGTGGATGGTTGGGAACTGTCAGCCCATTCGTCGGTGGCGGTGGTGTACATGGTGACATTGGAATCCTTTCTTCGTCGTTCGTTGGTGGGACTATATTGCGATCGTACGGATGTATGCTGGGGCTGCCGTGCGTAGAGCGGGGAGGAAACGGAGGACACGGGGATGGGAGCTTCTGTGTAAAGGGTGGGAGGGGTGGCGGGTCGACTGGTATATCCCGACGATTTATACGTTCCACTGTCGGTCGCGATGCGACTCATGGCTTGCGATGACGGACCCGCAAAACGTGCGAGGCCTCGAACGGACTGATCGGATGAAGAATGATGTAAATGGTCTTGTGGTGGTTGCGATGGTTGTTGTTGCTGTTGTTGTGATGGTGATGTATTGAAGCGTGATTCGGAGAGTAATACAGAGTTGTTTAATTTCATGGGGGACATGCCGTGTTTGTTGGCTTTGTTGATGCCCAGTTTATCGACCATGGAAAACATATCCATGCCGTGGAGTTGACGTAATCGGCTTTCCGGTGGTCGATAGAGCACGCCGGGAGGAATGGAATACACCGAATACCCTTTCCCTCGATCACGCACCGCCTGATCAATGACATCATGTTCTTCGGTCATTTTGGCTTTTTGTGCATGGTATAGATCGGTTAAACCGGCATCGATTTTGCCAAGATATAATTGGCAGATGCCTCGATTGAACAACACTTCGCAAGCATAAAGTCGGAAAGCCAGCCCCAACTGTTGGTAATTAATGATCTGGTTGCCACGCAATTTCTAAAAAATCAGATGAAATCATGATTTAGCCCAATCAATCGACGTAAATGAAACTGTGGTAGTCCCTGGATCCCTTGGCGTGGTCCTTGCTTTTTATTCTTTTCCATCCGAGGTATTGGAATCCCATTAATTTACCTGATAAGCGTTGTCAAAATCCTGCATAGCTTCATTCATGTTATTCAAGATAAATTGCGACACTCCTTTCTGGAAATAGGCTACGGCGAAATACGGATCCATACTGATGGCTCGACTGTAGGCGGCCAGCTAGAAACAAGAAAAAAAACCAGCAATGACAAATCCAAGGCAAAAGGAAAACAAAATAAACCAATTTTTTGGGTTTAATATGTAATATTCGTGTACGACGTCGTACTCTCTTGTTGCTCAGGAACAGCGACTTACCGCACGTTCATGGTCGTTTACAGTAGCAAAGATGAGACCAATATTGAAATGCATCTTGGCATTGTCGGCCATGGTCTAGTGCAAAGAAGGATTAGTCAAAGTATTAACGGAAACCTTGCCACGCGACAAGGCGGACGCGTGCTGATTCTTGGTTATAAAAAAAAAAACCCACACAAAACGCTTACAATGAATGCTTTTACGGCAGTATCATAATCTTTGCTGTCAAAGGCATTGCATGCGTTTTGCCATTGTTCCAGTTCGAACTATTGACATGAAAGATTAAAAAAAAAGAATCCAGTCAGTCGCATTAGCATAACGGATAGCGGTGGTTCGTTTTTTTTTTTTGAGATTGAGTGGTGAGACTTGCCTTGAGCGCCATTTAGGAAAAAGGCAAGGACAAGGGGGAAGTGTTATAAAACGGTGAAAAGGTTTTTGTTTTATTATGAACGAGTTTTTAAGGAGAGCGAGGATTGGTGGTTATGACTTGACAAGTTAGGAGTAAACAGAACGATGTGTAAAAATGGTTTGAATAACAAGCAAAAAGAAAAAAGAATGTCTAAAAAAAATAGAGATATAAAAAAAACACCATCCACCAACACAAGTGAACACTGGCGATTGGTCAAACTCGACCCAAATAAATCGCTCATTCAATAATGGAACTTTAGAGCAGATCGTCCCACTTGGAACAAAGTAACAATGAGGCACAAAAAGGAAGGCGACACAAAAAAAAATAGTTTCTTCTTTATCATGGCTGAATTTCATTTCCAGCAATTGGTTTCTTGGTATTGCACCCGCATGAAGAAATCATATCCGCAAAAAAAAAAAACAACCCAAGCGTCCTCTCTTTTCTCCTGCTCTTAGCATAGTTGTTTATCCAACCCCTTTCAAATAAACGATCAACATTGACCTCGCTCGTCTTGGCACATGATTTTTCCATTTGCCTTGCCAAGGCGGTTGATTCGGAGCAACAAATCCTTAATTCCTTTCAAAATTAGTGATACTAGCGCGACCATCTACCTTTAATTGACCGTTTCATCACTCATGGTGAAAATGGATAAAATAACCCTTGATATATCATCATTTACCGACTAAAAATAAAAGGATATCGTAGGAACTGTCCTTGCATTGGGTGATATAGTACTAGCCTGCCGTTTCATATGCGTTGTGCAGGGATCTGATGACGTTAGATGGCAAAACCATGACTGATCATCCTTCTGGATAAAAATTAGGGACGATCCTTTTTTTTTTTTTTTATTCATCTATTTATTTTTGGCTGATGAGGGATGAATTGACTGTCGAGATCGCGAACGGTTGTGGCAACCATAGCAACAATTGACTATTTTTTTCGTTGTTGATATCGTCACTTTTTACCATGCTTGGATGCTCGGGCTGAAACGTATTCTTCGGTTCACAACGGCATATGCATAATATAAACCCATCTGCATGTGATGTGATCGCACCACAGAAATTAAGGTTTGGCTGCAAGCGAAACTTTAATATTGTTGTTGAATGTTGTTGTGCTGTTTTAAATATTTTGAATTTCGGTTGCATATGAGAATGTCAATAGCAACCACCCTTCTCTCTCCGTTAAACTAACCAGCAGATGATGAAAAATGAACTCATCTTGGTTAATATTCAAGGTGTGAAAAACCTTTTCATATGCAGGGAAACAATTCTTTCGGTTGATCTGTTTCGAAGATATGCTGATGATCTGTCCTGCTGCATGATGTATTGAACGGTACTTGCATTTTGGGATGAGCTCCAACAACACCAGCTGACGCGCGTATTAAATCGAGCTAACAATGTAAAAACTTGTCCTCTAATTCTGTATCAATACGACGCGGCAGCCTCAGGCTTGCATTTCGGACAAATCGGGTAGTTAGTGATATTGCTCCGAAAAAAATAAATATAAAAATAAAAAAGTCAGCACATGGCATGTGCATTTATGAGAGACTTGAAGCCACAAGCGCTTCATGGATGTAATGTAATATGTCAATTATAAACCTGAATTACCATTAGGTTATACCATGTGCTATAATTTGGCGGTCTACAAATAGCCTAGCCCAACTAATAATGACAGACTAGGGATTATCGGGAAGATCACCCTTGAGCCCGATCGCCCTGTATACTCATCGCTTGATGAACGAAAAAAAAAATATCAAAGCACGTGCAGCACATAGTGCACGACGTGTTGCTCTGGAGGAGAGAGAGGGGAGCAAATTAACCATTCGTTTCTCCAATGTCCTACAATCTCCCATTGTGACTAAAAATACTTTATTCGCCTTTATCAAGAAATGACGGCAAGTTCATCACCAATCAAGAAACTAGGCTGATTCAATATTTTCCCCTAATATCAGTCAATCGGCAGAACATAGTTATTCTGCATTACATGTAACTTTTCTATTCTTTGATTTTTACCAATCTTTTCACAGATAAGCATCAATCCCTTGTTGTGTTTTCTATCAGTCCTATTTCTTTTTTGGACGTAGCCGAATCTGATTCCAATCACAGGAAATTCAAAGGTTTTTCAAGTCCGTCTTAGCCCAAAGTCGCCGTGACTCGCTTTTTTCTCAAAAGACCGAGTTCAAAAAAATATGCCAGTGTTTCGAGCTATTTCACTGTCCAAGCTTGCCTATCATGTCATCAGAGAAGAAGAGTGAATTGCCTAATGGCTCCACGAATAAGCAACCGCCGGTTATTCTGTGCATTGGTATGGCAGGATCCGGTAAAACGACCTTCATGCAGGCAAGTTCATTGGGAGTCTTTGTCAGCCAATCCTGCTCCACACATTAACCGCAGTCTTTCTCTTTATACAGCGTATCAATGCTCACTTGCATGCCAAGAAAACACCTCCATATGTCCTCAATCTCGATCCAGCCGTCACCTCTCTTCCCTTTACCGCCAATATCGATATTCGTGACACCGTCAACTATAAAGAAGTCATGAAACAGTAAGTGGATCTCACCAACATTGGACTGATCCGGCCGTAGCTGATTGGGGTTTTTTACATTTAACAGATACAACCTGGGCCCTAATGGCGGTATTCTCACTGGTCTGAATTTGTTTACCACCAAGTTTGACCAAGTGCTGAACTTTGTCGCCAAACGCGCCGACACCGTGAGCCACATTCTTGTCGATACACCTGGTCAAATCGAAATCTTCACCTGGTCCGCTTCCGGAGCCATTATCACCGATACACTGGCCGCCACTTACCCGACGATGATTGCCTACATCATCGATACACCACGCACCACGTCTCCTGCCACCTTTATGAGTAACATGCTCTATGCATGCAGCATTCTTTACAAGACTAAATTACCCTTTATTCTGGTGTTCAACAAGACCGATGTTGTGTCGCACGATTTTGCTGTCGAATGGATGACCGATTTTGAAAAATTCCAACAAGCCCTCAGCCAAGATACATCGTACATGAGCAGTCTCATGAACTCGATGAGTCTGGTGTTGGATGAATTTTATAATCATTTGAAGGTGGTCGGTGTCTCGGCTGTCACCGGTCAAGGTGTGGACGAATTCTTCCAAGCGGTCGATGACGCAGCAGAAGAATATGAAAGGTACGGTTGGATATACGTCCTATTAGACAGTAAGAGAGAACTCATTTCGTATGATGTTATGCAGAGAATACAAACCAGAAATCGAACGCATGATCAGAGAAAAGATGGAACGTGAAGAAAAGAACCGAGAACAACAATTGAACAAATTAATGAGTGATATGAAGGTGTCCAATGGCACTGAAGTCGATCTGGACGAGAATGGCTCCCGATTAGAAGATGAAAAATGGGCGGAAGACAAGGATGACGAAGAAGAGGAAGAGGAATCAGACGATGAGTCTGACAGTGAAGGTAATCCTTAAACAATCCAATCGACAGTCGGGAATGAAACTAACATGTGTTTGAAAAAAAAATGAAAGGTGAAAATCCGTTACCATCTGCGTCGAAATTTCCACCTTCATTTGTCCAACAACGTAATGATGAAAAATTCAAAGCTTGGTTATCTCAGGCCAACAACACCAGCATGTAACTTTATTTTTTCATTCGATTCATTATTAATTAAAACCATTCTGCACCATGTATCCCTGTATCCGCTGCATCGTTCAAAGGGTGAATGGCTTAATCAAGTTGTATTCACTGTATTGCATTGATTGTATAACGCAGGCATGGATTGATGGATAACATTTTATTTATTACGAGGACGGGGATCCACATTATGGGATGACGATGGCGTATTTGCAAATGTTCTAGAGATTAGAGAGAAATTGCTTATAAAAAATGGGGCTGTCTAATGAGGTGAGCATATCCAAACTATTTTTTTAGGCGTGGTTCAAAATGGAAACATAATCTTGTGAACTTTTTTTTTTCTTCCTTTTTTTTGGAGGGCGAGGCGGGGAAGATGGTTCTTGTGCATGAAAGACAATTAAGAGGTGGCATAGAAAAAAGGTGGAGGAGTGTATGAAAAAAATTAAAAAGGTGAGCGAGATGAAATAATGATTTTTATGAGCATACGGAAGCGGGTCGTTGTTGTTGGGTCAGTTCGGAGGAATCGGTGGAAGCGATCAGACTGTGGCGAAGCGATCCTGTAGCGTAGGAAAGCGTATCACTGGCAGTGAGGGCGATGGACGGTCGAACTTGACCGGGAACAGGACATGTAGGTCGTTCGTACGATGTGTTCTTGCCCCGCATAATGGTATGATCGTCGCTGGCTTCACTTTCTGCGCGTGCGATACTTTCTGGCCCATCGTGAGCGGATGAAAAGGTCATGGACGATCGACTATAAATGGAGGACGAACCTTCCATGGAAATGGCCGGCGATTGCAGTTTAAGCGTAGCGTTGGAAGATGAGGCTTCTCCTGCGGTAGTGGGGATGGCCGCCATGGTTGTTGTGGTACCGGGATCACCGGAACCGGTTTGACGTCGCTTCATTGTATGCAAGGGTTGTTCATGCAGCCCGTCTGTCAAGTGAATTGAGATCGCTGCACTATGCCGTTTACGGAGATAAGGTTGAGATTTCGCCACCAATAACATTGACGGCATGGTATCCGTATGCTGTACCACTTCGCCGCTGGTAAAAGATAAAAGGGACGACGACGATGAAAATCGCTGATGCAGATTCGGTTCCGTCAGTTTACGTTGCGGTCGTTGCGGTTTTTTTCGAGTCAAAGATCGAGATCCGGACGAAGGGAGAGGCCGATCGCGAAATAGGTGACACGATTGACGAGAATCGTACGTAAACTGATCAAACGGGTCATCTTCTTCCGTGGTATCGACATTGGACGCTTGGCTAATTCGGGGGGTCATATTGACAAACATCTCGTCAAAGTGGGCCAGGTCAGTGGCCGACGCCAACTCGGGCACGTAAGGAGGTGTCAACTTTTTCTGAACCACTTCATCCCAATTCACTCCTGCAAAGTACGGATGGCGTTTAATCTGGTCTGCACCTTTTACACCCCATCCCAGCCGTTCCGAAGCTTCGCGTTCAAGCAACTAAAAATAAAAGAAAAAAAAAGAAAAAAAAAAAGAAAATCAATTCATCTGTCACCTCTTGTCGCCAGAATCGTTTGATGGTTGTGGCTCCCATTTTTTTTCCTTGGACGTAAAGCTTACCCCGCACAGGAGATCACATGTTACTGCGTCAAAATGAGGTGGAAACTCGAGTGGATCTTCCAATACACGTCGATACATTTCCATGTGGGTTTCTGCCCAAAAGGGGGTCTAGGTAAATGGGTCAGTCATGATTCGGTTCTACTGAGAAAATACACAGTGGGTGACTTACAATGCCAGAAAGCATTTCGTACAGTAGCGTTCCGAAACTCCAATAGTCAACCATGTACGAGTAAGGTTCTCCAAGAAGGACTTCCGGAGCAAGATATTCGGCTGTGCCACAAAAGGTCTGCGTCATGGGTAAACCGTGGGATGAAGGGAACACTTTGGAGAGTCCGAAATCCGTGAGCACAATGTGACCATCGCTGCCAATCAAGACGTTTTCCGGCTTCAGATCTCTGTAAATGATGCCGTGACCGTGAAGGAACGACAGACCCATTAGAATTTCCGCCGCATAAAATTTCGTGCGTGATTCGGAAAAGGTCGAACACAACGACATTTGCGTCGCAATATCTCCGCCCGCATAGTAATCCAACACGAGAAAAAGCTGCGAGGGCGATTGGAAAGCATGATGAAGCGTAATAAGAAAAGGATGACCACGCAATTGGGCCAAAATATTACGTTCGGCTTTGGTGTGAAGCACTTCTTTTTGCTGAATGACCCAATTCTTTTTGATCGCTTTAAGAGCATACAGCTGATCATCGGCCTTGGACCGAACAAGTAATACCTGTTAAAAAAAGTTCATCATCAGGTCAGGCCATGCCTTTTAAAGTGAGGGTGAGAAATGCGTCATTATTTCGTACGTACCTTGCCCATGCATCCTTTCCCGAGCACTTTCAGGAGGTGGAAATCGTCGACTGACATTTTGGGATGATCGGTGGTTGGAAGAGGTGTGACAGGTGTTACAGGTGAATCCTGAATCGACTGCCGATGGGTGCCGATCGAGCAGGAACGGGATAAACGATGGCGCGGGGTGGGAATGGCCAAGGATGGCTCGATGGTCGATTCTATTAAGGTGTCTTCGTCACGTTGGACGCTCAGGAAATCACGCAAAATCGACGAAATGGAAATAATCGGATGCTGAAAACACCGTTGGAGATATTGTTCCACTTTCTCCGCATTGCTTTTCCGTTTATGAAAGACGAGCAAGTTCTTTAACGAATGCGGTTTGGTTGGAAAACGTAAATGGCTGGAAGGCGCCGTGAGATGAGGAAACGGTAGCTTGGATCGTGGGTAATGGAACTTGATCTAAAACGAAATTACCATGGTGAACCGGGGAAGAAACTCAAGGAGCTGCACGTGCATAGTCCTTCAAAGCTTTTTTACCTTTTGATGAAATTCAGCAAAGTCAAAAGGGTATCTTATTAAAGACACGGACTGTTGAGGTGCTTGAATAACAATGTGAAAGACCTAAGGAAAATCAAACCAAGCAATGCAAATAGGGCAACAAAATTGGGGGTTTTTTTAATGGCGGGGTTTGATTGTTGGAGTATTCAAGCAAATAAAAATAAAAACACTGACAGACAGCACATCATCCTGGACGCTTAAGGTGGTCTCGAAAACGGCAATTTGTCGCTGGTCATTATTTGCACACACAGGCATTCGAGTTATATACTTGAAGAATTAAGAATAAAGAAAAATTACTTGTTTTGTAAAGTGAAAAAAAAGCGATAAAACACAAAAAAAAAGAGAAGAATACAAGAAAAAAAGATGATGAATGAATTTGAAAATGATGGCAATAATAATAACAATAATTATAATAAAAAAGTGTGCAAAAAGAGTAAAAGAAGAAAATTTAAAGTGTGTATACGGCTGGGCCGAATTTCATTATCACCACATGTAATCCAACTGATGATCTTCCTGCCTTATCCATAAGATGCCCCTTCTTGTGTCCTGATGATGTACTCCTGCTTCCCCTCTTCCAGAACCTCCTTGGCTCCATCTCCTAGGATCATGACTCGGTCGACCCTGGCGAGTAAAATCCCAGACTCGGATCGCTCCGTGACACATTGAAGCCATCATGACTTGCTCCGAAGGACAGACGACCAATTGATGAAGTGGACCACCCACTTCGAGCGTCCCAAGCCATTGGCCCTTTCGGTTCCACACACACAAACGATCATTGCAGCGTGAACTTGTCACAATGGTTTCCGACAAAAGCCGGATACATGTCGCATGCATTTGATGCAGCGCTTGATCATAGCGTACATGCTCCGAATACGTCAACCGTTCGTCTAGTCGCAATACAATTTGGCCTTGTGCGTCCAATACGTAAAAGGGTCCAAACACGGATCCGATACCAATTTGCCCATCAAGGATACATACCGACAAAATCCCAAATCCAGAAATCTGCCAACTGCAAGGTCAGCCATTTGAACGTTAATTTTTTTTTTTTTTTTTTTTTTTTTTTGTTCCCTCAAACAATCTCCACGATCCCCTTGCATTTTCTTTTTTTTCTCTTTTGCACGATAAAAATAGCCAGAGGGATGGCGTGGTGATAGGAGCGACCCTTTTTCTGTTTTTTTGTTACCTCAAAGAAATCTCGGTAGACAGCCAACAATTGGCCGGTTTCGACATCCCATTTTCGTACCGTGTCATCCGATCCACCACTGACAACCACATGACCTTCCATAGCTAATGCTACGCGATCTGTTAAAACCATGGTAACAATGTCCCAGGAGTCGGACCCACTTACCATTCACCCAGCCTTGGTGGCCTCGAAGCGTGTATCGGTGAATGATCATCTCCGACGTGGAAGCAATATCCCAAACAATGATGGAACCATCGAGTGATGCTGTCACGACCACCTCCTCGGTGGCCACCATGGCCGAAACCAGATCACGATGACCACGTAGGCGTTTCAGTACTCGATATTGATCACCTTGTGGCTGGAGAATCCACAGCGCGCCTCGCATAGGATCCCATCGATCACAGGCAATCATCCACGGCGTACCTGGCACAGCGATACAGTGCGTGTATTGTACCGTGCCACAAGTGAGCGTTTTCCGACTAAATAGACCATTCTTCATCCCAGACGATCGCGTCGTCGATAAAGATGCTTGATCGATGCTGATGTTTTTCTCCTTCAATTCCGTCCGACCTGCGGCATTCTTGGCCAGTGAAACCGTTGTACCTTTCTCAGTCGTTGCATCGCATCGACGGACGTGAGTGTGTCCAGTATTTTTGGCTGGATTGGGTGGGGCCCATGTTTCTTGTCTCGCCATCAACTGAACCCAATTATGGTTTACCCAGTATGCCGCTTTACAATCTGTCTGCTGCACCTTGTGATTCGACGGAAAATGATGAAACAGAGCAGCCTGCCAAAGATGATGCTCGCTTCGGCTTGTGACAGTGCGGATGAGTCGATTCACTTGCGTGTAGGCCACCAGTGCCTTTGGATCTATCAATGCCGTCCAATAGCCAATGCGAATGATAAGCTCTACTGGCAGATTCTAATGAAGGAAACTACTGTTAAATCAAGCTCAAAAAAAAGTTCACTGTCAATTAAAACACGTACGCTTAATCTGTCTTGGAACCGATTCTTTATAGTTTTCATTCTTGCCAAAATGGTTCCTCTGAGTGTTGAAAGATGTTCCTGATCTGACTTCTCCTTTACATGCTGGAGCAGGTGCTGCAAAAACTGGTATTCTTCATTTGATTCGATCATGATTGCAATAAGACACCACAAAGAGCAAGAGAAACTGCAAAAAGTGCTGGCTAACCGGAAAGGTCCTCACTGATAAGGTACTCATTTAATCTCTTGAGCCAATCAGGCTAGCCAGAAACAGGGACTGCAGAAATTTTTACAAAAATTTCGTGACGCGTTTCAGAAAATTTGCATGGAACTGGGAAATCTATCATTCCAAGGTCGCACAAGGCCGAAAAACCACCAAAGGACACACCACGACTTGAAAAGCGCATCCAGTCCTGTCTGCCATTTGTAGGACATTCAATATGAGGTTCCGATGATGGAGCATAAACTCGTCATGAACGGTAATGGCCCTTTTAGTCATTCTTCACAATGGCGAGATCTCTAGATGTGCGTGATGAAATGTATCCAGCTGCAACAGGCGAGTCAAAAATGCTTCCACATAGATAGGCGGGGCTCAGATCCTACAAATCTGATGGTCATTCATACTGCTCTTTTGACCTGAGAAATATCATAGACTTGGGACACCTGAAATCCTGCAAAGCTATTCATATATTTCTTGGTTGGGGTTCTTCTTTATCAAGGTCGCACAAGCTCCTTGGCGAATAATCCAAAGATCATTGGTTCAGCGACAAGAAGAAGTGGGCGCCCGTTTTTTCTTTTGAATTTGCTGTACATATTTCTTCTCGCTCTGCTCCTATTGCAATCATATGATGATGATAATGATGGGAACTAAGGATTGGTCGCAAGTCATATGGACAAATGAACAACATCCTCAGGAAATAACAGTGTCGAGAAAGACCTACCCTCTAATCTTATCAGCAAAACAGCATGTCAGTGGACCCCTGAGCTTATAATAGCAGGTTTGTCCATAACTAAATATTAAACTTTTACAGATTGGATTGATGTATGTGCATAACAAATAAAGGTCTGGCAATGCACCATTTATCCATTTTGGGACACTGGGTGGATGCCAGCTGAGCGTATTCAACAATGAAAAAAGAACCTTATTCTTTGAATACACCACAACCAAAACCAATATCACCACCGATTTAAACCTACAAGAGCTGAAACCTCCCAAAAACCGTCTGTCTTTTTAACTTGGTCGGAAAAAAACTAGGAGGATCAGTGGACACACACAGCCATCTCTTTGGTGTAAGAAAAAAGTGGGTTAAAGATGTGGCGTCTGCCGTGTGTTTCTCCTTTTTGATACCATTACATGCTGCCATTCATTCTTTACCCATGTCCTCTTTTTTTCCAGCAAAAGATCGAATAAATTTCTCATTTATTTGAGTGATCATTTGATCAAGCAAGCCAAATGCCAACTATTTCGATTGATAGTCTGGCACATACAAGACGCATGTTTCGAACTCTTAACCTATCCCATTTATCGATCTTCGGCCCATTCCTAAATAACAAAGTCCCCATCGTTAGTCAACCATGATAGTCAATCACATCATACGATTATTTTGCTCGCTCACATTCTCCTTTTTGATTTGAGCTTCTTCTTCGGGAGTAAAATCGTTGGTGATGTTAAACGTCCGTCGGATCTCTTCAGCGCTCTTTCCTTTGATCATATTTGCGACAGTCATACATCCGACGTCGAGAAGAGGTTTGATATCAAGATAGTTGGCAGCCTTATGTACGCAACATAAAAAATAATAAATCATTGGGTCCCTTCCATGAAGCTCATTTCAATTTTTTTTCGCATCTTACCAAAATGATATCGAAAAGGGTTTCCTGGTCGACTTCCATGTATTTCTGATCCCATTCGTCAATATCTGTATTGCGTCGTTCTTGCTCATCCTGAATGTGTGTATCGTCCTTGTGATGTTCGCACCATTCAATAACCTTACGTGTGTGGAAAAAGTGAGAAAAAACGCAAGCACGACAAATAATTCTCCAGTCATTCTGAACTTTACCTTTTTCAAGACTTTGGCGGTAACATTGGGAAGAGGAATAGGAGCATCACCTTCACCGACATCTGCAAATGAAGAAGAAAAAGCAAAGACGTGTCATGGGTGAGCCCACTGCTTGGCAAAAATGGGTCAGAAAACAATTAAAACATACCTTCAAGCATGTTCTTGATCAAAACCGAACGCTCGGCAACAGCCTTTTCAACGGCAAACTCCTCGTTATCAGAGCTTAAAAGACGAACGCTCATGCTGCAAATAAACTACTTTAAGAAAAAGGAAAGAAAGAAAAAAACTAAATCACTCTCATTTGGCGCAATCATTCGAACGCTGCGCGTTTGTGTGAATGTGACGTCATTAATTTCCTTTGCGCTTTGACTTTTTTATAAGCCCGAACACCGAGATCCGAGCCTGCCAACCGGCTTTCACCGCTCAGCCAAAGTTCTACTGCAATGCTCTCTATTGTTGTTCTAACAAGTAGAGATAGCTGGCCGCGTGCAGTTGCATTAACCATCTCAGCAAATTCCCACTGTTGAAGTGTTGGTTTGCAGATTGATTTCCTGTAACTGACAAGTTCTTCTCCGAACGACGGTGTGATCCCTCGCCTCAATACGGCTTTGAGAGCTTCTGTGAGACCTGTTATGTCTGTGCTTTTTTTGATATTGTATGTGAAGACAATTCCCCAGTCACTGTAAGAAATATTGTGACCTCGTTCTGCTCAACTGCAGCTTTCTTCGATCACAGATCAAGCTGTCGTAGTCCCTGAATGAGTGTTTTTTTATTTACAGTCAATTTCTTTCAAATGCCACAAAAACGCCAAATCAATACGTTCATTTTCTCACAATGCAAGTTCATTTAGATGTGGGATGAGGCTGGTAGGATTATAAGCGTCTCTAAGGCAAGACAAAAGTAGCAGATAAGCTTTGATGGTACAGTATTTCTTTTCAAGCTTGCTGTCATCGCAACAAACGATACCGTGCTTGTATTACGCATCAATTAAAACCTAGGTAACTTCTCCAAGAGACAATACAAATCAGAGCTTTATTCCGGCAGCCGTCAAGAGATCAATCCAGGGCAAAACATCGTGATAAAGCCTACTGCTTACCCACTAAAGTAGCATTTATCGCTGAAATGCCGATGGCCTGCGCTTCCACGTGTCATTCCGTTGCAGAATATCGTTTTTTATACTATTGTTCTCGTAACGTTATTGCAATCAAAGAGATAAAGCTTATTGTATCTCTGAAATGTCGCAAAAATGTGTCGAGTGCAGCAAGCCAAATTTCTTTCATGACGTCAAATTTTTATTTTTCTTCAACCGAACCTCTGTGAAAAAAAATCTTTGAGTTTCTACCTTTGATCAGACAATTCCGTCCTAATCACCATGAGCAACAAAAGAAAGCTTTCCCAAGACGAAGTAAATCCTAAACGCGACGACGATTCTTCCAACGAGGACTCGGACGATTCTTTAAAAGTAAAAGAAAAAAAAAGTTTTCCAAGCCAGATATTCGCTTTCTTATTGATTTAACGTGATCGTGCAGGAGATCGTCGATGTCGATTTTGACTTTTTCAATCCAGACGAGATTGATTATCATGCTCTCAAACGTTTATTGGGCCAATTATTCTCATCCGATGCCGAACTGATGGAAGTAGGCGATATTGTCGACATTCTTTTGGAAGAAAACCACGTCGGTACCACCGTCAAGGTCGACGGACAAGAATCCGATCCCTATGCCATTCTCAGCGTGATCAATTTGCAACAACAAAAGGTCAGCTTTTTCTCTATACCAGTGTCAAGAGCAGTTGGGACTAATAGTTTTTTTGTCGTGAACAGGACAACAAAGGCATTCAGTCGCTGTGTTCCTATTTACTGAACAAGTGTCCCAAAAAGTATCAGAAATTACACACCACCGTGCGCGATCTGTTGTCTCCGGATGCTGAGAAATCCGTAGGATGGGTGGTCTCGGAGCGATTCATCAATATGCCGGTGGAGATCATGGTTCCCATGTATACCATGTTGCGCCAGGAAATTGCACAAGCTGTCGAGAACAAGGAGCCGTATCAGTTTGAGTGGTTCATGTTCATTTCCAAGGTATACAAAGAAGTTGCGCCGACTGCGGACGAGGACGACAATGATGAAGAGGAGGCACCCGCACCGGCCCAGAAAAAGGCACGAAAGGTAGGCGTGTGAACCGGTTGAAATCCGTTGGTTTCATTGAGCTGATTGTTCATGGTTATGGTCAATGTGCATAGGGCAAAAAGGCGGCTAAAGCAACTTCTACCGCGGCCGAAACCTTTTACTTCCAGGCAGAAGATGAGATCGTCGCCAAGTATGCGGAATACCAGTTTGATTATCGATTCACCAACAGCGATAAAGAAGCGGCCTCGGATTCCAAACGCGCCTTTTCGGATTTCGGCATCGCCCCGTCTCGCCGCCTTTTCTTTGTTCATCAATCCAAATTTGCGGATCTCGTCAATGAGATAGATACTACTTGCTCCACCGTCAACAACCCCACTGCTTCCAAATAGAGAACCCTGCATGATGTCTACCATCCCACCTTTTTTTTCCTTTGTATAGATATAAAGACAAAACATTTTTTTTTTTAAAGAAACAAGAGCCAAAACGTCCAAGCTCTGTGTATATGCGTTTTGTATCGTATTTCTTTCTTTTATATATGTATATATTGCTACGATTGCAAACCATTTATCGATTCAAGATATTATTGATAGGCTTATTCCATACATTCACGCAATGATCGTAACCTCCCGTCACCAAGCCCAGATCGGGATCCATCGCCATGGTGCGTACCATATTTTTGTGACCTGTCAAACGATGAACCACCCGGCCCGTTTTCGCTTCAATCACATGGACCACCGCATCCGCTCCAGCCGTATAAAAGTAACGGCCGCTGGCATGCCAGCAGTGACGACGCATCACGAAATTATCATCCGTAGGTTTGTCATAGTAGTTTTGCACTTGCCGAGCACTGTGGGTTTCAAACAGGATCATGCGACCGCTCACATGATCCGTCGAACATAACAAATACTGACCGTCCGGTGAAGCCGACAACCACAGCGGTGAGAAGGAAACCCAGTCGTCGCCGTTGGCATTCATATTATACTTTTCATGCCGCAGGTCCGGTAAATGGATGTAGTGCAGGTAGTTGTCGTCCCGGATACCGGCGACCAGCACGCTGGAATCCAAGAAACAGATGGTTTCCACGTTGCCGAGAAAAGGTCCCAACCGTTTCAACAGGGTATATTGCACATCTTGAGTCGTTTTGTAGATGCATATCGTACGATCGTACGACGCCGTAGCCATAAATTGACCATCTTTCGAGAAAATGCCGCGAACAATGTATTTCTGATGATCTTTGAAGCGTTGGCATTCGATGGATTGTTCGTTTTCAATATTGGCAAGGACGGCTGTCCCGTCCATCGACGTCGTCAACATATACTGAGGGTAGATGGGATGAAACTCGATACTCATCACCGGCGCCGTGTGATGAGTGTAGCTGTGAAGAATGTCATTACTGTCTTTTGGATTGCAAATCTTGACGGATTTGTCGGTCGAACCCGTTGCCAACAAATGGGTTTGAGGGGCAATAGCCACGGCGATAATGTTGCTTTCATGGATGGACGACATAGACTTGGTCAAAGTGGTGTAATAATCGTCGTCCCCTTCCGCAAGTTCATTCGCATTCGCATTACGAGGATTGCCCGAAGCGTGCAGGCTCAAGTGTCGCGCTACATCCTCGGCTAGTCTGGTCTCCTCGGCATCGTCGTTAAAAATGTCGTCTGGAATGTCGGCGTTGATGACCACTGAAGGATCCACTCGTGCACCTGCTTCGCGAATGAAAGCTTCCGCTGTATCTCCGTACCCGTGATGAACGAGGAATCGAAGCACAGTGGCATGCGCTTGATCAGCTTCACTCATTGATATAATGAATTGAAGAATAGGATGTTGAAGAGACAAAAAAAAAAAAAGAATAGTAAGCGTGTGGGTCACTTTCTTTTTTTTTATGTGACACTTCAATTTTTTTGTCTTTAACACATTTTGTAATCACAGTGTTCCTCTATGTGATCGTGTTCCCCATGGAAATTGTAATCAATGGTGATGTCCAAATCCCGAGAATTCTGTGTATTCGGTATACAACGAATGAATCCTTGAACAGTTTCGCCTTGTTTCATGGTCAATGTATCGGGTGTGTAGAAAACCGTCTGTTTCCAATGAGTGTATTTTGCGTGGGGTCCTGTGGAGAAATAGATTGGTTTGTGACAATGGGTGAAACCAATATTGAACCAAGCAATGAAAGCATGACAATAGTCGTCCCTGGTAGCGGTCAGAGTGAAAGGCACTTTGAACGACAGGTCTTCTTTACGGGCAGTCTGAAGATCAATTTCCTTGAAAGCGCAAGCGGTGGTCATGATGGCTTGGGCTTCGACAGTATCCACCAAAGGTTCCTTCAACGCGATTTGACGTATACAAGAGTAATCGAATCCATATACATTGTTCCAGTAGTCAATTTTTTGCTCCTTGTACTCGGCGTCTTCAATTCCAGCAAGGTAGACTGTCGCCCTGTCAGGAAACATTAAACCTCCCTGGGCCAGATACCGGTCGCGCGCAATCAAAACAGTATCCAACATGGATTCGTACAGTAAGAAATAGCCCATCCATTCGGAAATGATGATATCCACTTTATCCACCGGTAATTCCACCTCCTCCATTTTGCCTTGGATCAAGGTGATTTTATCAGCGAGATGATTGTCTTTTACAATTTGCCGCGCTTGTGTAATGATATTGGACATATCAATCTATTCCTCGACATAGGTCACTTTTAAAATAAATCCAGGGCCAACCACAAAGTGCATCGACTCACCCCATAAACGTGCTTGGCACCTGCCTTGGCTGCAAACATGGACAGTATCCCTGTTCCACAACCGACATCAAGCACAATCTTGTCTCGAAACAGATGCTTGTTATTGTAAATGGAAGCACGATAAGACAATGTCCGCACTTGGTCTTTCAACATTTCCTGTAACAGCATCATGGCGACAGTCAACCCGACATGAACGCGTCTCTCAGTGGGTTCTCTTGGTTTACCTCGTGAATGCCTAATAATGCGAGTAATGCCTTGGCTTAGTGCATAAAGCCACGCAGTGACACCTGAGAATCAGCATACCAAAGTGAGCATAAGAGTCAAAGTAATAGTCCTTGCTTGTCATGTCATGGTCACCCTTTTTGTCTGTCATTATTGAAGAAAAAACAGTGGGTTCAGGCGTATCTGGCACACTTGCTATTTTTGGAGACAGGTGGTAGGGCTGCATATGATACTAGCACGGCAGAAAAAGTCCGCCAACCCCGTTCAGCAGGCTACATGACTCCTTCATCGTTGTCCAAACGACTTTTGTATCAGAATTGGCTACAGGTTACCGGGACAATATAGCTTTTTGTTTGTTGATATGGTGAAAAAAAATACATGATCAGGGAGGCGACGCCGTTGCCGATGGATCTGGTTTTCTTGTTTTTTTGTTGTTTTTTTTGTTTTTTTTCTATTCTTATTTTATTCGTTGTATATGGAATTGCGACACCCATCAGAAATTGTTATTGTTCATTTGGAAGACGATGCTTGTGAAGAGGAATCAAGAAGTTCACCTGTTCCAACCGAAACCTATTCATACATCCGCACCCCTCCACCATCCTATGAGACAGTCCGTCGTCCTCGGTTCATACCTTACATCAGTGGATTCGCAGAATTACCAAAACCCGTGAATGATCATACTGACAGCAACGCGTCTTTTGATATGCAACATCTGTCCCTGGGCCAACGAACGGTGTGGATTCTGAAAAGCTGGAAACACGTGGTCTGTTATGATGGTCGATTCGCGTTTTGTGCGTGTTTTATCATGTGTACTTTGGTGATTCTTGTTCTTACCTGCATCATTGTGCTGATGCCATCACTGTTGAAATCACACAAATAAATCGGAAAATTAAGTGCAGCCCACTTCTCAATACCCACTTGTTTTTTCCATGGTGCCGTCTTCTCAAAATGGAAAACCTTCAGAATCGCTGCATCGCACCATTTAATTTACATCTCTTTTTCTTTTTCCTTCATTTTTGCTTATATTTTTCTTCTGATGGAACAGAAAGAAACCGAGAAACGATCTCAACGGTTATCCGAGTCCAAACTGAAACGTCTACTGGAAACCAACGAGAAACTAACTGACCAGTTGAATATGAATCGGATCCCGGTCAGCGAAGCAGCACGGCAGTAAGTCGCGTCAAATAGGATGATTAATTTTTTCCCTGCAGTCTTGGTGATGCGAGATGACTAAATGATCTTTTGGATCTAGTTTGATTGACTATTGTAGTAATACCCCAGATCCATTGGTTCCGTCGTTGTGGGGCCGCATGGAAGATGCTCCTTTTCTGGACACACGGTCTAAATTCCGCTGCTGTCATATCATGTAACCTACTGTCAAACCATACACAACGGGGGATGACAAATATTCGTCTGGACTGCTGTGAAAGAGAAAGAGAAGCAAACGTCATTGGAGCCCGTTTCCCAAATTGGGTCTTGTTATTTATTTTTTTCACATCCTTCAAACTTGCAATGAGAAACCCTCGCTCGCTGACAAACAGGAGCGGACCCATATGATCTCATGTGCGGTTTTCACATGGTAACGGAAGCCAGCCCGGAACATGGAAAACAGACATGACTCGATCCTATAAATACCTGCCTCGTTGCTTGGAATTCATTGATATCATCGCTTCACCCATCATGTTCTCTACTGCAGTCAAACATACTTCTTGCCAACGCTGGCTCATCGGTGCTATTCAAGTCCCCACGCGCTCCATGACTCGTTTCTCCACCATGGCCACGGTCAATGTTCCTTCACAAGAAGACAACCACGTTCAACCGACCGACAGTGGGCTACCGATGGATCTTTATCATCCTCAAGTGGCGCCTCAGACTCAATCCACCATTTACTCACCACAGCCTTTCAATCAATTCGATGCATCATCCTTTTCTACCTTTACTCCCCTTGTCAATGCCGATTTCGACGACTGAATTCCCTCCTCCTCCCCTTAATGACATTTTTATGTATATTTCTCTATATATTCTCATTTCTTCCTTTTTACATTATTAAACCGCATTTCCCCCAGCACGTGACAGCACAAGCTGTTGTAAACTACTCGCATGAATGTTATCAATCAAAAATTTTTCACCGTGTCTGAAAAAGGGAAGTTTGTCATACAATGAGCTGACCCATCCATCTGTCATGCTTACCGTAAATTGTTATGGGAAATCCGTGTCAACTGAGCGTGAGAATCCAGGCCATTTTCCGTTTCATTCCTTTCATTCTGGCCTATGGCGACCCTTTTTTTAAGCGTAAATCTTTTTCCATATTCATTGACATGCAAGACACGCACGACACATATATCACATACAACATGCACAGAGGGCATTAATAAGCTAAAAATAGTGGAGCTATCGCATTTCTACTTTCTTGTTAGTATTGAAACTGGCCGAGCTGGGCCACATTCCTTGGTGCAGCTGTCACTGTACTCACTCGACTGATCAGATAAACGTGGAACAAAGAACTTTTCCAGAATATCCCACTCTAAGCTAAAAGTGACAAGTCGAGGTCCATCGATATTAAGGAATTTTTTTTCTAATGTCGCTGCGGCTGAGAAGCAATCATATTTGTTATTTCATGCCTTGATGATTCCAATACTTCAAAGAAAATAGAAAAACATTTGATCATTTTACGGTAAAAGTGCTACGCAAAAGGTGGCAGTGCTTTTATTAGAGGAGAATTTCAAATGCGAAAAAAGTAAACTGGGAAAGAAATTGAAGATGAAAAAAAAAAGAAAGCTATTGTATCCTTGACATTCAGCTATGAGTTGTGACGAGTGACCCCCAACCAACAAGGCAAGTTGTTATAACTTGTTCCTCTATCCTACCCCCCGTCCAACTTATAGCTATGCCATGGGCTCGGGAGCCAGCTCGTCTGGTCAAAAGCCTACAAAATGTCAGTACCCTCGAAACTGCCCTACAAAAACGTTAGTACACCAAAACTGCCCTACAAAATGTTAGTAAACCAAAACTTCCCTACAAAATGTTAGTACAGCCAAAACTTGCTGAAAAGCCAATCAGCGAGCACCAAATCGTGACCGAAAGAGCAGAACGGAGCAGAGCAGCTTGAAGCCTACAAAATGTTAGTATCTTCCCAGCTGCCCTACAGAATGTTAGTACTTACGGAGGCCGGTCGGCAGTGATGGTCAAAGGGTGCGTTTGGGGAGAGAAAAATGAAAAAGGAAACGGGAAGAGGAGGAAGAGAAAAATTCTTTGCCGCAGCCCTCTTTTTTGCCTCTTTTTATGTCAATGCATTCAATGGTTGAAAGGCAGCCATCGAATGAAAAGTGGAAAAAGACTAACTTGCGAGTTTTGGGCGTAGAGAGAGGTGCCGCATTTGTATCGATGCGTAAAATTAATTTATGGGTATCGCAGCAACAATAGGGGAGCAACAAGAAGGTTTCTCACTATGAAAAGTTTCACACACGTCTTAAAATAAAAGAAAAAGGACGGTGCATTGAAGAAGTCCAAGCGGACTTTTTGATGTCAAGATGGAAGCGGTCGATGGGTCCGGTTTACTTGATCCTGTCCCAAGGCACCGGCATTCATTACTTTTTGTTGACATTACGGTGGACCTGAAACCGCCTTAGCATGACCAGCCCATAGAAACTTGAAGCATCGCGTTAAGAGGCGCACCGAGCCGAATCGTTCGATATCACAAATTATGTGTCGTTGGTGTTCATTAACCCAACTGTTGCTTCCTCAAAACTCGTTAAATTTAATGCATTAAATACTGTAAATTGACGCTTTCGGGATTGACCTCAATATTTAGCTTCTTGGAGAACGATATTGGATTCGATGTCTTCTAGCTACCGGTGCCGATTGAAGAACGTAAAAAATCAAAATAAAACACGAGTAATGATTGATGCAAAAATCAGTCATCTTTGCTTCTTTTGCCTTCCAGTTGCGTTCCTGCGAATAAAGTCTCTATAAGAGCAAAGAGTCAGCATAATTGTCCGCCTAATCAAAGACGTGAATTCAAGTGGGAATATTCAAAGTATTTGCCCTAGCGGAATTCAGGGGACAAGCCAGGCCTACCGCCTTCACCCCCTCAAGCTGGTAATCCTGCTGATGAAGAAGACAAGGAATAATTTTCTCACAGATTATTCAAATATACGGTACATCAAGACAAATTCCCAAATGGTAATTTCCCTTCTTGGGAGCCGTCAGCCTCCGAGGTTTGTTCTGATCAGACCGGTGGTTGTGACGGTGAAATTAAGGTCCGAGTCGCGCTGCTTTGGATTGCGCACAGAAGGTGGGATTGTCTGGCTAAAAAAAAAAAGAAGGGCTGCAACTCGCTATTCACCTCCAATAGATCATGGCTGACGAAGTGGACCACCAAGAGTCCGTGAATAACAAACGTCCTATCGAAGAAGATGCGTCTCCCAGACAAGGTATGCTCGGATATTGTTGTTGGTGGGATTCGCACCTCGGTTACTCACCGTTTTTCCCTTTGTTTTCTGGTGTGGCGAGCATAGACTTAAGTGATGACGATATTGGGCCTCTTATGCCTCCCTCAGAAACCGATCTTCCAAGAAAGAAGAAACGAAGTATGTTGTATTGAATTAACCACTGTACGGCGATGCTAACCATGCGTGATATTGTTTAGCTTTGGCATACGAGAAGCTGTACCTCGCCAATATACCGTCCGCCGATATGTACGAGAAGAGTTATATGCATCGTGATGTTCTCAATCAAGTAGCAGTAACCAAGTAAGAATCTTAACAAATTTAACTGATGACGGTATGGAATGCGTTTAACCCCGCTTTCTCTTTCTAGGAGCGATTTTATCATTACAACTTCGGTGGATGGCCATCTTAAATTTTGGAAAAAGACATCGACAGGCATCGAGTTTGTCAAACACTATCGTTCGCATATCTCGAATATCGTCGGTATCAGTGTCTCAGCTGACAACGAACTGCTCGCAACCATTTCTGACGATATGGCGTTGAAAGTCTACGATATTACCAACTTTGGTGAGTAGCGCTATGCGGATTGACAGAAAAGCTTGACCCGCTCATCGATGAATTTGCAATGGTTCTAGATATGATAAACATGGTCAAACTCGGTTATAAGCCAAAAGCGGTGTGCTGGATTCATCAGAAAGATCAAGCCCAAGCCCTGATTGCAGTGTAAGTGTGATTGTACAGTTGAGCGGGAAATCTTGAGTGGCTCCTCACACTGAACGATTAGCTCGGAAGCGGCGAATTCCAATATCCACATCTATGATGGACGTGCCGATGGCAAACCAATTCATACCTTTTCTGACATGCACACACAACCCGTGCATATCATGACGGTAAGAAGAGCAATTTGAACCCTTGTCATGGTACAATTTGACTGATCGATCTACAGTTCAACTCTCGTTTCAATTGCGTTGTTTCCGTCGATGGACTGGGCATGGTCGAATACTGGTCACCCGAAGAACCTTTCGAATTACCGAAACATCTTGATTTTGAATTAAAGTCAGAAACCGATCTGTATGAATTTCGCAAGGTACGTGCTCACGATCCATCGTTACGTTGATCTTGGGAAGAAAAGCACTTAACCGTCAGCATGTTACAGCATAAATCAGTACCAACATGCTTGGTCTTCTCTCCCGACGAGTCCAAGTTTGTCACCATGAGTTTTCCTGATCGTCAAGTTCGATTGTTCAGATTCAGCACTGGCAAAATTTACCGCAAATACGACGAGAGTCTTCACATCGCCAGTGAGATGCAGCAGGTACATTGTCATTTAGCCATGTGTATCTAGGTTCAATGACTCATGCTTCGAATATCTATGTTTTAGGCTGGCACCACCATTTATAAACTGGATGACATGGAGTTTGGTCGACGACTGGCTGTAGATAAAGAATTGGAGAAGTCGCCTCAGTCCAAATTTGTCAATGCTGGTAAGTGCCAACAGAAACAGCGAGGCGTCCAGATGAATTGGGAGAGTGCGGGGTTTTTAGCCTGATATAACTGACACTGAGCTATGTAGTATTTGATGACAGCGGCAACTTTATCATTTATGCTACCTTGTTGGGTATCAAAGGTAGGATTTCAATCGTTAATTATACGTAATAACATGGCAGCATCATTGATTCCGATGCACAGTGGTCAATATTCGTACAAACAAGGTGGTGCGTCTTCTCGGTAAATCCGAAACCCATCGATTTGTCAATGTGAGCATGTATCAAGGAGCACCCCGAAAGAAAGGCATTTATACAATGGTAAGAATTTTTTTTTTTTACCTTGGTCGTAGACGCTTGGACTGATCACCCAAGGAATGGTAGGCCATGGCGGCATCCGACAACAGCGTGATCAAAGAAAGCGAGACCTTGGATCCAACGCTGTTTTGTACTGCTTTCAAGAGAAACCGATTCTTCATGTTTACACGTAGAGAACCTTACGAGTAAGTATTACTTGAATACGTGTTGTGCATTGCTTAAATACTGATGGTTACGGGGTCTATAGTGATGACAGCCATAAAGCGGATCGTGATGTCTTTAACGAGAAGCCTTCTCGTGAAGAACAAACAGTGGCGGCCACTCAGGAACGTAAGCAGGTGCTTGGCACTCAAGCGATTCTTCGAACCACGGCGGGCGACATCCATTTGCGTCTGTTCCCTGACGTGGCGCCAAAAGCAGTGGAAAATTTCGTCACTCACGCGAAAAATGGATATTACGATAATCTGATTTTCCATCGAGTCATCAAAGGATTCATGATTCAAACAGGATGTCCTTTTGGTAAGCCCGAGTTTCTAAATGCCCTTGTGGATCATGATATCATACTGAATTTTTTTTTTTTTTTGTTCGCTGTAAAAAGGTGACGGCACGGGTGGTGAATCGATTTGGGGAGATGACTTTGAAGATGAAATCACACGTGAAGTTCGTCACGATCGACCTTACACGGTGAGTATGGCCAACGCGGGTCCGAATACAAACGGCAGTCAGTTCTTCATCACAGTGGTGCCCACGGTAAGTGAATCATGCAATAGAAAAAGATCGCCTAGGCAGGGCTCTATTTTTCTCATTTGTTTTTCTATCGGTAGCCTTGGTTGGATGGCAAACATACCATTTTCGGCCGTGCCACCGCCGGCATGGATGTCGTCCACGATATTGAACATGTCAAGGTCGATAAAAGCGACAAACCATACGATGACATCAAGATCATCAACATAGAAATACGATAAATCAAAAAAAAAAATGTCATTCAGTTATTTGCACACACATACGAACCACCATCCACTCCAAAATATTATCTTTTGTATAAAAACGACCATTTTCTAAAAATCAGAGAAGTGCGATTCATCCTCTTGTTGTGTAATATAGGAATTTCCAGTCTAAAAAATTTACAATATGCTTGGTTGCCTCGTAACCAAGCCATGACGGTTGTCTACTTGGTGTGTATTATTTTCCGTTACCAGCTGCTACTCGTCCTGCCAAGGCACCGCCAGCTGCTGCACCGTAAAAAACGATACCGGAGCGTATTAAAAGTTCGGTGGCCATTTTCAGAGTTTCAATACGAATATTGGCATTGGGAGGTGCTTTTGCAAAGAAAAGACGATGCCGTGTAGGTGGTGGAAAAGAAGCTTTGGCAAGCACACCAAAAGAGACCAACGATCCCGTAGTGGCGGCCCACATGGGTGCAGCAGGTAAGACGTCTGCATCTATGGGTTGCAAAATGACCGTGAGAATTCAATGTTGGGAAGACGAACAGGCCATGTTTTAATGGTACCTGATGAGTTTGGGTAAAGTTTTGCTACTTGACGATCAACGCCATTATACACTGCAGTCCAAGTAAAGTAGCCAATGGGAGCTCCAATAAGGATCACTGGAAGAACGGCTGCCATTGTGTCAAGACAGTATAATACAAGCAATACAAGATTATGCAATGACAACAGCGGAGCCAAGGGTCCCTATCCGGCGGAAAATGAATGCCCAAATTGTCACACTTCGTCTCTTTGATTCCAAAGCATTCCTGTTTCAATCCAAGTCACAGTTTTCTTTTACTGCATCCAATGCATTCAACATTGATGAAAATAAGATCGTCTAGGGGAAAAGGGGTATACATTATGTCGTCGTATTATTTATTATGGAGCAAGAGGATGAAACAGATGAATAGTAGGTGATGGGAGAAAATAGGGAGTATGCAAAAAATTACGTAGCAAAAAATAGAGGTGGGATGTAATAAACAGTCTAAATATGGGTATCTTTTTTAGGCAGCGGGAGCTGCATAGCCTAGTATCCAATCTGCAAGGTACTGTTCCATGGAATGCATTCGGTCAGCTGCAGAAATCCGATTTTCCAAACAGTAGCGCACTAGCAACCGTCGTAATTGCTCATGCGCAGTCGGGCAACCTGCCTAAGAGTTTTGCTCAGTCATTTTATTTTCCAACGTCCGAAGCGAAAAAAAAGCCATAGATTGCGCTAACCGACTTACCAAGGCAGCTCGTTCGTACCAAATAAGGGCTTGTTGCAAATTCTTGTCGGTGCCAATCCCGTGTTCGTAGCATGTCGCGAGATGATACTGGGCCATGACCTGGCCTTGTTTTGCCGCCATCAAAAAGTAACTCACCGCGGCTTCGGCGTCGCGTTCGATACCCACTCCAGCTTGCAAATGAAGACCCAACTTGGCCTGTGCGCGCGCATGGTTCTGCAACGCCGCTTTGCGGTACCAATACACGGCTTTGGCCGGATCCACCGCTACACCGATCCCATTGGCGAAACAGAAACCAAGGTTACATTGGGCCCACGGATTCCCTTGCTTGGCGGACTTGAGATACCAATACACGGCACGTTTGGGGTCCCTGGTCAAACCCAGTCCTTCCTCGTAGCAAAAACCAAGCGAGTTCTGAGCCAAAGGGTTGCCTTGCTCGGCCGATTTCTCAAACCAACGGACCGTTTCGGCTTCGTTCTTCTCCACGCCAAATCCGTTTCGGTAGCAGAAACCAAGCGATAGCTGGGCCGGGGCGTGATTTTGTTCAGCACTTAAAAGGTACCAATACACAGCGTCCTGGCTACTGACGGGGACGCCAACTCCATTTTGGTAACAATAGCCCAACGAATGATAGGCAAACACGTTGCCTTGCTCGGCCGCTTTTTTATACCATGCCACGGCTTTGAGTGGATCCTTGTCGACGCCGATTCCGTTCTGATAGCAAAATCCGAGATTGTGTTGTGCGCGTGCGTGGCCCTGTTCTGCCGCTCGACGATACCAGTAGGCGCCTGTGGTGGGGTCACGAGCGAGTCCAATCCCGTTTTGGTAGCAGTAACCAAGGTTGCACTCAGCCCAAGGATACCCCTGACACGCCGATCGAGCGTACCATACCGCAGCAAGCGTTCGATCCTGTCCCACGCCAATTCCGTCTTCGTAGCAGTATCCGAGCGAATTCTGGGCAAAAGCGTTGCCTTGTTGCGCGGCCAATCTGTACCATTTGACAGCCTCAGTGACATCTTTTGGAACCCCAATGCCATCTTCATAGCAGTAGCCGACGTTGTACATGGCCACGGTTTCGCCTTGGTTGGCAGCGCGACGGTACCATGTCATGGCCATTAGTTCGTCCTTGGGAACTCCGAACCCTTCACCGTAGCAGTAACCAAGCACGCTTTGTCCGTGGCTGTTGCCTCCTTCCGCGCTCCGCTTGTACCACTTGAAAGCTTCGTATTCGTCTTTTTGAACGACCAGACCGTCATGGTAACATACACCCAAGCAGTATTGGCTCGCACCACATTGGTACTCAGTCGCGGTCCGTCGAAGCCACGCGATAGCGGAACGTCCCGAACGTTGCACCTGATTTTCCCAATAGTCCGCTTCCACTCGATTGATTCGAACGCCTGGTCGTCCGTATTTACGTAAAAAAGCCAGTCGAATTAACGCTAATCCACGCATCGCGTCGCACGTCGTCTCGTTCTTGTCGATAAGTACCGATTGCGTGACGGCAAGATAATGCTGTTCAGCCGCTTTGAAATCTTTAGGCAGCCCCAGACCGAATTCGTAGCAAAAGCCCAGCAACGTTTTTGCTTGGATCGCGTCATTGGAGCACGAAGAGGCGGTGGCTTGATGCAGGTATTCTATCGCTAATACATGGTCTCTCATGATTCCGTGGCGTCCAAAGAGGCAATCTTGAGCTGTTTCGACGAGGTTATTCGGCCGTTGGAGCAGTGACGGTGGAGACAAATAAGAGGATTGTTGACGATGGCGCTTTCTGGTTTTCTTGGTCCTGCACTTTTTGGTCCAGGAGGAGGATATAGAAGAAAGGAACGAACCGTTGTTTTTATTCATTTTGCCCAGTAACCGTTTTGATCCTTGTATAAAGTGCGATAGAGACGATGATTCGAGCATGATGCGAAAAAAAAAAAAAAAAAAAAAAAAAAAACTACAAAGGGTACAAAAAATAAGAAAAAGAAAATCGAAAAATAAGGAAAAATGTAAAGTTGAAAAAAAAAGAATAAAGAAAGAAGAATAAAAATGTGAGATGCGGATGCCTTTTTGGAGCCACGATAGGAGGCGGGTGGTATTTATAATCACCTAGAATATCGTCATGCAGTTGTTGTTGACAGATCCATGTTTTCAAGCGGATGCGTGATCCGCCGCGTGCATTCCTACGTCTGTATCCAAACCCACAATGCAGTTTCGGACCCCTTTGTGTGGATAAAAAGTGGTACAACGCTGCCTGTGTATCACCAAAGGAGCCCTTTCTTTTCTTTTCGATCCTTTGACCGGGGGCAGGAGACGTTGCTATCAAGTACAAACTCAAGTACCCATCAATGTCAAGAGAAAACGCAATGTGATACACAGTTTCAGTGTTAGGTAACAGTGACAATCCTGGCCTTGATCATTGTGCTGCTATTGAAACAGAAAAGAGGACAATGACCGTGCATTGATGGCCCCAAAAATAAACCTCAAACAAATATATACGAATCACGCGTAATTTCAAATCATGCTTGAGTTCCATGGATCATCAGAAAACTTTCTTTTTTGATCTCATCGTCGGCGAGTTGGTGGGTCATAATAATAAAATTATGGGGAAGATGGCGATTTTTTTTTCTTGCAGTAGCTTGTGCTGTTTTCTTTGTTTGGCTAATTTTTAGTTTAGTAAGAAAAAACGAGCTGCGGATATACAAAATGGGTCAACATAAAGAAGGTTGACGAGAAAAAAAAAGGACGGAATACAGGCAGGGCCGTTCCGTCTGCAGGCAGCATATTCACTCGATCACAAAGCCGTTTCATTACCAAATATGGGTCCTATCTTGACGAGGTTGAGCAAAATTCAGCAATGTGTGAATGAAATTTCCTCGGGTGTCACCCGAATCAAATACTATCCTCAGTTTTCAAATAAAAAATAAATGCCGTAGCCGATGCATGGTCATTTTACTTGTGACGATGATGATCTGCATGCCCTCGATAAATTAGAAACCAGTCTAATCCATCTGAAAAAGTGTTCTAAATACTAGAAGCAGACAACAACTCGCAGCTAACGGTCGGCAGATAGCGATTGAATGATATAACAACAAGGACATAAAACCCACTGAAAATTGGTATTTATTTGTGAATGTCATAAGCGCATTCTCAATTGATCTGAATATATAAGTCATCGAGAAAAGCATCGATCCACGAATGAATCATCTATTGCATGTGGTGATTTTATTTCATGTTGCTTATCGTTAGTTTTGCATCTGGTAAAATTAACGTATGAGCTCCACTTGGTTGATGATCTTTGCTCCACTATTGGAAACTTAGATAGAGCCGTTCTTTAACCTTCCCCTAAGGTACCTTAGAAAACAGCGGTGACCGTCGCGTCAGCAAGGGTATCACGCCACATGAACCTGTTGGTGCTGTTTGATAACTTCTTTTTTTATTCTTTTTACAATGCAGCTGGGGGGGGGGGGAGTTTTGCGACGGAATATTGTGGGGAGTTGGGAGTTAGACAAGGGATTCAATGGTACACAGTACCTCTTCAACGTTGGGGATGTAGTATTTGGCATCTGTACTTCGCATCCCCACGGTGCAGGTAAATACACGGGGACCTTTTTGTTTGTTGAGATAAGCAAACATATCTTCGTCTGAACGATCGTCCCCAATGGATAACACAAAGTCTGGTTGGATATCTTGGAAAATCCGGTTAATAACATTGCTCTTAGTGATCTCAGCAGGAAGCACCTGATTTGTAATAGGTGAGTTAAAACCATCCATCTGTGATACGCTTGTTGATTGACTTACTTCGATATTGGTATGGCCGGCAACGATGCGCACCGCGAAATTCTTGTTAACGGAATCAGCAATATGATTTTGACATTCCGCGGCTTGCCATGCTCTAGTGATCATCCGGGACAACAAAAAACAATAAAAAATAAGTCAAATGAATCAGGAAACAGTGACTCGACGTTACATACATGTAGTGAGCATCAGGACCCGCCCTTGTTCTGTAATGCTGTGGAGATAAATCACAATTAGCTTGGGAGTATTAATTATTCACCGAATATAGGACGTACCCATACGATGGACACATCCTTCGTCTCAATATATGCGTCGGGAGTGCGCTCCGTGTAATACTGAAATATCTAGTGTTACAGAAGATTTAGCGATGCGTTTTCTGATTGAGCAATGTTTGGGTGTTACCTCTTTTACCGCTGGTTGCCATGACAGATCGATCTTGCCAAACAACTGTTCCCAATCGCCACTTCTCGGTTTCAAATAAAATCCGTTCTCCGCGCTGGCAAGATGGGAAAACGAAAAAGGCAAGTCAGTGGATAGTCAATAAAAGTTATACGAACACCATACATACCTCAAACCCAGGTTTGGAATGTCGCCCAGATCTCTCTCAACATTGAGTTTGGTCCGACCCGATATCACGTATACTGAGTTACATGGATCTTTAACCAGCTGATGAAGGACTTTTTTCAACCGCCTTAGATCCTTGGAATCTCCCGACAACCCGTAAGGAACCAAAGTACCGCCATAATCAAACAAAAATCTATTGGATCATTAGTCAATTCACGAGTTTAGTATGGGATGCATCCGAAATCCTACTTACAGTCGTTTTTTACTGGTTGACATGGCTTTTTGTAACGACGTGGTATCCAATGATGGTACTTTAGCTGAAAATCTTCTTCCTGGGTCTGTTCGTACCTATTATTTTTATGTGTTGAGATCCAGTGTTTTCCCTCGTTCTCCATCGCTTATTCATCCAACCTTGCAAAGCTCGGAAATGATCGTGGTAGCAAAATTTTGTGCCGAGTTTGCTATAATTGATTTGTACAGCTCCTACAACATCACATATCCAATTTTACGTTAAAATGATTGGGTCCTTGTTGCCAAGCAATGAATAGAAGACATACATTCCACCGGGTCACTTTCTCTTCTTGGTTCATTGAGAGGGCTTCATGAATAGCATCTCCCACTTGCTAAAAAAATGATGCAAAGAGAAAAGAAGAAAGAAAAAAGTATGAGCCTTATGATGCCGACACCAACTAAACAGACTGAAAGTCATACCCTGTAATCCCATGGATTGACACGTAGGCAAGCACCAAAACTGCCATAAGTGCCTGTAAACTAAAAAAAATATGATGGTATTATACAGCGATCAGTGGTGATAAAAAAAAAAAGCGAGAATGTGAAACTGGGGGCATTCTTACCTCGCTTAGGATCAAGGGATTGCATCGTTCTTCCTGACAAACAATGTATTCGTGAGAAGTGAGATTCATGCCGTCTCTCAGCGGGGTAATAAGTGACACGTCGGCAGCGGTGAGCAATGCGAGGTACTGCGAAAAGGAGATATCCTGATGCAGAAACACAATAGGCTGGTAGGAAATATTACTAAATTTGGAGTTGACGCGTGACACAACATCTGAGATGTGAGCCCGTAATTCATTCTGCTCAGAAGTCGATAATGCAATTTGGATCAACACAACCTAAAAAGCAAGTGAGTCAGCTGAAGACAGAATGATGCCACTTTGCGCGTAGGAGCGGCTTGCATTGATTTTATACCTCTCCGCGCCATTCGGGGTGGCGAATGAGAAACTGTTCAAAAGCTAAAAGTTTTTGCCGCACACCCTTGATATAATCGAGTTTGTCTCGTGCAACAATCAGCTTTTTCCCAGCATATTTATCCTTAAGCATGTCGATCCATCCTCGGACTTCCGGTTTTTCTCTGCAACAAAACTCGTTTGAATGCGTGGGATCCCCAAGTGGGTTGGATGCAGTTGAGGACTTACCTCTTTTTATTGAGTGCTTTGACGTCAATGCCGATGGGATAGATGCCGATGGAGACATAATGAGAGTCCATGTGAATACCTGAAGGCGTTGTATCCAGCGATAAGATGCGAGCACAGGTTTGAATAAAGTGTCTTGCAAAGGAGTAGGTTTGAAATCCAATGAGGTCAGATTGGAGCATGGCTTCCAACAGTTGTTTGCGTGCTACACAAGCGCATATTTTTGGTTACTACCAAGATTGGTTTGTGGGTGATCTGTGCGGGTTTGGGCGACTTACGAGGCAAGCATCGGAATAATTCGGAGCTAGGAAAAGGAATATGGAGGAAGAATCCGATGATGGCATGAGGCAGTTTTTCTCGAAGCATTCCCGGCAAAAGCATTAAATGATAGTCATTCACCCAAACTAAAACCCATCCCGATGATGTCCGTTTTTAGTTTTTCTTATGTCTTTTTACGGAGCCAAAAAAAAAAGAAGATAAAGCTTACTGATGTCGCCTTCTCGGTAATTCTCCACAATCACGTCGGCAAACCGTTGATTCACAGCTCGATATGCCTTGTAGGACTTGTCTTGAAGCATCATATTTTCAACATCATCTTGCACCACATAATGAAAGTACGGCCACAGCACCTATATCAAAGACGAAACGATCAATGACACGGTATTTTCCATATATGTTTGCATGATCCTGTATCTGCGACATTGTTTTTTTCTTTCTTTCCCTCTGTTTTTTCCTCCTCCTTTGATGCTCTTTCTTTTTTTTTTGTTTTTTTTTACCTGCTTGCAATATCGATTATAATGGCCTTCAAATTCGGCGTCGGTAGGTATGACAGGATAGGCATTATGCTCGGCTTTAAATGAGGAACAAATTCGGTCCTTTGTCTGTTGAGGAAGGGCGTCGGTAGGCATGCCCAGTGTGCCGACCCAGATCAAGTCATTCAACTTGTGGCGAATGGAATGAACCGCATTCTGGAGGCCAATATTGCCGGCTATGGAGAGTTTGGCAGACCACGGAGCATCTGCAAATTTGCGATCAAGGGAGGCTCGACGTTTTTCTCTCAGGGGAGATGCTCGGGTCTTGTCAGTGTAAGATGGAGTGGAAGGCTGCATAAGCTTCTCCGGTCTTTGCAATTCAAAGAGCTCATTCTGTTGTGTCTTGTGATGTGCCGTGTGCACGGACGAATGGCGCTGCGCAGCCAAACTTTGAATAAGATTAGGAATCTCTCCTGAAGCTTGTTGTTCCAAGTTGGCCGGTGTATATACAGGCTTTCTCTTATCATTGATATGGAAGTCAACCGTGTACGGCAAGAACAGGGACGCAATGATCACCCTATTTTCGGTGATGCAGGACATGGTGGACTATCGGTGCTTTATTTTTTTGGGGCTTCTTTTTTTGTTCACCCAACGCATGCACTGAGTTCCCTTTACTTTTGGCGGCTCCGACCGAGGTGGGAATTAAGGTCGGCACGGAACGAACCGGAGGATCTGGCCAGCAAAAGATGACGTAGTAGGCGCCCTTGCTTAGTTTGGCGCTTAACTTCCTCCAGTAGCACAATATGCAAAAACCATTGGAAGTAGGGCAATTCATTCGCAATACCTTGCTGGTAATTTTCATAGGTCATCCTTTAGCGAAATTTCTGTCGAGAAAAAAAAGCCTCAACTACTTGATCCATTCATGATGGGTGCCTGAAATCATTATTAACAATGATAACAAAAGTCCCAAAATCCAGTCACCTCGGGTCCTTGCTGATTTTCTCCGGATAATATGAGGTTAATGGACTAGTAGTATCTGAATGCTATTATGGTATGGGTACTCGGGACTATGAAAGAAAGTTTGAATGACCGCATAATGTTAGCTGTCGGTCACCGTCTAGTAAAAAAGACCCGACAATGTTTAATGAATCTTTTATTTATTGCGGGTTGATGGTTATGTCAGCTTGATTGGTTTAGTTTAGGCCCGCTGTATCAAAGGGCTACAACCGAGTTGAACCATACATTCACCCCACATTCAAAGCGGGGTCCACAGACGGAGCTGAAATACAGGATACTGCTCGCTCATTGGGTTTGCTAAAACTGAGAAAAATCCCACTTGGGTCTCATCAAGTATACAGCTTTCCATGGATCATATAATGGATTTTCATCCCCACATGTCAAGCTTTACGTCATCTTCATATCCGTAAAGTGGCGATTGTCGGGTTATTACTTGAAGAATAAAATTGATACTGCTTACTCGTTTGCAATCATTGTCAAGTCCAATCTTTCATTGAAACATTATGAACCAAAAAATCCCAGAAAAGAAGAGGTGGGACGGACGCATTGGTTGTTGACGGATATGGACGCCTATATGGATGCATATGGAGAGAACGAGCGAGGAAGAAGAAGGCACCGAATGGCTCGGTGGAGACTTTGGCGGCGACTGAATTGTTTTCACATGCGCCTGACGTAAGGAAAGGAAATATCAGCGTTGGGATGTAGGTCGAGGCTCCGAAGTGAACTGAGTGGAACCTGAGTCGTTTTTTTTTTTTTCACATGTGGGGTTGCAAAAAAAGCCCCATTAAGTCCAGCTCCTATAAATTGCTGCTCTGGGTCATAAAATTTCGCTTCGAGAACCCTTTCTTCTTTTCCTTTATCTCTTTACATATTTTCTCAACATGGTCAAAGTTACTGTTTGTGGTGCCGCTGGCGGTATCGGTCAACCTCTCTCTTTGCTCTTGAAGCAATCCGACCTTATCACTCACTTGTCGCTCTACGATATCGTCAACACTCCCGGTGTCGCCGCTGACCTTAGGTAAAAGCAGACTTGCATGGTGTATAAGAGTAGTAACGTGTGTGCCTGACAATTTGCGCGATTTGTAGCCATATCAACACCAAGTCCAAGGTGACTGGCCATGTTGGCAACGCCGAGCTCGAGGAAGCTATCAAAGACTCGGATGTCGGTAAGTTGAAGGAAAATCACGGGAAAAAAAAAGTGAACTGGAAGAGGCAACCCGAAAAAAAAAAAAGATGAAACGCGTCCAAGTTTGGGGTTCTAAAGGATATTTCATGTTTTCACAGTGGTCATTCCCGCTGGTGTTCCCAGAAAGCCTGGCATGACCCGCGATGACTTGTTCAAGATCAACGCCGGCATCGTTCGTGACCTCGCCACCGCCGCTGCCAAGTTCGCTCCCAAGGCTTTCATGTGTATCATTTCCAACCCTGTCAACTCTACCGTCCCCATTGTGGCTGAAGTCTTCAAGCAGCACGATGTCTATGATCCCCGCAGGTAAGATGACTCTTTTTTCTCAGATTTGGCAGACAGAAAGGCTAAAAGGGGTGTGGGGTATGACCTTTTAGAATCTTTGGTGTCACTACTCTCGACATTGTTCGTGCCTCTACCTTTGTTTCTGAGCTTATCGGCACTGATCCCAAGGAACTCAAGGTGCCTGTGGTGGGTGGCCACAGTGGTGTGACCATTCTTCCCTTGTTGTCCCAGGTCTCTGGCACCGACAAGTTGAACCAGGAACAAATTGAAAAGGTGACCAACCGTATTCAGTTTGGTGGTGATGAGGTCGTCAAGGCCAAGGATGGTGCTGGCAGTGCCACTCTTTCCATGGCTTTTGCTGGTGCTCGTTTCGCTCTCAATGTCATTGAAGCCGCTGTTCGTGGTACCAGCGGTATTGTTGAATGCACCTATGTTGCTTTGAAGGCCGATGAACAGGGTGCCAAGGGTGTCAAGGATGTTGTTGGTAACGATCTTGAATTCTTTGCTGTTCCCGTCGAACTCGGTGCTGAGGGTGTCAAGAAGATCCTCCCCATTGGCAACCTCTCCGACTATGAGAAGCAGTTGTTCCAAGCCGCCACTTCCGAATTGAAGACCAACATCTCCAAGGGCTCCAACTTCGTCACCGAAGGTTCCAAGTTGTAAATTTTCCCTCCCGTAGTTCCATATAAAATCTCATGTCGCGATTAAAAAGATCAAAAAAACACACAACAACAGGAAGAAGCCAACCTCTGGGCTTTTTGTGATACCAAAGCAAACCCGTTTCTCCAACAACATTTTTTTAAAACTTCAAAATAAAAAGAACTTTATTTACATGTGCTAAAATTATTCACTTTTTCGCATGAAGTCTTACCTATCATACTACTCCCATCTTGTACAAACCAGTGTCATGGATGAAGAATCTAGTGGGCTGCTGTCTGATCGTATCTCAATGTCTGGAAAGCGCACATTTTACGCACAACGTACACAGTGACTCGTGATGATATCAGGAGCACCTCTGTGAGTGATCGTTGCACATTTCAAATACTAGAGTTGTGTCGATGGCATCATTTCCTCACCAACAGCTCAGCAATTGTGGCATGACTTCTCCTATGCGTGCGAAATCCCCATTCCGTGTAACCAGTTTGCTGATAAGCACATCATTTCAGCTTATTGAAGATCCGCTTGAAGTTTGATCAAATCTTTAGATGTTCTCACCACCATCTTTTTCGTTACTTTTATGAACGATGGAGAAAAGCCATTTCGTTCACACACATACACATACACATACACATATACATACCGTGCTTTTAGCGAGTAATCAGTTAAACGCGCCACTCACGAATTCAACCAACACAACCCTAGTGCAATCCTAGTGGTGTACAGCTTCTCGAAGACACGTCCAGCCCTTCACGACTAAAAGCAACCATACAAAGCGTGTCTTGTTTTTTTGTTAGGCTACATCCACTGGAGAAACGATGACGATTTGCCGCTTTCCTCACATTTTGGCCATACTGAACATGACCCTATTTTTTTTTTCTGTCGAGTAATATCAACCAATAACTAACTTTTACTCTCTTCATGCTCGCTCTCACTCGCAACAACGTATTGAAACCAGTTTTATCAGCTGTCGTCCATTCGTCAGTCAGAGATACAGTATATCCCAACATCGCAATCACGCCTTGTCGTGTCCAAATCCATAAGTACCCGCCATCATAGAACGATTTTATCCTTGTTTTTTGGATGTTTTTGTCTTTTTTTTTTCTTTATTTCATGATGCTGCGTTGACTGCTTTTGCGTTTGATTCATTATTTGGCGCGCCTTTGCCATTGACTTCGTCTTCTGTCAGTGTGTTCAGTGATAAGGTGTTGTGTGCGAGGGATTGTGTTGTATTAGGACTGCATCGAAGACCGTATAAATAACCGCTAAAAACATACACATCATCAGCCCATGAATCATCATTCATAATCATCCTGCTCTTTTACGTACAGATATTTCTGGTCATCAATTCGATCTTCAAAAAACATTTGTCGCATTTTGAAAAATGTTGTGCATGTCAGTAAACTGTCACTGCCTGCTTGATGTTGTGGCCCAATCCTTGCAACCTAGCAATACGTTGAACCAACAAACGGTTACTCTTTTTTCTGTCACATCACACCTGTAAATACAAGAGAAATAATACCTGCAAATCATCTGCGATATCCTGTAATCCTCCCTTTAAGTTCTTACAACTCTTCATTAAATATTTGATATCATAGATGCATGGAAAGTACGTGCGGAGAAGATCAAAGAACTCGGACTCGTCGGCGGGCATGGCTGAACACGTTAATACTTTTAATAAATATCCAAAGTCGTATCCACTAGAGAGAGAGAAAAAAATCAGTGGGTTGCCCCAGCCTCCCTTGATCCCATTCTTCTCCTTGTCCTTTTTTTTTTTTTAAGTTCACCTCCATCCTCCTTAATTCTCCACAAGGTTGCTTACCTGTGAAATGAAATCCACTTCACGTCATCCAGTAGTACAAATCCAGAGCTGATTAATAGCTCTCCAAAGTGTTCAACGTCGATGCCGTATTCTTCGTGTTTCTTAAAGTCGATACCCGACTTGGTCAGCAGTTCGATAGAATCCTGTGCGTACATATCGTCTCTACAAGTAAGTAGACAAAGTAATTATTGATGAATACCGGTTTGGCCAAGAACGATGTTTGAATAAAAAGAGAACGTGAGCAAAATAAAGAAGAAAAACAAAACGAGAGACTCACGCAAGGTTAAATTTGAAGTTGAATTGCCAAGTGCACACGTTGGAAGGTAGATTGCCGTGTTGATCTGCAAATGTGACGCCGAGCTGTATAATTTTTAACAGATCCACGTTGCATCGTAGGGTTTGGTAGTGGTAATCGGAGGAAGTTCGAAAAGTGCCAATGGGTCTAGCCACAACGCCAGGGAATTCCGTATCCTTTTGTTTTTTACAGTGTGAACGGTCAGGAAAAGCAGAAGTAAAAACGGGTTATTGAGTCGTGACACCTACCATGGCCAGGTAGGGGTATTCTTCCACTAAATCGCGAAGATAGGCCATCTCCTCTTCTAAATTCTCCGCCCACACTTCTTTGATGTATTTTGAATCGTTCACAGGCATTCAAGCAAAACGTCGCAGATAACAAGTAAAGAGAAAACGGTCGATTATTCCCTTTCTGAACTTGAGCCGAGTGTGCATTTTTGGCTCACCGATTTTTTGCAAACGTCATTGGTCCCAATGACTGCGAAAATTTTCGCAGTCGCTCATTCCTTTACTTCTTGCATACTTTTTTGCAGCCATCCCATGGTCTTCACCATGGCTTGAATCATCGTTTTGCTCAAACGGAACTTCCAAACAGTAGATGGAACAACGATGCGTTGCTCGTTTTTTATTTATGAATTCTTATTTTGGTTACTGGTGAGGGACCACTTTGCTGTAGCGCGCCGCAAGGCCACTTTAGCGCCTCCACTATGGGCGTCTGAACTTGAATATTATTTTCCCCAGACAAAAAGCAAAATTCAAATGTCCATGTTTGGGAATTCTAGTTCGTAATTGCCAGAGTTCAGAACACCATCGTCATCACAACAGCAAGTCCTTTGTAACTATAGCAGAAACAATGGGAGGAAAAAATGATGCGAAAAATCTCAACAATTCAATCTTTGGGAAATTAGCGATTTGTATATCACATGATCTACACGAAGTTATCAGGACCTGTTAGACCTTTTTTTTTTATCTTTCAACCATGCCTCGCTGCCCACTTTCACGATAATAGGCGAAACAATCAGCAGCAAGATGCCGTTTGCGCCAGTTGTGGTCAAACAGAGCATCGTCGTCTTTCAAATAAAAATGTGAGTAGAGCTCTTTTTGAAGAAAGGTGGTTGATGATACGACTGGCGTCTTTGTAGCATCATTTAATTTGGGTTTTCTGTCAGTTATATTGCCATTTATACTGTATATGTCCTTTCATTCTCTTCATTTTATAATGATCGAGAGGTTGGTGTTCATCTTTTTTTTTCCGGTACACCATTTGGTTCAAAGGCAAGTCCAATTTCTTTTCAATGTCATATAATCCAAGTCATGTCAAACGATCAATGGCTATTCAAAACTCAAGTAACAAAGGTAAAATATCTTGACGAAAATTGTATCAATCAAAGAGCTTACTAACTCATTCTTTTTTTAAATACCCAACATACCCTCACATCTTTCTAGATCTATCATATCCTGGGCGGGATGGAACTGAGGGGGGGAACCAGTGCTACTTTGCGCGTGTTCAGAAACAACTCACGTTGCATGGTAATGCCATAAGGTTGTCATTAATTTACCAAAGCCCGTCAAGAGTTCTCGCCCAGGTTATGTCGTGTATGCGTTAGGCTTTTTGTCTGACGAAAGTCGCTCCATGTAAGAGGGCGGCCTCCGGTGGCAGGCGGCATCCATTGCACAGCGGGCGTACGGCTTGTTAGAGAATTAAGTTATGCCTGAAACATTTCCTTTTTGGGCGTTTTATCCACTCTGTAACCCGTCGTAAAAGGGAAAGTGTGCTGGGTTTCACTGAAGCCTTGCAATTGGCCTTTTACGTTTTGGCCTTTTACGTTTCACGCCCCGCCGCCTTTTTTACATGGTTCTGTTACGGCTGTGAGATAGTGCATAAAAAAGGTGTGCGGTAAAAAAAATTGGGCTTTTTATAATTTTTTATTTTATCAACTTTATATCCTGCCACAACAAACAACAATTTGCATCATGCGCTGTCGTTGTGGAAGTACGAATCACCAAAGAGTCTCGAGCTCACGGTGTCCCTTGAACCCAAGGAATACAGCTGCTGAACAGGTCATCCAAGAGCCGCAGTATATTACTGAGCAGGTTATCCAAGGACCGCAGCAGATTGAAGTTTCTTCACAATGTAAACACTTTCCCTTGATGATTTGCTTTTTCGAAATTCGAAAGGAAGATGCATATTTCTGAACTCTTCAAATTCGGATAGACCATACCAGGTGTTGCCAATGTGGACGTACGGATCACCAAAGGATCACAAGCTCACGGTGTCCGTTGACTCCCGCGAATTCAATGGCTGACTTTATTCAACTTACCCCGCAAGGTATTTTACATTTCTCCTGATCATTTTTACAAAATGCACACAATTCTGAGACCCAGATAGACTTTGGTAGATCTTGCCAATGTGGGCGCACAGATCATCTAAGGATTTCAAGTTACCTCTGTCCCCTAAATCCTAGAAATCCTAGAAACAACAGGATACCCAACGTTGAGAACAACGTTCGATTTTCACCCTCAGTGCCTTCGACTACGGGAGGTATGGATTTCTTCAAAGCTTTTCTGAGATTGCACGCATTAAGCTTATATTTGCCCATTACCTTTTGCTTAGCAGTTACGCGAGCTCTTGGGCCAGTCTCACAATGCCGTCCGCATACCCTTTGAAGCGTTCCAAGGAGGCGCTTCAGGCCACGCTCCAAATGCCAACGCCGATGGAGTAATGGACAACGGGAGCATGACCTTGGTCTGTGTCTCCTGTGGAGCAAAAGGCTGGGAGGACGAGAAAGTGGCTGGAACCCGACAAGAACCTCGGTTTGCCATTTGCTGCAACCAAGGAAAGGTCCAGTTGCCCGTCCTTCAGCCGCCTCCTGAAGAGCTGCGCCTATTGCTCACCGGCCAAGACGAGGTATCCAAGGAATTTATCCATTATATCCGAAAATACAATACCCTTTTTGCATTTACATCCATTGGTGTCGAGGTAATGTACAGTGGCTGCTGTTGCGTCAAGCCGACGCTCAAAACCTAGAAAAAGAAAAGATTGTTAGTGGGTTTGGTATACTGTAGAATGATGAGGAATTGGCCAATGCAAGATCTGGCACCTACACCTTCCGCATGCATGGCAATATCCATCACAAGATAACCCAATATGCTTCCTCGCCCAATTTCCAACCTTCCTTCTCCCAACTATATATCTATGATCCTGATATCCAGCAGCAACATCGGTCATCTATGTTTGATGATCTTCATCCAGAAATCCTGCAAACTTTGCAGACGATGATGGCTCGGGTGAACCCATATACCCGCATATACCAATCTGCTGGAGAACGATTGCGAGGTGACGATACCACAACCGAATACGAAATCGTTTTATACAACATGCATAATACCCGCCGCCTATTACCCCGGGATCATCCCGGACAGCATCTGCAGCCATCGATATAGCTACTATCATACCAGATCGACCAAGACAGCGAGGCAGCAATGTAGGCTACTGCCGCGATTTCAAGAAAAAACTGCAAAGGAGATGGCGGTTGATTTTCGTAATAGACTGTCATTGAACCAATCACTTCTGGAGGTTCTCATTAGAAATTGCGAAACATCAGTTGCGATGTACAGTACATACTGTACAATAAACCAAAAGAGGGAAGGGAAAGACAACACAACATAACCACAAGAAGCGAAAGAACTTTAGATACATTGATATATTGATATATTGATATATTGATATATTGATATATTGATAATTGCAATGAAACGATTTGAAGAGAGCATGTGCAAAAAAACATGAGAGTTCTTGCAATAGACGATGTAATTTTTCTTTGATTTTTTTTTTGGTGCGCGAATACTATGTAGCTACTCTCGCAAGTCTTAAGCATTTATTTATACACAGTTTGCAAGGAAAATGATCATGGAAACTATGACATTACAGATTAGATTAGGAAACCCTGTATATTTTCTTTTTTCATAAGATACGCTAGGTTGCTCATGTTACAGCTGGAGTGCTTACTTTACGGCTATGACGTGGTGCAAATCCTTCACTCATTCTCGACAAAATGGTGTCGGTCTGGCGTTCTTATTGTGCGCCATATGGATAAAAACCGAACGAATGTTCTTGGCGGCCATAATGTCGCGGTTCCAAATGCTCCCGCAATTCGTGCATTTTAGGACAGCACGCAGTTGTCCTCCTTGGCTTTTGTCTACAGACGGACGTTCTCTCTTGTTTTCAAGGCTTCTTGTCTGGCAAATTGGGCATATCTGGGACGTTAAGTGTTCATCCACCATGATGATGCGAACCGGTCTCTATTTGTTCTATGAACACTCTTACTTTTTTTCAATGGCTTCAATCTTCTTACCCTTTGGTCCCACGAACGTTGCTTCAATTTTTTAATTATGGTCTTCGTTGGTGCGCTTAATTTACCTTTCATGCTCCCGGAAAAGGAGGCGTTACCATATGCAATGAGTAAATGCTTCCTCCTATCATCGGTCCTATCATTGGCGGGTGTTGGTCGCCAGTTGGGACCAGTCACTTGATTTGGACACCAGCGTGAAGCACTGTACTTCTGACTTCCACCGAGGAGACAGTTCGCAATTTCCGCGGTTCCTTTCTGTTTATCCATGTATGCTTTCAATTTGATTTTGTTGAATCTATAGTGCATGGTTAACCATTTTCGACCTACAATGATCTAAATCACCTACCTATTATCATAAAATTCACAAATGGTCTGATGATGACAAACACGATAACGAATTGACTCGACGAAACGATCGATGGATGCTGTTTTCGCGGATGGGATGTTTTCGATGAGCTGTTTGGTGGTGGGGGCATTGGAGAGGTACCGGTTCCTCTTCCGCGTTGCCTTGGTGTACCCGCACGTAGCGTAGTATTCTGGCGTGCTAATTCGACGAATGCGGTGTGGTATTTGACCATTGCCATCAACTGCCACGAAGACGTCCGTAACTCCAGGGTCCACCCCCCAGATTAGTGCGTCATCAACATGGGCCTCAACATCTTGCGGCGTCAACGGCGCGTTTGATTGAATCCGCTTTGCTTTTTTAAATATAAATTGAATGTCAATTCCATCGGTAATGACCTCGTCCCTGTCGACATCGAAGAGCGTTGGCAGTAAGTATTGAGTTGGCGAGATCCGAAACTTTTTTTTTGATTACCAAAAAACGGAACGCTCGGTCTCCAGACTTTCCCAGGTGGGGAAGCCAATCTTGCTCATGTCAAAAAGCCGGAAGTATTCTTCTCGTGCCTCTTCTTTCATTTGGAAGGTCTTCTCTTTGATGCCGCTGGAACATAATAACCTAGAGAACGCCTGGACGTCAAGTGTGATATGCCGTTTTTGGAATGACATTAGGGGAGCCAAGGTGAAACGCCGAGATCCTTTGGGGTCTGTATACTTCAATGGTCGGAAGTCATTGTGCTCAATCTCGGTGACCGTTTGACGAATGAACTGATCCAAATCTCGATAGCATTGATCGTTATCGGAAAGTTTAACCTTACGAGGTAATTGCAAGGTAGATCGCTGGCGTATGGCAGTTCGTACGGCTACATTGAGACTTGAACTGGCCTTTTTCGACAGATGTTTTCCTTTCATTATCTGATTGGAATAGCTCACATTTAGCAACCTCCAAGCCCCTGTTACACATGTACTATAGCAAAGGATATACTCACTTCATCAACGTTCCGCTTGACGTATGCCGATGATACGTACTTCGGTGGACATTGCTCTTGCACGAAAACATTACGTTCCACACGCTCGAGAACCCGGAGCATCCAGCGTAAGTACAAATGGGGATTTGCATTGAGCGTGATATCGTTTATAGGCTTCGGTCCGAGAGAAAGGTCTTGGATGAAATCCGAGAGTTTTGCTTCCAAGGCTTCAGTTCGCTCAATTGCAGCAGGCCATGTTCCTTTCTTATCGCCGGCTGCTTCTTGATAGATATACGCAGCAATCGACTTTCGTTGCTGTACCGTTAGGTCCGGCAGATGGAACGGGTCCCCGGCATCCGAAAGTCTGATAAGCAGATATTGCTTGGTTTTGCTCTCAAAATTAGCAACCAGATGGTTGCGCATATTGGTGTCATATTGCTTGGCCGCGCCACTCACCAACGTCGAGTACCCTTGGGATTTGAAGTTGGCGGGATCGAACATTGGAATATCTTGCCGGAACTGGTTGAATGACGCTTTGATGTCTGCGGAAGCCTTGTTACCATTTCCCATAATCATGGAGAACATGTCGTAAAATATTTGTTGGCAGAACGATGGAATGGTTCGATCAAGATGAAGGCATCGTAGAAGATGGTAATTAGCAAAGAGGGCGCCGAAATATGTGATATCACGAATGTGCCCAACCACATTCTGCAAATTGTCGATGAAAACGTCGTTCTTGCATGTGTTTATCAAAGATGTCTTGATGATACTCGTTCGCTTTAACTCCGTTGTTGCAATTCTTCTCGGTTTATATTCAGGACATAGCTTGTTCGAAGACCGACTATGTCCCGGTTGTCCGCACGTTGAACAGATGGGGTTTTTCGCTTCAGATGCTTCGCTTTTAGCTTGCTCCTTTGCAGATCGCTGAGATTCCTGCTTTGCAGCCCTTTTCGCTTTTGCATGTGCAAATTTGAGCTCGTTCTTTGTAGGCTTTACAGAGGATGACGATGAGGGACCTGCAACTAAATTGAAATGTAAAGCATAGAAACCAAGTCAGTCGTCTGCTTTGGTAAAAGCATCTGCACCAATTGTTATTTACCGAAGGACACAGGCGTACTTTCAGCTAGAGAGGATAATTTTGATTTGGTATTGCATTGAGTTAGAAAGTTGAGCACAAAGGCTTTAGTTTTAACCGTACCATCGTTATCGTTTTTCTTGGGTTTCTTATTTTGATGAGTCAATTTTGACTTGCCCTTGACTCTCAAAGTTGGAATCGGGAGTGGTTGGAAGTCGTCATCCGAGGAGATTGGGTCCGCGTCTACAAATATGCAAATGTTCAGACAGCTTCTCATTTTATGCGATTACAGTATTTCCTTTTGCATACCAGACGTTGAAGGTGGAGTCGCACGCTTTTTTCCTTTACGATCGTGATGGGCCATAAAAGGTATTAAAAAAAAAGAGTGAAAAATGGGAAAGAAAAAATTCCTCCACTCGAGTGCACTCTGTATCAGTAATGAGCACGAATTGAAACAGTGACGCGTCCTTGGGAAGCCGACCTGCTTGTAATTGAAACAATACGCAAAAAACTTGGAACTTTCTCAAGTAGCTGATCCTATGACTTATGACAGCAATCTCTCTGCCACAGTCGCTATATGTATCTAGTCATGAGATTCTCTCCAGTACGTCTTGATGTTCCCACATGGTGATCTCGGTTGGAATATCCACGCACGCTCCCCTGGCGGTCGCAGTATCACGGTTATGCAATGGTACAGCTACCGTTTGATGGTGCGAAGTAACGGCCACGATCTGCATTTGTTCGGACGCCTTTTCTAGCAGTACATAGTCGATATGTACGCCAAAATGGAGCAGAATGGCTGACGTATTTATGGCTCAATCAGACGAACCTGCGAACGGATCTGTACCGAGGTGTCGTAGATGCAGTACAGCTGGGTGAGAACGACCTTCACAGCGTCGGGCAACGAGTGATCTTGCCGTCCACCTTCATAGAAAGTCCCAGACACATGCGGCAACTCTATCATGATTCCATGAATATTGTACGTCGATGCGGACAGCCCGACCTTTTTATTACTTTCACATGCAATCCTCAGTGGAAGGAAATTCAGGACGAGCTGGCTCCTCTCCAAACCGCTGTTGATCGGCCCGACCTTTGCGCTCGAGTTTTCAACATGAAGCGTAAAGCTCTGATGGAAGATCTAACGAAGAAGCATGTTTTGGGAAGAGTCGTTGCCCACGTGCACACGGTGGAGTTTCAGAAGCGAGGTTTACCGCACCTCCATCTGCTTTTGGTGTTACATCCGGATGACAAGCTGAGAACACTGGACGATTATGATCGCATTGTGTCAGCTGAACTTCCGGACAGACAGAGATTTCCTGATCTCTACGACACCGTCAGCAGATGTATGATGCACGGTCCGTGTGGAACCATGCATCCGAGGTCTCCGTGCATGGAAAACGGCTCCTGTAAGAAGCGTTACCCGCGCTCCTTCAACGAAGCTACCGTCGAAGATCACAGGGGTTACCCTTTGTACCGTCGTCGCAACCAAGGTTCATCTTTCAACCATGCCTCGGTCCCCATCTTGCAACGACAACGATTATCAGCGCTCTACAAGTCATGGTTGCCCAAATTTCTCTCCACGAAACACTTCCACGAATAATAGGCGAAACAATCAGCAGCAAGATGCCGTTTGCGCCAGTTGTGGTCAAATAGAGCATTGTCGCCGTTCACATAAAATGTGAGTGGAGCTCTTTTTTGAAGAAAGGTGATTGACGATACGACGATCTGGTGTTTTGTAGCATCATTTAATTTGGGTTATCTGTCAGTTATACTGTATATGCCCTTTCATTCTCTTCAGTAATCGAATGATACATGGAGCAGATATGCTTCGATCTGTGTAGCTCATCATTCATGCATCAGTGAGGTGACTATTGTTTCATCCATGGAAAATCACATATTTTTGTCCGAATTTTTTCTTCTTCTTTAGTTTTGCATCTCTTCTGTTTGCCTGGAAATCCCTCACTATCATTGCATCCATCATCCATCATCCAGACTATGGCGTGTATCTGATCCGGTCGATTCGATTATTATGAAAAAAGGTACCTTTTGTGTGATACGACTATCCGTTTTTCGACAAGAAAAAATTTACCTGTCCTTTTTCTCTATTCTGTCTTTAGCTTTTGGTTTTCTCTCCGGTTTTCTTTTGCCTGGCAAGCCATTCAAGCCATCCATCCCTCCAAAACCTTTCTACTTTGTTCGGACACCAGATTGTGGCCAATCCGGTTTTTGTCGTCAAAGGCATCGTCGGTGGTGTGACTCTCTTTTTCATTGGGAAACGCTGACGCGTCCTCCCCAGGTTCCTCTCATATGGATTGCTGCCCGTGGTATCGCCTTCGATATTTCTTCCCGACCATTTTATTTTGTAGTTGTAGTATGTATTTTGTATTTTATTCGATAGTCTTCTTGCAGTCTTTTCCTCCTTTTTTTTCCCACAGGGTTTTTAGGGGTTTTTCACAGACGCATCTATTGTATTTACTTTTTTTTTTATATTTGTATCCTTTCTTTATTTCGGTCGGGAAGCCCTCGGTATCTGCTGCATCAAACATCAAAGGTAAAATATCTCAACGAAATTTGAATCATCCAAAGAGCTTACTAACTCATTTTTTTTAAATACCCAACATTCCCACACATCTTTGTAGATCTATCATAACCTTGGGCGGGACAGAACGGAGGGGGTCAATAAGTGCTGCTTTGTTCATTAAAAGTGTTTCATGGTATGCCAGAGTATTGACATTAATATACCAAAGTTCCATCAAGACTCTCGCCCAGGTTATGCCGTATTGCGTTAGGCTTTTTGTCTGACGAATGTCGCTCAAGGGAAGAGTGCGGCATCCAGTAGCAGGTGGCATCCATTGCACAGCGGGTGTACGGCTTGTTATCTGCGTATGAAGAGACCAATTACCTATTGATCCTTTGTCAATTCATATCTAAAGGTGCCGGCTGCGTCCGTGGATAATAGTATGATGAAGAATTCATTTCAATATTCATAACATTTATTGGGCATTAGTTATCAAAAACTAAAAGAAAAGTTGGGGAATGATCATTTCACTGCTGCGGGGTAGTTTTTTTTCCCTTCAAGGAAACAGAGGTAGACTGCTGACGGTGGATAAATGGATAAGATAAAGTATCTATTTACAAAAAAAAACAAGGAAGAATAAAGAGGAAAAAAAAGAAATAGAGGAAGAGGGAGATTTCATCGTTTTTTTTTTTCATTTTTGAGCGTGATTTTTTCAACTTCGGCGAAGAAGGGTCAAAACGGTGGCGGCTTCTACGGCATCCACTCCTACGGATAACGGATATGCTGTTCCAGAGAAACCGAGCTTTTCCACTACTGACAAGGTGGTCTGATCGTGTATATACAAAGATGGAAACGGAGTAACGGAGGAGGTGATGTATTCGACAGAACTGGAAACTTCAGAGATCGACTGGTTGGAGGAAGAAGTACTCGGCTGGTCCAAGCTGCTGTACCGTGCATCGCTCATCTCTCCGCTGGAAGGAAGATTTTCATCGATAGATATACTGGAATCTCTGGTATCGTGGATGTCATGTCCATTCCCGCCTATCTCTGGAAAATCATCCACCGGACTGTCTCTTGAACCGTGAACATCGTTGGAAGGTGTTGCAGTCATTGATTGTTGCTGTTGCTGTTTGCTTTTCGACCGTTTGCGTTTTGGATTATCGACACTGCTTCGTTTCTTCCTTTTCACCGACTTGCCGCCACTGGGTTCATGGGCCGCGATGCTCACATCCTCTCGGATCATATTGCCACTCAAAATTTTACCGTGCTTCCACTTTACACCACACGCGTTGCAAAGTGTCCCTGCTCCTTGAGGCCCTCGACGCCACATGGGGGTGGTTTTGGATCCACAGTAAAGACAGCATTTGTTCGAACCGTGATTATTCCCTCGAGGATGGGTCGTAGACGGTTTAGAAGAACTAACCGACGACGTGGAAGATGATGACCGTCGATGTGTAGGCGAAGCTATTACCACTTCTTCCGGTGTATCTAATCGATATAAACAGGAATATTTTTCAGATAAGCGATTTGCAAAAACCAAAGATTTTTCAGTTTCTTTTAGAAACTACCTTTTCTCACGGGTAGTTCGCCTTCATCCTCGCCACTATTGGCAAGAATTTTTTCCGATTGAAGTTCAGGTTGAGACGCCGTCGATGGTGCGGATTGGTCATGAAGGCTGACTTCAGGGCGAAGGGTGATCTCCGCCTGCCGATAAGCGACTCGCTCTGCATGGAATCGGGCCTATTGTAGTATCTCGATGTTAAACATGGGTTTTTCCTTGCCATGGGCGTTGCATGCAATCCAATTTTTTTTTACCAGGTCCATGACTTTTTGACAAATGGAACCGAACCCGAAAGCGGCTTGCCGGATCCCCACGTAGAGTTCTTTGGAAACACCCGAGAGTTCGACGTAAACAGCATGGCCATTTAAGGTTAAATGATTCAAAATATGCTGATGCGCTGGGTGAAGAAACGGTGGATCATTTGAAGGCGAAGTTAATCGGCACGTTGAGCAGCATACGGTGGCAAACTGTTCGAGCTTGGAACTGGGCGTCTCCTCAAATTTGGCAGCGTGATGGATAGACGGGTAAAGGTTGCAAGAGCAAGCCGACGGGAACGGTGCGAGAGACGCAAATAAAGCAGGGTGATGGAAAGAAACGGAAATCTAGTTGCAAAGACAGATGGGGTCCATGGGTGATGGGTTAAACTTAGCTCAAATGCGATGCGATGATGGAGGGCCATCACTAAAAAAAAAAAGTACCTCGAGAAGGCTGGATTCGGAAATGACGTCCATGATGGAATCGCGAGGGAATATATAGTAGGCATGATCAGGGAGTGGATGACAAGACGTATCAACTTCGGAATGGCTCGGTCCTTCTGGACAAAAGACAATATCATAACGAATAGTACGCCATCGCTTTTTCTTTTTTAGAGCGTTGGCCGGGCGATGAGCGGGATGGGGCGTACAACGTTCAGTCATGGGATTGGTAGACAAGGACAAAAGAGCATCAATACTTTCGGCGGTGTGAAGGGACGATCCGGTCAAACCGCTGGTTACATGCTCACGATCGGGTTCATTGAGAAACTGGGCTTCTGGCAATTCAGAGATCTCAAACTCGGCAATCTCGTAAAATGCGGTTGCGGGAGAATGATAAGCACCGAGTTTAAGTGAGCAAACGCCAAGGAAACGAGTACGAAAATGACGTTCTCCATCCGCGGTGAAGGTCGGGCGGTCTAGATCCAACTCGGACGGAAGCTGATAAGATTCAAAAGCATTCGCAATCCACTCTCTAAGTCGTCTAATGGTTAGCGATGAATGTTTCAGCTTTTTCATTGACACGGTCTCAACCTGTGCAGATGGCCGGTTCTCGGCGAAGGCGGACGATGGGTAGCTGATCGTTGGGTCAGAGTCATCGTGGAAAGGATGCTGGATGGGCACAATGGAAACGAAATCGGGTGCGGTGCTACACGATCGATGATGGAAAGGAAGCTGCAAGAATAGCAACAAAACGGGGAACCCTGATCCCGCCCATTTTCGAACATTACAATTTTTTCTGGGATTGAAAATTCCCGTCCTTCTCAACATTGGGAGAACTCACCTCACTTTCGAGTCCTCCAACTCAACCGCCAGATCATCTGACAAGACATGCATCTCTTTTTGGAAATATACACTCTTTTGTTATTTCTCGGATTCTCTCCAGCTTACATCCCAACCTATCCGGCCAATGTTTGCTCACCAAATTGATACATCGGAATCCACTGATCAGTGAGATAAGTTTTATGAAAAAAAGCTGGCGCACGATATAGCTAAAGAATCCAGGTCGTCCAAAGTCTGCAACATGGATATCCAATCAACGGCTGGTGCATTGGTTAAGCCTTTTAGCCAGGAGGCCGAGGGTATCACAAAACGGGAGCACATTAAAAAGCCTTACATCCTTATATTTGGTCAGATAATGAGGCGAGAATTCGCCGTGGATTTTTGGTGAACTGCATGCTTACAAAAAAAAATAATCAAGGAACTCGCTCTTTTTTACATACAAAGCTGTGCAACGGAGACCGAAATTCAGCAAATCACATAACGGAAAGTAGAACCCAAAACCAGCAAGCGATGAGAAAGCAAAACCAATGATCGCTTTACGGCTCTGTCTCTGAACACCTGTTCCTCCACACAAAGCATGCATGGTTTTGTTCACGAAGACCGGGCAACGGCCCTCCTTGTAACGAATGTCAATGAAACACGGACGACAGGTACCATACAGCAACCGTCGAAATACGAATAACGTAACAGCAGCTACAAACCCATTGCCATATCAAGCGAATCTGAAAATAGCTTATTATTCTCCAAAAAGGTGTCACTGATGTCAAGCAAGGACACCGATTTCTCATCCGGACCTAGGGCCAAACCATGGTTACTCGCTTTTTATGGTCTTCTGAATTCAATGTTTTGTCAAACCTTTGGATTGTAAAGAAAACAAGTGAAATCCTAAGATTCAGTCACCCTTGACTACATTTGTAATGTTTTTTGAGTCTGGTCTTTCGCGAGTCGCTTATTTGAAAAGTCAGAAGGCAGCCATTGATATGTTACAAGATCTTCTGTAAGATGTAAATTCGTCCCTTCATTCAATTCTGTTATTATACGCTGACCACATTAATCATTCAATATTCCTTTGTTGTATTCTAAAGTTACCCACATTTCTGAAATACTGTAGGGCCTTGGTGTTTGGGATTTCCAGTCATCTACCTTGCCAGATCTTGATAGCGTTCTCAGCGCTTGCCTCAATCTGTATAAATTTGTTATTTGCTGCATCGCTTCGATGTTTCTATTGTTTCCCTATCGTTTTTCTAAGCGACCACAGAGGCGAATCATTGTTAGAAACAATGACCTAACTGAATTATGCGTTCCGATCCCAAAGTTGGCATAGGTACCGTAAAGCGGTGCTTGAAGTTGAGAAGAAACTACTACTACTTACAGTATCACCCAAACGGTGCCATACCGGCAATGATCCTGTTCAAATGTCTATCCCATTTTTTTTTGGCCTTTGCCTACTTTATCATTCATAGTTTCCTGATTTGAACAATGCAAGGCTGCAGATGATGGGGATCAGTGGGAACCGTTGAAGAATAAGCAGTCACAAATAATATGCAATATAAAAGATCAGGTTTCTCATTGGCAAACACCGACCGATCCATCCTGAACAAAATCACAATGGTATGGATGATCCCATGTCGATAAGACGGGTTTGTGCTCAATCAGTTGCTCTTGCATTATTTCTTGATAGGGACGCAAAAGAACTTCTGCTTCGACGGAAGTCATTGATCTGACCGGTGACGATACAACCATTATGCGATCCAAACCGCAGTCGAACAGTAAGTGGGCATCAATGTTTTACTTCTTGATCAGTTGACAGTAACACTTGCATCGCAGAAGTGACCAAACGTTCGAGATCGAGGACGATTACGACCATTGTTCTCCCGAAGGATATTCCTGTTGCGGAAGCTCTGCCGAAGCTGCTCAAACGGGGTCGTCCGCCCAAACAAAAGAAAACTGAACCATCTCCCAAAAGACGAGCTAAAAAAGCCACTGTAAAGGCAGAGGTTCTTGCTACTGAAGAGGAACAATATCTCCTTCCGGTAAATAATGGATAACAAGTTTTAGACTTGGGCTTTGACTAACTGTCAGCACAACTAGGAATTGCGAGGTCGCCTTGAGAGAGCCCGTGGTCAAAAAATGTTTATTGTGGAGAGAAATTTCGTCAACAACTCTCGCCAGACCTTTGACAGTAAGTCATTAGTTTCATACTAGGTTTTGACTCACACTCATCATGAACTCATTTTTGGTGTATGTAGTGTTAGGCAGCACAGGCAACGTAAGTGAACAGGTAGATTCAATGGGGAAAGGGTCAAACTGATATGATATTTCTTCTTGCATGTCACAGTTATATACCATTGATATTTCCCACAAGATCAAGTGCAACTGCAGAGACTTTATATATCGAAGGAATCATTGCAAACATATCCTCATGGTCTTACTCAAAGTGTTTCACCTTCCCGCCGCCTCTCCCGCATTTCGATCTTTGAACCTTTCCCCTGAAGTAGGTACATTTTGTACACGCGTGATTCGTTACGTTTACTGACAACTAGCATAGCTTCTTCAAGATATGTTTTCGAAAGCTATGCCTGATCCGGGAGTGCTGGTGAGTACGCGCATAAAAAATCTCATTTTGCAATTTTGAGACTTATTTTTATTCTCAAGGTTGACGAGCATATACAAAAAGCCATCAAAGCGAAATTATACCATGTGGAACCTAGTGATGGTGGTTCTGTTCAAAGGTAAAAATGCTATTAATGATAATCTTTGAGGTGGACATGCATTACTAAATATGGATATCTCGACCTAGACGTCCATTGGATACTTCGGATTGTCCCATCTGTTTCGAGGAATTCGAAGAAAAACAACTGGCTAAAATTCTATTCTGTAAGACATGCGGTAATAATGTGCATGAAGTAAGTATTCAGAGATCCTAAACTTATAAAAAAAAAGGGGGAGGGGATGGGTCATAGCGGATTTCTAACTTGCCGCTTAGGTATGCTTTGTTGCATGGAAAAAATCGCGCGGATCACAAGTGACTTGTGTCTATTGTCGATCTGAATGGCCATCCGATGTCAAGAAAGGCAAAAAGAAGCCCAAGTCAAGCGACTTGAATGAAGAAGGCTATGTTAACTTTGCCGCTGCTGCCGGGTTATCTTCCAAACGAGGTTCGTGCACCGGATCAACTTTTGTCTAATGTTAGGGTGACTCAACCTTGTTTCATTTTTTAGATTCAACCACTTACCGATTGTATCCCGGGGCACCCAATTCTTGGACGTACCGCTGATCACCAAAGCTTCAGACCCATTACCATTCCTTCCATTTATCCATCCTAAGCGAAATCAAGCAAAATGTTGATCCACCCACATCCAATCCAAACACTGAAAAAAAAGTAGCATTTTCTAGCAATCACTTGATATTCACAGCAGAAGCGATGATTACTCAAAAAGAGAGATTACTCAAAAAGCAAGCAACATGAAAATTCAATAACTGTTTCTATGATTATATCCAAAGTAAATTACACAACTTCTGTGTTGCCATTCAACGATGTATCCAACGACTGCGTCTATTAATGTTGCTGTCTCACTTGTCCCATCTCTTTACTGGAATTGTTGACATTATCTTTTTGGCAGGAGGCTTGATTAAGGACTCGGCACCGGATCTTATAAAACCCCCGCCGTTCTGCCGAATCCTACCCATTGTTTTGTGCATCCAATAGAGACATCCTCCAAGGTGTATCTTTTGACGATACCCTGGTTCCGAAGTTGGTATAATCTACCTCAAATAAAGGAAATCAGAGAATGTTGAGAGTCAAACCATTGAGTCCTAATCAGTATACAATAAGGATAATAAAAGGTTTACTGGATGTCGGCCATGGTTCGCAGGGAGGATCGGTACTCGTCTCATCTGAAAAAAAAAAAAAAAAAAAAAGAGCGGCAGACCATCGTTTATTTTCACCGGAACTCTACGCTCAAAAAGCTGCCACAATGTATATGATACCCAACCCTTGACCTATTGATATTAAACTTGTTTCATATAGTGGACACACAAACTTCATCCGCCATTATCAGTGTTCGCATTCGAAACCTCTTTTTTCTTTTGGCGGTGCCAATAATTTTATTTTTTTGATGAACGTGCGTCGCAGTGAGAGGCGGGCCTCTCGATGAGAAAGATACTTTCTACTAACAAACTTTCCCAATTCAGCATGATTGCTGTATGCATCGATGAAATATATGCATTTCCGAAAATATCGGCGTATATGGGGGAGATGACCGGCGGTATCCAGTAATGTTGGAATGTTTGCTTCCAATGAGCGGAATGTGTAATCACACTGGAGCCGTGCTTCTCTCTTGGCCGCTCCCCAATACCGTTCAATCCAATTGCACTCGCAGTGATACTCGGATAGAGCTCGAAGATGTGCCCCTCTGCTTCACCACTTCTTGCAACGCTGAGTGCTGCTTCCGAAAGTCCGGGCGACTTTCAAGAAAGTGCTTCGCACAGTACATTGATCTGAACCCGGGACCAGGCTCACCACAGGTCAAAGGGGTTGCCTTCGAGATCCCCCAGCCACTCCCCACGCTCGATCAAGATCTGCTTGATACCTGGTTTTCCAGAGTTTGTTACATTTTCGTAAAAACAGTGGCCGATGCTACCCAAACAAAACTAACCTTTGAAATATCTAACAGTTTCTTCTTTGGGTTTTCCCTTCTTCAAACGAGACTTGATAGCCTTTTCGTCGTAGAACGTCTGTGGCAGAGTATCCCCACCTGCAAATGTAGCCTCGGTATCTCTGAACTGATACTTCGTGTCGATGGGTCACGGTTTCTCGTTGAGCGTCACTCGGGACACTACTAATGCATCATCAGCGAAGGCTTGATGATTCATGCTGTTGTCAAACAAGAAATTTTCGATGCATCCCGGATGAAGAGCTTCGAAGAGAATGGCATCTTTCTTGAGTTGCTCCACCATGTGAGCCATCCCTCTCGTCCAGTGCCAACTCTGAAGAACGTTCTGGAGGTCCAGTCTTACAATCTTCATGATTCCACGACAAGGACGTTGGAACTCGCTGACCATGATGAACATTCCAGGGCCCTTCTTTCTGATGATGTTCTTGCCTGAAGTGAGCCATATGTCGATCTTGCCGTCGTTAGCGTAGAAAGTGCTCTCATCATGAGTGACAAGAACAAGCTTCTGAGCAGCATTCGGTAACTCTGCTACAAGGACTTCATCTGCTTGTCGCCCGTATAAAAGTTTATTCGTTTCATGTAGACGACCATTCGTTTCGCCCATCCACTTCTGTACTCCACAACGTCTTCGCGTTCATGGCCGTCGAAATAAATATCTTTGGTGTTCTTGCGATATTGATAACCCCATTCATGGAGACAGCGGCTGATAGTTGTCGGGCTGATGGATCGGGTTACTCTAAGAACGGAAGGCAAGATTCCTCATCGATGAACTTCTTGATCATGATAATTGAGCATTGTTCGACTTTGGTGCTTCGAATCATTGCCAACACTTTCATCTTGACATCAGAATCGCTCAGGAACGATTGTTTCTTGCTGTGACAACTCTGACGGTGCGGTGACAGAAAGCCGTTCTCCAGAAATTGTTTCGCCCACATCGTAATGATTGCAGGGCGAGAGTACTTCGAGTGGTTGGGACATACGCGGTCAGCAGTGTATTTTGCGGCTTCACTCTTGTTCTTCCCCTCCAACCGCTGGCAAAAATAGTGATAAACGGAGAGGTAGGAGTAGGACTCGAATATCGTGCTCTTATTGGTAGCCTGATTCATATTAGGCTGAACAAAAGATTCGATGGAATCCATTGCTTCTTTGGTTTTCAGGAGCTGCTGTTTAGTGTGGGGCAACTGAAGCGTCTCGCTGGCAGATGATGGGGGCAGCGGACCGTTGGTCGTGAATCCGAAACTCGTGAGTTTGCCCCTGGGATCAATTTTCTTGGATTCCGTCGTTCTACGCCATTTCGTTGTTCTAGAGCTGTTACTGTACGGACCTCTCTTTGGTTGTCTTCCGAAAATTGTAACACGTTATTCACGGATCTGGGCTGTTGTGGGTTTTCTTGCATCTGAACCAGAGATGTTTCAGAAACTGGCTTCATCTCTTTGGCCTATAAATCCAACCAATCCCAATCTTCCTGGATGACTGCTTCACTAGTGGGACGCTCTTGCAAAGCTTCCATTGCTGCTTCGGACACTTACGTCTTCTGTAAGCTTTAATGTATGTTTCGGGACGAACCATGGCCAATATTTCAAAATCGTGAAAAAATCAGCGTCACCCATTGAGCCACGAAAAAAATCAAGCATTTTCATTGTTTTATAGAACTTCACCCATGACGGTCCTTTGCTTCTCATTTCTCAAGCAAAGCCCCGACTATACTGACCATTTGGGAGTTTTATCTTTCCATCAGTCCATAACCAAAATCAAAACTAATACCTGGAAAATAAAGAGAATCATCTATTGTATGAATAAGTTGCATCAGAAGTTTTATATTAGTTTCGGCTTTGGAGTTGTCATTCCTTAAAATGTTAAAAAAATTCCATGGCTCATATCGGGTGACATCATACGCTCTAAATGAATCGTGTGGCAATCCATGCGCTGGCAAGGCTTACAATCATTGGTAACATACCTTGCTTCTTCTGTGAGCGTTTCTTTTGACAAGTGTTTGGATTATGGCTTCGGTCCCCATAAGAACCAGGTTGCTATCATGGTTCCAGAAAAGGCCTCAAGGACCCTCCATAATTTGATCCACGAATGTTGGGCTGTAATGCCAGTCTTTCCTCATTCTTTGACAGAACTGCCCTGCTTTTGGTTATAGGTTACAACAACCCCTTACCAACGTTGATGTTTTGCCGCTTTCAAAAGTGGATGCCAGATAATTCGAATGCCAGGCCTCTTGAACTGTATTGGATGTATCTTGGTTGCATTTAAGTTTGTAAGATGTGTCAATAAACGCGCGTACTCTTTGCCAACATTTGCATGCGTTTTCCCATAAAATTTACCGCAGTATGCAGCCTCTCAGTGACACTGAAGAGTTTTTGAAAATCGACACTATGTGTTATGCGATTTCGGCAAAGAGCAGGGCAAGGTAGGTTTTCTGTTATTGACCGGAGCAAAGCTTTAAAGATATGGTTTTGTGGAACCTGCGCGCGAAGCGTAACAGATATTGTTCCGAATCAGGTAAATGATTTCTTTTACATGAATGCTGATTTGTACCTGTGTTGCCGCTGTGCACAAAAGCTGTCAAGTAGAACGGTCAGACCAACCATGCATAATATCGGGGATCGCAACAACAGGAATGTATTCAGAGGAAAAACGAGTAATGTACAGTTTTGGAGGCCGCCGAAAATCTTAGCTTTCTGACCACTTTTATGCTGCAACGTCAGTTTCACCTGTAATTCAAGGGCAAATACTTTAACTGATCCGTACCAAATGACCGAAATAGTACTGTTCACAGTAATGCCTTGAAATCATAAGAAAAAGTACGTTGGTGCATATTTGATTTCTTGGTTTTTTTTTTTTTTTTTTTTTTTTTTTTTGGTTACGAAATATGGTCATATTGAAAGGCAAGCTAGGTGCTCTTCATTGTAGCTTCGAGCTTGTGTTAACGCAATAATTGTTTTCAAACAATATATTGATATATAACAGATTTTGTGATTGCATGCTTTGACGAGGGCAATCAGTGTTATTGGGGTGGTCCCTGTAGTTTTGCGCAGCGACGTGTGTATTCAGAATAAAGACACATAAAAATAAAATAACTGATATGTTTAAAAGATGTTGTTTAACAGTAGACTGGAGATACATGTTTGTATAAGGTCTTTAAATTCATCAACATCACAAAGTCTCCGCCATCTGACACGCCAGGCGCACTGCTCCTAATTATTGGTTTGACTGCCCACCGACTGCTCGACACTAAAGAATGTGAGCAGTGAAACGGGCTTGGAGGGATCGTATTTTATAATATCTCAAACACCAGTGCCATAGAAACAATGCCGTCAAAGTTTCCAGGCAACAATTAAGCGGTTGCTTGCCCATGACTTTATAATTCAAAACTGATCACTTTTAGGGATTGATACGCTCATCAGGTAGTTCGTACTTCTGTGAAGTCTTTAATGATGAATTCTACCACTCATTCATTCAAAGTGTGGAGTGAACACGGGATGATGTGTCACTCGTCGGATCGAGCCGATGAGCTATAATCAGGATTTGAGTTGATGGAGCTATTTCTAAAGGCCACTTGATTTGTTTGTGCTTTTTTTTTTCTTTGTGCTCCTTTGCTTTCAAATTTTCACATCACACTAATTTGTTATATTCACACTTGATATTCGACCTTTATATCCCTGAAAATTCTCAATGAATATTGCTTCGTATTGATTTATCTGTAAAATGATTGGCGATAAAATATATAGCAGCCGCCTTGGATCTCAATAGCGCCTTAAAATGTATGATGTCAATAAATCTCAGGCAGAGGCACAATCTGATAGGTTATCAAATTTTTAATCAAGAAAATTTGGTGGCGCGGAGTCACGGTGGGCGCGGAAACGCGGAGACGTCGATCTGAGATGGGAAAATAAAGAAAAAAAAGCTAGTAGCAATATATAAGCACCCAACAATGAGATGAAGTGATCTTCCCCACATTATGAGCTCTGAGCAACCACAGTCAAAGTCACGGATCAAACGCTACATCGTTTCACGATTGTCGATCCGTCCTCCTGTCGATGACGATCCACGACTCCTCTCTCGAACCACCAAAGGCATCATCCTGTTCTGCTTGGCAATAACAGGTGGATCATCCGGCTTCACCAGTACCATTTACTTTCCAGGTAATGGGAAAACTAATGCATTTTAACCTGACGGATACCATAGTCTTATACCTTTTTACTTGTTTTCTGCAAAAGGTATCCCAAATATCATGGCCGATCTGCAGGCACCGTCCATGGTCACTACGCTTCTTGCAGCGTTGTTTATTCTATTTATGGGAATTACGCCTGTCTTTTGGGCCTCAATGTCCGACTTTTATCATGTTCGAAAATTCCCTATTTTGGTGGCCATGATCATTTTTTCCGTAGCATCACTCGGTTCATCGTTTGTGAACAACATATGGGCTTTGGTGGTCCTACGTTGTATCCAATCTGCAGGCTCATCATGTGGACAGTCCGTTTGCGCAGGTACGTTGATATAATCATGCTAAAATGTAGATGATGTGGTGACTAATAGAACGTTTTTTCTGTAGGCGTGATTGCTGTAAGTCATGAAAAAAATTCATATTAGGAAAATGGTTGAATCGGACCAAGAAAGACTGACCAATATGTCCAGGATTGTTATCCACTTGAGAAACGAGGCAGTGCCTTTGGAAAATTCTTCTTTGGCATGTTCATTGGTCCCTTGCTCGGTAAGTGCGCACTGCAAGGCACACGAGTGGAAACACAATACTTATGTTGCAAATCCATGTGGATCACTTATTGCCATAGGCCCTATTGTCGGCGGCTTCTTGATCATGAGTCCGATTGGCTGGCGATCCACCTTTTGGTTCTGTTTTGCCCTCGGCATTTTCATCTTTGTCCTCTGTTTCTGTTGCTTGCCAGAAACCTATCGCGATAACGAGAAATTTGACAAAGAACTTCCCGTGGTCACCGACAGTAAGAGCGCCGCTTCGTCCGCCACAGATGTCCAATCGATTCCCGAAAAAGTGCTGATCAAGCGAAAGAATATCAACCCCATTGCGCCCTTCCTTCTCCTACGACATCCTTTTGTTTTCTTGGCTTCCTTCGTTTCGGGTATCGCTTTTGGTTCTATGTTCGCTATCGAAACGGTCATTCCTGAAATTTACGAAAAGAAATATGGATTTTCCTCTTGGCAGACAGGTAAATTTTAATGAGGCATGGGCCTTTCTCGTGCGACACCGATGACCCAATGAATCTTAAACATTTTCTCCTGCAGGATTGAGCTTTTTGGGCGCAGGTGTTGGCAATTTCTTGGGTTCATCATTGAACGGCTATTTGTCGGATCGACTCCTGATGCGTGCACGAGCAAAGCGGGGTGGACAGGCAATGGTGGAAGATCGTCTCACTGCCAATCTATGGCCCGCCGGAATTTTCTTTATACCTCTGGGTTTACTTATGTTTGGTTTTATGGCCGAATATCAAGTGTCGGTATGGGGTTCCATTGTTGGTTTTGGTATTCAGGTACGTAATGAAATTATTATTGGTAAGAGTCAAGCGTTCTAATGAGAATGGTCTGAATTTCAGTGCTTTGGTATGAACATGCTTCTGACATCGACTTCGGCCTATCTTGTGGATGCAATGCCTGGACAAGGTGCTTCTGCAACGGCCGCTGGCGTTCTTGTTCGTATGACCATGTCCTGTGTCCTAACGTTGGTGGCCAATCCCATGGTCGCTGCTCTTGGTATCGGCTACACCACTGTATTACTCTCCGGTTTAAGCTTGCTTTCCATGGTTATGCTACTTGTTCTCAAAATGCGTGGTGAACAGTTACGCCGCTGGAGCGGCTATGCATAATTTTTTTTGTTCTTCCCTTTTATTTTTCCGTAGATCCCCTTTTTTTCTTTTGTTTGGTCGGGTTTTTGGTTGGTTCACAGCATTATACATATACATTGTAATAGATATCGTTTTCCTATGTGTAAATGTCATTATCATCGTACAGTTGAAGTCCTTTTATGCATCAAATTTCATGCTCCTTTTAGGACATAAAACGCCTTTCACCATTGAATTTGGAGAATGCTGCAACCCAAAACTTGATCGCAAAGTTGTTGGCTATTTTTTATTTTTTTATTTTTTTTTTGAGAGAGAGAGGGGAGAGATCACATTTCCCCTTTCAAAGCGAGCGTGGTATTATGATATCCAAATCAAATTCTGATCGGTTCCGTCAACAATATGCATCAGATAGCCGAAATGAGCAGCCGTCAGTATCTCAACGCACAATGTTTTTGGCATATCTCCATTATCTGATCAGCCAGCGCTTATACTCAATAATAAAGGGAACAAGAGAATGTGGAGAAGGATAGCGCCAGGCGGGGAATCTTCGATGGTGCTGGTTATAGATCCCGAAGCATGCCAGCTCACAGAGAACCCCATGATTCATATGCCGTTTTTCATCGGGATACCCCCGCAAATGGTTGGAAACGTCATTCATCCATTTGATTTGATAGAAAAAGACGAACCGCCAATATTAACCAATAATGGAACCCTTCCGGCCGTTGCTTATGGCAATGCAGCTTTCGATACCAATATGAAAGGCAGAAGCAGTACTGGCTCGTAAAAGTTTGGGAAGACTGTTGAAGCAAGCGGAACACGTCGGAGGGCACATCGTACTCAAGATGGACGAGGTTCTTCCTCTGAAGAAATCGATGATGATGCGAGTTAAAGATCCGAAGGTCACTCGTCTTTGCTTTTTTCCCTCCCAGTTGCTCCTGCTATGGAGGAGAAAGAGTCTACTAAGAGTCCACGAACCGGCAGAAGGATGCTTTACCCTTTCCTGCGCCCTCAAGTGCGAGACTTGCTGCAAGATCTGGCATCAGGACATGATCGCAAGTCGAAAATACGAAGCGTCGCTTTTGCGGGCTTCAAGGGACAAGTCAGGCGTACGGTCTTTACCCGTGAAGATGGTGAATCTGCTGATGAAGAAGACAACGAACAAATTCTTCCCTTCCCCCCAGATAATCCAACATCTTTGGTCAAATATACACGACGGAATTCCCTTTTTTGGCCACGTGGTTTTGGGGCCTTTAATTTTCCCGCAGTCTGAACGATCACCAGAGTTGTTTTTGGAAATTTGGGATCTTCCTTTTTAAGCGATTATGCCATCATGAGCAGAATAATAGACAAATCAAAATTTTGGCTTGTGCCGATTACATAGTTGCCTTAGAAATCCATGTGATGCAGAAACTGAAAAACCGTCATTGCAACACCATCCAATTACCTTAACGAAGGGTGAATCACGTGTTAGTATTCGATTCGTGGATTCCGCAGCCTGTTTTTGGTTGGCCCGGTTTCGCCACCAGTATTTTGGCGGCCTCTAGTTCTGGAGGAAACGAGTCTCGTTTCATAAAATGAAAGGGCCGTTTCAGGGGACCCTTGATACGGTTCCTTGGTTATGTAGCTTTTACCTACGTAGCAACGCGTGTGGGTTTAAGTGAAGTATGTCATTTTTTGTGAATCGAAAGTAGGCATCTGGCAAAATTAGAGTTTTGGTATTATTTGCTGTTTTTTCGGGTGGATGTTGGTTACACAACTATCATCGATCAGCTGGAAAGACCATTTCCTATTTGTTGACTGTCTTGTTTTTTTCGCCTTTTGTCTCGTTTGTCTCCTGGTGGCCAAAGGCATGGGACTATTGCATCAAGAAAAGAAGACAAGGAGAAAAAGGAGCCATTGAATGATGGATGATGCATTATCAGACATGACTTTGTATTTTCAAGTCAATATCCTGTGTTCTCTGGAACAAAAAGGTGTTCATATCCGACCGCAAAAATAGCGATGACGCAAGAATACAAAAAAGGGCGAGTGGGTTTGAGTGGACCCGTTTCTTTTTTCTTTTCCCGTCCCGTTCCTCGCTTCGATTGCAATTTCGTTGTTTGTTCTATGACTCAGCGCGTTAGCAAGCAGACCACCGAATGTACCCCAGCCCCTGGCTCGGATATTCCGAAGCCTCGCCATTTCTCAATGGTTCGGTAGGCTCATGTTTTATTTTTTTGTTGTTGTTTTTTTTGGAACCGATTGCTTGGCAGATCAAAAGAATCAAACTGACTTTGAAGTGGTGAATAGTAATTTCTACTTGGCCGATTTGATTACCTTGATGAATGGAGTGTGTGGTGTCATGTCCGTATTCAGTTCCATGCGGTATTTGCTCTCAAACGATATCTCGGACTTGCGTCGGGCATCGATATTGATGCCTCTCGGCATGCTTTTGGATTTCATGGACGGCCGCGTGGCTCGTTGGCGAAAAAATTCTTCCCTGCTTGGACAGGAACTCGATAGTTTGGCCGATTTGGTAAGAATCAAAAGAACTATTGGGTGGTTTTACCAATGATCGCGTGTATCGGTTCGCTAAAGACTACTTTTTTTTTTCGCTTGGGCTCGGTAGATCTCGTTTGGTATGGCACCGGCGTCATATGCATTTGCAGGTAAGCTGATCGTTTGTGTGATCGTGCCAATTCTTCTTGGCGATCAGCGGACTCAAAAGGAGGAGAAAAGAAGCCGGCGAGGATAATAGGTGACTAAATCGATGATATTGGTTGTTGTTGTTCGTTAGTGGGTATGCGCACGGAAATTGACATTACAGTATTGACCTACTTTGTCTGCTGTGGCATTGCTCGTTTGGCAAGATACAATGCAACGGTTGCCTTGGCGCCCAAGGATGAGACAGGCAAAGTAGCGTATTTCGAAGGCACCCCGATTCCCACATCATTAGCACTAGTAGGACTGCTATCGTACTTTGTAGCCAACAATCGATATTTGGACGCACTGCCGTTTGGTACCGCCACCCTCGGCGGTTGGAGCTGGCATCCTCTGGTGTTGGTGTATGCATGCAGTGGTACAATGATGATCAGCAAGACTTTGCGTATTCCCAAGCCTTAAAATATCTGCAAAGCTAGATTCTCCCCCCTATTTTTCTTCTTTCTTTTCCTTCTTAACTTTGCATTGACTGGATCCAGGAAGCATCAACGATTAGCCGCTAATCGATTGGAACGAAAAATTGAAGTGCAAAGATATTAATCATCCTATATAAAAAAGAGCAAGCATAAAAGAAACCGAGATGGCCAGTAACTGGTATACAAGAAATGTATATAGTTGTATTGTATGATTTGGAGAAACAAGTTTTTAGAACAAGGTGTCTTTTGTTCAGCTTATGTGACACGGGGGGAGGGAAATGGTTGAACAAAAAAAAAAGAAGAGTTGAAGTTGAATCCTAGAAATTTGCATGCAGAGAATGTATGATAATGCTGGTCAGACTGATGATGAAGAATCAAATATTATGCCGGAACGCGACGTCGTTTAACTGACAGTTCGTCCTCATCGTCCAATTCATCGACGTCTTCATCGATTTCGTCCAGTTCGCTGTCATCTTCATGTCGACGTTTCTTTACTGGAAGATCTTCAGAACCAGGTTCCAGCAGTTCAGATCGTGCATCCTCCTCCTCCTCCTCTTCCTCATCATCATCATCTCCTTCTTGTTCATCATCGACATCTTCTTGAAATACTTCAAGTCTATCTGTCTCGTCGTGATCCTGGTCATGGTCATCATTTGTCATACTGAAATCGCCACCCTCCACTTCGTCGTCTTCTTCATCGTTGTCGATATTATTATCATTATCGTCGTCTTCTTCATCAACATTATCATCAAGGTCTTCTTCTAGACTTTCATCTTCCGCAGCAATATCCTCCTCATCCTGTTCATCATTATCGTCGTCTTCGTTTTCATCTTCGCCGTCAAGATCTTCCTCGTCTCCTTCATCTTCGCCGTCCTCTGCGTCTTCCTCTTCATCCTCCTCACCTTCGTCTTCGTCTTCGTCTTCATCATCATCCTCGCCGTCACTATTAGCCAAATCTTCTTCATCGTCTTCGACAGTAGACTGAACTGTATCCAAAAGATTCCTCAGACTAATTTTGCAATAAGGCTCGGTGACTTGAGGTGATTTCCATAAAGAAACTGGGATAACATCAATACGTGGGTATTCTTTGCCAAAGATTTTGCTGACTGATGTCGACAGATCGGTGAATCGATCTTCATATGTAGTGCGCAATGTCTCGACACGTTTGCAGACGTCTACGAGCCGTTTTCGTTGTTCGACGCTCGCTTCCTGTGTCCATACTTTGGCGTAGTTGTTGGCATATACTGTAAGTTCTACAAATGCGGCTGCATAGGCTTGTTCTTTATCTGCGAATCTATAGATCATTCCAGGATGAGCGTGATTCTCGTTATAGTTCCCAGGAGAAAAGGCACTTACACTCGTAATGATTGAGACTTGCCGGATGGATCGTTCATGTCATATATCCGTACAATAGAGTAGACATTCCCCGTTGTAAACAGGGAGGTCGAAGACGTTTCCGGATGATTATTGTCCATGTCTTTCGCCATTCTTTATTTCTATTTTTTTCTTTCCTCTCAAAGCGGTGTGGAGTGTGCGGCCCAACGCGTAGGAAACTCGTGGAAAAAAAAATGGAAGAGCGCTGACATTGAAAATTGCATCAGCGCCATCTTTCAAGCTTCTGATGGCTTTACTTCCAATGAGCTCTGCAAGTATTGACAATGGAACACCTCATTCTATTGAAAAAGTACCTTTAACAGAATTGTTATATTTGCGTCAGTTAATTGATAACCGTAACTGGGTACTTCAACTACCACGAACTGCGCGACAGTCAACGTCACACTGGCTACCATCCAGTGGAGTAGGATGGCCACTTCTTACTATTTTATGAGCCAACAAATCATCTTTTTGTAGTCAACTTGTCGTTCACGGTATTAATCTTTTTATTGAATACGCAACAATAACACGCTTCTTTATTTTTCCAATAGTATGACCAAGAATATGCATTGCAAACTTGGCACTTGTACCCGTATCGTAGTTACAGGCGAACATAACATAATTGACCTCCACTTATTCTTATCATTCTTACTTTGCAACTTTGTATTGGTATTCTTTCCTTTGAAGTTCTATATATCTTTTTGTATGGCATATATATATATATCTAGGAGATGGTAATAGTCAAGTACAGCAATTCTCCAAAAAAAAAAAAAAGATCTGAGAGCCATTTCGTAACTTGTTGCTTAGCTGTGTTGTTGTGAAGAGAAATTCTTGTCCTGAATATCATGTAGTATATGAGAGCCAAGCTGCACATGAAACGAACCAAATATATGCTCCTTAATTCTTTATTGTGGAACGGCAAGGCCCTGTTATGGATTCTATAGATTGCTTGGTTCGCTTCATTTATGAGTCGAACGACTCCAGGAAATCCACTCAGACTTACAAAGACTATTTTCCGCTTTCATTCATCAATGAATCCAAGGTGCTACTTGGAAACCCTTAATATTGGGTGATCGGCAGTGGTCCATCGCTAGTTTTACAATCCTTTTTGTCTAACTTTGCCATAGTGATATCATTTTTCATTCGCAGGCTATTCTTTGTATACCTCTTCATTCTGTGCATTAAAGCAAAATGTATGAAATGGGTCTTATTTCAACCGGCGCACTGATAATGAAAAAATGTTTTTCTTTTGTTGGCTTGCCTTATCCCTCCCTCAAATAAATCACCGTCGTTCCTTTTAGCTGATGCCATGACAGGCAAGGCAGCTACGCTAATCAAGCCATATCTTAAAAAACTTGTATTGCAAGTTCATCCCGACTTTTTTCACCATGACGCCGTAAAAAAAGCCACCAATGCGCAATCCTTGCAGCGATTGTATGGTGCCTTGAATCCTATCCTGAAACCGACTTCAGCCTCCCCATCCAAACAAGACGCATGTCGCCTGGAATTCTACAGCAAGTCTAAAAAACACGTTAAAGGCGATTTCAATGCTTCACTGTCCGAGTGGTTAACTGTGCGATCGTTCTTTAATCTATGCCACGAGATTGGTGTCGACATTCTGCCTTCAGACAAGGATATCGTGGAATCTATGGTTGCTCAGTCCACCAAGACCAAGAAACAAAAAAGCCTGTCCGAGGAGTTTGCAGAAGCGCTGTATCAACAGTCAGGTGTTCCCACGGAGTGGACGGCTAAACATATCCTGCAAAACCGCCTTCTCATGTTTGATCCCGCCGTGGATCAGCATACAGTGGCTGAACGACTCAGCCAATGGCTTCCCGAGTTGAAACCGCACTTGTGGTGGAATAAATTGCCGGTATTATTTATTGCTTCTCGTGATACATTACCGCCGAGCCCGCTTACGAAGGGCGTTCTCGTGTTTACGGCCGATATGCAATGCGCAGGTAATGTGTGACGGCAAACTGCACGGTTTTCGGATGTGTTAATGCAGAGCCCTCTTTCCATGTGCTTTTATTAGACATGGCGCAGTATCTGAAAACAAATCTTAGCAACAAACAACAAGAATATCAACAGATGATGCACAACCCAAAGCGCAGACAAACACACTGAAATTTCAACATCAACCGTTCGTTCATTGTTGGTCATTCATCGCCCCCACCGCCATTTTGTTAATATAAAGGTCCCCCTTTTTTTTCCTTCCTCGACTCGACTTTTCTTCGATTCATCTATTGCATATACCCTCCCGCATTTTCTCCACTGAACAATAAATTTTTTCTCTACCATGACTGTTGGCTTTGACGAAGAACTTCCCCAGGACGTCTATGATTTCAACGAAATCCGCAAGAAGTTGTCTTACCAGAAGACCGGCATTGCTTCTGAACTGAAACCGGCCCCCGTCGTGCAACATCTTCCTTCCTTTGATGCTCAAGGCAAGCCTTGTTTCAAGCCGTATGTTGGGTCTGGAAAATTGGAAGGCAAGTATGCGTTGATTACCGGTGCCGACAGTGGGATTGGCCGATCCATCGCTACTCTTTATGCCTTGGAAGGTGTGGCCGGTATCACCATTGTGTATCGTGATGAACGAGAAGATGCCGATGCCTTGTACACCAAGAATACGATCGAAGCTCAAAGCAAGTGCAAGATCAATCTCATTGCTCGCGATATTGGTTACGAGAAGAACTGCCAAGAAATTCTCGATTCTCACATGCAAGCATTTGGTCGCATCGATATTTTGGTGAACAACGCTGCAGAACAACACAAGGTTTTGAGAGTCGAAGATCTCGATTGTGCCACTGTTGAACGTACATTCCGAACCAACGGTAAGTTCATAGCTATCCCCAATCCCTGCTCTGCTCTATCTAGAGGATGTATGGACTAAACCACCCCTTTGCTTATCTTAGTCTTTGGACCGATCTTCATGACCAAGCTTGTTTGCCAGCATTTAGTGGCCGGAGGAGTGATTTTGAACACGGCTTCGATTGCTGCTTATCGTGGTATGGATCTGCTGGTTGATTATTCTGCTACCAAGGGTGCCGTGGTGTCATTCACTCGAGCCTTGTCGCAGCAATTGGCTCCTCGCCGCATCCGTGTCAATGCTGTTGCACCGTAAGTTCATTGCTACATGATTCAGCCAGCGACAGGTCTTAACCATATTCATTCTCATTAGTGGCCCTGTATGGACGCCTTTGATTCCCAACACCTTTTCCGAGGAAGAAATTCACAATTTCGGTTCTTTCCCGCCCTTCAAGCGTCCTGCTCAGCCCGCCGAAGTAGCTGCTGCCTTTGTGTTCTTGGCTTCCGACAGCGCATCATTCATCACGGGCCAGGTCATCCATCCCAACGGAGGCACCGTCATCAATGCATAAGCCATTCCCATTGTTGTATTTTTTCATTATTCAATAAATGTCAGAGTATCGCCCTTTGTTTTCCTTCACCTGTTGAAAGTCAAAATGACCCTCGCATCTTGCTGCATGTTCAATGCTTGTTTCATTGTTACACTTTATGCGTCTATAGAAGTTTATTTTTCCTTTAACAGCATGAGGCCGACGGAAAATTCTCTAATGGGCAGACCATTTGCATATAGTCATTTCTTTTTCATCAGACCTGAATCGTCTGTTGTGCATTTTTTCTCAACGGAAACCGTAAAAACATTTGACCAATTCGTCGACATCATCTCTCTCCGCGACATAACATGGAAAAAAAAGGAAGATATTTTATTTCTGGCTGCCATGACTATAGACTGATTTGGTGTGACCTGGATCGTCCCATGCCAAAAAACTTGCGTTAGAAACTGAATTACGTAACGCCGTTACGCACGAGTTGAAAACAATGTGATTCTCTGTCCCCTTTGATGAGATAAGCAATTGTGATGATGCCCAAAGAATTTCAGAGCCCCATTCAATTACAGTGCAGCCATAATCTCTATGGTAGATGGACGCGCACAGACTTGCAGGTCACTTTTTTTTTTTTTTTTTTTGCTTCGGATAGGTTTTCAACCGATAAAAGAAGTACAGGGCAACACACCTTTTTCGAGTTTGATTGCTCGCCGAAGAAGCTATCTTGATCGCGGCCGTCTTGTTCGAACCGGCCTTGTTCATGTTAATTGGTTGAGGTGCAGTCACAGGTGCTTGGACTGATCCGTGTAAATTCGAAATTGAAAGAATCCGTACGGGGTCTGTTTTTTCGACACCATATGAAGCGCCACCTTAGGCCCCATAGCGATCCCACCGTTGTTGATTTCGCTAACCACCTACTGTATGGAAAAATATCATACGGATCCCGCCATCAGAGTCTCCTATTGGATCAATTATAATGGCCGTTAACGCCGTCTGTAGTATGGTACCGTATCAGTTCTCTTCATCAGACCACATTTGCGAAAGGGCCAGAGGGTCGCAAACATTGTTCAGCCGTCCAACAACCGTTTTCCTTATCAACAAATAGTGTAAATTGGGGGCTCAGTAACGAGGCAACTGAAGTTCGACCCCCTTTGCCATGTCGTACGTAACGCGATCATAAAATAGTTCCAATGTTATCTAAGACCAACTATGCAACTTCACTTGTATTTCAGATCTGTTCATACAACACTGCAAGTGAGTGATTTACATAAAGAGACAAACTTAGTACAATAGACTACAATTACAAATAGACTATACTAGAGCACCGCGTAGAAAGGCACTTGGAACCAGTGGGATTTCCTGGCAACCAGAGAGAAGGAACCATGGCAAAGATTAAAGACAGACAGCGGCGGAGGATGATGGATGACAAACAAAAATGACAAGCGAAAAAAAGAAAAATAGACTACTCACCCTTTGACAGCAACCGCGTCGAATTTGTCTGTTCACTAAAAGGTCAGCCCCACCCACACCCACACCTTCCTCTCCACTTCGTCTCACCTCACCTCATCCCACCATCTCCACCGCCCATTTCCCATCTCCTATTTCCAGCATTTCCATTTTTTTTTCCATTTTCCTCTTCCTTTGTCGGCCAACTTTTTTTCCCTGGCGCTCTTTTTTTTTATACTGCAGTTTCTTTTAATTTTCCTTTTTTTGTGTCCTTTTTTTATGTCTTTTTATTATTTCCCCTTCCCACTTTTTTCCGCCTGGCCTTTTTTTCTTGCAGTGTTTTTTTTTTTCTTTTTTTTAACCCATCCATTTCACCTACCTTACTTCACTTAACTTGCATCGAAGCTGCCTGACATTGCTGTACCAACACTGCAAAAGAGAGTTAGCTGCTGACCTACTATAAAAACAGAGAAAGATCAAGTCAGTAAAAAGGATGCTCCGTAACCAATTTAGCAATAAAACATCGCTGTTAGTGCTTGTCATCCATCATCCTTCGAGTGGAAGCTAAAAGAAAGAAGAAAGGGTGACGCATCATATTAGTAGCTTATCGGATGAGTTGTTGAGAGATCAGAAGTGGTAAAAGGAGTAAAAAGAAGAGGAAGAAGAACAAAGAAAACAAAAAAAACGACGCCCTTTTTCGTTTTATCATTCATCGTTATCCGTCGTCGTTTGAAAATAATTTTTCACATAAAGTTTGCTTCTGTTCATTTCATTGGATTGAATCCATCATTAGCATCATGTCGACAGTATTCATGCCTCTTTTTACAACGAATAGCCCTAATTTGACTACCGTCGTTTTTTGATCAGGGTCCTCGGTTACCAAAAAAGGCATGTCTAGCAAAACCAATCTTTCTAACGAGTTTCCATCTCGATAAAAAAAAAAGACGCGGAAAGTGGTGAATCCACCATTATTCTGGGCAAGGGAAACGATGGTGCGTTAAAAGTAAAGTGTCAATATTTAAAGAAGCTCTGCAAATGGAGTAACAGGGTCCGTGCGTAAAAATAAACTTGGATTGATGGGCGGACATCCAAAAAAAGGGTCAGCAATATCCCGCAGCATAGCGGGTGCCATCCGGCGCGAATGAATCAAACCTGAATTTGCTATGATACTCCAGCAAGCTTCTCTATGACAACATACACAAAACTTCATCCGTCTGTTATGTTGACAGGCAGTGATATACATCAACAGCGAACTAGCACTATTATAAAAAAAAAAAAAGGGAAGTGCCATAAGCTGGAAATATTATTCTCACGTCATTTATGCAGAATGTCCACAAGTGGCGCCATTCACGGAGCCTCTTTTATCTTTGTTTTATCGGAGCCAACTTTATTTTACGCATGGACCTGGCCACTTCATTTTCCATGACTTTTTTAAACTGACGCTTTACTGTTTTGACACCGCCGTTTCCCTTAGCCGAAATAATGGTGGATTCACCGCTTTCCGCGTCTTTTTTTTTTATCGAGATGGAAACTCGTTAGAAAGATTGATTTTGCTAGACATGCCTTTTTTGGTAACCGAGGACCCTGATCAAAAAACGACGGTAGTCAAATTAGGGCTATTCGTTGTAAAAAGAGGCATGAATACTGTCGACATGATGCTAATGATGGATTCAATCCAATGAAATGAACAGAAGCAAACTTTATGTGAAAAATTATTTTCAAACGACGACGGATAACGATGAATGATAAAACGAAAAAGGGCGTCGTTTTTTTTTTGTTTTCTTTGTTCTTCTTCCTCTTCTTTTTACTCCTTTTACCACTTCTGATCTCTCAACAACTCATCCGATAAGCTACTAATATGATGCGTCACCCTTTCTTCTTTCTTTTAGCTTCCACTCGAAGGATGATGGATGACAAGCACTAACAGCGATGTTTTATTGCTAAATTGGTTACGGAGCATCCTTTTTACTGACTTGATCTTTCTCTGTTTTTATAGTAGGTCAGCAGCTAACTCTCTTTTGCAGTGTTGGTACAGCAATGTCAGGCAGCTTCGATGCAAGTTAAGTGAAGTAAGGTAGGTGAATGGGTGGGTTAAGAAAGGCGGAAAAAAGGTGGGAAGGGAAAAAAAAAAAAAGACACGAAAACTGCGGTATAAAAAAAAGACCTCCAGGGGAAGAGGAAAATGGAAAAATGCAAAATAAGGGAAATGAGGATGGGTTGAGGTGAGGTGAAGTGAGGTGAGATGAAGTGAGGTGAGATGAGATGAGGTGAGGTGAGCTGTAGGTTGGGGTGGGTGGCTCACCGTTTTGTAGATAGACGCATAAGAACGCAAGATATTTAATCAATTATACGGTCCTGTCGAGCAGTCTGGGCAAAGGTTCGTTGGATCGTTTTTTCTACAGCTACGTATTGATGATTTGTAGTGCTAGAGATGAGGATTCCGCTAACGATGTTCACGAAAGCAATGTAACTGAAAGCCAGCCGCTGGAGACACGTAGTAAGCCTTTGTCAGATCAGCACGGTGATTACGACGATTATGGCTTTGACTGACAATGAAAACGCAAGCTCGCTAAGTTCTCCTGACGGCTCCGACACGCCTATGGAGGACAATTCTGAGCAGACCAGCAAATCGCTATTTGTCGAATCGGTAATCAAACGTGGCCTTTCGAGGGAAGGTCTCAACTCTGTCGTCAAAATCATGAACCGCTATACGAAAGGTGTCCTGGAGCCGTTACATAGTTACGAAAAAGCAAAGAAGTAGACGAATACCCGATCCAGGCAACTGCGTATCATGTCTGTCGAAGCGGTTGCAAGATGTTCCAGCGATTGGAGAAGTCATAAATTTGCAAGTATTGCAAAATACCAAGATATATCACGAAGAAACGCAAGCGGGATGGATCGTTGAAGAAGGAACCATACGCAATCGTTCAGTAGTTATCGCTGAAAAGTCAGCTTGAACTGCTGATCTACGATCAAGCAACACGAAACGAATTATTGTATAGATCAACAGGACAAACGTCTGATGAAGGCTTGTTTGAAGACATATTCGATGGTAGCGTGTACATGATGCACGGAGACGGCTTGTTCGAAGACGAGCTGGATATCGCGCTGGCATTTTACACAGACGGCTTCACAGCAAAAGGCAAACAGATGACCATCTTACACCTCAGGTCCGCTCCTGTGGATGTTCCTCCTGCTTCCCCTGCTCCCAAGGGACCTACCTTCATCCAAGGTACTGCTGCGTCTCAGCACGCAAACGTCGAGGCTGTTCTGAAAACGAACATCAGCCATTACCGACAAAAACTGGACAAGTTGGTTCTCCAATATGGAGTTGTCATCACCACTGCACGTCCAAACGTCTTGAAAGATATCATGACGGGATATCCAACGCACCAAGACTGTCCTAGCCAAGTTTGTCGACTTGCAAAACCAGGTTTATAGTACCTCCCCTGTTCCTACTGTCCTCGTTGCTCCGTGACATACCTGCTTTCCAGATCCAAGGTTCGACCATCTGGCGAGCCAACCATGAGGTCTTTGAATCTGTGCAGCATTTCCTACAAACCTTTGCCAAGATCCTTGCGTCTATGGATGTAAAAGTTGATCTGATCATGGGGCTCATCATGAATTTCCATCGATCCTTCACTATGAGAATCGCAATATGCTCCAAGCTTGTGTTTTGCCTGGCCCCCGAACGCCCAAGAACTTGTTCAGTTTTTGAAGCCGATGCTGAAAGAATCGAAGGGTTTACAGCAAGACATACCGATGGAAGTTGAAGGTGACGATGGCAAAGTGTATACCGCAAGGGCACATCTGATACTGGCAACTGGCGATATACCCGCAGTAGCAACAATGATGCACCATCCTGGACATCAATCGAAATATGGATAAGCAACGAAATCTTTAGAAAAAAGGATGCTAGGAAAGAAAAGATCGATGACGAAATAATAAAAAATGTTTAGGTTGCTATAGCTTCACGTGAATAAAGCACTACTACTGTTTGTATCATCATGTCAATACTCATTATCATTCCATCCTCTCGAATACTATGCTTTAAACCTTTACCTTCATAGTACGGCGTATCTATGGCATTTCTATGGCAAATCTACGGCACTTCTATGGTCGAAGACTATTCCCGTTCTACAGTAAACCTACGACAGAATCTACAGCAAACCTTTATAGATGAAGTCTACAAAATGGTCCAAATGCGGAGATTTGCGGTGAATTAGATGAGCAGAGATTTGCATAGCAGCATAACCCGCAGTGGACGCCATTAGAAGGTTTGTTTGGGAATATGAAACGCGCTGGGCTTTTAACGCAAAGAATGGGGGCGCAAATAGTTTATTCGAATGTCCTACTGAAGTATTCAATGATTTGTTGAGTAAAAACTGCCTGAATCATCAAACTCTGGCCCATCAAAAGTACGAAAAGTACGTTCTTTGCAGTTCTTGGCCCATGTATTAAGATTCTTTCATGAAAGTACCCAGCTCTCTTTGTGCTACTGTGTTATAAATTTCATTTTTTTTCTGAGAATGCATCAACATTACAAACGCAACAGTCGCTTGCAACTGGCTTCCATGCATACAACACATGGTTATTAATTTATACTTGGCCTGGTCTCTTGGGTAACTTAGAATTATTGGAACGGAAAAACGCGTATATCCAAAAGTAAAAAAGAAAAAGACATTATGCAGATGGTGTCTGTCCCTGATAAAACAGCACCGCTCTGTGATAAAGCAGTCACGCGCGTGACATTTCGGGCGCGCATGCATTTGAAATGGTTCCTTTCATTCATCGCACTGAAGGACATGGACAATCAAAGTAAGAAGATGCCAGAATCACAGGAATTGTCAGCATGACAAGTGCTAAGAAACTTCAGAGTCGATTTTGTCCGCATACGTCGAGGGCGACACGGAAACGATCGATACTTCGTTTGGATTTCGGCTACAGCAAGTGTTTCTTGAGGATACTGCTACAGACGTACGCGGCTAACATTGTGCTGTGATCTAGATGTCGCAACATATCCGAAGCAAATATGAATCATAAACTTTCTGGCTTGGATCATATTGCACTTCATCAACTGGACAAACATCTTGCGCAGTGGCGGTCAATTCGCGTCGGTGCGCGACCGTCTGATAACTGGGCAACCACAGGCATTGTTGATCGCGTGCATCATAAAGCGGATTTTTGCGTCGCTCGATTAACCAATATGCGCGGAACCGATTTTCATCTATTTGTCTTTGGACGGGCCTTTAAGAAATATCAAAGCGACATTGCCATCGGTGCAGTCGTCACTGTCCTCAAACCCACCATTTTAATGCCTCAGGAGGTAAGTCTAGCGTGAGCTGTGTATAAATATACTATGGCTGTGCATGGATGGGTGGGTGAAATATTAACGAACTGATATATAGGTAGGCGTTGCTGCGGCGTTACATGCAAATGAAGTGAGACAAATTTGTGTGCTTGGACAAAGTCTGGATATGGGTCGATGCGAAGCATTGGTACAGAAGGATAAGCAGTGTGAGGCAATGATTGACAGGTATGACTATTTGGCCAAATTGGAAATGAGACTTTTCTGACTGATATTACTAGACGCATGGGCGATCTTTGTGAGCGACACATCACGAAAGCGTACAACATGTCGAAAAATGGCCGCATGGAACTCGCTTCGGGGTAAGTAATGGGTCACCATCGTGAATATGAACCTCGCTGACAGCTGGGAATCGGCAGAAATACCGGGTTGGATGTACGATGGGCTCAGGCGACAGAGCATGGTATTTCGGCAACACAATCGGCTGCGCGACGATCGAAAGAAGAAACCTATGTGATCAAAGGCAGAGGCGCCGTGACAACAGACGGGCGAGAATTGAAAGCTCGACCACAGATCAATAAAATGAAGAATGAGAAAGAACGATCCGCTCTGAGGTAAACGTTTGAATGTGTAAGAAGAGGAGGATCATCGTATTGAATTTTGCATTACAGCGATTTCCTCAAAGGACGAACTGATCCTGGGGCAGTCATGATCAGAAAATCGTGGGGTATACAAGAAGAAGAAAAAAGTAAGTTAAAATAATGAATAAGAGAAACAAAAACGCTTATCGTTTATCTTTCTCCAAGATCCCATTTTATCCAGAGATGCTATCATGAAACTTGGGCTGAAGCGACCACAAACCAGCGAAGAGGCGGCAGCAAAGGTAAAATTGCGGTCAGACGTCAAATGACCTACATCCTGATCATTCATATTTGCTTTAGAAACGATCAATGACCGAACTGAATCAACTGCTCCGTTCAAAAAATGCTAAAGCTACCACGGCAAGTCAAAAGAAGGAGAAGCAAGAGAAGCGCTATATCGAATTGTAAACTTGAGTATCCCTGCCACCATTCTTTCATTGAAAAACATCAAATGTACATAGAAACATCCATTTTACACCATCCATATTATTGATTCCTCAAGTATATTGTGTTTACTGTATCTCACTTTTTTGTCGTATTGAAGTCAACTATAGCTAACTAGCTGCGTTTGCCATTTCCTTGACTGGTCCAGGAAGTTGGTAATTTCGGTGCAGGTAAACCCATGCCAGCTAAATTGATAAACTCAGAATTTTCCAATGCGAGGAAAGTGACGGAAAATCCAGAGACTATGCTTTCAACAGGGTCTACTGTTTTTGCTGTAGATAGAACACTGGGGTACGAGAAAAAATTTTAATTTCTGCACGGTACGCAAAAATAACCGCAGCCTCGGACAAAGGACATGACATATCTCACTGGTTCCTTGTTCATTAAACAAGAGAAGATGCTGCGTTCATAATGATGAATCGCGAGGGTGAGCAGGATTTCATTCTAACAGATGAGGACGGCGAGCCAATGGGGAGTGGCATTGTTCAATGTCGGTTCAAAAGCCAATCCGTTCAAAAATTCCCTGCAATGCTGTGTCAACATTCTTCTTGATCCGCCCCATAATCTTTTTTTTCTTATTTACTGTTTCTCCTCTTGTTACTTGTTTTCCACCAATTTACTGCTCTATTGTTTTCAAACCTTTCATCATTGATTCTTTCCAAAGCACAGATCCATTTATCCAAGAACAACAGGTCTTAGCATCTTCCTTACTTGCGGCGATCACGTCATGCACACTACTCGTCGAAGTAATACGGTGCCTACGTCGCTTGGCAATAAGATCGCACCGGAGGATTCGCAAAAGACAAGGTTTTTGCCCATACCGGAACATTTGCTTCCAGGCGTCCGCGCCCTGTTGCCCAAGATCGATGATCTGTTGAACCAAGAGCAGCAATCCGATGAAAATGTTTCGGAAGCGGCGCAATACTTCCGCCAACATCTCTCTTCTTGGATCGTCGCATGCACTAATGCCACTTTGGCCAAAAAATCGAGCCCTTTACCGACGCGATCGCAAACTTCGCGGTGGGGTTCGATTCTCAGGAGAAAAAACAAGCACATTGTCCCGCTGCAGATCGCTGCCATAACCAACAAACCGGAAAATATTTCCGACTGTCAATATTTGGACCGCAGTACAGAAAGCATCTTGGAGCACGGTGTTTCGACTGGTTCACATTCAGTATCCAGTTCCCCTGAATCCGTGAAACCGCCTCGACGGAATATCTCCGGGATCATCTTCAGCCTTGGCAACAAAGTCCGCAATATTATAAAGCGAATTCCTAGTAACCCTCAGCACCGCAACCTCCTCGGCAACCATGACACCTCACCCTCACCTCATCCTTCCCATACCACGGTGCCAGAGACTTCGCAGGTGGATTCTACTTTCAGCAGCGCTCGTCCAGCCAAAACTTTAGCGGACGGCACCGTCAATCCTCAGATGTCACGCAGCGAGCAAGTGTTGTTCCTTGGAACGAATCATGATCGACTTTCGAATAACGGGTTTTCAGTGGTGCAGCAAGATGCATCGTACCCATATGAAGGCACGCGCTCCGTTTCTGACGTCAGTGATTCGGCTACACCTGAATCGATCGAAACGACGTCTGATTATCCGTTGGAAGACATCGATTTGGATGACGAGGGACCTTATTATCCCAATGCGCTGAATCTGAGAACAGAGTTTGACACGGGGATAGTGTACACCTTGCCGCTCTGGAAACCCAATCATGCAGAAAAAAGCTTTCTAGATGCGCCCCAGATACCCGCTCAGAATAAACGTGTCAAGTTCAGCAAGACCGAAACTCATTTGGCACACGAGAATTCGGTACCTTACATCAAGAAAAATATGGGAAGAAAAGAACCGGCGGTAGAAGAAAACCAATTCCACCCGCGATCCATTTCACTGACGCCGCTGTCTCCTTTATGGGAATCGCAGCTCGATACGGAGCAACAACGTTATGAGAATGCATCATTCGTGTTGAAAAGGTACGAAAGAGCACTGTATTAATTAAGGTGCTGCTTTATTTGGTGAAATCAATTGACTTACATTGGCATAAAGTGTGGCAGAAGCGATCCATGGCCTCATTTTTGAAAGTCACACTCAAGGCTTTTTCAAATCCGATCCCGCATTTACAGCTCATCCTTGCTTATGCGATGACGATCCGGATACTTCTAGCCTGCTCTACAATTACCTTCCTACCACCCACTGGGAAGAGATATACGATCAAATGGCCTATATCATTGAATGCAGTTCGGTAATATCATTCTTCTCTTTTTATGATGATCAGGGAAACGTGATCAGCCACTAACGTTTTAGTTTGTATATCCGCAGACATCGGTGGAGCATGCCATTATTATGCTTATCTATATCGAGCGTATGCTGACCACTTCTCAGCAGCATATTTGTGATGCAAACTGGCGATACATCCTGTTAGCTGGCATGCTGGTGACCGTCAAAGTGTGGGATGACTGCGCAGTCTATAATTCAGATTTCTTGAACATGTATCCGGAAATGGACAGGGACTTGATGTAAGTACATGAATCTGTGATACAGAATCCGATATCTCTGGTGCTAACTGTGTTTAGGAACCTGTTGGAGTGGAAATTCTTGCATTTGATCGATTGGGATGTCTCTGTGTCCTACTCATTGTTTGCTTCTACTTACTTTGAGTTGCGAGATGCCACCATGGTTAATAGCTAAGCGCGGCTGGCCCGTAACTAAGTATTTTCCTGTTCTTGATTCATGGTTGATTTTCATTTATTTTACCTGCTTTTATTCAAAATGTATATAATCCATATCGTTTTTTTTTCTAACATGCTATCCTTGATAAACTCCTTAATTACGGTAAAGTTTGCCAGTGGACTACGAGAATGATGGGCACAAGTGCAAAAGAGACTCATAGCAGAAGAATGGGTTTGAAACCGGCGCTTGAATATACTTCGTCCTTCGTGAGAAAGACTCGCAATGTTGACTTTTTGGCGTTGCCGAATAATTTGCATTTCGGAGCTGCAAAAAAGATGCCTATCAGAGCTCGTTTGCTTGGAATGAGGTGGCATCGTTTTATGTTATTCAATATTTTACTACTGCCCTATCTGCTTTAAACCGTAGGAGGCGAATCTGACACTCCATTCGGCTTCTTTTATGTTCGATTCCGAAATTAAGCTTTGGATGATCGTTGTCTGAGTTTTCATTGAGGTCTCAGTGCTTGGCAGTACAGCGGTGTTTTTTTTTTTTTTCATGGATGCCTGCCCCTGGGCCCGAATCAACAAAAGCAGTCCAAAATCAGACTCCGATGTTGTGTGCCTTCCCTTCCCTGGGCATGATTTGTCTTCTCAAGGCCTTATTCATGAGTACGATATAAAATGAAAGTCATTTATTGTATTCTATGAGTACAGGAAAGTTCTATGAAGTTATTTACAGGGGATGCATGTTTGAACATGGCGAAGTAGAATGCATGTGGGGAAAATATGATACAGGGAGAGTGGATGGACGGACAAAAACAGGTTTACAATCACAAGGTCATAAGAGACTCTTCTTCTGCGTTGAATCCCATGAACCATTTAAAGTATTCGTAAACACTCCAACTGATAGCCGCGCTTGGCATAGTGGTCAACACTCTAGGCTTGAATCCTCTGAAGAAACCGCGGAAACCGTGTCTTTCCTTGATGATCATCATAGCATCCGTCAATCCGGACGCGTTTCGTATACGAGGGTCAGCATTTTGTCCGCGCGTCTGCAACAATGTCTTGGCAACATCCAACGGCATGGTCACAGCAGCTGCCACCGCACCGGCCAAGCCACCAGCCAAAGCGTGTGTCTTGGGATCGTAATCACCGCGAGGATTGATAACTTTTCTAAAATATTCGTAGGTGGCGAATTGGATCGATTGGTATGGAACCGACATGGTCAACGTCGTAGGAAGCGAAATGTAGAAAGCTGCAATGCCTTCTTTCGAATAAACCTTTCGAGCACAGTCACGAACGGATTTGTAGGTCGAATCCTGCAGTTGCATACGCTGCTTGATCACTAAACAGAAACACAAGTGGAGTCAGACATGTGTAATTCTGGTTCCAAACCAACAACAGTGCTGTGGGCAGAAATCAATGCTTACCATCAAATGGGTTCATCAGGGAATCATGAGCAAGGGTAGCGCAAGCACCCGCGGCGGCTGCCGTGAAAGGATGGTGACCAGGACGGTTGGCGCCAAAGGCTTCTTTGCAAGCCTCGTAAGTAGTGAAATGTAAAGCGTGGGCCGGTCCGGCTCCCAGCACAACACTGTTCACGCCACGCCACAAGTTGCGGAGCATAGTAGGATTGTAGGGGGCGTAAGTAGCGGCAACACCTGACCTCATAACAAACGAGGAAGGGGCAGCATGGGTAGCGGTGACAAGGACTGAAGGTCGAGTGCTCTGAATGACTTGCATTCGAGTCTGTAAAGGAAAATGATCTCAGTCTTTCTGTTTCACGTGAATCTCTCAAATCATGTTTCGCGTACCTTGATGCTATCCACAGGGTACATGGCACAATGTTCGGCAATACCAGCCAAAGCACCAGCCATGGCATTCTGAGCAATGGTAGAGTTGTTGCCCAGAGACTCGTAATCGTAATCTTCTTCCATTGTTTGTATTTGTATATGAGAGTGAGGGCGGTGAGGTGACAGAAAGATGTAAATTAAGAGAAATGAAAAAAAGGAAGAAACTCTTAAAGGAAGATGGCAATTATTTATATCAATGAGAAAGAATCTGATTATTTATTACCAATCAAACTTGCATCTGATAACAAGAAAAAATTTTCCGCCGGTCGTCCCCGCACGAACGGTGGCGGGTTGCCTTTTTTGGCGTATCTGATTCTCCATCATTGTTTGCAACAAACATGCGTTGGCATGACTAAATCCATACACTAACGATTCCAAGCACTGCAGTTATATTATTCATACATACGCTGGTAATAGATATGCTACAACGGCCATTGGGGGTTTGGATCCATATAATCCACGCCTATTCTTCCACACAGATGGCACAAATGAAAATCATCTCCGCCCAGGGGAGGTTATCTAATTACCGAATTTGGTAAATGTAAGAGATGCCTCTGTGTAACGCTTGAGGCCCATCAGATATGGGTATCATCGGCCTCGCTTAGCCAAGTCCCCGAACACACAAGTTTGCTGTTTGCCCCTTGCATGTTTTTCTTTGATCTATCTAACAAGGATTTCTGAGAGACGAAACTCATGTTCAAATAGGATAAAAAAGATGGGCATTATTTTTTTCGCGAACGATGCTGCAACAGCTGCACTGGAAAATAATGATAATGACGGTGAACGACTCATGTGATGTCAAGGTTTTCATGTGGGTTTCGTAATGTGTCATAATGAACCAATGGAACGATTCGTTCTCAAGTGAGCTTTCATAACACTTCTGCAATGTTTGTATTACACCAAACAAGTTGTCTCCTCCTTTTGCTTACTTTTCGGCGCGACACTTTGGTGTTACCCGAAAATAAAATAAAAATTGGGGGTCTTTATTTTTCGGCCATCAGATAAGTTCGGCACAGTTGGCCTTGGTAAATCTTAAATCCGCGTACGGGATCCACTTCATTTTCAGATGTCACGGCATTTGAAAAAAAAAAATTATTGTTTTCCGTAAACAGACAAAACACCACCTTGTGAAAGAAATACCTTCTCATAAAACCATTAGCACTCAACGGCAGTAATAGCCAAAACGTACTCCTTGTGCACGAAATAAAAGTTTTAAACTGTATGAAGCACATTTGGAAAGACCAGGGTCTGCTTTTAAATCCGAAAAAGATTTGTTATGGCAGTACAAAAGATGCCACATAAGACGTATCGGAAAAAAAGACAAACAAGTATAAACTTGCATATCGCCCAAGCAATCAAATATGTAATCTCGTTTCCATCTTGTATTCATAAGTCCTGGCTAGATGTGGAACATATTTATTCAGTCAAAAGCTCGTCAAATAATTAACATGACCGAGCTTGCGAATGCAAAAAATTTGGGCTTGCGTAAAACGAACAGTAAAGAATAGTTCGCTACAAGGCTGTTCAATGTAACCGAATAATTGTCCCCTCAGGTTGTACGAGGCCGTTCGTTTTGTCATATTATTACATGTTTTTCTTTATTACTGTACTCTAAATATCATACAGTCATCCTCTCCAACTGAAGGAATGCGTCCAAAAGCGCAAAATTGAGGCCTAGATGCGGTTGTCTTTAAATCAACCGCCAAGTGATGTCCCTATGAATCAAAAAGCCTGGCATGGCCATGCATGAAAATGTCGGAGTATAAATTCATGTTTCTTGAACTGAAAAAGCCACTCATAAATTTGACCGTCACTAGCAAGTCATGTCCTGGAGCTGGGCCATTTTTGACATTTTTCGATTCGCTTCTTTTTTTTTTCGAAGCATATTCAACAAACTTAGATCTCGATGGTCAAGGCGTATCTTCGATATGAGCCTCTCGCTGCGTTTGGCGTTATCGCGTCAACACAGTCGAACATTGTTTATGACCACACTGGAAAATATGCATTATCCCCCGCTTTAGAAGAAGTGGTCATTTGGGATTTGAAGAAGGGCACTCAAGTTCGTATTAGGCTTTGAACCGTTTTCATTTGCCACACTATCTAACCAATTTCCATTTCTTTTTAGAATGGCAAATGGCGAGAATCTGGCAATAAATCAGAAGTAACTTGCATCGCCAAGAGTCCGAACAAGAAAGATTATGCCGTAGGGTACTGTGATCGCTTATCCATTGCAAGTCAAGGAGCGCAACAATCTCACTAACACTCTTAAATAGATACGCCGACGGTACAATTCGTTTATGGAATATCGGTACAGCAGCATCCACTGTTACTTTGAGCGGCCATCGTGCTGCAGTGACCGCTTTAGCTTTCGACGATCAAGGCACCCGTCTTGCCTCGGGATCCAGAGACACCGATCTCATCGTATGGGACATCATTGCCGAATCCGGCTTGTACCGCTTAAAGGGTCATAAAGACCAAATCACTTGTCTCAAATTTTTGTCAAAACCGAACGATGCCGCCGATGCCATGGAAGAAGATGTCGGTGTTTCTACCGCTGGCTATATTTTGTCGGCCTCAAAAGATACCCTTTTGAAGTTGTGGGACTTGTCAGGCCAGTTTTGTCGTGAAACGCTTGTGGGTCATCGCAGTGAAGTTTGGTCTTTCGACATCTCCAAGGATCAGAAGACTATCTTGTCTGGTGGAGCCGAACCTACCGTGAAAGCCTGGAAGATTGACTGGCACGTTCTCGGCCTGTCGCTCGAAGCACTAGAAGCAACGTCAAAAGAAGGTGCCAACGCAGCAGAAACTCAAAAGGCCATCAGCTTATACGGCAATGTCCCTCGTCAGTCGCGCGATCGAATTGTGACTATTCAGTTCCATCCTTCAGGCAAATACGTGGGCGTGCAAGCAGCCGATAAGGCTGTGGAAATCTATGCCATTCGCGATTATGAATATATTAGAAAGAAGATTCAGCGACGAAAGAAGAGAGCAAAGGAGAAGGGTAAAGAGATCGAAATCAGTGAAGAAATCCAGGCCGAAGATGAATTCAGCAGTCAGACCATTGTTCGTACACCTGCGAAAGTACGAAGTTTCGATTTCGCTCCCGTCACGGATGTGGAAAAGGCCGGTGGAGTTCAGGTAAACAAAAAAACAATCACTTCAATAGAGCAAAAAACTCCTGATTTTTTCGCTTCGTGGATGCTAAATTGTTCGTATAGTTTGCTGTTTCCTTGAACAACAATGTTCTTGAAGTATATAATGCTCCATTGTCAAAATCAAAGTCAGCCGAAGAAGCCGATGAACCCGTCCGTGTCTATTCGCTTGATCTTCAAGGCCATCGCTCCGACATTAGAACATTGGCACTTAGCTCCGATGATGAACTATTAGCTTCAGCATCCAACAGTAAGTTTCTTGCTTCACATAATACTGCTGTATCTATTCAGAAGACTCACGATATGTCATTAGATCTTTTGAAAGTCTGGAATGTCAAAACACGATCTTGCATTCGTACTTTGGAATGTGGTTATGCTCTGTGTAGTGCGTTCTTACCAGGCAACAGACACGTAAGCAATTAACATCTCATGACACAAATCATCTATTTCGTTTATTGACTGTTTGTGTTACGTTCCCTGTAGATTTTGATTGGTACCAAGACGGGTGAATTGGAATTGTTCGACATTGGATCCTCCGCTTTATTAAGTTCGGTCAAAGCTCACGATGGCGCAGTATATTCCCTTCAAGTGCGACCAGATAAGCGGGGTTTTGTCACCGGCAGTGCGGATAAAGATGTCAAATTCTGGGATTTCGATATGGTGGAGAACAAGACCGGAACGGTAAGGGGTTTATTGAGTTGCTGGGAGAAAGGAAAAGAAAACAATGACTTATATGCTGCGCTGAATAGGGTCCAAAACAACTCACGTTTGTTCACATGCGAACGTTGAAAATGTCGGATGAAGTGTTGTGTGTACGATACAGTCCCGATCAAAATCTTTTGGCAGTCTCGTTGCTTGACACCACCGTAAAAGTGTTCTATCACGACACGCTCAAATTCTTCTTATCACTCTATGGCCACAAACTGCCTGTCCTGTCGATGGATATTTCCTCGGATAACACATTGATCACCACGTGTTCTGCGGATAAAAACGTAAAGATCTGGGGTTTGGATTTCGGTGATTGCCATAAATCCATATTTGCGCATCAAGAAAGCATCATGTCCGTGCAGTTTGTGTGGGGTACTCATTACTTCTTCACCGTCAGCAAAGACAGGTCTATCAAATACTGGGATGGTGACAAGGTAAGAAAACGACATAAATCTATCTGTGGTTGTGTAGATTTGATTTTTTGACTCTCTCCTTTCAGTTTGAGAATATCATGAAACTTGAAGGCCATCACGGTGAAGTATGGGCACTTGCGGTTGCGAAGCATGGATCGTTTATTGTGACCGGTTCTCATGACCGATCTATCCGTATCTGGGAACGTACCGACGAACAGGTAAAATTGATTCGAACCATGTTCGTGGCAAATAGTATTGTTTTTCTCATTAGTTTTTTTTTATAGCTGTTTTTGGAGGAAGAACGCGAGAAGGAATTGGAAGATATCTACGAATCGACCTTGATCAGTCAAATGGAAAAAACCGGTGTTTCTGATGATATGGAAGTGGACGCAGCTGGCAAACAAACCATGGAAACTTTAAAAGCGGGTGAACGAATCATCGAGGCGCTCGATATTTCAGATGAGGAAAGATTAGGCTGGGAAGCTTATGAATCAGCAAAGGCACGTGGTTTACCCGGTCAACCACCGCAGCGAAACCCCATTCTGCTGGCCATGGGTGATCTAAGTCCCGAACGCTACGTTTTAAGCGTATTAGAAAAGATCAAAGCCAACGATCTCGAAGAAGCATTATTGATTTTACCTTTTGCCAAGGTGACTTCCCTATTATCCTACATTGAAATTTGGGCAAAGAAGGTAAGCTTGAACAAAATACAATGGTCTCAGTCAGCTCAAATCACTCACATTTGTCATTTTTCACAGAACTGGAATATCATTCTTATATCACGTGTACTATTCTCCCTCATCAAGATTCATCATAATCAGATTGCATCCAATCGCGTTATGCGACCCATGTTGGACTCCATTCGATTCCACCTTCGAGCTCAGCTACAACGACAGAAGGATATCATGGGCTATAATCGTGCCGCTTTGACCTATTTGCAACGCGATTGGAAAGCGAGGAACACGGCCGATTTCTTTGCAGAAGCGCCGCCTCCTTCCGACGAAAAGAAACGAAAGTTTGTCCAGCTTACCGCATAGAGTATCCAATCCATCCATATCATTGTAGAGCATGTATGTTAGATATAAAAAAGTCAAGTAAAAAAAAAAAAAGCAAATTCCCCAAGTTGAACATCATTTATGTTTTCAGTGAATGGGCATTTTTTTTTTGACCCAGTTCATCTTTCCAGTTTGATGGTTTTATTGATACTTTCATTACGATTTTGCCGTGGAATAAGGCCATATTCTCTTGATGGAATAAGAGGAGGGAGAATAGAGGAAAAATAATACAGTCTAAGGGTTACGGTGGTATGCCGTTTTCTTTTTCTTTGTGTGTGTATGTGCGGTGATGCATCCGTCTACCGCCGATCTTCTAATAATTGCAATTGCACAAATGTTTTCACCGCCTTTTCATACATGCCGAGGAAAATGCTGCCACCAATGGAGATCCACATGACACGAGGACCAATACCAGCCAATAATACACGAGGACCTTCTTCGGCTACGATACGTTTCATGGTGGATATAATACCGTTATATTGCTTGGCGGTTTGATTCTATTATTGATAAAAATATTGAGTGTCAGTGACATTTGTGGTGGATGACAATAAAAATTCATCCGTTCAACAAGTTTGGGTAGCCTACCTTGTGTGAAAGCATGATGCGAGTTTTGCAAACATCAAGAGGCGTAGTCAGCGCTGCGGCTATGCCACCAGCCAAAGAACCCCACATGGCAGCCTCATAAGGTTCCACCATTCTGCCCTTGTAGTTGCTGTACGATCGTTTAAAATATTCATACAGAGGAAACTGGATACATGTGAAAGGAATTTCTCGAGCCACGGTGGATAGAAATCCGCGGTAGAATCCCAGGATGCCTTCGGTGCGAAGCACGTTGGATACAGCGGCCGAGGTAGATTGAAACTGCTTTGTCTGCATCCGTTGTTTGATGACCTCCGTAGGCACACGCACCGTACAAGCCGTCTATTGAATCAGAGCAAGGTTAGTCATTAAGTGACATTGGCCAGATCGGGAAAAAAAGCTTACAATTTCGCCAAAGCTGGCAGCAGTCATGTGAATAAATGGAGCATATTTGGTATGATCGACGGAGGCTCCGAGCAATCGTTTGGTGGCCTCATACGTGACAAAGAATAAAGAGGCTGTGGACATACCATGGTTACTCAAGCTAATCCAATTTATATTCCTTTTCCCTTGTATGTGCCCTTTTTTTTATCCCCTTGGTTCCCCCCAGTGCCTGAATCGATCGACCCATGGACACGAATCACGTACCGTTGGGAGCGCTGCCAACAACGGCGGAAAGAATGCCTGAATAAACACCACGAAAACCGCCAGAGGCTATGAATCCAGCTTGCGATTGAAGTCGAGTTTTAATGGTATCTTTTTTTACACGCAGCGTGAGCCATCTTGATCATGACAACATGCACATAACATCTCGGTTCAACACAAACCTAATGGAAATAAGGCGGTGTCAACGGCGGTTCCTGCAAAAGCGCCCGCGAGCAACGCTTGTTTAAGGTTGGCTTGGTAAGCCACCTGGGGTTTTTCACTGGCCATGACGATACAACGCAAGGCTGGCTTCAATTTCTTCTTTTTTTTCTTTTGTTTGCCCTGTTCACTTTTTTCAATCCCGACAAAAAACCCAACCCGATGTGAGACGCTCGTGACGGTGTTTTACCATGATCAGCGACATGATCCATGCGCACACTACGGCACATTTGCCTTATTCCTTCAATGCCGAGCCACATACGCTGTTAAATACTTCTTGCTGTTTCATGGTATGTCATGACATATCTCCTGCTTGTTTCTATACAATTTACATACTCAAATGAAAAAAAAGCGGAAAATGAATTGCATGTGACAAATTTTAAGAATTTCGTACGTATCCTGCCTTCCTTCCTCTATCCAAATCGCTGTGATCTAATCAAGAACACTTTAAGCGATTATTTTAAATCGTTGAAAAAAAATGAAAAATAGGCGTGTTTGCCATTTATGGAAAAGAGAGAGCGATTATACTCCAATCATACATTGTTAAGAGCAAACAGCATGTATTTATAAAGACGCCAGATGGTCAACATGCATACACAGAGAAAGGTGGTCTATTTATTGTAAATAAAATAATAGGATGGTACAGTAATAGTTTACAGCTAGATGGCTTATTAAAAGGTTAAATATATAGTACAAGTGATGGTAAATTTTATGCGATAACGTCAAAGATCTTTTGAATGACGCGTTTCCACAAAGGAGCACGCTGGGCGGTGACACCGTCTTTTTCATCATAATCCACTTCAAGGACGGCAGGTTTGATGGTGCCTTCCTCGAAATTCATCTCATGGTTCTTGACAAAACTGGGTCGTCGGAAGATCTTGTGACCGCAGTAGAGAAGCACGGCGAGAATAAGGCCAATGTACGAAGCGACAATATTGGGCGCGTAGATGGGAGCAATAAAGTGTTTGTAGCCTTGGCCAAAGATGATGATGGCGCCGAGAATGATGACGAAAATATCGCAGAAAGGAAATAAAGGAGCAACGTACGGTAAGGCCGAAAGAGAGCGGCCTTGCGAATTGTAGCCTTGGCGGAAACGAATGTGAGTAATGGAAATGGAAACCCAGGTGATCAAACCGGCCAACGAGGTCAGATTGGTAAGCCAATTGAAGACAATGCCAGAGCCAAACAAACTTGTCAGGAAAGCCAAGCAACCCACGCAGCAGGTAGCCAGAACGGACCAAAACGGAATGCCCCAACGGTTGACTCGCGTGAAGAAACGCGGAGCGTAGCCGTTCTCAGCCAAAGCCAACAGAGTACGACTGGAGGAATACACACCAGAGTTACCAGCAGAGATCATAGTAATCAGAATAATCGCATTCATCATATCGGCGGCCCAGGAAGCTCCGGCCTTCTTGAACACAAGTGTAAAAGGACTGACGGCAATATCGTGTGAGCCCTCCAGCAAATTCGGGTCGGTATAAGGTATACAGAGACCAATGACGAGAATGGACAGAATATAGAACAATACAATGCGGTAAAACACTTGTTTCACTGCAGTTGGTACGGTCTTGTGAGGGTTGGCAGATTCTCCAGCAGCGATACCGACGATTTCAACACCGTTGAATGAGAAGGCAGCCGTCAGCAAAACGTTGAACACGCCCAAGAAACCATTTGGGAACGAACCACCGGGAAGATGGAAATTTCTGACACCGATGTATTCGCCGCCAATGGTACCGGTATCGACACAGAGACCAATGATAATGAACACCACCACGGTGAAAACTTTAATAAAGGAAAACCAATACCTAATGACAGTCATGTTAGACCAAAATTCATGAGTTGGTGTTGTTGTCCATGTTTGTACTTACTCAATTTCGCCATAGCCTTTTACCGAAAATACGTTGACGCCGAGCAAAATGATCAAACAAATGACGGACCAGACAACGCTATTGATACTAGTGATCCAGTACTCCATGATCATGGCCACACCGGTTAATTCGACGGCCACACCCACCGCCCAGTTGGCCCAGTAGATCCAGCCTACACAGAAACCAAGAGAAGGGTCGGCAAAGCGAGTGGCAAAATGAGCAAAACTGCCAGCAATGGGAATATAGGCGGCCATTTCACCCAGACTCATCATCACGCAAAAGACCAGAGCACCAATAGCGGCATAACCAATTAGAGCGCCACCAGGACCACCTGTGGAAATGGCTTTACCAGAAGCCATAAACAAGCCAGTACCTAATCAAAAGTCATTCAGGATGCGCAGTTCTTACATTATCAATGACAGGCCTCTTCAAAACTTACCAATAGTGCCTCCCAAAGCAATCATTTGAATATGTCTAGCTTTGAGACCGCGTCGGAGTCCGTTACTGGGCGTTTCCTTCAGAGACCCTTCGCTGAAGCTTTCGGCATTTTCGACCATGTCGATTTCGCCGGTAACTTGAATTTTTTCATTGTCCGTCCCCGAGTTCATTTTTTATGAAAGCCTTGATTGTAGAGCAACTGTTGTATGTGTGTAAGTTCAAAATGTTTAGTTGTGGCCAGAGACCCGGATTAAGTGATCAAAAAAGTGGGAAAGAGATGAAGAAGATCAACAAAGCAAAAAGTTGGACGGTTTCTCTTCTTTTATCTGCATATCTTCTCCAAGATGTTCCACATGGAAAAAGATGGTTCCAATTGGTCCGATTCATTTCATTTTGAAGCACATTTATAACCAATCCCATTCAGCAAACTGTAATCCTAATTATATCCCACGACATGACCACTACTGCGTGGATATCGAGTAACATATATCTATTGAGTCTACGTTTAGCTGCACTGGACGTTGCGGTCGATGGCAGCGGATCAAAGAATCATGAACCATGTCGATTTTGTGTTCCCGATCAAGCGATGGTGTCAATAACTGCGACCGCGATTCGTGGGAAGTGAATACAAGGTACAATCCAATCATGTTTTAGCATCTCGATGGTTGAAATGATGTCGAATACGGTACTCACTCTTATTGGTTGCGGAATTCCAATTATTTTTTGTTGGAAAACAAGCAGATTGGAGAGACACGAGAACAGCCGTGAGGGCATAGTATACCATTTATGGAAACCTGGTTATACAATATCCTTGTCGGTTTCCGCTGCCATTCGATTGGCGTTAGTTTATCACTCAGTATTGATTGCAATTACTATCTATTGAATGCAAAGATAAGGTATACCTGACTCACTGATATGCACGGAAAAGACGATCGGTTTTCGAAAAATGCGAAACCAACGATCAAGTGAATTATGAAAGTACTTTCGAAAATTCCACGGTACAGGATGGCGGCATCAGGATAAATGGCTATGGAACCATCAGAATCTCAAGGGAAGATACAGTTTAAGATCAGCTATATGTTCCCTGCTAAATTTCTCGGCTGGTGGAACATGTTGACACGGTATTTGCTGATGATCGATTAATGTTGCAGAATGTTCTTCTGTCTCCGTTGATCTTATCAAATCTACTTTGACAATGGGCATGAAAAGTGCAGAATCTTGGATGGAGCAGCGGTTGACTTGCATAATCTGATTATTGCCACATTTTTGATTCACATTGCTCAATCCTTGTGTATGTGATACGATCGATGGTTCAATATCGCATCATTCTGCCGTGCAAATTCATATGCACAACCGTTGGCGCCAACTGATTGGCTGCAGAAAATCGCAGTTGGACTTGCCTCAGGAAATACTCGAATTCCCCACCTGTATCGTATTGCTGTTCCTTTATACGGCCATGATCTTTGGCGACTAAAAACATCACCGCGATTCAGTATGCAGACGAGTTTCGTAAAGCAGGAAATTTATTCCTCCGAAATGGTGGTCTATCCATCAAACAACCATGGTCTGATAACGTATTCGTTTCTGCATCGAAATGGCACAGGGGCAACATGAACGAGTCTGCTTTTCATGAGTATAGGAACCCCCCATAGAAATAAGTAAAACTCAATCCTTTGTATTATATGCACATGTAGACGGTGGATGATGGTCCATGCTCAGTGATGTTCCTGAGCGCACACATCCTGCAGTAGCTGGGATCACCTCGCATATCCATTTTAGGCAAAAAAGGAAGACCGTAATGGATTGGCCAGTGGAATACAAGCCTAGTTATGCAAAAGCCTGCTAACTATTAAATATAACACGTGTATCCACTTGAACATAAAGAAGATGAAAAATGCAGCTCTCTACATAAGCGTTGTAGGGTTGGCTTCTTTTTGTTTGCAATTGAAAGCAGGACATATAAATGCCGCCATTCCATGAGGCTAATGATGCTGTAAAAACCACCTTCACCATGTCGTTAAATTAGGTGGCTCAGACGCTCGATAATAACGCCTAAGTTTTATGTACTTGAGTGGAGATATTATTACTGCAAACATTCGAACACTGTAATAAAGCCAGCCATCTGAGGAACGTCATCGATGCAATCGGTGCCTCAAAAATTTCGCTCAGTTCAGGTTGCTGTGCTTTGTGTCGTCCGTACTTCTCTTCGACATTCTCGCTTCCATTTCCTCTTTCAGTTCGTAATTGGTTTCTTGCATTGCATCTGCTGTATGTTCTGACCCACAAGGTTATATTATAGGTGGATATGCAAACCATCAAGTGTGTTGTTGTGGGAGATGGTGCAGTTGGCAAGGTAATCTACGGCAGCTGATACTGTTTCGTCTTACAGGATGTTATTCACGATACAGCTCATAGACCTGCCTTTTGATTTCATACACGACCAACAAGTTTCCGTCAGAATACGTTCCAACGGTAGGTGGCGTCAAGCTGTAGTCAATGACGGAAGAGCAAGCCGAGACAGCGGTGGGGGGGAACACGCAGGAAGGATTGACGATGGGTTGCATAGGTGTTTGATAACTATGCTGTAACCGTGATGATTGGTAAAAACGCATTAGTCTGCATAAGACTTTGGAACGAATGATCTAATCGAATTCTCCGGTTTTACTTAGGTGATGAACCTTATACATTGGGATTGTTTGATACGGCAGGTAGGCTCAAAGGAGAACCGATTTGGGTGAAAGACCATTCATTTACACGAGTTACCGTGCAGGTCAAGAGGATTATGACCGATTGCGTCCCTTATCGTACCCTCAGACCGATGTTTTCCTTGTCTGCTTTTCCGTGACATCGCCTGCCTCATTTGAAAACGTGAAGGAAAAGTGGTTCCCTGAAGTTCACCATCACTGTCCCGGCGTTCCTTGTTTGATTGTAGGAACCCAAGTGGATTTGCGCGATGACACGGGAGTAATAGAAAAACTGGCAAGATATAAACAGCGACCGATCAGTTTTGACGCCGGTGAACGGCTAGCGAGAGAATTGGGTGCTGTGAAATACGTTGAATGCTCGGCACTCACTCAAAAGGGACTGAAAAATGTGTTTGACGAAGCCATCGTGGCAGCGCTGGAACCTCCCATGAAAAAGAAGTCGAAAAAATGCTCCATACTGTAAACCGGATACGCATAAGCAACACCAGGAGCCGATCCATCTTTTCTTCAGCGACATGTCATTTGTAATTTTAGCCAACCTCGAAGTCCTTGTTTTTCACTTGCGCATCCCAATTTTTGGTTAGACTCTGTCAAAAAGGCCTGGGTGGTCTGTTGTTTCCCCTTGAATCATGATGTCTTTGTCATAATAAACATACAGTCCATGATAAACCTTGTTTTCTCGGATATGCATTCGTCAGTCCGTCGACATGAAATCCGATTCACACTCGTCGTTCTTACAATGGCTCAGTCCCGTAATGTGTACAGTATGCGTTATTTTCATGGAAGCTAGCCTATCACAGCATAGATAATTTGTATCTGTCTACACTGTTCACGAGTTGCAGCATCGAGATAAATGATGCGCAAAGAGAGCTCCCGCTCTTCCTCTATCGACGTGGATCCTACACAGAAATCTTCAAATCTGAAAGCTGATTTCCGAACACCATGATGGTGAAAGAGAGAAAAGTGCACCGTGTGTGCGAATGCGGGTTGCTGTTGTGCGCATGCATTTGTATTTATTTACTATGGTACAGCTTATATCATTTTTACATATTTTACAGTTCTGTGTGGGTACCGTCGTATTGTGGGCGGTATATTGACTGGGTATTTTCATACATTGGTATACTCTGGAAAAAAAGCAGTCGGCAAGCACGACACAGTGTGCAAGATGTGTTCCTTCCGAGACAACCTTGCTACCAGGAGCATGGGGCTGATAGGTATCTCTGAGCGATAATATGCGATCCGACAAAACCGGACGCCATCACAATAACTAGAGTTAGTTGACTGGTGTTCTTCGACTTTGAGGAAGGATCCTTTCCATTTTCGCTATGGAACGGTGTTGTGACCGCTGTTCTTCACGAAGAAGATTATCCAACTTTTGCATGCGCATCCGTGCCTGTTGATGCTGTTTCTCTAGTGTTTGGTGTAATGTTTCTGCTAGTTGCAGGACACTGGTGAGATGAATATTTTTCTCGGGAAGCCTTTTGCAGGTTTTCAGCGGCCATGTCTGAGTTTGTGCGACCACCGGTGGTGGATGAGGCGCTTGGACAGGTGATGAATCGGCGCTTGGAAGTGTGCTGCGTATGGTCCATGCGTTTTGTTTAGGACTGGACGGGTGGAGTAACTTTTTTGGTATGTAATGTTTTTTGGCACTGTGATTGGGGCTCGGTACAGGCAATCGTTGGGTGACTGAAGCTGCGGCGGCCGAGGCTGTCCAACGTTTCCCTAAAATAGAAAGGTGTTTATAAGTCCAGTGAGGGGGGGCATGGTGATACCGAGGTGTCACCTACCGATGTTACTCTGAAGTTGGATTTCGTGTAATTCTGTCGTGGCACTTCCGGTAGACCACCAATGGAGTAACGAAGATGGTTTTGGCGAGTTGTTGTCAGTCAAGGATCTACATGAAACGCGTGATCGCTTAATTGTAACACTTTTGGGTAATTGTTGTTGTTGACGTTGTTGATGTTGCTTAGTGACCCCTTTGGAGAACCACTCAGCCATCGCCAGTTCGTCGTGGTCTGAAACGTTTGGCTCGGTGATGGTGGCGGACATTCTCCGCTTTTCAGCTTTGGATGTGGCCAGTTTTTTCAGTAACCGAGATCTTGGCGGGAATTCGTATCGTTCTTCTTCAGGCGTTAAATTTTGTGGCACGGTAATCTCAAAAGTCCCATCAAGATATCGCTTGACAACAGCCTATGCAACTAGGATGAATGTTTGTTTCTTGTTTCTGCATGCTCGCGAAATAGAAATTAAGGCAAGATTCTTGGATGTTGGAAGAAGTAGAATCAAGAGGAATGAAAGAATACAAGGTTTATGACAAGTCAAAGGGAAAAAAACCCGCGCCGTCAAAAATGTTCTCGATCACAGAAACACAGACAGTAAAAATATGGAAGATGATAAATGAATTAACGTTGGCAAGGGGAAAATTGAAACATTGGGAAAGAAAAAAAAAATAGACCAAAGGGAAACAAAAAAGGGGTTAAACTTGTTACAGAGGACCAATATATCTCTACCTTTTTCCACACATTGCGTTGCCAAGTGACATTGCGTTTTAACCATTCTTCCGGCAACGTGATGTCAACTGAGACGGTGGATTTTCGGCGCTGTTCAACCGCAGATGATGGTGAACGGCTGTTTGGATTACAAGCACTGGAAGGGACCGTGCGCTGAGCCTGCTGACATTTTGCTCGTTGCGACCGTGCCGTAATTAACAGATGGTTCTCCTTGTTTTTGCTGTGACGAGCACCTGCATGTGTTGCCTGCATATCCACGCTCCGTTGGTCGCACGTCATGGTTTTTACAATCATTTGTGTAAAATAAGGATACCGTGAAGAAAATTGCTCGGCGTCAATATAGAACCGCTTTTATCAATACTTAATAGAAAAGCTGGATGCTTAAAGGTGTAAAAAAAACAGATGAATCCGCGAATCGAATTTTGGATGGAAATAATATAATGATCTGACAATATCGGCAAACAACAAGAGAATGAAAAAAAAGGGAAAAAAGGGAAAGAAGAATGAATATGGGAGCGAAAAGAAGAAGAGAGAGAGAGAATGAAAAAGAAAAAAAAAATAGAACACGAAGCACAAAAAAACAAGGTTTTTTTTATCGCCCAGCCATTTTAATTTTCAAGGCACCACTTCAAAAGCGGCAGTGTGTTCATCCATGCGCGGAATCGTTACACTTGGTGCCACACAAATATATTCTTGCTGCACGTTCACACGACAATTGCCTCGATTTTTAAGGTGCAGCATTGCCACATTGCCACCCGTGACTCACTCCAACCGCTGAACTGCAGCACCTTGAGTTCATCGGCGGAGGACGCTGGCTTTTCACAACCGATTTCCCTAACCTCAGTATTTATTTTACGCCTCTCATTCTTCTTCCCATTTTTTTTCTTGCAGAGACCTGGATAAAGCGCGCCACCCCCTTTTTATTTTTTTGTACGCGGCAACATCTTGCCAAGATTTACTAGCGCAGCATTCACTGCGGAAAGCCGATGTAGTAAAGCAAACAAATTGACTGGAGGGAGACGGACGCTTGTTTGTGACACCTCGGCAACGCTTAGTTCCAGTGCACAAACTCTCAATATTTTTTACAATTTCAAAATTACGTCATGCGCAAAGGCATCGGCATCATGGACCGCCATTAAAATCAACATGAATCCACTGTATCTTCGTGAATTAGCTGCCATGGTAATAATGACACCATTTTCACTTTGTCCATACAAGGCCATTTTTGATGGTATCAATGCATAAAGGAGAAATAAGTTGACTGTAAAGTAGAAACCGGCTGCACTACAAAGATACGCGTAAATTTGGACTTCTGCAATCATCAACTTACTCTCAACTACCATAGGATGCACTCCAGATATAAAAATCATGCCAAGATTGCAAACTCTGTGATGAATCGAGCAAGGCAGTGGTTTTCCTACTCCCTGCTTATATACTCTAAGGAGATGAAATGTCGAGGCCATATGATAATGCATTGCATCCTTTATTTTAAAAAGTTAAATTGAGAAGGATGCCGTAACTTGCAAAATCCCATATTGGCAGACAAGAAGCTCACAGGTAACACATCTGGATAAGGATCTGATCAAAGTGAGGCAAAGATTCAAGTTTGAAGCAACTTATGAGAAACTGCATCAGTATTTGCAATGCGTCGCTTTCAAGGCGCTCTGTTGTTCGGCTTTGTCAATACTCGTTTGCCGCTCAATTATCAAATTTATTTATGTGGTGTCTTGGTTCGTGCGAATTGAATTTATTGTAGCGGATCGTAACATGGGGCTAATAAGCTGATCTATCCTTTGTTTCACATCATGATCACTATCCCAAGCAGGCTGATTAGTCTCTTCCTGTATTTCTATTTCCAAGGATGTATATCATATTGGATGCATAAATAATATGCAAACAAGGAGTCGGGTAAGCAAAATCGTTTCACGATTCCAACGCGCTGTAGAGCATGATAACGAGAAAGAACAGATAGGACAGGATTCGCCAGCCGATGTGCCACCAGTAAACTTTTCTTATCATTGTGTGTTTAAACGGGGATCGTGGCACATCGATGTTGGAGATGATGTGTAAGCTTTTTGTAACCCCTATTCCCACTGCCTGAGCGTTTACGGAATTTAAATCATAGTTCAGGAGCCACCGTTCAGGGCCAATGCTGCCTGTGCGATTGTCATGTTATCGGCGAAAATGGGGTGTTTCCATGCTTGGACTGTTACTCCAGCAGAAAAAAGAAAAAAAAAATTTGACCGCTGATCTCTCTTTGATCATGCAGATTGCCAGTGCAACAGGTTGAATACATCACAGTGATGCTTTGCTCAACCGTTTACCTTATTTTTATGCAGGTGGGCCAACTTTACGGAGATTAGAAGGCTTTTTTTTTTTTTTTACGAAGCACCTCGTGCATGTTCCCCATCCAAAATATGCCGCCAATTCTGCACATAATGTTTATGGGTGACTATTCACATGAGAACAAGTTCACTTGCACTCTCTTTTTAGGAAAATCTTTTTTACAGATGCACCCCAATGAAGCGATCAACAGCCGAAACACTGTGGTATATCTGATAAATGTTCTTTATGGTCAAAAAATGCCATGGTGATACTGCCTGTGCCTGTGCATATGTATACCTTTCCTTTATAATGATCACCAATCCCGTAAAAAAAACAGGGAATTTAACACAGTGTCAGAAAGGCGTTTACCAAGTTATCGAGATATGTATAAAAGAAAAGACTTACTTTTTCCGCATTGGCCTTTCGGCCTCCAGTGACACTCGGTTCGAAACGTACAGCAGACCCATGAAAAGAGAGGACAGGGAAGACGCAGCAGCTATATGTTTTTATTGTGGTACACTTTCATTATGGAACTGTGATGCTCAAACCAGTTTGATACATTGCTCTAAACCGCCATGGGTCGTCACTACAGAGCTATTTTCGAATGATTGAAATTGATAGTGACCAATATACAGAGGACGGTGGTAATCAAAAGATGATATTAATGTAGTGTACCAGAAGCTACAACTGTAATTCCATCAAAATGGACATATAGTGATGTTGTAGACGATAATGTCCAAAATTGGCCGTCTGTAAGCTAATGTATTTAAATTTGACGGCATCAATCATAGGCTTTTATTTTCAAAGACATCATCTGGCTATCTTGACTATGCGAACTTTCAGTACGATACAGCTCTCTCCAGTAAATATTTATTTTTTATCTATTTTAGCGGTTAGAACACCTAAAAGTGTTTGTGATGATATATTCTAAGAGAAAAAAATTGTACTATGGTGTCAATTTCATGATCTTTCGAAAAATAGCACTTCCTAAGCCACGGAAAAGTTGCTGGAAACGATTGTCAGCGACATGGTGAATGAGACAGATCAGCTCCTTTTATACCATGCTGAAAAGCTATTTACATCGATTGTACGTTGTCCAGTAATGTTCTCGAGGCATGTCACTCATTTCACGATTCATACAGTTACCCGTGGCAAGCGTTGAAACTGCTTTCAAAATCAACCCGAAATCCGCACCCGTGTATACCCGAACCTCAGCAGTTGGCTGAAAATGCAGTCAAGCAAGTCGAATCCATCTTGACCGCCGTTTATCATTCTCATGCGGTCAAAGAAGACCCGAATATCTGTCTAAAAAAAAGCCTCGGTCATCAACTGCAGATATCTCCTTCGTCGATTCAAGGAGCAGGTACGAGAGAACGAGAGGAAAAGGCTCGTTACTGTTTCTGCATGATTAATGACCTAGTATAGGTATGGGCGTTTTTCTAAAAGGGTCTTGCAAGAAAGGATCGATTGTCTGTTTCTATCCAGGTAAAGCCGTCTGCAAAAGAAGATCACATCAAAGGAATGCTCATCCAGCTTTTAGGGACGATATATTTGCCATCCGAACCTTTGCTTTTTGCAAGTATCGCCAACCGATATATACTCAAATGTTACGATGGCGTCTTTGTGGATGCCAAACCGACAGGTACAGAGATTGTTATCAGGGTCAATGCAGCTTGACAGTACGAAGACTGATCGTTATTGTAAAGGCTTATCCGGACGTATCCACAAGTCTATTTATCATCGAGAGAATTGGCCAGGTGCTATTCAGATCAGTGATGCTACATGGATGACCAAAACGCCCAGGTATAGATACAAAGTAGATTGTCCCGGTAATGACATGTCTGCTAAATGGACAAAAAGGAACCCGTTAGCTGTGGGTCACATCGTCAACAACGGAACAACCGAATACCAACCTAATGGTAAGAGACTCTTCCAAGTCATTATTCCATTATTACATTTTAGTCACGTCAACCTTTTCATTGGCAGTGTTCTATCATGAAATCGACATACCCCCTGTGTTTCCTCGCGATCTTCGTCAATATATACCCAACATATACTGGAGTTCTATCGACCCTTTGACCACAACCACGAGGATGGTCGGCCTTATCGCAACCCGCGACATCCACAATGAAGAGCTATTTTCCGTCTACATGGACACCGTGTAAATCAGGAATGGATGGGGTTAGTTGCATGCGAGCAATTGCTTTGACAATCCACAGTTTTTTGGCATGTAAGTTTTTGCATAAATATGTATCTATACATCCGAACTATCCGCAGAACAACCCATCGCAGCAGTGTGCACTACATAGAACATGTTAATTCGGTGCTCTTGGCATGTTACTTCATGTGTAGCTGTTGCAAAATATGCAGTCATAGCGTTGATTATGTATTTAACTTTATTCCTCAAAAGGCTCATAAGAAAGAATCCTTGTATGAAAAAAATGCAATTCTTTTATTGGTGTGGATGATGAAACTGGTTGTTTAATGAGTAGCAATTCCTAAATCTTTAGTCTGCGACGCGTAAGCATGCCATCGATCATCCATTTCAATGATGATCTTTGGCTGGGTGAGCGACTGTAGGGATATTCTTTGCGGTTGCGATGTTTGTGACGTATTAGAGGTGGTTCGTTTCTCTCTGAGAACTCGAGAGGAGGTTGGCTGTGGATCGTACGGATGTGAAAACATTTCAAAGTTTCTTTTTCTTCGACAAAAAGAACAAACACAGATCCCTCGACATCTATGAACATCATTTGTTAAACGACTGTCTACACCCCTTCACCCGCATTCCGATATACTCACTGAGGGCAGATCCAGTCTTTTTCTTCTTCTTTGGTCATTGTATTGTCACCGTAATGTCGTAAGCAAGACAAATGAAACAACCGATTGCAGTCGTGTCCGTTACTCTTGACCCCCTTGCATATAACCTAATCCCACCAATAAGGCCTAGCTGCAAAAACACAATAAGCAACACTCTAACCGTACCTTGCGCATACCGTGACCAATATTTCTATGAAAAAAAACCAACGTTTAGTCTAAGCGCGTCTGTGGTGACGTGTCGATCGTGCCATACCTGCACTGATGGCAAGAATGGTTGCCTTCACCAGGACGATGTCGTGGTTTCCAGGGTGGTGGTAGTGACGGGGGAATGTACCTTACAGGTCCACCTTTACGGCTTCTTGGTGATCGCTATGGAACAATTTGACTTTTTGGTCATTTCCCTGTGGGCAACCAATGAACCACCTACCCGAAGTGTACGAGCTTTAATGACTGGTTTCGTTGGCTTGATAATACGTTTTGGTTTTTCCAAGTCCTGCTTCTGTATCGACGTTAATACATGCGTCATGCCAGAGGTTAGCGATCCACGAGTATTTACCGTCATGTCAGGTGCCAGCCCCAAGCTCAGTAACAGTGACTGATTTTCCGCAATGCGCCGCCTGCGCTCTTCCTCATAACTATTCGTCGTCTACAAGAGTATGCCATTAGTAGCCAAGAAACAGGAGCATAGCATTGAGCTTGTCGTCTAACCATGTTGGCACAGTCACCCAGAGAAAAAAAGGTCTGAAATTCAGGGCGCAAAAAGAAAATTTTATCATGCTGTCAAAAATTTGATCACCGTGTGACACGGCTGAAAATTGGTGGCCAGTTCGCCCATGCCTATCACTCATCGCAGATCATTGATAACTGAACAGTGTGCAAACTACAAAGCCCACTTGTCTAGAGTGAGCCCTACTACATTTTTTTGGTGGATTTTTACCATTTTGGCCTAGTTGGGTGATACGCCATGGTGATGATATTGTAAATTACCGTCACTGGTATTAATGATATCCTTTATATATTTCTCTTTTGTTTACAAGTAGACAAGATGATCATCAGATACACATTTTTTTCAGTTTATGGCTACCAAAAATAAATAAATTAGAGTTTCAAGATTTCCACAATGGTCTCTGATAAGTATTCAAAGGTACTATCGGGACCTTCTTGGGGTAAATCAAAGAACAGTTCCAGGACGGTTTCTCTGTGTTTGTCATAATCAAAGCCGTGTTTAAACATTGGCTTTTCGGCTAGCGTGGCCTTGTTGATTTCGGCCCACTTTTTACAGAAACGTCTCGCGGCGCTTTCCATGATCAGGGGCAAATCGATGATATCATTAATCATCATCCGGGGTTGATGTTCTTGCAGACGCGAGATCACCGTAAGGATTTCCACGGCAATTTGACGTTCAGCCGGATCTTTACAAAATCCAAGGAATCCTTCCACTGCCAGTGCAAAATTGAACTCCTCAGGCGTCTTTTCTAGAACAATAGGATCACGCGGAAGAATATGCTGATGGATACACAATCCTTGCGATCTGTTTAAAATGTTCCATGTCTGAGGGAAGAAACCCGAAGGAACCCGATTGAGCGCTCCATCATTCTTGCGACGATGCAACCAACGACCATTCGAATTTGGGAAACATGAAGCCAGGATGTCATTGTTGGCGGATGGTACTGTCTGTGGGTTCAACTGGATACGTTTTTCGAAGATCTCTGTAGGACCATCCATACTTCCATGATGCGCTTCCCAAACTTCCTCTGGACAACCTAAGAGAGCATAAGCGCACCATCATAATCATAGCAATGGTAACCATAGGAGACGGAATTTTATGCCACATACCTCTTTCACCAACGAATACATACGAGTCACGATAACGCACTTGGCGTATTTTCCGACTTCCCAGGGCTTCCAAGGCCTCAACAGCTTCCGTGGTCAAATGCTCGGTGAATTCATCTTTGGCTGCAATCACCACCACGGTTCTTGCCGGAATCCAGTTCAAGAATCGTACAAAGTCTGCGCTTTCTTCCTCTGAGATATGGGTATCGAACGATGCTCTTTCGATGACAACTTTATCACGAAGAGTCATGGTCCACACATGAATTCCACGGGAAGTGGCATCCATCGCACTGCCGTTGATTTCCAATTTGGCAAAATTTCCTGCACAATATCCAGCCGACTGAACACGAACCACCAGATGGGTATCATCCTTTAACTGAGTAATGGAAGGAGAGTTGGGGTATTCATGATGACCGATTTCAAGCGGTGATACTATGCTAGTTTGTTCAGGCAACTGGGCGAGCATCACGTAACCTCCCGGTTTATCTCGTACCACAATATTGGTGGTGGTGAGATGGGGACCCGAAAGGATCGTAGCTAAGAGTAACTTTAACTCGTACGGCGACAGCTGCATCAAGTGGTCAATAGCCTCTTCTTCGTTGCAATGGTTCATTCTTCGAATTTCCTCTCTCAGTGCAATGATGATGTAATGTGTACGTAAACGCAGAATGCCATCCAACATTTGAGGTGATGTACGAATAAAGCTTCCAAGATAAATGAGCACTTCCTGCACCAGAGGGCCCTCTCGTACAGCATCATGACTACCAAGAAAAAAAACCAACAATCAGATACTACATCCTGTGTGTTTCTTTCGGCAGGCTTACCAATGCTCGACAATCATTCTGTTTAATGTATCCGGCGTCACAGGTGCGGAGATCAAGTACTCGTGTGGACCCGAACCGATGCTGACTTGCTTTTGACGGATCACCAGGTCGGTAATGCATATCGTCAAGGAAGGCACCATCTTTTGCAATAATCCAGCGGCTTGTCTGGCGATAAACCAGTACTGAAGTTTCATCGATTTCAGATACACCTCTTCCAAAAGCTCTTGAAGCGTAGCATCCAACCGCTCAATATATGAGTTCTTTGGCTTGCAAGACAGCATGTATTGTAGTAAATCTGAAGGGTACTGTGTTAGAAAGAAGGGAATGCATTTTAGAAGAAAAAAATGACGCAAACTCTGGATTTACCTATTTGATCATAGAGGTTGACCGATGCAGCCAGACTTTCCACAGCTTGATCAAACTGCGATGAATCACCTAGGGTGAGGGACAGCATTTCCATTGGCGATTCTGTCTCTGTCTCGTCTTCGTCAACGGCGGCGGCCCCATTCGGAGATCTTGATTGTTTTTCGTGTTTGTTGGTCGGCGAACTGTCTTTGTGATCTTTCAGTCTAAATTCAGGCTCCACATTTGATTTCAGCTTGGACAATGCGTCGGCCAGGGCATGAAAGTAAGTATCATCCTGCTGCGCTGAAGACGGCAAACTGATGGATTTGGTCTGCAAATGCATACTGCGTCGTCGTGGGGTCTTGGCTCCAGGGGTCTTGGCCCCGGGAGTACTTGCTTGAGTGGCGGATTCACTGTAAGCAAGTTTACGAAACGATCCTCGGCGTGAGGCATTGCGTCGAATAAGGTCCCAGTTGATCTCGGGTTTATCCAAGAGGAAGTCGAGCGACTCGATATTACTGGTATTCATGGTTTCAGCTAATCGTGACAAGCGTACTCGGATACCGCTGCACAGACCGTTGCGAAGACTCAAAAAGAAGTTGAGCAGATTCTTTCTCGACGGATCCATTGGGGCGCCTGAGCTGGTTTGCAATCCTCCCAGTAGCGATCGTGTAAGAATGACTGTCATGGTAGGTCGGCCAGCATAGAACCAGTTTTGGCTGGTAAAGCTGAGCTCGCTTTCAAAAGCAGACACCAAATAATCGGGATCGGCGTTCAGGTAAAACTCGTTATTGTCCATGAAATGCGGCGTGAAAGCATAGATCTGGCCTTGAATGCGGTAAAGTCGAGAAGTACCTAGAACACCAATAGGTCTAACCGCAGAGAGGTTAATCTTCTTGCAGATTCGGATTTTTCCATTTTTTTCTGCATCTTTTGGGGCTTGCTCTGTTTACCTTTTCGGGCGTCCACTCATGCCCATTTTTGTATTCAAACCGAGACCAGCATAAATATCGGCCAACGCATTGGGGGGAAGAATCGTGATGGTGCTAACAATCTGATCGGCGGTTTGGGTTTCTAATCCGTACATAGATGATAGAATACTCTGTAATTCGGCATCTTCCGCAATAAGCGCAATTTGGACGATCGTCTCCCTTTTGGCTGTCATGTAACGCCGACCAAGTGGGTCCATTTCTGAGGGTGACAGCAGATTTTCGTACATCAAATTGCCTAAAGTGTAAAGCGAGTTGGCCCACACCAACGGTACGTTATCATTGGGACATCGTTGCTGCGAGTGAGGGTTCGCTTTTTCTGCTTCGACTGCATGTTCTGGCACATAGTACAGTTCGGCTAAAAGCGGGAAACCGGTAGGCGATGGACTGCACATATCCACAGGGGATGACACTATCTCTTGCCCATGCGTTTGCATAGCACTGCTGTCGAGGGATGTTCCCGAGTTTCCATAGATCAAGAGTGGTTGTAGTTTCTGTCGATAATTCTCTACTTGGATCCTATCGTCTGTAAATAACCCTTCCAGCAGCATGTAGGTAAAGAATAACGGCCATTCGCTTTCAATATCTTCAAACACTTTGAGCTCGTTGGCGTTATAATGAAGTCGTGATGTATCCTCCAGCACGGTTTGATGCCCGTCGCGTAAAAATCGTTTCCATCCATATCGTCCTTCCAGTTTTTTTATGGCTTCTGATTTGGAACGCATCATGAGCTCTGGATCATCCACAGCGAAAGCGGGAAACCCAATGACGGAAAGTATCGACCCATCAATTTCCTTGGAATTAGATTCTCTAGGTAAAAAGCTGTGGAGCGTCGTCGCATTTCTCGTCAACTCGTCCGGCAGCACACGGATCACCTAGGTTTTTTCTAAAGATTAAGATGATACCTTGATGATGCTTGAATTTCTACGTGTCGACTTACGGAAGACGTTCCGCCACGAGCGCCGAATAGGTTGATGCCATTGATGGCCTTCAGAGCAGCCACGACCATACCGATGGACGATGAATTCAGCTCCGGTTGACCGTGGTTGATCTTGTTGCCTCGTTCCCAAATGCCATAATCTGGCGTTCGATAAGCACCTATGAATTCGTTTTTTTATCAGACCATGGATCCTTTATATGGGGTTGAACATGCATTCAGGGCCGTCCCTGATTCCACATACGCTCAATGTAAAAAACGAGGTTCTGCACGAAATCCACTTCATCTTGACTGTAGACGATGGTGAAGCCACTGGTGGTCATGTCAGCGAGTGCAAGCATAAATAAAGCGGTGGCATCGAGCTGTGGAGCACGTGACAATGATTAAGGACCACAGATCGCCGTATTAGAATGATTCTGGACGTGTACCTGAAGATGACCCCATTCAAAGTCTCCTACAACCGTTTCGCCTGTATTGGTATCGTATTTTGCATGCAATGAATGTTCCAATGCTTGGGTGTACTTGAAAGCTTCCACTTTTTGACTTTGTCGCATCATGGCAAACAAAAGACCACGCATGTTTTTAATGACCGAATGCTCAAGTTCAACTGGCGATAGGGAAAATGTGAGGAATCTGCACTTCGCGAGATAGATGAACGCAAATATTTACATGTTCTTCCGCTGGTATCATCGATCCGGCGATAAGCCAGAGCTAAACCATACACGGCATAGATAGAATACACATTATCCCTAAAGACGTTATCATTGTACTTTCATCATGCATTCACTGCCGAAAACCGCGCCACTTACCTCACCCAAGCATCTGTATAATTTCCATGGCTCTATCCACCCCTTTTTGTCAAATGAAACAGGATCGATGAACCATATTCTCGCGTACCTACCGTGACAGCTACCGATGCAGGTATCAACCCCGTGGCGGCATTCTGTTTAGCAAGTATAGTACTATAGATTGCTTTGTAATAGTAATCAAGGCGTTCAAGAACTTGCTTCCGAGGAAGATACGTCATAAAGATGAAAAGGAAATGAAAAAAGGGGAAGAAAAAAAAAGATAAAAGGAAAAAGAAGGAAACTTTGTCGGAGATCCTCCCTGAAAACAAAAAAAAATACCATTCAGACGCGGGCAAAGGCTAAAGCGATGCATTCATGCGCCGCTTCAAACATTGTAACCATGCAAATCCATCCATCCATCTGTTCTTGCCACTCAGCACAAGTAAAACTCAGCACGAGCCATGTGCGGAACATTCGTCTCTTTCGCTTTAGTGACTGCATCTGATATTTACAGAAGCTGGTCAACAGCATCTTCTATTGATTTGCAGCAGCAAAACATTAGGATTGAAAACTGATAAAAGGCTAAATGATACATAATGATCGAACAAATTGGATATACGGAAGAGAATTATGGAGGGGGAGAGGACGGTGGATTTATAATTGGTTGGATAAATGAATGCAAGTGGCCGAGGATCAGTGAGACTGTGATGATAAAATACGTTCCAAACGCTAAACCAACGTGTCACTCCACTACCGACGCGTCTAGACTCGTTACTGACGTGAATATCTTACCTCAGAAGCCACGCTCACAGGATTCTCGCATCGCATGTAAGCACTTGTCATAATATCTTGCAGTATGGTGTTGGCCCATCTAGTGAAAGTGGCATTCAGATCCAGTGGGTGTGATGATAACTGCCCTATTAACTTACTTTTCGTCGCCAACATAGCCCCACATCGTCCGTCGACAATATTCCACATCCACCTGAACCTGTTGGTACGTTGCCTCATGCATCTGCATCTCGCGGACGGTTTCATGGAAAGCTTTCAAGAGGATTCGAACCAAGGCGCTGCATACACCGGACGGTGTCGGTTCTACGTGGCGGTAGATATCCACCCGGTCAGCAAACAGTTTATCAATGTTGTTCATCATATTAAGTGTTAATCCGCTTCCAAAGTTGGAAATGATCCCCAATCCACCAGCATCGGCTGTACCAGCACCAGCAGACGATAAACTTGCCAAACTCTGAGTTGACTGAACATGTCGCATATAAGGCCCTTCACCGCCCGTTGCTGAAGATATCGATCCCGTTGGATAGTCATACTCTGTATCGGGTGTGTGACCGTGTCCAGGCGATGCTTCCGGTTGTGACATGACGGTATCTACAAGTTGCTCGGTGCTTCGGAGATGAAGCATGATTTCCTTCCATAAAGGCGAGACCTGAACATCGCCAAGATGCGAATCAATTTCATAAAGATAAAACCCTTGAAGACGGGATGACCAAACGTGGACCCATTCCATTACTTGTGCGTTTAACAGCCATTGTCCAGATTTTAAAAACTCGTCCATGATGTGATGCATATCAGGCAGGAATCGGGGATCGATGGAGGGTGTTTTATCGTGAACGGCGGGATTTTTGGTGGAATCAATGCCATCGCTCGACAAAAAGTAGAGTGTAAAATGACTGTAAATCTGCGCGACGACCCATTCGGCAAAATCATAGCATAAGCGCGACCCGATCAACTTGAGTGCAGGAGAAGCCACGGTGTTTTTCTTTGAAAGTGTCGTCGACGTTGTCTAACGAATGGTTTTATCATTAGTAGCCTGTAATAGCCCTCCAACGTGGGTTCGCTGAGGTCTACGTACCGTGATATCGTTGCAAACGTCGAGACACATTGTCTTTACCCCTATTTGCAATCGATCCAAGAACTGCGATCGACTGTGACGCGCAAATACTGGGACATCCACGTTTAGACTCTCGTGTAATGGTCGTATACATCTTTCAATGAAATGCTGTAAGAATCCCTCATCAATGTCTACTGTAAATGCAGCCACATCGCCACTCTCCAAATTTCCTTTGGGTACACCTGAGTCGCTCAAGTTTGCAAAGAATTCTCCGGTGCGTTCTATAGAATTGTTAGAAACGGACATTCATTTGAAGAGTGCGGTTCAACTTGGTGACAAACTCCTACCTTTCACTAGTTTGACGCCCGTGCCCAGTAATCGATCAATGAGATTGCCTTCCCACTGATTACTTAAATCATTCATGCGTCTATCGATGCCAGCAACGGTAGACAGGGTATTTCCATGCTTTGTAATGGCAATGCATAGTTCACCCAGATATTGGACTTGCTTCAAAGGGGTGGGCACTTCCAAAATGTCGTCCTATGCTTCCTTGTAAAAAAAGACGGACCTTTCTGGTCAGAATCTATTTGGTTGCTTACAGGTAAATGAAGAAATCTTTGAACCAAGTCGAAGAAACGATCAATGAAGCCCTGAATGCCCTTTAGCAGATCTTCTTTGGCCTCCTTTTTCTCCTATGCGAGCAACTCAACGTGTCAGTCATCCGTCCTGTATGGACATCCATCGATTCCCTTACAGCAGAACCTAGATGTGCCACACCCGCGTGTCCTTTTTCGCTCGTCTCGTCGGACGGCGTTGAGAGGAAAAAACTGTCAAATCTTTGCACGATATCTTCCAGCGCCACAAGGTAGATATTGATGAACTCGTCTATATTCTCGGGTTCCGGATGTTGATCTTGTTTCTTCTTCAACAGGGCCGTTTGTCTACGCAGCCAGTATCATCAGTCTGTTTCTAAATCGAGAGTATTTCTTTATCCCCCTTGGCTCGCTGCAAACGTACAATGTAATGTATTTGGTCCACAAAGTTTGCATATCGTACTTTAACAAAACCAGTAGTTTTGTATCTTCACCAATCTCGTCTGAAGTCGCGTCCTCGCGTCCCATATGCTCCCATAATTTCGTCTTGACCGTTTCCATGATCTGATGACAATCTTTCTCGATTCCACTAAAAGCAGTCATGTGTTGGTAGTGATTAAGCAATGCACTGGCTCGCACGTAATAACGAACCGCCTGCGCATAGCGGTCTTTGGCGATGCATCGATTCAATCGATCGGGTAACTCAAAAATAAACTGTAGGCGCTTGAGGAGATTGTGGACATTACCGAGCTGCTTGACTTTTTCACGATTCGGTCCCAATGCTTCTTTAATGGTCGAACACTGTTGCGTGATGCTACTGATATTTTCGTTCAACAGGGTTGTCTCGGATTCCATATCCTCGACATTGGACTTCATCTAAGTGGTGCACACACACGTAAGTATCGACTCGAACTTTCCTTTTGCCCGTCAAGTTACCTTTCGTATGGTATCTGTGGCGCTGATAAATTTGTTATAGTTTTCGTAAACGAGGGTCTTCATGTCGCCATCGATTTGTCGAATCTCTGTCAGGTTCTCGTTACATGCTGGCTACTGAATACTTGCATCACTACATCACGTACCACTGATAAGCTCATTATCCTTCTTGATGAGACCACCGAGAGGCTGTTCCTTTAAAAGTCTGGAAAAGTACTTGACATTGTCAAAGTCTTTATTGTCTGGAATGGGTATTTGAAAAGTTAGAGCCTGAAAAATAGAAAAAAGTCGTGCGAATACGCGGGGTACTGACCGATATTGTATGGCTGTGGCGCGTTCTCGGAGGCTGCTGCTATGCCGTAGTATTTCTTGAGGTTGATATTGCGATCGCGCGCCTTGTTTAACCTCGGTCTTGCTGGGCTTTCTTGCATATTAAGTTTTTCGTAAAGAGGAAACCGTTATCTCAAAGAGCGGGTTTCATACTCCGAATTCATTCGAATTTCAAGCGGTGGGATTATGACAACTTGTGAACTTTTTTTTGCCAAGCTTCCATGACCCTGAAGGAAGTAAAAATACGAGAGTCTTGTTTGGATGCTGCTTCCAAAAGCATAAGTTTCGTATGAATGCGTGGCTCGGAGAATCATATGTACTGAAGAATAGCTTCTATTTTTCAAGTTGTATGGAAATGCCACATATAATGAATGGATCAACCTGATAAACCCGTTTTGATGCCGCATACGGATCCCCTATGGCCAGGACGGCAAGTTACTCTAGCAATTTTTCCATTATTTTAGCTGATTTTTTATCCCACGTTAGCTCGCTGATAAGCTCGTCTACAGGAATGGGCATCAACATTTTTGCTTACAGGCAAGCCGATGGTGTTCTTGAAGATTTTTGTTTCGGTCCTGAATCTGGGATTCGCCAAAAAAAAAAAAAAAAAGTGACGTAAAAAAATTGGGATTCGAGAGATTTTTGAACATTCTTGGAAATCGCGTTGGGAGTTCTACTTTTGCAATATGACACGAATCTTTCAGTGCACGTTGTCTTCATCGTTGAAACGAAGATGCGTACAAACGACTCCCTTATGGAGGAAACAAGCGTATGCCGCTTGCTTGACTCGATCGTTCTCGTCAACAAAACCATCGTTCGAAAACAACGCTGAACCAAAGGAACCCAAGGCTGACCAGTTTCGTAAGTTCACCTTGTTCCTCTCACAGATTTAATGGGTCGAAACAACGTCTCACCGTTCCGTAGCTTGGCTGTTAAGCTCCGAGGGCCCACGCATAGCGAAACACGATTACCCGACGTCGGCCGGTTCATTTGGATTTCTCACTTTATTTCCAAAATTCATTCAGCATGGCATGTGCTTTTGGGCCGCCAAAGGGTTTATGGGTGTGAATATGGGAGCAGACTACTTTCCTGATCAATTTCTTGTGGGAGGTACGTTGAAAACAGATTTTGGGGGATAATCATACAATAGCAATCAGTCAAGTAAACTTTTTTTGCAGCAACCATGGCTTTACGGCAGGCCGTCACATCAATATCACAACAGATAACGGACCCTACCACAGAGAAAGAAGAAGCGCTGGAAAAAATGCTGGGAAAACCACTTTTGGACCGCTTCATGGAAGCAGGGAAAGCTCTGCACGGTGCTGAACTCTCGATCCAAGTACCGCAGGTGTACGACGCTGAATTGAAAGATATCTGGATTAACGTCGGCACCAACGAAGCATTTAAAAACCATCGTAAATTCGAAATAGTCGAATGGATGACGTTCAGAATGGCAATGGAGAAAGGAAAAGACGACTCGCCCGAATCGTATTCCGATTTCAACTCGCGTATCACCAATTCATGGTTGTCGGCCGTACAGATCAATGTAGATGTGGCGATCGATGCGGACATTGTTTACAAAGTGGCCAAAGGAGACGATGTCCTCTTATACGACGAAGGACGGCGCTCGGTCATGTTGCGCCTGGGTAGCCCCTATTTCGAGCCTGCAAAAAAGATGGTATCAGGAAGAGATCCCGATACACTCGAACCATACAATGACTGGACTTGGAAAATCGTTGATATCGACCAGCTGTTAGAAAAAGAAGCCCAAGAACATCAAGACCAAGATGAAGACGAAGATCGAGATTAATTTTTTTTGGCCATGTCTTCTTTTTGATCATGTAATATATACACACTTGTTTTTAAATCATCTTTATAACTTTTTTTTGTATGTGTAAAGTCTAAGTTGGAAAAAGAGAGTGGTTTATTGCCAATACTAGACCATTTAGACACCCACGCAATAAGCTTTGCCAGTGTCCAGGTTATCACAGACGTGATCACCGAGGTGATGAAGGCCCTTGTTCCAGCTGTACAATTGATCAACGCTAATATGGTTTTTCTTTGCAACATCGACGCATCCGTTATCCGAAGGAGTAACCGTATAGAACTTTTTGCAGTTGGGGACGATGTGGTTGACCTTGTTAGGTGGACCGGTAGGAGAAGTAGGCTTGGAAGGCTTGCTGGGCTTCTTGGCAGGCTTCTTGGCAGGCTTCTTGGCAGGCTTCTTGGTAGGCTTCTTGGCAGGTTTCTTGGTAGGCTTCTTGCTGGGCTTCTTGGTGGATTTTTTGTTAGACTTCTTGGCAGGTTTCTTGGACGATTTCTTGCCGTTAGTCTTTTTGACGGCACGTCGAGTCAATAGCGAACGCTTGTTGATAACGGCCTGTACAAGTATGAAAATTATTTAAAAAGATACAATAGTGTGCGTCAATATTCGTTATTACCTTGACACAGTATTCGCTACCTGCTTCGAGAGCACTGCAAGCAGTTTCGGGAGAAACTCTCAAATCCTTGTTCCATTGAACGAGTTGTTTGGTGGAAATGTCAAACTTGTTGGCGACATCAGTGCATGATTCATCACTTGTAGCAACTGGAATAACCACATCATTTTAGCACCGCCTTTACTAATAAAATTCAGTAATATATACGTACCAGTATAACGTTGTTGACAAGTGTAAATGGACGGAACGTCGGCCGAAGCCAGTTTCAAGAGAGCAACAGCAGCGACAGCAAGAAGGCAGAATTTCATGTTTTAAAAAGGAGAGGAAGGGGCGATGTACCTGACATCTTTTGCAACTGGTTGACCCTTTTATACCAATCTTCGAATCCAGACCAATTCGATCTTGTTCCTGTCGATCTTTATTTTTATCCAAAGCGTTCAATGTTACACGATCGCACTGATGGCCGACAAAAAAAGTGTCAACATGAACTGGTTTTTTCCAAATTTGAGCTTGGTATAACGTTCTTTACTTCAGTTGATTTTCCAAGAAAGGAGCGATACGATGCCACCAATAAACTCACAATATGCGCCTGTACCTTGTCGCATCATACTCGATTTATTCTTATCTCTTTGATTTCGTATAGTCATGAACCACTAATTCCAAGTCCAAGTCCAAGTCCTCTGTAAGACGGTAGTTACTGTCGTTCAGCAACAAGCGATAAGCAGTGTGGTGCTATGGACACTATGTAAAAAGCGAAACATGTCAATCAATCTCGAATGTTACCTAAATTACATGTGCAACTCGACTCCGTCAGTCACCTGCGGCAGTAAATCAGCCTTGATTGGACGCTATTCAGATTCTCGGTTACAGTGACTAGAGCCAGCCATGATCCCGCAAATAAGTGGCATGACACACTGCCATCATTTATGCTTAAATAAGCCAACATCTCATCCCCTGAGGTATCAACAATTCCAAAAAATCATATGCATATTTTCTGCTCAAGGTAGAGCCGTGCCATACTTTGCAACAAGAGCAAGGGTGGCATCAAGGAAAAAAAAAAGGTACATGGATCCAATAATATCCTGTCGGTGTCGTGGAAGCTTGAAAAGGAAAATTTACCGTGCAAAGATCAATTTTGGCTTAAATGCATGCAGTATTTTTACCCATACCAAGGCATCGTTACAATGGAAGGTGTCACAACGCACTATGTCTCTTGAAACAGCCGCAAGTATTTCACCGTAGCGAACGTATTTACGAAGTATTACAAAAGAGAGTAAAAATAATATAGTCTTCTTGTAACCTTTAATATTCTCTCGTGCCATCTTTTTATAGCGACTAGTAACCTGCATCAATCATAATAGATATTACTCGCTATGAAAGAGATGTTTCAATGACCAAGGTAGCTGTTAGGCAACATACTCCTTACTGTCCATCTTTATATAAAACTATAACGGTACTTCCCAGTATGCCCTCCACTTTTATTTTTCCTATGTCAGTTTTCTTTACGCTTTCTCATCGATCCAGTGCGAGCAATAGTCCGAAACGGACGCGTGATCATACACCCTTAATAAAAATAAAATCGTTTACTTCAGAAAGGCACTTCATAAAATATACTTGGTGACTGCATTCAGCTGCGTCGTATTATATCTTCTGCGGATTATCATATAGAGATGCCCGCGCTATATCCTGCTTTATTAATCCTCCAACGGAAGGCACAATAATGAGTTCCTGATTTCAGATCACCTTTTTCATCGGACTGTAAACCCCACCCCCCAACAAAATTTTTAAAAAAAAATTCTACAACACTTGTTGATAACCATTGGCATTCTGTCTTGCCATAATTACACAAATAACACCACTCAAGCCGAACAAAAAAAAAAAACCAAAAAAAAATCCAGCACCAATAAGTGCAAAAAGATGGTCGTCAGCTACAGGGTTCGAACCTGTGCGGGCGGAGCCCAATAGATTTCAAGTCTATCTCCTTAACCACTCGGACAAACTGACATGTTTCACATTTTTTACTTCAATGAATAACAGGAAGACAATTATTCAAAGAATCACGTGAATGTTCGAGCCGAACTTTGCTTCTGATTGCGCACTGTCCGGGCGCTGTGCGAAGTTTTTTTCAAAGGCCTCAGGGCGGCGCACCAATATCCATATAGTCACCTTCCCCAAACGTAATGGCGTTTATGGAGGTTGCGCAGATGCTAGTTTTTGATGTGGAATGGTTTGCTTGCACACTTTTTCATCTTTTCTTTTTTTTTTTTTTTTTTTTTTGGTCAATGACAATAAACCTATTGTGGCGTTGAAGCACTACCGATGCGCGCTTATCATGTGTCGCAAATCGATAGCAAAAAAAGCGCCCTTAATTAATAAAATATTGCGTCTTTGGGATTTCATAATCGAAAAATAGCAATGTGTGGGTTTTTTTATTGCCTGTTTGGGGGTCATTACCACACACCGTAAAAATAGTCTGTAACGTTGCCGTTTTGGGGCCATTGCCACATTACTGTTTCGTAAAAAAGACAATCTACCCAAAAAGGGACGTTGCGGACAAAGAGGAGCCGTGGACTGGCCGCAACTTCGAGATCCTTTTGTTTTCTTTAGCGGGATTATCGGTCGGTTTGTGAGTTGAAGCGTTGAAGTGTACTGTATGCCTACACATTGCTTTTCATTTTATACTCAGGTATATGATTTATCAGTCGACGCTTCGTTATTAACAGACAAATATATGAATAAATTGAAAATCATAACACTCTTTCTCTTTTATATACTGTCGGACAGTGTGTGGGAAGCCGCCATGTGTATTGCTCTTGTTGGGGATAGCTCCCTCTTCCTTGAAGGGACGACCTTACCCCCCTTTTTAAAAACCTCAGCCATGGTATTTTATGCTGAGAAAAATTTTCAGCACCCCGCACACCGGTAATATAGTCTGTACTGATATTAAAAGCTTGAACATGCTGCTGATAATGAGCGATTTTTAGGTTTAGGTGCTGCGGAGGCTTCTCCCGATGGGGGAGACGGACAATCTGTTGCTTGCTGATGATAGCGTAAGTATGACAGAAATCTTCACTCAGAAATAAGACCTAACATGCATTTGTAGGTTTGGATGATGACGGATCCTTATTCAAATGCCATATTCATCAAGACGACACTATTTACATGTGCTCACGCTTCTTTTCTAGTCTGCCAGTTTATTCGACTTGTTGGATGCGAAATCGTTTTTGAGTTAAGAAAACACGCACTCCACTGGAATAAATGGACAAGTCAAATAAAAGAATTGTATCCTCAACGGAAAGCTTTTTTTACTCGGTAACATTACGTGAGTCTGTCAAATTAAATCAATGCATCCAAAAACCCCAAGGATCTCGTTCGACCGAAGATAGGATGGCCCAGTGAATGGAGCAGGTCCATGCGAAGAGAGATCTGTTATGCTCCGGTAAACCTAAAGACCCAAGTATTCTTGTTGCCATTTTTGCACACTTGTTTTCCACAACACTCTGGCACTCGAAAGAATTTCTTTTCCCAGGGATATCCACCGTTTCCAAACAAGTTCCAAGTCAATGGACGCGAGTGTGAATGATTGAGACTAAATTGTAGCTTTTTTACTGTTTGATTTACACGGTCTGATGATAAGGGGGATTTTAAGATTCATGTTAGTCATCACTAGCCTCCAGCTTTTGTTGAGCTTCTGCGTTGGCGACGGCTTCAGCAAGGTTTGTGGTTTTGTCCGAATCACTTGTTAGGCGTTGTCCTAATATTGTTGGAAGTTACAATCGATTAATTTATGATCAAAATGCATATTAGCCAGCAAAAAGAACATACGAATGAGTTCTAGAATCGCACGCTGGGTTTTTCGGTCGAGTTTCTCCAGCTTTGCTTCTACATCTCTTTTCAGATCCCAGTTTGGCTTTCTGGGTGCAAGATTGAACAGATCCTGTAACAACATGGTGAGCATCGCACGGTACGGTAAGGATGGAGAAGTTAGACAGTGCAACGTACCACTTCCTCTTTCTCTTTATCAGCTGCTTCCCGCAAAGTATCCTTTGCAATGTGTTGTGTTTCCGATTCCACCGTGGCGCCAATGTCAGCAGGAGTGGCTATGCTGACATTCTTTTGCAAATCTTCGTCGATCGGTACATAACTTCGGAATGTCAAGGTTCTAAAGAAAGAGTCGGTTTGATCAGCATAAGTAGGCATCGCCCACCCATTGTTAAAGAGTCGACATACTTTTCTGCTTCATCAGAAGCACGATCGGTGGATCCTGATGAGCTCGCGAGCTTTCTTTTTCTGATAGCTTCGAGGCGCTCCTTTCTTTTCCTTGCTTCTTCCTCCATGGCGAAGAGTGTAACAGCGACTGCAGCGGGAATAAAAGCTAGACCTTTTTTTGTTGTGACTGGCAAAAGCGAGCATTAAAAAATCGTTCATTTTCTCAAACCCACTTTTTACACAAAGCCCAACATTGGTTTACACAAGGTGTATGAGAAAGCCGACATTTTTCTTTTTATTTCACAATAGAGTATCGCCTTCTCACTAACACGGGGATGAGGGCCACCACCGCTACAGCGACAAGGCATAGTATGTTGGTCGGAGTAAGAAGTTTTAATTCGTCCGAAGACGAAAGACGATCCAACGCAGCGCCTGCTTGCACATGGATAAACGATGGCGCAGCGACACCTGTGTCAATAGGGTCAATCACACTTAATTCAATATTGCTAAGTCCCAAAAATCCTTACCAAAGAACGTGCCCCAGAAAAACGCTCCTATGGGAACTGCCAAATGAGGAGCGCCCAAGTTAACTGTCCAATTTGGCGGAAAAGGAGCGATCCTGAGCACAATGATGTAGTTGAACATATGCTGTCTATGTCGTACAAGCTGATCATATGTCAGTGAATGTTAATGCAACGGTTAATGTTTACCAAGCAATTTACCTGTTCTTGCCATTTAGCTATTCGATGGCCAATGAGGCGCATCACCGCCACCGACGCAAGACTACCGGAAATTGCATAGGCCACCGCAGCACCAATGGCGGAGCACTGGCGATGGATGATTAACAATCTGCAAAACAAGGTTTTCATTTCGAGAGTCGACTTACCAAAGACACGGTGAACAGGGCCAGCCAAAAATTGAAAAGGGCTCCTCCCAGAATAGAAAGCCACATGGAGCCGGGTATAGAGAAGCTTTGGAGGCTGCATAAAAAAAGGCAAAGGTGGATGAGATGGGCTTTTTTCGGGCTTACTGGGAAAGGGATGAGACTTACTAAATGTATGTAATGAAAAAGGTAGTGTAGACATTGATGAAGTGGGTGTCAATATATACAGATAATACTTGATTGAGTCTGGTCAGCTCTTTGAAGCTTCGAGGGAACTTTATCGCATCTCGATCATCACTAAAAAGAATAAAAAAAAAATTGACGGTTATGCATCCTTTTCAACGGTATGGGTCCGCTCGGCTGAAGCAGGAAACTTACGGATTGATATCCGGTAAATTAAACTTTAGAATGACGAATTCTAGCGAGGTAAATACCACGAATAAGAGGATAAGCGTGGCCAAGGACCAAACATACGATCGGCTTTGCCATAACCATCGCTGCTTAATGACGGCGGTTCTCGTTACATGTCCGGACTCTTCAGTGTGTTGTTCAATAGTGGCATAAGTGTGAATGCTTTCTGCCGCCTGCGGCGATTGCAGTAGGGAAGTAGTGTCATTGGGATGAGTCATGAAGAGAAAGGCAAAGATTCCAGAGTGTGACTTTTTCGTTATCGGGCAACTGCCATGTGGGGGCCAAAAGCCCGGTTTCACATGGCGGCAATCACGGCTCCAGGAAAGGCCGGAGCAAATTTTTTTTGGCCATGTCCGAAAATGGAAATAAAATAGGGCATTGACAGTAAAATTGATACCTTTTTCTTCAAACGCCCATCGGGTCTTTAAGAGAGAGTGTCATGGACGCGACTAACTCATTTGAGCCTGCACCTAATCTTCCTATTGGGAAGAAAAAATATCTTTGTGTGGAATATCCGGCCATTGTCAAGAATACCCATCGCGCTATCGATGCAATGGGAGGAGAAAAAGCACTGGCAGCGGTAAATTCGATCGATCGTCGACAAAATGTATGAAAATCACGCTGTGGGTCTCACGCTACATTCTAGTCACTCGTCCATGAAACACCAATTGAATTACGATTCCGTCCAGGCGACCCATTTTCGCATCCTATCAATGGCGATATTGTGCCTTCTTCAAAATTGCTCGTCAAGGTGACTCGTCGCGTAAAATCGGGCCAACCGACAGAGGAGGCAGAAATTAAAACAGAACTGCTTGGCACTGTATCCAAGACTCTTCGCTTTCGTAGTAAGCATTCAGCCAAAAATCCATCACCGAGCCTTGTTCCTGCATCGATCTGTAACCACCGTCTTTTTTTTTTTTTTTTTGCATCAGCTTTGGCGGATTTCCAATACATTGTTCCTGAAACGGATCGCATCGCTCGTCTAAAAAGGGCTATGATCGCGGGCAATGGTAAACATAGAACGCAACTTTTTAACAAGAAAGGCGCGATTACTTACAATATCTCTCGTTGCACTCAGCTGAGGAAATCTTGAACTATCGCGTGCCACCGGATGACGGTGAAAATGAAGCTGATCTCCATAATATTCCCCCTCCGGTATTCAGCGCCACCGAAATGCCAGCATCTTACAAGTACACTATTCCCATCGTTATTCTGCTGGGATAACAAGATTAACTCTCATCAAAATAGGTATCGTCAGAGTTCACCGGTAGTCAGAGTCAAAGTGAAACAGCCCGATGGTTCGGTACGTAGCAAACCTTTCTAGTAAAAGAGCACAACGTGAAATAGGTTTTGTGATTCCATACGCAAAAGATGAACAAGAAGGGGAAAATTTGTCTTTTGCACATTTTAACTGTTTTGTCTTTTTATAGTATGTTGTCAAGCTTATCAACAAATCTCGGAAACGAGAGTTCGCGATGACAAGCATACACTACGAAGATGAAAATATCCTTTTTTCGCTGCTGAGAAAGTGTGGGAGAGGAGGAATGGTTGTCGTTTATTGTGAATAATGCCTTAACTTTGTTATTTTTCAACACATGTTCCAACGCAATCTTGGTTTAAGAATGCGGATCTAGTAGGTGAACCTCTACGAGTACGCGAAGACATGGCCAAGGTAAAAAAGTCGTCATAGTATTTTCAGCAACGAAATTCTGATATCCCTATTTCGACAGCTTTTCGAAGAGCGACCCATTTGGTCCAAAAATGCACTTAAACACGTCATTCCGGTCAAGGATCACAAGTTTATGGGACGGTAAGCTCTGGAAACTTTTTATCGGTTGCTGTATCCATTCGGGGCTTAACGACGGTTTCAGTGCTTTGGTGTCACTCGGTTACACGTTTGCCAACGGGCCCTGGCGCGAATGTTGGGTACGATATGGTCTCGATCCAAGAAAAGATCGCAAATATGCCATGTAAGCCATAATGCCACAAATTTTATAATGCCACAATTTTTTTTAATCTCTTGTCTAAAATTTTGGATGTTCGGTATTTCAGTTATCAGATTCTCGATGTCCGACGTACTACCCGAGGCTCAGGCACAAGTGGTCCACGCCCAGTTCGAACCAGACTAGCTCCTCGATCTACACTTTCAAACAGCAGTAGCGGCGCGGGTGGAAATTAGTAAGTAGATATAAAAATTGACATATTGCGTATTTTCCTTTGCCTGCTCATTACAGGAATTAGCACCAATAATGGACACATATTTGACGGCAAAAACAAGGCTACACTGACAGCCATGTTTCAATTATGTGATGTAACAGACCCAGATATCAATCCTCTCATTCATAACCAGACCTATATGCGATCTGTGTGCACGGTAAGACAACAATGAGTGTAACGCAATGCGTGTAGAATCATCTATTCATCTGAGCGATATAGAAAATTACAGGGTTCTACTACGCCTGTACTCTGGAACGAATTCGTACTGCCGTGCGAAAAAAACAGGATGAGTTCCGTAGCAAAGGTGAAGCATCACGAATTTCGAATTTAGAGGTGGGTTTGGCCAAAGACATTGTGGAAGAAGTCGCAAAAGAAGAGAGAGAAGCGGCTGCTGCGGCTGAATCTGCGTCGCAAGCAGCCAATCAACCATCCGTCCCCATCAAAACCGAAGAAGCTGAAACGGCCGTTCGCGATGCGCAACTACTTTACCAACAATCGGATCAAAATTTGGTGGACCTGGTAAGATGGAATTCGCGAGACCGCCGAATCATTGCTAATATTCTGCGAATGTAGGTGGCACAAGAGATCAATAATTTCAACAACCGTGATCTTCGTAAGTGTTTCGCTGAGATGTCTGGAAAATTGAATTCTTTTCATAACATTGTACATAGAAGATGAGCTCGACTTTGACACCTTGGCCGAGTTTGACGATGAGGATTTTGTTGACGAAGCTGAGATTGAAGAAGAAGAAGAAGAAGAAGAAGAAGAAGAAGTCAACGATGACGAGTTGAACGGAAGCATCATGGATATTGATTGATAATCTATAGAAGGAAAAAAAGAGTGGGGAATCATCAGGCCTTGTTACCCGAATAAGAGATGTTTTTGTTGATTCTATGTTTATTTATGTTACAATGCTCATGCACGTGTCTATGTATAGTGTAGTGAATGCAAAATTAGTATCCTGACTTTTCAGCTTCGCTGGCACCAGTCGAGACGTTTTCGTTGACAGGATAGGTCAGATTTTGTTCGGCCAGCTTCTTGAGACGGAATTCTTCATCCATGGTGTCATAGTGACGGAAGATGGCGTAGTAGAGGCAGCCGCAAACAAATCCACCGACAGCCACACCGGTATAAACCCAGACCATGTTCGGATCATGCGCAGCAGGCGAGATGGCAAGGGAGATGAGAGCCGCAACACAGTTGGGCCATAAGGAAACGGCGGACACTAGAGATTTCATGGATTTCGGCGCGTGGGTGTAGGCGTATTCCATGGCAGTAATGGATGCAAAGATCTCAGAGAAAGCGATTAATACGTAGCAAGGAATCTGCAAAAACACGGAGACGCTGGATTTGCCCGTTTCCAGATACTGTTGGTCAATGTAGATGTAATGCTGGACAATAGCTGCGTACACCATCGAAGCTGCACCGAGCATGAATCCAGCTATATCGCGATAGATAAGGACATGGAATCGATTAGCCAAAGAGTTCGTAGCGATCTTTTTCTCCCTTTTGTTTTTTACCTGTAATTCTTTGCTGGGGGAAGAAGTTGATCTTCAGTTTGCGCAATGCGGGGTACAGAAGGACATCACAGATGGGAATAAAGATGATAAGAGCAATAGGGTCAAAGTTGTTCATGATATCGTTGGGAAGACCGGCCGGACGACTCATTTGCGACGCTTGCGACAGCAAGTTATTGCTCAATTGATTGTAGCAAACCCAGTAAATGGAGATAGGCACGAAAATTTTGCAGGCCATGATGGCTTGCTTCAATTCGTCGATAAATTGATCGTCCCACTTGGTGGCTTCTTCGCAAGCTTCCGAGGTCCATTCGGCTACGTTTGGTAATTGAGAGTCGCGCTTGGCGAAATCCAAGGTATCTTTGCACGCTTTTTTGGCCTCCTTGTTTTCCGGCAACTTGGCTTGACGGTGCGCAAATCGTACAATTTTCCAAGCTTTGAGCACGACGGACTCGGTCGGTCCAGGCTTGTAATAAAAGCGACTACCAGCGACGAAAACACCGATAGACAGAGCAAACATACACGTCGGAAGTAAAAACGCTGCCCAAAAACCTACATTGAGTTCCAGCAAAGGGCAAATAATGCCTCCGATCACAGAACCCACGTTGATAGCCCAATAAAACCTGCCGTGTCGTGAAAATTAGATCAGTCTCCGATATTGCACCGAAGAAGAATACCAAGGCTTACCAGTTGTAAAGACGTTGGATACTGAGATCATAATCCATCATGACAAGTTCACCGGATTTGGTTTCCTTGATGTAATTATCGGTTCGTCGATATTGATCTGCACAGAGAGGAGCGACAATACCCTTGATACCTCCTGTACCAACTGAGTAAGGACCAAAAAAAAAAAAAAGATGGCTCCGTCAGAATGATCCGATTTAAAAATAGCGAAGCTTCATTTGTAACTTACAGCCAATGACAATCAGAGCAACAACGTAACCGGGAAAACCAGCGCCGTTGTCAAGAGCAGCCGGGGAGGCAGTGGCTGTAAGGATAACCCAGCCTGCCATGTAAATGAAGGAGAAAATAAGAATCGTCCAGTAACGTCCCACATACTGATCCGCAACAAGGGCACCCAGCATGGGCCTACGCGAAAACGTGTCAGCAAATCATCAAACACCATATACACTGGGTTAATTACATACGTAAAGTAACAGAAGAATGTAAAAAAGTTTTGAAGCGCGGTAGCCACGGATTGACCCTTGTTCAAAGCACCGGCTTGCGTCGGATCATTAGGTCCATACTATTAGCAGTACATATAAGTACACCTTGTCATCTACATATTGCTTTGCTGGAACAGGAACACAAAACGAACCTGCACGTAGTTTTGGAATGGGGTGGAGCCACCGTAGTAGGCCAATCTATGCAATTTCGTTTATATTTACAGGTCAAGACGTCGTGCAACGTCGAAACGTACCGTTCACTAAAAAAAGGATGGTGCTGTCAGAATACCTGCTATTAATTTTATACAAAGATTTACCATTGTATTTACCAAAATTCGTTGACCAGAATAAACCATGCTGCGAGAGGGACGTTTTCTGCAACGCGACGCAAATTGGCGGTTTCCTTCATTTGCTGATCGTGTAACGCATCCAGCTCAACTTCGGTGGTCACCGTCAAGTTGGCCACTTGCTTCTTCTCCTTGTCAGAATTCATTCACAACCTCTTCAACAGTATTTTTTTTTTTTTTTGGCGGGATCAAAACCTTTATATTTATTTATTTTTCAATTTTTGGTGCGGATATTGAAATAAATACACTAAAAGTCTGACTTTGCGAAAATGTATCAAAGTAATATCCCGTTCTACTTCACTCGCTCAGTTGCCGTGGTTAAAATGGGGACAACAAAACTATGGGACATTTCAACTACTCTGTTTTTCATTACTTTTTTTTTTTCAACAATACCCCGCACTTTTTATGGTGATTGAAAATGGGAATTATTCCGTCACCTGTCAAAAGCGGATCTGCCCCGCCCGACGGAAATTGAAGTAAAATTTTTTTAATCTAATGGCCAGGACCCTATGACAAAGACTCACGCACAGACGTGTCCGCTCGGGCGGAACATAAAATCTCGCATCTGATTTGTTCATCGAACTGCAGTCACGAATCACCAATGAAAAACTGACTTGGAATCCCCACAGTCGGGAGACGAATAACATTTTTGTTGTATGGTTACATTCATATGAAAAAGTTCCAAGGACATTAACAATGACGGGGGTGCAATTATGTTTATGGCGCAACGTATACCTGAGACTTGAAAACCCGATTCATAATATTATTCATAAATGGTAGGCCATGCGGGTTATTCTTAATATCTGGGTCGTCCTATCCGTTGGGATGTGGAGTGAGAAAATCTTGAAGATGGGCGCTCCATTTTCTTTTGAAGTTGTTTGAGTTCTTCCTCATTGTACGCTCGAATCTGTACACAATAGAAAAAGTCAGATATCAAGTTACCATCATTGTATGAAAAGATGGTTATTTTTACCTTTAAAGATTCCGGCATGAATTTGTAAGGTATGGAGCCCAATGTACCATCAAATCTAGGAATATTCGTTAGCGCACAACGTTGTAGTGAATTTAAAGGTCAAAGATTCTTTTGACGCGTACCTATTCTTCTTCACTTCCAAGTACCGGACGTCATCGCCCATATCGTTTTGCTTTTGAATAATGATGACATTGTCCGCTTCTTGAGTCACTTTGGCACTGCCAAATACCGAATTGATTTCCAGCTGTTCGCCAGGATCTTTGCGCGGATGCACCACAAGCGTGATGTGAACGTCTTGATTTGTCGCAAACTTACGAAGCTCCGCTATCGCTTCATCCTGTAATTCCCATCGATCCAAACTGGACCGTCCTTGCTGTGACAACATGAACTGAAGGTTATCAAGAATGATATGCCGTACATCATAGGCATAGACCGCATGGCTACACGCTTTCAGTACATCCTTGATCGCTGTACTACTGAAGAATTTCAAAAAGTAAAGGGGAAGCTACAAGTTGGATCTGTCAATAATCAGAAATTTACAAGACAGTGGGCTATTCCAATTCCATTACCTGTTCAAATTGATCGGCCCATACATCGATTTCTTGTGGTGCCAAACTGAGATCTTTGCCAGCAAATTGATACAGCATCTTCTTGGCGAGTCGTTTGTTCATGATTTCAAAAGATCCCCACAACGTCGCTACACCACTTTTGCAGTAATCCAAGCTGATTTGACTGATGATCGTCGTCTTGCCTGCACCTGTCGGACCCGTCAAAATGGTCAGTTCACCTGGGCGATGGCCTTTTAAAACCTTGTTGAGTGCAGGTAAATCGGTGGATTGCACGCCTTTGGTTTGCTCGGGATTCAGGATTTCCCGATACACTTCTTCCCGAAGGTCACCAAAATCGACAATCTGGTCATGCTTGATGCGTCGAGCCGAATGAAGAATTTCGTTTAAATTTTTGCCTTCCAATAACGCTCCGTGAATGTTAACTGCGCCCTGCTGAGCGCCTTGCCGCGTGTTCACAATCATGCACCGACTTTCACCCAGTTTATGAGCGAACCTTTCCGACGCTAATTGGCCATCCACGTCATCATCCAACCAAACGTACACCTTGGAGAATCGTTCAAGAAGAGGCAAGGTCGACTCTTGGAGTTGATAGGTCATGGTTGGTAAGGCAAAAGCGGGTATACCGGTGGACTGGTACGCTGCCATGGCGTCCAATTCGCGTCGGGTGAGAATCACGGTATCTGTATCCGAGGTGGCCATGTGATAACCAAATAAGCCGGCAGATCCAGCTTGATTGACGACGGGCGGGTCAAACGTGACCTGGTCTACTGCACTCTCCACCGGACTGGCCCTCACGCGTACTGTATCTATCCGAAACTGAACATCGGTATCATTTTCTCCATCAAACGAACACGCAACGGTCGTTTGTGGATAAGTGAGACATAATTTGGGTTCCACCGTTCTGCCTTCTTTCATCGCTTGCAAACGAGCGTTCGGATCGACATAGTCGGCAAGACCAACACCGTAGAGCCGCCAGACGTCATCATGAATCGCGTGCTTTTCTCGTAATTGATTCATCAATTGGGGATCTTGCAAAAGTCTATTTGGGTATTCGTGGATTTCTTTGATCGGTCGAGAGAAATGGGGCTCCCCGGCTTTCAATAAATCGGACGTCGATACGACCTGAAAACCGCGATCTCGCTGCTGACCCACTTTTTGCTGAAGCGTTTTCGCATATTCATGCCATCGTCCGTGGCTGTTGCAGGTTTTACAGTTGTAGGTACCGTTGCTTAGATCGATATAGGCTGCGAAGCTGTTTTTGCGAATGTTGAGACAGTGAGGACAATTGGTCAGAATGACATTGTTGTTTGCGGTTGGTATCGGTCGTTGTTTGTTCTTGTACAGGGTTTCCATAATAGTAGCCTTTAGGCGAGCTGATTCAGCGAGATTCTTTTTGCTGGTGATGGGCGCTGTTTTTTGACTGCGGCTCGCATATTCCACGGACGTGACAGCCGCTGATCGACCGCAACGCATCGAGGTCGACAAATATCGTGCAGAATGGCAGGCGGATAAACGACAGCCATTATAGTAACGCAATCGCAGGAGATTCTTGGTATGATGTATTAAAGCATGATTCATATTGTGCAAGCGTTTGGTGCACTCGAAAGAACACTTTGACAGGAACACAAGTTTGCGGAAACGAGTTAATATCGTGACAGCGAAAATTTCCATTCTGCAAATGCCGAAATTTTACACACCAGCATATGGCCTTCGCCTGTCATTCACAGTTTGTGTCATTTCACAGTAATGTGAAAATAAGTAATTTAATTCACACGCTGATGCCGTCGTACCTTGGGCCAAAAATTTTCAGTATGCTTTATGCTCTTGGAACTTTCGCATAGTAAAAATTCATCCTTGCAGATTGTCAGACCCAAATTTCCATCACGAATTTCCAACGAAAATTTCAAAATTCCCAATGTGACGTTGCCGCGTCACCGATTCTTCAGAGGAAATTGACTTTTTTTTTTAGGCCCAAAAAACGAACTTGAGCGAGTTTGCCCAGACCCGTCTTACCTATTGCAGAACGTTCACTGATGCAAGCGATCTCGCAATTGGACCATAGTAATAAAGACTCGGGAGTTAATGGGCACGCTGACACAAACGATAATATGACTGGTCGAACTTCGCCTTCCCCGGTCAACCACCACCACCCTCAAGAACACAAAACTCGCGATGCAGACAACGACAACGACGTCGTATTGCCAGTCGAAATGGCATGCATGGTCTCGCTTCGAGCCCTTGTCGGCAAAATGGTCCAAAAAGCCTACGCTGAACTGATGACGCTTACTGACACGTAAGTAGTCTTTGCCCGCATGCTAATGCTGGATGCCCAATGTTGGAAAACGATCATCGATCCAAAGTCCAGGGACCTCACTCACACCACCCAATTCCCATTGTAGATTACCATCCATGCCAGATATTGAAAGGAAGCGTCAAATCCTACAGTATGCAACATTTGTACGCAAGCAATTCTTGAAACTGTATGTGTTGGTCAAATGGGCAGATAATGCCGACGATGTTCAGATGTGTCAGGTAAGCCAGTTTGTGATAGAACCAACCGATACGAAAAAAGATAACTGAAACATGAATTGTCAGAATATTATGGCTTTTCTCGCGAATCAAAACCTAATCTTCCAAAATACAGTGGACTACTTGCACAAGATCCATGCGGAATTACCGGCAGCACGAGTTCGGAACTTTGATATCCTCACCGCCGTGGATGTCTTGACCACAGGCACCTACCAGCGGATGCCGACAAAGAATCAGGTACGTTTGTTGGTGTGGACGTGGACAACGGTGAAAGAATAAGTATCTGAACTATTCTTTCAGGATATGATTCCACCAGCAAAACTGACGGATCAAGAGGTGTTGGAGACATTCAAGGCCATGAACGATGTGATCCGTGTTCGTATGTTGACGTCGGAAGTGCTGCCGTCACCAATGCATCACTATCGAATTGGTAATACAATGTTCATTGAATGGTTCTGTGAAAAGAGAGTGGAGGATTGATGTTCATGCCCCATGTAGAAAACGGGCGCATCTATTTCCGAATCGAAAATGAATTCGAAGTGTCGCTTACACTTATGGGCCCAAGTGATAATCGACGCTGGTGGATTGTATCTCTTGACGTTTTAGTTCATCCAGTGGAAGGTGGAGGAGCTGCAGGTACATATTTTTGTCTTTTTTTATGATGCATAAATTCACAGGCCAGTCTTCTTAACCGAGTTGGGCATCATTATAGGCGTGGATATTTCTCTGAACGACGCACAAAAACAACGACTTCGCAATAACGCACAGACACAACTTGTTCCTCCCGCCGTCACCACGGCAGATCAAAGTTCCAGTGAAGTGTCGGATGTCACGAAAGCCCCCATCTTTTTCCCGCTCGTCAGCCTCTACGATTATCTACACCTCTTCTGTCTCAATATGCAGTTGGAGATCTTATTTATGCAGTCAACGATGCTTTCCAAGAACCAGTGGGCCGATCAACTCAAAGTACACATGGACGCAACACGCACAAAATTAACATTAGTATATTGGGGTGGCGGTTCGGCTGCTGCGCAATGGGCCTGCCCCCAGGTAAGCGCACACAAGCAGAGAAGAAACGCAACAAAATAGATTAGATGGCTAATGATAAACACTGTACTAAAATAGTACAACGACGTCGATTCGCAACAGAGTACGGTCATCACAATCTACATCAGTAACGAAGACGATAAATCACGGGGAGGTGCATCATCAGCATCGTCGTCAGTAGTAACCGTACGCGACGAACTAAAAGGCTTGATTCAGAAAGCCGGTGTCGGTGCATCGGTTGCACTTGCCGATGTTGATGCGAACGATAAACCCAAAGTGGCGTCAGCATTGAAATATCCCAAAGCGTCACTCGATATTTTGTGGGGTGGTTCAAGTGATTTACACAGTGACTCGGAGCTGCTCGTAAGTAATAGTTCATGTAAGAAAAAGGAACTAATAGTAACTAGAGTTTATCAATTGATAGGTTGCATCCTGTTTGAACGTTGAACGATTGTTCGCTCACATCACCACTTATCATGCTCACTGTATCATTGAAAAATTTCGTGAACTACTTCTATCTCAACACAGCTTTTTGAAAGCCAACGGGCTGTGCTTGGTGGAGAATGCATCCAACAAACCGGAGGCACATGAGAATGATGCAGCGGATAATGTCAAAGGTAGTCTATAAACCGTTATGAAGATGGGGTATTTGAATTAACTTGTGATTCAAAAAGCAGCAACCGCCAAGCGAGACACTACAATCCTCAACGGCAATAAACGGTCCTCCTTGACGATCCGGTATCGGCACGAGAGGTATATTCGCATCGACTTGGATACACGAACAGGTCACATCCAGGTGTGTGCAGCAGAATATGGATCAGGCGAGGGCGACGGTAAGCGCAACCATGAGTGAATATTTTATCACGGAAAATCTCATTGCCATTACGATTAGCCAAATTAAAAGGATTAGAGGAACGACTAAACAACGATCCGTCCAACATTGCCAAACATCTCCTGTGGTTCCGATCCGAGATCATTATTCGGGAGATTATATCACTTGCCAAGCAGTTGAGCTTGCAACCTTATTATCCTGCTCAGATGAATTTGCGACCGGATGATGTCGCCAAATTATTTGCTGACATTCCCAGCAGTGCAAGTACGACCGAATTTGTCTCCAATCCAGGTACACGACCAGGAACGCGCGAAAGTACACCCAATACACCGAAATCTCTGTATCCGCCGCATTGCTTGTTTCTGCAATTTTCGCAATTCGAGGATTGGTACTTTGTCATCACCATTACAAAGAACGAGTTTCAGGCATGGATGTGCTGTTTGAGGTAAAAAAGAAAAAAAAAACCGATGAATAAAAAGCACGAGCTGCGGATGGCTTACTTGTATTCTTACAGCAAAAATTACGACGCGAATGGCGTCTTCCAAACCATCGCAGACATAATCAGTATTGATCATGAGCAGCTGTGGAAGGAACAGTTCCAAAAACGTACCCTGACTCTGGATCAGATGGAAAAGAAACGAAGGCACCCACTTCAGGATAAATCACCGGAAACAACCAACGAATCGACAATGAATAATACAATGAAACGACGAAAAACACTTGACAGTAATACATCGTTCAAGACGATTGATCATCACAGCACAACAATGGATGTAGACAAGTAAGTCGTTTGGGACTCAATGTCGCTCACAGTGAACAATACACTTATACACGCCACCCTATGTGGCACAGTTTATCAATTGATTTGCGTTTCATGGCCAAAATGGATTCACTTTGCAGGTAAGGATGATAGAAATAGGGAGTTGATAGCAATAGGGTAATTAACAAAGATGATCCAGGGCATACATCACCAATAAGAAGATTGAATTTCAGCTGTTACGCTTCAAAAAGCAAATCAGTTATCGAAAACGACCGTTTCTCAAAACCTTATCTCTGGTGGAAGCTCAAGCATTGAACCATCCGGCAGCGGATAAAATGGAAGTGATCTGTGTACCGAACGGTGACCTCCTTAGAGCATGTACATATCATAATTCTGAAGGCAATGGAGTCAACCCTCCAGCAAAGGATAAACCAATCGACGTGTGGGTGGAGAAAATTGCACGACACATGAAGAAGGAAGTGGTGATGCGTCCCTCGGGCTGGTGGACTTCGGGTCGAAACAAATGCTTTGTGGTCATTCAGGATAAATGTGATTTGACCAATATCAAATTGCGATCATGTAAAATTACAGGTAAGGATATCAAAAAATATTTCGAACTGTTGCCAATTTTAATCCTAACAAACGAGCCATTCAGATCACATCTCTGTCGATAAATCCACGGGCGTACTTTCGTTTAATTATCCAGAAGTCAGCACATGTATAGAAACTTTCCTGCTGGATTGGGAGCGTATTTTCATGATGGCTAACTTGGCGAGACAAGGTAACCTGCACATGACTTACATTTTTTCGAATGTCGTTTTTAATCAAGGCATTCTTTCTCAGTATCTTCCTTGTGGTTCAGAAAATACAAGGATATTCTAGAATTTGAACCCTTTGATATGCAAGAGTTGAAATTCACCTATGCCAAGGTGCGTTTTTTTTTCTTTGGGTCATATGTTACAGGGGAATGCATGACTCATTCATATGCTCTTTCCAGTACTTCAAATGTTCCATTCGATGGGATGTGCAAGGCAACGATCGTCCACGACGTTACATCGTTGAACTGGGGAAAAAACGTCTTACGGAAGACCAGACTAAACAAGTCAACTTGCCCGACTATGAGAATCCTCACATTCTTGTAGCTACCTTCTTGCAAGGCATTTTGAACGACAAGCGGGATCTGATCTACTTTGTTCAAGTAAGTCGGTGATAGCATGGAAAATTATCAGGCAACCACCTAACCCTTGGAATGACAGGTCCTTTTCCAGACGCTGCCCATGTTGGCATGTCTCGAACTGATGCAAGTCGAAAGTTTTGGAGCAGGCAAGATTGGCAAATTATCGATTATACCCAATGCCGTGGATTCTGTACGCATTGTTTATTCACCAAAGTAAGTTATGAGGATGCCACTTATTGATTGCTGGAGTAAAACAGAAAATGCTGATGATGAGTGTGATAGACATGCGTTGGATATACGATTCACTGATGCTGAAACTATCTGCGTTTCTGATGCTGCCTATCGTCGATCTTTCTATTCCTCCTCACCTTCCTCCCTTCACGATCTCGGCGGAGAAAAGTTCGTTCTACCAACTCCGTTCCTGACTTCCTCGACCGCCGCATTACTGCAAGGAGGAGCCGATGGCACAGCAGCAGTCCACCTTGCTCAGCAACTCAACTTTACGCAATTTACGGAATTTGACAAACTGTTGGAGACAATGGATACGTGGATATTTGAACCTTTGGATGTTCCAGTGCCCACCTCTGAGAATCCATTATACGATTGTCTGAAACCACATGGGCTCACCTCGGAGCCAAGTGCGATATCGTTCCAACATGGATTGTTATGTTCTGCCGCCCTGTGTCCGGTTGTTCTCTTTCAGCTGCAAAAACTTCTTTAAGCCATACGAGCTTTTGTATGATAATTTCTAAAAAAAAAACACAGTATTTGAATACAATGTAAAATGGGATTGCCAATGTTATTGCGTGTTAAAGTTTAATCTCCCAGCCTTTTTCTTCTCCTGGCACTGGAAGCAGGATCGAGATTTTCATCGTAGTTTACTAATTGAAAAACCGACGACTGCATTTGGCAAGCGCGATAACCTAGTCTCAGCAAAAGCTCGACCTTTTTTTTTCTCGTTTTCTTTCTGTGAGCATTGCGACGCACGCGTTTTCAAAGCAGTGTCTCTGTGTTAGTAGATGAGTGGACGGAAAGTGACTGTAACGTGTATGTTTTGTTATGTGTGAACGCCTTCGCCAACCAGACGAATAACAAGTGTTGCCTGTTCTATCGTAGACTGCGACGAGTATGGGGTGTGGCCCCTGATTGCCGATGATCTTTCTTCTCGCCTGCCACTGAAAAACTTGAAATGGCAACCCACAAATCAACGATCAGAACGAGTCATTGCATCATTGGAAGTGGATTTAAAGCGCTTCAACTTTGACCAACCGCCCCAACCTCTTTCGCATACACAAACAAACTACTTGAATCTCTACTTTGTGGCGTGCGATGTAATGGCAGCAAATATATCACCATCCGGGGCATTTCAAGGCTAATGTCATGGTAATAGGATAATGAAGTCTACAAGAACAAAGTACGAAGGCAAATTAGAGCGTGGACCGATGTCATTGGTGCCAAGAAAAACCAGGAATGGATGATCGTCTATGTCGCTGGACACGATGCTAAAAAAAGCAACAACTACCTGGGACTCAAGACGTCTGTCTACGATAAAATCCGTACGGATTTTAATCAAGGGAAACAAGACCGGTAGGAGCTGATGGAAGGGATAAATGATACGACAGGGTATTCTGATGTGATAGATGGTTTTATTTTCAGTTGCGCATACATTCGTATTCGAGATCCCGAAGGGGCAAACTCTGAGCTTTGGGCGGGCTTCATCGAAAAAATGAAGGAACACATCCTGGCGAGCTTTGACATGCAAGTGCTTCAAATCCAGGAAGATACACGACGGTTGGATATGCAGCGACATATGCCCGGATGGAATTACTGCACCTTTTTCATTCTCAAGGTAAGCACCGCCGAGTAACATGGGACTGCTGATAAATGAAAGCATCTCACCCTGTGGCTGTATTACAGGAAGGTTTAGCCCAAGCATTTGAGATCATGACACTCTACGAGGACGCCCTGATCCAATACGATGAACTGGAAGCGTCCTTTTTCCAGGTGCTTCGAGGTAAAACATTTGGTGGTGACATTGGAAAGCCTGCTTTATTCTAAATCTTGGGTGACTTAGACAAGGCACTGGCGTGGTTTGGGCATTTCGGAGGCACCGATGCTGGCGATGATTCTGGCAATATTCTCGATTTCAAGCGAAAGGACTATCGCGACTTGATCAACAAAAATATCATTTCAGTGTTTGATTTTCGGAGCTACCTTTTTGCGCGACAATGTCGAATGCTGCTAAAGCTGCATCGCGTTATTGAAGTATGCGCAAGGGCCCAGTTATTCATCACAGGATTTATTCCAAGCATCAGAGACAATCGAGTAAATATCTTTCTTGATATCACATATGCACAAGATGCTAGTGTCTTACCGATTCCTCTTTGTTTAGGCTCATTTAACCGACAACTTTCTCGAATCCTGGGTCTTTTCTGCATGTATCAACGTTGTCAACGAATGCGAACCTTTGTCGGTGCAAATTGCCGCGGCGGATCCCCCATTTCTTATACCATACAATGCAGTTAAAGCGGATCTATTGCTAACAGCACGACGGCAGGTAAAAGATAGCGAGATTGGTTTGGATTTTTCTTCACATGTTTAACACCATACGACTCAGTTGGACAAACTAGGCTTAAAATATCATCATCTTCCAAATACACCGCCGTTTTCAATCTATACAACCTCTGAAAACGAAGAACCATCGAGTCCCCCAAGTATCACCAATCCGAAACTATTGGAAGCGGTTGATTCTCTTGAAGCCTTTGATAAAATATACATGGTATGTAGGTGACTATTATGCATTGTGCGTGAAGCGAACCGATCATATCGAGATATTTTTGTACTTTAGGGCTTGAGTACGCGAGCGATCAAGAGCTACGATGCCAGTTACCGACCTCGGGCGGCTTTGAATGTTCATGGTGACATTGCCGCTCTCAAATAGTATGTTCACAAGAAAAAATGTTAGTCTGTGCGTGATTGACTCTGATGTACAAACGTGTAGTGTACGGGAAAAATATGACGAAGCCGTGCGCATCTTTGACTCGATGATATGGAGATATGGTGAACAAGACTGGAGTGCCATCGAAAACACGCTACTTGTCAAATGTGCCGACTCACAGAAGCGGCTGGGGAAAACTGATCAATATCCTTTTCGTCATTCATTTTCTTGCCATGCATCAGCTGTGGCAGTGTTGAACTTGTGAAAGAAGCATCTGTTAGCTGTATTTTTCTTAACATCCATGGCTCTATACGTATTTAGGTTCTGTATTAGCGCTCTTGAAGAATGCCACGTATCTGTCATCGGAAGATGCGATACATTATACGGATGAACTGCTGGCCAACGTTCAGCAGCTTGATACTGGTAATGAGTCTCATACGTGCAATCACAGCAGTTCCACTTCTCACGATTTTTTTGATTCCAGATATCCTCCGTCCGTTTTCTCCAATGTTCAAGATATCGGTGGTATCCATCATCGATGACGAATCCCTGGTGGATAGCACAAGTGTTGAGATTCGCGTAGTGAACAATTTGCCCAAAGTATTACCCATCGCTGACATGGATACGCAGGAATTGGATGTTAATTCGTTGGATAGGACCTTCCCATCGATCGTCTATCCCTTCGATTAGTGGGAAATGCACCGGAACAGATTTGGTTCACCGTGGAAAACCAAGTACTGAAACCAGGTCCAAACACGTTCTATCTGACCAGTCTGGTATGCTGCACTTTATTCTACGCAATCACAACCGTCAACCGTCTACTAACTTTCTGTATTAATGCAACGAAAAAAAGACATCGACTTCTGGAAACTACGTGGTGGAAAACTGTGAAATGCAAACGGGACGACTTATCTTTGGTCACAATTTTATGAAGCCAGGACAAAAGAAGCGCGTCGTACGTTTGAATCGTGATCCCAAGCAACTGAGTGCTGTTATTGAACAGCCTAATGATGGTAAATATTCATGGATACGTGCACTTGTGCTGCCTGACGCTCATCTGTCCTACTAGTTCGACTGGGTGTTCAGCAGCGATTCTGTGTCAAAATCAAAATTGGAGAACGATCGATTTCCAACGGCAAAGTACTCTTGGAATCACAGACGGAAGGGTTAGATATTGTCAAGACCGGAAAAGTGGTGGCCGTTATCAAAGATAGCAGCGGTATGGAGAGCCACTCTATCCCTATGTTCATTGTACTTTATACTTAGCTTCTGTTCTGTGGCTTTTAGATCATACAACGACCAAAGAGTTAGAAAGAACCGAAAGTGGAGAAACATTATTACCCGAGTGTGCTCCGCATCAACTGTTGGAGTTGTCCGTGCCCTATGAAGGACCGTATACAGAGTTTGAATATCGGGTAAGAAATACATGCGTTATTCTAACTTGCATGAGGTTCGTTCACTGACTCTAGTCTGAAAACAGGTGAAAACGACAATCACATATACGGCCGACAGCAAGGAACTTCAATTCGTGTCGGCAGATCCAGTTCGAGTCACAGTTCCTTTGGTCGTGACGGAATCCAGTGTGTTTCGTGAGGATTGGTAAGCTTGTGCGCCTATTGCTCACTTGAATGTGTCCAACACAGCCATTGATGCTTCTTTCTAGCGTATTTCTCAAGGTCGAACTATCATGTAATGGTGATTTGCCTGTCAGAATATTAGAAACCGGGCTATGGCCTTCCAAAGACTATGCTATTGAAAGCGCTTCCGACAGTGCGCAATGGGATTTGGTAAGTTCACGGCTGCTGACATTGAATTCTTGGAGGAAGCTGACATGTGTCTTTGGAACAGACCATTTTTCCCAAGCAAATTGCCACTTTTGTGTACAAACTGGTTAAGCGGGTGGATAACAGTGATGAAGGTGGGACTGTTCAAAAAACTTTAATAGGTCAAGCTTGCACAGATTTAACACATCTACTAGATACCGAGAAACTGGAACCCAAAGTACATTTCTATGCTAAATACCGCACGCTACGTGATGGTTTGTACAAGTGGATGCAGTACGCGCCATTCCAATCTTCTCACTCTTTGTAAATTTTCCTAAAAATAGAGGTGGAAACAAGTATTGCCGCGATGCTTCAGCAATCGCTCAAAGAACATAAGCTTGGTCAGCATTTTCCGTATGTCTTTTCCAGAGTTCGAGAAGCGTTCCTGTCCTCGGTTGATTATGCCAGCTACGGACTAACTGACGTGGTACATCTGGATGACTTTGATGCGGAGCTCTGCGAATCATTTTTACTCCATCGCGATTTGAAAACCAAGGTCGAGTTACTGGATCTCATTGAAGATTTCTTTGAAGTAAGGTCACGTTCTGTAAAAGAAAAAAGAAGTCGAGTTAAAAGAATACTGTGTAGAAACACGAGGCTATCACTATGAATACGGTCAACGCATTTAGTCCCGCCCCTCACATTGATTGTATTGTATTTCCTTTGGAAGTACCGACATCCAAGGTTAGATTTAAACACGCTGTTGCTGCAACTGAAACCTGCCTTGTTAACACGATGGATAGATATTACATAAAGCGGAGCTTATCATCACAAATGGCAAAGATCTGCGCGTGTCGGAGGCGTGTCCTTGCATTTTACGCATTGAACGATCCACTTATTGGAATAGTGGCTCAAACGATACAGCGCAAGACTTCTTTTACGATATTGATGTCGACTACGACAATTGGCTCTTATCTGGCAAACGACGGCTGAGATTTTCGTCGACAGTAAGCTTTACCATTCTTGTCAAAAGATTCATTTGAGCGAAAATTAACTTTTTGAAATCTTCTTATTTAGCCTGGTGAGGTGATGGAATTCGCGGTCAATCTCGTCCCTTTAAAAACAGGCAATTTGCTTTTGCCAACGGTGCGAGTCTCGTCAGTGTCCCCCGATGGATTTGCAGCGACGGTTTACACAAACAGTGGACAACAAATTCTCGTCAAGCCGAAATCCAAAACGGCCACATTTTTCGTGGAACAACAACAACGTTTCTTGCAGCCACAAATGATGCCAAGCTTTGTCAGTAGCCCCGATCGTCCCTCCCCTTCCTCCCCTCACATCCCGAGTAACCGCAATATTCCCAAGCAAGAAGTAGTGTAATATAAAAAAAATGGCGTTTTTTCCCTTTCTTGTATGATCCGTTCTTCCTACGTTCGTGTCACCACAACAACAAAAGTCCCGAATCCGGGTAAAGGAACAGCCTAGCTGCATCGAATTATGAACGACTTAGTGCCTGGAAAAGAGTTGGCAAAAAAAAAGCGCCAAGACTAGGACGAAAAAAATACTTCTATAAAAAGAATATTTTTCAAAAATGCAAAACCTTAATTTATTCGGAGATTGATTTATTTATTTGCCAAATTTGGGTAAAATAAAATGGAACGGAGGGGGGCATGAGGTTCTAGAGAGTCAAATCGTGAAGAAGAAACCCAATTTAACAGCAGATTTCATCAAGTTCGCCTATATATCAATTGAAACAAAACAAATTTAGTTAGCAACCGAAAAACAACTTGCAACACGTGGGGTGTCTAGAACATACAGCAACAGATGGCATCGAGCGCGCAACCTAAAGCAATAAGTTTCCATCAGTATGACGATCACATTTGTAAAATGGCAATAAACAATACTTACAGCAACAGATGGCTTCCAAGCAACCCTTGATACATCCACCACCTCTCAATCTGTAAAATACAAAGCAAGATTATCAATCTCAATGGTCTAGTAAAAACAGCCTGTCGTTTCCCCGTACCTCAACATGTTATAAACGCTGGATTCTGTGTACAAGAGACAATGTTACTTAATGTCTACTTCAATGGCTTTACAGGCACGTACCATCTTGCTTTTGCAAATCGACCGAAGCGTTGTTAGGTGTGTTGTCCGAGATCATCATGCCCTGAGCTGTGGGGTAGGATTCATTCTGGGGCATTTGGGGAGAAGCAGTAGGTTGGCTACATACACAAGGACATATCATATTAATCAAAACAGATTTCATAGGCATTTCAAGCTTGGATAGGCATACCTCATGGTAAAGAACTGATCAATATGAAAAAGAGATTGACAATAACAGGTCCAATTTTCGTAAAAAATGAAGTTCATTTTATACTCACATGTTTCATGATGTCACTTCCGGCTCCGACGTCAGTGGCTGGATCATGGCAGAGAAATGCGGCTAGTGCCTTTTTGCTATGCCGATACGTCAGAGGATAAAAGAAGCTCAACGTTCGTTATTGCTTGATTTAGAAAATGCGCGATAACGTAGCATGCATCTTGTTGTTTGCTTTGGTTACACCAATATTTTGCGCCACTATTCAACGTGCTGGGATACAACTATGTCATCGCATAGGCTCGCTTTGAACACCAAAAATCTAAATGAGACACCAAAGGTGGAATGATCAGTGGGATTTAAATGCCGAAGACATGATCCGTGGCATCATGTCACATAAGAGATACAGAAACAATGCACTCTATTTCCCGGCATGACAACTATACCTTGACAGACTCTTCAATAAAGTTGTAAAAACCGATAGATCTGCGAGGCGGAATATTGGCTATCGGTCAACATGGATTCACATATACAGCATTCTGTAAAGAAGTTTTCCAAAAGTCATTGTTGATGCCCAAATTTACATGACAATGGCTGAAAAAACGTGTGATTTTTTCAAGTGATGGTTTCGGTCTTCCATCGGCATTCATAAAACACTACTTTATCGGTGAACAACTGGCATTTTTTTTTTTTTTTTTTGGCATTCTATTAAGTTTTTTATGTCTGCTGTTTTGTGACCAGACCAAGTAGTGTTTACAAGTTACATGAGTTGTACAAAGGTATTCGCGACTATCTCTTACAGTGAAACAACATACATCCGATTTAGCTGACTAGTACATATGATAAGCTCACGGCGATCCTTCCGGATCACCCATGCCCCAAACCCAGCGAATACGGCCTCGGCTGCCGTACAGGTATTCAAATTGATGATGCAGTATAAGCTCCACCACAATCCAGCAATTGACCACAAAGAAGGTTAATCCTGATAACCAGAGGTTGAAAAATGTATTTTCCCCCAAGAATTCGAGCCGGTATGCAAAGTGAAGCCAGATCCCCTATGAGCGATAAAACCTTGGATGAGACGGTCCCATTCAATAATTTAATACAAATCAAACGTACCTGACCAGCCACCCATGCTAAAATGAGCGCCAACCCCTTCCATTTAAGATGTAGCGCCGTTGAAGGTAGAATGAGCGGGAATAAACAAAGGTACCACATGAAATACTGCGAGTCAAAGATAAGTGAGTGGTCAATCCTTGGGTTATTTGTAAATGAAAGCTTGAACACTTGCCTGTGACGTGCACACTTTGTTAAAAGTGACAAAGATGAAAGTTTGGATAAAGCAAGCAAAGAATATATCTTTGGCAAAAGCGATACCCACAATCGCCACAAGCAGTAATTGAGGCAGAAACGCCATTAATCCCATCATTTTACCCATGATCGATGCGTCAAATGCAAGATACATCTGATAAAACCACACGGAAAAGTTGTGACGATGATCTTTTCGAGTGATATGATAAAGATACGTGTGTTCCAGGAATTCGTCGCCATACCTTTGCTTTTGAAATCAGTTTGATGCCATGGCCATGCTTGTCCAAATACTCACATCTGATACATGAACCAAGTAATGCCAAAAAATGCAGCCGCACTGACGAGACCAAACATGATGCGGGTCGGCGAAAGAAACAGGACACAGCGGTTGATAACACGTTTCGTTTTGGCAATGCAGGAGGTGTTTTGCGAGAGGGCGTTGGTTCGGTTCGCGTCGGTTTGATCCGCGGGTTCGCGAATCCTACATCCATCACTCTGATCATGGTCCTGCAAATAAAACTGAAGACATCGGAGCCTTGCTTGCTGGTACGTCCATACCATCTGTGGCCATTCTACGGGATCGCCGTAATGCTCGTCCATCAAGAACAGGATCGGTATCGCGTAAATGACTGGATATATTTTGAAATGAACAGCCAATCCGAATAAAAAGCATGCAGGATAGAATCGACGGAGCATGACCAAATAAAGGGTGCCAAGCACCATGACACCCAATAATGACTCGGCGTTGCCGCGCGTGGAAATATTCGCCACCATTGGATTCAGCAGCCACAAGGCGTCCAACCATAGCGCCTTTTTCGTTGGCAATCCACGTTGCAAAAGAATACGATGAATTAAATAGCCCACCGCGAGATCAGCCAAAGCAAAAACGCATTTGCCAAAGGCGCGGAAAAGGTAGATATTCGGTGTCAGCATTATGGCCAGAAGCGGGGTGTATCGGTATGTGGCTCGTTCGTAGGGGCTCAACCCTTGGGTAATATAACGTGCAGCATCTGTAAAGACAATATAGTCGATGTCCGTGTACTTTACTGTGAAGTGCGCATCTTGCCATTCGCCGTAGATTAGCAACACAACGCGCAGAACAAAAGCCGCAACGCATAATGATCGGAAAGTTAACCAAGAATTGCTCATAATGCGTTGTGCATATCTATCATGACCGACGATTAATAACGTCCCTGATCATCCTCACACATCCAGGCTACCTTGGGTGTTCCGTGAGCGAAAAAAAAAAAAAAAAAAAAAAAAAAAAAAATTAATCCAAAAGCACAACCAAATTGGGAAACTGCAAGTCTCGAAGATCTCCTGGGGAATGTCGATCACGTGATTGAGTGGGATCGACGTTAATGCAATGAAACGGGATTTCTGGTTTAACGCAGCAGAAAACGAGTTGCATCATCTCAGATGCTGCGATTTTCTATTTGTAAGCACTCTAATTACGCGCAGGCATGCGAATATCCTAGTACTTGTACGATATAAATGTACGCAAAGAATTGTCAGTAGAAAAAGTATCCACAATAACATGTGGCACTTCTGATTATTTGTCAAGATTATGAGATTATGAAGAAGCAGTGTTCCCGAATAACGGTTACTTGAACCGATTTGGCAAAAAGTTTAGAAGTAACAGCCCACATATGAAGTCAAATTATGTAGTTTAACAAAAGATAAAGAAAAAATAGCAATTTATTTATGGCAATATAGCAAATGTGGATCTAATTAATAGCGCGTCTGCCTTTATTACCCTCGAGAACCAACCAAGTGGGTTAAACAGACTAAGCAGTATCCTTGTGCCGCAGATCAAGGTGCAGTGCACAGCTAAAAAAAAAGGAATATCATAGTGCAACAAAGCAAAAAGCCGGTTCAAAATTTCTCTTTTTTCTTTTTTTTTGTGAAATTGGGGATTTTCCCGTTTTTGCCCCATCCACCAAAAGTTTTGGTGCATCTGGGTACGATGGCGGCCAGCGAACCAGAGCGCGACAAACTATGTAGACAGGGAAATTCGCGCAAAAAAAAAAGATTCATTGTCAATCAAGGAATTGAAATCCAGTCACACAGCTCCATTTGTGGCTCTGGTGGGGTTCCCGTCGCGCCTAATGATCTTTTGCTTCCATCATGGACAATTGCAAGGCATTCCATGATCGGGATATAGTCGCTATATGTGACTATCTTGTCCGTTACTGTAGGCAGCATATTAACGGTACACCGACCATTTCCAGGCAACATGCGTTTGCGTTCTACAGTTTTCTGCCGACGTTGCTCGTTTATATCTTTGGTTCCCCCACGCAGAGGTAGATATGCTATATCGCGGCCTTTCGCTTTAACAGTTATTAAAATAAAGTATAGGGGATGGATCCAAACCGATACACAGCCAAAGCAGGACGAATCCATACGTCAATTGTTATCTTACGAAGGCGATTTCCTGGTGGCCCTTCGAACGCTCAGTAAAGATCCAGATTATACTTATGAAGTTATCTCTGAAAGTATCCCGGTATGTTTGGCTTGCAAAGCGACAGGGATTTTTAATTACAGTGTTGATTTTATGCTAATTGCCTATTTGATACGTTCAAGAACGATGTGCGTCGCATACTTACTACGGGGGCCCTGCAACACCTGCCTCGTCTCTATGCCAATTGCATAAAGTTTGTGCGAAACGTGTCTTCCAATGCAACCGATGTTCGCGCCGCGGCGACACGACGATCCAATATACCAGCGTCCTCTGCAGGCGAATACAAAGTCAAACTCAACATGTACCAGTTCTATCTGTATTATCTTGTCAGCGTGCCTACATGGCCCCCACTGATGCCACCCCCCACGACGGTTCCAACACCAGCATCAGCGCCTCGTCCATTGTCAACGACATTACCGTCTAACACACCCTTCAAATCGCCATTAACCTACACCTCAAACACAACCATTGCACCCATTACAGCTTATCCCACAGCTGCTTCCCACATTCCAAGTCTCGCCAAGCCTCCCATGCCCATTAGCAAGGCCACCAATACCTCCCCGTCTTTCCTATCTTCCGCTTCAAAACCTGCAACAACCACAACCAACCTCCCATATCAAGCGCCTGGCCGACTCCGAAGCATCGCAAAGAGCTGCTATTATTCCCTGATAGAGAATTACATGCACGCATTTATTCCAAGTGTAGTGATGCCATATGCGAAATGCTCTTCTGACATTGGCTCCTTTTTCCTGGACGCATGTGTAGAATTATGGCTTCGGGCGGCGTGGGTGTCTCCTAACCAGAGCTTGCCCCGTGAATACATGGACTGTATCAGCCTGTTCGTAGCCTACGTGGTCAAAGGGGACTTGCGAAGATGTACGGGTCGGCAACCCGCGGATACCGAATATGCCATGGTCTACGATACTGTGCGAGAAGAACTTTACTACCTGTTGTCACGTCTGATGCTCAATTGGCGTAGACACGATGATTTTTATCAAGTAGGTTTGCGTGTTTATGATTTCTTCAGGGCATGTTGTTGGTAGGCAACCTAACTGATGACGTTGGTTAGGTGATGAATCTGTGGTACCTTTGGGCAGCGCCTTGGCGACTAGGTTCAATCAAGGTGTCCACGGATACGGCTGCGGAGTCAGTCATGGATCGCGGTTGGACAGATTTCGTTCTGGAGAATGCGCTGTTCTACTTTCCACCAGTGGATATACTTCTCCGACGAGCCTCCACTTTCAACTATGTAGAGAAAATGAGAACCGAGAATCAGGTGATGGCGCCTGCGAATCCTTTAGATCCTCAAAGCATTGCTGGTCATTTGCGAACAGTGTTCAAATTAGTGGAGGTTCTCGCGACGCCGCAACTCATGGATGTTTTGGAGCATATTGAAGCGAAACTCATAAAAATACATTCGGAGACGACGGGTCCGTTGGCTAAAAGACAATTTAACGTCCATACATTACAGATAGACGAACTGACCAAGTCCGAAGGGGTATCCTATGAAGAAGCGGCGGTGTGGATTCTTTGCAAGCAATTAGTGCAACTGGAAGATAAACCATGGGAGCCTATCTATCTTTACGTAACCAACAATGCTCGCCGGGCGGAATCACTGGTCAAGGCGTTGGAAGAGATGAGACGAGGCATCTATTTCGTGAGAAACACGTTGAAGTCTCCCGCTACCAAATTCCAGCCAGCGAAACCCCTCCTTGCAAAAACGACAAAGAACGTCAAAGACCTCGAGCTGGCTCTTGGACGGCTGCAAGCTCTCTTTAAAGTAAGACATCACACAGACTGGAGTTTTGCCAAAATTTGCTAACCATCTTGACAGACCAACGAAACGACCCCCAAAAGCGCGATCCGATCCACGATTGCCAATGCTTTGTCTGGCAAGAAACCATCCCAACGTGCTGGTCCTTCCGTGTATCTGCTTGCTGGACTAAGCAATGGAGGTTTTTTAACGGCAGAGGAGAGAGAAGGTGTCAAGAACGGTAAAATGCGCTGCACGCATGCCTCGATCCCTGCCTTGGGCCCTCGTGCTCGATATATTGTCCGTTCCTATGAAAGTGTGACATTGGTGCGCTGGACACTGGCCATTGACGGCTGGCTGAATCATTATGTAAGTATGACGGGGGGTTACAAAACGCGATTGAGACATGGAAGCTAACAAATCCCTCCTTTCAGTACCACCGGTGGGTATCTCCAGATTCCAAATACTTTCCCGGAAGTCTAACGGTGCGTCCCCTCGCTGCCAAAGTGAACATGTTTTATCTCATCAGCTTCTGGATATTATCATTACTTGTATTGTATATTGCATTGTGGTCATGATCAAAAAATATTGTACATATGGATCTTCAACTTTATTCTTCAAAAAGATGTGTTCATTATAAGCATCGCTGCGCCGACCAATGCTTATTTTTTTCAACATATCCCCTCCCCCAAAACAGCACGTCCTTCCTCTTGTTCTTTTTTATCGTGTATATCATTTTCTTTTTTACGGTGGCGGGATGTGATTCGGTCATAAGCAAGCCGTCTAACAACGCGGGACTCTTGCAAATGCTCCCCAATGAAAAACAATCTACTGCAAAGAAATAAAGTTACATATAAGGTGTTTCAAGTTATAAACAACATCGTATCGGATACTATATGTGTACTGAATGTGTTTATTGTCGCTTCTGAAATGACAAATTTCAATAAAAGAAACTATCATTCCATGATGAGTCTATAAAAAATACTGATATCAAGATTATGCTCATCTTTTTTATTCTCTACTCTTCATCCAAAGAGGTCACTGTTTCGCCGTCTAGAATCTTTTGGGCAGCAGCCAAGCCCTTGAGTGTGGCATCATTGGGACATTTGTCGGGGGCAAAATGGACAACAAAATCTCCAGGCTGATACACACGCGGGAAAGTGTTGAAGGTGTGATCATCGCGGTCAAGTAAAAAGGTACGGGCCTTGATATCGGGTTCTTGCATCATCTGCCACATGGCACCTTGTTCGTAGGATGGGCCCTTATTGAACCATTCCGTCACACCTTGCACGCGTCTCAAGAACTGCATGCTCCAGGGCGTGTTTCGCATAAGGAAGACACCAGCGTTAATCATGGGATCACGACCAGGACGGGCAATGATAAAGTCGACATCACGATCAAAGGCTTCTTTGCCGTCTTCGTATCGATTGCGTACATTGTCAAAGATTTCTGCGAGCGAACGGTCTTGGTTCATAATCACCGCGTCCATATCCATCCAAAAGACCCAGTCATACTTTGGAAGCACTTTTTCAATGACATCAATCTTGCCCCACACCGTCTTACGTTCACCTCGCTCACGTTCGAGAGCAAATTCCGAAGAGCGAGCTACAAAAGAGTAGCCGTGTTTCAGAGCATAATCACGCTTGTTCTTTGCCGCCAAAGTAGCAGAGGGTTCCATGCAGCGATCGTAAATGAAGGATGATGTGACAACAGCGATAGAAGGACCATCAATGTCCAAGTGGGGCTGGGGTAAAGCGACAGCATCGCCGTCCTCCGAGTCAGCGGAATCGGCGGTATCTTCATCATCGTCGAGTGGGTCCAAAGCGGGCTGACCATCGGCGAATGCGGATTTGGGACGGTAACACACGGGTGTACTGGATAAATGGGTCCAAGAAGCCACATCTCTGAATTCGGAATCCTGATAAAGATGGGTAATGACGATATCCTCGGCATGCACCGATTCCACATTATTTTCCCACCGGATGAATCGGTGGGTGTCTTCTGCTCTGTCTTCGCGGATGAATTCGGGAATAACGTGCTCTTGCACCTCGGCTGCTTCTTCAGGAGAGAAGGACTTGTCCACATCCTTTTCCAATTTGGCAGCATTGGCGCGGTAATACTGGTACATGTTCGTCAGCAGGTGACCGGAAGGCGTACCAAAGGCTTGAATTTCTGCTCGCTTTTCCAACGCCAATTTCACGGCCGTAGCGCCGATAACAAAAGCATGCTTATCCTTTGGTTGACCGCTGAAGGTTCCCCAGACAAAGTTGGTGGGCGCGTCCGCACTGAGTGTGAAGGGTGATTCGGTCTTTTCGCTGATCACCCCGCTATCAAGTTCCTGCTTGATAGTCGCCAGCTGCATGAATGTGTGGATATCTTGCACAATCAAGTAATCATAGGTAATGCCTTGATCAGCCAAAGCCGTTTCAGCCTAGAAGAAAAAAGAAGCCAGATACGTCAGCTTCATCCACACCCCTTCTCAGCGAATTGCTGCGGAGCCTTTTTCTTACCCATTCGAGGACGGTCACTTGTTCAAAGGCGGTACTTCTTGGCAGCTCCACCAAATCATTCCATTCCATTTTCTCTGCTTCGTAAGCACGTCGCAGCGGGGTATCCGGTTTCGGCACGCCTCCGTGAATCCAGAATTTGTACAAGACATTGGCATTGAAATGCATGCAAGGTAGCAGATTATCTCGCATGCCAAAGTACTTTTCTCGAATCAAGGCACGTCGGCTCATGTGTTGTGCTTCCGAAGCGATGATTACCAAATAAGGGTAATGGCTCGAGTTATTGATAACAATGTTGTCGTTGGCATCTTCGTCAAAAGGATGGGGAAGAGCATTGTGATGATTAGAGTGAGGGGATGTCACGGTACCGGGAACACCAATCTCAGGCGCCGGGTTGACCGGTTCTTCTTTCACGATATTGTTTGGAGACTTGACGTTTGTTTCGGGTTTTGATTCTTGAGGGATCGAGTCTTTGGGTGGTGTTGATGTTAGCTTGGGATCGGATATACTTAGTTCTGAGTGGTCTGGGCTGGAATCGAGTCGGAAATTGAGAAAGAGGAGGAAGAAGAGAGCACTGAGAGCGAGACCGAGCAAGAACCGTTTGTTACGCGGTCGTCTACCGGCTGCATTGGCCTCTGCTGTGTAAAGAGGTAAATCGGCCGCCATTACAGTCGAATGTCAAGGTCGGAAAAAGTGGTGAAGGACAAAAAGAGCAAGATGAAAAACAAAGGGACAGAAAAATAAAGTGCCAAAAATAAATTGACGGGACGATGGGTTGCGGCGTTTAAAACCGAGAAAAGGCGGGCTAAAAATAGACCCTGGAAAGCTTCGCACTACGATCTTGTCCACATTGATTCCAACTCCAAACCATGATCCCGCACTGCCGCCTCCCGTTGGTGGACTTTAAGCCGCTTGTGTAAATAGCTTCTTCACTTGCAAACTCATGCTTACTTAAGCCTACTTCTCTTATATACGGCGTTAGGAGTAAACATAAAAACATGATTTTCCTCACCTACGGCACTCATTGGACCTGAGCCAGACCATCCTCCACAGTTGATTTTCGTGCTCAAGCATCCGGGTCTATTATATGATTGGCTGCTGGGAAAGAAGTATAAATGCCACTTTTTGATTCTAACCGCCTTTTTGTTCTTCAGCGGCGTTACTCGAATTTTATTGTGAATTCTAGACGTCGTTCTTGAAAGGAAACGAGAATTTTTAGTTCTGTTTGTCCAAAGACAAAATCAACGGTTACGTCAATGCGATCGCCTGGCTGGACACCACTTAATGGTGCAATTCGTACGGGAAAATCGGCAATTTTATGGATCGCTGGGTCCGTGATATGTCGAGGAGGAATACCGTCACCGTCGTAGACATAAAGATCCACTACGAGCTTGGATTAGCTGCGCCAAAATCAACCATTTGGGAAATATGAATTACCTTCTGTGTGCTTTGGATAGACAACCCAGAAAGATCGGCGTAGGGTGCTGTCGACGTGGATCCGTTCTCCTCTCTCAGCCACAATATCGAATCGCGTCGAGCATCGTTTTACACCGTCTGAAGTAATCACAGCACTGCTTTCAGGATCCAATCCTTCCTCAAAAGGCAGTCGTGTGCGCACACCATAAGTGCGCCGCAGTATTTTTGTGCGCACCATCTTCGGCTTAAGCATATGGTAAATGGCGCCTCGAGATACCGCTAGCTCAGGGCGGGGTGGCATGGCTAGTACAGGAACTCTTGAAGCAACGTGCGCTTTCAATGTCTCGTACAAGAATTCCGAGCAGCCAAATCCGCCTACCAGAAAAATGGCGTCGATGCTTGTGTTTGCTCGTTCGATTTGCTCGTCAACCAGTACTTTAATATCGTTAAAGACTGGATCAAACACTTTTTCCACCAACTCTTGCACTTCCAACACAACGCATCCGTCCTGTGATCAAGGGCCGTTTAGGTCAAAAAGCAGGAACGAATATGATATGTCATTTAGGTAGCCTACCTCGTTTAATAAATGCGGTTCAATGAATTGGCAAGCGGTGGCAGGTATTTCCAGGTACTGATCTTCTTTGCCGTCAAAGTTGGGCTTTTTTTTTCATGTGCACGGTGAGGTATGTCATTATGATACAATAGCATACGGTTTATACCTTGATTTTCTCCACGAATGTATCCATGATCATTTCAAGAGTACACAGAGGCATGTCGTCGGCATGATCGCCAAATTTGTTTTTGAGCAACTCACACATACGGAGATCAATATAGGCGCTGCCACATAATCCTCCGTGACCTTTTGTAAGTTCATGAAGTGTTCGCTCGTCGCTAGTGTCATCGTCAATTTCGCTATGCAATTTTTCCCCGATCAATAGTTAGCCAAAAATTTACTAGTCCGCGAGATAACATGATGAAATTTCGAACCTACTAGACGATCAAATCAATGGTGCCGCCTCCAGCATCGAGAACCATGAATTTATCTTGATGACCGAGGTTCCACGCGTGGTATTTTTGCTCGCAGTAAAGCGCAGCCGCTTCCGGCTCGCTGACAAGCACAAGGCGACGAGGATCATCATCACGTTCAATTATGCCAGCCTTGATCACGGCTTCCCGCATAGCCGCTTTAGCCTTGTCGGACCAGATCGCTGGTACAGTCACGCACTACAATAATCAAGCAATCTGTGTGTCAAGAAATTTCGTCTTATGTGTGAGATTCTCTTTTGACTGAAAAGGCCAATGTCATACATAGCGAAATTGATCCGGAGAATAATTTTGTGCAAACGTTCTCATCAGCTCTTCCATGATATGATCATGAAAATGATGTAGATAATCGGCAATAGCGTCGACAGCGGATTGGTGTTCGAGTAAGGGAGGAATGTTGTTATCAAGATCATCGGCTAACCAGAGCTTGAACTGATGTACAAGCGATCCTTCTTGAACAGGCTAATTTTGGGTTTGAATTGTTTGTTTGTAGTTCACATCATGGACAAAATTTGTATTACCTTGAATGATCGGAGCCGTGCGCCGTTCCCCCAGTCCAGCAATCGAGAGCTGTCTTTCTTATAATAGAGGGCAGTAGGTACTTTGGCATAAAAACCGCTGTGTTTTGGCCATTTGATGATATCGTACACTTCATCGTCATGCGCGAAAGCGTAGCTGCACCCCTGGAACGACAAAAATAAAAATCCGGCAAAAAAAAGAATGAATTTTTAGCTGGTTTTTTTTGTCATTTCAGGCGTATGGTATACTTGCAGAATAGGTAGTGCCTACAGTTTCTGGGGTGAGTTTGAAGCAGCAGGTATCATTCTGTGTACAAGATTACCGAAATCAAGCGCTAGTGTGACTGGATACCGAAAGTCTGCATCCTCGGCTTCTGCAACGAAGGACTTTATGCCGACTGTCTCGAGCTCGGATGGCGAAGCTTAACAAAAGGGCATTAGCAGGTTGAAGATAACAGGGCAAGAAGACAATCACTTACTGCTGCAAGTTGATTCCGTCGACATCAAGGTGGCTACAGAACACTGTTGCATGGCCATTTGCCTTTTTTGATTGCATGAATTCAAACGTCGCTCGGAGACAGTCACTGGGTGTCCGATGAAGCAAAATGCTATTTTCGTCCATCAATGAATCGTTTACGTACAAAACGAAGTTTTTAGCTGTCAATGGAAAAGATGGTCTGTATATGCCACCTTCAATAGAAACTATTCTATTGTGGTTTACCATCACCTCGACTTTTACGGCTCCCAACGCAGAACGCGAGAAAGAATCAAAAGGAAAATCCACGCTCGCCTTTTTGTCTGTATTGTCGGTGTTTGAATCTTGTCAGCGTAAGAGAAAAAATAAAGGGCCCATTGTGGAAAAAAACCCAAAAGTGACGGACTCAGTTACAATTTCGGGCCCTTTTCCGTCGTCGTTTTTCTTCCCTTTTTGCTGAGACACCAATGCATTTTGTGGAGACAGGATGTCCGCCTCTTCGTCACCGACCTCCAGCATAGTCTCTGCTAATATCAAGCTATTCAATAGCAAGTCGCAGAATGAGACGCCGGCGTCTTATCGCACCACCAAGGCCGTTAAACCTCCTTTACCGCCCAAACCGCTAAAGACAAGCACCTCTACTTCCAGCGATCTCGCCTCATCGTATAAAACTACAAAACACGACTTGCATGCATCCCATTCTTCTCCACCGTTATCGAGCTCTGTCGCACCTCCATCCGTTCCGCCACCACCACCTCCTCCTCCTCCACCGCCTCGTCCCACACCAAAGGCTGTAAGAGAAGCCACCCAGCCCAACGACAGAGACGCAGTATTACCTTCAAAAAGAGAGAATATATTACCATCGAAACGTCATGACGAAAATACCATCAAATCGTCCAACAACGGTATCATCACCCATGTTGGCACCACCACTTCCGCTTTGAAAGGCGTCCTCGACAAGATGGTGGGCAGTGTCAGCGGTAAATGAACAAACGATTATTTCTCCACACAAGCTTGAAAACCAGCTATTGAACCCCATTTTTTGTATCTGTGTAGATTTCTGGACAACCCAAGGCAATTCCACCACAGCTACATCCCCGTCTTCTCAAGCATCGTCGGCTAAAACCAAGATCTCGTCCCCTTACAACCTTGTCCATGTCACTCACGTCGGCTTCAATGCGCAAACAGGTGAATTCACAGGGCTACCCAGAGAATGGCAGATTCTGTTACAGGAGAGCGGGATTACCAAACGAGAGCAACAGGCGAATCCACAGGTACGATTCAACCCAGTCATTTGCGTATATTTGGCTTCACAGCGATATTGGGATTAAATGAACATGCTCGTTAGGCGGTACTGGACGTGATTGGATTTTACAAGGAAGCTCGCGAACAGTCGCAAGATTTTGTATGGGAGAAATTTGGCAACGCGCATCCTCGACAGAGCAGCGATATTACATGTCAAGCGACACCACCCCCGCTTCCTCAACGTGCTCGACCGCGTCTTGTGGTCGTACCTTCATCCAACGATAGCTCTGTCACTGGCAAACCATCTATTCCTGCTCGCCCATCCACAAGACCACCCAATGGACCGCCTCCACCTTCATCCAAACATCCTCCAACTGTAGGTTTTATTCGCAGTGGTGGTGATGACACTGAAATACGTTGCTAAAGTCATTTTGTTGTTGTTTACAGTCATCTTCTCCTATCGTGCCAGCACGACCCGCAGCAGCGAATGCCGTAGAGCCATCCGATGAACCTACTCTCAGTGTTGCTGAACGGAAACAACTCTTCCAGCAAAAGTCTCCAGAGAAATCCGGTCCGCCTCCTAAACCACCTGCCTCAACCAAACCTCACATGCCACCGAAGCATACCAAACCTACCATACAACCATCCTCTCCTACTACGTCTGCTTCGTTATCCTCTGCATCGCCAGCTCCTCCCTCACCTTCTTTCTCAGCCTCTTCCGCTTCCACAGCTCCCGTAGCACCGCCTCGTCCCAAGTTGGCGGCCAAACTGAACCAAGAACCTCGACCTTACTCTCAGGTTCACATTTCGGCTATGCCCGCACCTCTCGACCCTGCTTTGGATGGCGCTTCCACCGAGATTCGTATGCGACGACGCGAGCAACGACGTCAACGTGAAGCGGCTCGAGACGCTGAAATTATCGCTGATCTAAAGGCTATCTGCACAGATGCCGATCCCACCAAACTCTACCGTAATATGATCAAGATCGGGCAGGGGTATGTGGCCGCTATAAGTTTTTGGGCATTAAAAAGGTTGTTACTTATCCTTTTTTTTCTTCTTTTTTGGGTAGTGCATCGGGCGGTGTTTACACAGCCCAGTCAGTGGATACCAACATGTCGGTTGCGATTAAACAGATGAATCTTGCCCAGCAACCAAAGAAGGAATTGATTATCAACGAGATCCTTGTCATGCGAGAAGCACGTCATAAAAATATCGTCAACTTTATCGATTCCTTCCTGGTGAATGGTGAACTCTGGGTGGTCATGGAATATATGGAAGGCGGGTCCTTGACGGACGTCGTCATTACCAATATGATGACCGAAGCGCAAATTGCTACGGTCTGTCGAGAGACTCTGGAAGGCATCCGGCATCTTCATCATCTGGGGATTATTCATCGCGATATTAAATCGGACAATGTATTGCTTGGATTAAACGGTCAAGTCAAACTTAGTAAGTGTTTTCTATTTTTTCTATACATGATGCCACGGAAAAAAAAAGCCGATTATTCATGCCGAAAAAAAATTAGCCGACTTTGGATTTTGCGCCCGGTTAAGTGACGCCGAACTCCGAACTACAATGGTTGGTACACCTTACTGGGTAAGTGGATCAAAGCACAGCACAATTAGTGTTATGATTCAAAACTTACATTGGCAATACAGATGGCACCTGAAGTCGTGACAAGAAAAGAGTATGGACCAAAGATCGATATATGGTCGCTCGGTATCATGGCCATTGAAATGATCGAAGGAGAGCCGCCGTATCTGCATGAAAACCCATTGCGAGCGCTTTATCTTATTGCCACGAATGGAACCCCTGGTTTACAACATCCGGATGTATTATCAGACGTCCTACGCGATTTCCTTAGAGTGTCCCTCACAGTGGATAGTCGTGCAAGACCAACCGCAGAGGAACTATTGCAGCATCCATTCCTAAAGAAAGCCGAACCCATGCGATCACTAGCCCCGCTCATCAAAGCAAGTAGAGATTTACGAAAAGCCCACGAGTCTTGATAATACCCCTCCACTTGTATAAAAAAAAAAGATAAACGAACGGAGTTTTCTTTATTATTCATTCCATTCGATTAGTTAGTATATGAGCAGGACCTTGCGCATTATATATATCGATAAAAGTAAAATAATAGAAACAAACAAAAAGTATAAGTAGCATTTTTTTTGGTTTTCATCCTGAGATCTATGCGCTTTCCGCCAATGTGGCTAACGGAAAAAGGATCATTCAATTAGTGTCATGGTGCGTTTTTGCGCAATACATATGAGCACCAACTTACCCATCAGCTGAGAGAAATTCGAATCTTTTGTCTTCTCGAGAGCCTCGCGAGCTTGAAGATCGTCCTCTGTTAATTTGACAATAAGAACAGGACAAGGGCAGTGCTTCACCAAGTAGTCCGATACAGATCCCAGCAATGTTCTATTACAATGACGAGTAAGATGAGCATGCGCCATGCAAGCCAGAAAACAATCTCGTTTACCTCTTGATAAATCCGTAACCGCGAGTACCGGTCAGCATATAACTTGGTTGAACAGCGTTGCAATAATCCACCATGGATAGCTTGGGGTCGCCTCGCATTACTTCAGATGTTACCTTTTCAAACTAGTCCACAATAAGACACCCATGACCAAGGTCACTATCACCTGAATTTAATGATGTATTGACAATGTTACTTACTCCATGCTTTCGCAAAACGCGAATGATTTCCCATATCAAGGTCTCGGCGACTCTGTGCATCAGGTTGCTTTCTGATTCTGCTTTGTCATAGATGGCCGAGGCGGCGTCGTAGCCGGTACTGGGCGTGAAGGCATCGGAAAAGATAGTTCTCATATTGCTTTGATTGAGGATATGAAGGATACGGATATCGTCTGACGGGCGGATAAAACCAAGTCGAATGCACTTGGAAATAAGAGCATCGCTGTCTTTTGAGTGTTCGTAAGCAATAACGATTAATCGGCTATCCGTTCTTTTGACCTCGGGATGAGGAGGAGCCGGGAAAAAGCTCGTAGGTAGCTTCAGCAGTTTCAAGTCTTCATTATCAGCCATGACGACGTTCAAATAATTATACAAGGGAAGTAAGAAAATGGGTAAAGAAATTAAAAAACTCTCTATGCAGAACATATATAAAAAAATTGCTCGGATAAAGTTGAGTGAAACCCCCGGACATTGGAATTATTTCTATCGTACGATGATGAATCCTGGATGCAATCAACCCGAGTTTTCTTCTTTTTTTCTTGTTCATTGACCGGTGCTTTATTTTTAGCGCATGTTTCTTTACGCTTCTTTGCCAGCACCAGCTACTGAGCATATCAGGAAACGGTGAACAAGTATGATAAGCATGTGAAATGAACCATATTATATACTTGCTTGCTTACCGTTTTGTCAGTGGTGATTTAATCTCATAACCATGAAATGACAAATTATGGAATTGTCGCTATTATATAACATTTCATTTCTCGGTCTAAAGTGATGCGCATATAATTAGTGCAGGTGCGAGCAAAAAGTCCTTAAATGATCAACATTGGAATTTTTTCATACAACTTTATCGAACTTATTTCTGCGCTTTAAAATATGCGGAAATAGCCCCGAAACAGACCACTACACGTAGAGAGACTATTATCTCCTTAGTTTTACAGTTGTTGATAGTATATACACTTTGTTCCTTATTACTGTTGCTATATTAAACATTTGAAGAAACGAAAAATTACCTGCATTAGGTACTTTACTGGTTGTTCCATACCGTAATTACAGATTAACGACAGGTGTCCTGCTGCCGTATGGGACCTAAATAAGACGCAGTAAATGATCAATGGCCGTAAATACCATTTTAATAAATCCTGCTGCTGGAAAGTACATTTTTCGATTTAGTCAATTATTAGTCGTTGGAAAGTAAGATACCACCACCACCTTGTCAAGTGCAGTATGACAGAAACATCTAATTTTCGCCTTTGCGGTCATGCGTTGCCTTGTAAATTTACATTGTATCGTTTATCATAAGTGATCATTGCCTCGAGATATACTGTATACAAATATATGGCAGCTGATAAATTCTATGTTGTCACGACACTCGGGAAACACAAATTTACCCAGATACGATGATCAATGACACTTATACGGTAGCTTTGATGGTCAACGGGAGAATGGAAATGACTACAAGATGCAACGAAACAAAGTTCCTTTTTTTATTTACAGTAAGCGATATAAATGGCATAGATAGCAGCGAATGAGAATTGTATGTGCAAGATGGTCATTATTGCAAGGTGAATAGGGTAAGCGAATCGTATAGGAATAAATCAGGATATAGAATCACGGGTAATTAAGACTGTGCAAAGAAGGGGTGAAGAGAAAGCAAAGACCGGAGAACTTATGATACAGAAAATTTAGGATTGATTGATTTGCGATCGATCTCCCGTCATTTCATAGCGACTGCTGGAAGAAGGTGGCGGGGTGGTTAATTGGCGATCATGCGCTAAGAAATCGAGATCCACCGAGCTGCTAAGGTTTGGCACCTGCGAGGTGGATTGAACAAGCGCAGCGTTCATTTTGGCAATGCAATCTTCCACCACGTACAATACATGATCATCAAGGAACAGCCGTAATATATGGAAAGAACCTAACATCGTCCGATACACCCGTTTTAAGTAACGCATCCACCTTTTATGATCTAAACACACACTTACCGAAACTTGCTGCACTTCGCATGGTGAGATCTCGCATAATCAAGGAGGAATACAGTGTCCATTTCAATACGAGTTGCTTTGCCTGGAAAAGGACTTGATTGCAATCTGTCACTTGCCGACTCTGATGATTCCATCATTTATCAGTTATTCAATGTTCAAAAAAGACGGGTTGCATGTGATAGAGTGTACCTGGTATCGGCTCATGTATCGATCCACGAGATTCTCGGTCCAAACCATCCATCGGTCCAAATTAGCTTTGGATCGCAAGAGGTGCAAGACATCCCGTTGCACTGATCCATCATCAAACATGGGTTCAGTAAACTCATTGACCCGGAGCACTAATAATCTACGATGCAACACTTACGGATCTGTTCAATTTCTGCGTTCTTGCAATCGCAAATCCAGAGAGCTTGGTCCACTACACCTCCGAAGTCAATTTTTTCCCAGTCCTCCGCCATCAGAGTGATTTCAGCTGGACGATGAAGGATAGCAGCTGCTGCTTGAGCCATGTGATTGAGTGACAAATGACGGCGAAATTTTGCCACGAAAATACGAGCCACTGAACGAAGGGGTTTCCCTGCATTGGTTATGTGGTTCAAAAGAAAAAAAGTTCATCCATACAGTGCACCTACCATCACTCTTTTTCTGGTAAAGAGTAGAAGGATAACCTTTGAGGTTGGAACTTAGATAGTTTTCCAGCTCGCGAGTATACTGTCGAAGGCCTTTGACCATCTCTAAATTCATGGGCGTGTAAACTGTTGGTAACAAAGTGTCGATAATTGTCTGATTTTCATCCATTAGTTTACAAGGCGACCTTGTTTTTTATTTTTTCTACTACTTACATCATAAAGGGTGCTATCCCATCGCCAGATAGCTTCCGTAATTTCAGGAATGGCGTGGATCAGATTTCTCAGCTCTTCAGGCATATTGTTGTAAAAATCAGCCAAGCACGGTTCAATCTGGATAAAGCAAAGAGGAATGTAAATTTTTCTCAATGTTATTGGAAACATGATTGATGAGCAAAAAACGACCATGAAACATTACCCTGTCAAATTTTCCGCTGATAACCAGCATTAAAAGGTCACGGCAATGCCTTTCATACTCTTCGGTGAGCTGGGAGGCTACTTTTGGGTAATCAAATGTCACTCGATAGCGGAGTATCGGAGGTGTAAACGGCGGCATCTCCACAGGAGGGTGGGGATGAATGTCCGTGCCACGAGAAATGGATCCCTGCGAAAATGTTCGTTGAAAACCTTGAGGCAAGAAAGGATGGGTCGGTTGCTGGGAAGATGGCGTGGACGGTAAAGGAGCATCAGACGATGGCGGCGGTGGTAAAGTCCGGTGTGCCAATGAGCTCTTGATGTAAGGTGAAGGAAGCGAGTGATAATCGGGAGGCGAGGCCAGGGTCGAAGAAGCCGGCGTAGCAGGAGGGATGGTGCTTGGTGTCAAGTCATCCGAGTATGGATAATAAGACATAGGATCGAACAATGCCTGCCTAGATAAAATGAAGAAAGAGCAAAGCAAAAAGGAAGAATGGATTAGCATTAATCCAGACAATGTCCTTGCGGATCAAAAATGGTGGATACAATACTGGTCATCTTGTGGTCGCGTCACGGTACTTGCAGCCGAGGCAATGCCTGATAAATTTCCTGGGTGCCGACACGACTGCACAGAAGGTTGCATACGAATACCGCAGTAATGGTACTTTGATTGGCCTCGCGTGCCGAGTCGACGCGTTTTGATTTCTGGGAATACAGTGCGAATCAGTTTTCCGAACGTCGCGGAATTGACAGGCTGAACGTTGCACGAAGCACAGTAAGACTTGTAGTGTTCGTACATGCCACGACGTGGTACGTTGTGATCATGCTCTAATTGATAATTTTGCTTGACCCTAACAAAATCCTCTTGATTAGCATGGCATCCCTGGAGAAAAAACAATGACGCCACTCAATACCCAGCCACGGCCGTGGCGCATTGGCTAGATTCCCGCCTTCTTTTTATGGTGTCAACCCTTTAGGGATGGCCCCCCACCTCCTTTTTTAGTCTTCCCAAAAATCGAAAAGCCGCTTACCAGTTGGTGACGAGCTGACTGGTCGCTTTGTCGGTAAGGACTGCGCGTTCACCTTCGGTACTGCGACGACGATGATCAGAGATACTGGTGTCGGACGGTGTCAGTGCCGATGCAGAGAATTCTTCACCGGATGAGTCCATGAGTTCAGAAGAATCGGACATTGGTTTGATACTACGCTGCGATCGTCTTGTCGCAGGGTGAGGAGAGTAATGGTAGTCGTCATTGGCGGGCTGCGGCAATGTCTCGTGATCCCGACTACTACTACTATTACTGGATCTTGCCGTTAACTCGGCTTCTTGACTTCGGGTTTGCAATCGCGTGCTGATTCTCATTCTACCCCTTGTATGAACCATGACTTAATTAATGCTTCATATATGAAATTTAAGAAGAAAGGGAAGAAGTAGAAAGAGGAAATAAAAAAGAACGGTAAAAAAAAACAGAAAAATAGCAGTAAATTTTATGCCAACCTGTAAATAGCCCCCTTTTTATAGTATCAGGTTTACCTGTCAGTACAGGATTCAAACGAGAAAAAAAAGTAAAAAAGTAAAAGAGAAGCGAAAATGGTTAAAGATGGCGATTGACATGCTTTTTTTTTAATTTATACACGCGTGGGTCCTTGAGATCTCAGATGACTTCATCACCACCGATATATCACTAAATAATTTTTTTTTCTCCCTTCCAATGTTCCAATGCAATGCGTAAGATACCAAGTCATGTCTCAGATTGCGCAACCATTGATGACCTATTTTTTTTTTTTTGTCTTCAGTCTATCCTGCTTACTTGGTCTAGGTTCTCATTGTCAGTCTGATCTCTTTTTTTGTTATATTTATTCATTAGCGAATAGTTCCTGGATGTTCTGTCGACGTGGAATAAAACGAACATTGCAATCCTCGGGGAAAGCAAGAGGCAACTTGATGTCAGTGATAGGCACAGGAACAAGCTGACCATGTTTATCAGTAGGACATGCTACGGTGTAAGACCATAACACACGCGCCGTCAACAACTGAATGGACTTTTCAGCAAAGATCGATCCAGGGCATAGTCGTCGTCCAGCTATTCGTTCATCATTCATAAACCAAATTAACGTCTAATCATGCAACGAGCCCTCGACGGAAACATGGAACAAATTTTCTTTTTTACCTCCAAAACTCCAGTGATCACGTTGATGACCACCCGTCAACGGTCTTTCGTCTTGATAGAATCGATCAGGATTAAATACTTCAGGATTGGCATGCACTGACGGGTCAAAGTTCGTTGCGTAGATATTATGCATGATACCAAGGCCAGCCCTGTATACAAAACCCACCAAAAAGAAGCCAAGCATTAGATAGACTAATCAACGCCATTGATCACCCAGTCAATAAGTAGGATCAGTAAAACTTACGGTATCTCATAACCCTTGTAAATCTGACGTTCGCCTGTCATGTGAGGCAAATTAAGCCACAATGGAGGTCGGTAGCGAAGCACTTCAGTAACGATGGACTGGATATAAGGCAATTGGTCCAAATCTTTTTCCCTGGGCAACTGATCTGATCCAACCACTTGATCCAATTCTTGCTGCGCCTTGGCTTGGACTTCTGGGTGATTGACCAGGATATTTAACGTATTCTGAATGGTAGCGGCCGTGGTATCCGTAGCCGCAAGCATAACGGTGGCAGCAATATTCTCTACTGTAGACCATCATTTTTTTTTTCATAAGCGTGATGTTTTCTTTAGTCATCTCCTCCTTCCTGGTTATAAATCCTTACACTCGATAGCTGACAAGTTTTCCTTTTCTTCAACGTCCAAAATGTCTCCCATCAGGCAAGGATACCAGTCCTCGGGTTTTTGCTGGGCTCGCTTGTCACGCAATTCTTGAATGTATCGCTTAAAGATGGATTGGAATCGATTTTGGCAATCAATAGCTCGCTCTTTGTACCAACGGATTAGGAATTCCAAAGGCTTGGGACAGTCGATCAGCATCGCCAGGCCTAGCTCGGCAAATTCGACCGCAAGTTTGTGTAACTCCTCAAATTTAGGATCCGTAGGCGAGGAGAACCGAACTCCGAATAACAAATGCATGGCAACATTGATCTATCCAACCATTTTCCAGACATCAGTTGAACTCGTCCACACTCGAAAAAGACCTCTTGGTATAAAATTGTACTTACCGTGTACAAGTAGCAGTGATTGGCCAGCTTCGTGCCCTCCGGAGCGACACCTTCTTTATGAAGCTTCTCGAGCATATACTTTGTCTCCGTGTTGTACAGCAAAGGATATTTGCGCTCCAAGTTGTTCTTGCTGACACTGCCAAGCATCAAACGACGCGAGGTCTTGAGAAACGCATTATCGGGACCCCAAGCAAAGATAAGGCCGTCATGGCCCATCAGCTTCACCACGGTATTGGTGAGTCGGTTCGAGTTTTTCTGACCGTTGATTTCCAGCAGGTCTCTGACAACTTCCGCATCGTTCAAAACCAAAAATGGTCGTCCTCCCATGCTTATTTCGTATATCGGACCGAGTTCTTTTGCCCACTCCACCATTTGCAAATGCGGTGATTCACTCAGTTTCCACACGTGGCCAACGATGGGAAGCCATCCTCGAGGCGAAGGGAGTTTGCGTCCTTGGGGTTCGGAGGTGGATGCATGATGGCGACGTCGTAGCAAGCTTCCCAAGATAACGGTTCCAACCACCGCACCGAGAACGCCCGTCGTTACCCTTGGGTGGTGCTGCTGCAATTTCTGAAATTCTTCCGTGAGTGATACAAGCCAGGCAGTCGCCATTCGACAGAAAAGTAAAAAACGAAACTGAAAAAAAAGAGAAGTGGCAGTATTAGCTTGGGTGGTACGATCACTTTCCATCCTTTTTATACTGATCCACCATCTATCGTGATACTGTTGATATGCATCGCTGGGCTTGTGTCTCCCGCGGTAAAAATTCCTATTTATAGAGGGTTTCTTTGGACTGTGACAAGAGGGCCTTGCCATGGAACCATTTTCAATATGACATCCCATTGTCCCAATAACGCATCCACCATCGAAATAAAGGAATGGATACTTATCGCAAAATGCCATTTCATGAAACTTTATGTTGTCCGTAAGGGTTCGCCCACCCAAAACTATATCTTGTCTTACCATACACACACCACATAGTGTTACGCAGCGTCGACGTACAAAAGCAAGACCGGGTGATCGAGCACGTTTTATACATGTTACAAAATTTTCTGCAAACGTTTAATCCACAACAACTTGTTCATCTACCGAAGGGAATAATTCAAAGAATGCCTAACAAACCCAAGCAAAAAAGGGTCAACGCATAAACACAAAAACAATCAGATGACACTTTGTAATACCAACCTCTAAAAGGGAGATGCCGTTTTTCACATCGTCGACACCACCGGTTTCACGGATAGAATGCATACTCAGCTGCGGGTTGCCGACGTCTGTAACCCAAAGATAGCGGTGTATCGGAAAGGAACAGGCAAAATTAGTTTAAAATTCGAATATACAGGTAAAACACCAGCAAAGATAGTGGTTCGAAAAGAAGAAAAAAATAGCATTACCGATGGTTCGCAAACCGAGCTTGGCACTGAGCATGGGTCCAATGGTCGATCCGCAAGACGAATCGTTGCGCACAACAAATTCCTAAACACAAAAATATGGCATTTAGACTTTCCCTGTCATTTTTTTTTTTTGGTTTTGTTTTTTGATAATATACCTGAATAGGAATATTACGACGACGGGCAATTTCACGAATTATCAGACTAGTTGGGGCAGTGGTCGCATATTTCTAGTATTTTGATGAGTGCATAAGCGGGTTTGAAAGAGGATTTCCTTTTTTTTTCTTTCCAGTACCTGATTTGCATTGATCTTGATCACTGTTCCTTTATGCATGGCTGGACGGTGGTTTTCTTCGTACTTTTCGCTAAAAATACCGCAGAGTCTACGTGTTAAGTTGCTGCACGATCACATGATAGTGGCTCTGCTTACGTATAGTTAGGATGAACAGCATGGGCCATATCAGCACTCACTAACAAGCTTTTTTGGACCGCTTGTTCAAAGGTGGACTAATTTCTTGTGAGCATAATCCTCGGCTTTTCTGAAATATCGAGCCAAAAAAAAAAAAAAAAAAACGTACTTTACTTGATTTCCCTTTACGCGTGCCAATATCGGTGGCGACGATTCTTTCCAAAGTTGCCGGTAACAGGTTGGAATTCGCTCCATTAAGGGTGGTGCTACCCACTTCTTCATTGTCAAAAAGTGAGACAAGACGGACATTGGGTTCTTGTGATAGGTCATTCGATGAACGAATAAGCGCCTAAATAACGCATGAGAAAGAAAAAAAATAGGCATTTTTCAACGCGAGGCCGCGGTTGGCGAAACGTACCATCAGCGAACAATAAGACATGCCTAAATTATCCAAACGTGCAGAAAAGATAAACTCGTTGTACAAACCGCCCAAAGTAGCAGGCTGGATGTCGTAGAGACTCAAGTCAAAGTCGTGGATAGAGGAAGCTATTGCCATAAGTTATTCTTGAGTCGACTAAAACGATCACGGTGTACTGGATAGGTACATACGTTGAACGCCAATCTCATTGGCAAGCGCTTCAATCAAACAAGGATGATGACGGTCGGCGTGCTCTCCGTGTCCAGGTTTTGGCGCATTAAGTACCCTAAGTTGATGTTAGAGTGTGTGTGGCTTACTTTGCAATCTTTGGGGTACAGATAGCGTACGATTTCACTGTGGTAGCTAGGATAGGTAATAGATGGGTCTCCTTGTTGAACTTGAAAGCTTCATTGGCTGACCCGTCCAAGTGAATAGCCAAGGTAGGCACACGAAGAATTGGTCTGACATCCCGAAACGCGTTATTTTTTTACGACGCTTTATTCAGCTATTGATGGAACAGTACCTGTGAATGCGAACAAGCGTATGTTTAAAGGAACCATCTTCTTGCTGTACCATCACTCTACCGGCAATACCGAGGTCGCGATCAAACCAACTGTGCCTATGATTGATGCGTTTATGAGCACTACATAAACTAACCGATTCGACATGAAACGTACCATATGCCACCACCATACAACTGCACACCTACTTCAAGATAACCAGCATTTTCCTTTTTCGATACCGGTTTCAACTACACAAAAAATTGTAATGAATATCTGTGGAAGGAGTAGCTGCTTGAGAAAAAACATGATAAAAAAAAGCGTACTTTGAGACAGGGAGAGTCTGTGTGTGCACCGACAATTGAAAATCCATTGCCCGGTTTGTAAGCTCCGCCCACGACAAAGGCAACCACTGAAGACCCGTTTCGAGTAAAGTAGTACTTTCCTTCTCGCTTGAGTGTCCAATCCGATCGTTCGCTTAAGCGTTGAAAGCCGGCTTTTTCGAGACGCTGGACGGCTTCATGCACAGCATGGAAAGGAGAAGGGGAAGCATTTAAAAAGTCGATGAATTCAAGCGCTTCATGAGGCGCCGAAGTATTTACAGTAGTAGCTGCCGTCGACATGGAGGCAATGGAAGGAGTAGCGTGAACGTGCGACATGAGCTTTTTGGAGGGAAAGAAACAAAGACCACGGCGCAACTGCTTCCACATGACACAAACGTAAAGAGGCTACCACCTGACGTCCGGTCGCTGCCTTTCAACTCTTTGCAAAACGACGTGACCGGATTAAGATAAAGTTCACGCAAATAAAAAATAAAATAAAAAAAGCGCTTTTATTTTTGTTGGTTATCATGGTTGATCTTTTTCATGACGCCGCTGAGACAAATTGGCTACTATCTCATCCACTGCTTCTCGTTCTTCTCTGTCAATGGTGACCGCATCAAGTACGACAAGCTTGGGACACGCTTTGATGATGAGAGCTCGATAAGCCGGTCTCCTGAGTTTCCAATGAGGTGACATGTTGTTGCAAAACTCGGAATCACGAGTTATCCAACTGTCGTCGTGCTCATAGGCAAGGTATCGCGATAATTTGGTCAGACACTTTGAAGATTCGAGTGCATGAGGTGCAATGACCGGCGGATACAATTTCATAGAAATGGGATTCTCCCTGAGGGAGCACATCATAACAAGGAAGAAGAGAGAAAAACAGTTATTGCTTGGAAAAGTATACGGCTTCCCTCATCTGTGTAGGCTCCAACTTACCGTAAATCGAGATAAGATAGTCGTGGTATATAACGTACCGCGGCCACCGTTTCACTTAAACTTTGGAATCGATTATCCATGGCCACCAGTTTGTGCAGATGGCGCAGTTTTCGTAGTGGGCTCAGATCATGGAGATAGTTATGGTTAAGGTATAAGGTGCCGAGGTTGGGTACTTGTCGAGCAAAATCGGAAGGAAGTGCTTCCAACTGGATGGATGACAATTCGAGATACTCCAGCGCAAAGAAGTCGTCCATGTTCAATTGCCGCCAAGGATTGCCTAACCATTGAACAAGTTAACCTACTCGACCAGTATTCGAAATTTAATACTGCTGTGTTCACTTATCACTTCATACCTGACAAATACAGCTTTCGTACGTCTCGTAGGCATTGTACTTTCATGTCTCTAAACGTGTGTCAAACTCGATTAGAATAAATGCATATCTATCAGCGCTTGCCATGATCATACACGTTATGCCCGCCTTGATCTCTCAGAGAAAAGCTGTCCAGTCGGGAGATGCAGGAAAGTCCCATGATACGTAGGATTTGATTATCGTCGAGATACAAGGTCCGTAATCCGGGAAAAACTGAACCATCAAACGCTTTTAACCGGTTATAGCTCATTCGCAGCACTTTTAATCTTGCCATCGGTTCTCGGAGGCGTATCCATTTAATGTCGTTGTGTTCTATTGGCGAAAAATCCATGTTATTACTTCATCATTAAGCGCCGATATTCCAAATTTTTGACTTGCCAAGGTTCAAAGTTCGCAAAGCTCCAAGATTTTCGATGCCCTCCAGACACTCAATACGATTGTACGCAAGATCCAATTTGTCCAGATGCTCCCTAATCACATCCATATCAATAAAAATGCCTCATGTAATTTTTATGCTATTGAACACTCACATGGAGGCTGATCCGAAATGGATTCGCTTAATCATGTTCCCGCGCACATTCAAAATAATCAATCCTTGCATATTTCGGAATGAGGAACACGACGAAAGCTTGTTGTTTTCAGCGTGTAATTCTCGTAAATGGTAGAACGAAGCACCTATTGACGAACAACATACAGTATGATTAAAACAATACAATGCCATGAAATTATCCAACGTACCTTCAAAGCTTTCGATCGCGTTGTTACATACATCGAGATGGTGCAGATTGTAGAGATGTTGAAAAGACGTAATATCGGTTAATCTGGAAAATATCACTGATAAGAATCGGAACACGTACGCAACCATGACAAACATTTGACAGTGTTTTGCCTAAAAAACGTACTTGTTCGAATTCGCTCGTAGTATTCGGATATTGCGCGGTAAGCCATCCATTCGGCTGATTGAATTGTTCGATCTACAAGGGGTCATATGTTGTTTAATATGTACCGTACTCTTTCCCTAAAATTCCCCAATAGCTACTCCAATAGCTTACACAATCAGGGTTTCCAGATTAGGCAGCACCCCTTCCAAGTCATACAAAGCTCTCAAATGCTGGCGGCTGAGATCCAAAGATCGGATAGCGTACCACTGATGGCATGGCCTCAGTTTATTCAACTGTTCACGCGCTGCACTCAAACCATGTTCTTCAAGCACGTCTTGCGTAAAGTATAAGCGACCAAGCAGATGATCCGTGAGCGGGACTGAGAATCCATTGCAGTCAAATTCGTCGGTTTCTCCGCCTTGTCTCTGGATTTGGTCGTTGATTGGTGGCTCGGTATCATGATATGGCCTATCATGCAAAATGCCGCAATGTTGAGGAATAGGCGATTGCATTGGCGCGCTGTGTCCATTGGTTTGGCCAAAGTCCATGGGGTTCATCCTTTCGTTGAATTGGGAAGTATTCGGACGGCCGTCATCGTCTCGATTTCCATTACATGAGGTATCGATGGCTGGCATATAGGCTTTGGATTCTTTGCTTGGCTGTTCGGATGCGTGTCGTTCTTGTCGTTCTGCGTCATCTGCTTCCAGCTTTTGCCGCAACACATCGTGTAAGGGTTCTTTTCCTTTCGCGGTGGGGCTAGATAGATTTATACAGGATGGAGTGTCGTGTAAAGCTAGCCACGGCACCGACGGACCCCCACTCGTAGGTGTCCATTGGGCGTGAGCGTCAGCATGGGAAACGCCTTGCTGTAGTGAAGGGACATGCGAAGACGATAGCCATAGATCTGAATCAGCAGACACAGATTGGGTGGACATGTCCGCTGTTGGATCCACTAGATCTTTCGATAAAAGTGAATGTTTTTCCGTATCGTTGGATAAGGTTGCTTTACTGGAACCGAGACTGAGAAATTTGGATGCATATTGGCGAATGGAAGACTGCGGTTTCTTGGTATTTCCACTTTCGACATCCATGGCGGGGGCAGGATTAATAAAAGGCAAAGGCGAAAGAGAAGCAGGAAAGCGATCGATTGATTTGTCGCGGCTATTCTTGTGGTCCGATTTTAAGCATGTCTCATTATTTGAATAAAGTGAGTCATTGTCGTCAATTTTATCACGGTTGTCAGCTGGATCAACTGAAGGCTCCTTTGTGCTGTCTGGCTTCTTATCCATGGTTTCTCGCTCAGACGCTGTTTCCTCGGAGCTTTCAGCTTGACAAACAGATCGACTTGCCGTTACGGCGAATGCGGCATCGTTTGGACCGTGTTTCAGCATGCATGAGTCTTCCCAATCACTATGATCGTTGTTTGGATTCACGACAAATCGATCGAAATTGAGCACGGTACGACTTTGAGTGCTTTCCGACGGCTGAAGTTCGTCCATCGGCGGTGTGCCCTGTTCGTCTGCAATTAAACGATCAGCATCAGTGAACTGCCAACTATCGCAAAGAGACATCAGGGACAGATTAGCGGTCTTCTTCCACTCTGAACTCGATATTTCGGAGAGTCAAAAACCTGAAATGCAGTCAAAAGCAGTGGTGCAACCAATACAAAAACGCTTCCTTCCAGGACACCTCCCCCCAAAAAAGCACATGGTGCGTTTTTACCTGTCCCTTTTCAGTTCTATTTTTCACTACATTTGGTTGCATACCTTATCTTGATGTATGCTCTTTGACTGAAAAATACAGCTTACATCTGCCTTGCGGCGGTTTCTCTCCAGGCACAATTGAACGGAATGCTAGTAGACGGCTCGACAAGTTCACCAACATATGATGATAAAGTTTCAATCGCATCCACCGCTTTATCAGGGAAAGTATGAGAGAATTGAAATGAAATTTAGGATGCAATCGTAATTATAACGATGTTGAAATATTATCTTCGTTCTTGACCGCGCATCACGGCCATGTGGCCTGCTCTCTTGCCAACATTTTCAAACATTCACGCACACACTATTGGTAAAAGTAAAACTTGCATTTTATGCAGCCAGTTTCTGGTATGGTGTTTTATTACTGTAAAATATCAGCTGGTATTGACGCCGCATCGATCATTTTTTTTTCAAGTGCATTCTGAGCAGTAACGGCTGGATTCTGTTCTGCGCAGACAGTCGTTGCTCCGGATAAAAACACAGTAGAGGGTCAGGGATTTTTACAATTTGGCTTTCTGAATCAAGGATAAATTGTCGTTTCGGTGCAGCACTTGTTTGACAAGATCCTAAAATGAAGTTTAAATTAAAAAGTAAAGACCGGCCAACACTGGGTAATTCACTTACACTAAACTTTTCTCTGTTTTCGTCTGAATTGAGCGGGTTATTTTGCACCATCTCCCAAAATCCTTCATAGGCTCTGCCATCTTCTCTGCCCAACACTGTTCCTAGCTGGGAGTCCGAGAAATCAAATGCGTCTGTCAATGCGACCACTTCTTTGGCAAATGAAGCGATCAAGGCGCGGTATTCCTTTCGAATGAGGTTGAGCGTTCCATGCTCAATGGTGCCGGTGGAAAGGAAACTGCTCAGCGAGGATTGAGACAGCAATGACAAGAACAACTATGGTTGAAAGGAAAACATAAGTCCATAAACAGTTCCATATATCGCTTCAACGTAGGGAGTACTTACCAAGTTAGTCATCTGCTTAAAGATGGGCGCCAAAGGATCAGAGGCCGCTTGAAGTGCGTTTGTCTTTTCGATCATTTGTCCCATAATAATGTATTCGGCGTGAGCCGTCGCCACTTCCCAGCATTCCATGTTCAGATCAGCCCAGGGAACATTGGAAAGAAGCTGTTGTGACAAATCATGTACAAGGCGAGCCGCTCGCGTGCCGAACACATTCAACTGTATATTGCTATCAAACAAAGTATTGGCATCATTAATAACAAAAGCGGAATGTCCATCGAGTACGGGATTCTTCAGGTAAGACGCTGTATGAGCCGACACATTGTGCCCTTCGGAGAGTCGTTGAAGCTGTTTCAGTAAGAAGCGAGCGGTTTGCTGGACCAACACGTAATTATCGCCTTCGTACGTGTTAGCCGGGACAGAATTGGCAAAGAGGAAGGATACGCCACTGAAGGCCGAGTACCCATGTCCTCCCATAGCTCTGCGACACTCTTCAGCCCCTTCACTGGCTTTTCGCGCACTCCAGACTTTCAAAGCACATGCTGTCGCATGTAATTCAGGGAGCATACGTGCATTTCCCTGTTGGAGTTCCAGCATCATTTGCTTATAGTCTTTCAATTGATCCTTGGCTGCAACGTACAAAGCGTAGGCGGTCGCTACAAGAGGGAAGAGACGATGCTGCACGGAGGAGTAAGAAATCACTTGATTCTCCAAAGTCTGGCTATCGTTAGATTGCCTGGAACGCGGATGAAACTGGCGTCGAACCGTGCAGTAACGAATGGCAATGGTCACTGCTTTGGCTAATATGATGGCAGAATGGTGTGCAATGTCCACGCGAAGTTTCACCATACTACCGTAGGATAATTTATCATGGACGGCGGGAATATATTGTCCTTCCCTTGTTACTTTGGCCAAACCCATAAGCATGTTGTCGCGAGGAATACGGACATGATCGAAAAGAGCATCTGGAGTGGCTATCGTGAGTAACAGACAAACGCATATGTATCATTTGGAAAATCGACTTACAGCCATTGTCTTGGGCAGCAAAGCCGCCGTAGGCCTTGGGCCCAATGTCGCCCACCGTAACTCCTTTGACAGGTCGATGGTCCCCTGCATTGAGCCATGATTAAGTTAAAGAGAAAAACAACTGACCAATGACAGCGTCGAAAAGGGTGCTTACCAGGACTGCGGATGGGGACAATAAAAATATGGGGACCATACGATTTTGAACCAATGACAAGTTGAGCCTATGTGAAATTTTAAGACACGATTGAACGCTCATAATACAGATAAGAAGAAGTATACCTGTACAACGGCGTGGGTGGCCAAGACACCCAAGCCTCCAATCCACCATTTGGCACCCTAATCATGATGCGTTCCGTGACATTTTAGTCCGTGCAAAAAGATGGAGGCATCAATCGAACCTACGGTTAAATCAGGTGTGTGGATAACGAACTCGTCTGTGGCCGGATCAAAGGTTGCGCGTGTCAGCAGGCCGGCGACGTTCGAACCATGGCTAGTATACCATGTAAGCGTAGGAAACGGACGTGCGCAGATCTCCAATACTTTACCCTAGTTCAGTCTGGGCGTAACATCCGATAATTGCATGCTTGGCTGCCAAGTCGAGCCACTTTGCACGCTGATCGGGCGTCCCCATGGATTGAATGACCGGCATGAAAGCTGAAATACAGTTAGTGACTCAAAAAATTTCTTGTGCCGGAAAGTCTACATTACATACCCTCATAATGAAGACCAAACTAATGTAACAAATAGAAAGCAACATTAGCTGCTGGATAAACAGACTCATGTGCGGGAAAGGGAAGCGATACTACCGGTGACAGCATTTCCGCCCATCCATGCGCGAGATTAAATTCTTTATCGGACCACTGATGCTTTTCTTTCAATTCGATCATTCGCTTTGCAACCAAAATACCGTTATATACATGCTATCATACAGTCTTTATGTTAATTTTTACAGCCGCTCTAAAACCTAGTAAAGTAAAGTATAGCAAATAAACCTCTTGTCGCTCCATGAAATGCAGCTTCAGCTGATCAAAGACAGGTTCATTTGCCATGATTTGGCCAATTTTTCTGCGGGTCTCAAAATTCTCTCGGCCATCCCATATAAAATACGACATGGCCATCACCGGAAAGGTAGCCGCCTGTCGAGCTTTCGAAATATCATCTTGCATTTGCTGTGAAAAGTTATGGGCAATCATGGTGGTGAAGGAAAAGATAAAAACAAAAAAGATAGAGTAGAACCGAATAAGTAGAAGAGAAGCAGTAAAAGGAGAGAAAAAGGCGGCGTAGCTGAGTCATCTTTTTTCCGCTTTTTAAGACACGGTCCCCACCCTCCAAAAAAGACTGTCGTTCAGCACATTACCAGTAAAATCTTACTTGCTTTTAGGCAAATACCGTTATACTACACCGATACAACGTTCAACCTTTGTTTATCTCTGTTCTGCTTCATTATCTACTATCTACACTTACAAAAGTCGATGTCGCAAAGGTGTACAGGTGGTACGAGTGAAATATGTCGGAAATAAGGTTTGCTTTGGAGGGAGGAACTGTGTGTGACCTTGCGAGCCAGCTATACTGTGTAGGAACTGAGGATGAGGGTGAAGAATTAGGCCAATACAGATTTCAAAATGGGGACCAGCGGATATCTTATGTCCACTTTATCATGACATATCTGTGTCACTTGTATATTGCGATGCTCGTCTGCTTGCAGATTGGCAATCGCTTGCTGATAAGCTCAGACGGCATGAACCTGCACACCACGGCGTTGTCGGGGTTTAAACAAGAATGTTTGTGGTCAAATTTTTTTGGGAGCAGGACGCGCTTTGCCAGTCTTGGACGGTTTCAATGGATACTTTGCTTCAAGACACGTTGGCGGATCTAGGGTACACTGTGGAATGCTTATGCATTGTTCATCGTTTGCACTACTTACCTTCTTTTTGTTTTACAAGTACCTTTGAACCTCCTTTATCCTCAACAGAGCAGCCGGACAACTATGTCGACGAACCTATACCAGCAACAACGTACCTGGCTTTCTTTTTTCTTCACCCTGTTACCCCGATTCATTTCACTCATTGTCAATTGTCAATGTCATTAGGTTTTGTACCACCGATAACTTTGCCTCATCAGCCAATTACATCAATCTGCTCCTCACTGCTCGTGGATATCCAGTGCCTCTTGTCTTCAAGAGCGATCAGGTCGAGGATGCTTGTAAAATAATCAACTGTCTGCATCAACTGCTACAAGACGGCAAGGTAAAGTTGATCACTCAACATTAGCCTTGCGGACGACGCTCATGATATTGATTTTTCTTTACGAATGACAGCACAGTGCGGACGAACGACAGGATCTCCATGATACCATTGATCGATTAAAGCAAGATCAGGAACAATTACAGTTGAGATTGGTATGGGACATATCAAGCCAGGGTTAGTGTTGGAATAATGCTTACCTATTGGATAGGACAAGTGCAATCATCAGCTACAAGCCAAGGAACGAGAAAACATACAACTAAAAGCCAAGATCGAGTAAGTTGCACTAAATGCGGCACAGTCTGTATCGAATATTAAGTCACTCCGTCGCGCCCTCTTTATCTTCAGATCAACCGGCCAAGAATTGAAAAAAGAAATTCAACAAAGCCGCAATATACGAGAAGAACTGTCAAAAGCAAAAAATAATATGCAATATATGAAAGCTCAATATGCGGTAATTGCCCCTTTTCTTTTTCAATCTATCCAAACAACAACAACGACTTGGGCTCATTCATTTCTCTCCTAATCACAGCATGAAACGCGACGGCACGAACAAGAACACGCAAAGACACGAGAACGACTGCTTAAATTGATGGATGAGAAATCTCGAGTGGTCGTTGGACTTTTGGAAATGAAGGAACCGATGCCCAACGTCACAGCACGAATCCACGGTCATGACGAACTTGTAGAAGTACGTAGCATTTCAATAAGCCACTGATCACTCAACGCTTGCATGATTTTTAATCTTTTTCTCTGTATTGCTTGCAATACGCAACAGCAACGTATTATGTACAGTGATCTTCTGAACAAGAGCAGCGAACGTGAACGAGAAGCAAGAACTGAGAGCGAAGAATTCCGAACATGTCTCATCGAAATCTATACCGCTGTACGACGACTATTAGAACGCCAAATACAAAATTATGACGAAACATTCCCACAAATGTCAGAGGTAGGGCGAACCCCGTTTTATTTGGAATCCAGTGATTCATGGGAAACTCGCATGTTTTGCAACAATCAGGAAAAAAATCTGGCAGAAGAAGTAGGCAAATTTCGTTTACCGTTGAATTTTGGATCGAAAGAAGCCATTCAGCATGTACATGATCTGCTGGACAGATTGCAGGAGGAATGGGATCGGGAAGTGAAAGACAGACAACTGATTACTGCAGATGATATTATGGAAAAAGATCAGACCATTCACGAACTGGAACAACAAATCGAAGATTTGATTGAAGTCCTCGGTAGGCTTGCTCTGACAGTGGTAGTAGCTGACGTAATGACTGATGCATTGAAAATTGAGCAGAACACACTCAAAAAGAAAAGGATGATGCCGCGAAAATTCACATGAAGTATGCCAATGGTGGATTTTTTGACACTCTCGCTCCTGTCTATTCAGCAAGGCTCGAAATATCAGAGTGAGTTTTCCATCCAACAGCATAATTCATAAACATGTCACTAAGAATTTGAATTAGTTCGGAGAGCTCGGTTTTGGAAGATGAAGAAGAGGAAGAAGCCAAATGGATGAAGCGACAGAGAGAAGCACGTCAAGAACGACAGCAAGTAACAGAGTTGGCACTTAAATTAGGGCAAGAACGAGCCAAGTTGTCGGTAAGAATTAGCTCATACAAGATGTATTGGTAGTTCTGTGTTTTTGATTTATCACCGTGGAGCAGGCAGAACGATGGGCTTTCAAGGAAATGAAAAGAGAATTACAACTGCAAGAAGTGTTGGCCGGTCTGCCATCTTCACCCGAGCGACCGTCTCCCGAACCACCGACCTCATCAGATTTATCCGCATCCCCACAACGACCTGCGTCCGTTCGACGGACTCACTTTAGCCCACTGTTAACATCACGACGAACTTCGGCACTTCCAGCAGACAGCGGTCGAGCTCATAAACGACTTAAATCTTGGCTTGGTCATGCTCCCTCCACCCACTTTTAAACCCCATCCATTTCAACCACCATTTTTCCTTTTCTTTTCTCATGGCGTCATAATAAATCAGATAATCGTCCCCCCCCCCCTCATGGGTTTACAAATGTTTCCACAGCTTGTCCTTCTCCCACGTTCGTCATCCCTCAGTCCGTTTTGAGATGCTCAATTACCAGTCTTCATTCGTTTGTATGATCGAGAAGACGCTGAATAAATGTACACAAATTAAAAAGCTCATGACGCTGAAATACAGGCGCTGCAAAATTTATTTGCGTTGTTTTTAACGGAGACGACGAGCTTCACGTTCGGATTCCAAGAGACAGAGGATGTCGTTTTCGCGGACGGGACCCTTGACGTTACGGATGATGCTACGGTTGGAATCGTCCATGAATTCAACGCGGACTTGAGTGACACCACCACGGGAGCCAGTACGGCCGAGAACCTTGATCACTCTAGCGAGTTTGACGGGCTGCTTTTGAGCGTCCTATAGAATTCACAAATATCGTTGATCAGACTTGGTCTTTTTTCCTCTGTCATCTATTTCTTTCCCTCCAGATGGTGAAAAAAAAAGTTACATGGAATCACACCAAGTACACCATGGCCCAAGTAACCATGGGAGCACCGGGTAAGCGATAACCATGGATATTTAACCATCCATCATTCCAGCGTATCCATCTCCATCGTTATCACACATCATCCACCCTAATCCATCTCCCAGACACCTATATGCGCTTCCTATGCCAATCTCAAAAGCTGCAACTTACCATATTCACAGGATCTTTGAGAAAGGGAAGGAATCGTTCATTAGGCCTAAGCACCTCTTTTCCCTTTCCGGCTCTCGCACCTCGGCGGAGTTTCCTCGATTTTGATTTGCGAGCCGTGACTGTAATATTGATGGTTTCATTCGTTTATTCCGGCTCGGAATTTCTCAATCCATGCCGTGGAGCACACAAAAAAAAGTGAGTTCACTGCATGCACCAAAGCGCCTTCTTTTTCTGCAGCAGGTATCACAACTCTGAAATCTTGCAAGAATGGGAAAAACTGAGAGTATGAGATATTGAGAAAGGAATCGCTGATACGACAATGAATAATCAAAATCCAACCATTCTTATTGAGCGCAAAGCCTGGTTCTGCTACAGCTTTAATCTTGAACAATGTTTTTCCCAAGGCTTCTTTGTCAGGGATGCAAGACACATTTTGCAAGGCAGTTAGCCGGGTTCTATTCTCAGAGTTCAGACAGTATTACAGCATGCATCAGGATTCATCAAGAATAGATAATATATTTAACGCACTAAGAAAATAACAAAAAATAATAACATAGTACATGAATTACAAGTTGCTTAAATTATCGACTAGATCTTAAAGGGCCAGATGAAATGAGGTTCTTCATTGTTTCCGTTAAGTTGTTGCAGGACATTCTTTAAACCAGCATCGGTGCCACTGGATACAGGTGAACCAGTCGAGCTTGGAGGGGCTTGTTCGGGTGTTTCCTTGGAATTTTCGGGTTTGCTACTTTCCGGAGCTGGCGTTTCCGATGCGGATGAACTGGACTCTTGCGAACTAGATGAAGCATCCCCAGAAGGCTTAGGACTAGGTTCCGCAGGCTTGTTTGCGTTATCGCTTGATTCCGACGCAGAAGGAGAAGGAGCAGGAGTGGACGCGGGCTTGGACTCAGAACCTGACTCATTGGTAGCCTCATCTTTGGTAGGAGGAAGAGTAGTAGTTGGAGTTCCGGAAGGCACGCTGGAGACAGAAGACGAAGTGGTAGTAGTAGTGGTGGTGGTTGAAGGAGCCGCGGACGCCGAAGAAGTTGTAGGAGGGAGGCCACCCTTGGTATCGAGAGTCGATTTCACGCCGTTCTGGTAGTAGTAAAGAATGCCCTTGAAACCATTGCCAACCACGACGGTAACGTTTTGAGAGATATCAATATCGATTTCCTTGGCAGACAGCAATCCGAGCAACTTGCTAGCGCTGGCATCAAGGCTGACGGGCCACTTGTTGGACATGATGGAACTCTTGGCGGGAACCGTCAAAGGACTGTCAAGCGTGTAATCGATATGACCCAATTGGTAAGGACCGTCATTGTCGGTATGGCGGATAGTAGCCTGAACCTTGTAGACCGTGAATGGAGTATCCAAAGGATTCTTCAAAGTAACGTAGGTGCTAGCCTTGCCCATCAAAGCATTGATGAGGGTGGTGGACACATAAGTCGATTCAACCAGTTGGTTAGGGAGACCTTGAAGGGTTGTAGCCAACTTGACACTGGCCAGGGCCTTTTGCAAGGGAGCAATCTTGGTCGAGCTTGGAGTACCACTGATGGTCAACGGGACTTGTGCGTTGGTCAAGAAGTTGCTCAACATTTGAGCCAGAGCCTTCAGGTCAGTGCCACCCATGTGCATCTTGGCGTCGAAAGTGTTCACACCAGGCTTGATAACGACATCCTTGAGGTAGACAATACCAACGCTGGATTGGAACTCGTTCATGATAGTGTCAAAGGTCAAATCACCCACAGTGATTGTGATAGCCGAGGGGTTCGAGAAGGCAATCTTGAGATCAATTTCCACGTATTCAGGCTGGCCACCCACCACAGACAAGCTGAGAATGTCGACCTTGCCACCAAAGTTGAGGAAACCTAGCACAATTAAAAAAAAATTACATCAGCGTACTAGAATCAATGATGATGAAACAAACTGAAAAAGAAAAAATATCTTACCAGCCAGTTTGGTAGGTACATTGAATGCAATGTTGTTGAGCTTCAAAGCACCGACGGGAGTATCAGCGATGGAATTGGCGACACCTTCAAGGCCAAAGGTCACTTCAGGAGATGCGGTCAACAACTGAACAAAGCCATCAAACAGAGGACGCGACGGTTCATACACACTGAAAGGAACATTCGAGAACTGCGTGGTCACCACGTTCTTATCGTTGGTCACGGCCTTTTCGTCAGGCACCTTGAGGTTGGCAACCTTGTTGCCGCCATAAGTGGCAATCACATCCATGTTCAACTGGCTGACACCAAGAGGGAAACCGAAAGGACTCTTGAGGATAGCTTCAACGCGGGTGGAACTGGCAGGAGGAGCATAAGGTTCCTTGGTGAAATCAAGCTGCATGTCCATCATGGTAATACCGCCAATCAATTCAGGCTTGGCTGCAGGACCGGGAAGTACGACATTCTCAATGGTCAATGTCTTGAAAGCGGTGGAAAGCCAGCTCACTTCGCCATTGGGACCCGAACCGGACACGCCCTTGACGGCCATAATGGAACTGCTAGCGTTCAAGAAGTTGTCAAAAACTTCGGTGACAGCGGCGAGGCCATCGGCGGAATCTTGAGGAACCAAACGACCTTGCATCTTCATCTTGACTTCACCACGGGGAGGGAAGTTGGCTGCACCATCGGAAGCAAGAGGACCAAGGTACACATCCTTAAAGTAGGAAGCAAAGGCCACACCGTTCAAATTGAAACCAATCTGAGAAGGATTCTTGATCGTCGTCTCGGCAATAAGCTGAATACCACCGTCGGGATGACGAGCGGGCAAATCGAACTTGTCAATGGTCACTGCATTCTTGAAGCCTTGGGCACCGTGAAGAGTGACGAACTTTTCCATCTTGATATTGTTGAACGTAAAACCAAGCGCATTGACGCTAACGGCGTCGGAATGGATATCCCAGATAAATTCGTCGTTGTTGATCATAAAAGTAGCAAATTCGGCCATGGCACCTTCATCGCTCACGGTGAAATCACCTTCCACATCGATCGTAGCACCAACATCGGGTTGGGCCTGGACAGTGGGCATCGTGACTTTACCGATTTCCTTGCCTTGCCAAGAAATGGTCAACGGTTGAGGGAATCCAATTTGAGCAGCCATGGGACCCGTGTTGGCGATGCCACCCTTCATTTGGACCTTGAAACCGGAATTGGTAGGAGCAGACAACACAATGGTATCAAAGCTGAGCGTAGCACCGTCGACGATTTGTTGGACAATAGGTTGGCCAACAAGAGGAATCAAAGCCGTGACGGTATCATCGGTCTTGACCTGAACGGCGGATTGACCAAACACCAAATTGTTCTGGTAGTCACCAATGAGCAAACCAGAGTCGAGTTGGAGATCAGCCTTCAAGGCACCCATGGCCTGCATGACGTATTGAGAGACGTTAAAGTTGGCAAACACGCTAGCCTCAGGCTCAACATCGGCCTGTCCATCGATGTGGAAACCACCCATGCCGAGCAAACCATCCAAAGCGGTGGTATCCAGCTGGGCTTCAACGGCAAGCTTGCGGAGCAACAGAGCCACGGCGGCAGGTTCCGTGTTCATCTGCATACCCAAAGGAAGCGATTCAACCGTAGCATGGCCAGGGATTTCAATGGGAGTGCTGCTGATGTCTTGATCAATGTTACCGAGAGGCATGCCTTGATAAGTGACGGCGGACTTGACCGAGGTAATCTTCAGGGTGGCCGAGAAAGGATTGGCAATGCTGACCTTGACATGGACCATACCATTGGAAACTGTTTCGGGCAAGACGGTCAAAGCGGATCCTTGGATCAACTGTGCCTTGAGACCAGGAAGGGTAGAATCAATCTTGAGGTCGGCAAACGCACCGTTCAACGAGGCCACAGCCGTGGAGCCATTGAAACCGCTGATGGAAACCGGGTTGTCCTGACCCATGACAAAGGTGCTCAAAAGATTCTGACCAACATCGGACACCTTGGGGTTGAAAGTGCCGGTAGCGGCCACGGCGTTGGTGCCGCGCTTCAGGGAAAGACCACCGAGGAGGACACCACCGAGTTCTTCGCCTTGGGAAAGCATGGCCAAACGGACATCGCCGGTAGAGATGTTGAAATCGGAAGGATTTTCGATGGTGACGTTGATACCCAATTGCAAAGCGTCGGCCGTACCACCGATGACATCAAGGCTGTTAATGATGGTAGGCGAGCTCTTCAAGAATTGCATACCGTGAAGCGTGCTGTTCACCGCAAACGAAATACCGGAAAGTTCAATAGCACCAATGGGAGTGTTAACCTTGGTCGAAGCATTACCGGCCACCTTGAAAGTATAGGCGTCGGAAGCCGTCAGGGAGTAAATGTAGTTGTTGAAAGCGGCTTCTCTACCGGGCAAGCCAGCAATGGCGCTGTTGCTAATGGCAAATTGGAGTTTGCCGGTGCTTTGGTCACTGACTGCGGGAGCGTAGGGAGCACTGATCATGGCAAAGTCGCCATCAGCATCGGTACCGAGCGTGATGTTTTGCTGTACTTCAGTGATAGCCAAGGAGAAACCGAAAGGAATGGAGAAATCCGCCACCACGTTGGGAGCCGTGGCCACCGGGGCGTACGGAGCGTTGGCATCAAAGGCCAAATCCAGGTAACCCATGCTAACGGCGTGGATGATCTTCAATGGTTCTTCGGCTCCGAGGGCCACATTCAATCGGACAGACTGGAAACCTTCGGACAACCAACCAATGGCATCACGGCCATTGGGCGCGCAGGAAACACCGGTGGCCGTGGTATTGGAGATTTTGCCAGACATGTAGTTGGAGAACAAGCGCCCGACCTTTTGCAGAGATTCGGTATCGTTCTGAGGAGCCAGCGTACCCTTAAGCAAAATTTGATTGTCGCCTTGGCTGAGGTTGACACCTTCGGCGATGGCGGTACCCAGGTTGACACCGTCATAACCGATGGCCAGCTTAATGGTACCGAGTTCAATTCCAATGGGAGAAGGAGAAGTCAACACGGTACCGAGTTCCATGAGGATGCCGCCCTGCGGATCATCACCAGGCAACTTGAACGAATCGATCTTGACTTTGGGGAAACCATTCATGCCTGTCGGAGATGGAAAAATATATAAGAACATATTCCGCTATTTGTTTTGTGTTCTGTTTGTGGTGGCGCAAATGAAATGATTCGTATCACTTACCCGCAAGCTCAATCTCCTTTTCCAGATCGACGGTGGCGGTTCTAATAAAGCGCGCAAAAAAGAAAAGTTGTATTAATTCCTTTTATGGTAATGAAAAAAACAGAAAAAAATGGCAGTTTTCGGCTGGTTTTTTTTTTTTTACCTTGTCATTGCAGAAATATCGAGTTTTCCTCTCAACTTCCACTTGAAAGTTTCGCGGGCCAACATTTCACGAGAAAATGCGGCAAAAAAGGCGGTATCGGTAATAATAAAAGGCGTAACAGCATCGAGTGTGCCTTTACCGGCGGCAATCTTGGTGTCAGGCAAGGTGATGGTACCGAGTTGAGTGTTGTTGTACTCGACTGTAATAGGATTACGGAATTTAATGCTGGCTGAGAAGGGACCGGTGTTGCTGAGTTTGCTGGACATGGTCATGTAAAAAGAGGACTGAGGATCCAAGCCGCCGTCACGCTTGAATAATTGGAGACCGTTGGCCGCGGCCAAAGCATTGGGATCCTGGAAGGTGATCTTGGCCGCTTTCACTTGAATATTGGCCTTGTTCATGAGTGACTGAGCAATCATGGGGAAGAAGACAAAACAGATCAACAAGACCACCACCACAACAACGATGACGGTGATGACGGAACATATAATCCAATATTTCTTTTTTTTATAAAATCGTCGTCTCGGCGGGGCGGCGGGCTTTTCAGAGTATTCTTCAAACGGATCGTTATCAGCGTCGTACCCGTGCTGGTGCTGGGCATAATACTCGTCTTGGGCCGCATGCGTACCGAGCGGACGCTCATCAGACATGCTTCCAGCCATTATGAAATCAAGAAATGTCTTTTTAGTAGGCTTAGATTAAAAAGACTGTGGGAAAAAAATGGATAAAGAGGAATAGCTTAAGAATAATATAAATAGTAAATAAAGAATTACAGTCAAATGAGTGTTAAAAAGGATGGATCGTGAAGGTGGAAATTCACCAGTCGACACGAGAAGTGAGGATATATAATAACAAAAAAAAAGAGCGCGAGAAAAAGAGATGAATCATTTGAGCAAATGAATGGCAACACTTATATTCTATCTGCTCATTCTTTTTCCCTCGGTTACTTTGACACCCATTGGTCCAACATTAACTGGATCAAGATATCTCCAGTTCTCCGTTAATGGATATGCTGCTTCACCGTCAGACCTGAGGGTGTACAAAATGAAACTCCATCCAGTCATCTTTGTGGCCCGTCCATGTGAAATACTCACACTTTACTATCGTTCCAAGACCACGGTAAATGGGTTTTATAGCATGATCTAGCTTTCATCAAGAACGAGATTTTATTTATGAACATGTTATCAAGATGAACTATTATACTGTGAATGGGTCCAATCGGCGAAAAAAATAGGAATTACGTTCACGATAATGCGTGACTCCGTTCTGCGGACGCGTAACTCAAGACTAACCCATGTTACGCACAGGGACGGGTTACATCTTACCACAATAATAGCTTAGTGGGTGATAAGGCCACCTAATTATAGTTTCATCCATGGTAAACATGGTAAGCATGGTAGGAAAAATACAAAATAAACTTTTTTACATTTAGCGTGCTTATTGACATTGACTTTTTGTTTACCTGGATCATGGCCTAAGAAAATACCAACCCAAAACTGGGGGAATCACCCACGATCCCAAAAGAAATTCCGATCGCTGACAAATGAGGCAAGAGAAAAAAAAAACACCTTTTAAGGATTAACAAACCTTAAAAAAAAAGGTGGCCTTGACACAGCCAAATGTGGATACTCGGTATCGAAATTCGATACTGTAAATCTTGTAAAACTGTCTTTTAAAAAAATTACATCGCTTCACATTAAGATGTTTCGATAGTGACACCAGCTAAAGATATCCAAACCTGAATCATCCACGGCACGAGCTTATCATCCTATATTCTACTTGAATTTCTGATTCCTCCGAAATCTATGTGCGCGCAAACACATCTACCGGAAAAAAAAAATCAAAGTCTTATTATCTATCAATGCGATGAGTGAATGCCCCAATGAATTATGACAAGATTTTGGCTCGGCTGCTGGATCGTGCAGCTTTGTTTGTACAATGACACCCTAAACATGAATGAATGCACGGCTATTGCGACGTATCGGCGTATGGTGCATTTGGTTTGCTATTGCTGAAGTTGAAACCCAAAAGTAAGTTTTTTTTTCTGATTTTCCTTGATCCAAACCGCCACCTGGTATATATCCTTTTATGGAATTGCTCTTCGTGCAACCCAGCATAATCGCTACTTGTGATCAGCTACACAAAAGAATTATGCATGCGGAAGCTGTGCAGTGAGGCCGGTATTCTCAGTTCCATGCTGGTTTTTAACTTGATTTTTATCCGGACACTATACTAAACGCGAGCTATGATATGCAGCAAGATGATTCAAAGGAGAATTAAGCAGCGGAATGAAAATGGTGATTGTGAATTTAAAGGGTGTGTATGTGTGGTTGCAACGCCTCTCGCAGCAAGAAGCCATGGCTCAAGAATATCACGTTAAAATTCCATTCAGCCAATTTAACTGTCCATGGGAAAGAATGGCTGATAGGAGTTTGCTTTTCTCATGCAACTACAGAACTTGGGGTGAATGACCGAAACGTGATTGGAAGACACCATCTAGAATTCGAAAATCAAGCAAAGAAAAAAAAAAACAGCCCTCTCTTTTGCATGACAAGATAGCTTCTTACTACTCTATAATGCATCTACATCTTGTTGATAATCAAATGAGAGACGCTGTACATCTTCTGGATCTTTTATTTATCAACTCATTTACATGATACGTGTTACGCGTAGATCTTTGTTTGTTTTATTCCATGACATTTTTCCTTTTCGATTTACATTGTCCTTTTTACTTGGTCCCAGCAAGATCACGTCATGATCATGCTATAATTATAACTCCTAATTTTACATGCGTATCATTATACAAAGTCTTTATGATACGTAAAGCATCTAGAATATCCGAAAATTCGATCTATAGATCCTTCAGAAAAAGGCAGGCCCAGTCTAAGACTGATTGTCAGCCATACATTGAGAGATGAAAAATGCTGACAAAGGGCAAAAAAGCAGAAAATGGAAAAAAAAACAAAAAATAGAATCGAGAGAACAATGACAATGCTGTTCGGTTGGACGCTGAATGATCGCAATGAGTACAAGCAGAAAACGATCCACTGCCTCTGTGCTCAGCCGCACCCATTTTTGGCAAAAAAAATCCCATCGAGCTCGATTCATCCATCTGACGTCACGTTGGCTCAACCCTTAAAGTCAATGACAATAATTTCTTCTATGATATACCATCCATGAGTTGAACTGGTTGCTGGACAAGAAGACGAGGTTGCTGTGGGCTTGAAATCCAACTGTTGGGTACGTCGTTTCATTGGTACGTAAACCCCGTCATGTCTAGCGTGCAGGCATATTGTCGGATCTTCGAGTCGATGCAGGATGGCCAATGCAGCTTTTTACCCAAAAAGCAACGTTGTTCCGTTCAGACCTGGTGCGGTGGGGCAATTTTAGTCACGAGGGGGATTCACATTGTAGATAAAAGCTGGGAATTCAGTGGAGCGAGAAAGTTTCTCACTGAAAATCAAGCATAGACAACCCAGAATAAAATAGGAAGGCATTGAAAATTCATTGATCTGTTGGGAACAGTCGTCATTATCTGTCTTTATCGCGTGTATCTTACGATTTCAGTTCATGTACACGTATCCATAGTCGCCTATATGAAACTGTTTAACCTGAATAACCTAATTATCTGCTGGCAAGATAGATCACACCCAATTCTTTTTCACATTTCCTTTCCGCATAAAAACCTCTTTCCAGAATATTGCTCTAAAAAATGATGATAGTTTATTTCGGTTTCTCCATATAACTAAGCGGTGAAAACTCTCATGGGGAAATAGGAACCTGTGAAAAAAAAAAAGCCAAGTCCATTAGCTGTATGAAAATGATGAGCACGACTCAACGCTGTTTTCATTACCATTGTTAGGAGGCACAAAGTCTTCAGAGAGCTTCCATTCAACTTTACGGCCCCAGTTGGGAGTAGGTGCGGGGTTCTGGACGCTGTATAATTGCTTGGTGTTCAACACTTCCACCAAAGGCTTGACCTCGGTGACCTTGGCGGGCGTCACAGGTTGGTTATCGGCATGAGGGAGGGGAAGGCTAGATATCGCGCTCCTTATATTAGCAAAAACTTGAAAATGGTCACGATTCAATGGCCGATTGGGATCTATTATATATACCTGGACTTCACGGAAGCACCTTCAATGAGGCCGGCGACATCTTGTTGAGTGTAGACAGCAAGACGAGGGTAGTTTCGACGAGTATCACGCTGGAAGTAATAGTTGCCGCTCACGTTGGAAGCAGGGGATTTGGGATACTTGTACTTTTCGGGACGAGAACTGTAAATAAAGAAAAAGATATTGCAATTAGTCGATCTGATTGTCCACACTGGCAACTGCATGCCTAGATTGCGTTAACGATTTTTACCCAACAGCAGGAGTACGGAACTTGCCAACCACGGGCATACCGTCCGTCGACAAAGGATTCTATCGAGAATATTTGAGTGGTGAGCATCATCAAATATCGTGTTGTGTTGTCTCGACATAATAATCAGGTTATATCAGTCGAAATGGGCCAAGAAACAATAACTTACCACGGAGAAGTACTTCTTGACCCAAGACCACGTCTTTGAATTCCAGGACATTTTCTAGATTGTAAACAACCAATATTGTGTGAGTCATTTGTGTTGCTTATAATTCGCGACAACGGCTGTCATCGCGTAGGATGCAATTAGCTTACTTGTGTGTTGAGTAGATCTAGTGCAAGTGTGGGTAGTCAGAAAGCAACAAATGGCCAAAATAATAAATGGTGACGTAGCGCGGCAGGGCGATTTTCATTTCCCGCTCCAAAACTGTGGAGTGGGAAGCCACTCTTATCTTACCAAGCCAAGTCAAGCCGTCCAAGAACGGGGGTTTAACTTCACAAGAACAAACGTTCGTTCGCTTTATGCATTATTATCACTGTGCATGCAACAGATATTTTGGGGGTCTATTATTTGGTTCAAAGGCCTTTGTTTGCTTCTTCTTTTTCTGTTGTATTATGGTCTCTATTTTATTGTGTGTTTTGCAGCTGATGTCTGGATTGTTTCTCGCGGCTGGTCCCTCAGCAGTTGCGTTGACCAATTCAATACTGTAAAAATCAGTTATAGAAGCCTCTAGAGATGGATGCCCACTATGTCTGCCAATAATTTTTTAATCTCGAGTATAAGTTTTTCATTTACGTTGTTGCGATGAAACGTAACCGACCATCGGGTAGGCAATGATAACAACATCTCCCAGGTTGACCAGCCAAATCATCAAAAACGGTTTTACAATGTACCGGACGGAGCTCTGCCTCGAACAAAGGGAATAATAGTCCATCTCCTTGGCGCGTATTACAAGGCAACGCCTTACTTCTCTTGGGTATAAGCAAAACATAAAGGTTTGCAACATCTCACTTGTGCGCCCATTAGTGGCAGCAATGTATGAAAAGTGCAGTATATAACATGGTTGAACAGTAAACTGGCATGTCTTTCAGAGTGAACACGCTCTCTCTTACTTCTTATATGGTACTGAAATCCTCCTCATTGTCCTGCTTCACGTGTCAGATTTTGTTTCAGTCAACCACTAGTGCTATGACGAAAACATCCATATATAAATTTCGGTTGCCGTTTGCAGCGTGCCATGTTGCTTTGGCGACAAACGCGAAGGGGATCGATACAAGAAATTCTAAGCATGTCTACAGAAAGATGTCCCGACTGTGCCACAGATGTATACAGTATATGGAATTGGTACAGCCAATGATTTGTTGAGATCATGTCCGAAGCAGTATTCATAGCAGCATACTTGAAATATTTGACCGACTCTTCCACTGTGCGTTATGGTGTATTTTTGCATGAATTGGGTTGATTTGCGGAACTGGTGCATCATTTCGACCTAAAACTGAGTTTCCATGTCCACTCGATGCGACGATTGAAGCGCCCCACTTGGACTAGTAGGATAACACCTTTGAGCTTGGCTGCTACCCAAAGTTTGCATCTGTTTACATATTCCATCAAATGGATTGATCGTACGATTGATAGAAATTTAAGCAGGTCAACTGGAGAAACGTGGACGTATGAAACGATCGAACATCAGGTGTATCAAAACTTTAGATAGCGCAACCCACGGGTAGACATAATGGACTCCCACTTTGCGAAATACTACTTTACAGGAAAAAGCTTATATGGACAGATATAGGTGCACCACATAGAAGCTCCAAAAACAGATGCACAGAATCAGCCGGCTTACGATAACTTCCGATAGATTAGTCTTTTGTATATTGTAGCTTCGGATGACTTGCACAATATTGCGTCTTGCTTTTTCTTCCTACTGCATCATGGGATGCTGGCTCCCACACTGCATGCGGCTTCTATTGCCCTGAGTGCAACTGGATGAATTTAGGAACTCGTGGACGTGGACGTAATTCTGCTGTTCTAGATGGTTATGAATGATCGATTTTCCATGAACTTAAAATAGGGCGCACAGTATAACCTAATTCAAATGGTATCCTTCCGGTCTATACAGACTTTAGCGCATTATTTAGTGCGGGCCAGCCGGTAATTGGAACGCAAGTCATATGCGCCAAATCTGTATGCTGTTTGATCAATTGTCTTCCCTTCAAATAAATAACCGCATTGTAGTTTCACCTTGTATGTGAGGGATGAGACCTTTGTAACGAACTTTTTTTTTTTCACACGATTCACTCATTGTCCGTTGGACAAGCTTTGCTCGAATGACCAGGTAGAAGATAATCACAAGTGAGTGTAATGACGCTTGAGGGCACTCGACCACCATGTGCCCGTTGTGTATACAGCATACATGGGCATGATAGCCCTATGGATGTCATTTCCCATATACTGCTGAAGCACAGTCCTACCAAACAGCTCTGATCGGGTGGTCAAATCGAAACTGAAGCGGCATGAATTACTGGAAGAAAAGAAGTGCAGTCTGCAAGGATCATCAAAGATGCCACTGACATATGCTACATTGACCTGAAAGGATTTCGCAATCGTTCCTAATGATTGTTCGAATTCTATTCCAGTATATTTATGAAGAGTGGTTAGCGTATTGTTCATGCGTCATTTTTGCTTCGACAGTAGGATAATGAACTTGGGAGAGGCAAAGCAAAAGAATTTCTTCATATCCTGTGAGAAAATTTTGCTTGGCCAAATGCAAGTGGTGGATGATTGGGTTGCTTACAAAAAAGAAGAGATAAGAAAGTTTGGCTCGATCAGTCATCTTTGGAATACAATGCACCTAAATGAGGTATAAGTTCCTCGTGAATTGGCGCAATCTGAGGCTCAACATTGATCATGAAACACAAACTACGGATGATGGTTTAATCGGTCGCTGTGGGTACCAAAAAAAAAAAAAAAAAAAAAAAAAAAGAAAACCGGCGATGACGCCAAAGCGTAGGAGCGATAGAGAGAAAAAAAATTTCTCAAGCGCATCTGTAATAGATAAGGACCATGTGACATAAGATGGATCCCGGATGAACGGTGGATTTGTGTTCGTTGGAACCAATAGGCGTCCGAGGCGGGGAATTTAAGGTTTTCAGCGGTGAATCTGGGGTAAGGATAAAGAAGTTCAAAGAAAAAATGAGTGTAAAGAAAGGTAAAAAAGTAACCGCTTTTGCGGTCAAAATGGATGGATCAGCAGCTGTCAAATAAGGTGACAATATAAGCAAGACCTGACAGCCGTGAAATGAATTAGGGTCCTTCCTGGAGTGAAGAGACACCCGCGGCAGCATTGCAGTTTATGGGAATGTTTTGAATTGGGCGTTTCCCAGAAAGCCAAAAATCGTGTTTCAAGCGAAACCATCTGACTTGACAAGCCGCAATACCATTGATGCGAGCGTCTGTCATTACTTTACAGCTTTTTGCTTGTTTGCATCAGTAGCCGGTGAATCTGAATGAATGAAAAAGATCGGCAAAGACCATCTTCTGGAGGTATTAAAAGCGGCAAACTCCGATCTTATATTTGACGCACTGAGGTGGTATATCAAGTTGCTGCTGAACATTGGCGAGATACGCAAAAATTTTAGGCTCCACCAAGTCCATCTGAGAAAGAAAAAAGCCGGATATCTTTCCCCAACGGAAAAAACATATAAATAAAAAGGTGGCTACAGTCATCTTTCAACTTTTTTTTCCTTTTGTTACTCAACCTCTCACTCTTCCAAAAAAACCTTCCCTTTAACCTCTCCTCCTTTCACCGTTTATTTTCTTTTCTTTTTTTTTTCCAAATCAACATGACTACCGAACAAGAACAGGTGGCTACTCATCCTGTCCCCGAACGCCTCCTGAATTCACCTGAATGTCCGACACCACACGTCGATTCCTTGGAGAAATACAAAGCCATGTGGACAGAAAGTGTCGAGCAACCCGAAAAGTTCTTTGGCAACGTAAGTTACGAATTCAATTATTAGGAATCCTTTCCTTTACGACCACTGCGCAACAAAGTTTTTCAACGGGGTGATGTTTTTGTTGATTTTAGCTTGCTCGCGAATTATTGATCTGGTCCAAGCCTTTCACGACGGTTCGTCACGGTTCGTTTGAACAAGGCGATGTTGCTTGGTTTTTGGAGGGAGAATTGAACGCTTCATATAACTGCGTTGATCGTCACGCGTTGAAGAATCCCAATAAAGTGGCTATCATCCATGAAGGTGACGAACCTGATCAAGTACGCAAGATTACGTACGGCGAATTGCTGCGCGATGTGTGCCGTATGGCCAACGTCTTGAAATCTTTGGGAGTGCGCAAAGGAGACAATGTCGCTATTTACATGCCCATGGTGCCGGAAACCATGGTGGCGATCTTGGCTTGTGCTCGTATCGGTGCGGTTCATTCCGTCGTGTTTGCTGGTTTCTCGGCTGAATCGCTTCGTGATCGTGTCATTGATTGCTCCGCTCGTATTGTGATCACCTCCGACGAAGGCCGTCGCGGTGGCAAGAACATTGCTACCAAACGTATTGTCGACGACGCTTTGCGCGACCATCAGACCCATGTTGAGCATGTGCTTGTGTTGCGCCGTACGGGTTCCCCTGTGCCTTGGGTCGAAGATCGCGATTTGTGGTGGCATGAAGAGATGGTCAAGGCCCGAGCCTTCTGTCCTCCGGAGCCCATGAACTCTGAAGATCCTCTTTTCTTGCTTTATACCTCCGGCTCCACCGGTGCCCCCAAGGGTATTCTTCACACCACCGGTGGTTACTTGCTGGGCGCCACCGCCACCGTGAAATATATTTTTGATTACCACGAGAATGATGTGTTCGCATGCATGGCCGACATTGGCTGGGTCACTGGCCACACTTACATTGTGTACGGTCCTTTGTCTCTCGGTGCTACCACGGTGCTTTTCGAATCCACCCCTACCTACCCTAACCCTTCGCGCTTCTGGGATCTTATCCAGAAACACAGAATCACCCAGTTTTATACCGCTCCGACGGCTATCCGTGCTCTCCGTCGTTTGGGTGATAAGTGGCTCGAAGGATACGATCTTTCCTCTTTGAGAGTGATTGGTTCCGTGGGTGAACCTATCAATCCGGAGGCTTGGGATTGGTACAACGAAAAGGTGGGTCAGAATCGCTGTGCGGTGGTCGATACCTACTGGCAGACCGAAACGGGTTCCATTATCATTAGCCCTCTGGCAGGTGCTACTCCTACCAAGCCTGGTTCGGCAACGTTCCCCTTCTTCGGTATCAAGCCTGTGATTCTTGATCCCACCACGGGCAAGGAAGTCGTAGCCACAGACGAAACTGGTGTACTCGCCATCCGTCAGCCTTGGCCTTCCATGGCTCGTACCGTGTACAACAATCATCACCGCTACATGGAAACTTACCTCAAGCCTTACCCTGGATTCTACTTTACCGGCGATGGTGCTTCGCGTGATAAAGATGGTTATATTTGGGTCCGTGGACGTGTGGATGGTAAGTGATGAGACCAATGATGCCAGTCAGGAGAACAGTGTACTTATTTTTCGACTGCATTAGATGTGATCAATGTGTCTGGTCACCGTCTTTCCACGGCCGAAATTGAATCCGCTCTTGTGCATCACCAAGCTGTGGCTGAGGCGGCGGTGATTGGTGGCCATGACGATTTGACTGGTCAATGTATCCACGCCTTTGTGTCGCTGAAGCCTCATATTGAAACGGCGGAAGGTTTGGAGAAGGAACTTACTTTACAGGTTCGCAAGATCATTGGTCCTTTCGCTACTCCCAAGCGCGTCTACATCATCCAAGATCATCCCAAGACTCGATCCGGCAAGATCATGCGCCGTATTCTTCGCAAGATCGTCAATGGTGAACAGGATCAGCTCGGTGACATCTCCACCTTGGCCGATCCTTCAGTGGTTCCCGTTTTGATCGACAAGGTTCGCTGCCGTCTATAAATTAGATGAAAAGATTCCCGACCTTTTTTTTCCTCCACCAACGGAGCACTATTTTTAATTTTTGTACAGACGTATTGCTTTTACCTCATAATAAAGAAAAAAGGAAAACTTGCTACCATGGATGTAATGAGTTCAAAGCAACAAGGATGGAAAGCGAGACTGTATTCTGTAGCAAAAACACAGATAAAGAAAAATAGTATCCCTTTAACGGCACAAATAATGGTCCATAAACCATATACAGCTATAAGCCATGCTCGTAGATTAATTACAGACCAACATTTGAAAGATGGCAATAAAGGTTTGTCGCCATCACCTGTGTGCTGTTTGGCAGCGGCAATCTTTGAAAATTGCCACAATGGCTTAAAATTTGCCGTGATATGCGGAGGATCAGTCACGGGCGATGACTTTCAAAAAATACTTACTCATCCTAAGCGATTCTGCGCGCATATGGATGATCAGTCTTATTCCCGTAATATGTACACCATCATGTGTCCACCAATTATAGAAAAAGGCAATGGCATTATTTGCAAGCTATTATTATGGGTGTGTAACGTTGACCTGCATAGTACCCTTTTTCCAATCCAATAATAAAAGGACGTCCATAGGGTCTGAAAGTCAAGCTATATGAGAATCAAGGCAAAAAGTTTCGGGCAATGGACTGGTAACCCCCAGTTTTGCTGGGATCCTTTGGGCTGGCGTTAATCGGAAGACTCCAGCCAGCGTTGTCCGCGGTGGCCGCGGAATAAGGAAACTAGATTACCAAATTAGGAAATCTCCAAATGTGTCCCAGACGGAAACCATGGACGACAGGAAGCCATGGCAGTGTCTGACACTCAATCACCGCTGGTATCCCGATCATTGGACATGTTTTGCCAGGAACTTTTTTTTCTGGAAAACCATGGGAAAATCGTTAAAAATTCTATTGCTCGCATTTGGGATAAAAAAGTGCCAAAGTACCTTTTTTTTTCCACTGTTCTTTTATTTTTCAATTTTTTTTATTTTTATTTTATTTTTAATCGTTCAACATGGTTGCTCAACGTGAACCCATTATTATTGATACCGACCCTGTAAGTTTCGTTTTATATTGATGGGCGATCATGTCGTACGACTGTAAAACAAAAAGGCATGATGGGGACCTGACATATTATTGCATGTGTAGGGCATTGATGATGCGCTTGCTATTTTCATGGCTCTTCTTTCGCCCGAAGTCGAAGTTCGAGCAATCACACTTACCCATGGCAACACTTCTCTTGAGCACGTCAAGCGCAATGCTGTCACTTTAATGCACGTTTTCGCCGAGCATCAAAAGCATCTTGGCATCGAAGTTCCCATTGACTCGTTGCCCGTACTTGCTGCCGGTAAGTAGCTTGTAAAAAAATGGCTTTCATGATACTGGCATTTATTTTTGTTGTTTTCTTAAAGGTTGCGACCGTCCTTTGAAGGCCGATCTCATCTCCGCCACATATTTCCATGGTGAAGATGGCATGGGTGAGGTCTATTCCAAGGTAATGGATTGCCTGGTATTTGGAGCGTTGGCCGGATGACTAATGGAATCATTGTATTTACCTACAGAATCTTCATAAAGCGCCTTCGGATTGGGAAAATCAGTTATTGCACAAGGCGGAGGAAAAGGTGGATAATGAATACAAGGATGGAGAACGTCCCGCATTCAAAACGACCCCACGCGATGCGGCCGACGAAATTTTGCATCAGCTCCGGGAAGCTCCACCGCTCACCATCAGCATTTTGGCGGTGGGTCCCTTGACGAACATTGCTCTGGCGTATCAGCGTGACCCTGTCGCTTTCGGTCGTGCGAAGCGCATCGTTATTATGGGAGGGTAAGTTTGTGAAAAAAAAAAAAGAATGGCTATTCGGAAAACCTGGGAAATCGTTGATGGCGGCGTATTAAATGGTTGAACGGAAACACCGATTATTTAGTGCAGTAGATGGTCCCGGCAACGTGACGCCCATGGCAGAATTCAATTTCCGGGCAGATGCTGATGCGGCCGATATTGTCATGTCATCGACCCAAGGATTCCAACATACACCTGAAGGTTACCAGCAGCGTCTGGATCTCATTAGCCAAAACAAACCCGCTCCTGCTCACGTGGTCGTCGTGCCTTTGGATGGTACGTAGAAAAAAAGCATCTATCTATCTTCTATTTACAGCAAATTTTCAATTGTGCTAATTTTTTTCATTTTTGTCTAGCCTCGGATGAAGGTGCTGTGACAAAGCAGGATTACGAGAAATACATTATTCCCGTAGACAAGAAGACTCCTGTCGCTACTTTCTGCAATGCCTTTTTGATCTGGACCTTTGAAACATGTTTCCGTTTGTATAACCTCGAATCTTTGGCCATGTAAGTTAGTTTTTTGCCTTGGCAATCCAATTCTGCCCAGGAAATTTATGATGGTTGTTTGTAGCTATGACGCATTTACTTTGTTGACTTTGATCGATATGACCGCGGACAAGGGCGACGGCAAGAATACCGAGACTTTGGATAAGCACTGGAGCTACAAGCATCTGGACATGCATGTGGAAACCAGCGGTATTTACACGACCGGCATGTGTGTATACGATCGTCGTTTGTGGGACGAAACCTCTTTTGACAATGGTGTGAATAACGTGCAAGTCATCACGAAGGGCGATGGTCGTCGTTTCAACCAATACATCTTGAACCGCGTTTTCGATGCCAACATTCAATTGTAGAAAAGAAATGTATTTTATTCTTGTAAATTTTTATTACTTCCAATTGACTTCAAATAATAATAGAGCCACTTGTGGCGTATCATATTTTGCAATGTTCCTTTTTTATTTTACCGTGCAGATCCCTTTCTATTTTCAAACAGCAGCGTTTTTCACTGATTTTCCAATTTGTCGCCAAAGTCCGACTGGGGTTTTACTATTTGCAAATGCTGTCAGATGCTCCGCATGCATGGGAAGCATGATTGGATCAACTACTGGTGCCCCCAAAAAAAGGAAAGACATCGTATTACCGTCAAGTGTTTTGTATCACATTTTCAACATGGTTGTTTATTTTTGTGATTGGAAAAACCAAAGAGAAAATCCATCCTGCAACCGGGATGGCTGTCGGCTGACGATGTTGAATCGCCATAAAAAAACAAAATATATAGAACAGAAAAGAAAGCGACTATCTAACATTATAAAATAGAAAGGTGCGGAATTAGGAAGAGCAAAAATGTAGAAAAAATGATTTTCTTGCAAATAGAAGGATATAATGAAAATTTAGAATGCAGTTTGTTGAAAACATGACATGAATGCCGAGGAAGAAGACACGCGCTTAGAACTTCAAAGCCTTGGGATGTTCCCACTGGAATTCGTCACGACCAAAGTGACCGTAAGCGGCAGTCTTTTGGTAGATGGGCTTGAAGAGGTCGAGTTCCTTCACAATCACACCAGGACGGAGGTCAAAGTTGTTGCGAATGATTTCAACCAAGTCAAGCTCGGGGTTGGTGGCAGTACCGTAAGTCTCAACAAAGATGGAAAGAGGTTCGGCGACACCAATGGCGTATGAAAGCTGGACAAGAGCTCTGCGGCAAAGCTTGGCGGCAATAAGGGACTTGGCGATCCAGCGGGCAGTGTAGGCAGCGGAACGATCGACCTTGGACCAATCCTTACCGGAGAAAGCACCACCACCGTGAGCACCCCAACCACCATAGGTATCGACAATGATCTTACGGCCGGTCAAACCAGCATCACCCTGAGGACCACCAATGATGAACTTGCCGGAAGGTTGCAAGTGGTAGACGGTGTCCTTCAAAAGATGTTCAGGAACCACGGGCTTGATGATGTGTTCCATCAAAGCCTTGCGCAAATCTTCCGTTTCAATCTCAGCGGCGTGTTGCACGGAAATGACAATGGTATCCACACGGAGAGGAATCATCGCACCGTTCTCGTTCTTGTATTCGATGGTGACCTGGGTCTTGGAATCGGGACGGAGCCAGCCAAGGGTGCCATCACGACGAAGGTCGGCCATACGGCGGTTAAGCTTGTGAGCCAAGACAATGGTCAAGGGCATCATCTCGGGAGTCTCATCAGTAGCATAACCGAACATGATACCTTGATCACCAGCACCAATATCTTCAATGTTGAAAGACTTTTGGACCAAACCTTGGGAAATATCAGGAGACTGTTGTTCAATGGCAACGAGCACATTGCAGGTCTTGTAGTCGAAACCCTTGTCGGAATCATCGTAACCAATCTGCTTGATGGCATTACGGATGATCTTTTGGTAGTCAAGGTTGGCCTTGGTTGTGATTTCACCGAAAACCATGATCATACCAGTCTTGGTAGCAGTTTCGCAAGCAACCTTGGAGAGGGGATCTTGCTCCAAGCAGGCATCGAGGATAGCATCGGACACTTGGTCACAAATCTTGTCTGTAATAAGGAAATGAAAAAAAAGAAAGGGGGAATAAGTTTAGTGACTCAGTTTTTACCAGGGCAACCCTTGAACAAGGAAAAAAAAAACCAAGACCATGACAACTTACCGGGATGACCCTCACCGACGGATTCAGAAGTGAAGAGGAAAGTGTTGTTGTTGCTGCTCATGCTACGGAGGATGGAAGGAGGAAAAAGGAAACGGGTTGGATAAAAAAGAGAGAGCTTCAAACAGTCTCCACCACCATCGCGATTATTTATTCTTTTTTTTTTTTTTTGCCTGAGCCACCCTCGCAAAATTCATGAGGCGAATCAAAATTTTTTTCTTTTTACCTTTTAAGCCAATCATATTCACCGAAAACTCAATCGCGACATCTCATCAGAAAAATTTGAGTGGGTTCTTTTTGGAACAAAAAAAAAAAAAAATAATGGGTCGGCGACGTCCACTATTCATTAGGTGCTGCTTGTTCTGAGTTAAGAAATCAAAAACAAAATAATCACCAGAAAATCTTAATACCTAAGTTTCACTGGTTCATCATGCTTGGGGGTTGGATGGTTCATATCATCTAGGTGTCGCTAGATGATTATATACAGTATAGTGGGATCTCTCTTGCGGAAAGGTTGCAAGTTGAACACAAGATGATTGCTTTGAGCAACGCAGGGCTCACTCCCCCCAAAAAAAAATTCATCATCACACTCGGTTTTTGTGTTTCATCGATGTGGCCCCGTCGTAGTGGGCCGTTACTTTTGCGGGCAGCCTATCAAAGGCACGTGTCAATCCATCACTGATGCTTTCCATCTCGTCTGGGGAAAAAAAAATATCTTGCGTTGCTGGGGGAAAACCTGGTTTCCAACGGACACTCGTTCCTTGTCAAATCCACACCCTGTATCCTGTTTTCCTCTGTTTTTTTTCCTTGTTAAGTCCCTCTTATCGGTGGCGGAAATAGGGGGTTCGGTGCAGCCACTGCAAGGGTAGAAATGCAGGACAGAAGCATCTATAAAAAAAATAATGATGGAAAAATCATTACAACCTTGCATAATGGGAATGCTTGTTGCCTAGCTGCAAGTCTTGGTTCGGTTTAATCTAAACGTACTATAATGTTAATAAACTGATGTATTTTCATCCTTTCTATAAGGTTAACGTTCACTTTTACTAGCATTCAATACTACATTACATTCCTTTATAGAACACAAAAAGGAGACCTTGTTCTTTTCGCCAACCTCTTTTTTTTTTTAGCTCCCTTGACAAATTCCAATCCCTAGTGAGTTTTTTTCCCCTGCTTTGACTGACGATGCTCCTTCTCCAATCAAGGCTCCATGAGTTTTTTTTTTTTTTTCCACTTTTTACTTTTCTTGACTTAGTGGCGAAAAGGGGAGAAGCCAAGAAAAAAAAATCCCGAATCCATGTATATATAATGCGAGATTTTGTGAAAAAGTAACAAGAGAATAATAGCTTGATTTTTGAAAAATCCATCATTATGCATAAACTCACTCTCGGACAATTATTTGTTCAACCTGTCATTCCCATTTCATTCATATTGAGTTTTTCAACTCTGATTGCCTTTTTCTTTTACTGTATTCGATCCGGCCGCGCCAAAAACGAGAAACAGGTCAGCTGGTTGCTCACGTTTGCTAGCAGTTTCGTTTGCACTTTCGCGTCGATTCCCTACTTTTGGCGATTTTGGTACTCAGGATGGGATATGCGATACGTTCAGGGCCAAACCAACTTTGATATGGCTCTGGTGTGCTTCTTTATCAGCTACCTCGTATTGGATCTTTCATTGGGTTCCCTCTATTACAAAAACCGCATTACAGTGGCTACCGGCTATGTCCATCATACTCTCTATGTTATCATTTTATTCTGGCTCATGCGACAGCGTTCGGCTTCCTTCTTTGTCGTCAATTCTCTACTGGAATTACCGACACTCATCCTGGCAGTAGGATCCCTGAAGCAGAAATGGCGATGTGATTTCCTGTTTGCGTTCACCTTTTTCTTACTACGACTCGTATTCCACGGCTGGATGATATTTGCTCTCAAGGATTCCCATCGCATCGACAAACTTTGGATGGTCGCCGTATGCATGTATCCTCTTCATCTGTATTGGTTTTATGGTACGTTTGCATCTTATGCCAACGGATGCCCGTGATAACAGTAAAACTTATATAACTATTTTCAAAATCATCACAGGCATCATTCGTCAACAGATCCGTGTTCATGCGAAATCAATCAAATGGATCCTGGGAGCCGCCGATGGGGCCAAGCACACATTAGAAAAGCGACCCAAGCATAATTTCCTCGATAAAATCATGTCCATCTAATCTCTACAAACCATTCCTGTATATAATACCTCGTCGTCTTATTGTACCTGCATTTCATTATAAAGCTTCAAATAATGTTTTTTTGTTTTAATTCGCAAGAACATTAATCGTACATCAGTCCCTGAGCCCACTGTTTTTCTACACTCGCATCATCCAAAACAGAAGAAAAAAAAGGGAAGAACAAATGAGAAAACAAGAAACCGCGCAAACGGTACCCTGAAAATCCCTTGCAGTAGGAAGCGGATTAGGAGAATAATAACCGGATGATTCTTGATTCAACCTCTTTCTTTTTGACAGTCGGTTACTTGTCAAGAACTGAGGAGCGTCTAAAAACAAACAGAACAGGAGAGAGAAAAAAGAACATGATGGTGTTTGAGTGTCAAGGTAATGGGAATTGTGGAAGCATTAAAGGAAGCTACGACTGCCACTGCCGAAACGTGAACCCAATTCCGTTGATCGTTTCAAAAGCTCATTCTTGGTTCTTCGATCCATGGGTTTGGAGCCCAACAAATCCTTTTCTCGATCAAAAGGTCGTTTCGATACATCCTCCTTGCCCTTGCTTGATTTCGCTTTTTTCCGGTGCATATCCATCAATGATTCCGCCCGTTTTGTTTTCTAAAGGGAATCGGAGAGCCTACAGTAAGTATCCCTTGCTTCCACTTTTTTATTCACAGCATGACAACACTTGCATTGTACTCTTCAAGATTCCTTCTTGTCTCGATATCCTGCATCGAAGGCGGGGCACGTGTTGGCGCTTTTTTCCGCTTGCCCAAGACCTCTTCTTGCTGTCGCTTTAATCGCTCGGCCGGTGTTTCTGTCCACACACTGGTATCTCGATCAGAAGCATCCATAATCTTATTGCTAAATGTACGGGACCGGGATGAATCGGCTACAACAGTCCAAAATGATCAGATACCAAACGACTCGTGTGATGACAATTGGAGGACCCTTTTACCTGTTTTTAAATAATCCAATTCAGGCGGCACCAGCATCCACTCTGGACGTTCGACTTTTTCTGATACACCCGACGCCTTCTACTCGCGCCGATAAAATGATCGAGATATAGTTCAAAACTTTTGCCGCGAACTGTCATTTTGTGTATGAATTTTTTACCTGTTCCAGTAATTCTTTGCTTCTTCGTGCTCTTTCTTCTATCTCTGCAATGGTGGACTGAATCCCACCTGCCTGTACCATAGTTTGAAATTCAGATATCCATTTTTAGTCAAAACTCCCAAAATACCAGTAAGTAGAAAAAAGCTTACCGCATCATTATCGTCACTGGAAGGAAGTTTCGGTCCAACAATATCGTCTTCATCTTCTTGTTGTGCATAAGCAGCGGCATCCCAGGCTGTCGGCATAGTAGGTCCCACCGGCCGTCGTCTTCGTCCTTCTTTACCACTGGAAGGTGCGGCTTTCTTGCGTTCTTCCAATAAATCCGGCGGTAGTGCAGGAACATAAGCATCGGCATCGGCATCGTCATCGTCGTCGTTCGCGTTATCGGCCGCAGGAGGGCTTCTGGGTGGTGAATGAGCTTGGTCTTCTTCGTTGTTTTCAGTGTCTCCTTGTCTTTTTTTCTCAATTAAGTGACTGGGAATGTACGGTCCAATATCATTTTGGGACGGCGCAACAGATGTTTCCTCTTCGCTCTCCTCGCTTTGACGTTGCTTTGCTTTCAGTAAATGTTCGGGAATGCTTGGACCGATCATGGTGAGACTGAACAAAAAGTCGAGTATTTGGCATTATCCAAAATTTCGCAGCATGACAGAAATTCGTGACTTGCAATTGGTCGCGGCTCAAAATGGCTAAGAGAATCAGGCAAAAAAACGTGCGGTGAAGCTGTCCCAGTCTCACAGAGAAGAGCCATGAGTCTTCATGTACGCCATCGGTCCAGTTTAGCCCTTGTTGGAGGCGCAGTAGCTGGTATTACACTTGTTGCGGCTGTCTCGTATTTGTATCGTCATCGTGGGTCTTCGACAGGCGAGACTTCTTCAGACACACCCCAGCCTTCAAACCGGTTACGACGATCAAGGCATATCCGTCGACGGAGACAAATTCGAAGGCAATTGGACCAAATAGCTGAAGCACCAACGCCGACTCCTGGTTCCGATTCAGAAGACGAAGCGGAAAGTAACCGACTACTGTCCCTGTTCAAGGAGTGGAGTGACGATGACAGTAAAAACCTGCTAAACCTACTTTATGCCATTTCGGATAATCAATCACGGAAAGGTATGGGAGAAGGGCGCGAGGCCAAAACAGGAATAAACAACAATCTTCTTGTCAGACAAGTAAATGCTAACGGAGTGTAATGAATTTATTCTGCTTTGGGTTGGATTTAGAAGGATTCATCCACCGTAAGTGTGTTGTCAACGTTGGAGTAAAAGTTGCGATGTCATATGCAGAAATATTAAACGCGCCGACATACCCGCAGGTGGTATTACTTGTAATAAATGTAGTGTATCACCTATTCGCGGAGTACGATACAAATGTGCCAACTGCGTGGATTTCGATCTTTGCGAGATGTGCGAAGGTGGCAATAGTCACGCTAACACGCACGTTTTCTTGAAGATTCGCATACCCATTCCGCCCCTGGCCAACCCTCGAAGCGCACTTTTGCCCAGTTTCTATCCTGGGAAGAACCATAATCGCCCGGCATTGACAGCAGAAAAGTTCCGTGAACTCCAAAGCAAATCCCACTGTAAGTAAAAATCTCACCGCCTTAACTATACCATCCAGTATATCAATGTGGAAGTCGAATTCATGCAATTTTTTTTATTGATGTAGTTGACCAAGTGGAACTGGAAGCTTTGTATGAGCAGTTCAAGTCACTATCGACAGTGGATAAGGATGAAGGGGGCATCAACAGGGAAACGTTTGAACAATGTCTGGGCCCACTGGGATTAGAGAAGAATCTGATCACCGAGCGGATTTTCGCCTTTTTTGATCAGGACCGTGATGGTGTGATCAATTTCTCCGAGCTTGTCAGCGGTTTAAGCGTTCTATGCAAAGGCAACTTAGACGAGAAAATAGAATGTAAGTCTTCCAGATGATCTCCTATGCAGCTAGCTTTGTTCTTTTTTTACATGATCGGTAAGGAAAAAAAATCTTAATTCCTGTTCTTTTGGGTGAAATTAGATGCATTCAAAGGATACGATTTGGATGAAGATGGCTATATCTCTCGCGATGAACTGTACTGCATGTACAAGTCGTACTTTTACCTGTCGATGGAATTGGTGCGCGATGTTGTCAGTGCCATGGAAGACGAAATGATGGATACGTTTGAGTTTTCCGCCTCGCAACCTGTCAGTGCCGCTTTCAATGTGGCGATGCCTCAGTCATCTTCAGGTCGCAGTGACCATGGAGGTGACCAAGCAGGAGACGCAGGAGGTCAAGAGTCGTCCCCATCAAGGCATCCGTATCCCCTCAAGGAGGATCATTTTGCACAACAGTATGCACAAGAAGCAACACATGCCGAATCTTCCTTCCACCACGACTCAGGGATGGATAATGCATACGATAAACAAGGTCACGCCGATTATCCGTTCAGGAACGACGACCATTCCATGATCCATCGACGAAAAGACAAGCAACCCTTGGCCACAGCCAATCCCAAACGGGTATGGGAAGAAAAGTTCCCCATCATGGAAACCATGTCACAAGACGCTATCAATGAAATGGTGGACAAAACCTTCAAGAGTATCGACACGCAACGTCCAGGTTATATCAGCTTTGAAGAGTTTAAACAATGTGTACAGACCGATGCCAGTATTGTCAGTTGGTTTGAAGCCTTAGGAACTGTCTTTTGATTGGAGGGTCTATTATTTTAGTTGGTATTGTTTTCCTCTTTTTATTTTTGTTATCATTACTATCATTTAGTAGCCTTCTTTGCACAAGTACCATCATCACGGTCCTGGACGGTTTCCGTGACATCGCCATAGATATCGAAACGACGCTGTCCATACAATGGAATATTTGTACGAATAGACTTGATTTCCTCAGGGTCTACATCATCATACAGGTCGTTTTCCCCCCTTGTTAATACTTATTCTTCTTTCATGTCATCAAAAAAAGTGCCTCGTCACTTACCGATATTCGCATAAACAATTGCCTCTTTTTCATCGCATGTTGCAATTACTTCGCCTCTATAGTCATGGGTAAGATAAAATGCCTGCCAGTGGACATCATTGGTTAGGTATACCTTGGATTCACCACAGTCGAGTGACCCCACGCATGATAGGAAGCGTTGGTATCCAAAGCTGGTGAGCAGGCAGCAACATAAATTTGATTGTCCACGGCTCTGCGAATTTTTTTTAGCATCGTGATTGAGCGATTTCAATTGCGAAGGAATACTAACCTCGCACGTTGTAAGAGTTCCCAATGCATAGGGCCGGTAGTGGTATTAAATGCGCCGGGATAAATCATTGCCATGCATCCTTTTCTCGCCGCAATCATAGCCATTTCAGGGAATCTGTGGGAGAATACTAGTGTCAGCTTCGCTCAAGGATTTCAAGGGGACTGACAGATAAAGGGTTTACCGAATATCGTAACAAATGCCCACACCAATTTTGCCGTATTCTGAGATGCTTTCCTTTGAGTTGGATCCTCTTTATTGTGTATCCATCCATGCTTTCCAACACTTACTTGTAGTAACGTGAGTCAAGTGGTTACCGCCCGTCAAGGTCTCGCTTTCCTAAAACAGAGGGTCAGAATGGAGAGTGTTTATCATTGATCTTAAAGGACTCATTGTACCTTAAAGGTAATCTTTCCTGGGACATCAATATCAAAAAGATGCACTTTACGATGCACTGCAATCATCTTTCCCTCAGGATCATACACAGTCAGCGTGTTGAAGACATTGCCACTGGTGTTATCGCGTTCAGGGATGGAACCTAGCTGATCCTTAAGCACCTAATGTTTTTATACCATCCCCTATTCCACCAAATTCACCTCCAAATAAATAAATTCCCGCTTCCTATAGATGCAATCGAGCATAGATTTCATTAGTTGCCTGAGCCTGATGCATATAAGCTTTTTACTTGGGCTTCCTTATGAATACCTTTGCAACGCCCGACAGCATGTTGACGGATTCACTGTTATCGAGCGATTCAGCGTATTCAGGGAAAAACTTTGTTCCATAAGGTGAATTAAAACATTCCTGCAAAAGACGATGCGAAGTGATTAGAAACCGCAGTGAGGAAACAAAGCGCTTTGCTTGGAAACATACAGGTAAGACAACTACATTGGCTCCATTGCCCGCGGCCTCGAGGACCTTTTGGCGAGCCAACTGGAGGTTTTTCTGCTTGTCACTACCAGTGCCTCCCAATTGAATGAGAGCTAATTTAAAAGGGGAAGCTGAATTAAGACAGGTGGACATGGCACGTTGAGAAACTCGAAAGAAACGGTTCAAGTTCATTATCATCAAAAAATTCACAAATGAGAAATCTAATTTGTCCACAAGGTAGGATCGGTTCTCTCACGCAGACCGCCATACAATCTCCGCTTTCAAGTCAGCACTTTCATCATCTTTTACATCTTTGTCTGTGCCGCATGATGGCTACTGCCACTGTCGACAAGGCACCAATGCATGATAATACAATGAGACAAAGAAGAATTCCGTGAGTCGCGTTCATATGATGATCTTGAAATATATCAGAGGCAAAGGCCACACCGTCCACTGAAAGCGTAATATCCACATCCTTGGCTGTGGAACTGCGACAACACGCCGCCGCATCGGCAAAGCCTATTCTGCCTTTGCCAGTATCATCGGTTCGTCCACGATCAAATATGACCGTTTTGCCGCGTAGAAGCGTGTTGCCAAGGATCGTCGCCATCGTTTGGCCTCCACCACCGTCGGATAGACCGGTCCAACTGATATTCACCCACTGTGGCGGGTTATCGACTTGACGTAGCGTAAACAGGTTTTCTAGGGCCACCGAAACTGGCTGGCCATTAAGAGCGACCGCAACTGTTGTATTGTAGTTGATTGTCACTGCATTCATTGGCACTGTGAGTTGCGAATGTTCAAGCCAAAATGCTTGCTCTTGCTCCTTGGAAATATCCGACCCAAATTCCACCACTTTCGACTTCCATAATGCATGCAGCAAAACTTGTAAATTCTTTGCGACAAGAAACGAAAAGTCCAAATCAATGAATCGATCCAATGTTCAGTTGTTAAAAAAAGAAAGTAGCTTACCTCGGTGCTCAAAATGAGATCGCTGGACCCCGTGTCAATAATAGCGCGAGGGACATTTAAGTTTTGCATGCCTTCGACGACCTGACCGTTGATGAGGAAATGGTCCACCGTGACTTGATAGTACCGGCTTTCAGTCAAGGGGACCCAGTGGATGTCCGAGGCAATGGAATGACTCGGGTACCCTCCTAGCCACAAATGGCCCGCACGATCGCAAGGTTGAGTTGCGGGTTGCAATTCGGTGCGTTGGTCGATAGGTGAGGTGACTGTATGAAAGACATCGGCAAAAGATTGGTCAACGGCTGCTTTCGGGCAGAGCTGGTATGTGAAAGCATTCGGAGCGCCTCTTTGGTGTCGGATCGCGTCAAAAAGGGTTTGACTGAACTGCAGTGAATTGTGGTGGTTCGCTTTCAAATCGCCGGTGGATTCTAAAGAGCCGCGTGTACGCGTCTGAAGCGAGGCATAAGCCATCCCCCATATGCCTTGGTTCTTCGGGCACTGGCGAACAAAGAATCCTTGATGCTGCGCAATCAGATCAATTCTCGCAAACACTTCTTGATTCTCGATATCGATTACTTGGCCCGTAGCATAGCCTTGCCAACCAACGCGTGTTTTCATATTGCCGTACGTAGCATTCACACTGTTGCTTTTCATCTGCTCAACGGGGGGCGCGGGTAGATAGGGTTTGTCGACAAACGTACAGTTTCCATCACTACATAAATCTGAAATCACAGCAACGTTCGCAGAACCGGTATCGATGACCATGTGCATCTAAATATTCCTTTAATTCGATGCATCTTTTTTTCTATATTTGCCCGTTGAACCACTTACAGGCGTAGATTTCACATTGAGTGTGACGTGATAAGCACACTGAGACGTTCCATGCAAGTCAAAGTGAGCGGTCCATGGACGTACATCGGGTGCTACTGCATCGTTCATAACAGAAAAAAGCAACAAAATCAACACAAAGTATCATTGTGTACAGTATAGATTTATGAAATGGTATTATGATATTTGTAGCTTCGGCGAAATTAAACAATTTTTTTTTTTTTTTGTAGTTTCAATACAAAACAAATACTTGAATTGCTTGTCCATTTATCGTGTACATACAAAGCTTAACATATGGTACGAGGGTGTCCTTTCACTTGTCAGGTGGATTTGTCACGTCAGCAGTGCATTCGCGTAATATGAAATAACTATTGGATCCGCATCAAGTGAGCATACTAAAGAACTTTGGATCAGTTTTCCTTATCTCTTTTACACATTTCAATGCTTATTATTGTCCCATGAGGTTGCTCCGCAACAAGATCGGACCAGTAACTTGCTACTGGCTATTTGCAGGCAACTGCGCAGCTTATTATTTTTCGGCTTGAATTAAATTCAGAAAAAAGAAAGCCAAGTGGTGCAATAAGCTGGATGGGAGATCATATGATAGGGCGTTTTTCTCTTTACATACCACATCTAGAAAATAACCGAATAATACCATTTTTGACAAGTCGAGGATCCAATGACAAGAGAGAATGGCCTCTCAATGAGAATATAGTACATATTCTCTGCTGGTCGGTCAGAAGACACATGTGGTATTTGAATGAGCCTATGCTGTTCATTCTTCGACTGATGCATCCGCATGGTACAAGCCCATTTTTGAAAAAAATCGTTTGACTAAAAGAGTATTTCGCTTATATTTCAAATGGATTAAATCAACAAACAATAACGGAGTAGCAAAATAGCACAACATACTAATAAGGTTAGAGTTTGTGGATGTTGGCGGTTCACTTGCATAGAGTGCCGCGCACTGTATAAAATTCAATTTTTGCGGGGCCTCGGTCGCACGACAGTTACCTTGTTCTTTGGGCCAAATCAAATAAAAAAAATCGTTATGTCACGAGGTTTCCAACATTTTTTCATTGACAAGAAAAATCAAAAAATGAAGTTGACTGTACGAACGAAACATCATGCTACTGGCTATTCATATACTGGCACATGGAAGGGAAAAAAAATTATGATACAAAAAGAAAAGAGGCATATAAAAATGAGTTGAACAGATTCATTCTAAGGCTGGGAGAAAACATATGTAGAAGTATGTAAAGGAACAATATACACATGGATCGGAATTTATGCGTTTGAAGTGAACCCACATGAATAAAAATGGAAATAAAAGGGACAGGCATATCAACAACAAAAAAAGAAGAATCGGATCGAGAAACAGTATACATAATATAAACAATGAGGTGAAAAAGAGGGATGAAAGATAAAGCACAAGGTTTGAAAACAAGTAAAAAATATGCCACACCACAAAAAGATTTACACTGGATGATAACGGAGTAACCGAGCATAAAAGTTGAATGAGAAAAAAAAAAACAAAAGAGTTGGGATGACCGGTTATGGGTTAGACCATTAACGTGGGTAGGTTGGACAAAAGAGGGTCTGGATTGTTGCCGTTTTCGAAAGCGTAATGATCAGGTTGACTTTCTTTAGAGGAATGCAAGGTTGCCGCTGCTGCTGCGGCCGCGGCTACAACGACGGCAGCTGAAAAGGGTGGATCTTGATCAGTTGGAATGGGAGCGGAAGATAAGCGAAGTTTATGCCAAGGTAAGGATGAGACGGAAACGAGTGGATCGATGCGCGGAGTATCGGGCGGGGAGGGTGGTAGTTGTTGTTGACGGTGGTGGGAGTTTTGTTCTTGTGATGAAGGCGGGGTCGTAGGAGGGGTAGTGGTGGTGGTGGAAGTAATAATGGGCTTGAGCGTTAATGCGGGAAGGGGACGGCATAGTTCGGCTTCGTATTGTTCCACGAACGGGGTTCTTGTAAAGTGTTTGCATCTCCGAATCCGTTTTTTGAGTTCATCCAAACTAATACGCCGAATAGGATCGACACACAAGATTCGTTTCAAGATTTGATTCAATTCTTTGGAGATGGGCAGTATCTTGAGCAGAAAGTTGGGATCTTTGAGATAAGCTCGAAATGTCTCATCGTGAAGCGACGCTTGTCGCCATGGATTTCTGCCCGAAGCCAAATTGGTGAGGATAATACCCAGTGACCAGACATCATTTGGACCCGTCGCATAACCGACACGGTGGGTCTGCTGACTCGCCAAGTCACCCTGACATTCTGGCGAAAAGTAAAAAGTACTACCGCAACCATAGTCGTTCGAGACCGGCTCGCTTGTCGCCAAGCCGAAATCTGCTAATTTCACGGTATGCCCGTTATCGAACACCAACACATTCTCAGGCTTTAAATCGCGGTGATAGACATGGTTATCATGACAATAGCTGACAGCATCCAACAGTTGTAGAAATACTTTTCGGATCAAATCATGGTTGCCGTAGTATAGATCGCGTTCTGTGATAGCGCTGAATAGATCGCCTTGGGAACCACATTCGAGAATAACATGGGTCCATTCCGGTTGACGAATAACTCGTTCTAATCGTATGATATGCCGATGCTTGGACACTCGTGAATGCAATGCGATTTCGTTTTCTTGAAATAGCCGATGTCGTCTATCCAATCCGATTTGAGGCAAAGATTTGATGGCATAATGTTCATGCGTCTCTTTATGCTGGCCAAGATACACTTGACCGTAAGCGCCCAATCCGAGCACGTCGAGGATTTGAAGATCATCAATTGAAGTGCCTATCGGTAAAGTAGGCTGTCGAAGAAGGGTCATGATTTTTTTTTAGAAAAAAGTATAGTATGAATCAACGGTCAGTATCACGCAGGTAAAGAAAACAACGCACACACAACAACAACAGAAAAAGAAAAAAAAAAGAGCCTGAAAATAAGTGGCCTAATTTATAAATATTTTTTTTTCCTATGCATCGCTGGGCGTGGTAAACTAGGATGTATGCCAATTAAAGAATTAGGGGGACGCACCCATGCGTGTCTTTGCTCAGGAGAATGGGGGACTTGAAAAAAAAAAATATACACCGTGAGGGAAACAGCGTGGTTGGAAATACGGTTTTTTTTTCATCACCTTCCATGTATGGAATGACTGCGTCACTTTTTCAACCATGGAATTTTTTTTGTGGGCGAGCTACAATTTTTCTTTGGTGCCTAAAATGTCGGCGTTGTTCCTGCCCTGAACCCAAGAGAACTGATAATGCACTTGTTCTCCCTATTTTTCCTCTTGGCCTGTTTTATCAGGCTTGGAGCACGTGGAGAGCCTGCCGAAGCAGAGGTAACCTCATACAGACACAATGAGGTCTTCTTGACGTTATCGTGCTGATCCTTAATTGACCATCCCCTGGAAAATCCATTAGATTTATACGCCTCAAGATGCCCGTCACATTTACAGCATGCTCGAGCAAGGACAACAGTATCGACAGTCATTGGAAGAAGAGAAGATGCGACTGTACGACAGCATTAAAGCGTACGACAGTGAACACAGTGCGGATCTCTATCGATTAGCGGCTGTCAAATATGACGATTTCAGTGCTTTTGAACGATTAGTGTTCGGCATGCTTCGGGAATATATGCAAGTGGTGCAGCAACATGAACGTCGATCCACATACGATTTCCGCACCCCAGCTTTGAAATTGACCTTTGAATTCCAGCTTGCGATCAAGAAGTTCCACGAACAGCTCACATCCAATACGATCGAGTTGGGCGAGTCCGAGTCACACGAAACGGAATCTGTGGGGGATGTGCTTACCGATATGCTGAAAGAGATTCGAGAAAATGCGGATCAACTTGAACAAGGCATGCGAAAGCATAATATCGTGTTTTCTTCGGATTCGCTTGGTCAGATCGAAACCGTGTTAAAAGTCGGGGATGATGGCGGAACCACTTCACCTAGTGACGATCATTGGGTGACGCTCATTGATCAAGATAACAACGAATATGTGATGACACGGCCTTCCGACACAACGATCATTTATGAAGGTAGATTCTTGGTTTGAAGGGATATATGGGTAAACTGTGATTATACTAACGGATTTTGCTGAATACAGATATGCAATTATTACATGATCTCATTTTGATCGTGGTGGTGTCGTTCGTTTTCGGCAGTTTATTCTCATGGGTTGGTTTTCCAGGTAACACGTTGTCTCGCTTTGCAGCACTCTATGATGAAATAATGCGATAATTCAATTGCCTTTCTTGTACTAATGCATGGTTCATCTTTTTTTTTTATTAGCTTTTTTCGGTTACATTCTAGCCGGTATCCTTGCGGGACCTTCTGGGACTAATTTAATCAAGGTGAGCTTCAAAAGATAAGAAAACAAGCACCAATCTATGCTCATGACTCATGGATAATCATTGTTTGCTCTTGGTCATTGAAAATGAATGATATAGGAATTGATTCAAACGGAAACGTTGGCGCAATTAGGGGTCGTGCTTATAGTATTCGTCCTCGGGCTCGAGTTTTCTTTAGAAAAAATCAAAGCCATGTGGCAAATGGCGTTGGGAGGAGCGATGATGATTCTATTGGTCACGATGGTGTTCTTTGTGATGATAGGTGTAGCACTTGGTGCTACTGTTAAGGAGGCCATCTTCGTGGGAGCGTGCGTCAGTCTAAGTTCCACGGCCGTGGTGGTCAAGGTGATTAAATCGGATCACCTGGAACACTTGTATAGTCTTCTCGTTATGCAGGATGTTCTTTTAGGCTTCATGCTGGTAAGGAAGAAAGGATCTCGATAACCCAATGCATACAAACTAATTCCTTTTTTTTTTCTTCCTTTTCCTTCCTTTCATAAGGCCATGATCCCTGCGCTGGCCAAGTCCGGCATCCAAGTATTATTGGCAATGATGAAAATCACATTGTCACTTTCCATTTTCGCTCTGATTTGCTTTGCCATTGTTCGTCTGTTATCGTGGGTTCCGCGGATGCTTCGGCGTCTATCGCCTAAACCGTCGATCCAACCGAACAGTGAATTGATGTTACTGGGAACCATCGCTATTTGCATGGTGATGCTCGTTATCTCGGAGAATTTAGGTTTAGGCATGGAATTAGGCTGTTTTGCCGCAGGTGTCATTGTACGATCTCGGAAAAGTATGTTTGAAGTATCGTTGGCGCTCATTGAACCCGTGCGTGATCTGTTTGGATGCTTGTTTTTCGCGTCGATTGGGTTGCATATCTATCCGTCATTTTTGGCATCCGAGGCCATGCTTCTGTTAACCATGACAGCTGCTGTCATTGGCTTCAAATACATGGTGACATCGATCATTCTTGTGTTTTTCAAGTTTGACATTCGCAAATCGTCGACCATGGCGATTGCCCTGGCCCAAATTTCCGAATTCGCTTTCGTCCTTGCGTCGCGCGCCAAACAAATGGGGATCATTACACGCGAGGTGTACTACCTTCTCCTTGCTGTGACATCATTGACGCTTATGGCCACCCCTATCCTTTGGAAGCTCACCGATCGCGCTTCATTTATGTCATCTTCTTCCACCAGCTCCAGTACTGGCCCCACTACACATCATCATCATTCTTCATCCGATCACCATCATCATCAACTTCCCGTCGCCATGTCACTAGATGATGCCGACAAATTCGCTTAGACGCGCGTTATTTCCCTGTTCCTCTCCCTCTGATTTCCCTTTTTTTTGTACATTTCAATCCGCCTTTATTTCCTGTAGATGTAATATGAATATGTCTCACCAGAACGGGATGATGACATACTATAATAAAAACATTAGAAAACTGTGATAAATTGGTATTCAGGGGTCAGTTTTAGTGGATATTACTTGCATAAACATACAGTGGGTGTTATGAAGCATCCAGGAGAACACCTTGACTGGGGCAATAATAACCGATGGATAGATGAAATCTTTTATAAGCACACTACCTAAAAAAGAAATTGCTGGAGGCAAATAAAGATGAAAATTTATGGGGGGGGGAATGAAATACCCATCGGGATGTGGAAAAAAAAGAAAGAGAGAACCAGGCCTAATTTTAGTGTCGTTTTACAGTGCACGTTGCAGAATCATCGGCTGTGGGATGCGCATATTGAAACATCCGACGTGCAAGTTCCCTATTCACAACAGACGACGATCTACCGTGGTAGTGACCCAATCATAGCGCAGAGAATCATGCGTTTGCATTTTCATCAGGTCTAGACTGAATCACATCACGCGTGCCACCAATTTTTTTTCTTTCATCTCTGTGAATATAACTTGGCAGCAGCATAAACAGCTACCAAATTTTCGGGGTCTTCACACGGCAATGATGTTGCAGCTGCTTCAGTGCAGTACAAAGATCACGTTTTGACCCCGGAACGAAAAAGAAAAAAGAAAAATAACAAGGTACCCCCACACCACTTTATTAAAATGTTTGCGAAGTTATGCGCGCTAATTTTCAGCCAATTTGGCGGTTTTGATTGGGGACTTTTTGAAAAACAAACGTTTCTGATTGGGTAAAACGAAATGAATCACATGATTTACTGCAATGGTTGAGTTGGACCTTCCCTTTTTGAATGGGCAGACTGTGATACATCGATTCGATTTAACAATTTAACAAAACGCATTACTCGGGCTAGATTGATCTTCCTTAACTCTTTTATATGCTCATTCTTTCAGTTCTTCATTAAAATACCTTAGGTCATTCTCAAACGTTTTTTGCGCTTCTTGCAGTCTGCTAGGACACCCTCGCTCGACCTCTAGAAACTGTCCCAACAATCCCAAACGCGTCCAACCACCCAGTGTTGCTACGGTCCAAGGATTGGCAGAACTTCGTTGCTCTACGCGCCGGCAAGTGGGACATCAACAAAGTGGTCATTCAGCTTGCTCATTGAATCCGAGGAGACTATATATAAGGGAAGCAAACGACAATGATACTGCGGGATGCATTCGTAGAATACCTGCATCTGCTGATGATGCCAACCTCCCCAGTAGACATACCTTGGGGCGCTTGTATGTCGTGTGCAATTTCTGTCAGGCACACAAGTGGCTCAAACAGCGCTTGTCCGGATCCATCTCGAATCCGCAGTTCCAGTTCTGCTGTGCCCAAGGTTCCCTTGTGTTTCCACCTTCGGAGCCTACACCATCAACGATCGCGCGTCTCCTTCATAGCGACAACGAAGAAGGAAGAGATTTTTGTGAGCAGATCCGCGCCTATAATACGAATTTGAATTTTACTTCGGTAGGCTCTCAAATAGATGAATCCGTGGCCGACAATCGCAGTGGAGCTCACTGCTATCGTATCCAAGGAGGCATTTACCACCAGATCGGTGGTCTACTTCCACCAACCAAGAGCCATACTCCTGCGTTTGCTCAAACGTACATTTATGATTCCGACACACAACACGGACACCGGCATACTGTGGCACCCTATCTCCAAAACTCTACCCTTCTCATTCTACAAGATCTTTACCAAAGTCAACCCGTTCGTGCCGTTGCTGCAGTCGATGGCCCAGGTCTTGCATAAATCTGAGGAAGCCGCAGATGTGAGACTGCTCAGAAGTGCGGAAAACAGACATGATGTTCGTCGTTACAATGCACCCACCGCTAGCGAAGTTGGAGAAATCCTGGTAGACAGTACGATCACACCAAATAGTGGTCAAGAAGTTGATTACGGAATCAAACACTGATGAAACTGGTACAGAATCGCGTATTCAAAAGCATATACCTACAAATATCTCATGGACAACCGAGGAATACCGAGTAATTACATTGATTTCTGACCAACTTGCCCCTTATTTCCCAAAGTACGGGAAATTGCAGAAGCACCCGGCCCTCCTGTTACCATTCATGACACTGTGTAATGCGATCTTTCGTCTGGCGGGTTACGGCAAATTTACAAAATCAGTTCATCCTGTGGTCTCGCATCCGCCGAACAAACGCTCCACCTAGACGAAACAAGCATCTACGAGCTTTTCGGTTCATCTTCTGGTATGTATCAATTCGTTTCAAGAAACAACAATCCCATCACATCCTTGGTCGAAGAGCGGCAGTAATATTTGATCTGGGAAAAACCAAGGACATTTGCGAGACCTATGGATTGACGTTCCAACACCGAATATCAACGAATGGCAAAGTGGCGATCCTCCAAGAATCACTGATTCATCGTCGAACGTACAAAATGACGTCGAAATACGATAGATGGCATGAGCGCAAAAAAGCAAGCGCTAAACCGGCCGTTCAAAACGACGACATGAAAAATCAGATCAATTCATTGACTGATGTTATTGATGGCTTGCAAAAACGGCAAAAAGAGATCGTGACATTGAGGCAATCATTACAAAACGAGGTGAAACTGGCAAAAGGACGATTTTATAAAGACCGTTCCGACCTGAATTTCAGAAATTAGCAAGATAAAAAGGCTGCAATGCAGAGGGAATATCAGGCGCTTTTGACATGTCGTACAAGTTTGCGCAAGGCAAAAAATGAACGTTATTTGCTGCAACGCCAGGTACGTTGATTTGTACATTGAATCAACGGCTGATTGAACTAATGCAACCCATATTGATAGCTGTACCGAGGAAAAGATACAGAGGAAGAAAGACGTGATACAGTGCCTACAGCAGCATTTCCTCAATGCATGGACGAGGCGAAAAGATTGGACATCTCTCTATTACAGCATGCCGTCACTTTCTCGGGAACGGACTACGGAATTCAAACAATGTCAGTGATAGTGCCTCTAAGCGTGCCGACCGTCAGCAGGCATTTACGCTTATACAACAGATATGGTTGTCTTGAAACTTGCGCCTATGTCGAAGCAGAAGACTCCCTTTCTGATCTGAGCTGTTGCTTCCGAAACCAGTTAAAATCCGTGCCAAGAACATCGAAGAAATATCATTTGCAAGAAGACATCGAAGACGACGTGAAAAATTAAAAAAAGTATTGTTTTATTCACATCTAGTGAATTGGCTGACTGGAAAATAGATGACTCCTTCGATCAAAAGCACTAAAGAAATGTTGAACCGTAACCCAATTTCGCACGCTTGGACGCAGGAACAAGCATTGCATAGTTTCAAATATGCAGATTTTTCTTGAACCAATTGTATATGCTAAACTCACACCGTCATTGTTGTAGTTACAAGAAGATGCAAGCGACACATTGCGTAACTTTTATCATAATCGCAAGTCCAAGAAAATAGCATATACGCAGTCATTGCGTACAAAGCGAGCCTATGCGATGCTGGAGTCAAGCGAACGGGCGCAAATGACCGATCGAAATGTTCCAACGAACTTAGTGATGAGCATTGGAAACGCTGTAACCGGTGTGGGCTCTCATGCACGAAGAGGGGGGGAAGAAGATGCGGACAGAACACTCAAGAAATACGACAGTCGCTATAACAAAATGAATTTTGCTCATCGAAGACTTGCGTATTCTGTTTCCATCAAACAGAGCTAACGAAACGAAGATTACCGGATGGAAAAACGAAGCAAGTCCTTGGTGCAGTCCGATGCATCAACCTAGATTGTCCTGCCGTCCGAAGAGGTCACGCAACGAGGAATCGCGACCAGCAAGCTGCATTCGCTATTGGTCTGGCAGGTGCGGTCCGAATGCTTTCGAAGAACAACATGACCTTGCCACCCTTCGATCCACGGCCCCAAAAGCAGCGACAATATGTTATTCAAAATGAATAACGATACAAACGCTATTGAGGCTATCCGAAGCGATACGCCTATGGTCCCACTCAGCTCGATTTGGATTAACAGTGAGCCAACACGCCCAAGACTAGTTAGGATGAATAAGAAAGTTAAGGCGGGCAAATAATGTTTATTCATGCTGGATGTCATTTTTGCAATTCTCGGAAAAAGTAACATTACAGTATTTTTTTTTCTTGCAGTTTGTTAAATATGCACGCGCTTGCAGTTCCTTTCTTCTTATTCGTGCTTTTTCCAATGAAATGCCTTGGATGATCTGTGCAGCACCGTCACGTTATACAAATTGTTGTTATGTACGACCTTGTCGGGTCCCAGCTTATTTGGCGAATTCCTTCACCTTCTGCGGTCACGCGGGCAAAACATGAATCTTCTGCACAGCAGCGATAAGATGGGTCCTGTTTTCTTCTGGCCCAGCCCGCTTGGTCAGTTTTGGATTGCTCATCTTAAATCTCCTTTTAACCGATCTGCCATGCATCATGTTTAATTTACATACGCACAGAAATGGCATTTTACTAAATACACGATCAATGTCAAAACAAATCCGCCAGAATACAGAAGGGTTATTGAAACAAAGTAATCTAAATTTTTATTCAAAGATATTTAGTCCATATGATACTTGAAATGATGAAATAATGGCCTCCAATGAGACGCAAAAAAAATGAACCACTTCCATCGCTTCCTTTCCTCTGTGCAAGCATGGTTGTATTCGAAATAACATCTTGGGGTATCAAAACAAGGTCATATGACTTTTTTCTGTGTGGTCCCAACCACACAACTCTTGCCCAACCTGTTGCTGTAGATGCTTCGTGCGTCGTCGAATGACACCTGGTAATGTTGATGCGGATCGATTCTTCATAAATATAATGCATTGTTTTCGTATCATCTTGTCTGTGCAGACTCTCTTTGCAACGGCCTGCACGTTGTTGCCTTCTTTGTGGAACCAGCGACCCAAATTTTTTTCTTATGAGAAGCGCGTTGATTCCAAGTTAACGTGAACATGCACTTTTTCCAGAAAATTTTCTGCGCACTTTTGAAAGAGTTCCTTGGAAACCACTTCTAAACATAAAATTTAGCCTTGAGATTTGTCCAATAAAAGATTCTGATGGTTTTTTCACTCGTGCGAGGTTTCTGCAAGAAACTGTTATTTATTTATTATTGCAAATGGTTCGATAAAGAGTGCTGAATGACATCAGCAACCGATCGGTTTGCATTCGCTGTGTCGGAGGAAACCAATCCCGCTAGACTTTCATGCTGTTTGTTTAACTGCTTGTTTCTTGATCGCTTCACCAGATAAGCCAGTCACAACGGTCAAGGAAGGCTTCATCCGTCCATCAGGGCGCTTATTCAAGTAAGCCCTGTACATCGCATTACTTCAATGAGTCGCAAACGGATGTTACCACCTCCAACGCAACTTGCCGGGAAAGTTGCAGCAATCTTTGCTGCGGAATCTTGGTCGCCGGTGTCTTGTTCTGCCAGCATAAAGATCGTATATGGCCTCGATCTATGGTCATCGGGAAGTGCTGGACAAACGACAAAGTGTATATGTGGAGGCGACGTTGAATCGTGTTAGGATTTGTCGTAACTGAATATCGTACTGTGCGATCATTTGCGTTGGTTAATCTTCGGCCAATAAATTCGCTTTTTGATAGATTCGAGTCCAGAAGAACCCGCAGAAATATGCAGAGAATTTGAGGCACAGGTTACGCAAGAAACTCCCAAAAGTGCGCGAGTATTTTACCACTTTCCAGAAAAGTGTATCCGTACTGTAGTTGATATATCCGTTAGGATTAGAGTGTATGAATAAATGGTATTAATTTATATGATTCCTGCGTAATGGTCTCTTCAAAGGTGAGTTTAATAGAAAGAAACGGTGCCTTGGACTGAGGAGGAGATAACCGATAGAATGAATATCGGGACTTATGGAAGATGAGTATCCCATATCAAAGGAGAGATCGAATGATGATTTCGTGTCAGATATATAATTGAACATGTTGAATACGACAAGTACTTCAACGACATCACCTGAAAAATAACTCTACATTTATTCTAAACGGAACTACAGGATGATTCGATGACTTTATATTAGGGAAAGTTGCTCCACTTATTCCAGCAAGTTCTTTGAATCATATGATTCATTCTTGCTTTTATCACCCTTGTTGGTCAGATGAATAACTTGTCTTGATCAAGCCTGCAAAAACTGGGATCGGCTTATATCCAATCTGTACCGATGCAGAATTGTATTATCATGACCAGCTGACAACATATCATGAAATATAGATCAATAATACGAATCATGCTCTTATTAGGCGCATCATCAACGGCATTGATCAACCAAGCGAGCCGTGCTTCGTTATAAATGGTCTTGACTGATGAGATAGACCTTGGTTCGAATAACAAAATGCATTCACCTCGGCATGAGCGTTGTTCTATTTTCTGCATAGATCATTGTCACGTATGATAGATCACACTTTTCATCTTATCTTAGCGTTAGTTGTTAAAACGGGTCTGATTAGGCAATTCGCCAACTACGCGCCACTTGCCGTAAATTGGCATTATTAACATCTGCATTCGCAAAGAACCATATTTGATATAACTCTCCTGCGTTATTTTCGATCTTTGAAATATAATTTCACAAATAGTCTCTCGTCCTAAACCAGTGTGGTAACAAGGCATGCTTCGTGGATATCCTCATCAATGTCTGGTTTTACAGGCTAACTATACGTACGTCTCTCTTGCTTGCATGCATGAACAAAACAGTTGGACGCAATACAACATATACCATGGTTACAGTTTTACTTTTTATTATGCAACAACAATCCACCAACAACACGCGCTCGACATGATTTATTTGTTCAAGATGATACCATCGAACTAAAAAAAAACGGCGTGAGTACCATTTGCATAAAATTCAAGAGTCCCCGCCGAGCCAACTTACACGAGACTTGAACCATTCCATGGATTCTTCCTTCTTGATACGATGGTTGGGGCCAACTCTGGTCTTGCAGTGCTTACGGCGAGCGACACGGTTGCCGGGACGACCCATGACAACGTAGTAGTCCATACCATAAATACCAATGGAAGGATCGTACTTGATGCCCAAATCAATATGTTCGTCAATACCGAAACCGAAGTTGCCGGTTTCCGAGAAGTTGCGAGCACGCAATTCGTATTCCTTGACCTTCAAACCACGTTCCAAGATCTCCTCGGCCTTGGCACCACGGACGGTGACGTGGACGGCAATCTTTTCGTTACGACGGATACCAAAGGTACGGACAGTGTAACGAGCCTTGGAGTAGACGGGAGTCTGACCGGTCAATTGCTCGAGCACTTTGGCGGCACGGGTCAATCTATCACCCGATTCACCGACAGAGATATTGAGAACAAGCTTCTCAATGTGAAGCTTCTTCATAAGATGGCCAGAGGTCTTTTGTTCGGCACTCTATTGCATTCACACAAAAGAAAATTCCATTAGTATGTTCATTCGGCCATTCTTCCATGTGCCCTTTGGTTGCAAATTTCAGGAATTCGGCCATTTCGTGTGTCCAATTCGATATTTCCCCGCTTGATTTTAACAAGAAAAAATCGATTCATCTTTGAATTGGCTGCATCCATCCATTCTACATCTAATCTCCACATCGCTAGTTCGTTCCGTCGATCGATACATACCATTGCTGTTGGTTGAACCACGGTATAAAGCGATGGGAAAAGAAGGATCGATCAGCTGTCCAAATGCGGATGGTATTGCTCGGACCATTCCGGCCGCGCTGCTCCGAGCCGTCCTTTTCTGGTTACCTCTCGCCGCTCAGCAAAGCCACTTGGTCCATGCATAAATGAACATTGGCATTGTATACATACACAATTCCGTACTCACAAATGAAACTTTTTTGCTATCATAAATTGTGATGTCTCCTATTTCCTACAGAATATCGCTGTATTTCAGTGTGAAATGTGTTCCTTTTGCATAGTGGAGTTGGCTCGACGCCAGATCCAAAATCACGTGACTTGAGACTGCAAAATTTTTATTTTGGGAAGCCAAGTGTCTCTCTGTGGAAGCCTTCTTACTTTTTATTCATAGCCTACAAACATGAGCACTTTTGAAAAGGTACTGGTTCTTGTTTTCCGAGAATAGAGTGTTCCAATGGCCGCCCTCAGCTTTGTTGGGCTATGGAAACGCATTACGCATGAAAGGGAGCTGGTCACCATGGCCGTTGGCCGTGGCTGGCATGGTGGCGTGGCTTCCACCGGTGACCATTTCCATGCTAGTCATGGAACTTCTGGGGTTTCTTGCGTGTTGTTATTATTGGCCATTGCGTGTTTTTATTTTTTTGGAGTTATGGTGGCGAGACTGGACGCGGTAACTAATGTGTATGTCTATGTGTAACCGTGTAGGTGGTTGTCATTGACGGCAAGGGTCATCTCCTCGGTCGCCTCGCTTCTATTATTTCCAAGCAGGCCTTGAACGGACAGAAGGTCGTGGTTGTCCGTTGTGAAGCTCTTAATGTCTCTGGCGAATTCTTCCGCAACAAGTGTAAGTGGCTATCCATCTTCTTTTAGACATTAAAGCGACCATCAAGTTCGGCCATACTAAAAAAAAATGCCCGGCATCGGTTTTACAGTGAAGTATCACGCCTACCTTCACAAGCGTTGTCTTGTCAACCCCAACAAGGGTCCTTATCATTTCCGCGCTCCTTCCCGCATCTTGTACAAGGCTATCCGTGGTATGATCCCTCACAAGACCGCTCGTGGCGCTGCCGCTTTGGACCGCATCAAGTTGTTCGAAGGCTGCCCTCCTCCCTATGATCGTGTCAAGCGCATGGTTGTCCCCGATGCTCTCCGTGTTTTGCGACTCAAGCCTGGTCGCAAGTACACCACCCTTGGCCGTATCTCCCACGAAGTCGGCTGGAAGTACCAGGATGTTGTTGCCAAGCTCGAAGAGAAGCGTTTGGCCAAATCTGCTGCTTACTACAAGCGCAAGGCTGCCCTTGTTGCTATCCAAAAGAAGGCCGTCGAATCCAAGGCTGATGCCATCAAGGATGTCAACGCTTCCATTGCTGCTCTTGGTCACTGAATAATTATTGGCTCAATGTAATAAAATCACTCTTTCATCATTTCGCATACATGCATCAGTCCTTGACAGCGTAGAAAACAGTCTTGTTAATGCAACATAGACGCCGGGCTCTCATTAATATACATTGTCATTGACCATTATCCTCGCTGTTTCCTTGGCACACAGATGCTTTAAATCAAACCTCTCCACAATCTGTCAGTTCCGCCAAACAGGGAAATGAACGATGACGGAGTTACAAATGAGGGGCCGAATAGTCACACTGTTTACTGTCGCTCCTGCCTCACTCCGTCTCAAAAAAAAAAAAAATCCACACACACTACAACCAGACAGGTGTATCCCTTAATCCTTTATACCATGCGGCGGCTTTGGCATAGTGTGAACACTGTGTCGAACACGGCAAAATGTATATTATGTCGCAACCTGGAAACACAAGATGGACGATTGACAAGGATTGATACCTGGCGACCTATTTTGTTGATCCCGTTGAAGTTCTCTCATTCCAGTGCTGCATTAGCAATCAACGATGACCCTACAGACGGACGCGAAAAACGACGGAAACCTGTGCTCTTAGACTGTCTCAACGACGACCTTATGCATCCTCGTTCGGTTCCCGTCAACTTGGAGTCCCGGAAATCTAAAGCAGCACTGCTTTCTGAATTTTACCGTGTAATGGCCACTCAAGATATCGAACGCATCTGGCCACTGTACAGTCACCTGTTTCATAACAACTATCACCTTCACCTTTCACAGCGTACTTACCGTCATTTATTCCTGTACACCATACGAGCACGAGCGACGCGAAAAAATGTGCATCGACTGAACGCTCTTGTGGAAGACATGAAGATGCGGCGTTTCCCGCTCCAGGCCGATCAATACAATGCTCTGATACACTGGGTAGGCGGGCGAGATGTACCTGTAAAACGCCCGCATCATCTGACCCAGGCGCTGGCGCTTTTGGATGAGATGGTGGCCTGCAATATCGAGCCAGACGTTATTACATACAATACGCTTATTCACATTGCGTCGCATCTATCCGATATACGAACCGCGCAACGATTATACCATGACATGATAGCACGAGGTCTTCGACCCGATAAATATACGTATTCAACGCTCATCAGTGGAATGGGACGGATGGGGGATCGGGATGGAATCGAAACGATGGTGGCCCATTTGCGCGATACTCAAACGTCAGAGATCAGTAACGACACCGTTGTGTGGAATGCCATTATGACGAGTTATGCCCAAGTGGGCACGTACGAAAAAGCACTCTACATGTTTGATGCGATGCAAAAGACGCTCAGCAGCAGCAATAGCAATAGCAAAGATACTGTCACCAAGGCCCCGTCACCGGATGCAGATAGCTTCAGGATCTACATTGATATCATGCTGAATCATCGTCGTCTTGACAAAGCACTGGAAGCCTTGCGTCAAATGGACGAACTCAGGATTACGCCCATTGTCACCACGTACAATGCATTCTTTGCTTATTTCATGCGACCTTCCGCGATCGATGGCGACTCGGATGTCAATGACGACCACAGTCACCACGCAGCGGTTTCGAATACGGACATCGTCAAACAACTGTACGATGCTATGCAACAGAAGAAAGTTATGCCTAATTCGGAAACCTTGTATACCCTTGTATCAGCATTACTTGATCTGGGCGATACCCAGTCAGCGCTTGAAACTTACCTTCGGATTTCGGATAATACGGCCAAACGGCGGAAGAAGACACCTTTGACGTCGTCGATCGCGGTATTGGCCAAAGAGCGGTTGACTTTATCCCGTAGTCGACCGACGAAAACCGAGCCGAATCAGGAGTTGCTGGATCGTCTCAACCACATTCTTCAGACCACTGTAAAATAGAGTATATCATCTGAAAGAGAAACACGCATGTTGTAATTAAAAGAAAACCCACTATTCATGATTCTTTCAATCATCCAGGATTGGTTTTTATTTCGATTTATTATGTTCCATTGTCTCGTGTAGTTTCTGTATCACTTTCACGGCCATATCTTCAATCGAGATTTCATCGGTGTTCACAGACAGCACATTGTCCACTGCTTTGTGATCGATTTCCGAATGATCTTGACCGGCAAACAAATGCTTGTTCCATTTCACAAATTGCGGCCATACAATCTTATCAAAGAAGCCAGGTGGATCTTCCCAGTAACCTAACAGAGCATACAGATGGTTAGGTCATCGACGAAAGATTTGAGCGCTAAAAGCGTTGTATCCTACCTTCGATGGTGGCATATCCTTTACGCCCTTCTCTGCGGTTTTTCAACGTTTCATAGGAAGCGGTCATGAAGATTCGACAATCCAATACTGAGGTAACGTCAGCATCCCAATACAGCATGAAGCCATCAACAATGATAAAGATATCGTCTTGTTCGACATCCAATTGACGCAATAATCTATTGAGAGCGTCTTTTGGCAATAAATTTGAACCATCGTGGGTATTGTTCACCTCGTTGGATTTGTAACCAGGTGGCAACTGTCCCTCATGCTGCCGAGCGTACTGTATGGTGTCAGCCAACGCTTGAAAATTCAAAGCATCCGGACAGTCCCAGTTGGCCAGCTGCGTTTCCTCATCGATAGGAATTTGACTATCAGGCTGTTTTTGGAAGGTTGATTGAGTTGCTCCGATTCCACGATCGGTCCTTCTCACGGTGCACTTTACCTTGAAGAAGTCATCTTGATAAATGACTACACTACGCTTGAGTATCTTTTGCAGAATGCGCGTAATGGTCTGCCAAGCCATGCATTAGCTACTCAAGTCCACATCACGAAGAAAGGTAAGCGCTGCAACTCACTGTTTTTCCGGAACACGACGGTCCACTATAGGAAAAAGTAACAATTCCTGGTGAGTTCCTGGGTAGCTTTCGCGTCATAGTTCTCGGCCATTTACCTTATGCCTATGGTGTGCACGCGCGCCATGGGTTGTTCATATATGAAAAAACCGCCGCCCCGTGCAACACCGCAATTTCATGGTTCACATAAATCTCAGTCTTGGCGCTTCTCCAAATAAAAGAGTCGCATGTTTTTTCGTTTGTGCGAATATCTAAAGCTTGGCATGTCTGCAAGTTACCAGATAAGAACAGAACAAACAAAACAAGAAAGAATCTCCTGCAAGTGGTTGCAGTTACATTTTATTATGAATGGTCGAAAAAGAATTTTTGGATGATGTCGGCAACGGATCGGTTTGCATTCGCAACTTCCGAATACAGCAATGCTACCAGAATATGAAGCTGTCTGTTCAGCTGCGGGTTGCCGATGATTCTCATCTGCTCGTTCCACCGAATAAGCCAACCACGCCGGTCAAGATGGTCTTCACTTGTCCCTCTGGAAGCATTTATCGAGTAGGCCCTGTACATCACAGTTCTTCAATTTTTGCGAACTATCGGTTATCACGTCTAGCGCAACTTGATGGAACAGCCAAGAAGCGATTTTTTGTTCCTGAATCTTGGTCGCCGGTGTCTTGTTCTGCCAGCATAAAGATCGTGTACGGCCTCGATCGATGGTCATCGGTAAAAGTACTGGGCGAACGACAAAATGTATATGTGGAGGTGAATTTGAATCGTGTTCGGATTTGTCGTAACTGATGTAGAATATCATACTGTGCGATTACTTGCGTTGATTTATCTTCGGTCAATAAGTTCGCTTTCCTGATAGATTCGACGTCCAGAAAAATCGCGGTTGATTTCGCATTGCTGCGTTCGAGATCAAAGTGCACTGGGGTTCCGCCGACACTGGGAGGTTTTCTGCTGGTGGTCGTACAGAGAAAGTATGGAATTGTCTCGTAGTGAGCGTTTGATATACAAGGTCAGAATATCTAAATCCCACGTCTGGATTTGTTGCATGGTTGCAAGTCGAATTTCAGAACGTCGTTTTGCCCAGAAGAATTCGATCACCAAAGATTGTTCAGCGAGTGGAAGGTGTTGTGGGTGGAGTATCTTGTACACCGAATCTATGGCAGATCTTATCGAGTTTAATGACGATAGGGAGTGATGTTGGTGTGCAATCAGAAAAGTGAGGAACACCTGTACGTCGTAGCTTTTTGGATCCACTGAGGGACTCTGTCTGTGGCACCAAGTAGCCCCTTTTCTCCACCCTTGATCATACGCCTTCCGCGTATTTACCCGAGTGGCTTTTGCTAGAAAAGCTTGAGTGGCCTCGGGTATTCCGTCCTGTGGTTGTATTCGCCGGATAATAGTCATGTGGCTATCGTCCATCTCTTCATCATCTGAAAAAACATCGGTGGTCGGAGTCTCTTCATCCGTAACAGCATGGGGAACCAGAACTGTGTCGGCCAAGATGGTGTAGCGAGGACTTGGCGCTTGACTTTCTGAATTTTCATCGTTCGGAGTACCCTTGGAATCAGGTTCCATGGCGGACTCACATATAATCCCGTCTTCGGCCATTGTTGCTGGAATACATCGATCGCTGTCCCTTCGGGATCCGGTCTCAAACTCCAGAAATTCGACAGCTGTGTATTCTCCCGTGAGGTAAAAGCGTCGATCGTCATTGGTCCCCATGCCTTCTGGATCTGCTGAAAAAACTTTGTCGGGAGAGCCGTTTGGTACAAGGGTCGTATCCGCCTGCTGAGCTTGTCGGCGACGTCGTTCGATAACCCTGGGACGTGTTGATACATTATCTGAAGCTCGTAACGACTGCAGAGGCTTTGGATGCCAATCGCCAGGTCTTGGAGGAGCATGGAGGCCGCCCTTCCGGCCTTGGTAACGTATTTGAGTGCCGTGCGGCTGTCGCTGTGTATCTGGATCGTTGATCCTTGGAACTTTTCGGTGCCGCGAGTTTCAATCCAAAGTAATCGTTTTCAATTCTCTTACGTTTATTGGCTGTTCTTGCTCGTTCTTGGTCCAGAATCCCGATGTCGTGATAATTGGGGGAGCGGATCCCTCAGCCTGTGTCCGATGCATCTGTATAAATGTTGAAGCTAGGTTTTTGGAACTTCAATTGATGGTCGATGCGCAGCGACGACGTAACTAGCATATTCCAGGTTTTCGTGCCGACAATCAAATTCTTCCCATCACTGTCAATCTTTGTAGGGATCCGTACGTTTGGATATCGGGTAGCAGACGGCGGCAAAGCCGTCAAAGAAGCTGACCCTTTTTAATGGTAAACTTTCTCCCGATGAACGTCAATGGTGCGCGTTCTGCCGTAGACCTCGGCACAGTTGATAATGATTGCCTCGTTCATGTTATTGATGGCAATCGCGCCAACCCGCATCAGGGAGCAAACAAAACGGAATTGTGGGAATATCTTCCAGTCCATGTTGAGCATGTTTGCAATGTTTTGGCGACATTTCAACGTATGTGTTATGCGCAGGCTACGGGATGGTCAGCGCAAGACAAAGACAAGGACCAGGGTGCGGCTAAGGACCAGGATGAGAGCAGGACAGGCGCAGCAACGGGAAGTACAAGACGGACGGAACGAGTCAATGATGTTCGACGTCAGTGTATATCGACTTGACGTGCTAGGTTTGGCGATGCTCATGTGAACAGAGAATAATACATGCCATGCATAGTACAGCAAGAGGTATACCAGGCAGCCACGAGGAGAACAACACCAGAGATACAGTGGGAACAAGCATAGGGGTAAGCATATGGACAGCATTGCAACGATAAGGAGCGTGCTTGAGCCAATAACGGACATGAGTCGTCCATGATGGCCAAGACAATGTGCGCCCCTTTCCAGGTTCGAGCTCGGCGATGACTGCGGACAAAAGGGAAAGGCCTCTGAAGGGAACAGTTTATTGAAATACAGCCGAGGGAAGTCACGTGAAGTTTCCAGAGGTTTCTTGGATTGTTGAGCTTTTCCACTTGACAATATACTGCACTGCGCCACGACGATTCTCGGAATTTAAGACCGCTTCATTGCTGTAAAGTGAGATGGAAAAAAAACACAAGATTTCAGACTATGGTTGCGTTGCTTTAAAAAATGGGGAAATGTATATGTGCATAAAAAGATGATAAGGGGTGGAAGGAGCATAGAAGAAAAAATAAAAAGGATCAGAAAAGGCTCATATAATGAAAATGAAATACGATGCGTCCTCCTTTTCGTCAATAAATCATCGAGTATTCATGTTCCAGGTCTTTTTCGACGTCATATTACTCTCTTAAAAAACTCCCTTTGTCTCGGCCGTCTTGCTCATTGTCAATGGGTGAGGTGCAGCCAGACGCGCTTGGATTGATTCATGTATGAATCTGTATGGTATTTGTTTTTTCTTTCCAAATCATATGAAGCCATCCACTTGGATACCATAATCATTCCGTCATTGTAAAGCTGAGCCCTACCGTATGATAACTCTTTCTTCGATACCACACCAATCCTTTCACAAGAAGCTCCCACGCAAGCAAAATTTTCTTTAAGCTGCTTGTGCGAACGACTAAGAGGGTCATGAAATTGTTGAGCTGTCTAACAAAGAGTTCCTGTTCAATCAATAATGTGCCTCAGACGCTCGTTATTGAGGCATTTTCCGATCCCCCGCATTCGAACGCATGTGAAGCAAAATTTTGACACTTTGTCAACTCGTCCAACTGCCTACTTTGCGTATCATATTCAAGTTTCCAGTGATTCCTTCTTCCACTGCAATTTTGTTTTCACCAATTTCCTTTGCCATAGGGTATACTATTGCAACCATAAGATCGTCCCAATGATATCTATCTGAGACCAACTACTCACTTTTCAAAAAACACAACGTAAAACTGGAAAAAATGGCCACATTTTCACGTATATTTCAACTTCCTTAATTGCTCACACAACACTGCAAGTGATTGATTTACATAGACAAGAAACAAACTAAATACAAATAGACTACAATATAAAGCTAATACTAGAGCACCAAGCAAAAAGGGATTTGACCCAGTGGCATTTCCAGGCAACCAGAAAGAAGGGAACCATGGCAAAGGCGGGAGGCCGACAGCGGGCAGAGGATGATGGATGACAAGCAAAATGACAAGCGAAAAAAAAAAAAAAAAAAAAAAAATAGACAACTTACCCTTTGACAGCAACCGGTTTGAATTCGTCTTTCTACAATTCCATCGAGATGGGAATGAGTTAGAAATATCGTTTTTATCAGTCATGGTTTTTTTTTATTTTTGGATTACATCCAAGGAGCCTGTTTTCAGATCAAAAAGAATGGTTAAGCCAAATTGGAACAATCCTAGAACCAACAAACTGAACCTTGTGCGCAATTAAAAAGGCACGCCCATTTTTTAATAGGTAAAGGTTGCCAGGAGATGCCCTTTGAAACTGTTTTGGACTATCGGTTGAGGTCTATTTTGTTTCCGTTACTTTGGCGATAACTGTATACTGGAAACGACATAACCGAAGTAATGTGATCAAAAAGGCGCGATTTTTCAATGAGCTAAATGAACCCGTGACTATATGACGCCAACGATGGTTCTTTGAGCCAATGGAACCAAGCGAGGTTCAAAAGGATTTTTTAAGTGAGGGTAAAAAACACGCCACAATTTTTTTTTTGTTTCTTCTTCTCTTTTCTTTACCAAAGTGGCACAGCTGTGGCGTGTCGTTGTTGATTGATGACAGACTTGAATCCTTTGTATTGCCATGATGCCAGAGCAGTTTTTGGTGCAACTTATCTCTTATTTCTATCACAGGTCCACTGGCTGCGGCGAACGACGAACGAACGACAAACGGAATGACCAAGGTACACACCAGAAAAGACGCTGTGGTATGACAGAGGAGGTCCCTGTGGTTTGACGGGGAGGCTCTGGGGCATCATTCGGTGGGCTGACTAGGAGATGGAATCTCCTCTTGAGGTCATGGGGTGCATGCTGCGGAGCGCGACCTGCCGAACCACAGGGAAGTTTCTCTGTGATGTTACGGGGGATCCCTGGTGTGGACCACTCTAGGTAAGTGGTTGGCTAACTTTTTTGGGTCTTTAGCCTTGACGGCGACATCCCGGTTTTTTCGATTGGTAAGTATTTTTTTTTTTCTTTTGCTTCTTTTTTTCCCCATTCTCGTTCTGTCATCGTCTGTCATCAACGGCATGCGCCACCTGCTTGCTGTTTTGGTTTCTCTGATCTTCACACCGACGCTCGATTCAAGTACGTTTTACCCGCTGGCGCCCTCAAAATAATTAGTCATAGACCGCTTTTTGTATCATCTCTTTTATATGTATATTCCATTGCATCAATAAATAAAGACACTTTTTTTACCCTCCCTATTTAAGGCATCGTTCAAATTAGTAGCATTTCAAGCCATTCATAAAGGAACTTGTTCCTTGCAGACACTTACCACGACTCTTATAAATCATATGCATAGTTGCATAAATCTAGAGTGCCGCTCAGAGTTTTTCCTGGCAAAACTGTGTTGAGCGAGTTCCGCTCGGAGCTTTGTCATGACTTTGGCATTAAAAGCCGCACGGAATGTCAATGCATACTCATCGAAGAGTATCACATCGGTTGGTGCAGTGGGTATGATATCTTGTCAAAATAAATATGGCTTACAAAGCAATCCATAATCAAAAAAGCATAAGAATAAAATGACTTTTGAGTTGTCGGTAGACCGACACTTGCGAATCACGAAGGATGCCCGTTCGAACGATGAATAGCTCCAAATCAGCAAAATCGTGGGACGAGATGATTTATACGATGCTGCAGAAATCCTCCGTTGCTCTTGCAGCCCATGACCTGGGCCATGCCCGAAAAATTCCAAAAACTCGCACACCTCGTAATTAACCATTATGTGAACACCGCACAGAAGTGTATTGGTTCACTATAAAAAGTCGACGACTCTTGCTTAGATGACTTTTTCAGAGAACCAAAAATCTCCTTTCAAAGATTTCAGAAGGTTTTTAAGCATTGTTATTATAAAAGGGGATTACTTGAAAAATTCACATCATTCTATGGTTTCAGATCGCTAGAATAGAAAAAGTACAAGAAATGATTTTTGGATGGATTAAAAGAACGAATCAGGTGCGTCGTTGAAGATAAGCAAATTGGGAGTGTCCTTGGGGATGTTGTCCAGCTTATCTTTGGATCCCAACTTCAAGATCTTGTCCTTGATCACCTTGGGTTCCACACTTTCTTCCTCGAGGCTCAGGAAATACGCGGCCAGACCGGCAACGTGAGGAGAAGCCATGGAAGTACCGGAAATCGTTTGCGTGCTGTCCTTTCCATCGTTCCAAATGGAAAGAATATTCTCACCAGGAGCAAACACATCAACACATTTACCAAAGTTGGAAAAGTAAGCACGGCGATCACGAAGATTCGAAGCGCCCACCGTAATAGCAAGGTCAGCAGCCGCAGGAGAATAGTTGCATGCATCCTTGTTATCATTACCCGCCGCCACCGCAAACACTAGTCCACTGCGAACAGCCTATTCATTGTTTCCCTATGTCAGATTGCGGCCAAAATTAACACCAAGGGCGGAGATTTACATACCTGATTCACGGCTGTGTCAAGAGCACGCGATTTACCGCCTCCGAGACTCATATTCGCTACGGCTCCCTTGTACTTCTTGTTGGCCTTCTTTGCGTTTTCGGCGTCCAGCTGATGCTGCTCAATCACCCAGTTAACACCCGCCAATACCCAGGACGTGCTGCCGGAACCATTGGAGCTCAACACTTTGACAGCTACCGGTTTCGCCTTCTTGGCCACGCCATAACGTCGGCCGGCAATGGTACCTGCGCAATGCGATCCGTGACCGTTACCGTCCTTATCGTTGTCGTTCTCAGGGATCGTCACACCCCATTCAGCGCGGCCATCAAAATCGCTATGGTCGATATTAATGCCCGTGTCGATGACGTACACCTTGACATCTTGACCACCTTTGGCGTCGTACGAGTATTTGTTAAAGTCGCGCAGGGTCAATGCGTCGCGATGACTAATTCGGGAAAGACCCCAGGGAGCACCACGTTGAAGCTCCGAAGTATACATCATCGTATCTCGCTCCACATACGCAACCTAGTCATTCCGTCCAAAATAAAAAAAAAAAAGACGAAAAATAAAATGTGTCACAGAGAAAACGGTAGTTTTTTTTTATCAACACAGTTAGCGGAAAATTTCCCATAACGTGTATTCTCTATGGCAAGTCCATACCTCGGGTGACTGACGAATGTGGTGAACAGTTTCTTCGGTAAACTTACCGGCATAGCCTCGCCAGCCGGGCAAATTATACGTGTGTTTGATACCTGCTGCGGCATCCGCGTCTAAAAGTTCGGCCAAAGGAGCATCTCGTTTGTGCAAATTGTTCACCCAGCCGCAATGGGAGTGCGCCTTTTCGGTGTCGACATGGTCCTTGAGAACAACAATGTACGAATCCGACACGGCTTCCGCATCCTGTGGCTGATAAAGAGGAGCCAGGGTATCCGACGACAACGCAGGTAAAGCACTTGTGTATGCTGTCAAGAGCAAAACAGCCGAACTGAGAATAGTGAACCGCATGGAAGAAAGCGCAGTAATCGACTCATGAGGAGCCACCACGGTCATTTTTGACATATTTTTTAAAACGCCGATCATTTCGTAATTTGTTGTCTCTGTGGACCTATTTGGAATTTCTATTTCGGCGGGTCTTGTTTTCAGATGACTCGGTGCCAGAATCACAGAATAACAACACCATTGGGCTCACTCGATAATGGTAAGCAACGACGACCGTATCAACTCTGATTAGCAGTTCCTGACATGTTGTTTCTCAAGAAAAATCCTGCAGTATGTTGACGGTGGATCACAACGCAACGGGCGGGATTCCCCCTAAAACTTCCGGTAAACGCGGAGCAAAAGCAAAACTGAGGATAAAGCAGCGGAAGTTTTTTCCATTTATCTTCGTATACACAAAAGCCAGATTGTAAGTGCGGAATGACAAAATAAGATCATTGTTCTACGCGCAAGTATTCCATCTTCAATTCCCCTTTGGCAGCCTCGAGGGATCAGCACGTCACGTGGATTCCACAAATTGCATTGGTTACTCGGGGAACGCCATTGTTTCAAGGTCATTTACCGCATAACCCTTGCAAAATCACATTATGATAACTTGTTAGCAATTACTTCAAAATAAATAAACAAAAAGCGAAAAAAAAAGGTTCGAGGATTTAGTTGCTATTGTTACAAAGATAAACAGAATTTGTTTTTTATTGGTTCGTTTGATTGTTTTTGTTTTCTCTTTTTCGGTTCGAGAATTGGGTGAATCTACTTTCGGAACTTCTCGTAACCTCGGACGATATTTTCGATCGATCGGTTCTTGGTCTCAGGCAGACAGAAGTAGGTAAAGACAAAAGCAAACGCAGCCACGGTGGCAAAGATGGCGAAAGAATAACCCTTGATCTTGGCAAAGATGATGGGGAAAATCTGACCAATGACGAAATTCATGGTCCAGTTCATGGTGGTAGCAATAGCGCCAATAGCAGACGAGGCATAAACTGGCGCAATTTCCGACGTGATCAACCAAGGGATCGGACCCACACCAATAGCAAAAGAAGCGACGTATCCGAACACAGAAACGACGAGCAAAGCACCAATGTTGAAACGGTAACCGATGATAAGGAGGACCGAGAAGATACAAGCACCGACTTCGGCAATCATCAACAAGGGTCGACGGCCCATGCGATCCATAGCAAACAGGGAAACAATCGTCATCAAGAAGTTGACAATTGTTGTAACAATCGCCATGTACTGAGACATTCTGGCGTCGAACATGGAAGCGAAAATGGTGGCGGAATAATACATCACAGCATTGATACCGATCAATTGCTGGATCATATGGAGACAGATAACTGTCATAGCAATACGCTGCATTACAGAATCTGTGAAGATTTCCTTGATCGACATTGATTCACGGGCACTGACGTCGGGAGCCACCATAGCATCTTCCGCGCGGTGACCATCCTCGTCATCTTCGTCGCCTGAAAGCTCGGCAGCATCCTTGGACTTCTCTTTCAAATCACCCGTTCGCTCACTGTCGGGATTTTTGAGCATCGATGTGGCTGCAGCCGTTCCCACTTGACCTTCGACAATTTCGTAAAATTCTCGATCAATGTTGGCGTTGCCACGTAGTCGCTGCAAGGCATGTCTGGCTTCATCGATTCGGTTCTTGGAAACTAACCAACGGGGAGAATCGACGCAGGTAGACATCAAAAAGAATTGCGCAATACCGGGAACCGCAGCAATAGCATAGTTGACACGCCATAAGGGTACCGTGGCCAACGGCAAACCAATCACCGAAGCAAGCAAGATACCAATGACAATACCAAACCTGAATGGCGGACAAAGCAAAATAAGCACACGATCAGTTTGGATATTTTTTAGTTATGATTTTTTTGTGTTTATATACATACTGATTACATGTGCCCATCATACCACGGGAACGGACGGTTGAAACTTCACCAATGTAAGTGGGAACGACAAGTGACCCCAGACCGCAAGAAACACCGCTGAGCAGACGGCCAACGATAAACATTGCTGTGTTCACGGAGACGGAGATCAATGCACCACCAACGATGAAGCCCACCGTATTGAGAATGATAGACTTTTTACGACCGAGCTTGACTTGCATGGGCCCGCCCACCATACTGCCTACTAAACCGCCCACACAGAATGATGAGACGGCAAAACCCCTAAAAGGCAAACCCAGAAAGTTTCTTGGATCAATGACCGGTTTCCTTTTTTTTTTTTTGTTTCTTGAGACGGTCGATTAAGACTTACCAAAGGGAGGGAGACATGGGCAAACAATCGGGAAATGATTTGTTGAAGATATGGGCATTGCCTGTGGGGCAATTGTGTGTGGCTTCACCTGGAACGTTGGGAGAACCAATAACATAACCGTTGGCAAAGGATTGGAGACAGGCTACTATAACACAGTAGACCATGTAACTAGGCGTTTTTTGATCGAGCGAATCCATGACGACAAGAAGCTGATCACTGGAAAATTCAAATCGATGTGTGAAGAAAACGAATGAAATTTAACAAAGACGTTCCTTTTATTGGCTCGAAAATCATGGGTCTCAGATACCCATCCCCCAAGCCCACCCCTGCCCTCGATCTTAACTTTCCACTGATCTAACTGCTGCATAAATGGTGGTACATCAATACAATCCAGCCATAAACTATACCAATAGCACAGTAAATACTGGTAACCAGTAAAGGCAAAAATTCCAGCTTGTGAGCGCCAAACAATGTTTCATGCAAAACGCTGGTGTATACTTGCAATCCAACGAGCCCGACCAAATAACCTCGTTCCAGGGGACACAGTAGCGTTTTCAAAGGTCTAAAAAAGAACCATTGTGTTAAAGAAAAAGACCTACGCAAATATCCATAAACAAAGTAAAATAAAATAAAACCCTACGTGTGCAAGGAATGGGCAAGACTGGGAATCACAGCCGCGAACCATAACAGTGTCAGGCCAATTTTGATGGGAGTTTCTGGTGGACACGTGAGTTGACTTGTCTCATTATGCATAGTTCAACTTTACACTTACCGGCTGCTTGAAAAAGAAGCGGAAATAAGGAGCATATGCCGGCTCCACTGAGGATGATGAGCACCCGAAGATGAAGTCGACTGTTGGCAGCCATTAATCTAAAAAAAAAAAAAAAAAAAAAAAAAAAACAATGCGCAGGAATTTTAGAGTCAGATATTATGCAGACACGGTTGCTGTCCATTTGTATTTACCCGTAAGGTATAAGCACGAGCATAATCGCCTTTTCATGAACATGCCATCCAAAAAGATAAGAAGCGAATCCACATAATGTTAATGACGACTGAAAATGATCAAACGTTGGCTTTCGCCATAACACTTGAAGGACGACCTAGGTCCATCAAAAAAAAAAAGATAAGAACGTCAATATTCAGTTCAATGAACCTATCGAATGAAAAGCCAGTTGTGATTTTGAACTTACCAATTGGACAATCACAGTAATGATCATGGTTTGGCTGGCGTCGATGATCGGTAGGACAGCAAAATTGGTGTCACCAACGAATCCGCGCGTCATGGAGCTTAACGCAGATTCATTGATCGACCAATGAAGTCTCTTGGCCACTAACAGCAACGAAAGAAAAAAATGTTTTACGTTATTTCATGATAATCTCCTACTTCTGGCATCCAATGAGGCATTTACGGAGAATTAAGAACCGATCAGCACCCGCGTACAACGCCCAGAAATTCGGTGCCCAGTAAGCGTGGCATAACCCGCGCGTAAAAGGGAACAAGCGTCCAATCAAAGCAGGAATCTGGTCGTAGTAAATAAACGGCCCAAGCGAGATGGCAAACACGGCAATGACGGATAGACCGAGTGTAAGAAAGCGCGAAATCGAAAAAATGCGTGATTGTCCTTGAGGCAGTGTCAACTCTATTATTCGTTTTTCATCAGGATATCACTTACCGTCTCGACCGGGAATAAAGCAATAGGCTTTGAGAAGATAGACGAAATAAGCAGGGGCCAAATAAAGATAGATATGCTTAAAATTAAGTAATACAGCAAACAGAATGCCCGATCCCAGAAGATTGTCCTAACATCGCCATGGTTAGCGACTGAAAACGCCCTCTCTACTTCCGAAACAGGGACATGACATACACGTTTAGCTTCCACAATAGAATGAATCAAGATACCATACAGTAAGCCATTGTATTGAAAATGCATATGATCCACAATCAACAAGCCGGGATGTAGAAAGATGGAGGCGGCGAGAATCCAGTGAACTTGTTTCGATCCAAACGCACGAACATATCTTTATCAAGGAATCGGTGAAAGGTCTATATCACTGTCATTCAGGAAGCCATTTTTTACCTTACAAGCGCCCAATACAGTATTAGCTCGCTCGCGATGACACTTAGACGCTGGAATATGACGGTGGCCTGGCTCTGATAATTCAAATTCTGTACTACCACCATGGCGGGATCAACCATGGCACCGAAAAAGCTCAGCACCTTTTCAAACCATGCAAAAAAAGGCGGATAATCGAGAGTCCATTCTGACGTTTTCTAAAAAGGTCAAAAATATGAATACGGGTCAATGCCACGGTACAGCCACGTGCAAGGTTGGTGCACCTACTTCGGTGTACCATTGAGATAAAGGAAGACTGTGCGTAATGGCCAGCCAATTACGATGCACTTCAAAATCCGTGGATCGGCTGAGTAAATGAAAAGGTTAATGGGGTCAAGTTACGGTTAGTGCAGTGTCTGATACGTGGCCAACTTACTACGATGGTATTAGAGCTACTTTGAGTAACGTGCTGATGACGAGAAGATCGCGCATGATATTTCACTGAACGTTGAAATGGAACGTTATGCGAGGATCCCCGAATACCAGCAACGGTATGTGCAATTGACAAGAACAAGAACGCTGGGAAGTCGTAGATGAATGCAAAAGGCCCGGTCACTGTTCAAGCGCGTTGCTGCCTCACCAAATTGAGAAGGTGCCCTTTTGGCGTTCTTTGAAATTTTTCGGGAAAAGGCAAAACCGCCCAAGTTGGTCACAGACAATGCAATTTAAAATTTTACTCTCTCAAAGCCCCACTTTCCGCTTATTGTCAAGGCCTTGCTTAAGAACTGAGAGCAGTTATGCATTGATTCCTTACTAACTTAAGCAGTTTGAACTAAGAGCAAGCACGCGCATGGTCCAAACCCGCCTTGACACTGGTGTAATAGCTGTTATAGCACTCATCTGGTTGGAAGCTCTTCTTCTTTTGAGCGTCTCCAAGTCCGTTCAATACCACCCGTTTATAAAACGCTCCCTTTGTGTGCGATACATACCATTTTTGATCAGGGTTGTCAAAGGAATAAAGATTGTTATTTACAGGAAGCAATTAAAACAAATAAAAACGAAGAACAAAAAAGGAAAAATTACAAAAAGACAGATCAAATTAAGAGAAACCAAAAACAAGACTAAGTTATAAAATGATGGGATTTGATTTAGAACGCTTCAAATTGCTCATGGTAAGGATCATCACCCGATCCGCCGTATTTGAGACTTCCTTCTTTGTATTTCAAAAAATTGCTGGTGTCGCCGCCACCGGAAATGTGAGGAACATAGGGAGCATCAATTTCGCATTTAGACAGTTTATCGAAATCCAAAGGCGCGAACCAACGGTGGTCCATGATATCTTTATATCCACGCTTCAAATTACCGTATCGCTTGGTAAGATCCGTGGTCAATAAGTGGCGCAGCAAATCCTTTACTTCTGAACTGAAATGAGAAGGGTATTGAGGCTCGGTGGTAAGAATCTTTTCATATAGTCGGAACTGGCTTTCATCGTAGAAAGGTGCGTGTCTAACCATGCATCATTTAGCAAAATACTCGATCACTGCTGTTCCCGCTCCCCATACATACCCTGCCAACATTTCGTAAATAAGAACGCCAAGCGACCAGTAATCGACCGATTTGCCATAACCTTTGGACTCAATGACTTCCGGGGCTGTCGATGCACGATATTTAGCGATCTGTCTGTCATTTAATTGAGCAACCTAAACTTACCAAGGTAATCAGGAGTACCACACATTGTCCATGTATTACGGCGCACCTTCTTTGCAAATCCGAAATCAGTCATCTTGATGTGACCCCGCGAATCCAGCAAAATGTTTTCGGGTTTCAAATCTCGATAGATGATATCATGGCTGTGCAAATACGCAAGCGCTAAAAGCACCTCACCAGCATAGAAGCGTGCAGCATCTTCAGTGAATCGCTAAAAAAAATACTGATGAGCAATTCCAACCTCAATGACAATGTAACATCTTCTCGTTGACATACTTTGCATTTTCTCAAGACAGAGAACAATTCACCGCCAGCAACGTAATCCATGACCATGAACAAGTTTTGACTGTCTTGGAATGTGCCCCACAAATTGACAATGAAGGGACACTGCACGTCCATGAGGACAGCGCGTTCGCTGTTGGTATGCTCGACTTGCTTCAGTCGGACGATTTCGGCTTTCTTTAATACTTTGATGGCATAGTAACGCTTGTTGTGTTTCGACTGGGCCAAGTGAACTCTTCCAAAGGATCCTGTGCCAAGGGTTCGCAACAGCTTGAAATCTTGAAGCGACAATTCGGCCGATTCTTTTTCTTTTCTCTCTGGAATTGAACTCTCCGAAGTATTCGATAACGGGGCGCGTTCGTGACCGCTGCTTTTTCGGAATGAAAGACGAACAGGTGATTGAGGAGGGGAATTGGGAAGCGAGGGCGAGGAATGAGAACCTATGTATGATTGATTATATTAGATCACCAACGCTCTTATTAAGCGATCATGGGAAGGAATTATTTACGGGAATATTGTCTGGATGAAGTCGACGTTTTCTTGGGCGATCTATCCTCATTATTCTCTGTAATTCAATAGAAAGAAATACAAGATGGTTTGAGTATTATGTTCAAGAGCATTTGAAGGAAGATCGGTCTTACCATGATGGCTGGATCTGTTGTGACTGGAGGATCGTGGGGATACAGGGAGTTGGTATTGCGCCATTTGTTGCGACTCGCTGCTGTTCTTACGGTGTAGCAACGATTGTCGTGGATGCTTGACTTTATCAAGCAATTTGTGCATGACAGTGACAGGCATAATTGGAAGAGATAAAAAACGAGAAATCAACGAGTGAAAGAGATTTCTTTAAATTTTTTCAACCGTTCTCAGAAACCAAAAGATATAATCATTATGCACAAACTGAATGTGTCATGATAACCTGTTTTGGTTGAACTAGTGCTGTTCCACTTGTAATCTACAAATCCCGCAAAACAATGATTCCCATTGTGTTTTCTCTTTTTACGCACTTTTATTGCCATGTTTTTTCAACCTCTAATCACCTGACTGCTGTCTTAATATAAAATACCTTTCAAGCAATTTGTATATAGCAACACGCAATGGTTGTTTAGTAAAAGTATGTGCCTCTGCCCTATTTCATTTTGTCATGACAACATCATTCAATCAATCGGCGCTAACGATGGTCGTTTTTTAGTATCCGCCCTTAGGATCGACTCCGTCGAGCCAATGGTTCATGCATTTTCACACCAACTTTCATAATTTTTCCTTGGAGAACAAAAAAATTAAACAATCATGTTTCAGAGTGACTCGACATGCGAAAAATGAATGAGTTCAATAACAATGTGGGCTCAGCAAGCTTACTACTATGAAACATGTTGGACCTGTGAGTAGCTTCTATCCTTCAGATAATCCTTTTTTTTTTTCAACATTATCACGCATATAATGAGATTAATGAGTCACATGATGCGTGGCATCAGGGCATACATGGATTTTGTTTTTTTTTTATAATGGAGCCATTAGGTTCGTTTCCATTAGGCTACCGCCTTATAATAAAAAAAATAGCTGTGTTGAGATGAATGAATGAATGGATGGATATTACTTCGTAACTAGAGAACAAAACTATACTAAATGGGGTATACGTGTCACTCTTGGTAAACTCGAAGGTAATTGATATCCCAGTAAGCTTCATCAAAGGCCTCGGGATGATCACGAACAAAATCCACGCAATTACTGGGGCAACCCGAGGCAGCATACGTGGACCCGGCCCAGTTACCGCAAAAAGTCAAATTAATGGTAATCGCCATATCGCGGAAATGGCGGGGACTACACTCGGTGAATGGGTAGTCGGCCATCGGAGTAGGCCAATCGTCGGGTTGCGGTTCGCCAGCAAGGATATCCTTGGGAATGGCGTCTCGTTCGAAAAACCAGCTTTGAATCCCTGTATCATCGGTCCATCGCAGCGCAATTACACCTCCCTGTGCGCCATTGAACCCGGCACCAAATGACTTGGAGTCTTTACTGAAAACAGAGCAGCCTTTATTGCCAAGAGCATCACGAGCCGTCATATCGCAATTCAGACCATGGGGTTTGCCCGACATGGTTCTTGCGACATTTTCCATCGTACACTCCGGTCCCGTGTGCAAGGTCATGGCATTATACGTATCATGGTTCACACCTTCAAGGATCTACAAACCAAATTAACTGAGTCAGAGATCAAGAATTCAAAAACCTTATATCATGGTGTGAGACGACTTACATCAATTTCACCGCTGTCGGGTAATTTTGGTCCAATCAACCAGAAGGCTGGCCAAGTGCCGCAGCCGGTGGGCATGTGGCGTAGGTCGAGAAGGAAGAGGCCCGAATTGTATTGTTCCTTTGACCTCAGACGTACCGAGGGACGTCCTTCAGGGGTAACGGTTCGGTTTTCGGCTCGGATGAGGATATGGTCATCATCTTCCATCAAGAGATGTTTGGACCGCGCATCTCGGTAATTGAGGTACTGAACAAAGCCTTTGGTGGGATCCGGAGCATCAAAGAAATTAAACTTGTCAAAAAAGTTCCCGGGCGAGTAATCGTCCTGCAGCGTCCATCCTTGTACCACTTCAAGTGTGGCAAGGATCAATAGTATTGCAATATAATTTAAGGAACGCATAGCAATAAATAGAAAAAATAAATAAATAGAATGAAATAAACTTCGATTGGAAGCCCACAAAATTGTGGAGCTGCTATATATAGTGTATCACCAACTTTCGGCAAATGGATAATACGTTTCGCGATGGCTTATCAATATGTGATTACATTGAATAAATTACCAAAGTTTTAAAAAAAGAATAGCCGACATGCAGCCGCCGGCCTACCCATGCAAGTATATGCTTTGCGGCATTGAAAAACAAAAAAAAGTGTGTAAGCGGAGCGGGCACCGGCTCTGCCGAAATGAAGCCCGCGCTTTTTTGTGGCTTTAGTGCAGAGGGGAACACGAAAATGGTGCAAGGCACCATTCGGTATTATCATCCACCGAACCATTTGTAGACATCTGACAGGCACAGTGTCAGATATTACAAAATGTCCGAATGACAATGACTTATTTTCGGCTTCAAATTTTTTTTTTTCAATCAGAGTCAGAGTCCAGCGTGTCCCCGACCATGCAGCCAAAAAAAAAGTTAAGCACTCCATCGTTCCCGAAGATTCCAAAAAGTTCACTCATATTACGAACAATTGCGAACCAGAAAGGAGAATACTTGCTCCGCGAAGAATTTAGACAAGCAAGCGATGACCTGTAGAAAGACGGGACTGCAATTCATACGTTATCATACATATATCTACCAAGTCTAGGATGTTCCTAGGAGTTGCATCGTTGGCAATCGTATTTTTTTAGCTCAAATAATGCAGACGCGGTGAAAAGTATCGGGTCAACCGGCCGGGCTATTTAAACAGTAAAGCCGGCTTACTCATCTTACATGGAAAAGGAGTAGGTAACTGAAAAATTTGACGTAAAAAAAAAAAAAAATTCACAGCTGAGTTGACTTTTTTATCCTTGCTGAGTTGAAATACCTGACAGCTATCTAAAAAGTGAAGAACCTTTTCGGAGATTCGTTCCGAAACCGGTGGATGTGATAAGATAGACTGCATGACCGTCGTCCCTTGCTCGTATTTCCCCGTACCCCAGTTATAAGCTATTGCGTTATCGCAACAAGGGTCGATTTTGAAGAATTCTTTGATTTGTGAAAGGAGACAGACGATCTAAAGAAAACTGTATTAGATCCGGTAGCGGTTTTGAAGGACGAAACCGTCAGTTGCAGGAACACAAGACAGAGTGACAACAGCCGAGTATGGTACTCCCTTCACTTAGTGATGATAAAGATGACCTGAAACTGTATACTGACAATGGCGAGATATCGCAGCATATCGGAAGAGAGATGCATAAACTCACGCGTAAAGCTTGAAATATTTGTAAAGTGACTTCAACCGACTTTGGTAATGAGCATTGTGGTTGAAGATCCATGTCATCCATGAATTCGCCGCTGTGGTACGGGACTATGATGATTCAGGGCATCGCAGGTGTTCCGAGTAGGATTTGCTACGATAAACTCGTGATTGGATGGCAGCGGCTTTGAAGTTGATTTTTATTGAATGAATAAAGGGATTGAGTGTGGCTTGAGTAAAAGAGAAATAAAAAAAACCGTGATTATAATTGTTTGTGCGACGTAGTTTACTTTGAAGGATATGCAAGGCACCGTTATTTGGGATCGTGCATATTCCAACAGCTTCAAGTGTATTATTACGTTGCAGGACTGTGAGTTTAATATTTGCGGAGAGGAAGGTTTGAAGGACCAAGGAAAAAGTACAAGTTGTCAGCCAGGACAGTCGGGCTGGTCCAAACCAGTAGAGACTACAGTTAGGAGCAGAGGTTGCATAAACTGGCCAAAAAGTGCAATGAAGCACGAGGCGGTGACACGAAATGGGAAAACTCCGGTGTGAATAGAGCAACACCAACTGAGGAATTTTGTATACCTACACCGTTTGAAAGGAGCGGTAAAAATCCTCCATCTTCCTCTCACTTTTTGTTTTGCTTTTTGCAACACTTGAACTGCATCTTTGCTTCTTTCTCTCTTTTTTTTTTTCTTTTTTAGCCTTTCCACCACGCTTCTTCCTCTTTGTTTGATTTGTCAAAGAAAGTTTAATGACCGACGTCAAGCCTAAACGGTTTTCCTTTGCCGGCTTAACAAGCCTTTCACGAAGCTTTTCATTTTCGTCTGCAACCAAACCAACCGCGGCACCAATGCCATCACAAGCACAAGCACCAGCCTCAACCCCTTCATCCACAACGTCGCCTTCCAGTGCCGATGAACTCCGACAAAGCAGACGAGCGCAAAAGTCGCAAAGCTTGTATATAAAGTCGTTTCGCAAGAAAGAAGATAAAGCACCGTCACAGTACGACGCCAAGGAAGCTGTTCAAGCCAACGGAAAAGAAATTCGTAACAATATCCGACGGTCGCTTTCAGCTGTACTGTATGCGTCGCCTCATTCTCACTCTCAATCATCGACCACTTCGGCCGCTTTGGTGCCTGTGTTGGTGACAGCGGACATGTGCGATGCCAGTGGAGGAATGATCATTGATGAACCTAAAGAAGAGACTCCCAAGCCTGCTCTGAAGAAAAAGCACGTCGAATATGACAACACCTTGGCGGTGATGAAAGAGAAGGACGGGTCATTGACAATCGTATGGCAGGGGTACGGATATTCATTGGAGAAAAATCATGCCGATTTATCGGAGATGAGCTTAAATGAGCGGTTTGAGAATGATGTGTGGACTGATTATCGAGGGCTGATCCATCCGATGCTTTTGTTCGCGGACATGGACGAGTCGGTGTGGACAGGATTAACGGTATCGGAACTACGTCGATACTTTGACAATTACGGCTCCATGATGCTCAAAATTCGGCAAACGCGCATGCTTCAACAACAGCAACAATATCAAGTCCTCCAGCGTGAAGGACAAGCCCAAAACGAATGGATTATACCCACGCATTGTGACCATCCACCTTTGGTATCGGCCGCATCCTCATAGACACAATACAGGCCTGTAACATAGTTTCTACCTAATCGTTCTTTTCTACCTATTTATTGAACCCCCCAAAAAAAGATCAACACTTTTTTATCTTATCTTATACAACCTATATTAAAAGTTCTGTATCCTATATCGATTATTGCTCATCGAAATGTATCAGTGACCGTTGCCACATGCCAACTACTGTTCTTTTGCCCCCTATATGAAAAACACATGGTATCCCAGCTGTCGTTCGTATTCTACTATTCATTCTCACAGGTACGGCGCCGTAATTTAGTTGTTATTGACGATAAAGGTCTAAAACGACCATTTGACACAGATAGGTTTCAATTGCTAGCCCCACCATTGCTGCGAAGGCCTTTTCATGCTCTGTGAAAGCTAATCAAAACCATCAAGTAAAAGTCGATGATAATCTTTCAGACCGCCGTTCTTTCTGCACAAAGGAAACAGCGAGAAGTTGAGCAAACCTTTCATATCCCAGTTTTCAAGGCCGTTCACAACGAGATAAAACATACAAGACACGTTGCAGACCTAGGCCCGAAAAGGTCAATGGCCTTTCTATTTCTGTAGCAATTTCCTGCTAGGCTCCACAACAGAGTAACCATGCTCTGTACTACCTGTAACGTTACGGCAGCCGATGGGCGATCCATATGATGTTTGATAATAGAATGCAAAACCAAGAACGTCACACTAAAGTACACGTATGCTGAAAGAACGGTCATCCATTGGAAACACTCGTTCTCAAAGGAATATATGATAATGTATATAATGTGTGTGTGTACTGTGTGGGGAGTTTTTTCTCTTTTTTTTTGTGGGATTTGCTTGGTTGCCCGTATTTTCTTTTCTTTCCTACGTTCGATTTTTCTGGCTTTAGACCGTATTATCACGTCTTTTTGCCTCGGCCACGTGCACCGTATGCATTTTTTGATCGCTTTTCTGCTGGTTTCAAAATCTGTGCAACGAAAAAAAAAAAAAGCAAGTTGGTCCAGTTAATTTCCGCTCGGATCTGTCACCTTCAAGGGCAATAAAAAAATGAAAGAAATACGATACCTGGAAAGAGCACAGTAGAGATTCATCAATGTTCATCATGGCGCCTGCATTATCAAATTCACCGCAATAATTGGGGGCCGAAAATAAGGTGACGAGTTGTCGTCTGGCAAAGAACTCGTAGCCATCCTCGACGACCTGATGAGCTCGGCAGATGAGATCCATGTCGTGTTTCTGCAAGAATTTGGTGACAATATCGGCACCAAAGGTAAACGAAACGCCACGATCGTTTTCATTCCATCCCGTGACATCCTTGTCAGGATCGGCCCATAACAAATCACACAGTAATCCTGATATTACCAAAGAATAATGAATCGATCTGAACCATTTTGCCATTCCCTCTTTCCCACCATCTACCTGTGTCGGGTACATCGGTGGGTCGCATGACTCGTCTAATTTGCTCCATATTTTGCAGATCCGGTGACAGACCACCATGCATACAAAAGATTTTTTCATCGATGATGGCAGCGATAGGCAAGCAATTGAAACAGTCGGTGAATGTCTTCCACAATTTGATATTGTATCGTCGTTTGCCTAGAACACGGAAGCGTCGAAACGGTCCATCAGCGTCAGCGGAATCTCCCCCTCCCCCCTTTTTTCGACAACGTGGAGCGCGTTACTTACATTCATCATAAAAACCGTAGATGCGATTGATGCTGGCACATTCGTGATTTCCTCTCAAGATGAAAAAGTTTTCAGGATATTTGATCTTGTAAGCCAATAGCAAGCAAATCGTTTCCAGCGACTGCTTCCCCCGGTCGACATAATCCCCCAGGAACAAATAGTTGGATTCCGGTGGGAACCCGCCGTACTCGAACAATCGTAACAAATCATAATATTGACCGTGAATATCACCTAGAACAACAGATCCAACGTCACGAGGATGAATTTAGTTTCCTTTTTCTTTCATTATTTCTTTCTTTCTTTCTTTGGTTCGACATGGAAGAGAGAAGATGAGGTAATCTTACCGCACACTTTCAAAGGTGCTTCTAGATCGAGCAAGATGGGTTGGCTGTTGAAGATCTCTCGTGCAGTGACACACAGATATCGAATTTCGCCTTCGGACAACTGCACTTGCTTCCCAGGTCGACTGCCACGTACTACAAGACGCCAATGTGAAGGTAACAAAAAATGTCAGTTTGGATGATGATATTAGGGATAGCGGTGACGGGTTGCAACAAGTGCATTACAGGATAGATGACAAAAGTTATACCTTCCAACAACTTGTTGATGATGGTGTCAACGTCAATAGTATCGGTAATATCGTTCATATTTCTATGATGAACGTTAGCATGGATGTGAATGGTCGTGCATCAAACCGCCTTCTTTGCAGAAGTCATCTTGAAAGGTACGTGATTTTTTTATGATTATTTACGTTTGAGAAAAATCAAAAGGTGGGGCAATTGAGATTGCAGGGTTGAGTAGAAAAGTGGACAAGAGTGAAAAAGTAGAACGTAAAGCGATGGAATATGAATCGATTCGCAAAGGAGGCCGACGAGACAGTGAAAAAAAAAAAAAAAAATAAGACCGAGAAAAGGAGAACGATCGTACGCTGCCAGGGGGAAAATGTTCAAGCTGAATTTGCGCTTTTTTTTTTGTTGCTCGCGGGTGTGCTGAATAGGTCTGAGTTTTTTTTTTTTTTTGGTATTATTCGACGTGCACCGCGGGGCCCCAACCTCAACGTGCGGCGCGTGACATCACCTACGTCGTCTACAATAGAAACACACCTGTTTTCCACCTAGTATGTCTCTAAAAGAGCCGGACACATTCATATCGTATATTTACAGAGTCTTTATTTAATCAGTATCGATAAAAGCTTTATTTATATCATAGCAGCAAACTGGGAGATTATCAAAGCTTCGTCTTCGGGTGCAAGCGACTGATACTTCTTCCACTTCTTCCAATAGGACCACATAGTCAAATTTATTCAAACCACTATGCGTTCTAGACGTTGCAACATGGAGAGCGAGAAATCCAAACAAGCAAACGACCCCAGCAACTCGGAGAGTTTGTAAATATACGGAAAAAGGATCATGCGATATTCTCAGATATGCCATATTCGTACCAGTGAGGCTGTCAATCAATGAATGGACGATATTGGGATTCCTGCCACCAGCTGCAATTTTGAGCTGGCTTTTGGTGGCAAACTGAAATTGTTTAGTAGGCAAAATCCAGTCGACCCGGGTCCAAGGATTTACCTCAGTCCATGGTAGCGTCGATCGCTTTGGCCAGGAAGACATCAGCTTCTCGTCACAGTAAGTTGGTCAAAGCGTCACTTTCTTAGCTTGAGTACCTGGGTAAACAGTATAATTCAAAGACTGTAGAGAACGACGGACCTGGATGACAGGATGGCGGAATGACGTGATGGCGGAATGACGTGATGACGGGATAACATCATGTTAGATGGTGCCTTTGTTATATGGTGGGTTGGATGTTCGAAATGTATTGATGGCGGTGGCCACGGACCAAGTCAGTCTAAAGTGGTCGTTTACGTATGCATAGAGGGAAACGATGGGATCACGAGGCCCCAAAAAAGGCCCAGTCATGATTTCAAAAGCACATGATCCAATAATTTTTTTGGTGCAGACGAAAAAAATGCAAGTGATTCCTTTTTTCAATTTTCAAACCGTCTCAGCGATGACAACATAAACTACCTCATTTATTTGATATCGCTCTCCCTTTTTCTTGCTTTTTATATCTTTTTTTTATATTTTTTATATTTTTCCCCATTTTCCCGATCAGACCGTTTTCTTTGATCTTTTTTCCTATCTAACCGCATTCCCAGCTCCATATCAACCGTCTTTATTCTTACCATTGCGTGGTATCCTCCTGATCATGAACGATACGCAAGTCAATAACATACAAGGTAAGGAACCAGTAAACGATCCGGGGTGTGTCGGCGATCCAATTACGTATAACCTTGCATTAGGTTCATTGCATTCAATCGATGCTCCTGAGAAACATTCACCCAACGCTCGTCTCCATTCACATGACGATTTCGTGTATATAACTAATAACGCCAGGGAAGCGTCTCCTATCAAGGACGACAAACCCAATGTTATTGAAGAATCGACTAGAATGCCCATGTTATCCACTGATCTACCGTGCGTTTTTTTCCCCACGGACCAAGCGGACGCACCTGAAACACCACGACCTGCAGCATTGTCATTACATCCATCAACCTGGCGTGCCTTTCAATCTTTTACGCACGCTTTTCGCCCATCGTCTATGCCCGTTCCCGCTTCTTCACCTTTCACTGTCATGTACATGGGATGCCGTCCTTCAGCTATCGCTATCCAGCAAATCCGGCAAAAGCTCGCGGAAACATTGGTGGCGCATAAAAGTGCTGCCTTCAACCAGAATCCCAAAGAGTTTCATCAGCACTTGTACAACGTTCACATCACCGACCAAGCTAAAATTCAGGTGCTGCAAGATCTCGGACTCTCTTTTGCTGAACTTGATTTCACCTGGTTCTATTTGCACTTCTCAGCCAACAACCATCTATCCGACTCCAAAGTACTCATTCAACCTCACGATATCCACCATGCAATCGACACCCATCTCTCGCAACGCTACGGTTCGTCCGCCCTCTCCCAGAACCTGTCCACATCATCGTCATTCCCCCAGCCCATTCACCTCGCCATTTATTTTTATCACCCATGCACCACCGGGCTAAGAGAAACGCTCCGCCGTGATATGCAAGTATTATCACGCCTCGCATCTTACCATATTCCTGTGCTGCCATTGTTGAATATCGACGAAACAGGATTGTCTATCGATAATGAAACTGCACAGCATCAACTCGCAACCCTATTGAATGAATTCAAAATTCCCTGTGTGCCTCTTACCGATGTGTCTCCCGAAGAATACCCTTGTTTCGTCGGCAGTATGCCCGATAACCCCGCCACTGATATTTTACGCATTGATCAGTTCACCGCCATTGACGGCCAGAATTTATCTCGCATTCTCCATCATGCGCAGGATATGCAACTTGAGCACGCAAACCATACGAGAAGGAAAAAGTACAACTGGATCATCGCTTCGGTGGTCTTATTGCTGTGTATGGTATCAGCGACGCTCGGATGGATGTCTACTTCCAGTGGAAAAGAAAACGAGCCAGTCACCGTCTACTTTACAGAGCACTCACTTGGTAGTGACACTGTTCAACGGCGTATATATGTTCAGTTGGACCCTATGAACGACGACCACCCGTACCCATTGACACTGTATTTGACAATGGAAATCTTTACCGCAAGCTTTGGTGCGTATCCAATGGATTTCGTAGGAAATGGAACTTACTCGGTCGATGTTCCGTCACCTTGTCACTACACAATGGACCACGATCTAACAGCGAGCATCCGTACACCAGCTGACGTTGCCATTGAACTCCATGCTAACCGATTTACCTTGAACAAGACTTTGTGTCTCTCTAAAAACGCAACACAACCACCACCGGTGAATCCATCCTCGAGTTCGATGTCATCTTCTCGTCCCCCCAAGAGTGTTACGGTCTATGGCGCCAATGTATTCCATCAGTATGTGGAGCCATGGACCAAAAAGCTCGTACGACTTTTTCATTCAGTGAGTCAGGCCTTGTTTGGGTTATGGTCGCATTGATTATTCTGAAGGATCCCCTCGTATTTGCTACATTGCTACTATCGCTCACCTTATTTTTGGATTTCTTGTTCAGCATCACTTCTTTTAACGTCAGTTCCAACCCCCCCCCCCCAAAAAAAAAAGAAATCAGGGCATAATTCTATGCATCCATTGTAAATAAGCACAAATATTGCTTTCTCCTTTGCTGAAATACAGCGCAGATGGAAAAACGGTTTCCCCCATCAACCCATGTAACTTTACAGCACCGTATCGCTTAAAAAAGAGGAAACAAAGCGAAATAAACTTTCTTTTACCTGCTTCGTAATTAAAATGACAGGACCATCTTGGAAAATGGACAATGGAAAAAAAGGGTGCCTGAAAAAGAAACTACATGCAGGAATACGGATGCGGGACCTTGCCAGAATAGACAGGTAGATGGGCGTGAGTGATGGTTACCCCTATTGACGAATAGTCTCCATATACCGGATACCAGATTTGATGGAAGAAAAGTAAAACTGATAGCCAGGCGATTTGAATGGGATCCAGTGGGAGCGATGCGTGATAAAATAGCGTCAAATCTTGGTGGGCTATATTTTGCAGGTCACCCGACCTGTCTGTTCTGATTTGCTGAAAAGCGGACTTAATGTCGGGGATGAGATCAACCCCAGTGAGAAATGAAAAAAAAAGGTACATTCTTTATGCTGTGCGTATTGACGTTTTCAGGGATACATTGCAGTGAGCCAATAATAGATTCACATCTTGTAATTGTCCCCTGTGACGGACATCCTATGGATATGGGCACGTATCAAAAAAAGTTCCTTGTTGCTTGCAGAATGACTTTTTCTGTAACAAGGTTCATACAATAGCTCGTTGTCATTCCTTTTTTTTTTTTCTTTTTTTGCTTAATGGCCGAATCAAGATCTTTTTTTTTTTTTTTTTTTTTTTTTTGAACGTACCGTGCATACTTGACGCAAATTGACGCTTATGCGTAATTGAAAGATAAATCAGAGCTCAAACTTAAAATTCGTGTCCAATGATCCATGAAGATATGGTCGCCAATCTCCGGTCCTGACACACCGGGTCAAACATACATCGACAAAGCTACAGCGAACTCTGCACAATAAGCTAGGCGATCAGGATCAGGAGGGATCATTGTCATTGCTCCATGGCAAGTAAATGTTAGCGACATTGGCATGGCAGGGCCATTTTTTGAGGCATTATATTCACTGTATACAATGAAATCATTTGAGTATGTAAATTGGGCTCCCACGACGTGTTTATTCAAAGATAAAGCACTACGTGTTCCCGTCCGATAAATCAAAGATAAGTTTCCAAGGCATTTGAATCAACGAAAGAAGGCGCCCTTAGACAGTTTATCCGTATTGTTGTTACAAAACACTGTATCAATCTACTCTGAACGATCGGTTTGCTTGACTTTTTCTTACATCTTACTATGGTGATCACGTAAAAAAAGTGAAAAGGATTCAAAAGCCCGCTCGTACTTTATTTCGCTCCTTAAGCAGAGGCTATAAACAGTTACTGCGTATTTTTCCAAAGCCGACCTTTTTCCACCACAATTTGCTCTCTTTTTATTTTATTTTTGTTTTTTCTTTCTCCTTCACTTTTTTTTTCCTTATTAAATCGTAAGGTTATCTTGTTCTTCCCCTTCCTCTCTTTTTTTTTTTTTCTTTATCCTTTCCTCTTTTTATTATATTTCTAGTCATTTTTATTGTTATTTCTTTTTTATATATTTTTTCTTATCCTCCAAATACTTCAATCCTTCTTTTTTGGTTCATCTATATTTTTTTTTCCCTCGCATGATGGCAGAATTAGTTCAGGAACAGAAACCTAATTCGACAACAACGGCAGTGAACGATGGGCAGTCGTCGACTGCTTCCACCACACCTGTACGGAAACGGACTCGCGCCACTGCCGATCAATTAGCAGTGCTGGAAGATACGTTTGCAGTGAACGTGAGCCCCAACAGTAAATTACGTAAACAGCTATCAGAAAAGTTGCAGATGAGTGAAAGATCCATACAAATCTGGTTTCAAAACCGACGAGCCAAGGTGAAACATATGCAGAAGCGAGCACAAATGCAAATGCATCAAGCATCGATACGAGCACAAATGTACTATTATCAACAACAACAGCAGCAGCATCAACACCCAAGGCCACATTCACACCAGCAGCAACGACAATATTTTCAGCATCTGTCTGCCACAGTGCCTCCGCCTCCACCACCACAATCGAAGCTGCCACTTATGCCGTGTAACCCGTATTCGATGCTTTACACAAATACAGCCAGCCATATGGCCATTTCTCGTGCTCAAAGTGTCGATGCGATTCAACCTGTTCCCAATGTGTATGTCACCCCACCACCAGGTGTGTGGCCCACCCCTTCCACCATGATGCGCCAGAGTATGCCGCCGCACCAGCTTAAAGATGTGCACCTGGATTTTCCCGCTTATATCCATGGACCCATGTCGCCATCGCCCAGTCCTCACCCGAATACCATGACAGTGACACCCTCAACGATACCCACTCTTGTCTCTGTACCGGATGCAGGTCCTACCGCCATGCTCACCACTCAGACCTCCGTATCAACACCGCCCCCGGGAACTGTCATGTGGCCCACAGCTTGTGAGTAATTGGAAAATTTTTGGCTGTTTGGCTTTTTCTTGTGCAACGATTCCGGAGGATATTAACCTATTTTTTATTTTTTTGTGTGTCGCCAGCTGCAGTGCAACCTAGCAACTCCGCCCCTGCATCAACGATCGACCCTTCTAATCTTATGATGACACCTCCCAGTAATGACAACGATCTACACTTGAGCGTGACCACGCTCACGATCGGTACCTGGCATCGTTTGAAAATGTCCAATTCGGATCTGCTGTGCTTGTTCAACCCAGCCCAACGAGTGCTTGCTTGGCATGTCGTCGATAGTGGTTGTCACTTTAAAATAGAGATCGCCTTGGACGCCGTCGTGAGCATCCAGTACACCGCCTGCGATGTATTGGGCGAAGTGCATATTGATCTCAGTGAATCGCCTCAGTTTTTCATGCAGTCACAAGAAGATCCATCCACGGACTCACAGTGGATTCAGTGCAGTGATTTTACCGAGGGGAAACAGGCCTCCCACCTGTATCGTCACACCGTTCAAGGCTTGGCCCACCAGATCAAACAGGAGTTGACAGCGTGGACAACCCATCATGAAGAGATGAGACTTCTTGTACATTTTGTCGAATCCGAGCCCGACTCTACTTTTGCTGATCCTTCTTCGTCTATTACTACTACCTTGATGCTTCCCACCGGTGACATGTCATACTCTTCGCCATCCCATCCTTCGTTCCTCCCGTCCTCGCACATTTCCGCTGTATCCTGTTCTTTTTCCCCCGCTCCTCCTTCTCTGTCTTCCATTCCGACCGAAACGTTAACCTACGTTGACCCTGCCAATCTGAGCTACAGTACCACCTCCGACCTGCCATCGACGCTTTCCTCTTGCGACTATCTTTACAGTGCTTCTAACAAGCAATGTCACACCCAGTCAGAGTTGATGCCGCTGGCCAATTAAAAAATTGTTTGTTGTTTGGACAGTTGAACTTGACGTTGTAGGCCAATCAAAATCAATCTTACGTTTTTAGAAATGAAAAAAGTCGTATTTTATAAAAAATGTTGCTTGCCTGGAAATCATTGCGACGGTTTTCTTGGCACTCAAAGACTAATATCGACGCAGACACAGTAGTTTATATGAGAGATGGATTTAAAAAGCGTACTCACTGGAAACGATGGTCATGAACCAATATACTTCTACAACACACTGCCTTGGTCCACTACTCCACGACGTGTTTAGGCAACTGTGTCTCATATTAGCAATTTCACTTTTGTGACAATGGGCGGGTTTCGAAACCTCTATTTATTCCCAGCAGAACGTCTGTCCAGTTGAGCGGTCGCAATGAAGGTTGCGAACGGCCCTTGGTTTAAGAATCTTTCCCCAACACAAATAATGTCATGTGCGTGCATTAAAAGCCTTCCTTGTCGTTTTGTACAGCGCTCGAAACAAACGAGCTATCATAAGGAGTGGAGTTAATTTAAATGTCGAATCACGTGATGAATTCATTGTTGGCGTTTTGACAGCCATTGAATTGCTTGATTCTGGGTTTTATTCGAAGACCAGTGTGCGAATAAGGGCATCATGGACGACGCCGAGTATATGGATATCGATGGGCCTGACTTCATCAACGAAGTCAACCAAGAAATCGCCAGTTATCGTGCTGAACAGCGTGGTACACTGGCGGACGAACATCGTTTTTCCAATGCTCAGTCGTTGGAAGCAGACCAAGCTATTCACCAGTACTATCAGTACTACGCTACGCAATGTAAGCATGAATTACGACCGCCAATGACAGTTGACCCATTTTAATATTCATTTCTCGGCAGCATGGACACCTGAATCGTACAGTCATGTCGTGGTATTGGATACCAATTTCTTAATTTCGCATTTGGGTTTCTTAAAGGTGGTTCTCGACCTTGCTGATCAATATCCTGATCGACTCGTACTGGTGGTCCCGTGGGTCGTAGTCACCGAGCTTGACGGTCTCAAGGTAAATAGGAACGTCACTGTTTTCTTACCAAGCATAAACTTGCTCGTACTGAGCTCATTCGCTGCTGCCATGTAGGGCCATTATAAACCTCAGCGCAGTAAAGGCGTGGATATCGGCAATTTGGGCGACCTTGCTCGGAAAGCCATGCGATTTCTCGAATCCACTCTGCGTGATAAGCACAAAGGACTGCGAGGACAAAAAAAATTCGAAATCTACGACGCCACAGCAGATCTGGTAACGTAGCACGAGAGACTCACTGAGCAGACAGAACCCAGTACTCATTGATGGCCATTTGACTTCTTTAATAGATCTTGGGAGATGACAAGATTCTTGATTGTTGTATGTATTTTCAAGAATGTTTAAACAAACAAGTCACTCTTTTTACAAACGATCGTAATCTGGCTATCAAGGCTATGATCCATCACATTTCAGCATTATCCGCTGAATCCAAACCGCGCATGGCTCAATTCCTCAACAGCATCACTAATATGACATCGATTCACTCCCCGAAACCACCCAAGGTAAGTCATTGTAACGAGGAGGACACGCATGGATCTGGAAACTAGAGACCTAAAGAATGGCTAGTTCCTTCCTCGTCAACTTCCGCCGCCTGCATTGATCTCGGAAAGAGCTGCCCGATCGGTTCCCCAAATGGCACAGGTACTCATAGCCACGGTGCACAAAACTTGCTAATTTACTGTGCCGCCATACTTATGAACTGTATAACTAGACGATGGAATTAGATCCCTATGCGATACCATCGTATTCGGCTCCGAATACGTCAACAGATTCAGATTTCGACATGGATATTGACGATGAGTATGTACCACCCGTGAAACCTCCCACCCAACCCAAACCCAAACCTAAACCTAAACCGAAATCGTCGCCACAATCCTTCACCGATCTTTGGGCGTCCGTTCACGCGCCCCCTAACTACCGCACCGCTTTCCGTACAGCACGAGATTCATATTCGGAACCCTTGGACAGTGAATACGCAAGTTACTTGGGATCCCAATCCGAATTAAGAGCACCAACGAAAGAATATCAACCACCGGATCCATCCGCATGGTCTAGCAAACCAAAAGATCCAATAGGCAAAATCATGGATCGATCCATATGGTCCTCGAAATATGCCCCTCATTCATGAATTCCCCTCTCTCCCGATTTATGCTCGTCATTTCTCATACCTATTCACAATCCATTTGTCCGTAATTTTATTGATTTCCCATTGTGCCATCCAGTCGGATTCTTTCATAACCACAGCTATGTATTGAACTTGTGTATCTTTCTCCGATAATACCCTTCCCCTGGAAATGTATGTTAGTCGTCATGTATTGCTTTTAGCGCAACTTATAATTTATAAATGGCATGGCAAGAAGGTCTGATCTAATTCACTGTAACTTGTCGACAAGTGAGCAAACGGTTTGGAAAAAAGAGTTGGTTTGAAGGACTGCATCGCTAAAAGCCGATGCAAGTTGTGAAGGAGCATGATTGAGTTTGGGTCATAACGAGAGGATCTTCCGAAGCGACTTCCAAGGTATCATATAGGGTCGGGCTGACTGCTTCTGCCATTTCTCGTAGTTTCTCTCTCTACAAACAACGACGTGTGAGAAAAAATGTCAGCGACATGTCAGGAACCCCACGTTGCTAATCAAAACTTACCTCTGCTACCATCCATGGATGTGACTAACACGGTCAACAAGAACAAAATGAGTTTCTTTTAATTGAAAGGATGGGATCTTTCAGCTGAACTTCCTGTGGACTTACTTTTGCATATTTTACTGTGGCGCGTTCTTTGGGATTCACTTTCAATAGTCGTTCCACTAGATCGATAGCTATTTATCATTCAAGGTTAGATCACAAATTGTGCGGAAAGATCCAAGCTGCAAACTAGATATTACCATAGGGTGAGATATCTTCCCACGGTTCGACAGGGAAATCATAAATTCCGTTTTTGATCTGATCTCGCAGTGAAATGGAAGGATTTTCCTCTGATACAACCTGTTATTATCCACTGTTTCTTTGGGTGATGGTAAAAGCGCTTACCATTAAAAGGCGGATAGCCACACAAACAGATGTAAAACATCACACCCAAACTCCACATGTCACACTCTTTACCGTAAGCTCGGATGCTGTTTGGATTCAACACTTCCGGAGCCACTGAGATGATAAAGAACCATCAATCATCGTGAGCAAAAAAAAAAAAAAAAAAAAAAAAAAAAACCATATTGTGATGGATATTCAAAAACTTACCATAGTTGGGGGTTCCACATTGACTAAAGAATCGCTGTCCTTGCCTTTCAAGTTTGGCCAATCCGAAATCAGTGATTTTGATGTGAAGTGTCTCCTTATCCACCAGCAGAACTAAGAGACGATTAATTTTTTTGTCCATGCCAGTGAAGACATTCATAAGAATTACCATTTTCGGGTTTCAGATCTCGATGCGCAATGCTTCTGTCATGTAAAAACTAGAAAGTAGTATTTTAATATGGCGGCAATTACACGCGATACAACGGTTACTCTAAATTACCTTGATGGCCGATAGAAGTTGCCAAGTTACAAATCGTGTTTCCGGTTCGGTCAGCATTTGGCGTTCTGTAACATAGTCAAATAATTCTCCCCCTTCTACACTGCATTCCCATAACCATCATCAGCATCATCATTCATAAGTTTTATCTGTGTATGCATTTTAGAATTTCAACCCCACTTACAGCTCAAGCACCATATAGATATGTTTGGGTTCGTGGAATACTTTTTCAATTTGAATGACACAGGGCTGCAGAGACGAAATTAGCAAAACGTCTGAGTGATCCGTCTGAATCACTTACGTGAGGTTCGAGGGACATTAATATACTGATTTCTTGGAGAATGGAATGGAGCAGTTTCCTGCCGGAGTTGAATCGGCTCTTGGAGATTCTCTTGACGGCCACACATTTCCCGGTATTCCTTTCCTGAGCATGAAAAACAGTGGCAAAATAACCTTCACCAAGCTTCTTATCCGCTACATAACTGTCATCAAATGACTTTGTAACCAATCAATAAACATGCAACCATTTTATCCATCAACAACGCCTCAGATGTAACAATAAAAATACGTACGCCCACTTCAAACACCGGGGGAAATAGAATGCGGTAAACTAAGTGAAGAAAAGACCATCATTGTGTTAGCAAGTTGTACCACCAAGTCAGGAAAAATAATTTTTACGTACACATGAGCTTCGAATCATCCTCCGCTAAACCATCGCGATGGTACAGCTGTATCCGATCGCCGGCTTTGAGCATGACCCGTCGATCAGCCCCCACAGGCGATCCATTGACAAAAGTACCGTTCGAACTATAGTAAATCTCCATAAGTACCAGTGTCTCAGAAACATCCATATCACCGAAATCAACGTCTACACTTGCCTCATATCTTTAAGGTAGATGCAAATGCCTTTGCCGTGACTACTATTTCCCGTTTCCTTATTTGATTCATCGGATCAGAAAAAGGAACGACAACAATTCAGATGGTACATACCATATAAATAACGCAGTGACGTTTACTAATTTCCTGGGATTCGAATCTGAATGAAAAAAGAAAATCAAGTCGGAAGGTGGTTTGTATAAGTTCAAAAAGCGATTCCTTACCGAATATCTGCATCCTTGCAACGGCCAAAGAGATAACCGGTACGACCTGTTTTGGCACATCCTTGCCTGTCAAGATACATTGAATCGTACTTTGGATTAAGGCTCTGCAAAAACCCCCAGGCTGACTTTTCTTTGTCCCATTCAGGCATATCGAGTTTGTGCATTTTGACTGTGTTGCCTTCGCGAACAGGAATGACATTGGCTGACATGTCATCCGCAATCTTCTCACGACTTCCAGACAGCTTTTCTGCGGATGTTATTCGAGAGGCAGATCCATGTTCTTGGATTTTGGAAGCTTTTCGTCCATGCTGCTTTTCCGTTAAAATCGTTCGCTTTCGGCTCAAAGCAAGCTCGTCGTGCGATTCGTGTTGTGCGTCGTAACCAAGAGTATCGGTCGACGTGGTAGTCAAGCACTTGCGCACTCTTGTTTCATCCGTTGCATTGGTTATAAAGTCACTCATGACCATACGTTGGCTGCGGAGAGAAATTAAAAAGAAAGTTGCAGTGACAGGGCAGAAAGGGGAGTCGCGGTGTCTTTTTTTTTTTTTTTTTTTTGCCCAGCTCCTCCACGCGCTGCTTGTTGACAGTCACATTTTCGCGTTCTTTTGTTTGTCTGTAGGTACAACTATGGTATTAGCCTTCCTGTGATACATAACATCAGAGCAGTAGATTTAGTGCCAAGAATGGTTTACTGGTTAATTGCTACGATGTCGATTGATGGTATATGAAAGCCTGTACAACTGATATGAAGCGGTGAGTGTGTCAAGATAACCCCGCGTTCCGCAGCATATCAGCAAAAACGCCTGGCGTTTGTAACTCCGTCCATGATTTTCCACTGCGATCTCACTGATAACTGTTTTTCTTCCCTCTGCATTTTCCACCAATGTTTTTTTTCTTCATTTCTACATTTTCCCCTTGATACCCCTATCCATAATTGCCATTCTTTGTAGTAGTATTGATTAATGACATCCTCCGACATTTATATGCTGCTATATTCCTGCTCCAGTACTGCTGTCATACCAAGCTGCTGAATGCACCATGGAAATAGATTCATTACAACTCTCCCATGTTTCGTTGCTACCCGCCAAAATAACGACGGGCCGAGAATACCTTCAAAGCTATGGCAAATATATATCTATATAATTAAAATCTTTGAAAAATTAGCGATTTTGTAAATCACATGATCTACACTAAGTTATCAAGACCTGTTAAACCTTTTTTTCATCTTTCAACCATGCCTCGCTGCCCACTTTCACGATAATAGGCGAAACAATCAGCAGCAAGATGCCGTTTGCGCCAGTTGTGGTTAAACAGAGCATCGTCGCCGTTCACATAAAATGTGAGTGGAGCTCTTTTTTGAAGAAAGGTGATTGACGATACGACGATCTGGTGTTTTGTAGCATCATTTAATTTGTGTTATCTGTCAGTTATACTGTATATGCCCTTTCATTCTCTTCAGTAATCGAATGATACATGTGTGGTATATCCACTACTTGTCGTATTATCCATCCTAGATTGGTGTTCCCAAACAGGAAAGATCGGGATCTAGACGTGTTTCCATTCTGAGTGAGCTTCTCCATAACACCGATTGAGCCTCTTCATCCATAACTTGGATCTATCGCCGAGATCAATTCATACAGGTAAAGCTGTCACATCACAGCATGTGGATCCTTCCTAATACACCTTATAACCGAGGACTGCTCACTGATAATTATTAATTCCGACTTAAGACTAAAGTATAAATAGGCAGATCACATTAATCGAAATAAAGATAATCCAACAGTCTCAAAGGATTCTTATTGTCTCTTTTGTTCTAAATTCTCTCATATATCACATTTTTTCCTTTGAATACTCCTATTCTTTATTCATTTATCATGTCTACCAACAAACTCACCGTCGGACAAGAAGCCCATGAGCTTAGTGCTCAGACCACTGGTTTTACCACCGATCAAGATATTGCTATGGATCCAATCGAGGATTCAGTTGATACTGAGGTGGACCACGACAAACTTCAGGACGAACTCCAGGAGTCTCTCTTGAAACATAAGAAGAATGCTGCACACAGGGTTTTTCAGCTCTTGGCAGATTCCAATCACAGCGAGCAGGAACTTATCAGTGCCCAATATGACATGGATAAAGCCAACACTGCATGGGAAGCCTTCCTCAGGGCGAAGCAAGCGACATGGTACACTCTGGACGTCATTCCTGCCACACAGGTCAAACGAAATATCTCTGCATTGGTCCCCAAGGATCTGCCTTCCTTCCAGGTCAAAGGGGGACCCATCCGCGACTCCAACAAGAAGGTCCATGATTCTGTCAAGGCCTTTATAAGCGCTTTCGAGATCCAACTTCGGGCATACAACTTGATACCCCTGGATGAACACTGGGAACGCCTCTTTGGACTCACCTGCGATGATTCGCAAAGACAATGGTTTTCACGCACCCTGGCTGACAAAGGGTATACCTGGGAACAAGCAACGGCTCGGGTAGAACGTGAATTTGGCAATCCGTTCTACATCTGGCGCAAGAAAGATGAACACCGCCACATGGCCCAAAAGCCCAACGAATCCATCCGTCTTTTCCTTACCCGCTACCAAGAGGTCTCTCTCGAGGCCAATCTCCAACAAAATTCCGAGCTGGTATACAACTTCGTGTGCTCTTTGCAACCGCACATCAAGCAGAAGGCTTGGTCGACACTGACGAACCATTATGGTTTAACTCTCACTGCGGACCTGCACCAAGCGGCACAGTTGATCATGGCTGCCTGCGGAGAAGGAAATACCGACTCGTATCACATCGGTGAACCTTGGAACAATGGCAAGCGCCGTTACACCAATGAAGACGCTGTGGAACATAAGCGCCAAAAGCGAAGCTACGACCGCCACGGCAATTGCCCCATGCACCCCAAAGGCTCGCATGCCAAGGAAGAATGTCACCTTTGGAAGAAGATCATCCAAGAAGCAGCTGCACTATCCAGAAGCTCACAGGTTGTTCAACCTACGAGTGGAAACTTGTGCCGGTATTGCAAGAAGGCTGAGTACACCCGGGACCATAGGTGCCAAGAATACCGGGATGCCAAGAGTAAGAAGTTCGTAGCCAACAGGGCAGCCAAGACTTTGAGTCTGGTTGACCCAGACACCGAGATGCTTCCAGTCAACCTGGAAAAACTAGATCTTCAGACACAAGGTAAACACCTAAAACTCACTCATACAGACAAAAACACTGACTCAATCTTCGTACCTATTCTTATACAGAATAACCGTCAGTTAGCCCTGGTGGACACTGGAGCGAATAGTTCGTTTGTGAGTTTTCATCTAGCAAAACAGTTAGACGTATTTTTAAATACAAAAAATAAAACTACTATACATCTCGCATCGTCTAAACAATCTGTACAAAGTTATGGCACAGTTGATCTCCAACTTTCCTACATGGGTAAAACACACATTCATGAGTTTATTGTTATGGATCTTTCATTGAACACTCACGTCAGCATCGGTACAGATCTTATGCCTAAGCTAGGCATAGCTGTTACAGGTATTGCTACTTCCTGGGACGATCAAAACCCTGATACAAAGAGTGATATACCAAATGATACACCTGAACCAAACAATTCCCCCGCAGGTACAAAGGCTGAAAGAGAAAAATTCCTTCAAACCCTTCAACCTGCACTGGCAGCCAATGAGAGTGTACCCAACACCTCCTTTTGCACCGTTCCAGAATCGGTCATTTATCTTGATACACCTGAAGGTGTCACTTCATATCATCGCCAATACCCATTGCCAGTTACATATGAATCCAAAATAAAGGAAGCTGTCAACACATGGCTCGAGAACGGAACTATTGAACAGGCTCCCATTGACACAGCTTGGAATAGTCCGCTTACACTCGCACCTAAGAAGGATATGTTCGGTAATTACACAGATCGTCGTCCTTGCTTAGACCCTCGCCATATTAACAAGCTCCTCAAAGAAGACCGTTATCCTTTACCTCTCATCGGTGATATCTTCCATAAGCTAGGCGGATCGCAAGTGTTCACCACACTGGACCTCAGAACAGCTTTCCATCGCTTCGAGATTTTCGAACCACATCGAATAAAAACAACCTTCACCTTCGACAGGGTTCAATACATGTTTAGAGGTTGCCCATTTGGTCTCAAACCCATCTCCTCAAAGTTTCAACGAGTCATGAACATCGTCTTTAAGGATCTACCGTTCGTAACCACGTTCGTCGACGATATCATCATACACTCTAAAAACTTGAAAGAACACGCAGAACATGTCTGTACAGTCGTTGATAAGTTAACTCGCGTGAATCTCATTCTCAACCCAAAGAAGTGTTACTTTGCACAACGCTCGGTTTATCTCCTTGGTTTTTGCGTCTCCGACAAAGGTATCTCGTTGGACCCACGCAAGGTGAGCAACGTTCAGGAATGGCCAGTACCTCGTACAGGTAAAGACATACAACGTTTCCTTGGCGTCATCAACTATTTCCGGGAGCATATCCCGAACGTCTCGACTTTGACAGCCCCATTGGACAAACTCCGTAATGAAAACACACTCTCAAGTGTATGGACGGAAAAGCACGTCACCACTTTCAACAACTTGAAAAAAGTTTTACTCAGGCTTCCTATTTTGTGCTACCCAAACCTTAAATACCCCTTTCACGTCGCAACCGACGCATCCAACACAGGGATAGGCGCTGTACTATATCAAGTCATCAACAACGAGACAAGACACATTGGTTTTATGGCCCGCGCACTTTCTAAAAGTGAACGAAACTATTCCACCACCAAGCGAGAACTACTCGCTGTGGTTTACGCTCTTACAAAATTTCATAAATACTTGTGGGGCAACCAGTTTACACTATACACAGACCACAAAGCACTGACCTATCTCCATACACAAAAAGTGGCTAACGCTATGATGGTCAATTGGCTCGATACTATCTTACAGTACGACTTCGAGGTAGTGCACCTTCCCGGTCTCGACAATATCTTACCCGATCATCTATCACGCCTTTTCACCCCAGTAAAAATGCTGGAAGGGGGTATCGCTTCCGCAACTAACACACAAGGTAATAAAGAACCCTACAACAGAGCTGTGGTAGCTGAATCAGACGACATGATCACACCACCAGAAGAGCAACGACAAGAGTTATTAGACAAAGCACATGCTTTTGGACACTTCGGAGCTACCGCTATGGTCAATGCACTCCACAACGACGGGTTAAAATGGACAAACATGCATCAGGACGCTGTAAAAACAGTACAAAAATGCAGTGAATGCCAGAAGCATAACATTTCACAAAAGGGATATCATCCGTTACGACCTATACATGCCTACCTGCCAGGCGACCACTGGGCAATTGACCTTGCCGGTCCTTTTACAACATCTCATAAAGGTAACAACTACCTATTGGTTATGTTGGACATTTGCACACGTTTCTGTGTTATCCGTGCTATACCTGACAAATCCCAGGACACAGTCGTTTCCACTATCATCAATGTCTTCTGTGATTACGGATTTCCTCGTTATCTACAATCTGACAACGGAAAAGAGTTCGTCAACACTCTCATGAAACGTCTCGCAGAATCCTCCGGATTTGAACATCGACTTGCGTCTCCTTATCACCCAAGAGCCAACGGAGTGGCCGAACGCTGGGTACAGACATCGGTAAATGCATTACGAAAATGTATTAAAGGCGCAGTCAGAGATTGGGACCTTTATGTACCGAGCATCCAGTTAGCGTTGAACGCAAAGGTTACTGCTAGAACAGGATCATCGCCATATACGCTCATGTTTGCCAGAGCAATGAATGGTTTCAAGAACTACACAAATGATCCTCAATTGCAACCAATGAGCAACAGCGAACTTTTGCAACGCATTGACACCATGGCTGATATTGTATTTCCCGCTATCGCGGAAAGAGCCCAAGCAATCACAAATGCACAAAAGGGCAAATTCAACAACAAGTTCAAAATGGTCAAGTTTCCCGCTGAAAGTCAAGTCATGATCCGAGAACGACAACGCAGCAAGTTGCAGCCTGCTTATCATGGTCCTTATACCATCGTCAGAGAAACCAGAGGAGGTTCATACGTCCTTATGGATGAACAAGGACTTTTGCTCCCCAAAGATTTTCCACCTTCGGCACTCAAGTTAATATCTCAAGACGAGATCATCTCCCTAGAAGAAGTCCAAGAAAGAGGCAAAGAATACTACATTCTAGAAGCCGTCGTCGGACACAAAGAAATCTCTAAGGGTAACTACGCATATAGAGTACGATGGCAAGGTTATGATGAAAAGGATGACACATGGCAAACGCCAGATTCATTCAGTAGTCCGCAACCTATCATGGATTATTGGGAAAGACTTGGTTCTACACCAAATAACAAGACAGTCAGTCAGACACACACAATACGAAACACTCGATCCAAAAAACGTCTGAATGAAAACCAGACACTTACACGACAAACCAAACGCGCGCGAAAATAACAACCCCAAAAGATAAGTGACTATCTGAACGGTTATACACAACCTGGAAGGGGGTAATGTGGTATATCCACTACTTGTCGTATTATCCATCCTAGATTGGTGTTCCCAAACAGGAAAGATCGGGATCTAGACGTGTTTCCATTCTGAGTGAGCTTCTCCATAACACCGATTGAGCCTCTTCATCCATAACTTGGATCTATCGCCGAGATCAATTCATACAGGTAAAGCTGTCACATCACAGCATGTGGATCCTTCCTAATACACCTTATAACCGAGGACTGCTCACTGATAATTATTAATTCCGACTTAAGACTAAAGTATAAATAGGCAGATCACATTAATCGAAATAAAGATAATCCAACAGTCTCAAAGGATTCTTATTGTCTCTTTTGTTCTAAATTCTCTCATATATCACAACATGGAGCAGATATGCTTCGATCTGTGTAGCTCATCATTCATGCATCAGTGAGGTGACTATTGTTTCATCCATGGAAAATCACATATTTTTGTCCGAATTTTTTCTTCTTCTTTAGTTTTGCATCTCTTCTGTTTGCCTGGAAATCCCTCACTATCATTGCATCCATCATCCATCATCCAGACTATGGCGTGTATCTGATCCGGTCGATTCGATTATTATGAAAAAAGGTACCTTTTGTGTGATACGACTATCCGTTTTTCGACAAGAAAAAATTTACCTGTCCTTTTTCTCTATTCTGTCTTTAGCCTTTGGTTTTCTCTCCGGTTTTCTTTTGCCTGGCAAGCCATTCAAGCCATCCATCCCTCCAAAACCTTTCTACTTTGTTCGGGCACCAGATTGTGGCCAAACCGGTTTTTGTCGTCAAAGGCATCGTCGGTGGTGTGACTCTATTTTTCATTGGGAAACGCTGACGCGTCCTCCCCAGGTTCCTCTCATATGGATTGCTGCCCGTGGTATCGCCTTCGATATTTCTTCCCGACCATTTTATTTTGTAGTTGTAGTATGTATTTTGTATTTTATTCGATAGTCTTCTTGCAGTCTTTTCCTCCTTTTTTTTCCCACAGGGTTTTTAGGGGGTTTTTACAGACGCACCTATTGTATTTACTTTTTTTTTTATATTTGTATCCTTTCTTTATTTCGGTCGGGAAGCCCTCGGTATCTGCTGCATCAAACATCAAAGGTAAAATATCTCAACGAAATTTGAATCAACCAAAGAGCTTACTAACTCATTTTTTTTAAATACCCAACATTCCCACACATCTTTGTAGATCTATCATAACCTTGGGCGGGACAGAACGGAGGGGGTCAATAAGTGCTGCTTTGTTCATTAAAAGTGTTTCATGGTATGCCAGAGTATTGACATTAATATACCAAAGTTCCATCAAGAGTCTCGCCCAGGTTATGCCGTATTGCGTTAGGCTTTTTGTCTGACGAATGTCGCTCAAGGCAAGAGTGCGGCATCCAGTAGCAGGTGGCATCCATTGCACAGCGGGTGTACGGCTTGTTAGACATCAAATTATCATTCATTCGAGTGATCCACACCATTTTGATGGCATACATTGACAGTCATATAAAAGTACCGAATCACGAATTATTTGGAGAATGGATCATGCAAGCTGTTGATCCTTGCCACTCTTTCGACTACGCTGAGATAAAAAAAAATAATAGACTGCATGTAACGCATCTGTCAGCTGCAAGTGGGATGATATCATTGTCAAGCCTGCAGCCTCGATGCACGAAATTTAGAATGAACAAAAATTTGCCTACGCCGAACAATCAATGTGTGCTTACATGTATCATCTGAATCGGTGGACTCATCGGGTACTTTATCACCTGGCTTTTTTATGACTTGTTCAGTAAATCCAATTAATACACTAGACTTTCCAGTTATTCTTCCATAGACACACAATAAATGGTCGAAGTACAGGTATCACGTGAAATTGTAAAAAGATCACGTGCCGCACAGGCTTTATGGTGCAGAGAGAAATGAAATGAAAAAAAAAATTTATGGGCCAGAACGCCAGTTTTGTGAATACCCAAAAAGAACAAGAAAGACTTCCAGTGGCAAAAGAGGCATAATGGCATTTCGCTTCAATTGGCCAGAGTTCGATAGCGAATTCTATGATGAGGCCAAATCACAGCTGGAAGCCGCTTTGAACAAAGGAAATAAGCCCAAAAACATTGTTGATCATATCGCCGTGAAAGAGTTGCACATGGGCACACAGGTAAAACAAAAGAGAAAGCACCTTTGCAAGGTGACGGTTCTTTATTGCTTGAGGTTATACTAATGCAACGTATTTAGCCACCTGAACTAGAAATTCTGGAAATTGGTGAATTGTCTACCGACAAATTCCGTGGCATTTTCAAACTGACCTATGCTGGAGATGCGTATATTGTATTGCAGACCAAAGTTCAGGTAAATTTTTGACAAGTGACCTAAAACACATTCTGAACAAAGAAACTCAACGGTTTTTGGGGATTCGTTTGTAGGCTAATCCTATGCACAGTAAACAGTCGGATCTTCCACGGCATTCACGACCCAACATTTTAGCGGCGGATCAGCCGTTGGTGGTGCCCATGTTGCTAAGGATCAGTGATCTTAAACTGCGGGGGATTGTGGTCTTGGTAGTTTCGAAAACAAAGGGCATCACTCTTGTGTTCAAAAACGATCCATTGGAAAATATCCTCATTAGCTCCACGTTTGACAGTGTCACCAGTGTCCGCAACTTTTTACAACGCGAAATCGAAAAACAACTACGTAATTTATTCCAAGAAGATTTACCGGTGATGATTCACAACCTTAGTTTACGACATATTCAAAGCGAACAAGAGAAAGCCAAGAAACAGCAACAGGAAGAACGGCTAAAGGCGGAACGATTACGGCAAATTGAACGCGAGAGACGAGCCGACCATGGCACCATTTCTCCTTCATCACGATCGGTATTCTCGGATCCGGGAAGTCATCGACGATCGGCCATTTACAGTCACCCACCTCTTCCTTCCACGATGCTTCATTCTCCTACATCGTACGACACATTCTCTATGCCTGACCTATCACCCAATTTGCCTGCATCCTTACGATCCCAAACCCTCACTCCTTCCGTGGGCGAGCCCGTGCCTTCCGAAGGATACGGTTACCCATTCATCGACCAAACTTCCTTTTTGCAATGTCTACCGCCTGGAGCGCCTACCACGCTATACCGACCTGCGCATCTGTCGCAAATGTATACCTCATTTAGTGACCTCTACAGTCGCAGTGAGTCTCCGACCACCGTCGACGGTTATTTCGATTCCTCTCTCGCTCAATCTTTCGCTCACAGTTCCCGATCCAGTATTCCCATGACAACGGCCAATCTGTGGACACTCAATCGATTTTACAGTCAGCCATCCATGTCTCAATATGGGACTACGGAATACACACCTGTCGGTGGAATGCATGGATCGTCGGGATGGCCTGCTGAGGCGCAATTCGAGGATAGTCAGTCCGAAATGGATTCATACAACGGGTCGCCGTCGTCGGCGAATTCGGTGGCGGCTGCAGCAGAAACCATGTACGCTTCAGATGATGCGGATGCGCCGTGGTATGTGACGGAAGGGCCTGAATTACCGTCATTACGCAATCACAGTCAACATTTGACGATGCCATTGGATCAGGAAGTGGTGATTGATCCAGTGGAGAATTCCGTGGCGGCCAAACTGGCTCAACTGACCTGCATCAACCGAACCATCTCCCCCTTTGCCCACCACATCGACCATTTCACCTACCGAAGTCTGCCACACACGGTCAAGAAAATTGACGCAAAACCCAGGCACAAAAAAGTACCCAAACGACGTTTCATCCGACTCAACACCAGCGGATCAAGTGTACCCTCCAGCGCACCTTCCAGCGCACCTTCAAGTGTCACCCCAAGCGTACCTCCAAGCGTACCGACTAGTTCTTAACGGAAGTCGTAGATATCAATGTCATTCTCCTTTTGATTCCCTTTGTCATATTTTTCTCAATCTTTTGTTCCATCAATCAATTCATATAGTTTGTACAGTGGTTATTCTTTTCTTGTTTCATTGTAATTATCAACATTATTCTTTTTTGAAGAAAAAAAAAAGATGATGCAAACAAAAAGCCGGGGGAATACGAACCGTGTACAAAAATGGACGGAAAATAAGAAAGCAACAAAGAATGAGAAAAACAGAGAGGATGTGTGAGAAAGGAAAACTAAAAGAAAAAAGGGAGATGAAGCGAGAAACATTGGGATGACAAATAGATAGAACACAGAGAAAGAAAAAAAAAAGGGAAAAGAAGGCAAGCATTATTTTTTTGAAATAGAAATAAGAGTGAAATCAAACAAGCGAAAAACAAAACAAAAAAAAAAAACGACGGATGATAAAATCAAGAACAAAGAAACGGATCAATGGAGGGATGGAGGAAAGATGCAACGAAGGGATGGTTTTTTTTTTCTATCGATGTGAACGCACGGGAAGTTTGTCGGTATAGTTGAGTTGACCGTAACCCAGAATCCACCACCAAATGGCTTCATAGCAGAACACGAATTGACGCATGGTTTGTACCATGCTAAGTCGTTGTTCTCTAAACAAGGCAATGGTTTCCAGTAGCACATCTTTGTGATCGTCGAGATCATGGGAAGATTGCGATATCCGCCGTAAGACCGTATCGATCACACAGAAAGCCCCCGATCGTCCGCATCCCGCTGAACAGTGAACAACCATGGGACCGATATTAGGTTCTTGAGATTCATACAATTGCTGGGCATCATTGGCCGCTTCAATCACTTGCAATGTGCCTAGCGGGTTTTCAGGGACACCAAAGTCCATCCATCCCGTGTAATGCAGCTGAGTCACCATACGTCGTGTGTTGGCTCCTTCATGAGCCAGTACCAATTGTCGAACAATGACAACATCATCCGCATTTTGTTGTTCGCCATTTCGTTTAACTGAGCGAATCGTTTCCGACAACAGAGTGACTGAAAGCTTGCCATACTGTGTAGGCTGGTTCGGTGTGGATGGCCAGTAACGATGGCATTTAATCTGTCAACCATTATATGAATAAATAATCTTCTGGAACAGTGACTAAAACCGGACATGTCTTACCTTGTTCATTTCTTCTTCTTTGGTCAACATCACAAGCACACGCGAATTTTGTTCCCAGATAACTTGCCAAAAATCATTAAATGTAGCTGGCAACGGACCCTGGGTGGAAATATAGCGTCGATATGGTTGATCTAGCCCGTCGGTTTTCATGATTTGCAAGGATGCTTTACTGACGTGGTCAGGAGCATCCGTGGCCGCGCTGTTATTGGGAACATATTGGATATAACTGGCATTGATGTAATCGGTTGGTCCGTGAGGTTGTGCAATCTTGACACGCGTATATTCTGTCAATGCAGAAAAAAAAAGGGGGGGGGAGAGAAAGATGATGCGTTACCAAACTGGGATTGACTTTGGAACGTGAAAGAAAAAATCCATGGCACTTACCGAATGGCCAAATGTTGGTGTAACGGTTCAAGGTGCCCATTTCAATACCCGCCACAATACTGAGGGGGAAATCGGGAGGATTGGTATTTGTATGTTTAGAGTGGAAGAGCATGATATTCTGCAAACGGCGCTGCTCTGTGCGTTCCAGTTTCTAAATAGGCAATAAAAAATGTCAGCTCTTCTCAAACGTTGTACAGGGGTGAAACGGAGCTGTGAGTGAATCATTATATGGCTCACCTCATACATCTCCGCCAACAATTGAGGCCCAGATGAAAACTCAATTGTATTTCGTAGCCATGTGGGTGCCACGTAGACGTTGTCTTTTTCAATATGAGCCCCAGCAACACAACGGGGTTCGGTCTTTTCTGGTTTCACATAGCCGGTCTGTGGATCAGCATTGCAATTTTCCGGCAGATTGATAGGGAACCGTTCGCGAATGGGACCATGCGAAAGTTCCATATTTTGACGAATGTTGGAGAAAAAGGGGTTAAATGCTTGATTATCAAACTGAGGCATCGGCGCTGTGAAAGGACCGAGCGACGATGTAGGAGGTGGCAAGTTGGAAAGTTGGAGTTGCGGTCGACGACGACCTTCTAGCGGATTTTGTGCTTCTCGATGAGGATGAATACTGAACGCTGGAGGTAATGATCGGCCTGCGTCGGCACGATTCGATACAGGTGGACTCGATTCACATTGGGTTGGAAACGCACCCATAAAAGCGTCAAATCCGCCTAACGTGACATAAACAAAAAAGATAAAAAGGTTTAGAAAAAAATATAAAAAGGATAATAAGACGATCTAGAACTTGGTACCGACCTTTGAGAAATTTTAAACTGCCTTGATAACCGGCTTGACTGAATTTGGCACAAAGGAAATTGGCCGCACAATTATCAGGAAGAAATTGTGACCCTTGATCATAAATAATAATATGATCATACTCCTTCCATCGTTTCAATCGATCACGGTCATTGTCTAGGACAATCGCTTCGTACACTTTTTCCAGCGTAAATGTCGGTCGCTTCAAAATCGTATTGGGTACCGCCACATTGATAGCGGTGCGGATTCTAGCGTGGGTATACTGTACAAAGGAACGAACATCGAGAATCAAGATGCGATCGCCATGGCTGGTCATCAGTTCATTTAACCGTTGCGTTTCCATAGCACTCGGTTGTCCGGGCACCGCCTGTTTCCGACGAGCCGCCAAACTCGACCCGACAGCTGCCATGGATAAGACGGGCGGTGGGGTCGGTGACATGTTGTTTTTCTTTTCTCCCACCGGTGTCAACACCGTAGGCTGACTGGCATGACGATGTTGAATGGCATTGAGAAAATCTTGGTGCAAGGCCGGATTGATCGGGGCGGTGTAGTAAGGCGTGGAAGCCGTGTTTGGTTGCTGATCTTCCCCCAGCATGGGTGGCATGTTTAGTGGTGTAAAATAATTTTCATTCGTTTGTCTTCGGTGGGTGGGCGAATCATAGGCAACACTCATGGTATTTTGGAGAAAATGGTAGAAATCAACGAAAGGAGAAGCACTACAAAGAGAAATGCTTACTCAGAAAAGAGGAAAAACGAATCAAACCAACAACAGAGAAAGGAAAAAAAAAAGATATAGAAAAAAACAACAAAAAAGGGATTTACTGTGGGATTAGGCGGTTCATTAAAAAAATCAGTTTCTTTTTTTTTGTTTGGGAAGGGGGTTGTTGACCTTCAATAACTGGTCATTTTTGTGCAACAGATTCGTCATAATTTCCAAAAAAGGTTAATGACGTCTGTCATGGTTACGTGATTTGCAATTTATTCAATTAGAGATGTCGCATTTTAAAAAAAAACGCCGACTCTCGACGATTCGCTTGAGCAGATCCATCACATTACCCCACCGAAGAGAGCCTAAAAAAAGGCCCAACCTCTGTGTCAACTGCTGTGAAACAATTTTGAAGCCATCTTCCTCCTCTGTTCCTATGCTTCGTTTATGAAAATTTTTCAGTCTATTCGCTGCATCTCCAAATCCCGTTATTCCTTTTTTGTAAAAACACACGACTTTTTTTTTCTTCTTCCCCCCATCGCAGAACTTTTTGATCATTCTACGAATCAAAGACAAATAAAAAAAGGCGTCTCGTTTTTTTTTAACAAAAAAAAAAAACTCCCTGAAAGGACAGGCAACAGTTTTTTTTTTTATTGCTCAAAAAGCAACTAAGCATACTCGAGAAAATATCATAAACACATTGTAAAGTTACTATCGGAAATAGAAACAATGACAATAGCATACAAGACAAAACAAAAAACGAAAAATGGAGAAAACCAAAATACAAAGAAAAGCTAGGTTATTGGAGTATGCTGTGACGTTAAACAAGGATTTTAACGAAGACGACGGAAGTTGTCGCGGTTGTTCTTGAAGAACTCGAGAACTTCGGTGGGCTGGCGTTGAAGAGCTTCTTGCAAGTCGTTGGTGGTGATATCAACCTTGTTTTCGTTGGCCAACTGCCACCATTCAATGATGGTTTCGATGCACACCTCGTTCAAGTACTTGCCAAGAGGGAAAGTGTAGGGCTTGTCGCTTTCGCCGGCCAATTCGTGCTGCTGAGGACGTTCCTTGAAACGCTTGTCTTCGCGCATCTTGGTAAGGTATTCCTTGGTCTCGTTGGGCTTGGTTTCACGGTACTGCATTTCGTCGCGGCCAAGACCCTGCGCCATCTGGCGACATAATTCTTCACTGCTGAAGTTTTGCTTGGGAGTGAATTGCCACAACTTGCGTTCACCACTGAAGATGGAGCTCTTGTCGTGACGCTTGCTGAGTTGAACCATGGCACCAACGACGTCATGGAGATCGATACAACCCCACTTGGCGTTCTTCTTGACGGGCAATGGGAGAACGTTCTGTCCCTCAACCATGGGAGCCAAGTAGTAGAAGATCTGGGTATACACGGGGTGGCGGACGATCCAGTGCTTCTCCTTGAACTGCTCTTCGATCTTTTGTTCAAGTTGACGGTATTGCTTCATGTGCTTCCATTCACCAGTACCCTGTTCCTGGCATCGGTCAACACCAATGCTAAAGGGGGGATAAAAAAAAAAAGGTTACAGTTAAATTAAGGGTGAAAAAGCGCAAAAAAAAATCATTCGATTGATACATACAGGGAGAACATGCCAACATATTCTACGTTTTGCTGCTTGCAGGCCTTGATGACGTTTTCACCCTCTTGGACACGCTTGTGGGAGAACTCAGGGATGATCATACAGAGCTTGACATTGTGGAACACTTCGCGGATTTCATTTTCGTTTTCATAGTTGACCTCCTTGATTTCGGCACCCATTTCCTTGAGCTTGTCCAAACCCTGACGGTTGCGGCACAAAAGACGGAGCTTGAACTGTTCATGGCTTTCCTGGCGCTTCATGTTTTCGAGGAAACACCATGACAAGGCATAGCCGAGGAGGGAGTCGACGTTGGTGATAACACAGACTTGCTGAGAAGACATTGTTTGTAAAATTGAGAGTAGAAGAGAAGATTGAATTGAATTGTTTTCCGTCGACCCAATTCTTCGCTCCTTATATATCTGAATCTTCCACCTTCAATCCATCATTCACCTGTATTTCATTCAAGTTCTCAACAAGATCTTGTTGTTTCGTTGATGGGAAAAAAAAATTAAAATAAACCAGCTCATCCTTCCCGATCCAACAAGTTCCCCAAAAAGGAAAGACCATGACGGTCAAACTCCGCGCTTGAAATTTATTTTTTTTCATTGAACATAAAGCACTGTGTCAACCACTGAACTTTCTTCAAGCATTCAACCTGTCATGTCCTTGTTTTCCAAAGTCGTGCGCGCCATGCGCAAAATTGCTCCTTTAGAACTGGCAGACCAGTCGTGGGATAATGTTGGTATTTTGGTGGGTACGTTTCATTGCCATGGGGAAAACCGAGCCATTTCCAAGGAAGAAAAAAAGACCTGGCTTTCACATGTCGCGCTTTGTCAACATGCTATTGACCACCATTTGTTTTTTCTATTATTATTATTATTACTATTACTCAAACTCGTTTTTTGTATATCTTTAGAACCGCCTTATCCTTCCCCAAAATTCAACAAAGTATTTCTCACGATCGATTTGACACCCCAAGTTTTGGAAGAAGCACTTTCCGATCCTAAAGTACGCGAGCATGCTTTGTGAATTAATTTTTATTATGCATGCATTTCAGTGATTAATGACGGTTGATACTAGGTGGGGACCATTGTGTCGTATCATCCACCCATTTTTAGAGCCATGAAACGCTTGACGCAATCGGATGTCAAACAAGATATTGTGATGAAAGCAATTGCTCGTGGGGTCGGCATCTATTCGCCTCATACCGCCTGTGACAACTGTGTAAACGGAGGTAAGATTGATTTGTTTGATATTGATCTCAGATCGTGGGAGCAAAAAAAAAGAAGATAAAAATAACAGGTTTACTTTTTCTAATGCGCTTCTATTGCATACAAACTAGTCAATGACTGGCTTGCAAGTGGACTTGGCAAAGGCGTGGTTGAACCCATTATTGCAACTGAAAATCCTCCGGAAGGTACGAAAAAAAAAAAATAGAGGCGCTCATGGTCAGTGAAAACAGGTTTGAAAAATGAACTAATGAGGCCATGGAACTAGGTCAAGAGAATTCAGGTACCGGGCGTCTGTTTGTCTATGATGAACCCACTTCTTTGGGAACCGTCATTGCCCGTGTGAAAGAGCTGACAGGACTTTCTCATGGTAAGAAAAACAAAAAATCGGGCACCCTCATGTGCGCCAATACGCGCCAAATGGGCAATAGAACTCAATATATCTTTTTTTTTTCCAGTGCGAGTGGCTACGGCCGAACCCCATATGCAGAAAGGACAGGATTTGATCAAAACCGTGGCTATTTGTGCTGGTTCGGGTTCATCCGTCCTGAACCCCGTCAAGGCCGATCTTTACTTTTCGGGTGAAATGGGCCACCACGATGTTCTCGCTGCATTGGCTCAAGACACCAGTGTCATCCTCTGTAAGTCCATCCTTCCCGTCTAATGGTACCTATCTAACGCTATTTGTTTTCTTCATCCTAGGCGAACACTCAAACACGGAGCGTGGTTATCTGTCGGCCGTCCTGCAACCAGCATTGCAAAAGGCTTTAGCCAATGAAAGCTCCGAGGAAGGTGAAGCCATCGAAATCATTGTCAGCAAACTTGATAAAGATCCGCTTCAAATCGTGTAAAAAGAAGAAAGAAAACAAAAATCGTGTATTATAAAGGACATATGTCTGTGCTGTAATATGGTTCTCTCGTTTATTCTATTGGAGTGGTGGAGTAACTATTGGTATTTTTGGGCGACAATTTTAGCAATGGTTTGCAGTTGAATGTTGCTGGTGCCTTCGTAGATGGCGCCAATTTTGGCATCGCGATAGAATTTCTCGACGCCTGTTTCGCGCACAAATCCATTACCGCCCATCCATTCTACAGCATAACTGGCAGCTTCCTCGGCCACTTTGGAAGCGTAGTACTTGGCCATGGCCGCTTCCATCACAAAAGGTTGCTTTTCTTCCTTGAGTCGCGCCGCATTGTAGGTTAACAATCGCGCCGCTTCAATTTGAACAGCCACTATGAGATGAAAAAAATGTGGTGAATACAACCGCGTCCTTCGCATCAACAATTTGCTACGGAACCTACCTTGTGCGTATTGGAATTGCATTGCTTGAAAATCGCCAATGCGTTGACCAAACTGTTTTCTTTCCATCATGTATGGCAACGCAAGATCATATGCGCCTTGAGCTAAACCGATCATTTGCGCGGCAATACCAATACGGCCTTCGTTGAGAGAATCAATCGCATACTTGTAACCGTGACCGACTTGGCCCAACACATTCTCCTTTGGCACTTTGACGTTATCAAAGTTCAACACACAGGTCGACGAAGACCGAATACCAAGTTTCTTTTCCTTTTTAGCCACTTCGACACCCCAATCCTTCTCGACCACAAAAGCCGTGATCCCTTTGTATCCTTTGGAAGGATCACTAAAGGAATTCTTAGACCTTATTCTAACCATGTTGGCATATCATCCATCACTTACACATTGGCAAAAACAACAAAGATTTCTGCTTCGGCCGAATTGCTGATCCACATCTTGCTACCGTTCAGCACATAATGATCTCCTTTATCTTCTGCTCGTGTCTTTAGAGCGAAAGCGTCGCTACCAGCCCCCGCTTCAGAAATACAGAAACTGCCAACCGTATCGGAAGCCAATCGTGGCAAATATCGTTCTTTGAGTTCCCTTGACCCATTTTTGCGGATCACCGTGTTGGTTACGGTATTCTATCCATAGTCATATTAGCCTGAAGAAAGCTATCCAATACAATCCTAAAGGAGTCCTTACATGGATATCACACAAAGCGCTCACAGCTGGGTCAACTTTGGCCAATTCTATCACACATCCGTCAGCAACTGGGCGACCTTTTTCTCTTGTAAACTTTGCAAGGCCGAGAACTCACCTTCAATGGCCAGCACAGTGGCTGTAAAAGAACATTCGGCGCCTCCCAGGTCGGCTTCCGTCTCCAGACCCATCAGTCCTTGCTCAAACATTTTGTCGATAATGTCCATGTCCATTTTCTCATTCTCATCCATAGCTTGCACCCGAGGCTGAATCACGTCCTGCGCGAATCGATTCACTACCCGTATGGATTAATTTTATATTTTAGACCTCCCATTTGAGGATATGCATTACCTGTCTCTTTGAGCATCAGTTCCTCTTCAGTAAAGGCATGAAGCGATGTGGGTGCTCCAGAAATACTAGGCGTAGCGTACTTTAAGCTGTACTGCCTGTAGGAAATATCGAGGAAACAGTTAAAATGAAATATTAGCATGGAGGTCGTGTTTGCGATTGAGGGGGTGAGGTTTGGATCCTTCTGTTTACCGTTTGGAGCATCGAGGCAAGACGGAACGAGTCGTAAAAAAAGGAAGAGTGCGACGTAAAAAGCTCATTATTTACAACAATAATGGAGAAGAAGGGCAAAAGGATCATCAGAGCCGCAAACAAGGGTTTTTTTACTACAAGGCATGACAACCACCGTCAATTTTCCCACGGTGATGTTCTACCAAAACCATAGATAGAGTTTAGCGTTGAAATGGCAACTGTTCATTTGCGGAATTCTGGGTTTCTAACTCAATGCACTTGAAATGCGCTTTAACAAAAAAAAAAAAAAAAAAAAAAAAAAGAGCAGCATTCATCTTCTATTGCACCCTTTGTTATACAAGTCCTTTGAGATTCGCCGGCTGCGAGGGTGTGCTGCCGGAACAAGACAACCAAACGAAAAAAAAAAGGAAAAAACACCAGATATTCTGTGTAAAATGCAAAATCAATGCATGTAGACAGTAATAAGAATCATTTCTTGCTGGCTTTTGTGTATGACTTGTTCTTGTAAATAAAAATAAAAACCAGCATTTGGAACTTGGTAAGGGTTCCTGAAAACAAGATAATAGTCAGTGTTCTTGATGTTGGGAATGTGGCCCTAAGCTTGAAAGCATGGAAAACTAACGGTGGTAATAATTGAGAAGGCGGTACTGTAATGATGCTACAGATAGATGGTGAAAATATTGTTGTTCATTAAATTACTGCGCGGGCATTCTGCAACAGCTAAAACTTGGCTCTCAAAAGAAGTTGGGCGGCATTAAACCGGAGATGACAATATAACAAAAGACAAATGCCCTGATCTTGCCTTATACTCTTATTTTCAATACAAAATGTGGTTCAATAGTTTTTTTATTTTTATTTTTATTTATTTTTCTGGTTCAAATTCACTAGGTTGTCGATAATATCATCTTTTAATCTTCTGTGAGTGAGGTCAGCGGTGAGTGGGCGGGGTCCTTTATCCTTTCTTCTATAATCATCTCCGGTCCAAGACAACAATTCAAAGTCGAAATATTCGTATGTCGATGGTTTCCCTACGGTGCCATTTTCTGGAAAATCAGCCGTACACTTGCAACGACCAATCTCTTCCCAAATAGGTGGCATCCCTTTCCAAGTCGAACCGCCGCACATCGTAAATTCTCCAAACAACTCTAGGACACTGTCAGCAAGTAAATATTCGAAAGGATAAATGCTGCTTCACAGAGGAAAATCCGAAAACTGGGAGCGTGCCATCTTCAAATTCGGTCATCCGAGATCGCCTCAGCCGGATCGATCGGTGTCATGGCAGAATTCAAGACGGTGTTGGTAAAGTAACTTTCGCTCAAGTGTTTGCGCCGGTAGTGTTCGTGGAAAACACCAGAGTTGGTCCCACCAAGATCCTATGGCGATCAGACAGCCCTAAAATAGACCATCATGCCGAGGAAAAACGCGACCTTGGGTTGGAGTTTGGCAAGGGCACACAATCAGTGATAAACAGGATGGTCATCACGAAGCGTAGCGTAGGAGCCAAGTCGATGATCGAGCGGTGGATGGGCACTGAAGGAACTTCAGCAACAAGGGAACGGATAACACGGAATAATATGGACCCAACGTCTTTTGGATGTTGGCGGCCACCGTTTCATTTGCCTTGGATATATCCGATGACATAATTCCTGCCATGCTCTCCAGGATACGGTTGTTCAATTCAATGCTTCCAATGATAGGCATTTTAGTATTGTTGAGGGTGGGGTTGGCTGAGGGAAACGAACTTCTCCTGCGTGAGTATCGACGGATGGCACGGTGTTCCTGAAGAGCGTCGTATCAAAAGATGACTGGTTGGGAAAGCGCGTCAACCACATGGCAACGGACTGGGAGCGTCAAACTACCGAAGGAGATGTTAACCAACGTAGACCCTCTTGTAGGAACCAACGCTGCGTTGGCAGCGCCTGAGAACTGAAGCCTATGGTAACCATCCACCTGTAAGCTTAACTGCGAGCGAATGGCCGAAATATTGGCACCCGTATCCACTAGACAAGTGGTAGAGGCACCATTAATGGAGCACTGCCGTTTCGGGATTGAGTCATGGATTTTGGAGGCGGTGAGTGAGGCCGAAGGGATGGAAATGTTGATGGCGATAGACCTGGTTGATACTGGCTCCTGGGTCCTCATAGAGTGTACCCTGTACCAAGGCACAGCGCCATAATTGACTTCTGCCTGTGATGTATTGACAGCTGGAGTAGGCGAGATTCGAACAGGACTTTGTTCACCAAAGGCGGGGCCAGGTGGCCAGCGCAGACGTCGCGATAATATCATTGAACGTTGGCCATGCAAGGATACAATAAAGTCCTTTTGGATATTTGCTTCAGAAGGTGACTTGACCACCGTTGATGTGCGATCGCTGGAATACCCTGGAAGCAATAACTGATGAGTTTTCGGTCTCCGTTGATTTTTTTTTTACACCTTCGTGATCACCGCAAGTAAACACTGTGTATGGCTGACAATAATGTGGCAAAGCCAGATGACCGGAAACATGGCAAAGGAAGTATGTGCTTGGGTGGTGGAAGCTCGATCGAAGCTGTCTTGCTTGGCCAGCCAGATCGAAGGATTCGGTTGACCGTGTCGATGCATTTGACTCGATGTCCTTGGCTTTTGTCCAACTGTCTTGCTTGGCCAACCGCATTGTAAGGCTCGACTGACCGTGTCGATGCATTTGACTCGATCTCCGGGGCTTTCATCCCGCTGTCTTGGTCGATAACAATCTTGGTATACTGTGGAGATGCAGCAAAGTAAAAAGACAATGGTCCCACTTTGGGTTCTTCTTTTTGATCAAGTCGGACGGCTGACGTGCCCAAGCAGTCGCACATTTGCGTTCCAACCACCAGCTTGGAACCATCTCTGGTGGTTTGAATACATGGCCATATGTCGATACTTCGGACTGGCTGTGAGAATTGAGGAGCCCGAAGTAGACAGCTGGCGGTGGGCATCTACCGATTTCGTCCGACCATAGGCCTCTACCGCATTCACCAGAATAGTATCACTCTTAATAACATTCTTGAGTATTGAGCCACTCAGTACTTGGGCGCAAGCAAACTTGGGCTGTTGTTCAGCGTCCAATCTTTGTTGAGCAAGAGTGCTCTTCATCCAATTCGAAACAATGACGACCAGAGAGCATTCCTTGGTAAGGTGATTTGTGTATCTTGTAAATGGCAGTCCCATTCCCTTCATCGAAGAGAGAATTTGATTTCCTTCCGCGTGAGCCGGACATGACTGGTTGGCGTAGTGGTTTATACCACTTGAAGAAAGAACCAACTGGACTTGACCCCAATGCAAGAATCATTGGCATAGATCCAGGTAAACTTCGCTATCAATGGAAATACATCAAGACTTTTAACTTATGAATATCAGCATCAATAGGTTTACGATCTGTTATAACAACGGTAGATTCAAATGAAAATCTACATATGCCTGAGGAACGAGATAGACACGTTTTCTCGATATCGGAGCATATCAGTAAGTAGAAGTTAAATTGGGCAAAAATGTATTTACTTATTTGGCATCCTTCGAAATACAGACGAAGCAGCATGTTCCATTGGAGTCATCAGATCGAAATGAACAATAGAAGATCTGCGAGCATTCAGGATGTATATGACCGATTGGGTGAGAACCCTGCCAAATGTGGTACGGTCGCAGAATTCCGAGACCATTTAAGAACTTTAGCAAGTGTCCACAACAGGTAAGTTGCATATCGTCAGATCGATTCTCAGGACTTAAAACTTTCAAGAACAGGCTGTACAATTTCAATCGGTCGTATTGTCACCGAGAGAAACGGGCTTTACTCGAGAGACAGCGGCAAATGACCATGCACAAAACGGCCGACAGCTTGTTAGGAGACCCAGAAAAAAGAAACTGCAAGTGAGTTTCGTGTTATCGTACGTAAAAGTGATAGCGGCTCATTCTATGCTATAGAAACCATTGTGGGTCTACAAGCAGTCCAAACGATGCCGCAAGCGAAGACGACAGAGAGCCCGTCGCGGGCGGGAGAAAAGCGATGTAATTCGTACGAGGAAATAACTTATAAGATGAACGGATAGAAATTCCGACAAGTTCTTGCACAAAAAGCTCTTGTGCTCTGTGTAGATGAGTATAAGGCGAGTAAAGTATGTAGCAGTTGTGATACCACTACGATCGAAGTCCGAGACAACAATCAGTTGTTTTGCAGACACAAGTAAGTTACCAAAAGCCCGGGTAGATAACCAGATCGATATTCACGCAATTATACCTAGAAAAAAGAAGAAACGAGTGCGAGAAAATGACAAGAGACTGCGACAGAGATGTCTTGACGGAAACAACGACATCATTTGATACAGCTCAGCATTATCCACCGCTTTAACGTACATATCTGACAGTGAAGTTTAAGGTCAAAGGTATTTGAGCATTGTTTATCCGGTACGAATGTGCCTCCAATCGTTTCTGAAAACGATGTTTCCAAGCCCTTGGTAAGGAGGAACGGTATGGCATCACTTGCAAGATCACACTACTTTTGAAAGTAGATCTAGACAAGGGATACTAATGCTGGCGTAAACATGAGACGAATTCTACAGGCCTACATAGAATCAGGTTATCGTCTCAATTCCCGTCCGGCAGCTCTTCGACGGTCCCAAGGCGCACAATCTGCGCTCGGCGAGCAAGGTATCGCCAACTAGCCTCCTGTTAGGCCCCGTTTTTGCATGCCTGGAAAGCTGTGATTGAAAAAGGAATTGTTGCCGTGCAAATTTAGTAATTTTGATGACGTTCACGTTGGAGTTGAATTAAACTTTTTTTTTTTCCTGGAAAGCCCAAGATCCGACCTGATCTTTGCAGCATCTTCACAACATGGACGACGATGGTATGATTATGAACTTTAGCAGCACTGTTTCGAGTGCTGTTAAACCAGTAGCGAAAAAGGGACCCAAGAATCGTCAGTCCAAAAATAAGGCCAAGCCAGGATCCAATCGGCCTGCATCACAACTCACCGCATCCATGATCGCACCGATTATTACCGCCGCTCCCTCCAAACCGGTCGCAGTGGAAGCTGCAGCTGTCACCGAACCTAAAAAAGGGGAAGAGGAAGCCAGTGCAGTACCGGCAACCATGGTCCACGGCAGAAATCAAGTCATGTCGTCGTTGTTTACTTCCAATCCCGAGATCAATCTACCCAAGTTTTCCAAAAAGACCACCCAACGCAGCGATATCCCGAGCAATGCGCCCATTGCCGATTCAGGGAACTTTACCGGTATTGGCATTGACGCCGATCTGGTGGATCTGCTCCAAAAGAAGTTTAATGTCGATACACCGACCAATGTCCAACGGAGAGCCATCCCATTGTTGCTAGGACCATCGCGCGAGGTCCTGGATGCCGCCATTCCTGATCAAGATGTCGACGTTGTCGTGCAGGCTCAAACCGGTTCCGGAAAGACCTTGACCTATTTATTACCCATCATCAACCGCCTAGTCGCGGCCTCCACGTATAATCCCGCTAACTCGGGTAGCGTAGCCCCTTTTGGTGATCGATCGGTCGGCACGGTGGCCATCATCTTGGCCCCTACACGTGAATTGGCACAGCAGGTGACAGGCGTGTTGACGCAGTTGGTGAATTTACCGAGACCCAAGGCGGAAGGCGTTCGACGACTTCATTGGATCGTGCCTGGTATGGTCATTGGTGGTGACAGCAAGAGCAAGGAAAAGGCACGTCTGCGAAAAGGCGTCAATGTGCTTGTGAGTACGCCCGGTCGATTGCTGGATCATTTGGAAAACACCAAGAGCTTTGATATTCAAAATCTGAAATGGCTGGTCCTCGATGAAGCCGATCGCTTACTGGATCTCGGATTTGAAGAAACGCTGAAAAAGATCATGACCATCATTGATGAACGTACTCGCACCCAAGGATCCGAAAAATTCAAACCATTGATGAAGAGTAAATACTGGCCCAAACGACGACAGACGGTTCTGTGTTCCGCCACGTTGCGTGAGGATGTGAAAAGTCTGGCGGGATGGTTACTGGTCAAGCCTGTGTTTGTGCGTGGCATGGAACTGGAGTCGACCGGCGACTCGACAGAAGCGACCTCGGACGAGGCCATGGAAGACATCAAATTCACCGCCCCCAATCAGTTGAAGCAAAAGTATACCATTATCCCGGCCAAATTGCGTCTTGTTACTCTCGTCGCCTTGTTGAAATCGTGCTTTGTCTCTCGACGAAATAAGCCTTTAAGCAGCAAAGTGATTGTTTTCTTTTCGTGTTGCGACTCCGTTGATTTTCACTACGATCTGTTGGCCAATGCCGGCAAGGCTCTGGAGGACGAGGACGAGGAAAATGAAGAAGACTTGGAAGAAGATGATGAGGATCATGAGCAAACGATGATGAAAAAGACGTTGGAAAAAATCATGGGAAAGACCGACATGAGCAAAAATAAACAGATCAAAAAGAAGCAGCCAAAGAAAGACGACGATCTAGAGAAGAAGAAACCGTTCCAAATCAGCACTCTCTTGGGCGAGGTACCTGTTTTCCGTCTTCACGGCGACCTGGAGCAGCAGGTGCGCACGGAAACATTTTCAGAGTTTAGCAAGGCTTCGGCAGGCGTCTTACTGTGTACGGATGTGGCCGCGCGTGGATTGGATTTGCCCAATGTAGATCGCATTGTTCAGTACGATCCACCCACCGATATGAAAGACTATGTACACCGTGTGGGTCGTACCGCGCGTCTAGGTAAAGCCGGTGAAGCCATGTTGTTCCTCTTGCCAAGTGAAATGGAGTATCTGGACATCATCAAAGCTCAGGATCTATACCCTGATCCTGTCACCGTGGAATCCATCCTCGAAGGTCTCGTGGAGAAACACTCAAAGCAAGATTTCCAAACCGCGGCGCAAGAATTGCAAAACAACATGGAACAATATGTTCTTTCGCAGGAAGAGGTAAGCGGTCAAAGGAGCTCAAAAGTTGTAGCATCATGAATTCCCCACTCACCAAAATTGTTTTAAATTCGTGCTTAGAATGTTGTGATGGCTCGCAAGGCTTATTGGTCCAGTGTGCGTGCGTATGCTACACATTCGGCTGCTGAGAAGCATATTTTCCACGTTCGAAAACTGCATCTTGGCCACATTGCGAAAGCGTTTGGTCTTCGCGAAGCGCCTTCGAATCTGCACGAGCAGAGCAAGGGTCAAAAGAAGAGACAAGCCAAGCAAGAGCGTACGCCCGGTCAACACAAGTTTGGAGCCAAAGGAGGCGAGGTGAAAAAGAATCCTATGAAGCGCAAATACGATCAAGCCGATGAATTCGCCATCACCAGTGCCGACAAACTCGTCTCGGGACCTGTCACCAAAAAGAAGAAGAAACTCGCCAAGAAATAATCTATTCCATTCCTTGCATCTTGCATTTCGCATCTTGTATTTTGTATCTTGTATCATACCATTAATTCGTTTTTTTCGTTATGCATTCATAGAATCATTCCTCATTTGCACTTTTTTTCTTTTCTCATCCATATCACTGGACCCATTCACTGATGTCACTAGACCTCTCGGTTATTTGTTTGCGATGTTGTAATATTAATTGACACAAAGGGTAGTCAAAAGTCTAGAAAGGGCTTTGTGAACGGAGAAGATACTTCCAAAAGAATCACATTGTCCTGTATCTACATTGAAATACGATAATCTAGCCAGGCCGACGAGAAGTATTGAGGGATGCAAACGGATGTTTTTTGCCACAGACTACAACAGTAGCTGGGTCCGATACAGCTGTTTTCTTATAATCTAGGAAAGATTGAGAACGCAGTGCTCGCCAACGTTCAGGCTTCGTCAAAGGGTTACAGATATTTTGCTACAGGAATTGTTTGAGCTCTGAAAGAGTGGCAGTCAAAAAAAAGTGACGGGTGCCCAACCTAACTTTTATGCGATGATTAAAAATTGTCTATTATATTACAAAATGAAGTCGTTTTCTTTGGTTTTTCTTTGTTTTTTTGTTTTAGCTATCAGTTTCTGTTTTCTGTTTCTTATTAGGATCGTCAAAAGTGGTGGATGGTTTGGATCGTTTTTCGCCTTGAACTTTAGCAGGTGGGGGAACATAAGCGTGGCGATGACGGCCCAACTTTGGAGGAATCTTCCAAAAGTACTGTTTATCTTGTAAAGTGCATTTACGCGCACTGCGTCCGATTTGTGTGTACGTTGCTCTTCGCCATTCCACGGGATCCCGTTCACTGTTGTAATAATACAGGTTCTCTTTAGGCGAGCCATCGGCGGTCTTGCCCTTGCGTACAATTTCGCCGAAAAATGGTGTCTCTTTCAACACTTTGGAGATGCGTGCATTCCACACTTGTCGAGATTCTTTAAACGATGGATTCGCCGTCAAAATACGCGAGCAAATATCACTGACGGGCATGGACGAAGTTCGCGAAAATACTATGCAGATACACAAAAAATTAAGTACGGATGGGTTATTTGCGGTTCAACGGTTGAAGGAGCTTACCTAGTGCATCAATGATGACTTGTGTATAATCACACACATCGATTTCCTCGGATTTGACTTGACTTTCTTCTTCTGTCTTTACTTGTGTTTCTGCTGATGTTTCGTTGTCGCCACCGATGGAGATATCTTCTTCTTTCACATCAGACTCGGCCGGTTCATCGTCCATGGCGGATTCCAACTGTGATGACAAGACCTCTTCAGAAGGCGTCAATGGTTCACTGTATTCAGGCATCAAATCCGACATATCAAATGGAATACTATCGGCATTGACAACATCCATGCTCTTTTCGTTCACTTGGACATGATCTTCCACCGCTGGTTCCTCCTCCTTTTCCATGATCGTTGTTTGAATTGTTTCTGCTACGGGTTCAGAGCCATATTCCTCAGGTTCCTGTTCCCGCTCCTGCTGTGGTTGCAGATGTCGTTCAGGTTGAGAGGTTAGGTTGGGCTGTTCTTGTTTGACTTGTGTTTGATGGGATGGCATGACTTCATCCACGGGGGCTAAAGCTTGTTCGTCCAAGGTATCCGCAAGAGGGTCTCCTTTTTCGATAGGAGGTTCCTGTGCTGGTGAATCCAAGGCAGCCGGTTCTTCTTTGACCATCATGGGTTTATCGATACCGAAATCAGACCATTCGGTCATGTCAGGTTGTTGTTTGGCGGTCTGGGCTTTGTCAATTTCTTCTAAAAGACGCAGAGGACGCACAGGAACTCTGAAGGTAACTAATTCGCCCAAGACGTCGATAAGCGAGTTATCGACCAGAGGAGCATATTGATGTTGAGCATAAGATTTATTGTCGACGGTGATACCGTTGAGTCCAAGGACGCGTAACTGGAAGGCATCGTTTTCTTCCTGGTATTCGATGGATACATGAATGCGACTAATTTGGCGGTTGCGTTTGCCGATTTTTACAGTAGCAGCACCGCCACGACCGAGGGTGATAGCACGGTGACGTGACCCAACAATGATGAGTGGTTTGTAGGCCACTTCAAGTTGAGAATAAGGCGAAGCGTAGCCTAGTTGACTGGTACGTACAAAATCTTCAGAGTTAAGCTGGTCATATTTATCGCTGTGGTCTGGAGTATGTGGCGTATGAGGCTGTTGTCCTATATCTCGAAAAGGGCTTCGTGCTAAACCATGCCAACATAGGTATTCATTAGAAAGACGCGTAGAAAACGGTGTACAAAGCACTCACGGTAAGTTTCATGGGTCATTTTCATATTTTTTTAAGAGCAAAAAATAAATGGGGAAAAAAAAAGAAACGAAAGGTAAAAAAAAAATTCGAGGTTCCGCCGCGCGTGCGGTCTCCTTATTTTTTTTTCCTTCGTTTTTTTGCTTTTTTTTTCATCGGCGTCAAAATTGTCACGCACGTAACCAGCGCGAAAAAAACGTTGAGCGTGACGGGCCAATCAGGAACGAGCTTTTCCCGTTTTCCAAACGCGTTACAGTTCCTCTATTTTTATTTTTCTTTATCTTTTTTTGCATGATCGGGTTTCAACGCTTTGAAACACGTTCCTTGACCCGCTTTGCCCATCCTTTACGTTACTGAGTCTTCCACTTTAATCTCCTCATTAAAACACCCATCATCTCCAAAAGCCAGTATTCCACTTGATTTCCAACCTTCTTCAAGCAGATGACTCTTTTGACTGTCGTAACTCCCCTTACACACACCAATGACGGAAACTTCAATTCGCGTGTGCAAGCTCGTTTGAAGCACCAGATGAGAGAGATGAAGAAGCGGCCCTGACGATCGACTCCGAGGATGCCAATACCAAGGAAGCTACATCTTTGTTTTCTCACAATGTGAAGCACTTAACATCTCTTTGTTTGATTCATCCGCATTTCGTGCTTGACTCTGGCTCTACTTTGGTCACACCTTGTTTTAATAATTCGAGAGATGCCTTGAACTTCAACTTGGGATGCGGCCCACGATAATGCTTGTGACGCGATCTCTACAGACGGCCGTCAAAATCACTCGTGTTCGCAGTCTCACTTGGGTGGTCATTTCAAGGGCTTTCAAGAGCTTTCTGTAGCAACGCGCACACTTACAGCGGGTTTTCATTTGAATGCGATTGCCCATTGTTGGCATCGGAACATACGATGTTTTTTCATCAGTATCGGGGGTTGACTAAGGATCGCTTGAACTTGGATGGAGTCAACGATAACAAGGAAAGTACCAACAATAGGTTCGAGTTAAGCACACTGCAACCAACGATTTATATTTTGCTTGTCAAAGATGAATGGTGAGAACACAAGATGAGATGAAGAAACATTCATACACAGTTTTTTCGAGAAACGCGTAAAGGTGGCTTCTTGGCCGTTTTCCTATTTAGGAAAGGTTCCCAGATTGTCCCATTCGGTCATGCACATTTTCTTCTTCACCTTCCACTAGGCCATGAATGGCCGTTGCCGTGGATCTGACCAGAACGTCTGTTAGAGATCTTTTATCGAGTGGGTCATAAGCAACTTACCAAACCATGCCCAGTAGAGATTCACTACCCAGGTCTATCTTTTGGATTGGGGGAAATTGTAGTCCAGAGCCCCGGTAGTTATGGCCTATGTCACGATCTGCTCGACCTGGCTGTCTTTTTTAATATGAGCATTGATTATGAGCAAGCTTTCTGGGTATCTTACTTTTTAAATCCACGATAACACAATGCGACATTTGAATATGCCTTGAGGACGCAACTTGGCAAATTTTTTGGATCTATAGTTGACATTGTTCGATGATAAAATGGCTCGACTAAATTTTTCCTACATCATATCATGACTTGCAAATTTCATCAATCTCTTCCTGATGATCCTCGTTTAAATACCAATATTTCAATATTTCTTTTGGAGGTTGTGCCTCCTTGTCACTCTTTTTCCATCATTTGCCACACGTTCCACACTTTAGACCTCCTTGCTTCCATGAAGCAATTTGTGCTTCAAAGTATTCTGCACCCGAATATTTGTGATCCCGTGGAAAAATCGACATCAAAATAAGACAGAAAACCAAGAACGGGACAACAATAGTTTTTCCATATGAATTTGGTTCTCGCCCTTGGATGTATACTACATTTTGCTTATTTTCCAAAGACGAATTCACTTTCTGGAAATATACATGGTTTTTTTTTTCATGTGAAAATGAATCTTTCTGCTACACAACGTTTACAGAGATGGTGGTGGTGGAAATTGAGATGGGTCGCGTGAACAATAAAAAAGTCAAAAAGGTGGAGCCCCGCATCTTGGGATTCAATGGTGGACCGAAAGGGGTGTTATCTTTAAAAGGCAACGCGTGGCATCACGATCATGCCAATAACAACGGAAAAAGCTGAATAATGAAGATAATCCTAAAATGGCTAGGGCCGTAAATATTTCACATGTGATTTACACAACAAAAACAAGGTTGGATCGTTTGGGCGAATCGTAGCCTTGTGTCACATCGTTTTGAAATGAAAAAAGGTGGAGAAAGAAAAAAAAATAATAAACCAAAAGAGAGAAACGTGTAATTCCAACCCCTATCTCCTTTCATATCATCATCTCTACCGTAATTGATCGCTTCTCCTTCCCTTTGTTTCTTTTTGCTCTTTCCGTCCTCTCTGTCTTTGCCTTTCATTCTCTTCATCAGCAACGCATTCAATTCACATACTCTGTCATCGTTCCAATGGATTCGAATTATACTCACGCGCTCGATTCTTGGTGGATAAATCCACCCGATCATTCTCAAACACTACAGGAGCCCGTACCATTTGAAGGTATAGATTTAGGAGCATCCTTTTTATTCTTTCCTTCGCTTGTTCACTTATCTATTTATGCAACTCCTATTTTTACTGATCCCTTTTGGTTCATAATTCAATGTCGATACGATAGATTTCAAGTTCAGTTTTGGATTGGATTCGGATCTTGCCATGGTGATTCCTCCCGTCGAACCATCTTTGACTTCCGGTCCACCAGACCCCATGTTTACCAATAACGTGTTGTTAGATGAAGACGATCAAAAAGCATTTAGCGAATTTCTCGATACCTTCCTCATTGAGCAACAAGAACCGGAATCACCAAAACACAGCATGTCCCTTCCACATCTGTATCACCCAATCAATGATCCCGAGCCTATCCAGTATAATTCCATCCTGTCCGAGGAACAAGCGGAAGAAAGACGACGCAGCTCTATTCTTCAATCCCTGGATGAACAAAAACGTCTTCACCAACGTCTCAACTTACTTGCCACCATGCCGCGGGCCGCCAATCTCCTCCTGTCGATGCCCACTTCACCTCAAGACCCATCCCTCTCCACATCTTCCCCTTCTTCTACTTCTTCCCCTTTTTCCATGTCCACTCACCGCCAAAGATCGCCCTTCTCCGCTTCCTCGAGCAAAAAACGCCAATCGTCGATGGATTCCTCTGACTACCCTGTCAAACGCACTCGTCACAAAGATCTGTTGACCGAGGAAGAGAAGCGAGCCAATCATATTGCCAGTGAGCAGAAGCGACGTAGCACGATTCGATCTGGATTCAAAGATTTGACCGACCTTGTGCCTACACTGAAGAACATTAACAATTCCAAAAGCACCGTGCTGTTCAAAGCGGTGGACTTTATCAAACATCTCGAGAAACGCAATCGAGGTTTACGGGATAAGATTCAGCAACTCGAAGCACGAGTCAGGGTCCAAGGAGTTCAATTACCATCCAATCCACCTCACCGATCCTCCGTCTCCTCCTTGTCGGATCCCGCTTCCGCTTCTTCTTCCGCATCCTCTTCGTCTTCCTCAAATGCCTCTTCCCTGTTATCACCGTCAACCTCCTCTTCCTCTATTTCTTCTTCATCTGCTTCATCTGCCCCACCCACGTCTTCCAAACATGCTTCCCTGTCACCACCTTCTTCATCCCCCAATTCGGTTTCGATGATGTCGTCTATGCCTTTTTTCAACGGGCATAAACCCGTGCGAGCCGGTGCGGCCGCGGCGTTGATGATTCATAAATCGCAACAACAGCAATTGTTGGCGCTGCAGGAACAGCTTCAAATCCATCAAAAACGATTAGCCCAGCAACAGGAAATGAAAGAACGCGCTTTACGAGCCGCTGCAAAAAGGAATGCTGCTAAAGTCAAGGCGACTGTGTCTGCCTAAAATCTACGTAGATGACGCTCGGTCGGTGCGATCTCACCCAACCTACTTTTGTATCTTCTGGTTCCCGTATTCTATTTAAATCACCATTGTATAATCTCCGTTATCTGTTTCCCTTGCCTATATTGCCCTTTTTTCCATTTCTGTTGTCCGTGTGTTCTTTGCATATTTTGTACGTTGTTCTTCTTTCCTGTTTGTTATTGATCGCACGAGTTTATGCCCATGTGCTGATAAGATAAGACTACTTTTTATTGTATGTTGTCAAAGTTCAAAATACAGTTGTGCATCTCGGTAGCTACTTTGTAAATTTTTGAGCGTGCATCTTATATTGGCTGCAGATCGATCCCAAGGGACCCATGACGGCAGAGTGTTTCATTGGATCTATTAAAGGAATCCAAGAACGCGTCCCCGGTAGGAACTCCTAGCAAAGGGACAGCTAGCGCCGTTTCAGATCAATTCCCACAGCTCGTGCATTTTCATGAAGATCAAACAGCTTTTAAAAAATAAAAAAAAGGAAAGGGAGCCGAGATCATCATGGGCTATAGACAAACAATAGTTCATTTTTGATTTCTTTTCATGCAACTGCGAGTAAAACATTCTGTATAAATTTATAAATTAAGAAAAGTATGCAAAAAAAAGAAGATAATGGGAGAATGCATTGTACAAACGGAAAGAAAAAAGTTAAAAAATTCTAGCATTGGGTTCAAAGACCTGGTCTAGCCAACCAGTAGCGAAATTCTCGTTGGAGGAGGAGGAGAAGAAGAAGGAGGAGGAGGAGGAGGAGGAAGAGGTTATTTACACAAGAGACTTTTTCTTTTTGGATACGGATGGTTAATTGGCGCACACCGAGGGTGTGAGACTAAAACGAATGGTCTGGCATGGATGATCGACGATTAGCGATTCGAATTCAAGCGATTTCAAGGAGATCGTACTGAAATTGGATGAGATGGATGAGGAAGACATGGAATAACGTGGAGATCGATATAACAAGGTTCGGAACGATAACGATCGCTTGCTACGGATGGAATCAGAGTCCTTTTTGTTGAATGAGAATGATGAAAAAGAGAATTTCATGATAGTGAATCGATGACTCGGTATATGTGTTGAAAAATTTGTGGTGGGATGTAGATAGACTTTTGAATTGGATTGGAGCTAATGAGGAGGAAAAAAAAAATGATTCGGTGGGGCAAATACCTTGCTCTTTATATACCTGTGTAGCACTTGTTGTCTGTGCGTGATCATCTATATATGGAGGCGAAGAAATTTACCCCCTTTTTTTTCTTTGTCTAGGGAGCTGCAGGTTTTTCCTCTCTTTCTTTATACTCTATTATCAGCCCGAGCCACGTTCTTTTCTCTCTGGTGCAAAAGCACAGCTCCTCCTACCCAAAATAAGCCATCTCATAAGAGACAAATACATGCACTGATATATTTATTGCCTATTGGCTGCATAGCACGCTGATGGCGTTGCCACGATGTTCCATCCATTGGATCGTTTTCACTATCCTTTTCCGATCACCTCGCCGACAATCTATTGTCAAGGAAGTACAGCCACTCGACGATTCCAAGAAACAAGAAACAAGGAAAATAAAAAAGAAAAAAGGAAAACCAGTGTTGAAGAAAAAAAGAGGGCCCTTACATAAACATGTAAAATGCGGCAAGGGAATAAGAAGCGGGATTTGGGAAACGGAGGCGGAATCCTTTTGGAGAAGGATCCTTTTTTCTTTCTTCACTGGATTAGTCACGGGGAGGAGTCTTTGATTGAGCCGTAATAGGAGATGAGCCCAAGCAAGTTGCATCCCATCATGGTACGGAGCGAAAAAATCAAGCTCTCTTTATGTGTTTGTTGCTGTTTGTTTTTCTTTTCCCAAACGATGGGGTTTTTTTTTTCATAGTTTATGGATCGTATTTGTTTCATCTTGGCTACCGCCCTAATAGACTTGGCAAATGAAAAAATAAATAAAAAAAAAACCATACACGTGGATACAAAATAAATAGCATGAAACATCCATTGTTTTCATATACTTGGTTTAGGAACTGGATCCATGGTGCGAAAAAGATGTGGAACAAATTAGGACCATTTCAGGGGTCAAAACCTCCATCATCACAGAAACTGATTCAGCCATCGTAAGATAAAAATAAGGAGTGGCGTTACACATCCATTGCTTATTTCCTCAAGCGCTTACACTAGTATTCCTCCCATAGCAATTTGAATAAAAGAATCCATTAATCCAAGCTCAGATGCACATTCATTGCCACACCATTAAAATAGTTTTCGGTTTAAAAAAAGTGGAAATTTGACTTTTGGAAGACGGTTGAAGAATGGCAGTGAGCGAAAGAGAAGGGGAAATTTTATAATGATTCAGGGTTTTAAAGCTAACCACTGCATTTGGCCATAAATCGGCGGGAGGGCTTGACCGTGTCATCTTGCATTGAACCCGATCGTGTTGTCCAGCTTGGCTGAAAAGCTCAGCAAGATCAACAACATGCTGCATACCCGTACCCATGCAGGTGATTATTAAAAAAATTCCTACAGTGTGGCAGCCGCCCTTGCCTTGCTCAGCATCGCATCGCCAGGTTTTCGGCGCTCAAGGAGACCCTATCGACAGAGGAGCGCCTCAAAATACAATAGAGAATGATTTCAAACTTAATCCGCTCGGATTAAGGATCCTAATCAGAAGCAAACAAAACACAATGCCACCTGGCGAAAAATACAAACTTTGAGGGTGCGAAAACGAGGAGTATCACTTATCATGTCAGGAAAAAGAAATGGATGCTTGTATTTTCTGATGCTGTGTAGAGTGAGAAAAGGGGAAGGGGTGTCTGATAGTATAGGAGGAAAAAAAATGGATTTGCTATCAAACAAGAACAATGTATTAAGAGATTAAGGTGAGATCTATACCGTGTCAACAGGAGCATCAAACAGCTCGGAGTGATTGGGATCCCACATATTTGAGCGTACAAATGTCAACAAGTTTTGTTCCAACTCTTGGTTGTTGGTACTGGTTTTGGCCAGGGCAATAAGACGGGGATCCCGCGCGACATTTTCCGCGATCGCTTGACGGCACACGGCGGCGGCGACTTTGGCGGACACTTCACGAATACGATCCAAATCAGGGTACAGGTGCCCTTGTTGAATTTCTTGAGGCTTGAGTGACTGAGCCAAACTTTTGGCCGCTTCGTAAATCATGTCATCGGACACAATGGCTGTTTTGGCAAGAATAGACCCGAGTCCTAAACCAGGGAACACGTACATGTTATTACCCTGACCAGCTTTTACAATTTCGCCTGAAGGCATTTGATAGGGAGGAAACGCGGTGCCAGAGGCGAAGAGCACGCGATGGTCCGTGAACTGCATGGCTTGTTCAAACGTGCACTCGGCGTTGGTCATGGGGTTCGATAGCGGGAACACAATAGGTAGCTTGTTCTGTTTCGCCATCTTGTCAAGAACTTCGGGCGTGAATGCTTGCGATTGAGCTGAAAGACCAATGAGTCTAAAACAAACAAAAACAAAAAAGCATTCAGGATCTCATCCCATCATGTACACAAACAAGTATACAAACAAAGTTACAGGAAACAAAACTAAAAAAAAAATAGGGGATGTCAAAAAACCGGTACTTACGCTGTAGGTCGGACGTGATCAATGACTTGCCCCAAGGACTTGAACTGAGCCTGATTGTTGTCAGATCGAGCAAAGAACACCTTGTGTTGAGCCAGTTTATCACCACGATCCGAGGTGATGAGTCCTTTGCTGTCAACAAAGTAAAACATCTTTTTCGCTTCGTCCTGGGACAGACCATACTGACGCATAAAGTGACCCAAGATCAATTTGCCCACACCAATAGCCGACGAGCCTGCACCGAAAAAGACAATGCGATGATCATGGGGATCTACATTGGCTTTCTCTTGGGCAATACGAATGGCGTTGATGAACCCGGCTAAAATAACAGCACCGGTACCCTGAATATCGTCATTGAAGCATAATCTCTGGTTCTGGTACTTTTCAAGGAGGCCAAAAGCATGCGCCGAGGAGAAATCTTCGAATTGTACCAACATTTCAGGATACACATCGTATAATGCCTCCATCACTTGATCCATTGCCGCATAAAACTATTGTATTATCCTCATCCTCGATCAGAAATTTCTCCAAAGCTGCGACCATTTTTGCATGTGGGGCTCTTTACCTCCTTGTCCGAAGGACGTTTCTGTTTGAGACCGAGGTAGAAAGGATCGTTAAGGTACTTTTCATTGTCGGTGCCAAAATCCAGCACAATAGGCAGTGTTTTGCGAGGATCGATACCTGCGCCGGCAACGTACAACTGCAACTTGCCAATTGAGATACCCAATCCGCCCATACCCAAATCGCCCAGACCGAGAATACGGGACCCATCGGTAACGACCGAAATCACAGGTGCTTCGGGAGAGTTCTTGCGATAGTTTTGAATAATCGATCGGATGTGTGGTAAGTCATTGATCGTTAAATACAATCCATCTGCTGCACCTAATGATCGTCCATTGCGAGAATGATTAATACTGATTTAATTCAGATGGGGACAATGGGGACTCTCAATGTTTACCTGGAGGGGCCAAAAATGGATAGATGTTGGAGTATTCTTGACAGGCTTGACCGACCGTCGGGGTATAAATGATGGGTGCAATTTCCTATATGAATTCGGCAACATTTAAGGACTCGTACCATTCACAGTAAATCTCCACTTTTTTCAAAGAACCATTGACCATGAACGTTTGAATCAAGAAATGATTGTTGTGAAACATAGTACACAGCACCTCTTTTAAGAATGACAATCATTTTCCGGATCATGACCGCGAACGCATGGCAATCCATCCTCCCCTACCAGATAACGACGACCTACCTCTAAATGATCGCCCACGACCTTGTAAAACAGTCGCGTATTGGAATTCCGCAATTGAGCTAAAAACACATATTTATCAAGCGGGGTTTGCTTGGCGCGCAATTGCTTGAGGGCACGTTGTTTCTGAACGTCCAGCGTCTCGACACCCGCAGGTTGAAATCCGGCTAGGCCATAAGCGTCCCGCGCCTGATGACACAACACCGTGCCTATGCAATGGATTGGTCATGTCATTAGCAACATATCCCAGAATCGAATCAGAAAATAACGCAATTACCTTGATTGTAATACGGAGACGTCGCCAACGAAATATCTGTTCTAGGGGTTGCAACGTCTTCCACGGCGGCCGGCACGACCCCACCCACGGAATAATGGCGGGTATTGAGTATCAATGGTCTGAAAGCGTTAACCGAACGTGAAAGTCGCTTCGTGAGGATCAGAGAGGATCGGTAATACATGGGTTGAATTTGTATGAAATAAGGAAAGCGATTTCCAAAGAAGCAGAAAAATTAAGGTAAAAAAGGCAAAAATAGGGTTTGAGCGGCCGATTGAAAAAGGAAAGACTGCTATATAAAAAAAAGGCAATTCAACGTCCGACTTTGTTGACTGGGAAAATCAACAAATGAGCATCGAGGACTCTATCCGAGTCATCCTGATTTGATATGATTTCTTCATTCAACCAGCGAATCCTTGAATAATCCAATCCAAGCTCACGGAAACACTTCGGATGTGTTGATGGGGCAAATCTTCGGAATCGCTGGCCATTGTTTGTAAACAGTAATTACTGGTCACTTGGATATCTTCTGGTAACGATTCACGACGTTGTGAAAGGTCCAATGGTCGATCGCTACTGTATTTCAAGGCGGATAGCTGTGGCCATTGATCGCACCAAAGATGGGCATGGCTCGGAAGTGATACACAAGGTGATGGATCAACGGTGGTCGGCACAAAGATCAGGTATTCGGATTTGACATTGTAATCAGCGCACATCAAACGCATAAACAAAGGCGGCCGAAAGCCCGGATTATAACTCAACGCAGCATATTGGTGTGGCTCCAGGATCTGTAGTTCCCATTTTTCATATTTGATGCGTTGCAATAAAATGGGTTTGCAAATGGCGCTCCATTCTGTCTCGAGAAGGTGGCGAAGATCCGACGTGGAGAAAAACGAAAAGATGTGTAGGATAATTTCTTTTGGCAACATTTCACAAGACAGTCTATCGCCTGCAGATTCCTCTATTGACATGGAATAAAGACAAAGAAGATGAATTGCTACAAAATTGCTTTTTTTTTCTTTTTTCAAACAAAGGCAACTTTGTTCAAGCCCGCTGAGTGGCTGACGGCGTAAGGGTTTTATCATAAAATGTTCATCATCCTTCGCTCTGTAAACCCCAGTTTTATATTTCAAAATCAAAGATTTCAGGTTCTACGACCGACAAAAAACATGCATACCAATAAGTATACAATGCGCTTTTATACGATTAACAAGCCGTACACCCGCTGTGCAATGGATGCCGCCTGCCACCGGAGGTCGCCCCCTTACATTGAGCGACTTTCGTCAGACAAAAAGCCTAACGCAAACACGGCATAACCTGGGCGAGAACTCTTGACGGAACTTCGGTATATTAATGACAACCTTATGGCAATACCATGCGTCGTGATTTGTTTCTGAACACGCGCAAAGCAGCACTGGTTCCCCCCCTCAGTTCCATCCCGCCCAGGCTATGATAGATCTAGAAAGATGTGTGGGTATGTTGGGTATTTAAAAAAAATGAGTTAGTAAGCTCTTTGATTGATTCAAATTTTCGTCAAGATATTTTACCTTTGTTATTTGAAGTTTTCGATAGCCATTGATCGCTTGACACGACTTGGATTATATGACATTGAAAAATTTTTGAATTAGTATACGTTTATTACATCATAGCAAAGGAAAAGAAATTGGACTTGCCTTTGAACCAAATGGTGTACCGGAAAAAAAAAACGATGAATACTGACCGCCAGGTAAGCTTCTTCTTCGATGCGGAAAATAAAATTGCTTCCAGGGACAGTTAAGCGATGGATCGGTGGTGTCAGCTTGAGCAGGCAAAAAATATTGACGTGGCCAGAAGTGACGGTAACTTCGAGTTGGATTCCAGATATCGAGAGTCCCCCGAATAAAAAGAAAGAAACAAATAAAGTACATGATGATAAAAAAACAATGGTCGCGTCAGTAAAAACCTCCTAAAAAACCCTGTGGGAAAAAAAGAGGAAAAGACTGCGAAAAGAATATGTACATGAAATATAAAATACAAAATACAAAATACAAACTATGAACTACAAAATACGATAATCGGGAAGACATCTCGAATACCATATCATGAGAAGCAATCCAAAGGAGAGGAACATGAAGAGGACACGTAAGCCTTTTTCCGATGAAAAAGAGAGTCACACCACCAACGATGACCTTTGACGTCATCCAGTTTCGCCAGATGGATGGATGGATGGATGGATGGCGAGAGAAAGTCAACTTGTAGCATCCAGAACTTGTCAGGCGAAAAGAAACGGAAACCGGAAGCTGGAAGAAGGATGGAAGCAAAGGAGGGGTGAGTCTGTTTTGCCGGAGCAAAATCGATGGTGGACCACTCGACGCTTACCTTTTTGAGGATTGTAGTCGATTCAACCAAGTTATATACACGGGATAAGAATGGTCTGGATAATGGATGCGGATGGGATCTTGATACAATGATAGTGAGGGTTTATCAAGCAAACAGAAAGAGAGAGAGAAAAGCAAAAGAAAAAAGATAAGAAGACCAAAATATATGATTTTCCATGGATGAAACAATAGTCACCTTACTGGTGCATGAACTCATAGATCGAAGCACGCCTGCTTATGTATTATTCGATTCATTGAAAATTGAAAGAGAGTGAAAGGACATATATAGTATAACTGACAAAAAAAACAAATTGAATGATGCTACAGAAGAACGCCAGTCGTATCATCAACCACTTTTCTTCAAAGAGAGCTCTACTCACATTTTTATTCGAAAGACGACGATACTCTGTTTAACCACAACTGGCGCAAACGGCATCTTGCTGCTAATTGTTTCGCCTATTATCGTGAAAGTGGGCAGCGAGGCATGGTTGAAAGATAAAAAAAAGGTTTAACAGGTCCTGATAACTTAGTGTAGATCATGTGATTTACAAAATCGCTAATTTCCCAAAAATTTTAATTAGGAAATCTCTTCCTTCTTCAGTGTTGCTGCGAAGGAGACGCGCGATTGTTGGAGGTGTAGGCTCCAAAGGCGGAAGCACAATGGAACCTTGGGCACAGCAGAACTGGAATTGTGGATTTGAGATGGATCCAGACATGCGCTCTTTGAGCCACATGTGTGCCTGGCAGAAATTGCAGACAACATTCATGCGACCCAAGGTATGTCTACTGGGGAGTTCTGATTCATCAGACTCTGCGTTACCAACAGGTGCAGGTAATCTACGGCTGTGTTCTCCAGCGTCATTTTCGTTTGCTTCTCTCATAGCCAGCCTCGCTGGATTCAATGGGCAAGCCAGATGGCTGCTGCGCTGGTGTCCCAGTTGCTGGCACGAAGAGCAACGGACTTCTACCAATCCTTGGATCGTAGCAACGTTGGGTTGTTCGGTGCGTCTGGGGTTATTGGGACAGTTTCTAGAGGTGGATCGAGCGTGTCTTGGGAGACCGCAAGAAACACAGGAGATGGGTGATGAGACAATAGCGCTTTCCTCAGCACGTCTCGTATTGTTGGGACAGCTGCGATTCGTTGATCGAGCATGACCTGGCAGGCCACACGAAGCACAGAAAATGGTTGAAGACGACATTGGGGAAAAAGCGATTGAGCTTGAGGAAATGGAATAAAGAAAGGAATTGGACCTAGATAATAAAACAATACAGCGTGGTTTAACTAAACAAATCATATAATAACACGGTCCGCTCATGCATAAAAGGAAGTGCAGATCATGAGCAACTCCAAGTGACCGGTTTTTACAACACGTAAATCATGTGATCTATTTTGTTTAGCCAATCAGCAGCCTTAAAAACGTTTATTATCCAATCAACAACGCCAAATTAGCGGACAATAAAAGTGACTGCGAACTAAAATTCAAACATTTTAATAAGGGTAGAGATTTCAATGTCATTTTGCTTTGACAGTATATTATGTCCACAAACACAAAGGGTCTTTTGCAAATCCGTTGATATAGGCTATAACAGCTAAATCCACAGAGGAGACAAAGTTAGCACTCGATCCAAAAGTCGTCTGCGAAATCACAGAAGTTGATGCCTAAATTTGAGTTATTCCTCACATCGATTTGATAAACTTGCATCACTACGAAAAAGTCTTGCACAATAACAGAGATCCGTTATCGCCATTTTTTTGACATTGATTTGTAACGATATGGCCAATAACGTGAGATGTGATTCTATTATCGGGACTATGAAGGGTTCATCTCTTTTTGAGGTGATATCAATTTTACAAAGGGTTCTTGCGATCATTCAACAATCGAGCCACATCCGAAGCGAGACTCGGGCTATGGTCAGGCTTGATGTCAAACCTTCTTGACAAGATACGCAGTGCCTTCTTTGTATTTTCATTGGCCAGAGCTGTTACTTCTGTGGCCTCATGTGTATTGCTGAGCCTTTGCTTCCAGGACGATTGATTCAGATTCCGGGAGAGGCAATCCGAAGGAGTAAAGAAGTTCAAGTATGCTGACCAGCTTCAATCATAATGGAATCGAGAGGTGAAATCCATCAAAGAAAAGAAAGAGAGCAAAGAATCACTTTTTTTTTATTGTGAATCACTTTTATTTGATGTATTAAAAATCCTGCATGTGACAGCCATGCTTTCCCGTCATTCATCTCAAGCGAATGGCTCAAATTCTTGTGGATCATTCCCTGCTCACCCCAATGTATCTTCCAGGCGATAAGCCTCCAGACGTATAAGCCAGCTAGTATGCTGGATTTAATGAGGTCGCCAGTATTCTAGTAGCTGGAAAGGGACACTCATCTTGGTTCAGACGTTACTTTTTTCTTGCCGAAGCTGCTTTTGGGCTGTGATGATGGTTGGCGTTGCTGACTTTCAATCTGTCTACAATGCATGGTAAATAAATGGCTTTTTCATCAGAAGAATCCTCCCACCCAAGACTGATAACAAAATCGAATTTATCAATGCATATAGAACATATGAGCCAGTCAGAACTGATAAAATTTTGTTTGATGAAAGAACTTATAGAGTGAGCAAATAAAAGAGTTAAGGAACAGATCAATCGAGCCCGAGTAATGCGTTTTGTTAATTGCTAAATCGAGTCGATGTATCACGGTGTTGCCCATTTCAGAAAAAGGGAAGTCTAAAACTCAACCATTGCAGTAAATCATGTGATTCATTTCGTTTCACCCAATCAGAAACGTTTGTTTTTCAAAAATCCCCAATCAAAACCGCCAATTTAGCTGAAACCGAACGTGTCTGTCTTGTGACTGAACATTAGCGCGCATAACTCAAAAACATTTTAACAATGATAGGTAAAATGTAATTATTTTGCTGTGTCCGGTTCAATATTGGTGACAGATAAACGCACAATAACCTGGGACCATATTATGCACTGAGCGCAATTATTAGTTTAGTTCAAAATACAGCATAGACAACATGATTACTAGAAGCGTGATTGCTTGTCTAACGTTTAACTTCTTTGAGGACTTCTTCTTCGATTGCCGCATGCTATCCATGCATGCTTGTAGATTTTTGATATGTGCCATGCAAAAATCGTCTTCAGTTTAAGGACGGGAAGTTACCTCTAAACCTGTTGTATTCGGATAGGAAGACTATTCGATTCTACAAATGGCTATGTCGTAGTAGCCTTGAGAAGCAACCAAAGTGTCAGATCGACCAAAGGAAAAGGGTATGTCGAAATGGGCATTAATGAGGAGCATTGTGCCTGCAAAGCGAAACATTGGTTCTTCAGGAGGGACAAGTGAACCCATTCAGACTCATCTTTGTAGGAAAGGAGGACGAGATATGATCCATTTTCCTCGGTAAAGGAGCGCCCTTCGATAAAGCTTCCATCTAACGAGAGGATGAGATAGTGTCCTTAGAATAAAATGCAAATAATACAGGAAACTCACTGGATGACTAAGCGTTCGGGCAGACAGCATCAAAATGTTGCGTGCAGTTGGTAAACTTGATCGACCTTGGTTTTGTCCCTCTTTTCGGCCTGGCCAATGCGGCAATTATCTAACCCGTAAGCGATGCGCAGAAAATCCTGCTTGTACTTTGGATGCATCACTTCATTTGAAGTGGTTTTGTGACCTTACTGCTATTGCATCATAGACTCATATTTGTGACACATGTGTGACGAAGCGTCTGCAGGTTTGGACCAAGCACGTTGCCTATTTATCAGCAGCCACCACAATTAACGGTGTATAAGTTATGGTGTATTAGATGACGGGATCCTTTACTATTATCATGTGTTCATCCAAGAGATAGAGTGCTTATTATAGGAGCCAATGATGGTGCCATGGGACGTTTGTCAGCAAAGGGCTTTCTGGTTGTTCAACGATTGTGTATTGGTCAGGTTTATTATGTGAGCGGCAATCCAGCCAATTGAAACGGCGCTCCGGGCCATTTTAAATATCGAAATTTTTCCCTTTGGAACATTTTAACAACTTTATGCAACGTTTCTTTTCTACTGGAACTAACATGGCCAAGACTTTCTTCGACTTTACTATCAAAGACATCAAAAACAACGACTGGAACTTGGGTGATCTCAAAGGAAAGGTACTTTTTGTATTTTCACACCATCGGTTCGCATCGTGATGTTGAACGCGCTCTTTTTGTCTTAGGTTGTTTTGGTGGTCAATGTCGCCTCCAAGTGTGGCTTTACCAAGCAATATAGTGGTTTGGAAGAACTTTACAAGAAATACAAGGACCGTGGCTTTGAGATTGTTGGTGCTCCCTGCAATCAATTTGGCAATCAAGGTAAAAAGATAAAGTGAAATGGCAGGGGAAAAGTGAATCTCTCGTGCGCAGCCAAGGAACTCAACACGTTTTTATTTTATTTTTTCCACAGAACCTGGTTCTTCGGAAGGTAACTAGTCCATAAGCTCGATTCGATTGACGCACTGACTGATTCAACCATTTCATTATGTAGAAATTAGCAACTTTTGCAAATTGACATACGACGTGTCTTTCCCTTTGACTGCCAAGCTGTAAGTTACCTATCAATTATTCGACGGCTCGCCCTTTGTAAGTCGACGCTCACCTTTTTTTTATTGTTTTTAAATAAGCGATGTCAACGGTGACAACGAAGCTCCTTTGTTCAAGTTCTTGAAGGAATCGCAACCTGGCATTATGGGGTAAGATATACAACGGTTACTTTTTACGGCAAGACAGTGGGTTCTCATTCAACTCTTTTCATGTTTATTACAGTTTGAAGCGTGTCAAGTGGAACTTTGAAAAGTTCTTGGTGAACCGCAACGGTGAAGTGGTTCAACGCTATTCCTCACTCACTGAACCCAAATCAATGGAAGCTGATATTGAGAAGCTTCTGTGATCGTAAACTTTTTCCCGAAGTTTTCTTCAGTTGGTCAGAATAAAACAATATGGCCCTAGGGTCGTCCCAATCTCTTTCTTTTTCTTTTCTTTTATTTTCTTGTCATGGTTTCTAAACAGCAAATGTTTGTGTGGGGTGGTTTGCCCATCACTGTCTTTGGCTTGGACGAACACAAAGCCAAGGGCGTTGACCAACCTGTTGCGGTCGTGTTTGCTTTGCATGGTCGATTGCGTAAGCTTATCATTGTCCAACTGTCATGACTAATGACAATTCCCAGACTCACTCATGACCATTATTAGAATCTGAGCAAAAGATGCAACCTATTGCTGAAGCATTGTGCGGTCTCAATGAAGCGGCCAACAAACGACATTTAATCGTGGTAACTTTTGATCATCCCAATCACGGTCAACGGCTGCGTCACAAACAGGCCAACTATGCTTGGAAAGAAGGCCGACATGAAAATCCCGATCATGCCTTGGATATGTGGGCCATGCTGTATTCCTCTTCGCGAACCATATCCGACCTGATCGATGTCTTGGAGTATTATCTGTTCGACCGTCAAACCGTAACACCACCCCGTATCCAAGCCTGGGGCGTTCTCGGATTCTCAATGGGTGGTCATGCCGCCTTTATGGCCGCGGCTGAAGGTAAACGTCAACCCACTCACATACAATCTTTTCCCAAAACCCTTTCCTTGTCTCTCTCTTTTCCTTGTGATCCCTCGTCAAACTGATGCGTTTCTTTTTTGGTAGATCCTAGAATTACGGTATCTATTCCTATTGTGGGAACCGCCGATTTCTTGGGACTTTTGCGTACTCGTCTCCAAGACAACGGGTTATCGTCTGCTCAACATTTACCCGCTTCGCTGTGCGAAGCCATTCAGCGTCGCACGGACAGATTGGAAGACCGGCTCAAAGATACCAAGCTGTTAATTATCAGTGGAGAAAAAGATAAACTCGTACCGGCCGCCAGCAATGCCGGGTTTGTTCAACGACTACGACAAGTTCACAAAGGCAGCGAAAATGAGGATTGGCAATATATCGTTGTGCCAGATGTAGGTCATGAGTGGTGTCCGACGATGGTGAATGAAAGTGTTCAGTGGTGTCAACGATGGCTGCTGCAACAGGACGAAGGACAGTGCAAATTGTAAATGACCACTTTTTTTATTTTCCCGGAGATGTTAGCCTGGTCCAACTTTAGGAATATCATAATGTTCGCTAAGTTGTTCGAGCTTGTTATTAAAGTCAATGACTTTTTCCTTGTGCGATTTCATGGCTGCCTTGGCGACTCGTTCCATTTGCTAATCGATGCATGCAACAATTAACTGATTAGAACACAATGCTCAACACACTCGTTGGGTCGTCCTTACTCGTTTGCGTTGGATTTCCTCGAATTTGCGTTCAGCTTCCGTTTTCTCAATCACTTTGACAGGTTGTGGACTACCGCTTTCGCTTCGTGATCCTTCAATGGCTCGTGCCAACTTTTCCTTGTCGGATTTGCTCTTTTTCTTTTTCTTTCTACGAAATGAGATGCGCTGGTTATCATAACTGTATCCTTGACTGTATGGCCACACCGCTTAAAGGCTTACTTGATGGATGGAGAGCCGCCTCCCTTGAATTTAAGCGACCCCCCACTTACATGATCGTAAGCGGACATGAAGAAAAGCGGAAAGAAATTTCAAAAATTCGGCAGGACGGCGAAAAGATAGAACCTACGCAAAGACCCCAAAAGTAAAAAATAAAAAAGCAGAAAAAAAAGCCCGCTACTCGCACCTGCCGATCGCACCTATGACGTTTTCTCGCAACAATCCATTTTTGTTCAAAAAGGGGAAAAATCCAGTCAAACTCAGATTCACATGAAAAAGGCAAAGACTTGAAAAAGCCCAACACAACCCAAAAATGATACCCACTACTTTACCGAGCCATATTTCCCCATCCAAGTCGTCAATGTCAGAATCCAAACCAACGGTCAAGCATGGTAGACTAAGGGTAAGCTTACATTGACTTTTCCCACTTGCTCGTGGACCTTGCGCCTCACACACCTCATGACCTCTTCATAGATTCAGTTGATCAATTGTTATCTCAATGTGCCAGTCAAACGGCCTTATGTCATTGTTACCATGGGAGGTAAACTCGAGTGATACATGGATTTCTATCTTTTTCTACTGTTGCTCTGACAACCTCGACTTGTTACAGACCAGATTCATCAATCATCTATATCGGAATATTCACAGGGAAATTGGAACGAATGCTTTGAATTCTATGTCAGCTTTCATGCCCAAATTTTTGATACCATTCAGCTGGATCTGTATGATTCCTACATGTTATTGCCTGACCGGCATATCGGCCGTGCTGAAATCCGCTTGCGCCAGTTGGAAGGCATGCCGGAGACATTCACCAGTTACTACGAAATTTGGGATAAACGTTTGTCGACCGGCGCCACTTCTTCGGTGAGCCGAAAAAAAACCATGGCCGCCAATATGGGAGCATTGGAAGCCACGATTTCTTATGTGTACCAATCAAATGGGGGTTCAGAGGTCGATCATTCGCATAACATCAGCCGATATTCGCCTACCGTTGATCAGCTGGCCGCCGAAAACTTCCAGCGACAGCTTGTCAATCAACGGGCTCAGGAAACCGATGTCAAATTCCGTAAGTACGAAGAACGAGGAAAGAAACCCACTTTGGCCGAAGAAGACGGGTACCCTGATGACAGCGACTCCGATAACGAACGTCGAAGAAGACCCATCTCCTACTCTGTCCGTCGCGCCAGTCGCACCGAACTAGTACAATCGGAACCTCGCACCCCGCCTGCAAGCACGCCCGCAAGCACGACCGTCTTTAGCACCGTCACTTCTTGGCTTGGGCTTTCTTCTCAATCCAGTGCCTCCACCGACCACACCAGAGAAATGCAGCAAATGACGGAAGAACATGCTCCTTCGCCCGATTTACTGCAAGAAGAAAACGAAAGCCTCAAGACTTACCCCATTCTAGACGCTATCGGGTCATGGACAGTCACCAAAGAAACGAATCAAGTGCTACGTGCCATTGGCAAACTGCTGGCAGCTTTTGTAAGTCTAAATCGCAATCGATGGTTGTGCAACGACAAGGTCCTATGGTCATTGACTTGGGGTTCGTTTTGCATATTTTTAGGGGCAAGGTTTTGAACTGTCGCATATGCAAATTTTGACAGGGTTCAGTGTGGTTGAAAAGTTTTACAATGACATACCTCGTGATCGGACGTGGGATACGGTGGAAAGCCTTTCCGAGATTGATTTGGCTTCCCACTTTTGGCGGTTTTCTGTCGCTACGTATGGTTGGAAAGGAGTGAACTTTCTTGGTCATGGCAATGGGTATATTTCAGATGCCGTCCGCAATCAGTCGGATACGCTATCCGTAAGAGAATATCTGTCTTTACCCAAGGAGGATATGCTAGCCTACGAATTCCGCTCCACCGAAGCCTTTCGTCCCAGCTATTTTATAGCCCGCGATCGTTCCACCAACTCGATCGTACTGTGTATCCGAGGCACCATGGTAAGATTAAGCTCTGGCGGTGGTTTGCAAGGCAGGTTCATATAATCTCACTATCACTCTGCATTAGAGCATTTTTGATACCATGACCGATCTTGTATGTGAATATGAACCCTGGAAAGGAGGCTATGTCCATAAAGGCATGAAGGTAAAAAATAGAGCATAAAATTGCAGCATGAATGAAACCCTTTGTTTCTTATCCATTTTCATAGTCATCTGCATTGTGGTTTTTCCAACATATTGCGCCAAAATTGGTTGCTTACACCAACAAGCATTCCACGTCAGCATTGTATATTGTTGGCCACAGTTTGGGTGCGGCCACGGCGGCTATATTGACCATCTTGTTACTTGATTACATGGATGAGTTTCAACAGGGGAAAGAGGAACCTTTCACGCTTCAATGCTTTGGATATGCGCCGGCATGTGGTTTGAGCTTGGATTTGGCGGAAAAATACCAGGTAAAACGGTGAGCGCTGAGTTTCATAGGATAACAAGCGTTCTAACATCTCGTAATGACAGGATCACATTCAATCCATCGTGTTTGCCGATGATTTTGTTAGCAAACTGAGTTATGGTTCCATGATGGATATCAAGGAACTGATCCTCGCAGGTGCGGAAGCCGCTAAGCATCTCAGTCTCAGCCAACTTTTCTTTACGGGTGAACCGACTGGCCCAGAATGGAAAACAGCCTTTGATCGTGTGGCAGAAGCTAGGAAAAGATGTTTGGATTCCATGAGCAATCCAAGAGTAAGTGGGCAATGTATTAGCAAACTAAAAGGGGAGAGGAAAGAAAATAAGAGATCTGATTAGTTCTCCTCTTAGCTTTATGTGGCAGGCAAAGTTTATCAATTTTGGCTGGTAAGTCGAATGATATACAACGTAAAAAGAGAGTCCATTGGCTCACAATCCTCCTTAGGATCCATGTCCGGAAAACGATACCCGCATTGTCGTAGAACGAACAGATGCCAAACGGGTTTCCAGTGAACTGATTCTACGTCGATCGATTGTGCTGGACCATTTACCCAGCAATTTTGATGTCGCTTTTAGACGTGCTCGCGAAGCATTGATGGTCCACAAACCTTCGGCGCCGGGTGTGCTGGATCCCTCGACATCGGAAACCAAGGGAGAAACTACATCTTTGGATGAACGTCTACGCAAGTCACATGAAGAGTCCGACGGCTCGGACCATGAAGGCTTGAGAGGATCTTTCGAAAAGATGGGGCTTAAAGGAACCACCAAACGTAGTGGCGGTGAAGGCCATTACGTTGACCAGAATATTTAAAAAGAAAAGAAAAACACAGTTTTTTGATTCCATTCCATTGTATCCATGATTGTAGAAATTGTATCATAACACAAGCTTTTTGTAGAAATACAGGTCAAATAAAAAAATAAATACCATCTCTGTTCGATAAGCATTTCAAATTGAAAGTCAAAGTCATTAGGACAGCAGAACAAAAGTGTGCCTTTTTTACGTCGGTGCCATCTGAGGTTCGAATTTCCAAAAATCAGTTGCCCTTTTTGGCTGTCACAGTTGCTTCCGGGAAACCTTTGACATCCCACTTTGAGATCAATCATGATCGCGGTGCATCGCCTAGGTGTAGCTCGTATATCGTCGGCTTCTGCAAATGTAAGCTATACTTGGTGATTATCTTTTTGTATAGCCCGTTGAAAGTTAATTGAAATAGTTGAGGAGAAACCATACTTGGAGCCAATGCTTTGACGCCATACAATCCCGCAATCCGACGTATAATGCGCTTATCTCGGTACAGAGCCGATCCGCGCTCGAGCAATCAGCGGCAGCTTCCGACAAACGATATCAACAAGGTACTGGTTTAATGGCAAAACACGACGGGCTGGTTGCTGAATTGTTGCAATTTAGGCAAACCATTGAGTCCACTCGACGGCACACCTGTCGTTGTCAAGGATAACTTTTGCACCACCGCTTTGCCAACCACATGTGCTTCTAATATGCTCAAAGGTATATTGACCGAGTTGAAGCCATGCTGTTAACAGCGCACTAAAGACAAATTCTTTATTTCTATTTGATTGAGTGTAGATTTCACGTCGCCATACGATGCACGTGTAGTGCAACTTCTCACTGATGCTGGTGCCATCATGATGGGTAAAAGCAATATGGACGAGTTTGGTATGGGGTAAGCCTGCATACACGTTCGATCATGACGACGCATAGCTAAATTGGAAAAACCAAAGTTCGGCCAATATATACAGCGAATTTGGACCGGTGTTCAATCCACTCGACGGTCCCAAACAGCCCACTTTAGATAACCACCGTGTTGCGGGTGGAAGCTCGGGAGGAAGTGCAGCTGCAGTGGCTCTGGGCATGTGTAAAATGTATGTTGTTAGCGAACCGCTGTCATGCATCCGAAGAGATCACGATTATTAATATAAATGTAAATGAACAGTGCTTTGGGTTCTGATACCGGTGGATCGGTACGTTTGCCCGCTTCGTATTGTGGCGTGGTCGGATTCAAACCATCCTATGGCCGCTGTTCCCGAAATGGTTTGGTCGCTTATGCCAATTCGCTGGATACGGTGGGTATTTTGTCCCAAACGGTCGATGATGCCCAGACTGCGTATGGTAGGTGAATGATTTTCTTTTTGTCATCGTATCCAATAAACTAACCAATCCGCTTCAAGATGTAATTGCCCAGTATGACGAGAATGATCCTACATCCATGCCTGTACCATTAAGGGAAGCTGTGGATGGTCAGGACAGAGCACTGGCGGAGAAATGGTCATCCGACGATTTATCAGAGCTTGTCGTCGGTATTCCCGCCGAATATTACGTCGATCCCTTGTCATTGGAAGTCAAGGAAGCATGGCGCCGTGGAATCCAATGCTTGAAAGAAAGAGGAGCATCGATTGTCTCCGTGTCTTTGCCGCATACACGTTTTGCTCTTCCTGCTTACTACATTATCGCTCTAGCAGAAGCGAGCTCCAATTTAGCACGCTTTGACGGGATCCGATATGGTATGCTTCCCCAAACGCTTCAACAAAAATTATCCAAGGAACAAAATGACTCATGTGGATGTATAGGCCATCGCAGCGGAGATAAAAACTCGGCGGATGATCTGCTCTATGCCGATACACGGTCGGAGGGATTTGGACCCGAAGTCCAACGTCGTATTCTTTTGGGAACGCATGTTCTTACAGCAGGGTAAATTGCTGGACTTCATTGGTTCTTCAAAATGTCATGCTCAACTTGTATGGTTTATTCAGGACTTACGAAAAGCATTTCCTTCCTGCGCAGCAAACGCGTCGTCTTATACAACGCGATTTTGATGACGTTTTCTTATCGCCGAATCCACTTTACAGCAGCAAGGAAGCCGCAGCCGAATCGATGGGCACCAAGGCGCATGTCCTCTTAACACCTTGCGGCATTTCGTCCGCACCCACTATAGAAGAAAGCCGACACTCAAGTCGTCCTGTGGATGCCTTTGTAAATGATGTCATGACAGTGCCGGCCAGCTTGGCCGGTTTGCCTGCCATTGCGATACCCTTTGCAAAATCTAGCGACAGCGGGTACCCGATTGGGCTCCAACTATTAAGTCAATACGGTCACGATCGCTCACTGCTGCGTATTGCACGCGTGCTTTCAGAATGTAAATAGAAAAAACAAAGTTGCGTCCTAGATACATAGTAAAATTACACAGGTTATTGGTTGACCGATGCAGTAGCAATTAAAATATGAGTTTATTCATCATTGAGGATACACAAGCAGGTGTGTGTCACAGAAATTGATGGAAGGGAATAATGCATAGTTGCTCATGATTGAGACCAATTTTTAATTGGCGGCGGTGTTCATTTGCACAAGTTTCACGAATGCAGGACGTTGAGTATGTCGTTCATAGTAACTCTTGACATGGGGACGGTCGGCGGGGACTTCCAGGCGCCACTTGGTTTGTGCAGCATACAGCATGGCAACGGCGTGAAGGTCCAAAAGCGTAAAGGTGGAGCCATGAAGATATTCTCGACCATCGGCCAAGTAGTTATCCGTATCTTCCAACAGTTTGGCCCACAGTTGAGTTTGTTGTTGTTGACGTTCAAAACTCATGATACCTTGAGCACGTGCGTCAAATAGATTCAAACGTTCTGTGTAGGCTGCTGCCAAGGCGGGATTTGCCTGAGCGTTCTTTTCAATGCTGTCACGTTCCGCTTTCAAGTCGGCTGCACGCTTGTCTGTGTTTTCATCGGCTGACTTGGGACCCAGAGCAATGACTTTGAGCTGGATAGCATGCCATCGTTGGAGTTTTTCGATGACTTGGGCGTCGTCGGCGTGCAAAGGATGGTCGGGGAACTGTTTATCAAGATATTGACCAATATCGATGGTTTCGGCCGTCGCTTTACCATTGTGAACAAGCACAGGGACGAGACCCTTTGAGTTCACTTGAATGTACCAAGGTTCGTTATTTTCCCCCCTGGCCAGTTCCACTTTTTGCAGGGTAAAACGATCGATCACCTGCTTTTCGAGCAAATTCAGCAAGCCAATGTTAGAGAAGGTGGAACCAGGTTTGTAATAAAAAACGTTCGCGTCGTTGGTCATAATGGTGCAAATACAGAGAGATTTTTCTACCAGGTGCTCGCGAGCACTGAACCGTTATTTATAAGCTTTTCCGAATTCCGCTCGGTGTGCGTGATACAAATAAAAAAGCACGGAAACGGTGGCTCTGCCCTTTAAAATTACGACGGTCTGTAATATACCCACTCACTTTCGCACTATCTATCCTTGTAGTGATGTGTCATAAATAGGAAAGAGCCAAACTAAGCTATTTTACATTTTGGGCCTATTGATACTGTAGATAGCTTGAGTCTATCATTGATTACCATTCCTATGGATCTTTTAGGCCAACACTACAGACACTCGGTTTTCCACTCGAAATTCAAATGAGCGTGACTCATGCTCCTCGTATCTGAAAAAATAAAATAAAATTGAAATTGCAGTAGATCAATGAAACAAGAGCATTCGGGAACAAAGCTTTGATTGCGGTCAAAATTCTGAGTGTCCCAATTTTTTTTTCTTTTTCGCGCTGAACTCCAACGATGTTCAATTCTTGCTAATGCTGATAATGGCGCTTCGCTCGATCAAGTTGAAGCATTTACTCGTCTCATCAAAGTTACCGAGAATGGCGTTACCAATAAGAAGACGTATTCTTCCAAAGAAGAGATCCGCGAGGCTTTCAACATCTACGGCAAAGAGCATAGCATCGTCTTCAGTACCGAAACCTCCAACCAGTATAATTTGAAGCTTATCTGTACACAGTACTGCGTTTACAGACTCAAGAAGAATGCAACCGCTCAAGAGCAAGAAGATGCCGACGAGGAATCGGCGAAAGGTTAAAAGAATAACCAACAGCCAAAAGTTCGGGTGCGACTGCTTTATCGAAAAACTTGGTTGGTACATCAAAGAGTGGAGTGCTGAACACAATCATCCCAGCCCCAAGCCACTAGCACCTACGCCAAATATCGTGCGCAGTCCTCAGAAATGGAATCCAAGATCAGAACGCTTCTCAAATCGGGTCTAAACCCTCAAGCGGTCCTGACTGTTCTTCACGCTGAAGGAATCCATAATATCGTGAAGAAAGATCTCGAGAACCGGTACTTCCATCTTGTCAAAGCGACGAATAGCAAGATGCTCGATTACGATTCGGCCTGCAACGTAGAAAATTACATCATCGATTACACGTGTGGTGTTTGTGAATAAAAGAAATGTAAAGACAGAGAAAAACCTGAAACCTTTTGAGACTCTGATTATTCAGAAACAAGAAAGGGAAAAAAAGGCCCAGATCAATTCTTCATTCTATGTCTGCTTATCTAGTTTATGATGAATCGTCATTTGAATTGATCGTATTATAAAAAATCGTTTATCCTGTAGATATTGCCGCTGAATGTACTGTAGATGAATGGCAAGAGGATACGGTTGTCCTTGTGACTTTTGGTTAACAAGGAGACGATGAATTTGAGAATGTGGATGGCATGATTATTCTATGGCATGATTGTTAATGTCAAAGGTCGGTTCCTGAATAAAGATGGTCATGAGGTTCATTTTCACTGATTAGGATTTGAGTGTGGTACAACGCGTTTTGAGGATGGGATTTATCCATGGACATGTACATAATGCGATGAAAGAGGGATGTATGTATGTGGACTACATTATTTTTATTATACCAAACAAGACGTCAGCAATGTCATGTCAACAAAAGTGGGCTTAGCCACTTTTGAGATCGCTGGTGCGTGGATCCGCGAAGAGCAAATTCATAACTATGAATAGGCCTTGAAGTCTTTTAGGCTGCTGTTTGGCCCGAGAATCTTGAAGAGAAGCTCAACCTCCTTTCTGCAATCGTAACTGATAATGACAAGGCGCTCCGAGCTGCAATTACAAATGTGTTTCCTGCAGCACACAATATCCTGTGCTACATCCACCTTCAACGAAACTTCGAGATCCAGTTGATGAAGCAGGTAGCGGAAGAAGATAAAGACAGAAGGGAACTCGTGAAGCTTGATATCCAGGAGATGTTTCAGAATATTGCCCTGAGTGCTTTTACGGAGCAAGGATATGAATGAAGTGGTCCGCGAAATAAAGGACTATTTTTTGAAGGATGGTGTATGTCATCCAACAAACAAAAACCAAAAACCAAAAAAAAAAAAAAAAAAAAAAAAAAAAAAAAAAAAAAAACGTGAGTTCACCTATTGTATACACAAATGAGCTTGGAAATTGAGCAGCTGTATATGTTGAAAACTGGTAGCTCTGAGGTGATGGAAGTGGTAAACTTGACTGAGACATTTAAAGAAATCAGGCTTCAAAGTATATCGACCTGTAAGTTTATCGAAAATGCTCGCTATGTATCAGTATCTTGCAAATGCACTTATTTGACAGTATGATGAAAGAAGCCAAGCATTGGACGGGATTCCATACGTATAGACACATGCATCTGGGAAATCGATCAACAAACCGAGTCAAAGGATCTCATTCATCCCTGAAGCACTCTATTCATTTATCATCGAATGCCATCAGTATTGTGACAGACAAAATTTATATGTGGATCATCCATAGACGCGTAAGTCGCTCAAACCACGTTTGTTTTCAGCTACAGTAATATCAAACGCCAGTGAAGTAACTGTTATTTTAGCAAACCGAGTGACAGCATAAGGCTAAAATGGAGATCCTGTAATACTGGGCCCACTATATCAAACAGTACCATATCTACCAGAAATTGGGAGGTTTGATTCAGAAAATCCACGCATTCGCTTTCGATAAGATTTTCAGTGAGCTTTTGAAGATCAAAGCTTCCGTGGTGCTGTATTCCCCCAAAACGCATGCCTTTGGGCAGTAAGATTTCAATATAACATTTTATGTAAGCATATTTTAGTCCAACACACTATGCAGTTGCCGTTATCTATTGTACCAGAGATGGCGTATGGATTTCAATGAAAGAGAAGATGGTAGTATATCTGCAAGGGAGTCTATACGGTAGAATGGCTTCTCAGTAATATGATTGCTAGTTCCGTGGGTTAGGGCAAATCTGGTTATTGCAAGAACTCATGTCTTCCAAAACCGAGAACGTGATTGCCGAAAACCAAGCATGGTAAGTTTTAAGAACCCAGTACAGTAAATGATACTATCATTCAAAATATTAACGGACTGGTAATACATAAGAATACAACGAAACTTGCGAACAGCCTACAGAAAACGCAGTGTCTATGGATCAGCAAACTCCGAGTAATAAAGATGAGCTCACAATATTGGTCGTGATCACTTATTTATACTTGCAGAAGCGGATGACGAAGAAGACCAGCATGGCGCAGGAAGTCTCAATGTGCGTGACATCTCTGAAGGTAGTGATCTGTTGTATTAATTTCTCTTTTGCATAACCTTTCAAAAGCTAATAATGGATGACAACTTATTACAGATTTCTCAATCTGGTTTCTGAAGAGCAAATTTCGCCTTCATTGTGGCCTGCTCTTGATTTCTCTTCAATCCGTTCAAGATCAAAAGGATCTAATTGACGAGGTGACGAAAACCGCCTAAGGCCAAGCAGGCCAAATCTCCAACATGTTTTGCCTCCTTCTATCGGCATCGAGAATAAAAGAACGACCTAAAGGACCAAAAAGGCGCCAAATCTTGTACGAGATAATAGCCGAGAAAGAGGCCAAGAAGGCAAAGTTGGAGCAGAAAGCAGAGGAGAAAAAAAAAAGAAGGAAAAAGAAAGGTATGATTATGAGCTAGACGCGGTATCTGCATTGTTAATAACTTCGTCAATCACAGAGATCTGGCAGTCATGATGGTCATCAAGGCGATCAGTTACTTGAACATTCAAGATCCACAGAAGAAGAAAATGACGCAGATTTTGGACCCTGAAGGCGGATTCCGTTGCATTGCACAAGCTGTCCGTGGTGACGAGAGTTGTGCACTGTAGGTCAAAAGGGGAGATGATGAAGTGATTCAAGAAAAGCAAAGACGGTATCTGCGAAGGTTTGTGCAAGACTAGGCCTAATTCGACTGAGACGCTAATGGACAAAAACTAGGAATCATGGATAAGATTGTTGTTGCCAATATACTGAAAAACTTCGTTCAATACCCACCAGAGGATTGCTGGTTTGAAGCCTTGGATTGTCCACAAATTGTTGCCGACGTCTACAATCGGGCTGTTGCCGTGTATTCCGAAACAGACGGCAATGTCTTGTATCCCCCTCTCCGCTCTGAAGCACCCGAAGTCTTCAAGTCAATCATGCTATATCTCGAACAGATAAAAAAAATGCATTGGTATCTTATTGCCTTTAGAAACAAATGCCACAAACTGGATTGGCCCTCACTCCTCCCACCTACAAATCAGCATGCCGCAAATTGGGCACAGAAGACAACAACGTTCTATATAAATAAAATATGGATAACACAGAAAGTAGAATATAGCAGATCCACAGGAAAAGGTTGCAAGATGAAGGACGAAACCGAGTGTCTGAAGAGGCCATTTATTGTCGAAAGATTTACCGTGAAGCCACGCTAATTAAATTTAAAACTGAGGGGGAAACCGAGTGTCTGTGCTGTTAGCCTTTCTGCAACACACGTAAACTGCTCGAATTAAAATAAAAAGCCACACAATCATTATCAATGATTTCTGCATTAAGTCATTTCAATGTTGTGTGAGAAAGTCAGTTGCTATTGCAGTGGAATTATAGCCAAATGGATCCATTTACTTGAACTTGCAGTCCAGTGAATTCGGTGAATCCACTCAACAGTGGCCAAATGGATCCATTTACTTGGACTTGCAGCCGAGTGAATCCAGTGAATCCAGTTCATAGTGGGATTGCGGCCGAGTGAATCCTGTGAATCCAGTCTACAGTGGGATTGCAGCCGAGTGAATCCTGTGAATCCAGTTCATAGTGGGATTGTGGCCGAGTGAATCCAGTTCATAGTGGGATTGCGGCCGAGTGAATCCAGTCAATCCAGATCATAGTGGGATTGTGGCCGAGTGAATCTAGCGAATCCAGTCTACAGTGGGATTGCAGCCGAGTGAATCCAGTGAATCCAGTCCATAGTGGGATTGTGGCCGAGTGAATCCAGTGAATCCAGTCTACAGTGGGATTGCAGCCGAGTGAATCCTGTGAATCCAGTTCATAGTGGGATTGTGGCCGAGTGAATCCAGTTCATAGTGGGATTGTGGCCGAGTGAATCCAGTTCATAGTGGGATTGCGGCCGAGTGAATCCAGTCAATCCAGATCATAGTGGGATTGCGGCCGAGTGAATCTAGCGAATCCAGTCTACAGTGGGATCGCAGCCGAGTGAATCCAGTGAACCCAGTCCATAGTGATAAGCGCCCCCCCCCCCCTGTGAACAGCTTCGCGGTGACTATAGGTCAATGGGCGTGCATGCGCCAATCGCCGTTGATCACATCACTCCAATGTTGCCTGAGAATCGCGGTTTTTGAAATATTCAATGGCAACGCTACGAAAAAAAAAGATCTTAGAACGGTTTCAATGATTTTAAGGCTCAATCGTACCTGTTTCGTACGATATCTTGCACTCGAACATTACTGTGTCGGGGCATATCGATACGAGCTTCTCTGTCAACGGGGGCAACCCAGGTGCCAGTGTTCTGGTTGCTCAGTAAATCATGGAACGATGATGACGACGTGAGTAGGTGATGCTCCGCTCCATCTTCTTGAATGAAACATATCGGCCGCCATTCACCGTTCGACGCAAGTTTGAGCACGGTATCTCGGGTTTTTAAGTCCTTGTCTTGAGCATCGCAAGACCCCAATATGACGGTTGTTGCGTCCGACTTCGTTTTTCTTTTCTTCTCACGCCGGCTGCTTGATGCTTCGTTCTCTTTGTTAGGCGCTGCTTCTAGCATTACGGACCTACAGGGAAGATCATGCTGTGAAGCTGCATGTTTTTGTAACGATCTAAAGCTCTGAGAACTGTGGAGCAAACATAGCACGTGAATCCACTTTCTGTTTTCGTGATGGTTTGTTCTACACATAAAAGAAGGCCAGTCAATAACTGTAGCTTTTACAAAACGGTTGTCGATCCTTACCGGCAATCCCAAGTAAAGCTACCTCCACGTGAACAAGCTTATGGTTTTGCAAAGAACCGTTACTCGCAAAGCATGTTTCGCATGTCCCGCATTTGTGTTTTGTTTCCATTGCAACACTTGAAATGGAGTATAACGAATATAGGATACCAGGTATGGAAAAATTTGGACAAGTGTAATATGAAAGGCCAACACACAGACACACGGTTTTCCACTCGAAATTTGATCATCTCACTGTGAGTGAACCCACTCGCTACACCCCACTGTGAAGTGGCTCCACTCCGCTGCAATCCCACTGTGAATGAATTCACTCGGCTGCAATCCCAATGTAGACTGGATTTGCTGGATTCACTCGGCCACAATCCCACTATGATCTGGATTCACTGGATTCACTCGGCCACAATCCCACTATGATCTGGATTCACTGGATTCACTCGGCTGCAACCCCACTGTATACTGGATTCACTGGATTCACTCGGCCGCAATCCCACTGTAGACTGGATTCACGGGATTCACTCGGCCGCAATCCCACTGTAGACTGGATTCACTGGATTCACTCGGCCACAATCCCACTATGGACTGGAATCACTGGATTCACTCGGCCACAATCCCACTGTAGACTGGATTCACTGGATTCACTCGGCTGCAATCCCACTGTAGACTGGATTCACTGGATTCACTCGGCTGCAATCCCACTGTAGACTGGATTCACGGGATTCACTCGGCCGCAATCCCACTGTAGACTGGATTCACTGGATTCACTCGGCTGCAATCCCACTGTAGACTGGATTCACGGGATTCACTCGGCCGCAATCCCACTGTAGACTGGATTCACTGGATTCACTCGGCTGCGATCCCACTGTAGACTGGATTCACTGGATTCACTCGGCCACAATCCCACTGTAGACTGGATTCACTGGATTCACTCGGCCGCAATCCCACTGTAGACTGGATTCACGGGATTCACTCGGCCACAATCCCACTGTAGACTGGATTCACAGGATTCACTCGGCCGCAATCCCACTGTAGACTGGATTCACAGGATTCACTCGGCCGCAATCCCACTGTAGACTGGATTCACTGGATTCACTCGGCCGCAATCCCACTGTAGACTGGATTCACAGGATTCACTCGGCCGCAATCCCAATATAGACTGGATTCGCTGGATTCACTCGGCCGCAATCCCACTGTAGACTGGATTCACAGGATTCACTCGGCCGTAATCCCACTAGCGGTACATCATCCATTGTCATCGGCACCGTCGAATGGTACTGTCGGTTTGCAGAGATCGACATCCATCATGAACGACGTGCCAACGGTGTGATTTCAAGTCAGCCAGAGCGAGCAGAGAAATACGGCTTTCTCAAAATTATATTTTATCGCCGTTCAAGTGTTGAAGAAAGGTGAAAAAGCAACTTTGTCCAAGCAATATTTACATAGCATGGGTGAGATGTTTTCGAAATCAGAAGTCGCGAAAGTCCTCCGCTCGATTGAGCATAAAATGTGGACTCTCTCAAAATCATCGGGAACTCAATGCTGAACGCCAAATTGACAGATCTAGCGGCGATGATTACACCGAGTTTGACCCATCTCAATAGCAAACGGTGCCAGGATCTCTGTGACAGAGTTTATTGTTGACTTTATTTTCTGCTTCTTTTCATTACTTCATTTGTAGTATGCATATATATTAGCTGTTTTACCCTTCTTCGACATTTCCACTTTTCATGATCCAATCGTTTCATTTCGTATCATTAATAATTCAAGAGATCCCTTTGCATGACATGTAATAAATACCAATATCCTATGTATGACATCACAAACGCTAGTGGGAACTCAAATTTCTAGAAGATAGTCAGATTTTGTGGGCGAACGCCTCAATTTGGGCCGCGTTGCCAGCCGCCCACGTTTGCTGTGAAGTTTATACGCAATATGAGCTGAAGATGTCCAGTAGAATTCAGATACCGGCTTTGAGCTGGCCAAAAAAAAAAAAAAAAAAAAAAAAAAAAAAAAAAAATAGGACCTCTTGACGTCGCACTTCTTTCGTTTATAGGAGGTGGCATAACCACCAGTATGGCACGGAGCGCCGTCTTCTTGGAGGATAAACTGCCTTCCGGTTTCTTTAGTGAAATACTGGAACCAGGGAAGAAGCTTGTTGACCAGGCAGTCGAGATAATCGTCTAGATCGATATTGCCAGTTAAGGACACCGAAGGACCAAGTCCGCCTTCCCAAAAGTATCTCCAGACCGTGACCGAGCCTTTATACCGTAGTTGTGTATATAGAGCGTTTGTTGCGCCAGGTACGTTTCATTGCTTTTTCTGGCAAGTCATGTTTATCGATGCCAATTACCCTGAATGGCGATTTGTTCGACCAAATCACGGATATTTACTGCTCCATGGTCCAGCCAACCTTTTCAGTGATCAGACCAGCGCGACTGGCCATCTGGTATATTGCTGTACAGCAATCAATATGTACTTGTTACCTTGAGTCGTGATAGGCAGAGGTCCCAATTAATCCAATGCGAAGCGTCCAAAGAGACATAGTACCGTCGCGGATCCTCGGTGTCGTTTTCGGTATAATAAAAATGATACAGTTTACATACATCCTTCCTTTCTCAACACATTATGCACATGTCCATGGATAAATTTATACTTATCTCGTGCTTGATCAAAGACCTCTGAGTTATGGCAGTTTAATTATACCGAGTTGTACCACACTCAAATCCTAAACAGTGAAGGCGAAACATCTTTATTCAGGAACCGACCTCTGACATAAACAATCGTGCCATAAAATAAGCTTTCTTGATTCATCGACAAGAATAAAACATATGGAAAAGATTCAGAATACTTCGTCTTCATGACAATTTACCCACACAATGTACTTATGTAAGCTCTTTATAAAAGAATCTATACGCCATTATTGCTAAAGAAAAGATTGAAAGTGACAATAAGAAAAAAGATCCCAAAAGGATATAAACAAATGGATAGTTGGATAAAAATAGGCTTATTGTAGACGATGGAAAAGCGGTAAAAAGAATTATTCATTGTTCGGGACACTGACGATATAATAAGGAAGCGCAGGCTAACAAGATCAAAACAAGGTTAGCATTATTTGAAAAACATACTGGTTTATCTGTCACTGTCACTGTACCTGAATCTTTTTGTTCTTATCACATTGGACGAGCCAATCAGGCTTGACAATCGGTATAGAGTGCTTCACGGCACGATCATAGTTGGCACCGCCTGGAAGTTGTGCTAATAAATGGGTGGTGTCGCAGTCCACTTCCTCCGTCCATGTAGCCCCCATACGGTCCACGAGTTCTTTCAGTTCCGAAATGGCTGGCTCCGAGGCTTCAAAGATACCAAACGCTACTCTGATGCCCGTCAAGTTCTCCATTTGATGTGTACGTGCCACCACGCGATTCGACTCAAATTTGCCTGCCGTTGTCTTGATCACAATGTGAAACTCAAATTCGTGATCCACATCCAGTCCCGAAAGTTTGATATAGTTGGTGTCGCTCGGTACGTGCTGTTGGTGCTCATGCTCAGTTACAATTTCCTCGTTGAAACCCTTTTTCTCGCGCCTATCTTACCTGAGCCAGTTTTGTGTCGTTCTTGTACACATCCAGGGATCGGAGCTTGGCTGTTTTGAGCACCAAGGGATCCCATTCCAGTGTGAGGGATGTCTGCGTGATGTTCCTTACGCGCAACACCGGGTTTTCAGGTTCCGCGTTGCCAAACGCATTGAGAATGGCTTCCTGAAGGTCCCAGAATTCGCGCATTTTCTCCTCTTCTTTAGGTACGTTTCGAGTGACGGCAATATTGACAATGCTACCAGAGGTAACGCCATTGGGAAGCAGCAAGGACGGAAACTCGATAAGGTGATGATCCTCTGTTAAGAGGATAGCCTAAAAAACAATGAGGGCGTTATATTCCTTTGCCTTGTGCTATACTACCAACCAAAAAATAAAAAGAGGAGAGAGAAAGAAGCATACCATGCCTGCATCGAGCTTGCCTACTGTGAATTGGACAGAAGTCATGTTGTGTGAAGGACAAGGAGTTGAAGGTGGATAATCAAGTCCACTTGGACTTCAAACTCGAATAGGCACCGCTGGCCCACCCACGTCACTCAACTCCGAAAACTGTTGCTATTTTCAACATGTTTCTTGGCTGATTTTTTATTGTATTGAAAAAAAAAAAAGGTTGAGAGGATCGCTATCCACCACCATTAGAAGCGGTCTCTTCTGTTATAAAAGGGTCGGGCATCTCTTCCAAAGCGGCGATCTCTCCTGTCGTTGTCACCAAATCGTGATCCGCGGTCATTTCTCATGTCGTTTCTGGGACGGTCTGTACGTGGAGGTGGTGGGCCGATATGTATCGCAACGTCCAAGTAATCGCCAATTACAAAGTTACATTCGTCCAACGTTTTTGACTGATCTGCTGATGGCTCGATATATGTCACACGGCCGAGGTTTCTACTACGGAACATTGCTCGATCGCTGTCAAGATAGATAAGACGGAATACAATACGAGCATCAGGATGCTGTGCGTCTGGAATAACTTCTCGAATAAGTTGAGCTAATTCTTCCAATGTAGCATCCTTCCTAGTGAACGAGGAAAAAAGAAAAATAGATTAGCAATTCATTTTTTTTTTTTACCACAACAACACCTGTCACGATGTTGTGCAGACGCATTTACCAGGTATACAGTTGTAATTCGTCTTCTTCGGGTACACCTTCTAAGGAGAATTGACGAGCCCTAATATAGTTCACTGTGAGTTGAAAGTTGGTGTCTCCATTATTTGTATGGTATTACGCATGAAAGCCGCCCAGGCGCGTAAACACTCGCAGTAAGAAAGGACAATCCTATTGAAATTCATCGCAAAGAGTGAGCATCCGATCCGTTCTTCAAGTTTGAGTTCAAGCAACCCTGCAGAAAAGTCATGCTTTTTTCTTTCCGTAGCGAACAGTGTCATGCTTGCTCCCGTTAATAGTTCATGGCTTACCTTTTCTCGATTGACAGGAACGGTTTGTGCCATTGGTTTTTTATTTTTCTTTGTGAAGGTGGTTGAGCGAAAAATAGGCTACGCGAAAAATTCAGGTCAAAGCAACTTGCACAGGAAAAAGATTTCGCAGTCCAAAAAAGTCGCACTGACACATCTTTAAACCCGTTTGACTGGCCCATATCCCAAGCACTTCAGCACAGTCATAGACACTTTCTATGAAAGTTTTCTTTAATCAATGAATCTACGGATTACATCAAATTACATTGTCCCCAGTCTTTGCCCATAAGCGAAAAAGTTAATCGGATACAGAACCGTAAGAGGACATCCTTTTTCGAAATATCGCTCAATGAGTTGGCAAGTGAAATATCGCATCATACTACAAAATTTCCTATTAATGAATCTATTATGCAAAAGGAAGCATAGGAGTGCGAGTCTTATAGTGATTCTGTATGTATGCAAAAAGAAAAGAACAAGAGAATGAAATTGCAGTGGCAAAATGAGAGGAAGTGATCATGAATATGAGTGGATTATTGGGAAAGGAAAACGAAAGCGTAAGTAATCATATTAGGAGTATACAGGATTAACTTACCCTGAAGGTATATTTGGTATCGGTATTCTTCGAGTCTAGGTGGCCAAGCAAGGGAGACGTGGTGCATGAGTCCTCCAAGACAGCTCGTTTTCCAGCGTCCTAGACATAAAAATTGAACGAGCTTGGGAGAACCACCGTCATATGATGGCAAAAGGTCTACCAAAATATATGCTACCATGGATACGAAAACAGCTGGGAGCAACTGAGTGATTGATCACAGAGTGACGCATTAAACTCAACAGATGTGAAAAGTGGCAGCAGAGTTAAAACTGTGTATGTTGCCACGGAACTCTTTTTCCTTTGCGAACATCGGATTAAAAGGAGATTAGCTAAGATAGCTGGAGTACGCTGTTAATCGGAGTAGACCCTGAGGATGGTTTGGGAGCGTTTACTTTCACTGGGTACAGATTCATTCAGTAAGCGTTTCATTCAGCTTATTAAAGGAGCCGCAGATCATGTAGAAAATCTTGGTCATCGGCTTTAACAACCTTATCCAAGACGAATTATCTTGGAATTTCGCAAGATTTCCGGATTCCCATCTAAAACCGCTAATTTAGCGGCGAATCAAAATGGCTGCGAGAGTTTACTTTAGAGATATAAAAGAAGAGATATTTACAGTGCTAAATCAGGTTTGGTTTGTAATTTTTTCAGCCATCATGGCCACAATGGCCGCGCCTACAATACGCGAGTGCTTCACAATGCCTACCGACAACGTCGACGCAATCGATGGCGGAAGAAGCGCTTTCAGCGTTTTGCATACTCGCGGATGGAACGACGGATAATCTTCATATATGCTTCCACTAATGGCTGCAGAATAGGGAATATCAGTCTCAACATCGTGAAGGCTGTCATCATTTCTACATATATTAGTTTGTTAGACTTACATATCGTGTATCCCGGCTGATCGGGCGATGTGGCGACTCCGTGATCCACCATGTGAAGAACCACAGCAGCAATAGCCGCTCCCATCAAGACGGCGGCCCGGCTGCCTACAAGTTCACACACTTTCTTGACAATCTCTCGATCAGCTACCGTGGTCCGCGAAAGATTCAACATGTCTTCCAACACGATGCGGGTATCGTCGAGGTTGTCGGTTTGGTCGCCCTCGCACACATACATGTAGCTCGTGTCAAAACTGTGAGACACATTCAAAATCTCGGACGATTCGCCGCCAAATAAAAGATCTTGATCCACAAGATAGATTAAAATATTCCGTACAAGTTCGCCCAGAAACACGCCCGTCGTCATTTTTTCAAAAACGTGAAATTGCGGATTGATTGATTCACGATCCAATTTGCGATCAAACCAAGTGCGCGGTAGTGTGCGGTGAGAAGACCCAAAATTGCACCATTCCGTATTGATGATCATATCGTGATCTTGGGGAAAGCTCAAGTGGCGTAATTTCTTGACATTACCGATGCAGTCGTAATAAGCACAGTTGGTTCCGAGATTATGCACGATTCCCAGACGCGTCGCTGGATGTTGGTACGCGTGGGCCAGCAAGGTACATACAGTATCTACAGCAATAACAATCCGGGATCAGTTGGATCTTATGCCAAAAAAATTCTCGGCGGTTGACACTCGTGCTCCATACCGTTGGCTATGGCTACGATTTTGATGGGAAGTTGTTTATCATTGATTTTTTCATGCATCAGTTGAACAATGTCAACGCCGACGCCGTTGGGATAGCTGAATCCGTGACCTAATGACATGATCCGCCCGCTGCTCAATCCTGTTTGCTTGATAGCAAAGCCAAAGGAGATCGCCGTGGGATAAATAAAGTGCTCCTGAGTTCCAATTCGTAATAGAAAATCCGCTAGGCAATCCGCGACATATTCGATCAGGACGCCAAAATCACTGTCCGTCGTAAGGTCCTGAGGAATCTTGTACTGATACTGGTTGATGGCTAGCTTTCCATTTTCGCCTTTGAGCTTAACCTGACACACATACACATCCATACCGGCGATTTCCAGGGCCAAATACGTCCCCTTCTCATTTCCGGTTGGATAGCCTAATTGAGTTTTTTTTTTTTGAGTCTCAGAAAATCGCTCATTCTGGGAAAGGCATATGCCACAAAGAAATTATAAAAAAAAAAGGTTTGCTTGTGATACCTGTGACATAAGAAGGAATCATATTGAGGTCGCTTCCACGGTCGTTCACTAGCCCTTCTTGCATTTCGTTCCTAAACGATGCAATCACCGCCAACAAAGCTTGCTTTTCCAGGCACATTTCGCGATGCAGATCCAGAATGACCTGTTGCTGCTTGTCACTGCCATGTTTCAATGCTGGCAACACTTCCAGGACAAATGGCGATTCTTCGGGGGTATACAACGCAGGAAAGGCGGAGGTAGGTGTTTGTTGGAAAGTCATTAGGCCAACAAGAAAAGGCACACTTGGTGAAATGAGAGGCCACGACGCAAGTGCTCACAGACTCGGAATACTTTCGATGGCAGAAAAGAACACCGATGGAATTTCCCGAGAAAGGGGAAATATGGGTCGAGGCGGGAAAATTCGACCCTCATCAAAAAAGAAACAACAGTCAACCACTTGCCTTTTAAGGCACCTTTTCCCTTTGCTTCCATGGTTTGCTTCCATGGCTTCAGATAAAAAGAAACACGTTACACTTTTTCTCCTTTTTCTTCGCTTTTTCCTTTTTCATGGCTTTTTATTGGACAACTTTTCACAGGGGATTTCCCCCCAATCTTTGTTCGTTTAATAACCGCCAAATTCCCGGGAAGCATAATGATCAGCTGCTTGTTCGGCACTGCGCTGGGCGGCTTCTTTCTGAGAGTGAGACCAGTTGTGGGTTTCAGCAAACTTGACCACTTCAGCAGCCGCAAATGCAGCCACGGCCTGCTTAGCAAACCCATACGACACGGGTTTACCTTGCGCTTCCTGACGACGGCGATAAGCCTTGACGGCTTCATAAGCTGCCGCACCGGCAATCAGTTGATGCGATAAATGCGCTTTTCTCTCTTGGTATACTTCTCGGTGGGCCTCGGACGCTAAAATGATATTCAGCATCAAACCACGCGAAAATATTGCAATTTTTTTTTTCTTTTTTGGGTACCTTGCTCATACGAGATTGGCGCACAGTCGTTGCTAGAATAACTGCTGGTAGTGTAGCTACTGGTGCTATAGCTGCTGTAAGCGGGATTCTCATCGTCGGGCGGACCATAACCAGCTAATCCACCGGAGGATTGTCTTTGTTGTTCGTAACCAGGAGGAGGTCCGTAAGCTCCCCATTGCGATTGCTGCTGTTGCTGTTGCTGGGGGGCGGGTTGTTGCTGGTATCCGGGAGTGCCAAAGGGCTCGATAGTCCATTGCTGGTTGTCATTTTCGGTATCTTTGCGCAAATACAAGATCACTTTGGTGCCATCCTTATCCTTGCCACCCTACAATTAGTACATTAAAGTACCGTCAGTTCCATAAAGTATCACAACGATCAATTTATTTAGCTCACCTTGATGTCCAACACGAGGCGAGGGTCAGCGAGAACGTAGATGAAACCATCACGGTAACCCCATCGCTGATTGTGGGCTCTAAAAAAGGGTGGAGGAAAAAACGCAGTGTCAGTGGAAAATTGATCATGCATACATCATTATTTAGACATACTGTGTCAATTTGCGGTCATATTGAACGACAGGCTTGTCGGATTTCAGATCGCCACCGCGAACATCCATCACTGTTAAACGGAGGTTAAAATACACTGGCTCTGCACGCATGATACGAATGAAACCACCATATCGCTTGAACGCACATACCCAAGTTGGACTTTTTGTTGATCAAGAAGCCATCCTCAAAACGCCAGAGCTAACGAAAAATAAAAAGAATGAAACGGCATGACTGATGAGTATGAATGCAATGAACATGACTGCATGCGATGGAACTTACCTGGTTATCATTATCGTTTTCTTTCTGCAAAAAGAAGAAAAAATAAAGGTTAGTGTCAGCCACATGTTTGTTGAGGTAAAAAATTAGAATTGAAAGAAAGCCTTTACCTTGGGCCAAATGATGATGGATGTGTCAGCCTAGTAAATAAACGCCTAGAGTTAGACAAAAAGACCGCGATACATAGAAGCCAGAATACTTGCAGATGTTTCTCCATTGTACACATCCAAACAGGAACCGTTTTGACGGGATCTGATGTAAAAGTAAGTATTTTCAGGGAATCCAACCATGTTGTTGACGAGAGCAGGAAGAACAAGAGGGGAAGGCAAAACGGCGGATACACGGAAATGAAGGCTATTTATTGCTGCCAAGTCGGGGCTGAAAATAAAAATAAACTTTCATCAACTACTCTTTTTTATGTCACAAACTTTCAAGTTTTGCAGTTTCTGCATCATCCAGACACAGTAATTTGGCTAGGACCGGTACCATAAACTAATAACATAACAGGCATCGCTGAGGTGAGTGACAATGATGTCTGTTGTGCACATGATCAATATGACATACTGCTTTGTTATCCGATTGAAGAAATTTTAGAAGGACATTTTTCAGATATTCCGCGTTCATGTTCTGCCGCTTGTCAAACGCATCTAATTTTCTGTACTCTTACATATTACCATCCCATTCCGCTTTTCAATGTGTGTGATTGCACCAAGTCATGGATTTCTTTTTTACCTTATCTCGTTTTTTAAAACCTGTCGACTCACATGGTTAGCGAAAACATACGTCTTCACCGCGAGTTTCGACCCCATCTCGATGATTTGCTTACCTTTTCTTGTGCAGACAGGGCGGCGACTCTTTCTTCACTTTCTTGCAACATAGTAGCTAGTCGTTGCACTTGTTTTTTTAACTCTTCCTGACTGTCAGGTCGTGTGACAAACGGCGAAATCAATTGGCTCATGGAGGCTGCACGGACAGTGAATTTTCAACTTGTTGACCTGCAACGAGCATGGGACTTACTATATACATCTCCACTTGGTTCCTCGGATGTTTCTGTAAAGTTTGCTTTGACGCTGTCATCATGTGCGGATGAGGATGGCGACGTTGTTACAGGTGTAGATGCTTGTTTTTGTTTCTCATACAGTGCTTGCAGATGGGCCAAGTCCTCTTTTAATTTTGCATTTTCTTCTTGCAATTGCTGCATTGAAAAATCAGTTACGGCGTGTTTGCTACTTTGATCTGATCGGTTTTCGATGGAAAGCGATTCCATCTCCTTGGCCATCAACGCGTCTTTTAATTTACGAACAGTGCTTTCGTGTGTCTCGGTCAAGGATGCCATGGCTATGGATAGGTTGAATATCAGTTTTTTTTTTCTTCTCGTTTCCCAATACGGTGGCATGGATCGGTTTTTTTCCGAGAATCACGTTACCTTTTCCAAATGATGTCCGTTCCTGAGCCATTTCCTCGTGTAAACGGCTCAATGCCTCTTGACTAGCTATCCGTTCTTGTTCTGATTTATTGAACGCATTGGCTTTGATCTCGAGCTGCTGGATACGCTTGAGTGATTCTCGAAGATCATGTGCCAGTAAATCGTACTTTTTTTGTTGCTGTTTTTGGTCCGTTTCATACACTCTACCAGGATGAATTCCGAGAACCGTTTAGATGTGAGCCTATACCCACTTGCCCTCCGTCTTACATACGATTTCTCCCTTTGCAGTTGATTTACGGTTATCTCCAGTTCATTAATTCGTGTGTTCCCTGATTGGTCATTCGTATTTTGTTTAAGCACGATGTTGGCTCGTTTTTTGTATTGTTCATAGTCCGTTTTGGTTCGCTCCAGCTGAAGACTGAGCTGTCGCACTTGGGCTTCCTGTGGATCAGTCAGAAAAAGACATCGTATTGCTGTAAATAGCAAGTCAAAGCTTACCAACTGGTTCGAATGCGATGTTTGTTGCGCTTTGAGGGTATTTGTTTCAGAACGCAACCTTTCAATGTCACCTATTTCACATGCAGGTCTTTGTTATTTTCTGTTGGATGTGCTTGTGTACAGTAGCAACACCGAGGTTTGGCGTGGAAAACGCCGTTTATCCGGGGTTTCTTTTCCCTAATCAGCGCTTTTCCCGAGCCACTTACGATGCTGTGCTTCGACATTCGATCTCCACTCTTGTTCCTGTGCTTGGCATTTTTCCAGCTCGTCCTTCAGCTGATTGTATTCGGACTCCTTGGCGGAAACGGAAGCACGGTATTTATCCAAATTCTTGGTGGACTGTGCAAACAGCTCTACATGAAATCGTATAATTGGAATATGAATAAACAAAACAGGGTCATGTGCCTAATAGCCGGTGGCAGGATTATACCTCTCATTTTTTTCAGCTTGTCTTCATAATCAGCTAATTGATATTTGCATGATATCAGTCCAAATTATGCCTTGCTTAAACAAACGTATTTGGGCCATCATCACCTGTACGCTTTGCCATGGTATCTTGCAGTCGTGCATTCTCTTTGAGTTGAGCGTTTAACTGATGTCGTAAATCCTTGACCTAAATCAACCTGTCCGTTAAGCTGCGTCTCGTTCACTAGATGGAGAGAATTGTGACCGACCTGTTCTCTGTTTTGAAGGGAGGATCTATCGGCTTGCGATCGGACCTTGAGAGGATCGTCAATGACTTCTCTTGTTGCGCTTTGCTTTACAGAGTCAAGAAAGTAGAAGGAAAGAGGCAGAGAGTGTCAACACAGTGTTTAGAGACTAGTGGTCAGGTCAGGACTGTTTACCTTCGCCATTCCTCGCTCATTGTCCGAGTTTCCCATTCGGTTCATTATGCTCTAATTACTTTCGGTGTCGGTGTGGTGGTGAATGAAAGTCTGGCTGAACTGTTCATCGTGATTCACACTGCTGATTTCCCTCGGCAAGTGAACCAATGTTCCCGTATTCCAAGTCGGGGTTTGATTTGATCACAAATACTCACAGTGCCTGTCGTGTTCAGCAAAACAGGTAAAAAAGTATAGCTGATAGCGGATGTCAATAAGCTGCAACGGAAAGTGATGGGGGGTTATAGTGGTGATAGGCAGTTATATCTGGTAACTGAAGAGAAGGGAAAAGTGGGGTTTTTCTCTGGGGGGGGGGGGAAGAAGGCAGTCATGCAAGCTCGAGTTTGTGAAGTGTGTAATGATAATTGTGTTCTGTGATTTCCTTTTCTATGCTGCCCACTTTTGCCCAGGTTCATAAAATGGCTGTTAATTTTTATCTAATAAAGAATGTCTTTTGTTCGAGAAAAATTGTAACCGCTTATTTATTACTGCCGAATCTCTATTTCCTTCAAAACCACATAGCGAGATAACCCACCCGGAGTGAGCGAAACTTCATGTGCAAAAGGAAGCACATGAAACGATTTAGAAATCCAAAGCCGAGCTCATCGGAAATACTGTGACTCTTCCACGACCCGTACTTGTTCCACCGCGCTGTTGGCTATTTTATGGAAGGATCTAAAGAAGATCGGTTTAAAAGGAGGGATATGTCAAACAAAATGGCTCATGGAAACAGCCAATTTAACTAATTATCCATATGGCTTGGCAGACAAAATTCGAAACCAGGATCATGTTGGTGACGGGCAATTTTCAGGTACAAGCTGGTGCTCGATCGCCCATGATCCAAAACAATAAACAAGGCCATAGTGTTGCTTTTGCTTTGGATTTATTTTTGTATCATAGATGATCCAAATAAAGGAAAAGCCAGGGTTTCTGAAGTGCTAGCCGTGTTTTGCAACGAAGCCTTGCTAATCGATGATGAATTTTGAGCAGCACCTCCGATACTGGAGCATAATAGTTTATCCCATGATACACATACAATTCCAAAATATGTATAGTTTGGTGAACGCCGCTGCCGGTTGTTTGGCCAAAAGTCTCCGCACCTAAAAGAGTAAGAATTATGGCACGTGTTAGTCGACACCGTCGTTAAGTCGAAAACAACTGATTGCTTTTTACCGCAAAATCTTGTATTTCACAGCGAAAAAGTTGGATCCAGTGGCGACAATGCATCTTTCGGCGGGATTTGAAACATGACATAAATTTGGATTTGTATCATCCAAGCCACGCCTGCATATCTTTTGTTCCGTTCGTCTTAAGAGAATGAAGGATCCAAAATCACTCGACAATCTGTGGATAGCAGCTGGTATGTCTTGAGATAACAAACTTATAGATGGAATGACTTAGACTTTACGTAGGCGATGGTCAGCTGGATAGAGTCAAAGTAAGAAATGCGACGAGATATAATCGCTCGAACTCACGATCTGACAAATCTCTTTCTAGGATCTCATTGAAACCGGGGCTGATGTGAATGCTCATGACGAATTTGGATACACTGCCATGTAATTATGGCCTTATACCGTTCGAGATTTTAGTGTGGTTGGTATTGATTGTTATTCTTTTCACTGGTTTCAGGCATGCTGCGGTATCATACGGTGAAACGGACATTGTCAAGTATTTGCTGAGCAAAGGTGCCAACGTGGATATTGAGGATTTTGAAAAAGATACGCCGTTGTACGTTGCCGAAACTGTCGAGATGGCCCAGTTGCTTTTAGATAATGGAGCTGACCCACATCATCGCAACGAGGATGGCATTACACCAGCGGCCACGGCACAACAAGAAGGATGGACGGCTGTAGCAGAATTACTGGCTGGTATTACAAAGGAAGAATTATCGGAACAGGTGGATCCTGAGCAAGAGGAAGCCGCAGCCCTCTCCCATACGCAGGAAGAAGCAGACATGATCAATAGTTCTGAGTTCCAAAATCAAGTCGAACAGGTTTTTCAACGATTGCAGGAACAAGGCGGTGTAGAGAACGAAGAAGAGCTGGAAGAGATAGTGACAAAGATTGTGCTCGATGAAATGAGACGACGAAACATGCAATGATCGGTAGTCATCCCTTTTTGTAATGTAAATATTCATATAAAAGATTGACAAAGAGTCATGCCACTGTCACAAAACCAGCACAGGGCATGCAATGATCTTCAAGAAGAAATAGGCCGGAAGACTCTCTGATCCAATGTAATAGTAACGTCACCGCTCGTTTTGAACATCTGCCGACTATTTCGTTGAGAGTCGGTGACAAGCGTTATTCTCCGTGTTAGTTGAATTGGCTCAACAAAGGTGTCACCGTAGACGATGCGCGACTTGTCCAACCGTCTTCGTCGTCCAACAAGAAATGGCACCTTTGACAAGAGCCAGAAGCCTGCCACGAAAATGGTACGAACGCGGTGGCCCGTCGAAGAACAAATTGTTTTACTTCTTGGGTGGGACATGGATACCGTTCCCATTGGGATGATCGGCTGGGCGAGTTATCGTTAACACATGTACCAATTGTGTACCAGTACAACTTTTGTAGGACACGTTAAGGGGAGTGGTGGTTTGATGAATCCCATGATTATTTCCTGACAGTATCGGTGTACAGTATCCAATCTCGGGATAAGAGTTGTGGTATATCCACTACTTGTCGTATTATCCATCCTAGACTGGTGTTTCCCAAACAGGAAGATCGGGATTTAGACGTGTTTCCATTCTGAGTGAGCTTCTCCATTAGAACACCGATTGAGCCTCTTTCATCCATAGCTTGGATCTATCACCGAGATCAATTCATACAGGTAAAGCTGTCACATCACAGCATGTGGATCCTTCCTAATACACCTTATAATTGAGGACTGCTCATTGATAATTATTAATTCCGACTCACGACTAAAGTATACATAGGCAGATCACGTTAATCGAAATAAAATCATCCAACAGTCTCAAAGGATTCTCATGGTATGATTTACCGCAATTATTGCTCTTCTGACGGATTCTTTGAAGTGGTCATGAGGCGTCATGAACACCGCCACCTATCCGGAAGCAACCAGTCCAAAGGAGTGAATTCCAGAATGATACTGTTGATTGCTTAAAGGAATTCACTGGTCACAGTAACTAGGGATTTTGCTAAAATGTATCGATATACCCTCAAAGATGAAGAGTGCAAGAAAAAGGAAGAAATGCAGTAACGGGCAGCTTGCAAGGGCGCTCATCGGGAAAACTAGCACGACCATCATTTGTTATGCAAAATTTGATGACGTATACTGAGCAAATACGTCAGCTATAAAATTGCTTTCATCTTATTTTTCCACTCCTTCTTTTCTCCCTTCAATATTTCGTTGTGCCGAAGGTAAGATGTTGAGTAGTACAGTATTGGTTAGGACGACGGGCTATAGTAGAGCACTGCCTCTAGTAGTCAGCGATGGTCAGGCCCTCGGTCTGGCAGGAGATGAACGGGCACTGTTACCGGTATCTGCCACTATCATGGGCACGTATTTGGGTTCTGCTGAAACAGAGAAGCACTGCCTCTAGTAGTCGGCGATGGTCAGGCCCTCGGTCTGGCAGGAGATGAACGGGCACTGTTACTGGTATCTGCCACTTACACGGGCACGTATTCGGGTTTCTCTGCCTTAGTCGTCCGATTGGCAAGGACAGTTTTATATTAATGTCAGTTCTCTCTCTTTTTTTAAAAAAAATATATATATATCCCATGGTCCGCCTGCGATACCGGTGTTGGTGCAATCCATCCATACTCATGCTTTCTGAGGCCATTCCAATGATGCTGTGGAAAAACTAGTATTAATGTGACAATGATGCACTTAGCTGCAATGAATAAAACAGAGCTGTATTTTCTAGCGCAAAATAGCCAAGGTTGCTTACATTCTACAAATACCATATTCCTTTCATGGGTTGCTCCTTTCATGGCTTGGGAAAAAAAAGATTCACATGAGATTCAGTTTCATTAATTCCATTCATTTCTATTGGATCCGGGTTCATTATTGACATCATGTCGACAACGTCCACTCCTCTGTTTACAACGAATGGGCCAAATTTGGCTACCGTCGTTTCTCTTTTTTTTTTATTTTTATCTGGGTACTCAGTTCCATGGATGTTACCAAAAAAAGGCACAACCAGCAAAATCAATCTTACAGCGAGCTCCGATCTCGATGAAAAAAGACGCGGAAAGTGGGGAACCCACCATTAGTTTGGGCAAGGGAAACGATGGCGCGTTAAAAGTAAAGTGTCAAGATTTAAAGAAGCCTTGGAAATGGAGTAACCGGGTCCATGTCTAAAATAAACTTTGCAATGATGGGCGGACATCCAAAAAAAGGAGTCGGCAATTCCTGTCTTGCTGCGGACGCCAGCCGACACGATTGAAAATATTCTGGATTTGCTATTTATACTACAGTAGGCTTTTATATGGCAACATACACAGAAAATCACCCATCATATCTTTTATGTTGACAGGCACTGGTTCATAGGAAGAGCGAATTAAAACTGCTGGCAAAAATGAGGGAAGTGCCATACGCTGGAAATATTATTCTCACGTCATTTATGCAGAGTGTCCACAAGTGGCGCCACCGATGGTTCCCCCAACCTTTTTTTTCGTCTTATCTGAGCCAACTTTATTTGCCAAAGGATTTGGACAATTCATTTCCAAGGCTTCTTTAAATCTTGACACTTTACTTTTAACGCGCCATCGTTTCCCTTGCCCAAACTAATGGTGGGTTCCCCACTTTCCGCGTCTTTTTTCATCGAGATCGGAGCTCGCTGTAAGATTGATTTTGCTGGTTGTGCCTTTTTTTGGTAACATCCATGGAACTGAGTACCCAGATAAAAATAAAAAAAAAAGAGAAACGACGGTAGCCAAATTTGGCCCATTCGTTGTAAACAGAGGAGTGGACGTTGTCGACATGATGTCAATAATGAACCCGGATCCAATAGAAATGAATGGAATTAATGAAACTGAATCTCATGTGAATCTTTTTTTTCCCAAGCCATGAAAGGAGCAACCCATGAAAGGAATATGGTATTTGTAGAATGTAAGCAACCTTGGCTATTTTGCGCTAGAAAATACAGCTCTGTTTTATTCATTGCAGCTAAGTGCATCATTGTCACATTAATACTAGTTTTTCCACAGCATCATTGGAATGGCCTCAGAAAGCATGAGTATGGATGGATTGCACCAACACCGGTATCGCAGGCGGACCATGGGATATATATATATTTTTTTTAAAAAAAGAGAGAGAACTGACATTAATATAAAACTGTCCTTGCCAATCGGACGACTAAGGCAGAGAAACCCGAATACGTGCCCGTGTAAGTGGCAGATACCAGTAACAGTGCCCGTTCATCTCCTGCCAGACCGAGGGCCTGACCATCGCCGACTACTAGAGGCAGTGCTTCTCTGTTTCAGCAGAACCCAAATACGTGCCCATGATAGTGGCAGATACCGGTAACAGTGCCCGTTCATCTCCTGCCAGACCGAGGGCCTGACCATCGCTGACTACTAGAGGCAGTGCTCTACTATAGCCCGTCGTCCTAACCAATACTGTACTACTCAACATCTTACCTTCGGCACAACGAAATATTGAAGGAAGGAAAGGAAAGAAGGGTCGGAACCGCCCCCCGCCCCCCAAAAAAAAGGAATTTATAGCTGCCATTCTCCTATTTTGATTGGTTAACTCTCAAATTATGCTGCTGTGACTGGAGCAAAAGGGGTGTGTTTGGCTGCGAGATGAATGTTTCTGCACTCAGACGTAAACAAGATGAAAAGACAATGAAATGAAACGGGGTAAACGAATTTCCTAATACGCGTAAAACAATAAGGTTCTTTGATACGAGAAATAATCTTTAGCAACAAGGACGAACAACTATAGATATTATTCACTACTTCAATCAACTGGCCCATACGCAGCGATGGGCGTACGCGAGGTGTCTTCATAGTCATCCACAAAATCTTGCCAGTTGCTTGGGATAGGACGATATTGCTGGACAAAAACGGCATAACGCATCATTAATTGCTAGTAACAAGTGGACGTTCGTTACGAAGATTAAAAAATATGGGCAATCCCTCTAGCGATCACGGAATAACCGGTGCGCGCAATCTCGAACATGACATTTACTCCAGACGGGAGAAGTTGGGATAGGTAGAACGTGATAATGAAGCCTGGTAAAAAAGGAAAGGAAAAAAAGAATGAGTAATAAGCAAACCTTGCACAGTGGGCAACATACCGTGAATCTGGAAATCGAAAGCCGAATCCAATTGGTGCACATCAACAGTGTCCTTGTTGGACACTGTGAGGCGGAAGAATTTCACAGAAATATCATGGGAGCTTCTTCCTTCAGCTTTCGTCTCACCATATCCAGGGGATCGCACAAAGAGTCTCTGCTGTTTCTCCACGATGATTGCATCTGGTCGCGTTATCTTTTACATTCTGTATGCCACTTCAATAAATTCCATGTTGTTTTAATACATCTAATACAAAATTTTGTCCACCTTCAACTGGAATTGTGTCGACCCCTTGGAGGTGCACTTTCCGGGAAGGATCGGCAAGGAGGCATGAAAGCATGGAGTCATAAAATGTGCTCCATAGAGCCATTTCCTTGATACTATTTTTGACGGGAGGTGTGGCAGGCAGCTTTTGGATCATGCAAGAGCGTAAAATAGTCATAGTTACTGTTCGTGTTTGAATGAAGGACCATTACTTACATGTTAGCCACGCCTCCCAAGAAACAGCATTGTCCATAGGGCAATGATGCGCTAATATTCACGACCTTGATAATTACGCCGTCGGCTGTGATCTTGTTCATGCTCAGCGCAGTGATCAGTTGTTGACACCTCCAGATACACAGGGTCCGACAAGCCAATGTCGTAAATCCACGGCGCCAAAGCGCAATGCAACTGTCAAATTGTCCAGAGGCTCTTCGCCAAACTTTATTTAGTAAAATGCCAAAATTAAAAAATAAAAAAAATGTCATTCCACTTAAAGATGAAGATTAACTGTGCCATCGTGCTTTGCTGCTCCTGGTCCAAAACGAGCATGCGGGCAAGTGCTGCAATCTCGTTGCAGTAATCCTCCAGTGGTAGTATTGAATGATGGCTTATTAGGCATTGGTGCAACATTACGGTATCTTTCAAACAGTTGGGTAATGTTGTGACCTTGAAAATACCATGATCCATTATATCGTGATTGACAAGCAGTAATGCGCAGTCGGCGGGTTTCTGTGCATGTCTGACGCCAGTCGTTCTTGGGCTTGACGCTGTTACTGCTACCAGCGGCTGCGGGTTCTTGGACTACCAACATGCGCTGCTCTTTAATGTTCTTGGTGCACCATATGCTACAGCGGGTGTCAAAAGGGTTCGCATCGTTATTCGATCTCAAGGCCATCGTCATCTTCTTCGCAAAAATAGGACATGGATACGAAAAGAAGTTCTTCGGGCGTGTATCCATCTTGCAGGGAACCCACCCCATGGTCCTCGTAATCTGAGCGTTTCTGCTGGCCCACTTCGGCGCCATGTCTTCTTTCTGGCGTTCAATGCATCTTCTTGAGGATAGGAATGATTGTTCATCCCCGTGAACATTTGGGAAGAGTACAGATCGACAATGGCCTTAGTATACTGCTCAATAGCAGATACGTGTGTATTGAAATCATCGACTTGGACTGTGGCGCATGTAAATCGGGCGCCGCAAATAAGGTTCTGCCAAGATTGACCTGCGTACTATATCAGCATCATTAATATAAATGTAATGGGCGTCTTGACTTGCCAAACTAAGCTTACATCATACCTTTCGCAGATTCTCTTTTATTTACTTAGTTATTGAATATGAGTAATGGAATCTATATAATCTTGAAGCTTCCAAGGAGGAGACACTGGGTGGCATTCCTTTCAGCTCATCATGAGAAAGTTGAATGCCGGCCTGGTTTTCTGTTTTTAAATACATTAAACAAAAATAAGAATATTCGATTTGTTAACGATAACTTACAATTCTCTGGCCACTCTGCACGAAGAAGCAACAAACAGAAACCACTCATGCCAAAACAATTCGGTGCTAATAGGCGAAACTGAACATATCGGTTGAATCTGTCCAAGGCAACGTATGTAGAAGCGCCAGGTTACGGCTGTCTCTTTTCAGTAAGGTAAAGTAGTATACTCCTCGGGCAACCTTCGAGGAAGGGCTATTTTTTAGGAGCCGTCAATAAGAAATCCTTGCGGTGGATTGAAGAGTGCCTTACCCGGTAAGAGGCAAACTTTGGTTTTAGGATTGCGGTGAGTAGGAATCATCTCTGGCTGAGATCGGCGTGACCTGGTGTCTTGGAGAGGAGTCTCCCGCGGTGCTCATTGTGCCGTAAAGTTCTAGCCACAGTATGGTAGAGGTATAAAGTGAACAAGAGATGCGGTATAAAAAAGATCGGACGTCCTACTATGTCTGATGGCATGCAATACAATGAATCATTTTTATGTCATGATTCACTATGTGACCAAGTGAGTCAAGCTTTGATCATGACCAGATCATTAATGAAATATTAAACATGTCATTGCTGTAACTTTATTCGTGCATCCTCATGGCTTTAATGCATGCACTTGAGATCAAACTCTTAAGCCCAAGTAATCTATCTTAGGCCTGCTTGCATTAAGAATCATAGGCCTGGCAAGACAGCGAAAGAACTGGGTAATAAAGAAGGCCGATAAAGATGGTACAGAAACGCTTTATGATACATTGCAGAAATGGATTATCCCTTTTAGAAAGCTGTACCAAACCAGTTATTTTTTATTTCGAAAAAGTACATACATGAAAATAGTGTCAAACGCTCGAAAACTATTGTTAACTTGATAACTTTACCTCCAGTTTGCTCCAGGCTCATCAATCCTGCCGATTACTGTCCGTGATTACTACATTCAAACCGCGTGAAATGGCTGTATTACAGAAATGTGGCCTCGCCTTAAGCAAATACTTCGACATCGTCATAAAGCAGAAGTACCCTTCTTCGCAAGCGTATGGACAGCCTCTTATATAGCCAATCGAAAAGCCATGCGGAATAACAGCTTCATCGTTCCGGTTCTATTTCCACCAGGCTCTTTTCAACACTTACTCCAGAATATTACAGACCTCAAGGACTCGTTCTCATTACCAAGACAAATTATTTTGATTGTCCTGTGCCCAAATTAACTGACTTACCGTTATATATCAGTCGACTTGGGAGGACATGCCAAAAGAGGTCCAGGCTGCATATCTTCCAAGATAATCAGAAACAAGTTCTGTATGTTTCCAGTGACCTCTCCTTCGCTTTCATAGCCTGGTAATCCGTGGATATTCAGTCTCGCAGCAACGACGAGCTCAAGCAGTAACATATCACTCTTCGCGATGGTCACCAAGGCGCACCGTTTCTGTGGCATCATCGTCCGGATTATAACCTGTTCCGCCACAGAGGGTATGATTTACCGCAATTATTGCTCTTCTGACGGAATCTTTGAACTGGTCATGAGGCGTCATGAACACCGCCAGCTATCCGGAAGCAACCAGTCCAGAGGAGTGAATTCCAGAAAGATACTGTTGATTGCTTAAAGGGATTCACTGGTCACAGTAACTAGGGATTTTGCTAAAATGTATCGATATACCCTCAAAGATGAAGAGTGCAAGAAAAAGGAAGAAATGCAGTAACGGGCAGCTTGCAAGGGCGCTCATCGGGAAAACTAGCACGACCATCATTGTTATGCAAAATTTGATGACGTATACTGAGCAAATATGTCGGCTATAAAAGTGCTTTCATCTTATTTTTCCACTCCTTCTTTTCTCCCTTCAATATTTCGTTGTGCCGAAGGTAAGATGTTGAGTATTACAGTATTGGTTAGGACGACGGGCTATAGTAGAGCACTGCCTCTAGTAGTCAGCGATGGTCAGGCCCTCGGTCTGGCAGGAGATGAACGGGCACTGTTACCGGTATCTGCCACTATCATGGGCACGTATTTGGGTTCTGCTGAAACAGAGAAGCACTGCCTCTAGTAGTCGGCGATGGTCAGGCCCTCGGTCTGGCAGGAGATGAACGGGCACTGTTACTGGTATCTGCCACTTACACGGGCACGTATTCGGGTTTCTCTGCCTTAGTCGTCCGATTGGCAAGGACAGTTTTATATTAATGTCAGTTCTCTCTCTTTTTTTAAAAAAAAATATATATATCCCATGGTCCGCCTGCGATGCCGGTGTTGGTGTAATCCATCCATACTCATGCTTTCTGAGGTCATTCCAATGATGTTGCGGAAAAACTAGTATTAATGTGACATGATGCACTTAGCGGCAAAGAATAAAAAAGAGCTATTTTTCCTTGTCGATTTTTCGGCTATTTTGCATTTTGTGTGATATTCAGCAATTCCACTCCTCCGGACCATCGCCTACATAGTCGTCGGAGAGGAGGTAATGATCGGCATTGGTGTATTGTTATACACATAGAAGATTCATTCATCGGTATGATTGACGCGCACTGGTTCACAGGAACAGTGAACTAGCATCACTGCTAAAAAAAAAAGCCATAAGCCGGAAATATCACTCTCACGTCATTTATGCAGAGTGTCCACAAGTGGCGCCGCTCACGGAACCTCATCTTTATTTTCGTCTTATCGAAGCCAAACTTTTAAATTGCTCATGAATTTGCTCAATTTATTTCCATGGCTTCCGCAAATCTGACACTTTCCGCATCTTTTTTTCATCGAGATGGAAGCTCGCTAAAAAAGATGGATTTTGCTAGACATGTCCTTTTTTGGAATCGCGGGACCCAGGTCAAAAAAAAAAAAACCACGGTAGCCAAATTTGGACCATCCCTTGGTAAACAAAGAAATGGACCTTAAGCATCGTGTCAATCATGAAATCAAACTTTATGCGGAAAGGTTTTTTGTAGGATAAAACCACTGCTCAAAATAAAAAGAAGATCGTCGTGGCTTTTTTTTTCCTTTTTGTCTTTGCTCTTTCGCCGGGAGCCGCTTGTTAAATAATCTACTAATCCTTACAGTACATTCGAGGAAAGAGTCAGATACGTAGATTCTCCCAGTTACCTCTGCTTTTATTTGCCTAGATATTCTCCTGAGCTCAATCCAATCGGTCATTTCTGAATAGCGGTCAAAGCAAAGTAAATTTTCGGGAAGGAGACGCTGATGATCCAACACAGTTGAAGTCTCTAATATCTTGAAACTAAGTGATTTTCTTAATTATGCATATCATAAATGCTTGGTCAAAGGTCGTAATGGAGAAGTCCACAAAAATTAGGGTGTTTATGACCAAAAAAAAAAAAAAAGAAGTAAACAAACAGTTCCTCTTTCGAAGAACGCGCTCCACATTTTTTATTTCACGCTTGATTTACATTTCCACAAGAAAACAGGTCAGTCAAGGGATACAGAGCTTGTGTTGAAGAATGTATTGTTTGGGGAAGGCGAATATACTTCCAAATTTTGATCATAAGTATCCAACTAAATACACATTCCAAGCTGTTCTTTCTTGCACCACTGATGTCCCTTTCTTGCAATTCAGTGTCAGCAGTGACGATTGCTATATAATGATATATAATTTTTTTATCATTACCTTCTTGGCGGCGACTTTGCTATGTGAGAGAACTTAGGACAAATGAACAATGAGAATCCTTTGAGACTGTTGGATATCTTTATTACGATTAATGTGATCTGCCTATTTATACTTTAGTTTTGAGTCGGAGTCAGTATTTATCAGTGAGCAGTCCTCGGTTATAAAGTGTATTTGGAAGGATACACATGCTGTGATGTGACAGCGTACCCGTATGAATTTGATCTCGGCGATAGGTCCAAGTTATGGATGAAGAGGCTCAATCGGTGTTCTTATGGAGAAGCTCACTCAGAATGAGAACACTGTCTAAATCCCGATCTTTCCTGTTTGGGAACACCAGTCTACGATGAATAACACAACAAGTAAAGCATATATCACAGTACGCGACGGTACGGACAAATCGGATTGCTTTATATCACAAATGCAAAAATATCCGAAGGTCGACAAGGAATTGCAGCTGATTGCATCATGTTACATTAATACTAATTTTTCAGCAACGTTATCGGAATGATCGCAGAAAGCAAAGCATGAACGTATTACAGCAAAACTGGCATCACAGACAGATGATGGGATATACTAATGAAAAATCGACATTAACACAAAATTGTCCTTGCCAATCGGACGATTAAGGCGGAGATACCGGATATGTGCCGCTGTTAGTGGCAGAGACAGTAATATTATCCATTCATTTCCCGCCAAACAGAGGGCCTGACTATCATTGACCACTAGAGGCGTGCTCTACTATATCCCGTTGCCCAAATATATACTGTTCCACATCTTACCTTTGGTTTAACAAATACTGAAAGAACTAAGGAGTAAAAAAATAAATAAATCATAGCTGCCGTTCTTGTCCTGATTGGCCACAAAAAAGAATACCCATTTTTTCTGCTAAATTATATACTCGGCCTATGGGATTGCTAGATACTTCATCGGCCATACCTAGACAGACAGACAATTCAATTCGTTATTAGGGTGCGGATGAAACATACAAACGGCAATGCTGGTTGATGCTTGTTGCAACCTACAGGTCAATGCGCAGCGATGGCGTACGCGAGGAATCTTGGTAGCCGTCCACAAAGTCTTGCCAGTTTCTTGCTGTAGAACGATTTTGGCTGGCGATTATAGTGCCGTTGCCTGACACGTCACAGAGACGCCGAAACATATCATGGATGGCCAGTAACAAGTGAACGTTGCGGAGGTTGAAGAACGCGGGCAATCCCTCTAGTGAGTGTGGAAAGGTAATGCGCGCAACCTCGAACATGGAATGCATGCCAGATGGGAAAATTTGTGACAGATAGAATGTAATGACAAAACCTGGAAAAAAAATGTGAATAACAAGCAAAACTTGCATAATCGGCTATATACCATGAATTTGAAAACCGATAGCCGACCCCAATTGATGCGAATCAATGGTCTCCTTGTTAAACACTGCGAGGCGGATCAAATCCACCGAAATGTCATGCGGGCTTGTTCCTTCAGTTTTGGCCTCTCCATAGCCAAGGGATCGTATAAAGAGTCTCTGTTGTTTCTGCTTAATCACTGCGTTTGGCCGCGATTGGCCACCTTCATTTGGAATCGTGTCAATCCAATGGAGTTGTACTTTTCGAGCGGGATCAGCAAGGAGGCACGAGATCATTGGGTCGTAAAATGTGCTCCACAGAATCAGTTCCTTGATGCTGTTGTTGGCGGCGGGTGTGACAGGCAACTTTTGGATCCTACAAGAGCGCAAAAAGTGGTTAGTTTTGTCTTTGAGCGAAGGAACATTATTTACATATTAGCTAAACCTCTCAAGAGGCGGCATTGTCCGTAGGGTAATGATGCGCTAATAATCATGATCTTGAGGGTGACTTCGTCGGCCGTGGTTTTGTTCATGCTCAGCGCAGTGATCAGCTTTGAAACCTCCAGATATACAGGGTCTGGCAAACCAATGTTGTAATCTACAGCGTCCGTCCGCAATGCATGTGTCAAGTTGTCCAGAAGCTCTTCACCAAAAATTGACATTGCCATCGTGCTTTGTTGGTCTTGGTTCAAAACGAGAATGTGGGCAAGTGCTGCAATCTCGTTGCAGTAATCCTCCGGTGGCAGCGTTGAATGATGGCTTATTAGGTCTTTTGCAGCATTACGATATCTTGCAAACAGTTGGGTGATATTGTGGCCTTGGAAAATCCAGGACCCATTTTCCTCATGACTGGCAAGTGGTGGGGTGTACTTGGCGTGGTTTCCGTGCTTGTCTGATGCCGGCTTTGGCGATTCGTCCTTGAGTTCACTACTAACTGTGCGTTCTACTGATTCAGATGCTGATGAGTCGTTCTCGGGTTCAGTGCTGTTGCTGCTACCAGCGGCTACCCGTTCTTGGAGTGCCACCATGCGCTGCTCATTCACCATGTCAATTAAATTATCGGATCCTTGAGCAATCTTGTTAAGGCGAAGGACTTCTTTGCGTTGCATCCAGTAACGAACATAGTGTACGCTTTTTGTCCAAATCTTGTAGTCTTGCAATGCCTTGCCATTCAGGTGCTTTTGACAAATTGACTCGTATCGCTGTTCTGCGGCTCGCTGGTCAAAAGGTTCGAAATGCTCAATATATGCCTTGAAGCTGACGGAGGTTCCTCGATCAATACACCACTGTGCATCAGATGCAATGGCGGTGGCCTGTCGTTTATTTGATCCTCTGTTTCCAAGTTGTCTGCGTTTTCGGCACATTACAAGTGAAAGAATGAAAAACCATTGCGTCATTGGGAAATGCGCACCTTTATTTTTTCATCAAAATTGCTAAATTTGTATTGCGAAAAGACGCCTTGACTAAGGAGCTGGCTGTACGACCTGGAGCCGCAGGATGAAAACTTTTTAGTAAGCAGAGTTGATGTACGCCACTAAAACACGTCTAATAAGACATCTCTAATCAGATCTAGTACATTAAAAGAAACTGGTCAATGTCAAATTTCTCTTTACTTCTGCGGATATTACTTACGAGTGCGTTGGAAAATCATTATTCATCGACCTGCACTACGGGCACATGCGAATCGAACCGAGTAAAATGAGATTCGACCATGCTTGACCTAATCATGTCAGCATCTTTAATATAAAATTCAATGAGTGTCTTGACTTACTGTGGCTTTTTCTGACGACATTCTGATAAGTAGTAAAGTATGTTCCCATCATCGTCCACACACCGCCTTCTCCACTTATCATTGTTTTCTTTTTCTGCAGGATTTCTTCCTATTATTACAGTGCGTTGGTATGAAGATAAAATATTGGTGGTTCGCTAGACTGACTTGTGATTGCATACCGGTAACTGTTCACTGCTACCGTCTCAGAGTCGCATCGACCGCACACCTTGCTGGTTCGGTATTCGCTAATCCAAATTACTAATGGCTGCGACAAGAACTGTTCAAAATCACTATTGAACAACACGTCTTAGGATTATATCTTGAACATCATGCCGTACCTTGATTGGGAGGGCGTGTAAGCAAATGCCACTATCGCCGGATCATCTGGCTTGCACTGATTGTCGTAAGCTTTCTCCTTCTTCAGCGACCGAATTTTCCAGAGTATTTGTACACCTACTGGCTGGGGGCTATCGAAAGATACATTAGTATACGTTGGGAAGACAGATCATGGGAAATTTGCAACTCACGATTGTTGACTCGGAAGGGTGACCGAGCAACAACTGTCGGCCGCGGCATCTGTCTGGGGATATAGTAAGGCACGTTTTCCCGATAAAAAAAGCCGCAATTGAAAGCGTGTAAACTAAGGATGAAACCAAACTAAGTTTACAGCATACCTTTTCTCGCATTTTACTTACTTAGGTGGATGCGAGTAATGGGATCTATATAATTTTGAAGATTTCCATGGAGGAGACATCGGGGGGCGTTTACAGTTCGTCATATGACGGTTGTATGCTGGCTTGTTTTTGGTTCTTTTTTTTAATATATAAGCAAAAACAGATACTGTATTCCGATCGTTAATGACTAGTTACCAGTTCTCTTGCCGCTCTGCAAGAAGACGCAACAAACAGAAACCACTCATGCCAAAACAAGTCGGTGCTAATAGGCGAAACTGAAAATACCGGTTGGGGTCCGTCCAATGCAAGATTTGTAGGAGCGCCAGATTACGCGCGCCTCTCTTCAGTAAGGTACACTACTGTGCTATCCTCAGGCAACCTTCAAAGAAGTGACTAGTTTTTGGGAGTCATCGATAAGAAATTCTTGCGATGGATTATAGAAAGGTTTACCCGGTAAGAGGCGAAATCTGATCTCTGGATAATATCGGTGGGAAGTGGCGTCCTGAAGAGGAGCTCTCCGCGTTGCTCATTGTGCTGTAAAGGTCGAGGCACAGTATGATGAAGGTATAAAGAGAACAATAGATCTAGTATAAAAAAGAAAGCGGACGTCCTACTATGCCTGATGGCATGTCAGTCATGCAATACAATGAATCATTGTTCTGTCTCTTCATGGAAAGAAATGAGAGTTCCGACCAGACCATTACCGGAATCTTAATTAAGTTGTTGCTATAAATTTATTCGTGCTTCCTCATGGCTTTATGCATGCATTTGAGATCGAACTCTATTAAGCCCAAGTAACCATCTTAGGCATGCTTGAATTAAAACTTTGCAGTCCTTGCAAAGCAGCGAAAGAACTGGATATTAGAGAACGCCGATAAAGATGATGCTGAAATGCTTTACGATACATTGGAGAAATGGATTATCTCTCTTAGAAAGCTGTAAGAAACCGGATATTCTTTCCTCGAAAAAATACATACATGAAAATAGTATTGAACGCTCGAAAACTACTGTTAACGTGATGGACTTACCTCCAGTTGCTCCAGGCTCATAAATCCTGCCGGTGACTGTCCATGATTACTACATTCAAACCTCGTGAAATGGATGTACAATTACAGAAATGTTGCCCCGCTTCATCGTCATAAAGCCACAAACTCATCTTCGCAAGCGTATAGCCAATCGAAAAGTCATAAGAGCGTCATCGACCCGAAACCACATACTCACACCAGATTTTTTCAACGCTTACTTCAGAATATTACAGACCCCATTATCAAGACAGAATATTTGATTGTTCTGTGTCAAAATCAACTTACCTTGGAAGAACAACTAGTATTAATGTGACATAGTGCAGTCAGCTGCAATGAATAAACAGAGATGTAATTCTAGTGCAAAATGGCCGAGATAACTTACATTCTACGAATGCAATATTGGTTTCATCCTACAAAAAAAATATTCCGCATAAAGTTTGATTTCATACAGTGGCGACTCGATTTAAGAACCACCCCGGGACCACGAAAAGTGATCCTTAAATCTCATTATTCTTAAATCGATGTGGTAACTTTATGCAATAGAATACGGATAATAAATTACCCGCTTGTGCCAGATCGAGCCCATAACATGAATCAGTAGAAAAATTCAGTATAACAGGGCTACGATCAAGTATCGTCAAGGAAACTTGGCAAATAATTGCAAACTTGGACAGAAGCATGCAATGGGATTCACCTGTATTGCCTGGAGACAGGTGAAAAACAACTGTTGCCAAATTTGCTTAAGGCACGACAATTCTATAATTGCTGATTGATTGCAGATAATGAGGTACAAGAAGATCGAACGGCAACTGATCATAGTAGATTTCGACTATCTTCAATATGATATTGAATTTAAAAGCTGAATAATAACGTGGGCCAATTATAAGAGCGGAGAAAAAATTACTCTGACAATAAGGGATCATGAATGAACTTACCTCCGGCCAATGAAATCTCTAAGCAAAGCATACGACAATATAAAGTATGAGGAGCAACTGGTGTTAAAGCAAGCTCCAATTAATGTGATATCTTCCATGATATAATAAAAGCGTAGCTATGGTTTTTTTTTTATCGATGCAAGAATATTTCTGGTCCAGGGTGATGGCGATGCGTATATCGAATTTTGGAACTAATTGCGCGTGTGATCTTGAAGATCACAGAACTTCAGTATACACAATATTATTTGTATAAATGTAGTTGTCAATATCATGGGATGAATGAGAGACCATGACTTTGATGGAGCTTGGGGTTCTAACCTTGGGACATGGCAACATAGAGTTGGCCATGGGAAAATACCGGTTCCGGTAAAAATAGGCCAATGGAGTCAAAGGTCTGACCTTGGGCTTTGTTTATAGTCATTGCGAAGGCAAAACGTACAGGAAATTGCTCTCGTTTAAATGGATTGCTTTTTCATCAGAATCATTGATAATTGCTATGCGCGGTAGCAGTACACGTTTTTCAATGTTGATTGCCAGGCAATTTCTGCTTCGATAATATGCAGATGGAAAGATCGGCATATTAAACGTGTGCCATTGCATAAACCATTTGCTTGATCGATGTTTCTAAGCAGCATCATTGGCCAGCCAATCTTAAGTTTAAGGAAATGCGGTGGCAGGTTGGCTGAATTTATATTATTCAAGATTTCATTAGTGTGCTCCAGATGATTTTCCTCTGTGTACATGCTGTCAGCGCTTTTGTATTCACAGACATCTCCAGGGAAACTGTTCAGCACCTTCTCATCGAGAAAGGTCACATGTCTGTTTTTTGGAGCCAAAATGGCACGGCTTATTAAGAATTCTCTCGAGGGCATTTCTGATAAAGAATGGCCATATACACATATATCAGATCTTCGACATTAGAAGAAGGTACCAGCATCACTGGTGGAAGTAACACCAAGTTCCCATTTGTGTACGGTTCCCTTCCACAACCAATGGACAAAAGATAGAAGCGAATTGATCCAATATGTTAGCATCCACACCACTGCTTAAGCGAGCTTTTTCTACATGCATGTTTGTCGTTAATCGAAGAACCCTTACAGATGGCCAGAAAGAGGCCCTGTTTAAACACTGTTCAGCAATTTAGGGCCTGGTTGCTTTGGGAATCACTGGAAGAACTTGACGGAAATCGTCGCCAAAAACAATCAATTTACCACCAAAAGGCACATGCTAAAGAGCCGAATTTACCATCTTCATTACGTCTTGATGAGTGCAATTGACAGCTTCTATAAGATGTCGGCTGACCATGGTTGCTTCATCGCATAAGATTAACTGTGTCCACTGCAATAACAGACCTGCTGGCGACTGCGATGTTATTCGACACATTGTGCGTTGATCAACTTTCAATGGAATTCCAAACCTTGAATGTGCGGTTCGGCCGCCGCGAAGCAGCAAAGAAGCTGTTCCGCTTGACGCCACTGCTAGAGCAACATTGTTTGTTCGACGAATGACAGATAAAAGGGCATTAAATAGGAAAGTTTTTCCTGTCCCCTCTGGACCATCGACGAAATATAATCTAGATGATAAGTGATCGGTACCCCTGGTAGTAGCTTCTATGACAGCATCAAAAACAGCCTGCTGGCTCGTATTGAATTTGTAATGTGGTTCTGGCTCGCTCATAGCTTCTGCGATAATGGCCATCTGTTCTCTAATCAGTCTGGTCGATTTTCGGCCATGATTGCTTGAAATGCATCTTGAGGACATGGAACGACAAAGCCATCAAAATCAGTCAGTGATCTCGATAGTGTGCTCAATAGGATTTCATTCTCCAACAACGCACGATTGTACACAGCCTGTGATGGCTCTATTGCCCTGTTTCCCTCTTGTGTTCTCCAGATATAACCATAATCTTCCGCTAAATGATGACGTAATTGCAACCATAGGGCAAAGGGGTTGATAGGCTCACAGAAATTGATTACAGTTGCGAATAGTCTTCGAAGTGATGATGGCATCTGATAAGTTGATGCTTCTTGAAGAGCAAGTTGCTATTCGCTGTCATCTAAGAGCAGTCCGAGTTGTCGTGCTGCAGCCTGGAAAGTTGGCATGATGACGCCGTTAATTATGCGAAGATCTTGGAAACTTTGCGCACCTGGGATGTTATACAACATCATCCTTAAATAATATTTTTCGGACTGCCTTGGTGACACAGCGTAAATCCGGCCGATAGTACCGCCAAAGCGTCGTTGACGTCTTCTCCGTGTTCGTGTTCTTTGGTGATATACGTATTGCGATGGGAAATCAGGGTAAAGTAGGCTCGGGCTTGAGGATCCGTTCTGTTTTTGGCAAACCATGCTGTCAAAGTTGTGTCATGAGCACGTTCTGCCACTATTTGAGGATTCTCATCGGAAAATTGCACCATTTGCTCATTTTCCAAATGGATGGCCAGGCGTTGTGTGTTAGGATATTCAGAGTGCACAGGAAATGAAAGTAACCGACGAACGCTTTCTGCAGCCGAAGAACAGGTTTTTTTTTTCGCAGTTGTGCCCAATCAACTGTATTGTTTTTGCTTTTTAGCTAATCAGAGACCGTGCACATGATTTAACGTGTATAACTCCCAAAGTTTTTAAATATACAGTACTAGTTGCGCGTGTGATCTTGAAGATCACAAAGTTTGGTTCGTTGGATGTGTAGTAGGGATGTTGCTCTGAGGGAAGTGGGAATAGTAGCTGATTAAATATGTGTTTGGGAATGGGATATTCCATTTGCAATATCCAAAACTCCGCACTCGAATTTGTGTATCCAAAGGTCCCGCTTGATGGTGTTCTCTCAACTCTAATCTTTTGTCAATAAGCTTCCCTTCGGGTTGATTTTTCGGTAAGATTTAGTTGATGTACTCATAAATCTTTGCGCATTCAATGAAGCTCAGTCTCTTTTCCTTTTTTCCGGGGGGCTTGTCCTCCCTGACCCACCGCCTCATAACGATCATTTTCTTCATCCACGACAGAGGAACAACAATATGTATGCAAAGTTAGGAACGGAAATAGTCAGACATCATATAATATTAAATGGAAGAGACAAAAATAGATAACAGACAAATCATTACTTGGGAAAAACATAGCATAAGGATAAAATCAAAAGGAACATAAGGACAAAAAGCATACAGTAAAACATAAAAGAATGATAGAAACACAACATAGGGGTAAAGGATAATTTGAAAAAAACATAGACATAAGGATAAAAGTAAAGGAACATGAGGTAAAAAAAGCATACAATAAAACGTACTGAAACAATGAAAAACACAAAATAAAAGGCATAAAGAAACATAAAATACATAAATGAGGATACAAAATAGGACCATAACGCAGTGCGTGATTCAAGGACTTAACGATCCAGCTGTTGGCTGTCAAACACATCGCGGTAGACAATGTTCTTGGTGCATACTTCTGTAGATCGATCGTTTGCATCCCGAACGATCAAGATTTTTATCGCTGATGGTCTACGTACGCGTGACATAGCAACATATAGCTGCCCATGGGCAAACACCGGAACCGGTAGGAATAGTCCGATTGCATCGAACGTTCGTCCTTGTGCCTTGTTTATTGTCATTGCAAACGCGACGCGGATGGGAAATTGGCGCCGCTTGAAATGAATTCCATTTTCGTCCGATTCGTTGGTCGAAGTGACTCGAGGGATGAACACGCGATTTCCAACATTCACGCCAGTTGTGATTTCTGCTTCGATGACATGGGGTTGGAATGAACGGCAAATCAATCGGGTTCCGTTGCAGAGCCCTTTTGTGACATCGATATTGCGTAGCAACATGATAGGACAACCGACTTTGAGGATCAGTCGATGGGGTGGTAGGCTCGCCGGACTCATGGAGTTCAGAATTTCCACTTGGTGAAATAATTGCTCTTCTTCAGAGTCCATGCTGTCGGCACTTCGATAAATACGCACTTCACCTGGAAACCTCTCGATAACTTTTTCGTTCAGAAAAGCTGCGTCTGAATTTTTTGGTGTCAAGATAGCTCGTTCAATTATGAATTCGGCTGCCGGAACGTTTCGAAGGCTGGCGCCGTATACTGCACTGATGAGGTCGCTCGAATCGGAGGATGGCAATAACATTTCTGTTGGGATTTGGATGCCCCTGTTTCCATGGTTCGGTTCCAGTCCGTTGCCAATGCGCAGAAGGTATGTGGCAAAGTTCTCTAGAATCTCTGCATCCTCGTTATTGACCAAGCGTGCCTGTTGAACGCGCATGTTGGTGTTTAAGCGTAGGATTTCGACCGAAGACCAAAAAGAAGCTTTGTTCAAGCACTGCTCGACAGTTTGTGGACGCGTTGCCCTCGGAATGACCGGAAGAACCTGACGAAAATCGCCACCAAAAACGACAGTCTTTCCTCCAAATGGAACATGCTGCAGAGCGGGATCTCTGGTTGCCATCAAGTCTTGCAATGTACGGCTAACGGCTTCGAAAACGTGTCGGCTCATCATTGTAGCTTCATCCCAGACAATCAACTCTGCCTGATACATCAACTCTGCTTTTTCGGATCGTCGTGGGATATGGCACATTGAATGCTGGTCTACTTTCAACGGAATGCCGAACTGTGAGTGAGCTGTTCGTCCACCACGCAACAATAATGCAGCAGTGCCACTTGAAGCCACAGCAAGAGCTATTCTGCCTTGTTGACGTACTGCAATAAGGATACTGTCGAAGAGGAAGGTCTTGCCTGTGCCACCAGGACCGTCAATGAAGAACAATCGGGCTGGTGCATTGCTTCCATGCGAGACACTGTGGATGATTGCATCGTATACGGCACGTTGGTTTTCGTTCACGCGTTCATGACTTCCAGGTGCGTTGGCGGCATCTGCGATAAGATCGTATTGTTCTCTTATGAGTCGAAGCTGAGAATGGCGTCCCATTCTGTCAATTTCTTGGCGAGCAGGGAGAACAAAACCATCATAATTGAGCAAAGAACTTGACTGACGGTTGAGATGATCTTCAATGTCAAGCAACGCGCGATCGTACACGGTTTGCAGTGCCGCCACTTGATCGACGTCGCCCGGATTTTGAGTTCTCCAAAAATGGATATAGTCTTCT